GATCAAGGTCATCCAGCTTATAAGTAGTCATACTGCCTAAAAATTAAGGCATATTTCAGCCTTGCAGAGGCCTTATAAGGCGCTGTAACTAGGGAAATACAGTACATATACTGTACATACACTGTATCTTTTTTAGTTTTTAGTTTTCTTGTTTTTTTAGAAAATTGGGGTTTTTGCACTCTTGCACACCCTATCTAAGGTGCCACCGTATCTGGTGCTAATATGCGCTGATGTAAATACGCCAAATGGGGTTGCCGCAGAAACTCTGAGTACGTCACGTGATGCTATACACTGCGAAGCCAAGATGACTTGAGCTCAAGAATCTTATAAACGGCATTGGTCACCGGCAGTTCTGATTTTTCTCATTAATGCTCAAAACGATCTATTTTAGAAAATTCGAAATCTATTCGGATCTGGCTTACGGCGTCGACATCCTACAAGTTATCGGGACTCTGTATTCAAAATTTAACATCAGCTTGCAGTATTGGATGAGATGAAATGTCAACGACCGTTAAGTACGATATTCTGGGTTTGGGAGCTATATACAGGTATATTGAGAGCTATATGCAGGTATATTAGGAGCTATGTACAGGTATATGGTGAACTATTATGTTGTCATCTGCCTCTGTGAACAGATGTGGCTAAAGGATAAATCGGGCTTTTCTGTCTACCTCTGCCCCCAAATCCACCACGAGAATACGGATCTTCTCTGTCACGTATGGTATATGTTCTTTTTTAATCCAAAGATCCTCAAATGTTTCCCTTGCCATCCTGCCGGCAGTGTTCTTTACGTTTACGGCCCCGTCACCACCTGCTTCTAGCAGAACCTTCATCATGCCGTCGAATTCACTCCTTAGTTTCTCTGGAGGTACATAGCCTGGAATAAAACGCCCAATTGCTGCTTCATGTAACGCTGTATTTCCCTTTAGGTTCTTAATGCCTACATCAGCCGCTCGGTCCAAGAGAAACTTTACAGCCTCGACGCGATCCCACTGCGAGGCCATTTTGTGCAAACTTGTGTTGCCATTTGCATCACCGTGAGATAGATCCTCTCTTTCTGTATAGAGCAAGCTCATAGTGGCTGCGTCAAGCGGTATGCCGTCGTCGTATCGGTCACATAAGAACTGAAATGGTGTCCTCCCCTCGTGGTTTTGAATGCTTGCGTCCACGCCGTTTTCAAGCAAATACTGAAAGGCGCCTTTATAGGTGCTTGTTAATCGGCCATAGCTATGTGCCGCATAATGCAGAGGCGTTTCTCCATCGTTGTCTTGGGCATTGACAGCACATGGATTGCTTTCTACCAGCAACTTCAGAGTGTCCATTGCCCTTTTAGTAAACTCTGGACTCTCTATTAAGCTGGGATGAAATCCTTCTTTACTTCCACCCACCGCCCAGTGGAGTGGGAGGCGTCCACAGTTGTCGCGCCGCGAAAAAAGCTCGGCAGCATCATCAACAAGCGTATAGATGTGTTGAGGCGGATTTCCATCACTGTCAAGGCAAAGGGTGTCAAATTGGCGGTACCGCGACGCCTATACGGGAAGGAAATTTTCAGCCATCTTGCCAAGATAATGCCTTTATTCCAATGCAGAGTTGTAGCACTTTTGTTGGGTAGCCTAGTACAGTTAGCTGGGTATAATTTAACTATTAAAGATGTAGATATGTTGGCTATTGAGTTAAACGATAAGTGTTTACTTCTATTAAACCAGGCCCATGACTCTATGTATTGGCAGGATGATGATGTAGAGGGGTGAATATAATTTGGTAGAAAAGTTTTACGGGGGTCATTGAGGCTCAGTGAAAGCCATAATTTATAAACACATACGACTTACTCCATACATAAATATGCTGTTGGTTGTTACAAACTAATGCATGCAACTAAACCCAAATCGTGGCCCTTCCATGTCTTGTATGCATGATGCTGAAGAAAATAACAAGACGCCCAGCCTGTTTCTGGCACGGTAGTGCATCTAATAGCACTTTGACGGCCTTTTCAAGGTCATATGAGATTCATGTGATTAAAGGAGTTGTTCTGCTGGCCATAACTTCAAGAACCGCCACAGCATATTTTTTCTTTTCTTTTACACAACAGAGAACACCGGGTAGCAGACAGAAGATGATAAGTTAGATGTAGACAAGAGACCATTGCGCCAGGGCTACATGGCAGTTACACACCTGTTGCAGCGCGAAATATTACTGAAAAACACAGGCACCGCCTTAAATGCGCATATGACTTATCTTCAGCATAAGACTCTCCAAGATCTTGTTGATGACCGGGGAGAGAACGCTTCAGAGTGATGAGGGCTCATATGGGGTTGGCCTATCCGGTGTCCATGTGTCAAACAAAACTATTATAGCACGCAGTCCTCTTGTGTTTCCTGCTTGAAAAAGGCGTGAAAGCTTGTGATTAAGCTTATCTTGATTCACCCACGCCGCATCCACCCTTATACCAGTCCTAGTATAGTCGTCGTATCTTACACACGTCTAAACAGCCTCCATTATCGTTTTGTAACGGATTCTAAATCTCTAAACATTGAGTTTCTTCAAATTCTGCAGCAACATAGGCGGGTTCGCGCCAACCATCTCGTCCACCTTTTGTCCATTCTTGTAGAACAAAAACGTCGGCATGGCGCGGATGCCCAGCTCCTGGCTCAGCTCTGGCAGCTCATCCACGTCGAACTTGACAAAGTGGACCTTGTCCTTGAACTCTGCTTCCTCAGAGGCTCTATAGTTTTGCATCTTTCATTAGTGAACTTGACGATTTTCATTTTTTTTCTGACATGTAGTAACAACGCACTTTTCCAGGATGGGAGCAATGGCCTTGCATGGGCCGCACCAGGTTGCGTAGCAGTCCACAATGACCTTGTCTTGCGCCTTGATGACTTGCTTGTACTCTTCAGCGCTTCATTTTTCTTCTATTAGCATATGCTGTGTTTTTATAGCTTGAGTTAATTTTCCAAGAGGGCGCAACTCACGTCTTGACGTAATGAATCGCTTGAGCAGCGCGGCTGGCGTGGAAGAGGCGCTGAGATGCAATGCCTTGTCGGGCGATTGAGAGAGCAGGACGGAATGTGCGTGTTGACAACATGATTACGGCACTAAAGTCACTGAAGAGCTGTATATAATGAATGAGAATGGGTTGGTTTATGGTGATTTATAAGAATGAAGTTGTGCTTGTATTCCTGGTGGCGTTCTAGATGAGTAAAATATTCGGGGCCGCTATATGAGGTAAGCCGGCATCGCTGTATCGATAAAATGCACCGAGGCCAGCCACGGCTCAAGTTGACCTCATGACTAAGTTCCAACTGGTTTCCAACACCAAAGCTATCAGCATGTCACAAGGAGCAATTCCCTAATGCTCTTGAATGGCATCGTGAAGCCTTCTGTAGCCATTGAGTTTTATTAAGTGTCTTGCTGGATGCACCCATGCAGGCAGTGGCGCAGTCAGCGTTCCTTCAGCCGCCGGCCTGTTCTGAGGCCTTTCAAGGCTGCAACCGCGACAGGGGGCCATGAAGCGATATATAAATCATCTGTCACAGATTATGCAGGTTGTTGATTATGACTTTCTAGACATACCGTGTATCATTATTAGCGAAACTTGAATTTGATTTTATATTTTATACTCCCATCGAATCTCTGAATCTGAATCTGTGAAACACGCCATGACCGCATTGAGGAAGCGCCGCACTCCATCAACAGCTTCATCTCAACCCAACTCCATCAAAAGGGCCAAAAAGTCCACCCAATTCCATCACTACCAGCCTCTACAGCATCTCCAGCAAGAAATAAGACTCCTCCAGCTGTTACCAGGAAAGCCCGGCAGTCGCATTGCCATCAAGCTGCTCACCGTCTCGCTCAACGACAACCCCGAATATGAGGCCCTGAGCTACTGCTGGGGACCTCCTCAGCCCTCGTACGACATCTTCATCCACGTCAACAGCAGTGAGAACAATGAGCATCAACCAACCGAATCCATTTCCTCATTCCCCGTCGGCCGCAACCTCAGAAAAGCCCTTGACGACCTCCGCCACCAAGACCGCCCCCGCCTCATCTGGAACGACGCCATCTGCATCAACCAAAAGGACAATGTCGAAAAGGGCCACCAGATCCAGCTCATGCACCAAATCTACACGCGTGCCAAGGTTGTCTGCGCCTGGATAGACCACAATGTCCGGCCCAGGACCTCTGTCTTCGACGACCTGGAGAATCTCGGTAAGGGGGTCGAGCTGGATGACTTCTATGACCCGTCGTATTGGTATCCCGTGGCGGACATCTTTCGGAACGAGTACTGGTGCAGGCTGTGGATTCAGCAGGAGCTCATCCTCGCGGCCAAGGTGGATGTGTATTGTCGCCGGGATGTCTTTTCGGGCGAGCAGCTGTTGGAGTTTCAGCAAAAGGTCAATGTGGTGAAATCGCAGCGGACGAGGCTGGGCGGGCCTGAGTTTGTGCTTTCGCGCTATATTGATGGGAATACCAGCGCTGAGCCTACGCCTGAAATCTTTGGCGGAGGTGTCATTCAGGCGAGGATCAACATGCGTGAAGGACGGGAAGCTCAGGAAGCCTACTCAATATCGCTATCATCATCTTCATCTTCTTCTTCACCACGATCGCCTACTTCAGACGGCCAATCTCCATCTCCCATTCACGGCTTCAAAATCACCAGAGGCCTGCTTGCCTCCTCCCTCCTGAACCTCTTCCTCCAGTCTTCCAGTGTCAGGATGACAAATCCTCGCGACCGTCTCTACGGCATCCTCGGTCTCGCTACAGACATTGCCCACGGCCCTGGCCTTGAAGTCAACTACGATGCTTCCCCTATCTGGGTCTACGCCCAAGTCTTCCGCCACTTTATCCACCGCTACAAAAGCCTTAGCTTCCTCTGCTTCAACAAGAGCAATCCCAGGGGAAGTTACACCTCGCGCAAGGGTTTCCCCAGCTGGATGCCTCACGCTGACGTGTGCTGGAGCTCCGTCAACGCAAGCAAAGCCTGCGGCGCCATGCTCGCTACACCTCACATCGTCTCCATCGACTTGGAAACCCTCTGTCTTCACGCACAAGGCATAAAAGTCGACACCATAAAGCACATTGACCAAATCAACGGCGACGGCCGTGGCTGGACCCCCATCCCCGAATGGCTCGACCAGATGGAATCCTTCTGCCGCAAAACATGGCCCGATGCAAATAGCTCATCATCTCCATTGCATGAAAGAGACGATGTCACATCACTAATGTTCCCCTGGCTCAGCCCCAAACGCTACAAAAACATGTGGAAGCTTGACAAACCAGACCCCGCGCGCCGCGTCCACCTCATCCGCAGTCTCCTCGCCGCCGCACGTAAGGCCGATCAGAAAGATCTCTCGACAGGCGACATCATTCGCGGCGGATACACGCCCACGAACATCATCCCGATGGACGTGCGCGAGGAGTGCCACCCGTTGCATGTGGAAATCAATGCCGTGGTGCTGTTTGGTACGGAGGGCTCACGCGTTGGTAGCATGGCGCGGACGAGCGATATTCGGGTCGGTGATGAGATTTGGATCTTGTTTGGGTGCCGGATGCCGATTATGATGAGGCCGAAGAAGGAAGAGGGCAAGGGGTCGAGATATCAGGTTATTGGGCCGGCGGTAGTTCCGGGAGTTATGAAGGGAGAGGTGATTAAGGATGCTGGAGAGTCTGTTGATCATGGCACGACGATAATACTTGAATAAAGGACGTTGTTGAAACGAGGAGGCTCTGATGAGGATCAATAGATCTCAGCTAGCTAGAGCTTAACCTTAACCTTGGCTTTGTTTTCAGCATATAGACGTTGGTATATGCCGTTTTAGACTGCCATTCTAGACACAGCATAGCGAAAAGAGAAAAGCTCAGAATTCATGGCACAATAATATATTATTTCACCGTGATACTTTTTCACCCTTCTTCTGTCGCCATATGATCAACACTGACATTAAACTATATACAAATCCCGTCAAACTCTGAAATCTCCAGATTGCAAAGCTATGGTGCAAAAGAATTTGACCAAAAAGAGCAATAACATCAAACCCAGCGCCACAGAATGAAGCCTCTATAAGTTAAACTCTCTTTTTTCTTTTTCTTTTTGAAATCAGGTTTCTTCCCTCCTTCAATAACGGTAAATTCAAGAACGAAAATCTCCTCTCTCACTCTACTTCAGCCTCAAGCTTGAAGAATAAGCAAAGTAAAATCACGTCCCTTGGAATAAAAAATCGTCTTCTTCTTCCTCTTCTCTCAGAAAGCTATTCCATCACCTTCGCCAGATACCGGTAAAAAAAAAACTTTTCCCGGCATAATGCAAGCAACCTCCCTCCCCGAAACACACAAGACAAGCTGCGAAAGAGGCCAAACAGCAAGACCTCTTTGACAGAGTGGGTATCAAATCTGGTATATGTGCCTGTAACAAAAATAAGAGTAAAAAAAAAAAATTACTCTGGGGAATCAAAAAAGGGAAAAATCAATCCAACGCCAATCATGTTCGTCAAAAGGTTGTAATATACAACAAAGACGTTTGCCGAGAGAGAGCAAAGTCCAAAAGGGGCGTGGTCCGCCGCATGAGATTCCAGTTACGAAGTCGAAAGAGCCTCCCAATTTAGCCGTTACTTTCATGTTATTTTTTGCTTTTTTGCTTTTTTTCTTTTTTGCTTTTTGTTGTTCCTATCTGCGGTAGGTATGCCTTTCGTTTATTTTTTTTTTTAAATTGTTTTTCAGGCTTTTTTATGTCGATTTTCCGTCATAATGTTAAGGAGAGTGATAATGAAATAAATGAGTGACTCGGGTCAGTTTCAGGTAGCTAGAAACAAAGGAAATTCGTCAATAAAGCACCATCGTGGCTACAGACCACGAAAAATGCTCTTTTTTTTTTAATTTTCCTTTTATTCTTTTTTTTTCTTTCGCGTTCGGGGGCTCTTTCGACTGTTGTAATCGTAGTATCAATCATGCGACAAACCTATGCACCATTCGGGTTCTCTTGGCTCTTCCTCGTGTCATCGGTAGATGTCCGCGGTTGTATCTTCAGCAACTTTACGCTTGACGGACGGTTCACACGCACGCTTGAGGCACGCTGCAAATCAGCCTTTTCAATGCTTGGAGCAATCTGAGAGATGGGAGAGATGGGAGACTCTAGGTCTTCCTCGTCTCCCGAGTCGATATTGAGCAGGCCTTCGCGGCTGCGGATCGTATCGCGGTTGTGGTTGTGTGGGACAAACTGCGCTTGGGCACCAACAGCACCCCACCTGACTTCTCCTTCATGCATCAGCTCGTCCTCATCACTGCTTGGACGACCCTCACCCGAAAGGCGAGTGTTGAAATGCAGAGTAGTGGGGTCAGGGCTGAGGCGTGACATATAGTCATCTTCGGTGATTTCAAGATCCTCGTGGGCGCTATTGGTGGGAGACTCCGCCCTGCGTTCGTGATCTTGCTGTCGAGATCGGGTCCTATCACGTATGGATGACAACCGCTTGCTCCGCTGGCTGTTAACTCTTCCAGAAAGCCAGGATCCTTCAGAGTCGACAGATGCCAAAGACATTGAAAGTTGAGGTTCGGCCGAATGGCTACCGTACATCTTGTCTCGCGACGCAGGATTTTGAGGAATGTCTATTGAACGATGGCCTGAAGTTGGTGTATCGTCTCGCAGAGTTGGAGGATTGGTGTTGGGCTCTGTGCTGGCAGATCGATACTCTGCCACGCTGGGCAGTGATGCCTCTGCTTCGGGCGACTGAACGCGGGATTCGGGGGGTGATAGTGGGAGTTCTGGTAGGTCTTCTCGGAAGCGAGATCGCATTCGCTTCGGTGGGCCTGAACCCGGTTTGGAGGATAGGTAGTTGCCTGTAAATGATGGAACAGGCGACTCGGCGGTGCTTCTAGCTTGAGCCTGTGCTGCGGACATTTCTTCGCGTGAAGTGTTTGCGAATGAGGATGGGCCGGCAGGGCTTCGGCGACTCTTCCCCCATCTAAGCAAGGTGGAGAAAGAGAGGCGGTTAGATTTGTTACTGGACTCGGAATCCTTGCGCGTTGTGCTCTCATCTTCCATGGCAGAAGATGTCTTTTCCTTGTCAGAATCAAAGGTCGAGCCAGATGTCGACGTCTTTGGTAGAAAGTTGCCCTCAAGCCTAACAGCGGGCGGAACGGCTGGAACACGCTCTTCTGACTTGCGAGGAGCCTGGGGTTGTTTTCCGGCAGCGGTGGGCGACTCTGCTTCGCGCGGTGCTGTATCGATTCTGTGAAACGTCTGCAAAGGTTCCGGGGATTCCCTCAGCTTGCCCTTATCAGATTTCTGTGAATATTCCTCTACGTCAGACATTGGTTCTGGAGAAACGCGCTGCTTGGAGGATGTCACTACAGTAGACGGGGGATCTATGCCTAGACCGACCTCTCGTCCCATGACGCCGCGGTCGAGATTCTCGGGCGGCGGCGTTCCTGTTTGCCTGGCATTTTCTTCCTCCCTCTTCTGCTTCTCAGCCTTGCGTGCTAGCCTCCTCTCGGCCTTTTCTCGCTCGCGCTGTCGGTTCCTCTCCCGTCGTCTTGTATCTCTTTCCATGAGCTCGCGCAACTCGCCGGCGTTGAAGTCATCAGCCAGGTCATCGATGCGTTTATGCGCTCTGATTGTCTCCTCGTCAAAGGCATCGAGCCTCTTCTTCTGAGACTCGGATCGTGTAGGCACAGAAGCGTGCGACGGAAGCAATCGTGCGTTGCCCTGATATTTCAGGGTCGGTCTCGGCGCGAGGGCATCGAGGGCGGTTACTCGATATGACGAGTAGTTGGAATCGGACGAGAGGCGGGAGGTGATTGAGATGGGCATGGGCAACGATGCGTCCGAAGTAGGACTGTCCCACGGTGCTCTGGCGCCCAGAGTCTTTGCTCGCTTGTTCTCATGCTTAGCGCTGCGAGCAGTGGCCAAGGTGTCGGTAGTTGCTCGTGCTGGCGTGAAGACGGTCATGGCCCTGATCTCAGCCTCTCTGGTGGGATCCTGCCGCTTCCGTTTGCTGCTCTTCCTCCTCGAGGGCTGGTTGCCGCTTCGTTTGTGGTGCAGAGTTGGGACTCGGTTCTCCAAGGAGTGGATTGGCGCATTGGCGCTCCCCTCGGTCAAAGGGTCGTTGCGGTCCGCCCGATTGGCCCGGCCGACGTGGATTGCATCTGGGCGATCGGGCGAGAAGCTATATCTCGGCGCAGCATCGCGGCTGGGCCTGGAGGCAGCCGACCTGGCGGCATTGCATGGTCCAGCGCTTTCGGCAGCGGAGAGGGCCGCGCCAGTGCCGCTAGAGCGTTTGTCGTGGCCCCTGGTGCGAAACGGCCACAGGGCCATTCTTGCTAGCTGCTTCACCTCGAGGGTGAAATGCCCCCCTTTTGCTTTACTGGCGAGTCGTCTTAATCCCTAAGTGCAGATCCAGTGAGGCGTGAAGCAGCATGATGGTCGTTTAAGTCTCCGCCGGCAGATGCGCATGAAGCAGTAAGGGGTCTGGATGCGAAACACATGCCACGAGGCGCGTCGTCCGAGGGCGTGGAGATCAGGCGGCGGCGACTTGCGACGAGGACAGGCCGGGGCTGTTGTGAATGTGAATGGCTAATACGAATACAAGTGGCATTCGACGATGGAGGAATTGGAATGAGACGAGATCCCGGACCCGCCGCAGCCAGGCATGTAAGAGAGAAGCCCGTCTCCCTCTGCTGAATGGCTAAGAACTACTCGGGTTGAGATGGAAGGAAGAAGAGACTGGCGGGTTTTCCTTTTCGTTTGTTGGAAAATGTCAGGCTATTGTTTTGTTTTGCACTTGGCCAGCATCTTTGCACAAGAAAGAATCAACTGGGGCCAAGAAAAAAGGAAAAAGATGTGAATTGGTAGGGTTGAAAAAAAAGCAGAAAAGCAGGGAGGCGAGTGGGTGGCAGCGACGTAATTTAGCGGATGGCACACACGCAGAGGGACCCTGTGGGCGCTGATCCGGCCGCTAGAAGGGCCAGGTACAGGTACAAGGCCTGGGCCTGGAGTACGCAGTGGCACCCGCCGGCCTGTGCGCTGGTGGCTGCCGGGGCCTGTTTTAGCGCCACTGGACGAAAACTCGGAGTCGAGGGTCCCAGTTGGGCAAGTCGGCAGAGGCTGCTAGCACGAGTGCATACATAAGAATAGAAAGAACAGCACCTGCAGCGTGAGATGGCGGCGATTCATTCCAGGCCGATGGGGATGTTCTTATGGGGTTCCCCAGCGCCATCGATTCCCACAGCGCCATTTCCTGGCGTTGGCACCAGCACCGTGAGTACAGTTTACATGGGCGGCAGGTACAGGTAGCGGCGGCACGGCAGCACGTTGGACCCCGCGTGTACATGGAGGCGCAAGTACAGAATACCAACATTCGCCGCGTATGTGTGTGCGCGTGCGTGTGCGCAGTGCCAAGTCGGCAATGGCTGGCGCAGCATAACTTGTGCAAGCTGGCGGTGGTGATTCATCCATGCTGCGGCCAAGTGCTGGCATCAAACAGCACGATGCTGGCAAATTCCATCTCTCTAGCCAGCGAATCCTCTATTAGCGCTGCAATCAAGAGCCGGCCACGAGCGCACTGGCGCACATGTTCTCGCTTGCTGCATGGGCTGCACGACATGTACTTTGATCCTGCTGACTGCCTACAGCGCTCTACAGTATGCTCGACTGGTACCATGTTCCCTGTACGTGCGTGTAGGTGCATCTGCAGCTGCATCTGCGCTGCACGTGCTGGGAAACGGCGGCTAGCGATGATATTTTATGTTCCCTGTAGCATTGCTAATGTTGCATTGCTTTCTTGAATTCTCTTCTCTTCTCTTGGAGTACAAAGCATTCAGTTGTCTGGCAGAGTAGTCGGGGTTTCGAGTCACTTGCTTGCTCCGCTGAATCAGAAGCCCGCTATAAGTCGGATTTGCCGTCTCATAGCGTCGCCGGCAGCGGTACAGATACTTGCACAGCACTCGAGGCAGTTTACGCTCCAAATAGCGCATCGGATTCCACACTCATAGTGGGACAGATTAGCAAGGGAATGGCAGGAAAGAGAGAAGAAGACAATGAAATGTGGCGGGGTGACAGGGGCTGCTCAACTGCTGCAAGGCAAAGCACCAAACGCCCAGTCCCCTGCTGCTCGTAACAATAGGCCCGGGCCAGGCCCCGACTCTTGATCCCTATCGGCCCCTGGACCCCCCAAAAGCCCCAGGGCTTAGAGGGGTCGAGGGGTCAGTGCTATTTTATAGTGCACTTTCTGCCCTACCCGCGCAGCCTTTTTTTGGCTCAACCGTTGCGGCCGCAGCGACTTTTGACAGGCTTCCAGACCGACTCCAGTTGGACTCGTATTCCAGGTTTGATGCCTTCTAGCCCAACAGCAGCATCAATTACGTCTTGGTTATTATTAGGCGGCCTGCTGTTGGCCGTGTGCATCGCACCATCACCTCAGGCTGCGCTTTGCTTCCGCCTTGCCCCTAACAGGACCGACCTTCCAGTACAGGTACTCCAATCTCTTGCCAGGTACTGCATCGCGGCGCGTCGAGTTCCAGCCCGCCATTCAGGCTCCTGTGCCAAGGCTCAACAGCAGTCGTACCTTGGTACGGTACATGTATCCAGGCATGGCCTGTCACCACCAAGACCGAGTGGCTAATGGCAGCCGGTCATGCCCGGGCCTTGCCCTGCGAATGGCTCCGGCAAGCCGCGCATTTCTGCCACTAGCATGCATGGATAGGTTAAAAAGCAATCATATGGCCTGGCGCCGTCCATTCACAGCGACGCCCGCCTGGCTCTCGCTTGGGAAAAAGACAAAAAGGTGTGAAGCGTACATGTACAAGTCGCGGGCATGATGTCTCGTGGACAGCTCCAGCTCAGGGCTTGCCACCGCGCAGCCACACCGGCCCCGAGCGACGTGAAGGGAGGTGAGGTGATGTCGTTGATTGATACCATCAAGTATATTGGGTACATGCTGCAGTGCCCGGAAATCAAGCCCGGCCGCTCCTTGCTCCGTGTTCCGCGCTGGTCTCATGCCACGATCCAGCCCCCTTCATATTGCGTGCACACCACATCGCAGGCTTCTTCTCGTTCTCGTGCAAGGCCGTGTTGCATCGACACAAAAATTTGAGCGCCGCTGCGGACAGACTTGCTGCTGCAAATTTGCCGGCTGCTCGTCTCCTTCTTCTCAACGATGCCGCTGTCCCACGTCCCGCTATTGGCTCCGCTTGTGAGACATGGCATAGCTTGTCCCGATCCCCAAACGAGACATGTTCTTGTCTGGGCTGGATCCACCTCTCAATCCGTTCCATTCTTGGGTGGCTCGACTGACGTCTGGCCTCGACGAACAGGTACCGGCCGAGTGGAGACGCCAGGTCTCTGGCAGAGTACCGCACTCATAAGAATAGCCCGATCTCGACGCCATCCCGATCATCAGACGCCGAGATGCAGCTGCCTACATGCGCAATACATGATGTATCCTATACGTGTATGTATTCAGGAAGTCGGATTTAATATGGCCGCCGCTAATCGCCTTGGCTACTCTGATGCGGCTCGATTGATGGATTGGCTAATTGAATGACTCCGGGGTTTGAGGACCAGAGACGGTGTCAACTCCAATGCCACCCGCTGACGAAGGCGAGCTATTACTGCCTAGTACACGCTACAGGCCTGCGAATCCAGATAAAACAAACCTCGACGCCGCAATGGAGCAAACCCCTAGTCATTGTTGTTAAGCCTCCCATGCAAGCCGGTGGTCTGTCCGCTCATCGCCAGCACGGTCGCCTCTCCATATCGGTTTAGATACCTCATTGCGGCCCTTTGCGTGCGCTACGGCATGACTACATGTGCATGCATGGGAGATATTGCGAGATGCCCAGTCTGTCTCTTCGTTATGCGCGCGTCTTCGTATCACTGAGGAACCAGGAATTGCCCCCGCAGTAGACTTCGTATTCGTCAGATGGCTGTTGTTACCTGCGATACTGAGATAGCTACCCGAGCCTACTTCACCGGTCAATACTAAACAAATAGGAGAGAACAGAGACCAAAGAAGAGGCAGGAGAAGAGGGAAACCGGCGAAGAACAGGCGTCGATTACCTCGAGAAAATGTCACCGATTGTCAGCGATCCTTCTCTGACCACCATCAAGTCCTTGTACCTTGCATGTACTCTGCCGCTGCGCAGTTGGGAGTCGCTCAGAGACTCGAATATACCCGCGACAGGCCGCCCCGCGCTAAGTGCCCGCTCATCAGCTTGACCAAGGAAGAGGAAAACAGGTTCCGGCAGGGAGAGCTTGTACAGTGTGCCATCCCCCCATCCAACCCACACAGAGAGCGTTGAGGGCATGCTTCCTTTTGGGACAGGGATTGCCGTTCAAGCTTCCCCTGCTGCTCGATTCCTTGGGCGTCTTTGCGTCATGACCTGACAGTAACCTGGTAAGATCGGCCATTCAGGCTTGATAAAGCTCTCAGGCCCTGCAACCCAAACAAGCTTCATCGACAGACGGTCAATCCCCTCTGGCAGATATTACTGATTTCGGCCAGAGACGTCATCGCGGCCAAGTCTGGTCTTGGATCTAGATAGAGGACTGAGACGGGCTCGCCACGCAGGCCGAGCGAGCCCTGCAGAACGTGCTAGTCCATGTGTTGTCCGGAACATGTTCCATACTTACTCTCCTTGTCTGGGAGGATGCTCAAATTCGATATGTCTGTGTCTGTTCTGTTACCTTGGCCGACTTCAGCAACTTGATACTACTTTGACCCGACACAGCAAAGTCCTGGGAGCCTCGCCCACGTACGTCCCGAGTGTGCAGGCGACAAGTCATCGCTGCATTGGTGCTGTAACTCCCCTCATTGCAATGCTCCGTGCTGAGCTGTACGACTACACGTTGGACATGCCCTGTCCGTGTCCTGTTGTGCCTGTTCGGTGATGAGTCCTTCTACCTCTTTTGCTCAAGCCGGCAAGCACCGCGCTGCCTCCTCAACACGTTCCCTCCGTGCTCGGAAGTCGAGAAGTTCTGGTAGAGTCGATGCGCATATCCATCCTGTGAGCTATCCTATGAGTGCGGCTTTCGCTAGCCACTGCTTGCCTGCTTTGGATAAGCAGCATGCAAGCAACCTATCCAAGCTGCTCTCCACCAATCCTTGAGTCGCCAGGCCGAGCATTCATATACTACTGCGACTGCATGTATGCTACGGCAGCTCGGGAAGATGGCCAGTGCCACCACAAAATGGCCGTAAATGCAATTGCCCCCGTCATCCCAACGTCGTGCAACCAGTTAAACGTCCAGACGGGAGATTTGCTTAGCCCCAAAGGTGGCCAACAAACATTCAAGGTAGTGGTACATTCTCATCCTCTCTTACAGGCCCAAACTACATGTAGGTACTTCTCCTCGGCATCCCAACAAGACTGCGTCTCATTGTCATTTGCTACTATCGCGATTACGCTGCAAGTACAAGTACGTCGTACAAGCTCGGTGATGCGATGTCCCTCGCCTTTTTTGGTCATCCTTGGCACTACCTAATTAAGCATGGATGTGAACAGCAAACAATACGGGTATTTCAGGCGAGTAGCATTCAATCTGCATGCTCCCTACCCGTCTTGCAGGGAGAAGAAGAAAATTTTGCCTCGCAGCCATCTCGGCGGATGACAGATGACCACGTGGACGGGATGGGACTTTTCATTAGGGCCCGACTTAATTTCAACTGTGTCTCGACGCCACATCAACCGTCTGGCCAGACTAAGGCCCGTCTTGCAGCACGCGGGAGACGGGGAGAAGCCGTAGTTGATTCACCATCTATCAAGCATCCCCCTTTTCTTTGCTTTATCTTGTTTTCACAATGGCAACCTTGAGTTATGTGAGGGAAATCTATTGTGGGAGGGGTGTCAACCTGTATCGGTTTTGTGATTACCTTGACGGGACGGCGTGCGCCGCAGATGCAATTGGTCCCGTAGCGTTTAATGAGGATGCAACAGCTTTGTGAAACGATCTGATTTCTTGAAGGGACTTTGTCCTACACCTCCCTTTTTAGCAGCCTCGTCCATTGGCCAACGGCGAGAGAATCAATGACCTGGAGTTCCAATGGAGGTCAGAAAATATCTGTGCTTGCCGTATCGACGTTGCCACTCTAAGCTAAGAAGCTGTGCTGTTGAATAAGTGGCTATTCCTCCAATTGAAAGTGAAAGTCATCAATAAGAGAATTGGATGCTGAAAATAATTCGCCATAGCAGCGTCATCGATGAGCAAACTGGTTGGCTGTGGCACTGGAAGTCATTGCCGTCCTCAACAATAATCTCCATCGTTTGCGTCAAGATGTCTGGTGCCCGATGGCCACTTCGAAACGGAATATACCTACTCACATATCGAAAATACTCTCCAAATCTGTTCTAGCATCAGGGCGGCAATCTGGGAGAGTGCCCCGGTGTGCAAGGATCTAGGATCAATCCTTCTTATCGGAACAGCTGGAAGGATTTGTTGGGCTGGGCCTAGAATTCCGACGGCGGTAGAAATTTTCATTCAACTGCTTATGTATTGTTTCATCTATTATTAACAATGCTATTCATAAAAAGGAAAGCGGAATCAACGAATGAAGAGAAGCATCCCTCCCGCTAAGACTATGATTGCGTAGATTATATCCCTCTGATGTCCACTTACACGCAGAGAGCTAATGGTGCAATATAGAGAGGCTTCATTTGCACCAGCACCACAAACCGAGCCTTTTCCTTGTGTTTATAACAAAACAAGACGCCGAATGCTCCAAATGCTCCGATTTTTTGACGTAAAATTTACCTTCTAGTCGTGTAAATTCGCTAATCTTGACTAAAACAATTGAAGCATGTCGATGGTTCGACGAGTGCGGGGAGACGCCGGCCGTAGTCACGCCGGCTCCGCAATCGCTCAGACGCGGTCCGACGGCTACTACTATTTGCTTTTCTATGTGAATACATGAGGATATCTTTCATGAGAATTTCGAGACATCATAACTCTTGAATACTCAGATGCGACATAACTGAAGTAAAAGTTACACCATTCATTGTGTGATTCTTTAAACATGGCAAACGTAATTGTCGTTGCAGGGTGAGATTGTAAACCAACTCTCAAGTCATTCAACATTATATGCATTGGTTAACGAAGAAGATGTTTACTACAGGGCTGGCGTGAGTGGCCTCACTTCAGCACTGCTCCTTTCGAGGAACAAGGCCAACAAGGTCACGGTGGTTGCGAAACACATGCCTGGTGACTATGACATTGAATATGCCTCTCCTTGGGCTGGAGCCAATGTGTTGCCGTTAGTCCAGCTTACCTGTTCTCGAGATGTTTTGTTTCCCTTGATGGTTATTAAACTAAGAGATACATAGAATGGCCGACGACGAGAATAGCAGATGGGAACGCCGTACCTGGCCAGAGTTGAAGCGTCTGACAGAAGAGGTGCCCGAAGCAGGAATCCACTTTCAGAGTATTTGACGCCCTTTCCCCTCCGTCTTTCTCCCCTTTTTTTTCTTCTTGATGGCTCATTTCTGACTGCTTTGCTGTTTTGATTCTATAGAAGCCCGTGTTTATAGAAGAATGAAAGATGAAACAGCGCCAGGCTATCATCCTTCTGATCCGCTATTCCACGCGAATCCCTGGTATAAATCCGTGCTCCCGGATTATCGCGAGCTGAGCCAAGAGGAAGTCATTCCGGACCATGATTCGGGATGCGAATTCACAAGTGTGTGCATCAACACGGCCATTTACCTCCCGTGGCTCCTTGGCCAGTGTGTCAAGAACGGCGTCGTCTTTAAAAGGGCCGTCTTGTCGGATATTCAGGATGCAAAGGCGCTGAGCCACACAGGCCAGCCGCCAGATATCATCATTAACGCTACTGCGCTGGGCTCTCTCAAATTGGGCGGTGTCGAGGACACGGCCATGGTTCCTGCTCGCGGACAGGTAGTTGTCGTGCGGAACGAGTGCTCTCCCATGATTGCCACGTCGGGCACTGACGATGGCGAGACGGAAATGGCTTACATCATGCAGCGCGCTGTGGGTGGAGGAACCATCTTGGGGGGAACGTACGATGTGGGCAACTGGGAGTCTGTGCCGGATCCGAATATTGCGATTCGGATCATGCAGAGAGCGGTGCGGGTTGCGCCGGGGCTGGCGGGGGGCAAAGGCGTTGAAGGGTTGAGCATTATTAGGCACGGCGTTGGGCTGCGGCCTTGTAGGAAGGGAGGCGTGAGGATTGAAGAGGAGCGTTTGGAGGATGGGACGAGTGTTGTGCACAACTATGGCCATGCGGGCTGGGGATATCAGGGATCGTATGGATGTGCTGAGAGGGTCGTGGAGTTGGTGGAAGAGATTCAGAAGAGGAGGGCGAAGAGCTAAGAGGGACTACCTCGTTCAATTTTATACGATGTTTTACATGTCTTGTTCTTGTAAAGCCATAGTGTTGAGATGTTTGTCTCACGGCTCATTCCATGTATACGGCGGTTCGTTGAGGCCGATAAGCGGGTCTATGCAATTTCCGGGGCCTTGCTTCACACCCATCTTTTTTTCACACGTTGCAGATGGCGCTATATTAAAACCACAACAAGGGCGTTTTCACGTGTTTTGGATGGAGAAAAGCTCCCACGATATGCCTCTTTATTGAAGATATTACCGAGGGACTAGGCCAAGATTCATAAAGACTACCTTTGAGCTCATTCATTTGGTATAGAGAAGGCCTCCAAGCCCATTCGCCAAATCATGGCTTCCCTCATCAAATTCGCATCCGACGTGGCCAGCGGCCGCCATGCGCTGTCGAAATTCATCCCCCTGGGACTCTGGTTCGCAGATGCTATTCTCTGTGGGCTGGTTATCTGGAAAGTGCCATGTGAGTCAAGTCTATATACGAACTCTTGTATAGAAGAAAAAGAATGAATGAATTGCGAAAGGGAATTTTGATCTTTTTTTAATTTGTTTTATGCTAACACTGGAATCACAGACACTGAGATTGACTGGACGGCGTACATGGAGCAAGTCACGCAGTTTGTCAATGGGGAGCGAGACTATCCCAAGATGGAGGGCGGCACAGGGCCGTTGGTGTATCCGGCTGCTCATGTGTATATTTACACGGGGCTGTACTATCTGACTAACAAGGGGACGGACATCTTTCTGGCGCAGCAGCTGTTTGCGGTCCTGTACATGGCTACGTTGGGAGTGGTCATGTTGAGCTACTGGAAGGCCAAGGTGAGTTTTATGAATGCCTTGATTTTCCCCCCTTGATAGAGAAGCGGGAAGACAGTTTCACTAAACAAGCATAATGCAGGTTCCGCCTTACATCTTCCCACTACTGATTCTGTCAAAACGGCTTCACAGTGTGTTTGTTCTGAGGTGCTTCAACGACTGTTTTGCAGCCTTCTTCTTATGGCTCTGTATCTACAGTTTCCAGAACAGAGCGTGGACCGTCGGTGCTCTGGCATACACCCTTGGTCTGGGAGTCAAGATGTCGTTACTTCTCGTCTTACCAGCCGTAGTCATCATCCTATTCCTCGGCCGTGGATTCAAAGGAGCACTGCGATTGGTATGGCTAATGGCACAGGTTCAATTGGTTCTTGCTATTCCATTCATCACGACGAATTGGGCTGGCTATCTAGGCCGAGCTTTCGAGCTATCGAGGCAGTTCAAGTTTGAATGGACTGTCAATTGGCGGATGATGGGTGAGGAGACGTTCCTCAGCCGGGGCTTCTCCATCACACTACTGTCATTCCATGTCATCACCCTCCTTGTATTCATCGCGGCTCGATGGCTGAAGCTGCAAGAACGATCCCTCCTTGGCATCATAACCTACGCCGTCCGATTCCAGTCGCCCTTTACAGAGAAAGAAGAGGCCAAAATCTCCAACAAGGTCGTCACGCCTCGATACGTCCTTTCTACCATCCTGTCGGCCAACGTGATTGGTCTGCTATTCGCCAGGTCTTTGCACTACCAGTTTTATGCGTATCTGGCATGGGCAACTCCGTTTCTCTTGTGGACAGCGTATCCGAACCTCTTGGTTGTGGTACCGCTGTGGTTGGCGCAGGAGTGGGCGTGGAACGTTTTCCCCAGCACCCCTCTCAGTTCAAGCGTCGTGGTGAGCGTCTTGGCCATTACGGTTGCCGCGGCGTTTGTTGGCTCTAAAACGAATTCAGCTTTGTACCAGCCCGGAGGATCAGCAAAGCCAAAACAGTTGTAATCGTGGGTTGTCGCAATAGAAGCGCTGCTTCACTCTTCCTCTTCTTCCTCTTCGTCGTCGCTGGGCGGCAGCTTTCCAACATTGGAATCACTTTCCTCATCGCTGAATTCCTCAACCACTTTGGCAAACTCTTTCGGCCTAGAATATCTCATTAATAAATTGCATAATACCGAAATAGACAAGGCTTATCCCATACCAGTACGCCTGCTTTCGCCATAGCTTCTCGTCTCGTACGACGTTTATAATTTCTCCAATTGCTCTGCTGTCCTGGGTGCCCACCGGATAACCCTCGGCCAGGACATATCCGCCGCGCTTGATCCAGATGGTGTTGCGGAATCGCTGGGCGAGCTCGAGCACCACGGGCTTCTTGTTTGGCATCTCGCAGGTATACAAATTGTTTCCCTCGGGCTTCAACACGCGCACGATGACTTGGGTAGGCTCCAATTCGGCAGGTGGAGAGAGCGCCTCTTGCGCGGCGGCGAGGACGTTGCGCTTTGGTTTACCCATGGCGGCTTTCAAGTCGAGTTTGCGGATCTTTTCCCGAATTCCTCTTTGGCTGGCAGGCAGCTGACGGCTCTGGATGTCAAAAATTGCTTCTAGATTTGGTGAATGGAAATAAACCGGGGCGTGCATGGCGGGGCACAGGCACAACGATAAGACAGATTGCCGCGATAAGGATGAAATTCCTTCATTTGGGGCATCTTTCTCCGCTGCGGAATGTCCCTATTGGGCGGGGCCGGTTCCAGGGTCCATACGCTGGGAGAGGAGAGAGACTACAAGTTAAACTATTACCTACTCAATACGAAGTGGCTTAATCGCCCCAATGGGAGAAATACCGGGCAATACTGGAGGAGGGTTAAACTACCATTGGGCCATTGACATTTTGGCTTTTATCAATCGTGGACCAGCCACCCAGCCCGAAGACGGCTGCAGGTGAACGGACCGCCAATCTCGTCAAGATCACGCACACCACCACAGCTGGACTCTCAAGCCACCCGTGTAAGCCGTCCTCCTACACCGGGCAAGTTTGGTGGGGTAGGTGCCGGCGGAGAATTTCTATGCTGGGATCCTACCAGGGTAGAAAAGCAGCAACCTCTCTCACAAGGCCGATCCGGCTCACGGAGGGCACGAGCCGATATCGTCTCGACCCGCATATTCTGCCTTTTCTCTTATTAAACCACCATTTCCCGATGCCAACATGGTTTATTATTCATCAGCCGGAACTGGGCATTCCACTAGTCCAAGCTTATCGGTCCACGAGACCTGGAAAATTGGGCCTTGAACAGCGGGAATGTGTAGCTTCCTGGGATGGAGTGTAGCTGGCGGAGCTTTGCCGAGCTGTCCTGAACCTCTTATAAGATATCGAGCTGGAGATTTTCCTTGAACTTTGAATTCATGATTTATTCATGAGCACCATCAGTCATATGGTTAAACCTTGAATCTGCTGCTGCCCAGTGGCGAATTTACTTTGTGTTGACAACGCCAGTTTTCTGCTTTTTAAAGATGGACGCAATCTTGCTGCGCAACCTCGTGGAGATCCAATCCCAACCCTCTACAAACGAGGCGTCCAGACCGCCGCCCAGGCCACTCACGGCCCCAGAAAAGGCCTACCAAAGATCATACTCTTACCAAGGCCAAGAGGATCCCGCCAGCGCGAGAAGACCATCACTTCCACGCGATGATAGTTATGTTTCTGGCGGTGTAGTCACTCCCGGCACGGAAGATGTATTGCTAGACGCGGATCTTGAGAGAAGCCGCCCGGCCAGTCCTGAACTGGGGGTTGATGCCGTGGAAGTGGTGCCCAGTGTATGGGAGCCGTACATGAATCGGTTCCGATTGCTGGCTGTTTGCCTGTCGAACTTTGGGAATGCGTTGAGTGACAGCGCCGCCGGTGCTTTGATTCCATATATGGAGAAGTGAGTCTCCATCGCCTCTCACTTGGAAATGAAAGAAATCCAAGCGAATTCTAACAATCCCAGGCACTATGACATTGGTTACGCCATCGTCTCCCTCATCTTCGTCGGCCAAGCCCTCGGCTTCGTCTTCGCCGCCTTCTGCCTCGACTCCCTCCGAGCCAAACTCGGCCGCGCCAAGCTCATCGGCCTCGGCCAAATGCTCATGGCATGCGCCTATATCCCCCTCGTCGCCGCCGCGCCCTTTGGCGTCGTCATCGCGGCCTTCTTCTTCGTCGGCTTCGGCATCGCCGTCAACGTCGCCATGGGCAACATCTTCTGCGGCAGCCTGCAGAACAGCACGCTCATGCTGGGGCTGCTTCATGGGAATTATGGCATCGGGGGCACGTCGGGGCCCCTGATTGCCACGGCGCTGGTGACGGTTGCGCATACGGCGTGGAATCATTACTATATTCTGACGCTGGGCATGTCGTTTTTGACCATGGCGCTGTCGGTGTGGGCGTTTTGGGGGTTTGAGAAGCAGCAGAGTCCGGCGGCGAGAGAGAGAGAAGCGTTGCCTGACAACTCGGCTTTCTTGGGCATGTTTGCTGCTGTGAAGCTACGAATTGTTCTTCTCGGATCGACCTTCATCTTCACCTACCAGGGTGCCGAAGTGTCCATCTCCGGTTGGGTGATTTCCTTCCTGATCAACTCTCGTGGTGGAGATCCCTCGTCCGTGGGTTACGTCTCGGCCGGTTTCTGGGCTGGCATCACGCTCGGTCGCTTCTTCCTCTCGGCCCCGGCCCAGCGAATCGGCGAAAAGGTCTTTGTGTACGGTCTAGTCGTCGGAGCCATCGCCTTCCAACTGCTGGTATGGTTTGTGCCCAACGTTGTGGGAGATGCCGTTGCCGTGTCCATTGTCGGACTGCTTCTGGGGCCCATCTATCCCTGCGCCGCGGCGGTGTTCATGAGAGGCTTGTCTCATCGCGATACACTGAGCGGGATGGGGGCCATTAGTGCTTTTGGCAGCTTGGGCGGTGCGGTATGGCCGTTTGTGACGGGCTTGCTGGCTCAGGCTGTTGGCACTTGGGTGCTTCATCCAATTGTTATTGCGTTGTTTGTTGTGATGCTGCTGTGCTGGTATGGCATTCCGGCAGATTCAAAGAAGAAGCGGTGATTGATAGTCTGGAGATGGTTTATTGGTTGCTTTTTGGGGAAAGGAAAAAAAAAAATAGATATCAAGAATGGCGTGTATGGACTGGTTGCATTTATAGGAAAGTAAAAAGTATAGCGTGAATTGAATCAATATGGAAAAAAAATCGTTTTATATGCTTTGTTCGTCTATCCGTTTTGCTTTCTATAGAGAATCTAAGCCAGCCTTGAGCCTTTATATCTTCGGATAAATCTATATCTCTCCAGAATGTACCCCATAAGTGTCCCAACATCCATCATTATCCATTAATCCGCCTCTTTAACCAAATTATCCGGGGGAAAGTTCTAGAATATTCCCCTATGTTTATCATAGTCATGTAAATCATAAATTAAAATTAAATGCGACCCTTGGCCTCTTCCTGGAGGGTAGTCTTGCCAGTAACAATATCCTTGACTGTCTGGGTGATGCTCGTCCAGTCGTTGAATGTAACAAAGGGCACCTTTTCGTTTTCGCACCAAGTAACCAGGTCTGTTGCGCGCACATTAAGTCAGCATTACGAACTAGAGAATGGCAAAGACAACGATTTCTCTTACCCTTTCCAGCCTTTGCGAATAGCAGATCCGTCTCCTTGGCGGCAGAAAGATCTGAGACACCGTCACCGGCGTAGAACATGGTTGGTCTGTTGGGCAGGCTGGAGTATTTTCGGATCTCAATCGACTTGTCGTGGCCGTGGATGCTGCGCAGTTGTGTCAGCGTGTCAAAATAAAATAAAAGGAGAAATGGCGTTAAAAGCTCACCTGTCATCGCGGAAGATGATCTCCCAGCCGCCCTTGTCGTTGAGGCTCTTGCCCTCTCTCGCTCGAACAAAGTTGCTCACAATCTGGATGTCCCAGCCCTTGCCCAGCAGCTTGTCCAGCAGCGCCCTGATGACGGGCTCCATGCCTCCGCTGAGAATCACAATCGGCACGTTGTTGTCCTGGGCCCAGTTGTAAAAGTCCCTGAAGCCAGGGTCGAGCTTGATGTTCTCCAGCAGGATGTCGACGCACTCGTTGAAGGGCGTGGTGACGCTGTCCAGCATGTCACGGAACGAGTCGCGGAAGTGGACTCTGCCGTAGAGCGTGTCGGCGTTGCCCTGCTTGCGCTTCTCGGCGCCGTAGCCCAGGTTGTCGGTCATGTAGTCGTTGGAGTCGGCGGTGGTGACGGTGCCGTCGAAGTCGGTGAAGAAGATGAACTGGGGGTTGGTGGCCATGGCCGGCGTGTCGTTTGCGACGGATCCCATTTTGACTGAAGTTGCTCTGGAGAGAGATGCGCTGAGAGTTGACGGGTATCAGTAGAGGTGGATGAAAGGAAAATAAAATAAAAATTAAGATTGTTGGAGGGGCAGGTGGATGGAGGGGCAAAAAGTCGATGGCGATCAAGATCCAATTGCGACAACGGAGAGGCAGACTGTCGACGGACTGCGATAAGATAACGGGACAAAACAAGAGGAGCTTGTCAGGAAAACGGCTGGATGTCCAAATGCCAATTGATTAAATTAAAGATCTATATAGAAAGGAGAAGAAGAAAACCGTAGCCAATGACGGGAATCGAATTTGGAAAAGATTCGCAATCGCCAAGCATCCAGTAAAATCCCTCCTGGCGCGGCGCCGATCAGGGAGCCAGAACTCGGCGTGTCGTCACCCAGGCGGTTTCGTTGGCGGCGTCGCCTGCTGAGATGCCCCGCCACAGCGGCCTGGGAACAGGGGCCGGCATGCCCCGCCACAGCACTAGAACCGGCGGCGCCTCAGCGGCTGTTAGACTGGAATCTGGAAGAGGTGGTGTCTCTTTGCCGAGGACAATGAAGCGTCGACGGTCTCTAAAGTCAGCCACAGCAAGCCTCGCAAAGAAAAATTGGAGGCAAGCTGTTTAATTAGATCCAATTCATTCATGGCTTTGATATTTATATCACATTGTGTATGTAGGCATTAATATGTGTGAATCCCAACGCATGCACCCTCGGCCGTACTTTTGGCACCCGCATGCTGTATTCACCACCGTAAGCCGCTCTGATGCGGGCACCGCTCTCTGCCAGCGCGCGAATTTTGGCAAAGGCGGTCTACGTCTGGGAGAAAAATCCTCGTAGCTGGAGCACTAAGATGCCGTCGAGATCGGCCCAACGACCCGGGCTCAACCGACGGGGAAGCTCTTTTTTTCTTCTCTTTTTTTCCAAAAAAAAATGTGGAGGTTCGGGTACATTATCGCTCACGCTTGCTAGCTGGCGGCTTTGCTGTCAATTGGCACTACTGGCGTGACCCGGCTTATTTTTTTCCCTCTACAGGCGACCAACGGCTTCGGGTGCCAAACGAGACAGGGCCAAGCTGAGACAACCTCGAGCCCATTGCATCTCGACATCACAACGCCCAGCCCCCGAGACGCTGCTGCTCGCTTTGCCCAGGCCCCGCGGTTCAGGCCCTTGAGAACAGCAACCGCCCGCAGTGCAGAGGCTGTCTGGCCCTGCGCTGGCAGAGATGCAGCCCTTTGGCCGCGCAGTCTGGAGGCATGGCAGGATAGGGCTGGAGCTCGCCGCCGTGAGGCCGCGGCCAGCACCGACCAGCGGCGGCATCGCAGCCGCAGCCCGATGGCCCTCGCCGGCCACTTGCGTTCGATGCCAGGTCCAAGCCATTGCCTATCCTGCACGCTTCTATTCGTCTAAGCCGCCATCAGACAATGCTGAGAATCCCGTCAGCCCGCCCCAGTCCGAACCCAAAGCCGCCGAACCCAAAGTCGACGAGCCGGCCTCAACCGCTGCGAAAAGTGAGAATGCCGAGCCGGCCGCTTCGTGGTCCAAGCCGAGCTGGCTGGAGCTGCCATCCATATCGGAGGAACGGCGAAGTGCCTTGAATAAAAAGTTCAGCGACATTATGGATAATATGCAGTCAAGGGTTCTCAATGCCTCGCAGAAGCTCAACGAGATCACCGGATACACAAGCATCGAAACCATCAAGCTGGACAACGAGCAGCTCGAGCGTGATTTAGCCTCAGCTCAGGCCCGGGTACGGTCAGCAAGACAGGCATACAAGACATCGAATAACAAGCGAGCGTCGACCCAAAGAGAGGTGACTACGCTGCTCGCCCGCAAGGACACATGGACGCCGCTGGATCTGGAACGCTTCACAGAGCTGTACCGCACAGACCACGTCTTGGAGGGCGAGGTCGTCTCAGCACAGGAAAACTTGACCGAGGCCGAGTCGGACGAGCAGAAGCTCAGTCAGAGGCTCAATGCCGGCATTCTGAAACGCTACCATGAAGAACAGATTTGGAGCGACCGCATCCGAAGGGCCTCGACGTGGGGCACCTGGGGCCTGATGGGCATGAACTTTGTCCTCTTTGTCGTCTTCCAATTCGTTGCCGAGCCCTGGAGGAGGAAGAGACTCATCAAGGGCGTCGTGGCCGAAGAGGAGCGAGTCCTCGAAAAGGTCCAGGCCGAGATGGCCCTCATCAAGGCTGATCTCCATGTCATGGCCGAGGCCGCCGCCACCGTGGCCGCCAGGACGCCGGACAGAGATGCCGAAAGGCTCTTCAACGTGGAACGCATCAAGGAGGCTTGGCGCTATGCCCTCTCCGGTGCCTGGATCCGCAACTTTGAAGAATGCAAGCAACTCTTTTTACAATGGAAGGCCCTCATCACCGACCCGGACGTGTGGAAGGCTGGGTTCGAGGACCTGATTAGCGTGCGCCCGCTGCAGATGCGCATGCGGGACGCATCGGCCCTGGTGCTGGAGGGCCTCATCACTGGCATAGCCATCACTTGGAGCATGGGAGCGCTGTTTGGACGAAAATGATTTTGACGAGAGGGCGACTTAGACGTGCGTGTGTATGTATTGTAACGATTTCGACCATGATGTAATATAGACACTAGCTAAACAGTACCATATTGGACCTTGAGGGATATACAAGGAGAAAACATTAGACGCATATAACACGATGAATGAAAATGCTGGGGCAGAACAATTACTACTTTTTAGTTAGTTTATGTATACATATGATTCAGATGAGAGGGGAGTTTGTCCAATGCCATTGAATCCATGAGAAGCTCGCCTGGACTTTCGTTTTGTTTCACTGTGTTTCCCGTTTGAACAAGGCCCATTTCATTCTTTCACCCATCTATTGCAGCGAGTCTAAGCCTCAAGAGGTGGCGGTGGCAGAGACTACTATTAATATCAATGCCACATCTGCGTATTTTGAAAGATGATGCTCGATACGCTCGCCGACGGCATAGCGAAGCCCGCCGCTTCCCCCAAAACTTGCCACAGCCATTCTCCAGCCACAGCCACCACCTTTTTTTGGATAACTCCGGATCTCGCGTTGGAATCAATGAATCCAAATAATGGCAAGGTACCTATAGCAGAGAGAAGACAAACACACACACACAAGCCCATGGGGCAACGTCACTCCGGCCAGCCGGTACAACCATGTCCTAGCCCCAGCAAGGGAGCGTCCCTACGATCTAGGACTTTTGGTACCTAATAGGTAGTGAGGCTAGGACTTTTCATTCGGTACTGGAACCGAGGAGGCTTGCTTTTTGCGGAGGAGTCGCACAGGAAAAAGGCCTCGTCTAATGCAACACCCCACCGGTTTGGAGGCTGTTTGTTGGTTGCTTGTGATGGCCCGGAGGTTGTAGCGGGTAAATAAACTTTGCAGTCAAGCTTTTTTGTCTCTCACGAGCCGAGATTCCCTCGTGCCCGTCTCGGTTGGTTAGGTGAGTTGGGTTCGATTCGAGGGAGCAGTCAGTATACTATTGACGGGAGATACGGGGAAAGGTGGGAAGTGTGAGGGTGGAAAGGTGGAATGCGGGTGGCAGATTCTCATGTGTTTATACGAGATGGCATCTACTGTGCTTTCTGAGATGTTGCAAGGTGTTTGGTCATCTATTAATAGGCCTACAAGTATTACAAGTATTAATATCAGTATTAAAAGCGCTGTCGATGTTAACATCCATGTATTATTTAATAGCAAGAACTGATCGGCGATGTCGAGTAAGAAGTTGAGCATAGCACTTCTCATGTCAACCAACCCATACGATGTTGGACAACGGTATGAACAGTGCCACCCAGCACAAATATTTGCCTCACCAGCCAATCAGCAATGCCTGGGATACAACTCTCGCTATCTTGACTACAGCTGCTGTAGAACTGTCTAGAACTAACCTCGTATAATGAGAAATTGCAACTCCCTGTTCATTATACAGGGTAGGTCTGTATGTGCGGCAGATGTCTCCGCCTGATGATGGATGATGTGGAATCACGCATAAGGTCTGAATCATCGCTTATTGAGCACTGAACAAGAGCTCCGTATCTGCAAAGACTTGTGATATTGCCACGAGCAGACTCTAAGCAGCCATCTACCGGCCTGAAAAATCGCCGTAACCGTGTTTATCTGTTGACAACATCTCCAGCAGCCTTAATTCGTGTAGTAATACCCCGTAGCGTGCCAGCTAGGCACCCGTATCAACACACCTCGGAGCTGAACACTAGTCTGGCCTTCGAAAGCTGCACGACGATCCTGGTAGTAAATGCTGACAATCAACCCACCCCACGCTGTGATTGTAATGCATCCCTACATAAAGAAACATCCATTGTAAAAGCGCTGATAGCCTCAACGCTGTGCCGGTGGCATGTGGCTGGCTCTGTAGGATCGGAGCTGGGCTTTAGAGCCCTGGAGAACGGCGCTTCAGTGCTAGTGTCGGCGTGTGCCCCCTAAACCTACAGCGCCTGTATTACTCGTCTGCAAAACACCCGATATTCGATAATAAACCCCGCCACAAGCCTAGCGACTCTCCCCCCCCATCACTGACGACATCCACCAACCCCAAAACACCACCTTTTGGCCAAGGACAGGCTCTTATTATTTTACTGCACTCCCCTCTTCCCACCGCCAGAGACGCTCCCAGCCTTTTGCCTCCCGGGCATCGCCAGCAGCTTCTCATCGCCCGCCTCTCTGGCCACGCTCGTGGAGCCGTTGCTCGTGGAGCCGCTTGTTTTTTTCTCTCTCCGCCAGCTCTGCTCCTCTCCTCACCACCTCCCCTCATCTAGCTTCGGCTTCTTCAACTCCTCCCTCCTCCTCACCTCCACCACCCAAAAGCCCGTCTTGCGCGTACGCAACGCGCCCCCACCGCCGGCACCATGAATGAGGACGAGGCAATCCAGAACATCACCAAGAAGATTGAGCGGGAGAAGGCGCTCATCAACGCCGCCAATGCCATGCGGTCACAGACCAACAACGAGGCCGTCCGCTCCCGACTCGACTCCCAGATGCGCGATGGCCGCCGAAACCTGCAGTTCTTCGAGGAGAAGCTGCGGGACATCCAGATGCGGAGGGTCGGCCAGGGCGTCGAGGGCATGTCTCTGGGCGGCGACGACGCCGGCGCTCCTCCCGCTCCGCCGCCAAAGGACGCCTCCTCGTCGTGGGGAGACCAAGGCTACGGCTCGAGTCGAGACGGCCCTCCCAGCGATTTGCAGCCGCCGAATCCCAAGTTTGGTGCTCCCGGCCCTGGAGCAGCCTCCAAGACTCGTCCCAACTTCACCAAGCTAGGTATGTCTGCCATGATGAAGCCCACCGCCTCGCTCTTGGGTCTCCCCCCTGTCTGGTGTTCTCCTCATCCGAATCTTCCCCTCCTGCCTACAGGAAAACAACTGGAAGCTCTTGCTAACATGAAACCCCGCTCATAGATTTGATCAAATACGATACCCCTTACCTTGGCCCTCGAATCCAGCACATGCTGTCGCAGATTCAGTTCAAGCTCAACGTCGAAGAGCAGTATCTCAAAGGCGTTGAGAAAATGGTTCAGCTTTATGGCATGGAGGGCGACCGGAAGAGTAAAGCCGATGCCGCTGCTCGTAGAGTCGAAAGCAAGCAGAAGATTCTTCTCTTGAAGCAGGCATTGAAGAGATACGAGGAACTGCATGTTGACATGGACTCCAGCGACGCCCAAGATGGTAAGTGACGCATGATCAGGAGCGATAACTAAATTTATCGCCTATTTGTTACATGAACTTTCATGAGCTTTCTACTTTAAGTTTCCTCATGCTAACCAATTTCCCACCAGACGACTCCATCAACACTCCCAACCTCCGCAAACCCCTAAGCGGTCAGCTTTCCATTCGTGTCGTGGCTATCAAGGATGTAGATCACGCTACTACCGGGAGATTTGCTCGTGGCCCAGAAACTTTCGTTGCCGTTAAGGTCGAGGACACTGTCATGGCCCGAACAAGGACGTCGAGAAATGACCGTTGGGAAGCCGAGTATCACAACATAGAGGTTGACAAGGCCAACGAAATTGAGCTTACCATCTACGACAAGCCCGCTGAGCACCCCATGCCCATCGCCATGCTCTGGGTCCGGATATCGGATATCGTCGAGGAGATGCGTCGCAAGAGGATCGAGGCCGAGATGAACAGCTCCGGCTGGGTGTCTGCTGACAGAATGGGCAGCTCTGGACATGGCTCTCAATTCCCAATGAGCCCAACTTCCGGCTCTTTTGGAGGATCGCCCCAAACTCCTGGCAGCGGCCAGGGTCAAGGAGGTGCGCCGTTTGGCGATCCGGGCCCTCAGCCGCAGGTTGTTACCGGTCCTGTTGACGGATGGTTCAACCTTGAGCCGGCTGGGCAGATCCAGCTCGAGTTCAGCTTCGTCAAGGAAAACCGACAGAGACAGGTGGATCTTGGTCTGGGACGAAAGGGCGCTGTTCGACAGCGCAAGGAGGAAGTTCACGAGATGTATGGCCACAAGTTTGTCCAGCACCAATTCTACAACATCATGCGCTGTGCGCTTTGCGGAGATTTCCTCAAGTACTCTGCTGGTATGCAGTGCGAGGACTGCAAGTATACCTGCCATAACAAATGTTATCCTAGCGTCGTCACCAAGTGTATCAGCAAGAGCAATGCTGAAACCGATCCGGACGAAGAGAAGATCAACCACCGCATTCCACACAGGTTCCAGCCTTTCTCCAACGTCACGGCCAATTGGTGCTGCCACTGCGGTTACATACTTCCGTTTGGAAAGAAGAACTGCAGGAAATGCTCAGGTAAGTCGCCGTGCTCGTCATATTCACTTTTTCTTCACTTTAAAAGCATGCTCATCTGACTTGTTTAATAGAATGTGGCCTTACATGTCACGCCCAGTGCGTTCACCTGGTCCCGGATTTCTGTGGCATGTCCATGGCTGTGGCCAACCAAATTCTCGAGGGCATGAGAGTCCAGAAGCAGCGCATGTCGGAGAAGACGCTGCGAGGCCCCAGCAAGAGCCCAATCACCGGCCACGCTTCATCGGGTTCTTTCTCGAGCGCTGGAGCAGGCTCGACTCCTGGAACTCCCTCTGCCGAGGCTACGGAGGCAGCACGACTTATGTATGCCAACCAGACGTCGCCTCAACGGCCGGATCACCCAGGCCGCGCGCCTTCCGACCTTTCTGCTGCCGCTGCAGCTTCTGCAGCCATGGCTGCCGCGCAGAATCGAACTGGATATGACTCGGTACAGCAGGATCCTTATGCTGCAGGAGGACAGTATGGCGGTGGTCCTCAGACTCCAGCGCATCACAAGTACAACCCGGCCGATTATGCCAATGTAGACCAGGGTTTCCCTGCTCAGCAGCAGCCAGCTCAGCAACGACCTCCGCCCCAACAGCAGCAGCAGCAGACAATGCCCCCTCCCCAGATGGCTCCCCAGCACCCTCCTCCCCAGCAGCCACTGCCACCGCAGCCGAGCCAGCCCCAATACCAGCAACAGCCCGCTGCCCCCAAGCCACAATCCCCTGCTCCTGCAGCTGCTCCCCAGGGAGCTGCTACAGGGCCCGGAGGTGCTCAGCGAAAGGCTCTGCCGTCTGCCACCGACCCTGGTACCGGAGCGCGCATCGGTCTTGATCACTTCAACTTCCTTGCTGTTCTTGGAAAGGGTAACTTTGGAAAGGTCATGTTGGCGGAGACCAAGCGATCTCGACGATTGTTTGCCATCAAGGTGCTCAAGAAGGAATTTATCATTGAAAACGACGAGGTGGAGAGCATCAAGTCAGAGAAGAGAGTATTCCTCATCGCCAACCGGGAAAGGCACCCGTTCTTGACCAACTTGCACGCCTGTTTCCAGACGGAGACGCGTGTTTACTTCGTTATGGAGTATATTAGCGGTGGTGATCTCATGCTTCATATTCAGCGCGGCCAGTTTGGCACTAAGCGAGCACAGTAAGTTAACCCAAGGCACAATTGTTCTTTTGCGAGCAGGTGAATTGATACGATTTGATTTTTAGGTTTTATGCCGCCGAAGTTTGCTTGGCTCTTAAGTATTTCCACGAGAACGGCGTCATCTACCGTGATCTCAAGCTCGACAACATCATGTTGACGCTTGATGGACACATCAAGATTGCCGATTATGGTCTTTGCAAGGAGGACATGTGGTATGGATCAACGACAAGCACTTTCTGTGGAACTCCCGAGTTTATGGCTCCAGAGGTATGCAAAACGAATCCGAGAGAGAGACCAAGATGGTTCTTGCTTCTATTCGCTTTCTTTCTAGCAATGTAAATGCTAACAATGATTTTTCTAGATTCTCCTCGACAAGAAGTATGGTCGTGCGGTCGACTGGTGGGCATTTGGCGTCTTGATATATCAAATGCTTTTGCAACAGTCTCCGTTCCGAGGTGAAGATGAAGATGAGATCTACGATGCCATTCTCGCCGATGAGCCGCTATACCCCATCCACATGCCTAGGGATTCGGTGTCCATTCTGCAGAAACTCCTTACCCGAGAGCCTGACCAGCGTCTTGGAAGTGGACCTACGGATGCCCAGGAAGTGATGAGCCAGCCCTTCTTCCGCAACATCAACTGGGATGACATCTACCACAAGAGGGTGCAGCCTCCTTTCCTGCCGCAGATTAAGAGCGCCACGGACACAAGCAACTTTGACTCTGAGTTTACGAGCGTTACTCCCGTTCTCACACCAGTTCAGTCTGGTAAGTCTAAATCTTCTTTCCTCTCTTGTCCCTTTTCTGTAGTGGATACTAACAATATTACTATTACAGTGCTGTCTCAAGCTATGCAAGAAGAGTTCCGCGGATTTAGTTATACGGCGGATTTGGAGTAGGAAGAAGAAAATGTGACCGAAGCTGACCAAAATCAGCCTGCTACGACGATGCAATTAATGGTTATGGAAGCTCTATAAAAGGTGACCCTTTCTCCTAGCTATTTGGGCAACCAGCAGGATACGGGCGCGGCAAATGCGCCCGGTGGACTTTTTTTTTTTCTTACTAGCTGAGACGACGAGACGATACGATAGTCAATTGGTGATACCTATAGGATGGGGCAGAGAGAAGAACAAAAATTGGCGAGCTTTGAGTGTCTTTTGTTTTCTGGAAAGGGGACATAATATCAACAACCCCCTCACTTTCTAGGCTACGGTTTGTGCGCCTTTTACCATTCGCTTCTTCCTTAACCTTTTCTTTTCTTTTAAAGCAGCGACTGTTTTTTTTTATTAAAAAGCAAAATCTCTTTTGGGGGATTGGGGATAAATCTTTTCTCTGTACTTTCTTTTGAAAAGATTGTCGCGGTTGATTTTTATATGCTTTCTTTCAGTTTGTTATGTGGAAGCCGGGGTTGAAAAGAAAAAGGGGATGTTTACAGCGAAAGAAGGTTTATACAGACCTACTAATAGAGAATTTGATATTATCATTATAAAAAAAAATGTTACAGGAATGAGATGAGAGTGATGTTTGCATAAGTTCATGGCTAGTAAAGGGAAAGTGGATGAGTTTTGATCCTTTTTTGATTCAAAGGACGTAGTGGGACTGGCATCTATATGAGGATATTTACAAAACATAGACTCCCTCTTCTCTTTCTATCTTTTATTCCTTTTTTTTTTATCCATTTGTTTCTTTTCTCGTCATTCGTTTTTTTACCTTTATTTTAGTTGGTGTACTCCTTTTGCAGCAGCTTGGCAATGGTGTTGAGCCTGTATCTCATGTTAGCGCTATGTAATCTTACAAAAATCGAAATTCATGTTGAAAAGGAAAAAAGAAAAAACTTACTGGATGTTGCTTGTGCCCTCGTAAATGGCGCCAATCTTGCTGTCACGGAAGAACTTCTCGGCCAGACCCTCACGGACAAAACCCATGCCGCCCATCCACTCTACGCCAAGACCGCTTACACGGCCGGCAACCTGGGAAGCGTACAGCTTGGCCATGGCGGCATCCTTGATGAAGTCCTCGCCGGCCTCCTTCTTGCGAGCGGCGTTGAAGACCAAGGCGCGAGCGGCGGCGATCTCGGTGTAGGCCTGGGCGAACTGGTGCTGCATGCCCTGGAACTCGCCGATCAGGGAGCCGAACTGCTTGCGGTCGTTCCAGCAGTACTTGACGGCGTTCTCCCAGGCACCGAGAGCGAGGCCGGTCATCTGGGCGGCGATGCCGATACGGCCCTCGTTGAGGATGCTGATGGCGTACTTGTAGCCCTGGCCGCGCTCACCGAGGATGTTCTCCTTGGGGATGTGGACGTCGTCAAAGTTGAGGACGCAGGTGCTGCTGGCGCGGATGCCGAGCTTCTTCTCCTTCTTGGCGATGGAGAAGCCCTCGGTGCCCTTCTCGACGATGAAGGCGGTGATGCCCTTGTAGCCCTTGGACGGGTCGAGGTTGGCGAAGACGAGGAAGACGCCGGCCTCCATGGAGTTTGTGATCCACATCTTGGAGCCGTTGAGGACGAAGCCGTCGGCGGTCTCGGTGGCACGGGCGGCCATGGCGAAGGCGTCGGAGCCGGACACGGGCTCGGAGAGGCAGAAGGAGGCGACGGTGTCGGTGGCCAGGCGCGGCAGGAAGGTGCGCTTGACGTGCTCGGAGCCCCATTTCAGGATGGCGGTGTTGCACAGCGTGTTGTGCACGTCGACCATGACGCTGACGCTGGGGTCGGCGCGGGCGAGCTCCTCGATGGCGATGATGGCTGAGGTGAAGTTCATGCCGGCGCCGCCGTAGTCCTCGGGGATCTCAATGCCCATGAGGCCCTGCTCGAAGAGCTGCTCGACGAGGGCCGGGTCCATGGCCTCGGCCTCGTCCATCTCGCGGGCCTTGGGGAGGACGACGTCTGTGGCGAACTTGGAGACGGACTCGGTCATGGCGGCCTCGATTTCGGAGAGGTGGGTGATTGGCGTGGGGGGGATGTCGGAGATGTCGATGGGGGACTGTCTGGGGAGGGTGGTGGAGATGTGGCGGAGAGGGCTGTTGAGCGCATGTTAGCGAATGATGATGAATAGAGAGATTGTAATTGAGTTGAATGTGATTCTTCTTACACGTTGCTTCGGATGGCTGGGCGGGCAATGCCGGCGGCGGCGCGCTGGGCGAGGGTGCGGCCGCTGCTGAGGGCAGGGCGCAGAGCTCGTGTAAATGATGATGACATGGTTGGTGGTGTAGCTGTGAAGGAGGAGCTTAGAAGCACAAGATAGAGGAGCTGGAGCTGAGCTGTAACAAAGAAGCAGAATCCCCCCAAAAAGAAAAAGAAACGAATAAATGGGGAAGAAGAAGAAGAAGAAGGGGAAAAAAAAAGGGAGGATCACAGAATCCAATCCCTTTATCTCTTAGCTTTGGTCTCTCGTCGGTCCGGAGTCCCTTTGACACTCTTTCTTTCTTACCCCAGGCCAGGCCTTTGTACCGGTGGAGTTTGTCACATCAAGCCGAGGGTAACCATTTTTACCGCTGGACCTTGGACCGCCGGTCTGCGGGCCGAAAAAGATGGGCAAAAAAAAAAGTCACAGCAGATAATTGTACGATTACGTGGGGAGAACATCCCGAGGGAAAGGGAGCCGGGGTTTAGCCGCTTTTGGGGCTTGGGGAAGCTTCATGGCGGGGTGTTTTATCACATGCTGGAGGTGGAAGAAGCAGGATATGTACGTACCGTAGTCTAAAATTCGGAATGCGGCAGATCTGCGGCTCCGAGAATTTCGACGTCATGTGACCTGGCTCTGTTCGTTCAGCCCACTTGCCTTGTTGGAAGATTTGGCGATGGGGCCTTGCGAGAGAGCTTGATATAGAGCGACTTGGTATCTATCGCAGCAGCATCGCACAAAGGCAAGACTGTCGCAGGCAGTCCAATTGCGTTGCCCATCATGGCCGCCGCACTCCTCCGCAGTCTCTTCTCCCCGGCCATCCGGCCATCCCTCACAGCCGCCGCGCCATCAGCCTCAACATCGCCCATCTCTCGACTCCTCCTCCAGCCTCAATCCTCATCATCGATCCTCTCGCCATTCCGTGCCGCTGCCTTCTCAACAACGCCCGCCCCCCAAGCCACCCTCAACCAAGTCCTGCGCGGCATCCGAAAGGGCAAGCGAGCGCGCCACGCCGTGTCCCCCGCGCTGTCCAACACGCACTGCCCGGCCCTCAAGGGCGTGTGCCTGCGTGTCGGCGTCGTGAGGCCGAAGAAGCCCAACTCTGGTGAGCGAAAGACGGCGCGTGTGAAGCTCTCTTCCGGGGCGGTCGTGACGGCGTATATCCCTGGTGAGGGACATAATATCCAGCAGCACAGCGTGGTGCTTGTTAGGGGAGGACGAGCGCAGGATTGTCCTGGTGTGAGATATCACTTGGTGAGAGGAGCGTTGGATCTGGTAAGTTTTGCAATATTTGCCTTTTAAGTTGCGAGTATCTTGGTGGGGAAGAAAGCTCTTTTTGCTGACGATTTGTGCTTCTCAGGGTGGTGTTGCAAACAGAACGACGAGCAGGAGTAAATACGGTACCAAGAAGCCCAAGAAGGCCACCGTGGGTTAAAGGACAATAAAACGAAACAACCAAGACACAAATCTCTTTTATTATCCGGAGCTGAGCAGAATATTGGTTAGACACTGTATAAACGACCATAGATCAAGACGGATGAGAACTGTACAATACCATCAAAAGCAATATCAATCACATATTTCACGATAAATAACAAGGCAACTGAGTAAATATTTCATGTCAAAACATACATCCTCATCTCTTCGAATTTCACTATATATTTACATGAGCAATGATTGTCCAAATCGTGTCAAGCCAGTCAGACGCCCCTTTATAATCCTTCCCCCCCGGCAGTGTAAAAACAATTCATTTCCCTTTTTTCTTTTTTTCGTTGCCTCCTATTTCATCCGTTTCATGCAGCTTGAAATGTGCCGGCACCGCCTGCGGATTAAACCCAAGTATACCGAATAAAACCAAGTTGAATTTGGCCCATGTTTTTTGAAACCTTGGTGAATGGCCAATTATGAATAATTTTTTTTTTCTCTAATCCTGTTGGTTTTCCCAGCCCTCGGGCTTCTCCATGCCGTTCGCCTCAAAGAACTTGGATGTGCCTGCAAAAGAAAAGGAGTTAGTCATGCTCATGATTGTCATTAGAGGGTTATCAGCAGGAGCCTTACAAGAGTAGCCCTTCCAATCAAAGTTCTCCTTGGGGTCACAGTGGCAGCGCAGGTCGAGTCTGGTCTTCTCGCCTGTGGGGCAGTGTGTGAAGGGGACATGCCAGTAAGCAATGTCATTGAAGAAGTGGATTTCGCTCTTGTTGAGCATGAGGCCTGCGGCAATGGAGTGGACTGGCGCATCTCCCCAGCGCTCGTAGAAGAAGCCACCGTCCTTGTCCAGAGACTCGAAATAATCAATGTATTGCTTGCTGCGCAGCCACTCCAAGCTGCCAATCTCAAAGTTGGACCACTATAACTCCTGGTTAGTCATTTTCTAGCTCAAGCTGTATCGGGGAGGGGAGTGCTTACGAAATGGCAGTTGTTGTAGTTTTCACCACCGTCGTCACTCAGGAACTTCATCGTGTTGTCGGCCGCAATGTGCTCGGGGTGGTTCTTCATAAACTTCTTGGTGCTTTCCCACAGCGTAGGAATGGTAGCCGGGTACTCGTACAGACTGAGAACGAAGCTGTACTTCTTGCCTTGCTCGGCCATCAGACGGAAGGGGTCGTAGTGGATGTCGCAGTAGAGCTCGACGGAGGGCTCCACGCGCCAGTAGTATTCGTAGTTCATCATCAAAGGCTGGCGGAAGAAGAAGCCAGACTCGAAGCGGCACATGTGACGGTAGGGAATCGAATCGCCGTAGATGATCTTGCGCTCACCCATGTCCTCGCGAACCTTTTTGGCCTTGTCCTGGTCGATCCACTCGGGGAACGACCAGTGCTCCTTGGGGATCTCGCCGTAGAAAGTCTTGCCGGAAACGAGAGAAGTGGTGACCTTCTTGAATGTGGCATCAAAGGGCTTGTCGTTCAGGAAGACCCAATCGTAGTTGTATCGTCGGTTGAAGCGGTCCTCAATCTGGCGGATCGAGCGAGCAATATCCCAGACATCGGTATTTCGGGCAAGAGTGACGAAAGTGGCATTCATTCGAGGGCCAGGAGCAATGCCCACCAGATCGTTGAAACCGGGGTCACTTGGTGTCATTGCAAGAGGGAAATCTTTGGCATCGCCGGTCAGAGCCTTTTGCGTCGAGGGCTTGTTGTCCTTGCCCGCATTTTGGGACTGCTGGTTGGAGCCCGGTGCAAATGTGCCTTTGCTGATGTCGACTCCCTCGTACTTGGAATTGGTGACGAAATAGAAAATCAAAACAGTCTTTGCACACAGATTGATTAGCATTTCCACGCGCTGATAGGAATTTCCATCTCTGCAGAGCCACGTACAAAGAATGCGATGAGCAGGTAGCGCACGTAGCGCGCATTCCCAGACGCCATGATGGTGACGGGGTGGCAACGATTGCCGGGAGAAAGAGGGCGAGGAAGAGAGATATGCAAGGAAAAGCGAGAGGAGAGATGGAGACGATCGAAAAGGAGGAAGACGATCTAGTTATAAGGATCGAAGAAACAATCAAACGGGACAGGGGTGATCGGCAACGGCGACTGGAATCGTGGAGAAGTGCTGTTAGACACACATGGCCGATTTCGTTACAGAAGGGAAGCTCGTGTGCGGCGAGCGAGATTGGCGCCACCGGCTGCAGTTGGTTAGGTCGGATCAGCCACTGGGCAGCGCAAACTATGCTGTGACGGCAGAACAGAGGATGAGAAGAAGAAGAAACTGCAACCAAAGACGATGGAAAAGGAGGCGCCGTTTGGGCTGAGGCGGGTATCCGGCGAGAATTGTGGGAAGGGAAACGGGAGGACGAGAAAAAAGGATAGCCAGTCGTTTCGATCCTTCAGTGCTTGCCTGTCTCGTATTATACTAGGAGTGCCTAGGCTAGCAGCTGCAGGCGATGCGGCCAGCATTACGCAGCTGAGCCCAGGCTGTTACGAGGCCCTAGAGCGGGAGGCAAGAGTTGCAGGTACGCGGCTTTTGGGGGTCTACAGCGCTGCTGCAAAGTATCTTTTACATCCGGCATCATCAGACATCATAGCACGGTTAACCACTGGAGCGAATATGGCAGTGCTGTGGATTGTAGATTGTAGTACGTATTAGCTCCCCCTTGCTCACTACTTCTGGGTACATACATACGTAAGTAGGTAGACATCGTGGTCGATTAAAATGACAGCTGGCCCTTGCTAATCTTTTAGTTGCATCAGACATATGGAGTGGTGGTCCCGGGTCGCTATACTGCGAATAGAAGGCTTCTCGATCCAGCACTGGCCGAAGGAAGCCCCGCCTGCAATTCAGGAGACGGATAGACGGGATCTTGGAAAGATAAGGCTGGGCCGGCAGAGCCAGCTGCTGGTGCAGAGGGCAAAGGGGGCTGACGAATTGATTTGTACGGTTCATTACGACGCGAGAAAGGAGCAGCATATGATAGTCTATGAGGTGGTGCTACAGTATATACAATTGCTTGTTGCCTTTACCATTGTTGCACCATCACACAAGGTCTCGAATGGAAGGCGATGCGCATCGCCAGCCAGACATGTGTCTTCCTATCACTTTGTTTTCCTGATCCATGTCTGCCCTGTAACCACTAGCGCACAGCTGTTTCGCAGCTCTCAGTGCTGATCGTCGCTAATCCCCCCCTGTCATGCCTCGTATTTGCGGCTTTGGGCCTTGGTTGAGCATTGCGAGTTACGAAGTAGATACGAAGTTAATCAAGTAAAATATTCTGCTGCTATTAATATAAAAATTCCAGCTCATGGCGCTATTTCTTCTTCTCCTGTTGAAATCTAATTGCTCGAATTTACTTGCTAGCAACTACACGCAGCCATGCCGCCCAATGGTAAGCAGTGTATCCCAACCTCACCAGACACTGAGATTGGCTGCTGGACTGCTGCGGCTGATCGGCATCTGACGTAAAAGCGCCCGAATCAGTGACGATGGGACAATCTGGGTAGTAATCGATACTACTTGTCGTGATGCATTCAAAACCTCTTTCTCTCGGTAGCAGTGGCGTGATAAGAGAGTTGGATTGTTCATCTAGCCATATAGCCACTGCTTTAGGCAATTTGTGTCCTTGGGATAGAGAATAACCAGAGTATAGGGAGTCAATTTCTAATTGACGTATAGCCTATCAATTCTCTCTGAGTAAACAATCAATTGGTCACAGGCGGAGTGGATATGGCCTTTTCGTACGAAAGGAAGCTTCCTCGTATGTGTGTATAATTCCATTAGTACCTTAGTAGTAGATTTGCTGGAGTAGGTACATCGTAGGCCTACATACAATGGCGGCCCTCCATCAGCTGGGCCACGTGACTCCAGCTCGCCGAGTGACTGTCCCCGCCGCCAGACGCAAATTGCCCATGTGGGGTTGTTTTGTGCCGAACGTCAGTCTCCCTCACCAAATCCGCACAATTGGGCTTCTTTCTCTCCAGGTACTTTGCTCTCGCTTTGTCGCCTCCGAGTCTCCTCCGCCAAGGCCCTATTGGACAGGGCGCGTTTTTGAACACAGGCCCTTCCGAGTTGATTAGCTTGAGCTTGAGCTTGCGGCCTTCTCTGCTCCTGGACCTCCTCGGCTTCGCTGCGGGAAGACACCATGATAGGTTTGTGCGCTGTTGAAGTTCTCGCGATCCCTTCATTATCTTAGCGGTAAGTTGATTTCTGTTCCGTACTGCATCTATACCAGATCGGCAAATCCACCCTCTTCAAGCTCTACCGGGTGCGATTGAGCGAGAGAGCTGAGCCAGGCCTTGGAGCCTTGTCGATGGCTCCCCCCCCGTCAGCCTCGTCAAGCGCAAAGACGACAGATTACACAAACAAATGCGGGGACACCCACATGCCGAAGACTCCATAACAAGCTCTGAAAATATGATCTTAATGAGGTTCATGGCACTTGGGAGGGTTTGGGTTGATGGTGGCCGAGCTTGACATAGCAGCCTGCCTGGGGGAACTTGTCTCGAATGCTCAAGCTACTCTTGCAACGTTTCGACCAATTTATACGTGCTCCTAGATCCATAAACTAACAGTATACTTTCTAGCATGATAACGCATTATCCCTCAACAATTATCCAATATGTCTTTCTTTGGCTTCGATACCAGTGGCCGTAACATGCACAATTCGGCAGCCCCTGGTTTTTCCCAACCGCATGATCCATTTGCCGGTCTCTCTGGCCACCATGACGATGGCGAAGATGCTCTCGACTTCGAAGACACCTACGACGGGCTTGGTGATCAGCTAGACGATGCTGATGATGCCTTCAATGACGATACATTTGGCGGCGGAGCGGTTAGCGGCGCAGGAGCCCCTAACGGCAAGGTTGGCAAAGACTTCGACTTCTTTGGACAAACTGCTCAAGTTGCAAATGCCATAGAGGAGGAGCATCTCCGCTTCAACCGGCTCCAGCCAACTGCACGGGCCAGCGCCTCGCAGCACCAGACCCAGCCTGCTCCCTCCGCCCAGTCATACGCCCAGCAGCCATATGCTCAACAGGCCTACGCACAGCAGTCATATGGACAGTCTTACTATACAGAGCCCGTGCCCATTCGCACCGGCTATGAAAAGTACAATGAACCTGAGCCTCTCCCGGATTTGCATGTCGACCAGAGCATTTGGGGCATTGGCCCCTCCAAGGCCGCTGCTGCCCCGAAACCCGCTCCTCAGCCAGCTCTATCTAGCAGCGTTGGCAGGAAGATGATGAGCTTGGAAGAGGTTGAGGCGGCCATGCGCGCGCAAGCAAAGCCATCGCCACAGCCAGCCATCTCGGAGCTTGCTGCGCATCAGCATGCTCCTTCTGGCTACCCACCCGCTCAGCATGCCTCTCCTCTCCCTCAACACGGCCACGCGCAACCTGTCACCATCTTACAGCGACCTCAAGCCTCACAGGCCAAGGTTACACCCACTCCGGCGGCCAAGCTGCCTGTCCCTCCCGGGCAGCATGACCAACACAACAACTTTCAACGACAGCCCGTTCCCCCGGTTCAGCCCATGCAAATCCTCCAAAATCCCAACCGCTTGTCTACCGATGCAGCTCGTACAGCTGTTGACCAAGAGCACTCTCAATCGCCAAGTGTTGCCTCTAAGCTGGCGCAAATGAGCGCCCATCCTCAGCTGGCTCACATGTCCGAGGAAGAAAAGGCAGCGTTTTTGGACCAGGAGACAAAACGAGCGAAGCGTAATCACAAGATTTGGCTTCTGTCCAAGGATAACGGTGTGATGACCCCCCAAGACAAGAACTTCATCACTCGTATCCAGCTCCAGCAGCTCGTTTCCGCAACAGGCAACCCTGTCGAGCAGAGTTCCGACGCCTCCCTCTCTGAGGACTTCTATTATCAGGTCTATAGCCACATTCGTGCCGGCCAGCGTCAAAATCCTAGCCAGCCTCTCAGCAATTTTGCTCAGACCTATCTTTTCCAGACCGGTGGCCGTCATGGCAACATGCGCCGCCATGGTAGACCTGCTGAGAATCACATTCAGCGAATGGAGCAACAGGTCCAGCGGGCTGTTGAGGCGGCCAAGAACAAGCCAAAGAATCCCCAGCTCGTAATTGCTGGTAGTTTGGGCAAGATCTCCTTTAGCAATGCCAAAACTCCGAAGCCCCTACTCAATATCAAGCGTACTGCGGAGAATGAAGCTCACCACCACCGAGCAGGTAGTGAGAGGAAGTCACCTGCTAGCAGCCTTGATCGCAAAACCATTTTGCGCAATGCCGAGAAGGTCTACGTTACTTTGATGAAGATTGAAGACCACGTCCGACTCATGCCCCCTCCTCTTACCAACCAAGCAGACCAAGCGCTGCAGGAGAAGCATAGAGAGTGGGCCACGGAACTGGAGGCTCTGAATGCCCGACTTTGGGAAGAACTCAAGGTACACGAGCCCATCGGAGTCATCGTTCCTCACCCTTTCATTGCCTTCCTGTCTTGCGCAAAGGGCAAGAAGGCCATTCCCCGAATCTTCCCCCACCTCAGCTTCGAACAACGGACCACAATCATGACGATGATTATCTACCACCTCGATCAGCTGGACGTCGTGAAGGGAGCGGCTGTGTCCGATGACGAGACTGTTCTGAACGCAAGGATGCGAGAGAATATTGACTTGTTCATGTCGACTGTTATGCCATCACTGATGCAATTCTTTAACGACACTGGCCTTGACATTGTGGATGGCGTGTTGAACCTGATTGCTACAAACCTGAACGTTGATGCGATTGCCAAAACCAGGGTCGGAGTTTCAATGCTCACATTGATTCTTAGCCGTGCTGTGCTTCTTAAGCAGACTGGTGGCGGCGCCCCTGAACAATGGGAGAAGTGGTAAGTCATAAACCTGGGGAGACATCACCTTAATTGCACGTCAGCTAACCTATCTTTCATAGGGATCAAACATACGAGACCCTCTTCAGCCGACTGGAAGTGTCGCTGCCCTACATGTTCCCCGGCAGCATCAATTCCGGATCAGATGTTTATGTCTGGCAGCTCCTTGCAGCTCTCGGTGTAAGTGCCAGCAACGACCAGCAGACTCGCCTAGTCCTTGCCGTCAAAGACAGGGTCATTGGCACCATCTCTCTAGCAAAGACCCTTCCCCCGACAATGGCAGCGGAGCGGCTTAGCAGTGTCAACTTGTTCCTGCATTCCATTGGCCTGGATGTAGACATGTTGATGGGACAGTAAAAGAAAGAAGAACAGTACCTGAAACTGGTCTGTCTGATTTGAAATGGATTCAAACCAAAGTACATGTTTTATTTTACGCTTGAAAAAAAACCTGGAACGCGTAAAGCTATTTGGAAGGATTGGACTAGCAGTTTGTGCTTGTGCTCTGCTATGGGACAGAAAAGGAGAAAAGCAAACATGGACGACTTTGGAGGGAAACTTTGTCGTTCCAAGTTTTTAAAAAGAAGAAAGCGATGAAAAGGTGTAGCTACAGGGGTTGCTAGTTTTCGTGGGCATTCAGCGGGATACTATCGTTATGGTCATGTCAGATGTACTATTACTATACCAACGAGTTGCGGGGGGGCAGCGGCGATGGAAATTACATTCGTGGAGGACTGATCGGTAGTATGAGGTGTGGTTTATCATAGTGGGGGTTTATTTATTCTCAGCTCGAATCTCGATCCTTGATATTATAAGGATAATACATATTTTTTCTTGGAAAATCTTGTGGCAGGTGGGCGATGGAATGACGGCTATGTGAACAAGGATGATAGATGCCAATATTGTAGTATATAATTGTAAACAGCATCTAGCTACTGTGATAGAGTAAAGTTACAGCCCAGATTATCAAAAAATACATGACTCCAAGAACACCGATTCTAATGCAAAACAGGTTGAATGCTCTAAACCTAGGCCCCCGCGGCTCTTGGTCTTCCGCCTCTTCGAGAAGCCAGTGCTGCAGCCGCGCCAGCTCTAGGGCGAGCAGCAGTAGTCCTTGGCGGCGGCTGCTGTGCCTCCTCGGCCGGAGCAGTGACTGCTCTAGGCTCTGGCTTTTTCTCTACCGGCTGAACGGGGACTGGATCGGGTTTCGTGATGCCGGAAATGGATTCCAGGAACTCCTTGTCATTCCACTTGTTGCCGAGCGTGGGGACCAGCTCCTCCAGATCATGATCCTCAGGCGCAGGAGCAGGCTCCCCTGCTGCCGGATCGGCCTTTGGTCTGAGAAACAGGCTGTCGTTGTACACCTCCCAGGCCGTCTCCTCGTTCTCGTCGGTGTAGCGCATCTTGCGCCAGGGCTCGGTCTGTACGGAGCGCAGACGGTCAGCCATGGTTTCGGTGGAGATGCCGTCTGCTGTGCCGTCGGCGGTGGTCTTGATGGTCATGTGGATGGCGCGGGCGGCGGCTGCTGGGGCGGCGCCGCCTTCCTTGGATGATGCTGCTGCGGCGGCGGAGGATTGGCGGTCTTGCTGGGTTGTGGCGTCGAGGTGGTGGAGTTGCGGGCGGAGGTGGATGAGGTTGGAGACGGGGGTGAGATGGAGGTCCTCTGGAAAAGGGAGCAGATATTGTTAGCATTTGGGCTGTAGATGGGGGTTATGTTGTTGATGTAGAGATTGTGCATGACGTACTGCCTTGGAAGACGCCGACCATGTATTGCACTTCGTCGGCATCGGGGTATTGGCCGCCCAGCGTCTGCGTGCTGAGTACCTTGCCCTGTCGCACGGCATCGTTCCAGTCAAGGTTGTCGTCCTCGTCGGCATCGGCCTTCTTGCGCGGCGCGCGCTGCTGCACGGCGCCGACGCCGAAGCCGCCCGCCAGGCCGTGGCTGCCGCCGCTCTTCACGGCCATGGAGTTCTGCAGCGCGCGACCCCATTTCAGGCCCTTTTCGCGGTCGTAGGCCGTGGTGTTGTCCATGGGGATGTCGACCTCGACCATGCCCGAGTGCTCCTTGAGGCGCAGCTCGGTGGGCGGCGGGCGCGGGGTGTTGTCGGTGCGGTTGGGGTGCTGGAGGACGAGGAGGCGGCGGCCGAGGGGGAGGGCCGGGTTGAGGAAGACTTGGTAGCTGGCGGTGATGGGGTCGTCGTCTTGGTCGTCTTCTTGTTTGTGGTTGTCGTTGTCGGGTTTGGGGAGGGGGTCTTGGACAATGTCCATGAGGTCGGGGTCGATGGCGGACATGGCTGCGGAGGTGGAATTGAGATTGTTTTTATGATAGAATTAGAATGAATAGGAAATGAACAGATGTGATTGATGTGATGGAGTGAATATTATAGAGCGTGAGAGGTGTTGTTTGTTGGTTTTGCTAGTAGTAATGATGAAGTCGGAGTCTATGGCTGAGAAAATTCCTTGACGCAGCTCTTATCGGTGCTTATCGAAGACGCTGCCGTTCTAGAATGAGGGGCACTAGACCACTTTAGAGAGCTCGTTGCGGCCTCGATGGAGGATAAAATTGCTGTGAAAGGACAGGGGATTCATCCGTCTAAAAATAAAGCCGAGCCTTGTTTCAACATCATACATGAGATGCCGTAGTAATTACACATGCAGCAGCACACTAATCTGATTTTTTTTTTCTCATGGATATATTCACGATTACTCTTTTTTTCTTTTTTTTTTTTTTTTTGCGATATTGCATAGTCGTGTACCTGATACCCGTACCACTCCATCTCTAAAGCTAGGATGTTATGCCTCGTGCACAAGAATCTGTAGAAAAGGTAGCAATTTTGGGAAGAATCGCCTGTGATAAAGCATAAACGAGTCTGATATTAAGCCGTCGCGTTTCCTTACTCAAAATGTTATAGTTTATACATGTACTATGAGATGGGCGAACGACTAGACGATTGACTTCTGGCAGTAGCTTTAGTTCATAAGCCTTTACAAAGAGCAGCTTGAAACATTTTTACAGCACATGTAATCACATTACATGTACGTTAATGTGCAACTCCTCCATCAGAGAGCAACAGGGCAGTCTCTAAGCTATCGCTTTTTAAAGCCGCTTGGAATGCAGAGCCAAAATGGCCCCCTATCGCATTAATATCCGCACCTCTCTCCAATAGCAGCTTGACAGTCTCTTGATGCCCTTCTGCCGCAGCTGCTTGTAGCGCAAAGCCATAGTAGCCGCCTCTAGCATTAATATCGGCGCCTCTATTCAAGAGCAACTCGACAATCTCTCGGTGGCCTTTTACTGCGGCGGCTTGGATCGCAAACCCGTACTCGCCACCTTGAGCATTTACATCGGCTCCATTATCTAGCAGCAGCTCAACGATCTTCTGGTGGCCGTATCTTGACGCAGCTCCGAGCGCAAACCCATCGTAGCCACCTTTGGCATTAACATCAGCACCGTTGTCTAGCAGCAGTTGGACCATGTTCTGGCGGCCAGCCGCTGAAGCACTTGCGAGCACAGAGCCAAATGAGCTTTTCTTAGCATTAACATCAGCGCCGTTATCTAGAAGCAGCTGGACAATTTCTTCATGGCCACCTTGAGAAGCGGCATTGAGGGCAACGCCGTATAAGCCACCTTGAGCATCCACGTCAGCACCATTATCCAGCAATAGCTGGACAATCTCCTGGTGACCATATCTTGAAGCAGCTCCAAGAGCATAGCCCTGGTGGCCGCCTGGGGCATTTGGATCTGCGCCAGTCAATAAAAGCTGCTGTGCAGTCATTTCAAGGCCAGTGAGACAGGCATAATAAAGGGGTGAGGCTGTGCGTAGTTTTCTAGGACGATAGACAAGGCCATCTGGGTTGAATAGATAAATCCAGCAATGAAATTGACTCTCGTTTAGCAGGAATCCTATAATTTTCTTAAGGGTCGGTTTTGATTTTTCCACAACCTTGGCATGATCCGTCCAGATCTGTGCTGCATATGCTGCCAATGGGAATTGTGTCTTTATAGCAGCAATGCCAACATTCGGTATGCTCCCAAGATATGCTAAACAAGTTTCCGTAATAGCAACTCTGGGATTAGGATATATGAAATCTGGGGAGTCATGAGTCAGGAGGTACTCTTTCACTGAGAAATGGGCTAGCTGTAGCTTGAGTGCTGCGGCCGGGCCAGAGGTTTGTATAAGCGATACAAGGCTAGAACAGTATCCAGTAATTTCCTCGGGGCATGGAAGTCGATCTTGTGCATCAAATTTGCCTTCGTTAGGGCGAATTGCGATTATATCCACGGCCTCCTCAAGAGCCAATGGCCGCTCGGAGTAGAGAAGGAACTGAAGCAGGCGGATTGTCTTGTTTTTACGTTGTCTGGGAATACTCCCAAGAATTCGAGCGTATGTCGCATTCAAATCTTTAGGTAGAGATTGAAGCGCATCCTGCAGTGTCTCGCGATCGAGACATTCCCGGAGACTATCTAGTTGGCAAGCCGCCCACCTAAACCTATGTGATCTAGTATGAGTATATACGATATCATTACTTGCTATGACAATGAGAATACTAACATTCCATTGGATTTGCTGCTGACTGCAACTCGTATCTGTTCCAGCACATGTGGGAAATTGGCCCACCTCTTAAACTCTTGGCCCTCGAGCCTGGCCTTGATGTATGAGCGAATATCATTGTCCACTGAAACTTTACTGAGAGGGAGACAGTTTTCTTCTCCCAATAAAATGACAAGATTTTGCTGTAAAGAGTGTTCGGGCCGACCAGTAGCTATAACCTGAACATTTGTAAAGGCTGGCATAAACTCTCCCATCCATTGCAGCAACTCCCTTCTTTCTGAACATTCATCTAGAGCATCCAATAAAATGATGAGTTTTTCAGGTGCTCGCATCATGCCCTTGATACATTCAGACAACGTAAAAGTATCTGGCTGCCTACCGGCGCTGTCGGAAGATGCGAATAGGTTATCGAGGTCTTTTCGAGACCCTGAGTGGGAGCCATAGAGTTGGAATGCAAGTGAACGCAACATATCACTCAGTTTCTGCTTCTTAGTGTCGGTGAAGTCGAAAAAGAAAGTGAGAACTACACATTCATCCATCTGGGCAAGGTGGTCGAAAATCGTGGAACTGAGGATGGTCTTGCCACAGCCTGGCATACCGTAAAGCCACATATGCTGACGCAAACCGAGCTTCCATTGAGAAAACTCGTCACTTTCAATGAACCATGTTCCAGTTCCCGGATACCGAGATTTTTTTGCATTGATAATATTAGTAAATGGGTTGGCAGGTGAAAGCCAGCGCTCGATGTTTGAGACGTGATGGTTGGCTTTCATTGCAAGTACATCGGTCTTAATATCGTGTGATATTTGTTGCACGTTGATAAGGTCTCTTTGGACTTTGAAGTGTGTTAGAATGCATATAGACACTATTAAGATTGACTCACGAACTATTGGCCAAGTCTTCGCTAATCTTCTTTTCGGCTTCAACCCTGGTAGGAGATATTCGACGTAGAAGGTCTTTTGCATATGCTGCGGCTACCATTGCTGCATAGCCTTGCCACTCTTTATTCTTATGTGAGTCTGAATAGTCGCAGATACCACGGATGACTAGACACGGAAAATGGTTCATTAACCCGGCAGCTTCCATTTCAAAGCAGAGCACGTCCTTCTTTCTGATGAGCTCATCTCGGACTAAGGCATCCTTCATGAGTGTATTCGCTGAAGCGACCAGGCCATAATGGATCATTACATCATCTTCTTCATCCCGTTCGAGACGCTTGATCAGGACTGATGGATCGTCACCACAGGCTTCCGCACAATCCATCTCGCTATTAGCATGAGCAAAATGCGACTGGTAGAGCCTATCAGTATTTACTCCAGGCCGTGAATAGCCTTTCTTTCGTAGTCTGGGTTTCTTATTCAAGGCGCCTTCGACAGCCTCACTCAATTGATTCCCCTCAATATCATACTGCGCCATAAGTCCATTAACAGCCGTTCGTAAAACCGGTGGTGGCTGATACAAAAACCCAGTCTCGAGAAACTCCTGACCTTGCATGGCCTTTCCAAAGTCATACTGGAATACAGCACTTTTCCCACTATTGTTAGAAACGCCCACCACAACATCACCAAGTCGGATATCATGCTTCCGACTAGGCGCGCCACCGCCGATTCCTACTAGCAGACCGACTCGGAGGTTGGGAAAGCTATGTAGCATATCTCTTGCGACGCCCGCCGCAGATGAAAGTCCGTATTCGCTGTTTGGAAGCACAGCGATAACAATGTTATGATTTCCAATCTTTCCAAGCGTATAGTCGTTGTTATCGTTGGGAGATACGTAATCAGGCCCCTCATGGTTTTCGTCAAGGAACGCTTGGGCGGCAACATATTCGGTATGTATGGCGCATATCCAGCCAACAGTGTACTCGTGGGGATTAGTCATGTTTATATGAAGTCTAGGGAGAAACCCCAGCCTGACGAGCTGTAGCTTTCCAAAGGCATGCTTGGGAGAGTTAGATTGAGGGTAATACGAAGTGGTACCCCACTCTAGCGAATACCGCCTGTTATTAGGTGATTGCCCAATAACAGTTGTCCACTTAGCCAATCATCCAAGAATTCCGAACTCTTCGGCGAGTGTATCCGCGGATACAATCATATCAGTCGAACTATGACAATACATCTCTTCCAAATACTTTCTACCCTGTTATGAGGGCAGATAAGGATAAGGTAGAAACTCTTGAGACATGCAGCTCAGGTATGGCGGAGAAACATGCTGGACAATTTGTACTTACACAGATTGGTATAAGTGAGATTTGCCGGTACAACGCTGCAATGTGCTCAGCGAGGTGGCACTTGGACTTTTCTATAATACTCTGTTCGGTGAGTGCTTCCTGGTGGGTTGTAACTTTACAAGAAGAGATGGAGGCATCAAGGTTTTATGTCAAAATGCGTTTATTTGACTTTAAGTTTTAGTCTTGCGGCTAAGATTTAAGGTATAAAGTCTTTTTGCACCTCTTCAAACACGCATAAATACTATTTAAAGTCTCCAATTATCTATAGCACTCTACGATGCCCATATTAATGATGTCGATTACTAGAAGAGCGCCATAAGGTGGCTTGGCAAAATATTATCACAGTAGACTCATTAGACTATGACCTCATTGGCCTTTACTTTATAATTATGCAGCGTCGTGGCGCATGGTTGCCTATGCTCTTTGCAACGACGGCAGTGAAGCGTTTGAAGCATTTATAGGTATTTTCATCAATTCCACCTCCCTGTTTGTATTTAGTGCGCCGATGTTCGCTACGCCAGCTACAATATGCTTGACTTTGTTATGGTGGAGTCACTGGGCGATTTATCAGCTGGAGGTTGAGATATTGCGTAATCTACTCCGAGCCTCTAACTCGTTGCAAGTAACAACTGCAAGCCCTCTTTACTTCACTTACACAGCTACCCTAAATAAGTCGTTATATTGCAACAAGCAGCTTACAAAAACAATACCCGTCGTTGAAGCACAAACATGGACACAGCGAGTGAGAGTCGGATAATCATTCCCCGCTTGAAGCCATCTTGCACACAGTGCCAGCGCTCAAAGAAACGGTGTGACCGAGGAAAGCCACGCTGCTCTGCATGTATGCGGTAAGTTTGACAAGGCAATCGAAATGGAAATTTGTGGTTAAAACTTTGGCGTTCCAATTTCTAGATACGGAAGAGAATGCATTTACATCTTGAGAGACGACTCATTGTCATTATCCAGCGTGGAAAGCACACCCGTGTCACCAGTGAAAACTACCCAAGAGAGTGAAGAAAGCTTTCATGCGGTGTTCTTCCTCGACTCTGTTCTGTTTCGGCGCTCAATGAATCGACTGCCTGAGCTAGAACTCAGTTTCCAAGACTCATTACTAAACTATATTGGAGACATTACATCCGACAGAGATTTTGTCCACTCGTACTTTTCAACTATTCATCCATCGATGCCATTTTTATCAAAGAAGAAGTTTACGGAGAGGATATTAAATCCATTGAGTCCTCCACGATCAGCGAGCACACTTCTCATTGCTACAATGAAGCTGCTAGCCGATCAGCTTCCAGAGCAGGGACCACGATGTAAAGCTTATTACTTAATCAAAAACAGCCTCTTGGAAGCGGAGAGCTCATGTAGTCTGGAACTGCGCGTACTGCAAGCTATTATCTCCATGGCCATATTTGAGCTTGGGCATGCTATTTATCCGGCCGCATATCTCACTGTTGGCTACTGCGTACGATACGGAAGTGCCCTAGGCCTCCATAAAGCGGTGGAACACTATTACGAAGAAGGCTTCAGCATTACTGAGTCAGAGGAGCGACGAAGAAGCTGGTGGGCTATTCTCGTCTTAGATCGGTTAGTATAACGCTTATCACCTCCCCCCTTTTTACACTCCCTCTTCGTTGACAATATTTCTGTTGCATATTCTCTCTGGCTAACTATAGCCTAGTTTTATAAATCTAGGATGTGCCGATAGAGCATTTCTTATGACAGACCCAAGTAGTAACAGTATACTTCCCATTGACGACGCAATATGGGAGGAGAATGTAGGTTGAATAGCCCACCATCACCCCATAGAACACAAGAGAAGCTGTCGTCGCTTACACTGGTTAGAGAGAGATAAATGCCCCAGTACGCAGGTTATTTGAGCCACCGACAACGGCAATGGGTCGTTTCTCACTAACTGCGCAATCCGCGATCCTGTTGGGAAGGGTCTTTCGTAGTATACATGAGCCTCCCTTTTCCGAGGCATTCTGGCAAAACGATGTTAAAGTACTGGATAGCACGCTGGTCGCACTGACGAGCGTTTCAATAGAGGAGGGCCGCTTTCGTGGGATTGGAGTTTGTAGCCCCTCTACTATCTGCTATAGGTAAGTTCTGTGTAAATGCTATGTACCTCGAAGCATGTCGCTAACTTACCGATATTGCTCGGCTGCTTCTTCATGATAAAGAAAGATATGCTGTAGATGAGTTTCCATTTGCCGCAACAGAGACCTTTATACCCCAAGACTTCAAACGAGATATTGCAAATGGTATGCTTCAATTGGCTGATGCTATAACCTCAGGTGATTGCACTGCCGATGAGATTACTCCATTTTGTATTGAAGCAATATACAGATCAGCGGTATTTTTTGGACGGGAGCATTCTCGGACAGGCAGTTTGAGCGAGGCAACCTCGTGTGCAGCTGTTAAAGAAGCTCTCAATGTGATAGGCAAGAGGTGGAAAGGTGCTTGTAAGTTCTCATCTGTGTAGCACAAAGAAGTGAAAAACTAATATACCTAGCGTTGTATGCTCAAATGATCGATGCACGAGTTGTCACTGGCATTTTATAATGTCCGTCTAATCTTTGGAGGACAATATTACCAAAGTCTACGCGATACTTTGCCAGTGGTAAAGACATATTCACGTTGACAACTATGGCACTAAAATCGCCAGTTGAATCGTTATAATAATAAACTAGCATTCTTTATTAACCATTAGTAATGATAGAAATCATAAATTGATTCAAAAAATTGAAAGCATTACATAATAGCAAAGTGAAAAAAAGTCTATGTGAAATGGATGCGGTCTTTCACCATGGCGTTTTCCACTGAAACGAAACATCTGATTAAACCGAAGTTGGTCTTAATTATAGTTTCCATATGTTCCGAATAATGGAACTTTTCCGGCTGAGAATGGCGCAGTCGGCAATTTACCGTCCAAGAAATCTCCAACTACCTTGGTGAAGTAGCCTGCATACTGGAATAGGTGACCGTGGCCGCTGCTTGGAAACATGACATAATTTGCTCGCGATAACTGTCTAGCCAAGACAAACGAGTTTTGTGTCGGAACAATGAGGTCGTTGTCTCCACTGGTTACAAGAGCATCCTTCTGTATTGTCTGCAACAGGGAATAGGGAACTGGGTCGGCATCCCATGTCAAATAACCCTGAGTAAGCTTGACCAGATCTTCTCCAGATGTAAATGATGCAATACCAGGCTCTCCATTTTTTCCGGCAACTCCTTGTCGCGAACTGACGCTTCTATTAAACCAAGCAAGACCTTCGTTGCCGGTTGTGAAAGGTGGAAAGAATGCTGCAATTATTGAAGCATCAGGCGTTGGGTTAAAAACAGTGGATTGCACCTCATTCATCGGCCGTTGAAGGTCCGCCCCGAGGCTTGGTCCGGTACCTGAGAGAACTAGCTTATTGACTACATCGGGAGCGTCGAGAGCTAGCTGTTGGGCAACGTAGCCACCCATGGAGAACCCCAAAACATCAACTTGTTGAGTATGCAGAGATGGCAACAAGACGTTGAGAAATGCAAGCAAGTTAACGGCGAAGCCTCTAATGGAGGGTGCGATGTTGCCTTGACTATGTCCTATTCCAGCATAATCATATGTTATGATTTGGCGGCCGGTTTCCGTAAAGTTGTTGATAAGCTCAGGGTCCCATGTATCAATCGTTGCGCGAACATGATTGAGCATGAGCAAAGGAGCTGAGTGGCTCCCTGCAGTAGAGTTTCCAATAAGTCGGTATGCATACTTTATACCGTCTGCATCCAAGTACAGTGTTTTGGCTGTCTCTTGAGTTGTCATTTTGAAAGGAATTTATTGAAGTAATCACTTCTGCAAGTTTGTGTAGCTGTTACAAAGTGTAGAAGTCTTGTTGACGAAGGGAAACAATAGGTCTTATATATTTTTTCATCTTGCTCGGTCATTTGTCTCTATGCTGCTCTTTACACATGAAATTTCCAATCTATCTAGGGCAACTTGTTTACTATACTCTTTGCATGTTGCGGATTACGGAATACCAAGTTCGTCTTCTCTCCATATTCCGCCAACTCCTGTATTCCGACCTAATCCGCCCTAATCCGATCGATCCACTCTTCGCCACTGCACTCTCGGCCCGCCTATGGATACTCATGCTTTAATAATAATAATTTTCAATCCATACTAATCACGCAGTCATTTATTTTAAGAAAAACTGCCCTTGCAAGTGAGGCTTAAACCGGCAAGTAATCTTACAGTGTGCCATGCCAAAATTTTGCAAGCTCGCTTGTGCGACTCGGGCACCACCACCATAATTGATTCATCACTTGCCTCCATAATGAACAAAATATTAACGTCATAGAAGCTTAGTAAAGAAAATTATTTTAGCAAGGGAGCAGAGTAGTATCGATTGCACCTTAGAGGTGATTATTCGTCTTCGCTTGGAAGGATCATTTTGCCTACATAGTCTATATATAACATCCGTCTAGCGCAATCCGTCTTGCTATGAAAGAATTATTATAGCAAACTAACTGTTAATATTGACAGGATTTAACATTCAATATAATGTTAACCCTTGTCACTTTAAAATACCTTGAGAGTCCAGTCTATAAGATTCAATCCTGGTGCAATTGTTGATTTTGCTCTCCAAACTAAAAGACAGAAAACGGTCAAGCTCTCCCAAAGCATCACTCTTATTTACACATTAGAAGCATCCGCCGGGGATACTTTTTGCTTAACCTGTTTCGCTCTTTGAGTTACATCCACCAGAAATGTCTTTATGTGGCCACTGAAGCCTTTGCTTTGACCACTCGCTCTTTGTTCATGGCTATGTTGGCCGTTTTTGCCCAGTTTTTTTAATCGTATCACATCTTTTGCGGAATGTATTATCCGCTGCGCCATTCCAGAGATTTGTTCCATGTTGAATGTAACGAGAAGAGTAACCAAACAAATGATTACAGAAGAAATGATAAAGGGACTTCTTGTACTAGGGTTCGTGATATCTGGAATTGCCCAGAGCGCCTAAGTAGTAGTCAGTAGATGTTTCTAACAAATACGTACCAAGCGCTTAGATAGTACAGCGTTATAATAGTTTAAATTACTTACAGCACAGAATCCCAATGGGAGATAAAATATGCTGACATATGTGAGAAGCATCACATTTTGCCCCAAGCGAGTCGAGATTCGCGTCTCATTGATAGAAGCCCAAGCAAACTCCTGCTGCATGTAAGCTCTGGTTATGTAGAGGGATCCAAATGCGCTCACAATTTGTAAAAGATCTCGGATTACTTGGTCCAGTTGTCCTATTCTATCCACAACGAGCTTAAACTCATTTTTCAATTCCTCTTGTATGCCTTTTGGTGCTTTATTTGCATTGTAATATCGACAGTAATCTTTAATAAAGTTCTCAGCAGCTTGAATCTGATTATGCAATGTGTTGCGAAGTTCAGCTAAGTTCTTTGCATCATTTGCGAGACTATCAATCATGTCAGGGCTCTTCCCTTTTAGTTTTAGTTGCTCCAGACGCTAGATACTGTCAGCAAAAAAAAAAAAATAGATTAGGAATCGAACTTCTCCAGAGAACCTACTCTACTAGATAGACGTATTTCAAGTTGCTGGCATAGCTTTAACCAAGTCTCCTTAACACAGAAAATGAATTGCTGAAATAAGTCCAAGTCATTTTCGGGCATCCATCCATTTGGTAGCGTACTAAAGTAAACTGTTGAGACCCAGGGACTGCCTGGTTTCGTTGATCGGTTCATTTTCCAAGCTATCCTGTATACATTGGCGGCGGAGATGACAGTGTCATAACCAGACAAATAATCATCGACAGAAAACCACACGCAGAGAGAAATATCTGAAACATTGTTATCTGAACCTTTCGAAATATTGACATATAATTCATTTGGCCTGGAATGCTCTTTAATATGGGTAATTGGCACCTTAGACCAAGCTAAGCCACCGGTATCATCTGTAATTGAGCTTGAATGCATTAGAATATTGCTTAAGAAGTAGAGATGAGTCACATACTATAGATATCTCCCCGTATTAAAAGGCGCCTGCGATAGCTGACTAGCGGTTGGTAGGATCCTGGTAAATTCCACTTGTCTTTCCCCATTAAGTGCTTCAGAAATCTGAAGGATATCTATGCTTTCTTTGCTGTAAGCATCGCGCCATTCATTCACCATAATGCCTTTCATCTCTGCTTTCTTCTTCAGTAGCTCTTGAATGAAGGCGCCATCATTTTTTTGCACTGCGAGCTGAAGTGGCGTCATATTGTCAATATCCTGAAGATTGATTTCTGCCCCATATGATATAAGATCTGTCACTACTTTCAGCTGGCCGGATAGAATTGCGGTATGTAGTAGGGTTTTTCCTTGGCGGTTTCTTTCATCTAACCTAGGTCCGGCGAATATGAGTGACTTTATTGCTTCCCGATTGCCTTCCTTCACCAATAGAAACAATGTAGTGGTGTCTATAGGCACAAGAAGCTCCAATATTGCACCATGGTCTTTTTTTAATGCCCAAGAGAGCGGTGTCTGGCCATCGTCGTCTTCCAAATTTGGATCAGCACTGTTCTGTATTAAGAGAAGCTCCTTTTCTTCTTCGTTGTACCACTGTCCTTCCTTTTTTCTTATACCCATAGTTTTATTCCCCAATAGGAGCTTCACTATAATCTCGTGTCCATTTTCGGAAGCCCTCGAAAGCGGTGTCCGACCATCGTCGTCTTTTATATTGGGGTTCACTCCCGCTTTGACCAACAAATACCGAACCACTGCTTTATATCCATTTTCTGCAGCCCATGATAAAAGAGTTCGATTAGGAGAATGCATGTCGTACTTGGTCAGCAATCTCTCTACCGTATCCAAATCTTTTGTGTTCATAATCGATAAAACGATTGGCTGATCATAGGTACCCCATGATCTCAAGCTTAAGTTGTTTTTCAGAAGAAAAGGTCTTACTACCTCAAACAATTTTTCTTGTACATCATAGTCCCATTTTTTGACATCTAATTCGATATCTTCCTTCAGAACCAGGAGCTCTATAACGTAGCATTTATCATCTTTTATAGCTGCTTCGACTGCATATTCTCTGCCAAGTAACTCGGAATAATTGCCACGATTGATTCTTGGAAGCAATAATTTCATTACATCAAGATGCCCTCTTGCTATTGCAAATGATAATGGCGTCCAATCTTTGTAGTGAGTCCCATTCAAGTCAATGTCATCTCTTGAAATCAGCAGCTTAACAATATCTCTATGGCCATTCTCTGCAGCTGCACATAATGGCGTTCTCCAATGGTTGCCTTCGTTGACTTGTATATCTTTATGCGCCAGCAGCAGCTCAACAATATCTCTATGGCCATTCTCTGCAGCTGCACATAATGGCGTTCTCCAATGGTTGCCTTCGTTGACTTGTATATCTTTATGCGCCAGCAGCAGCTCAACAATATCTCTATGGCCATTCTCTGCAGCTGCACATAATGGCGTTCTCCAATGGTTGCCTTCGTTGACTTGTATATCTTTATGCGCCAGCAGCAGCTCAACAATATCTCTATGGCCATTCTCTGCAGCTGCACATAATGGCGTTCTCCAATGGTTGCCTTCGTTGACTTGTATATCTTTGTGCGCCAGCAGCAGCTCAACAATATCTCTATGGCCATCCTCTGCAGCCATCAATAGCGGCGTAGGAGCCTCACTATCACTGCCGCCGCGGACATTAATGTTTTCCGAGGATAGCTCCAGCCTCACACCGTTCAGATCTCCCTGCTTGACGGCGTCGAGAAGCCGGAGAGTCATGCTGAAGCGTTTCTCAAAATTGAAAATTGACTTGTGAAAAATAGCGAAGAGATGAATATGATGTTGAATGTTGACAAGTTTGATCAATCAAGATGAGCATTTTTGTTGAATCACGGTGCGCTTAATCGATATTTAATAATAATTTGGCTTATGAGTAACAACACATTGGGTAGCAGCGCCGCTGTCGCTTTTTCTTTTTTTCTTTTTGCGATTTCGTTGGGCTTTGGTTGGGCAGGCTTGCAGCTAAGGCTCAAAACGGGACTTGCCACTCAAGCTGAGTGAATAAACAATGCTGCAGAATTTAGCGATCTCAATGCATTGATACCTTATTATCCTTATCATATACGCCTGGCTGATGTATCCTAAGGTACGGCGCAGATAAGGCCACAGAAAGGTTAATACAATCCTATAGTTTCGCTATTAACGACTGGCGATGAAATCCTAAGGCCTTTTTTTTTTTTTATAACGCTTAAAGCTACATGTGTATTAAAGGTATTAACACATCGAGGATATGTAGTTTCATAAAGGATAAAGTATAGAGTATACCCCATGAGGCTATAAATATGAGGGCTAGTTTGCTTATTGTGAGCGGCAGGATATCCTAGGTACGTTGTCATTCACCAAAGGGTAGCGAGTGTTAAAAGCAAGCGACTTCGTCGAGAGGTAAATCAGGAAATATAATAGTTCATGCAGATCAAGTGAAATTCCGAGAAAAGAAGCAAAAAGTATCCAAATATATATATGCGCAAGTATAGACGGTATGCATACATGTATTTAGTTAGATTGAGCGCCCGTCTTTTTACATAGCTTAAGCTTAAACTCGTAGACACTGTCCACTCAGAAGCTAGAGCGCATAGAAAGAGCATTTCTTATCCCTTGTTCGTCACCTTTCTGCCATCATCTCTCGCGTAAAACTACCGGCGATAGATGTGGGAATAGCTGGCTTGGCAGTCTCCGCTATAGGAACTAGAACGAGTGGAGAAATAACGCCAACTGCAGAATTCTTATACTTGTAGTAGCGACGATTAAAAAAGTTTTGCCGCAATTTATACATATTTTGCTTGTGGTGTATAGAAGACAAGAATATGTCTGAGCACGCAAACGTTTACCCTATCAAGTAGCAACCGCAAAATCTCTGTAGCTGCAATGACTGCTCCTAGACTCATAGATAATCCTTCCATTGCTTCTCCATGGATAAAAGGAGGATCTACAATCTGCGGCTGAATAGCTGAGCAAGCCCGCGCTATCGATTCCATAGTTCCAGCGCCACAGATGCAGCTAGACACCAATCTGGAAACGCGACCTCTTGGGTCTTTATAATGTTGAAGCCATAATATGTCGCGTATAGATTTTCTTCTTTTCTTTCTCCTTTCTTTCTTCTTCTTCTTTTTGACGTTTGAGGCGTTTCTAAAGAGAATACGCTGGTATTGCTCTAGTTAGGGGTAAACGCCAGCACTGGCTGGGGTGATGACGGCGTGCTTATATACTTACACTCTTTTACACGGTGGTTCTATTACTCTCTCTTTTATGATTTGAATGAGCTTAAAATCCCCACATTCTTTTATTTCTTACACTCGTTAATCATGTTGAATTTATTACTGAACCGAGCCCGGCGCCCAGTGACGTTGGTCGGAATCGCCTTCATCTTGAGTACTTTCCTGCTATTGGTGATAACCCCTGTAAGTCGTCTTTGAAGTCAGTATGCCTACTATGTTTACTCATTCCTTGAGAAGCACGATATCGGGCAGCCCGGTCCAGAGGTCCTCAAGAAGCCATGGACAACAAGTCGCATTGTTCAGTCATCTGGGAACCAGAACCGGAATGATACAACGGCGAATCTCTCTCTTACTGCGGATAGAAAGATACACATCCTGCTGCCAGCCACAAAGAGCAATGTCAATTTCTGCAAGACACTCCTTACCATGACAATCCTCGGCTATCCTAGCCCTACGATTATTGCTTGGGAAGACAAGGACCAAGCCAAAGGCCTCTTAGGAGGAGGTTCGCATTTCGCCAAGATCACCCGAACTTTGGACTATATCAACGACCCTGCGCGTCGAAGTCAGCCTGGATTTGATGACGAGCTAGTTTTTATGCTTGATGCCTATGATATCTGGTTTCAGCTGCCGTTGAATATACTGCTATCCCGCTACGACGCAATCATCGAGGAAGAAAACGCCCGCGTCGCCCATCGTATGGGTCGAGCCTACAACAACGAAGGCATCAGCTCCAAAATCGTCTTCGGTGCGGGCAAGCGATGTGCGCCCAACTTGCTCAACTCTGTGTCCTGCTATCCCGTGCCTGAATCACCGCTCCCGAATGACATTTATGGAGGCAATACGGATACCCTCATCGGAATCAACCAGTGGGCCAGTTTTCGGACACGCTATCTCAACTCGGGATACACCATTGGGCCCGTGGGTGAGATGCGCCGCGTCCTTGAGAGGGCGCTGGAGAAGTTGAAGGAGTGCCAGAATCGAAAGGGAGCCTCGTTTGATGACGAGTCAGGGGCTTCTGATTTCTGCTATCACGGCAGTGATCAGAGCATCTTTGTTGAGATGTTTGGCGAGCAGGAGTATTACCGGGAGGTTATGCGACGACACCACCGAACTGGAATGGACGACATGCTCGACAAAGTTGTGCCAGGACGAGCGGGTTCAAAACCTCCTCCTACTGATGTTCAACAAGCCCCTGTAAAAGATCGTCTGGAGCCAGAGTTCACTCACCAGCGGTACAACAAGACGCATCTCCCTGACAAGCCTTTCGAATTCGGCATTGCCCTGGACTACTGGTCTCTGCTAGGCCATCAGACGTCCAATGCTCTCACCGATGCAAGATATATTCGCCACAGCCGTCTGTTGAAGCCCCAGGTCGGCAAACAGGGCAAGTTTGAATGCGTGCCCAAAGCCGACAGACTGCCTCTCCCACTAGATTTACCTGGCAACCAACAACTCCCATGGCTTGCTGGAAGTCTGCCAAATGAATGGGAGACGATGCCGCTCTACACAGAGATATGTATCGGCACCGTTCCTGTCATGATCCACCACAACTCTGTGGAAAAGCATCACCGAGAGGAGCAGTGGAACCAGACCTGGTGGCATGGCAGATCGAGGATGCTGCTGGAGGAACGACGCAAAGAGGGCGTGCCTCAGCTGCTTGAGGGCATTCCCACAGATAAGGGAAGTGTTGTGCTGTGGGAAGATTTGTGTCCTAAGCGGACAGAGAAGGAATGGTTTAGAGAGGCTGAGCCTAAAAAGACTGAGGCTGTAAAACCTGAGGCTGTAAAACCCGACGCTACATAAAAGGGCATGTATCTCGTACGGAATTAATTGCACAAGAGGCGCATTTGGATGGACATGACAACATCTGTATTTTTAAGACATTCATTGTATAATACTTGGGGACAACATTACTAGGCAGGCATATAATGCAATCATCATACCAACCTTGACATATTCCTCTATACAATTCTTGTATAAACCAGGAAAAAAAAGAACGCCATACATGACTGCGCACACAGATATTGAAGTACTGCGCCATTACAAAGTGATATCTCAAATCTATTTCCTGCCCTTTCCTCTGCTTCCTCGTCCAATCTCCAACAGCCTCGCCTTCTTGTGGAATCTGTCACCCATCTGGTGTCCACTCCCCCTCGGTCCGTCCTCCGTCTCGGCTCCACGTTTCCGGCTCTTCTCCAACATGGCTCTCACGCCAGAACCAGCACCGCCCTCCTTTCGCTTCGTCAGGCGATCGATACGATCAATGCCCTCGCCGAGGTTATGCCACTCCTCGCCACCAAACTGCATCCGGCCGCTTCGGCCAGCCTGCTTAGCCTTCTTGGCGCGCTCCTTCTTGCTCTCCTGGGGGAGACGAGTGAAGTTTGCTTCTTCGTACTCGGTTCGCTCGGCCTCGTCTCTGCGTTCTTGAGTTGTCTTCATTCTGCGACCGCCTTGGACGATGGTTGTGCCGATGCTAGGCTCGGCAATGGGTGCGGATGAAAGTTCTGAAGCGACGAATTCCTCCATGGTGTGTGAGCGCATGGGGCGACGAGCGGCCTTCTCGCGGGTTTCTGTCGTCTCCATGACTTGACGCTCGCGACGAGGCGGGCGGTATACACCTGCAGGTGCGCCATCATCTTCGCCGCGCTTGGCAGGACGAAGGGCGACGTTGTCAATGAGAGAGCCCATGTTGGGAGCGGCAGAGAGAGTTCCTTTCTTGGTCTGTGGCTTAGAGAAGCCGGTCTCTTCGGCTTCGGAATCGTCTTCTTCATCCTCGTCGTCTTCTTCAGAATCTGAGCCAGATTCATCTGTGCTGGAGCCAGTCTTGGCACTATCCTTAATCTCCTTCATCTTCTCTCGTCTCTGCGCATCTTCTGCCGTCCGTAGGAATCGGTCGATGGAGAACCGCAGCTTCTCTTCCAGCGGTCGGGCTCCCTTCTCAAGGTACAGGCGCAGTTCGACCAGTTTCGATCGCACAACTTCGTCCAAATCTTCGCCCTTTTCTTTTGATTCGTCCTTTCCATCAGACTTGGCATTTCGTAACTTGACAAGGATCAGGAAGACCAGGTTCTGGAGATATGAGAGCAGCAGCTCGTTCTTGACGTCGAGGAGCGAGATTCCATCTTTGGGGTGCTCGATTGTCGCTATTTTTGAGGTTCCTTCTTGCGCCAGGGACAGCGACTGCGTTAATGACGCCAACAAGGCGGGTAATGTTGCTGGGGCAGCCATGATGTGGTGGTAACTGATGCTGAAGCAGAGCAAAAGCGACGTTTGGGCTGGTGGTAAAATTTAGATGGACTTGAGAAATCGATATCGATTGAACTTTTTAGTGGGGCATGTGGCGTATCCTTGCTGTACCTGCGCCTTGCCGAATGGGGGCTAGAGCATTTGTTGCATTTTACCCTCATTTGATGTGGAAGATGGGATTCTGTTTGAGATGAGATTGTAGATGTAAAGGGAAGATGAGTTTGTTGTAATTGGATTTAATAGATAATGTGTCTCTATTGTCGTGATTTCACTATTCGAAGTATCTGGTGAATTACCATGAGAGAGCAGCTAAACACTGTATCACCTATAAAATACTCCGTAGCCGATAGGTAGTTGAATAAAGAGTTAAAAAAGTCGAGTCGTGAATTGAGGGGCAATAATACACATTTAAGAGCTGCATCTCGTTTTGCGCGAAATTGATCCAAGGCTAAAATTCCAAGCTCTATACATTGGCAGCGATACAACGTTGCTATCTGATTTTTGGTTATAAATACAAGTTACTGGTAGTATATCAAGTCTCTCCTTTTAACGCTTCTAATACGCCGCTCCAGGTTTTCACGTCACAAACATCCCCCCTGCCGTCTTTTCAAAACAAGTCTCTCTATAGAGCCTCACGCATCTCTTGCTTCATCCTCGTAATCGTTCCAACGCCTCCATAAACCATTCCAGTGTATACCATCGCTACGCTTGCGCCGGCATTCAACACCTTGAGCGCCTGTTCTCCGTTTGTGATGCCTCCAGTCGCAAAAAGGACCTTTTGCTCTCCCTTACCAACGCCGGGTTGTGAGTCAAGCATCTTGCGGTATCGACCGACAAGATCCAGGGTTCGCTCAAACATGGCTGGGCCAGAGAAGCCACCCACCTCCATCAGAGCCTTTTGTTCTCTGACAGAGAGTCGGGCACCCTTGGGGTTCAATCCGGATCTTCTTTTGGTGGTGTTTCCGACGATGATGCCGTCAACGCCGCTCTTCTGGACGGCTTGGACGATGCCTTCCATCTGGGAGTCTTCATCTTCGTCAGGAGAAACCTTGACCATGACCTTGGGTCGGGTCTTTCTGTCGGTTTGAGCTGCTGCTTCGACGACCGCTGAGAGGAGTCGTGATAGAGGCTCCGTTGCTTGCAGGTCTCGAAGACCCGGCGTGTTGGGGCTGCTGACATTGACGACCAGAACATCAGCATAGCGAGCCAGCCGCTTTGTGCAGTAGACGTAGTCTGAGGCAATGGCTTGCTCATCCTTCTCGTTTGTTTCCTTGTTCTTTGCGATTTGCACTGCGAGTATCCGCCCAGGCTTCAAGCTTCCCACGGGAATACCGGCTTCGCCACTGATGATTTCCTCCTCGCTAACTCCTATTGAGCGCGCAAATCGTCGCAGTCGGTCGCGCAGGCGGATCGCCATGTCGTCTGCTCCCCTCGAGTTGAGGCCATATCGGTTAATCATTCCGTCCAAGATGGGCACTCGGAAGACACGAGGCTTGGGATTTCCCTCCTGGGGCAGTGGCGTGCAGCCTCCAATCTCAACAACACCGGCTCCCAGTGCAAACAGCGCATCTGGAATCTCGCCATCCTTGTCGAGGCCTGCAGAAATGCCGATGGGGTTTGCCAATTGGTGCTCAAAGACGGAGGCCGAGAGGTTGGAGTTGTTGGCAGCAGAGTCACGCTCCCGAGGGTTCAATCCCGCCTCATACAGGAACTTCAGCGCATTGACACCCACGTGGTGCGCATCTTCAGCGTCGGGGACGACGGTTCGAAGCAGCGGCGGGACGACATATCTGTGGACAAAGGCTCGCGTGTCGGTCACATAAAGGTACGAGGCATAAAGGGCTGCTGCGAGCGCTCCGCTGTAGGCTGCGACCTTGAGCCCGCTGCCGGAGCCCTTGCTGGCGCTGCTTGTCGAGCTCGAATTATGGCGCCGGGGGATGGATTTTTGCGAATGCGGGCATATCGTCGGTCGGGGAGCGGCTCTGAGGCCGGTGGCGGCCAAGCGCGGTCGAAGAAGCGAGGCGGACATGATTGGCGCAAGACACGGCGCCGTGTCAGCTCCCAATGGCTTGTAGATTGATGTTTGGACGTGGTCGTGAAGCAGCGATCCGATATGGAACGCTGTTGGTGGATCAGGCGAGGTCGGGAAATCGGGAGGCATCATCCGGCGTACTGTGCTGGCGGGTAGTGCGCACTGTATCACCACACAGCGCAAACCACTTCACGCCTGGATATAGGGGAGGGAAAGAGCATCATGAGTTACGTTGCGATAGGTATATTATGGTATCAACTACATATATAGATGGAATGAATATTTTATGTAAACAGAGATGTCTATACACGTGAAAATACACCCGGATATTAGGCTACATTTGGAAAAAAGGATACATACAAGAAGCACATGCAAGTTGTATAGTACTGATAGCTTACATGTACCCACTACCGCTTCGCCTGGGAAAGAGAATTGTTTGAATTTACTACTTATACATACATGTTCTTTTATAGGTATGCTCAAGACTATTTTCCATGTATCGCCATAGTATAAAACTTGTCTAAATATAGAAACTTCTATGGACCTACGGTAGTGAATTTTAGATGAGCCAGATTCAACGATGAGACTACATGTGCTGGCCTTTTCCACTCACGATACTGGCGTCTTGGGCCGGGAAAGTATATAATAATGGCAAAGACTAAAATAAGTTGAAGCTAATGGATATATTTAGGAAATATTAATATCGCCGAAGCATAATTAGCGAATAAATGGAGACATGGTGAGTAGAGCATTATATAAATTCAGCCTTCTTCTCTGCAAATTTCGCTTGCATCCTTTCTGAATACATTATCGCAAAGAGAGACGATTAGAGAGACGATTTAATAGGCTTCTACTGGCTTGAAATCTTCATCTATCCAGCAGCCAAATCAACACCCAGCTGATTATCACAATGTTCAAAGTCCATCACGAGCCTGGAGTTAATCGCTCATCGCTGAGTGGCTTTCTCGATGCGCCTGGGAAGGGTCTGGAGTTGGAACATACCACAATCAGTTTTACGCGAGAAAAATCATCGTCACCGTCACCGTCATTGTCATCTTCAACATCGCCATCGCCATCACAATGCATTCTCGCAGACATCCCACTGGATATCTTTCTCGAGATCCTAGACCGTTTGCCCCATCCTTGGGTCATCTCTCTAGCTTTAACATGCAAGAAGTTTTACTTGGTGGTGAAGCTATTTTACCAGAAAAAGCTAGCTCTTACGGATCGCGATGTTGCTAGTTTCACAATGACTCTACAAAGAGATATACCCAACGTATATTGCTGCGTTGGATGCCATAAGCTATGCCGCCTAAATCCTCGCGGCAGCTGGAAAGATCAAGGTCATCGACATTGCTCCGGCTCCTCTTGGTGGGATTGGTGGGATTGGTGTTCAGCTGGAAGTCGATTTTCGAAATCGGAAGCCAAGTTGCTCCTCTGGCATCCCAGTACGGTGGAGGCCAGGATTCCCTTCATGGACGCATACCTGGTAATGAACCGTCATTTTTATGGTAGTCTTCATGGCACCTCACTGCGGACCCTTGAGCGCCACGTTGCATTCGAAAAATATATCGAATTCAACGACGATATTTCTTTGGACCCATTTGATTGGGATGATTATTGGGCTATGGATCAGAGGCATAAGTGCCTGAAAATGTTCGGACAGGGCGTCCTTGACCGTAAACCAACAGGGTCGGCAGCCGGCGCCTTTGAGAGACCTTGGCGCTTTTCCTTTGACTACGTCCCCAGAATTATTAACGACGAGCTCTACATTGCCAGATTCCACAGGATTGATGGGCCCATGGTATCGTGGAAGCATTTCGCCACCCTCTTGAGTAGCATTCACTTACCACTCTGCGATCACCTAGAGTTTGTGGCGGAGTCGCATGGCGGCATCCTCATACAGCACATTGATAAGCCGATCCCGCTCTTATATGTGTTGTTTGACGAAACGATAATCAAGAAAGGAGGTTCATGCCCAGACTGCTTTGCGGATTATGATTTTTCTCTGAAAAGAGTCGAGGATAAGAATGAGTGGAGTTTGAGGCTTTCCACGTACCATTGTCTCGGGTCCTGTCGATCTCCATCTAGTGGCGCTTGGAATCATCTTCATAGTAGCCATTCGGATGGAAGCCATCGCTGTGATAGTAATTGTATGGAATATGGGTATCACTACGGTGGAAGAGCGCGGCGACAGTGCCACGAAAGCACCGATAGAGTTTTTCATCATCTGCCTCTTCTACATTTTTTGGATAGTATTCGAGATCATGTGTAGCCATTAACCTTGGTAGTCTTGGATGAATTTGTGTTTTAAGTAGTGCAAAGGGTGATTAGGATTAGACAAAGCAGAATTTGACTGACATGTATATTACAAGAATAAACCCTACAGTTATTTGATATTATACCATTGATAGCGTATTCATAATCATGATGCTTATAGCGGCCTCGATCTCAATATATATTTGTGCCTTGACCTGGTGCATGCCATTCTCTCAATGGAAGCGGCTTGACGGTGTATCGTAAAAGTAGGGATAATGAGACCTATCACTTGGATTTATCAGAGCTATTAGGTATAGTGCGGGAGGCGCTTCGAGTGGGAGGCTTCGGGTATATCAAATCCTTTGACGAGGTGTGGTCCCTCGAGGATAGCAGCCTCTGGCTTGCGGCACGGCTCATATCATGCTACGCGTATAGCTCCTCTGGGGACTAAAAGGGTTTAATGTAAACTCTGTATATCAAAAGCGTAAGACCCTATAATGAGTTCGGCCGAGGAGAGAGGCGCCGCACCTTGGCTTAGAGCAAAGTGGGTTGAGTGGTCCCCGGGTTGGTCGGGGTGGGTGAGGTAGGTCGGGGCTGGGGCTCCTCATAGCTGTATCCAAGTCTTCGGCCGAGTGGGTGGGCCTCTACTGTTTTCTTCAGAGAGCAACGGATATTTCACAGTCCTTGAGGGGTGAATGAAGATACGGCATCTTTTGTTCCAACTCAAATGCTTCGTCTAGACTTATAAGGTCCATTAATTATTTGTATTACATTAGTGTAGCTTCTAGAAAGAGGCCAGAAGAGTATGCTGATAAAGTTTCAGTGGTAGAATATTCCGTTCGTAGCTTGATTATAGCGGCAATAAGAAGCTGGCTGCTATGTCTTATCTTGTGGAGTCGAGTTTAAAAATGTATAAATGAGACTTAGGCGTCTCACCTATTTACTGGGGAGCTGCCGCGGCATAGCCTCGCCCTACCAGCTCAGGAAAGCATCCTGGCTCCACATTAGCGCGACGGCGGTAAAACTATCAAATACTTGACATTGATTGAGGCGTAGTTTGTCCGTTGTTTGCGCGCAAGCAGCGCAGCCTCCCAGCGCAGCCCTATTCGGACGAGCTCGGACAAGCCCTGCGCTTTATCATACATGTATCGACGGGTTGTTAACAGAGCCGAATAACCGCCTGACCCAGCTCCACGGGCAATTTTCCTTCCGAGTCCGATTGCAACGGCCTTGATGTCATGATCTCGTGTTGGATCTAGCACCGCGGACGAGATGAGATGACTGGAGCTTGATTAGGCTACTGGGTGTAAGCCTCGGCTCGCCCACAGCCGCATTCGGGAACGTTTCTCTATGCTTTTTTGCGCTGTGGCCGAACGACTTTCAGAATTTGGAATTCCTAAACGGCTGCTGTTGCCACCAAGGACGGACCCAATGCCGATTAGCATCTTTTCTCACCGGCCCCTGGACGCTTACTAACTGCTTGACGAAGGAAACATCCGAGATAGACCAGCGATAATTTGAGTTGCAGATGAAACCATATCGGCCCTTAGCCTTGTGGCCCAAGTGCTTAAATAGTGGCCGCGTCGCATCATCGCCAATCTTGCGTCATGGACTCACACGCAATAGCATCGTCACCCAGACTCTTCTCTTCGACTTAGACTCGCCTCTACGCACTTCTCGAGCTGCGCAACGACATTTCCACTTCTCATCCGGCACTTCAGACTCACTCAAAATGTCTGCAAGCTTGATTCCAGCCAATCCGGCTGATCTCATGGTCATCCGCAACGTCACACCCAATGTGGTGACCTTCTCGGTGCCTTTTGCACGCTTCGGCAGAATCCAGATTGGCGGCCGTGGAACGCTAGGTATGTCTCACGATTCCCACATAATAAGGCTTAGCGCCCACAATGTCTCACCAACTCGCCAACACCCGTGCTAATCGTGCATCCCATAGTGAGGCTCACATCTGGCAATCTCGCCGTCTTCTCGCCCGTGGCCCTCACGGAGGAAACCAAGGCCAAGGTCGCCGAGCTGGGAGGCAACGTCGCGTACATCGTCGCGCTTGACTTTGAACACCACATCTTCATCTCTGAGTGGGCCAAGCAATGGCCCGAAGCCAAAATTATCGGTCCAGAGGGGCTTCCTGAGAAGCGCGCAAAGCAAACCAAGGACCCTAAAATTAACGACGACAAATTTGCCGTTGTCTTCACAAAGGACGGAAAGCGTGACATCAGGATCAGCGAAGAGTTTGACGCCGATTTCGACTACGAGTACGTCGACGGCCATGTCAACAAGGAAATCGTCTTCAACTACAGGCCGGATAAGGTCCTGATCGAGGCGGATCTGATGTTCAACTTACCGGCTACTGAGCAGTACAGCAAGGTGCCCGAGTCAGAGCGGCCCAGCGGTTTTCTGAATAAGCTGTTCCACAGCGTGCAGAATACCAGTGGCGAAGCTACCTGGCCAAAGCGGTTTAACTGGCATCTAGCCAAGGATCGCAACAGCATGAGCGACAGCCTGAAGGTCATCGATCAGTGGGATTTCACGACGCTGATTCCTTGCCATGGAGATGTCCTCGAAGGGAATGGAAAGGAGATTTTTAGGAAGATATTCCAGTGGCACTTGCAGGGGAAGATGTAATTTTAGCAGAGGGCTGCTTGTAACGTTTTGCAAAGGAGTTTGATGATACCTGTAACAGTAAATTTGGCAAATGCACGCATGAATTCTTAGATATTGGCAGTATTCCTTTTAACAGACCAACTATATAGTCTTTTTAATCACATCAGGAAGTTGCAAAAAAACCTGTTCTGTGTCATTGACAATTGAAGTTGTGCAAGAAATTGATCGAGATGGGTACAACCCCGTCTACATATTTAGCCCTCGTTAAGATTCTTTAAAGTACAAGGTTGGCGACTGCTAGAGCATATGCATCTCGAAATACATTAGCTTTGCATATTGCATTGCTGGATTCGTGTGGCTGCCGTATTGCGATTGGACGGATTTATCCTGGATGGGGGCCAAAATGCAACTGCGGCTTCAAATCTGCGTCTGCGCCTACTGCACATTAATAAAAGAGCAAACGCCGTTCTCGGCTCATATTCTGATGAAAGCTTATAAGGTAATACTGCGATTCGGCCTGATTTTGAAGCTGCGCGAGATGCATGATCTTTTGTAGACTCAACAGGTATTCATAACATCTCTAGAGTCACCCTTAACAAAATAGCTGCACTAATTTTTGTACAAAAAGTCTGCCGTATATAGGTATGGAATCCATAGCACCTAGTTAGATAATCTGTTTGTAGAATCATAGCAGGTTTTCACCCTCCCCAGCCGTAAATTGGCCCATTCTGTCATTTAAAGCGTCTCGATAGTATCAATTCAGTCTTCAACGGGGTACATTAAACAGACAACTCGAAGCTAAGACTACATGTAATTTTCTTGAACCCCAAAATCTTTTCCGGAACGCTTTGTGCACACAACAATAGAAAGTTGTGTCCTGGCGTATATTGGATCCTATACATACCACCTTCATGCACACGACCAACTCTGTGCAGCATTCACATAGCCCACACCGTTATACTTTGCCTTCTTTGGCCAGGGACAAAGGGGCCGTTGCGCATACACACCCGAATAAGGATTTAAGAGGCTGTTCCAGCTTGTCGCAACAATTTGGTCTACGGCATTCCCATTTTCAACCCAGTCCACCAAGGCCAACAGCGCGTCATGTTTCTTGTCTGAGAATCCCGGAACTGACCACATGTTCGTCGCCATAGTGGTAGACTGAGAGGCAGCACCAATATTCCACGGCGCGCCTACCGACGTCAAACCACAGTGCTGCATACCTGGAATGAGAAATAGGCGGAAAAAGTCTGTGGTGGTTTCTAGACCACCAAAGTAGTCGATGGTGCGGTTATAGTACGTCTCCGAGTTTTTGGTGGGCACAATGCCGTCGGACTGACCATGGTACATGATGATTTTTCCGCCACGGTCTTTGAAAGGAGATATGTTGACCTGATCGGCTGTTGAATTGCCAGGATCGTGCTGCTCTGCATAAGTGACGAGGCTGTCGTTGAAGGTGGTCCAGTCCCAGTTGGGATCGTTGAGGAGGAAGTTCTGTACGTATTCCACCCCAAAGGCCTGCGGGGCGGTGCCATTAAGGTAGAGGTACCATTGATCCTCTGAGCTGTAAGTGAGACCATCAGCCAGCCACCGGCCATCCTCTGAGGAGTACCAGTCACCGTAGATCTTCTTGGCAGTGCCAATCTGGGCGTCTGTGAAGCAGCTTGAGGAAGGGGAGCCTTTGCAGCGTATTGGGGTATAGTCAAACTTGCATAGCTCGGGACTGCTCACGATGTAATCAACGACCCCGTCAATTCCATCGCATTGGCGGATCACCTCGGCCCAAAGGACCGAAAAGAGCGCGAGTGGAATATGTTTTGGGTCGGTCACGGGCAAGTTGTACATGCCCAGCTTGACTACGTAGTTGTTGATATGGCTAGTGTACCAAGCTGCAGCGCCAATAAGGGCGCCGTCGAAGCTATCAGGAGACGTTTGTATTTCTTTGAGCCCTTGTCGACCACCCGTCGAGCACCCGCTGTAGTACGAGTACCGGACGGGCGAACCGTAGTAAGCCTCAGTCAGCTTCTTGCCGAGCTGTACGCTCCCATGAATCGCGCGCCAGCCCCAGTCCGACTTCTTATCGATGTTGTTCAGCGCCCAAGTGATGTCTGCTGTTGCGGAATTGTGGCCTGTGTCTGTGGAAATGGTTGCAAAGCCAAGGTGCGGCCCTGGACCCCTATTATAACGATATAAGTTAGTTGGGAGCAAATTGGAATGCTGCGAGTAGCAGAGCTGCACAAAGGGTAAGGGGAAAGATGGAAAAGCAGAGCATACGCCTAATACATACATATCGAGCCAATTAATCCCACCAGCAAAACCTCCATTTCCAACGGCTAGGAATCTGCCAGTCCATTGATTGGGAGAGGGTAAAAAAAGCCCGAACCGATAACTCGACTCGTTGGAACTGATTACTTTGACAATAACTGCGCATAAAGAAGGCAGGCCAGTTGGATTGATCGGGTAACCTAGATTTACCGCTCCTTCGCCATATGCTCCGTTTTGCGGCACAGAAGTGACATTTTCAATGCTCGCTCCTTGGGGGAGGAGACCTGCCTTTGTAAATGTCGATAAGCTGCATGATGCTTGCACACCCTCGCCCGAATCTGATGGGACTAGTGTCGAAGCGGCAGCGACTGATGGAAGCCCGTAGGCGAGGGCAAATAGTAGAGCCCTCATTACAGGAGATGATGGTAATTTTGAATGGATATGGGCAAATAGTTGTTTATGCTTTATGGGTTGAGTTCGAGATGCTGCTGTAAAGGAAGGGGATGATGGCTTTTTGTACAGAACGTAAGATGTCACCAATATTTCGTTTCCTGCAAAAATTATCTATGTCATTGTGTCCATCACAAATTGTTATCATTTCTCTGAAAACTTCTTAACTGACAGGTTGATTTGACAACGAAGAATGGTGACATCTCACACGGGGTCGGCAATTGCAAAGAACAACCATTGGCTAGATTGAGCCGGCTCTTATGCCCCCCCCTGAGAAGCGCACAAATAGTAATGTCGCAACCCCTGGCGCCGAGTTCCCATGACAGCTTCGGGCAATTTTGCTCTTTGCAATACAACCCAAATATGCCGGATCCCCGCGTTTCCCCGCGTTATCAATCTGTCAAAGAGTTGCTTGTTTTGGTAGCTTATAATTGCACGTCGACGGCCTCGGTTTAAGAACAATACTCTTTTAGCATTGCTTATTCTAATATATCTTGAAAACTGGTTTCATAATTGGTGCAACTCTCTCAAGTTGTTCAACTCCTATTGACATTTGCATTTCTATACAAGACACTGGCCTGTCCTATGGCAAAAAAGCTAGGTGTACAATCTGAAGTCGGTAGTTAAAATTAGCTTAACTTGGGAAATAGTATCACTTCCCCGCATTCTCTAGTTTAGTGTTCCCGCTAATCTGGCATTCCCGCATTCTGTCATACTATTTTGCAAATTCTTTGGATTCTTGTATTCCGTTTTTTCTTCGCCTCTCATCAGTCTCTGTGGCTACTAACACCCATTCCATTCAAAATCTTTCTTTGATTCAGTGTGTTCGGATCCTTCGGATGTATGTCAGACAGCGCTTGGTCAGGGCACTAGAAAGGCCGAAGGGCATGACTTGGGCAAGGGGGTACCTAGGTTGCCTAAAGCTAAGTCTAGGTTTAGATAAATAGAAAATTCAGTTGGGTAGCAATAAAGAACCGTCAGGAATAGGGTTCCTAAAGGTATCCCGAATATCCCGAATCTATCCGGCTTCAGGTTCGAATACGACGTTACTTTCTTCCTGATCTCGTAGCTTCCAGGTCTGTTGTAATACGACCCAGTATTACTCAGTCGTTTCTTGCAATCTGTAAACGCTTTAGACATAGCGTATCTCCTCAATCCGTCTTGTGGGCGAGTAGACTTAGTAGGTATTAAGTCTGATGCTTGTGTTCTCGCATGTTTGGGACTGTCAGGCTCAATGCCACCTACGATCCCTCACTATGCCGCCCTTGTCCATACCGGCCAAGAAAGTATCTCGCAGCTCGAATCAAGAAATCCGAAGAGGCTTCACAGTCTGCAAATCGAGGGAGGTGAAGGTAAGTGAGCACTTATACATCTATTCAAGCCGTGTAGTGTCAATCTACAGCACGCCTAACTGCTGACTGCATCCAGTGCAACGGACAAGGGTCCTCCTGTGCCAATTATCTGAAGCTTGGACTGGCGTTAGGCGTATATTCACACTCCAGTTAGGTTTCTCAAGCCAATGTTTTCTCTCCGGAATTCTTTCACTTTCTGCTCTTCACATTGACCGCTTCAATCTGGATCGCCAAATAATGTACATATCACAAGCAAGGGACCATCATAATGCTTCTTTCAAGGCACCCTCACCGCTTGCACCTGTATATGCCCTGAGAATAGCACCGAAATCTACATGCTCTTTGTCTTGGCATTTCTTTTTCACTTGCCTATCGCTAAAACCGGGCTATCTGCCTTGCTGAAAACGGTGGTATTATGCCTGAGTGGATTTCACTGCTCAGAGGCATCCACAGCACCATAGATAAACAGGAAGCGACTATATGCTCGTCATAGTTAATACTTGTTTGTTGAAAGGTCACTGAGTATCTAGTTTCAGAAGTTGAACGTTACGGAAATGGGAGTTTTAAAGAGCTGGAGCACAACATCAGTCTGGCTGAACTCAATGATGAGAGGAACAAAGAGGCGCCATTGGTGGCTATTAACGATTCAAAACCATCTGATCAAAGAATCTCTCAATTGACTTTTGGGAGTGCAGAGCAAGCTGCACAAACTTTCAACTAGCTTTATAATGTAAGCGATTTACTACATTGCATCATTAAACAGAGGACATAATATGTATCTTTGGGCTTTCTTCTATTTCTTCTTTTCACCCACAGTTGGCGCATCTGGTGCGCTAACCGTCGAGCTGTTTACATCATAGCTCTTGTCTACTGTATTGTAGATGACACTCGCAAATTGTGCCTGAGGTTGCCAGTGGAGGAGATCGGATGGGTACCTGTCAAGTCTGTTTGATACTCTTGTTGTTTCGGACGTGCTTCTACGCTGACTCACACGATCGGTCACCGCGATAGATGGGGATGCGCTGCAATAGACCCGTGGTGTATCCGCTGCCGCGTGTTTGGCTCCTTCGGCCAGTTGGATTGACACCTGCGAAAATCCACTGCACTCTCCAGAGCGACGGCTAAACGTAGCTGCAGACGGCGAAAATACCAACATGAACTCCGCTTTATCGACGCACAGTCACAATTCGGGCCCGTACATGACGGCTATGGTACTGGGATAGAGTGTGGTTGGGGATGTAACGGTACAATTGTGGCGTAAATATACACCCACACGGTGATCATGCTGAATGCTGCCGATGAGGCCTTTAGGAACACCATCTCTACAAGCTAAGGAGCGATGTACTCTGGTCGGTCTCACGGCTCGGGCTTTAGACATGGACAATTACAAAAATTAGTATCCCAGGAATGCGGTTACGGAACGAGAGCGAGAGTTGAGAGTTAAGGTTGAGGAGGCAGCCATTGGCTTGCTTATCTAGTAGGCTATGTAACATTTTATGGGACGAAAATCCACATATAAATAATGTGTCTCATCCCCTTTGTAAACTGCTATACAATCATAATTGATCTTGGAGCTATTTTAGCAAGTGACCATGTACATTTCTATATACTAATAGTAATCTAATTGTTGACTTGTTTCGTACATTTTCTCAATATCTCTAAGGCTTAATGAAGCAATTGGTATTGTTGTGTATAATAGCGCATTAAAGCTTTGAAAGATCGCTCTCTAGGTTATATGGCAATGTACTGGTCCCTCAGAATCTTATTCAACTCATTTTCCTATGAATCATTCAACATTCAACTAATATTTCTCAACTATTTTTTCGTTAATAGTGAATCAGTTTTCAAGCCGTTATTCTTTAAGTTTTGCGTGTTTTATAATATTATATGCTTGTCTCACTAAAGCAGCCATGGCAACTCAACTCGCGACTTGACATGCATGTCTCAGTCTCGGTGCATGGTCAACTTTTTATCCCGTCCTTGTGGACTGTATGTGGGGCCTTTCCCCAGCTTTGCCTAGCTAAGAATAGAGTATTACTACATAGATTGCCATGGTAAAGTAAGTCTTACTGTAATGCGAGCTCCTCATAATGATAATATATATATAAGACATATATGCACCCCAAGAGCACAGCGAATGAGATGAGAAAAGGCCAAATGGCATTACTCATTATGATTCTTGGTTGAAATCTACCAAATGATTAGGAATGACTTCATCTTGAACTTTTAATGAAAAAAAAAAAAAAAAAGACCGATTCTCGTGAGCGAGCCAGCAAGGGCATAAGATCCCATGCAGCCTATTTATTTTGAGAATATAAATGTTAATGTTAGCTATTGCATTTACTAAGGTCAAATTGTTTGTTATCGGAATATCGTGAAAGATAAGAGATTGTAGTATTAGTAAAGTGTTTATGTACGATTATCCAAGTCTCAGACCAAGTCTGAGACACAGTCGACATATCAGTCAACTTGCCGCGACGCCACCTGCATGTATATGGTTCCGACCTGATGCAGTAGTGCATAATTGACGCTGGCTAAGGCCATCACTTGGAAGTCAAATGGCACAATGAATGGGAGATTTCCTCTGAGCATATGTAGTGTCACCTTTACAGGATGATTGCCAAGGACTTGTAGTTTAGCATACACGGCACATAGCCCGCGGATTGCTATTGAGATGCGATCTAGGCTACTATTTGCTACTATTTAATATGAATAAGTACGATTAGAACGTGCGTGAAAACTACTATACTATTTCTCGTATATGCCAAGCTTGGGTTGTTTGACATCGGTGCGCAACAATGGTGCCCAATAGACTGGATGATTTATGACCAAGATGGTTATAGCTCATATGGAGCTAGGATTCCTAAGTCTGAACGATTGGCTAGATTTAAAATACCACACACTGTATATACTAACACTAGCATGCTAGTATTTATGCTTCTGCTCTATATCATAACATAGGCAAGGGTACCACGTCAAGTCAAATGTGGCAACGTTGTTTCATCCTAGTCAATGACCTGTGCGGGCCGCCAATGCGGCCTCACACGAGCCATATCCGATGCATATCAGTCAAAGCAACGTGTATCCGTGGAAGGGGCTCATTAAATGTCTCAATTGTGGAATATACTATCGGATCAAAGGCATACTATTGGCTAGTGCGACATAAAGCGCAGTGGAAGGTCTTGAATTCAGCTCAACGCTGTGCAGCTAAATTTAGTTTCCTTTCCAATAGAATGCGAACTCTCTCCTCCTGCATGAAGTGTGTGATCAAATAAAGAATACAATTCGTACAATATAACTGAGGTTACAAATTGGAGCTACGAAGTAAATGAACAGTACAAAATAAGATCTGTAACTGCTATATTCATTAAATACAGAGCTAAGTCAAAGCCAAAATCTCCTAGAGTGTTATTCTGCTCTATTATCACCTTCTTGATAATCCCTTGCACTGAGGCGTGTGATCTCACAGCCACAGCGAGAAAGTGTAGATATATAAACAACCTCGATGGGGAGAGCTTTCTCGCTCAATTGGTATATTACTCGGCTTAGTGATATTGTCATCTTCTTAGTAAATAATGAGTGGCAAGATTTGACCCCTATTCGTCACGCAACCGAGAAATACTGCTATTTAGCTCGAGCCATATATTTGCGTACATGCATCAAGTCCATGCTGCCTTTGTCGAATAGACTTGCTTAGAAGGACCACGGCTTGTCTTGCCAAGCTACCGTGAGACAGTATTACGTTGATTCTCACATGTGTCATGAGTCAATTGGCTTTCATGAACTCAAAAAAGCTCAATTGAAACGTGCGAGGCAAAGAACGTCAAGCCACTCGGTCACCTAATTCGACAAACTTTCCGAACTGAGTGTGATACAGACGCAGCCTGCATATTGCGTGATAGGCAGCAAAGTTAATTAGGTAATAAGTCAAGACATATTATCTCATATCATTCGACTGTAAATGAAATAGCGAGTAATGGCAATTATGATATATGGAGGTGGAATAAACGCGCAGGTCATGGTAGGTTCAAAAGGTATATAATGAGGCAAGATATCTCTGCCCAAACCATTTCCCATAGTCTCATCTTTCTCCATATTAAACTTTCTAAAGTAGCTTGTTTAACCTGTACCGTTAAACCATCATCATAAAAAGGATAAAAGCTGATAACATACGATAATATATCATGCCTTCTATCACGTACCAAGCTAAGGTTGGTTCGGGTGCAACCCCATTTTACGGTCAATTGATTGTCTCGAATCTTCAATATGACGACGGTTCAGAAGTGACCATCAAGAATTTCCTTGGCATTACGTTCAAGTCGCCCTCTAGCCTTCGAAAAGATGATGTTATTGTGTCCACCAATCCTTGGCAGAATGTCACGCCAACGGTCGATTTCAATCAGATTGACGATTCAACTTTTCTCATTACAGTAAAGCTTAATTTTGAAAACCCTTATAAATTCAACGTTTCTGATACCATAACATTTGGTATCAATGGTGACTTAACCAAACATCCCGATACGTATCTGGACTCTTTCGCCTTTGCCGCTGATGCGTTGCCCGATACAGATGGGACAGTTGAAATCACTGCCGCATCTGCTCCTGACCCAGCTCTCGCCTCTCTCAAGGTGTCTCTTGTTTTCCAACAAGGGTTTCAAAAGACCCCCGTCGATGTGCCTCTCGATGACACCACATCGGTGAAACTACCGGCTGGTGATTACACTGTTTCAGCAGCGGAACTCGCTACAGAAGATCAAACAACTGTTGCTGCAACTCAGGTGTCACCCACATCTCTGACCGTCAAAACTGGCGAGTCAACCGATGTCGAGGTCTCTTTCGGCTCTGTATCGAAATACAGTGCCGTGGATGTGACTATTGGAGATATTTCGGCGCTTCAAGGTGAAAAGTTTCACGTGCAGCTGACCGTCGACGGTAATCTGCTCACGGATTTCTACAGCCCTGTAAACCACACGACTTCACTGCGACGTCTTCCGGCAGAAGGAACTCTTGAAGTGTCAGTTGATGGAATCACTCTGAATAATGTTAAATATACACTCCCTGCGAAGAGTGAGACTCTTTCGGCCGAGTTATTCACTTTTACATTCGGCGAAGACGATGTAAAGTCTTCGCCTGTTGACACCACGGGTTTTGTCGAGCTACCCATCGTCGTAAAATCCGACATTGAGGTTGATCAAGACATTTTGGTGCGCCTCACCTCAATGGATGTGGTCTATACCCAAAAAGTCCCTGCTAAAGCTGGCACTACACCGTTCTCTGTGCCGGTAGCCCCAGGCGATTACACGGTCGGTAGCGCAAGCTTTATCAACAGCGGGACTGTGTATGTGGTTGAAGCTGCAACCAATTTGACTGTGGCGAAAGATGGCAGCACGGTTCTTGAACTTGAGCTGCTGAAGGGAGCTGAGCTTAATGTTAAAGGCTTTCCTGATCATCTGAGCTTTGGCGCCCTCGTCGATCTGACACCTAACAATGTCAAAGACCTTGTTGCGGCCCGTATATCATCCATCTTCAAATATGCCGGTATCGATGGTGCTGGAGATAAGCACGTATACTTAACTGATGATACGGCTACTCGCAGAACAATCCAACTTGCACGCGATGTGGAAAAGGAGCTTGCAGACGGCAGTAAGGTTCTGCCAGTAATGATCTCCTATACCTGCAATCTCTCTTTAGGATACATAGACCAGCAGCTTCAAGATACAAAGGGTCTTACCTGCAGTCTTGCAAATCTGATCTTGGCTCTTAACATTGCGAATGGCGCAATCGACGACGATCACCCGGTGCCTGCAGGTTTTATTGTTAACGCTGACTTCCTTGGAGAAGGCCAAAAAGAGAATCTCACTGACTACCCCATGCCTGTCAGAGAACCATTACAAGGCGCCCTTGATCACTGGAAGATTGACAAGGAGATTCCTGCTTCCATCACCGACACTTTTGCAGGATATACTCATGGCGTCAATTGGCTTATTCGCACAGTGGCACCCAGTGTTACTTTTGGCTGGCAGGTTAATATCTGGGGCGGCGGCACTTCTACTTGGATTTACAATTCTGGCCCGGATAACAATGATCCATTCGTTGAAGCAAACAAAACTACTGCTTACATTAAGAAACTTGGCACTTATGACGGCGAATTCGCACCAGACTTCCTTGCTATAGACCGATACGAAGCCGATGACTGGACCAGGCGTGCCTACCCAAACGGCTATTTCTACGGTCCATACGAATGGCGTCGCTATTACGACTTTGTTAAAGATGTTAGTGTCAGTTTGCAGGTGCCTGTGATGCCCTGGCAGATTCCTGCAAGTCATGCGCCACTGGTGACGGATACTGTCTCGTCCGATTATGATTCTCAGCACTGGGGTACGGGAGGCAGCTATTTGTTGGGCGATGCCGATATCAACTCTGACTACCACAACATCAACCCTACCGTCTTGTTGCTGGAGCTCAACCCTACTCTGATCAAGGCCAAGACTGCAGCCGAAGTTTGGCAGCGCGGAGAGCCTTTTGACTTATCGCAGCCGGCGTATTTGGATTTCCCGCTTCGCGGCATATTTGCGGTTTTGTTGGGAGGAGGGTCCACCACTGGAGTCATTTCGACGGTTGGAAATGCTGGACCTTGGGTGACTGACAGGTTGAACGCATACGCACACAATCCAATCGGCTTTGATGATACTTCGTCTGACGCATCCAAGGCCAAGGCGAGTCAATCTACGCGCATCGTTGGCTGGTGGTCGAAATTGTGGAAGGAGTGGCGAGGCGCAGAAAATGCCTAACCTTACGGGGAGCAGTCTTAGTTTATATCTCTATAGCAACCAGATCTTCAATATAGCAACATCCACAGTATCTCATGCGAAAACTTGAGTGCAAGAACAGCGGGCGTTAAACTCTTCGCTGGTAAACTATATGCTGAACCACGGTGGAAGATAGTGGGCTATTTAGGAGTTAGAGTTGTTGGGCTAGTACGTATGAAAATTAATATTGAAACTATATGTGAAGTGGGAGACTTGAACTTTCTATCAAATGCATACGCTACATAACAAGCCTTCTCACGAAATTTTGCTGCACGGAGTCACTTTGACGCGTCGTAAACTATTATAATTAATGTAAACGAGGGATATAAAAGACTTCCTTCCTCGTCTTTGAATGCGATTTTAATGCAGCCCAGCTTTAGTGCCGCCGGACTTCAAAACATTTGATCTTTACGATACTTTCCCATATTCTCCATTGAAATTCTCGAAATGCGGGATACCGTAGAAATACGGTGCCGAACCCAGGGCCTGCCCGAGGGAACAACATCTGAAAACATGCAGGCGCGTGTAGAGAGCCATTTTCCAGCAAACACAGAGACACCTCCTCGACATCTCTTTGACCTACCAAACGAGTTACTTTATTTGATAATCGGCCATACAGAATTACCATGCCGTATGTCCTTGGCATTAAGCTGCAAGTTCCTCATGTCGCTTGCATTCCCCGGAAACGACCTACCACGTCTCAATCACGCCGACAAAAGAAAATTACTTTTATCTCTACAGAGAGACTTGCCGAAAAGCTATCTCTGCCCCTGCTGTAATGAACTGCAGAGATTAAAGCCCGAGCTTAACTGGGAAGGCCAAGATCACAAATGGACTTGCGACATGTCAAACGGATACATGCTGAATTCAACCTGGCGAAACGGCCATATTGAACTTCATAAACACATCATCTTCTCGGACGAATATTACAAATTCATGAAGCATGGCAATATTTGCTTTATGGACGCATATCTGACCATGAGTCGCCATTCTTACGGTCTTTTGCACGGCATATCTCTTCGACACCTAGAGCGTTGCGTGTCGTTTGAGACAGAGCTCGAGCTCGATCAGTGCCTGCATGGCATTTTCCGAACTGAGGCAAACATGAAAAGGGCCATGCGTCGCGTGTACGGCATTAAAGTGCAAGAGCCTACTTTCAACTGGATCCCGGAAGAACAGCCGCGAGGCAAAGGGCTATGGAGATTTTCCCTTCGGTATAGTCCCAAGATTATCGACAACAAGCTATACATTGCTCGTTTCTTTACTATTGCTGGACCTAGTGTATCTTGGGCCGATCTTGCGCGGCTACTCAACAGCATACAGCCGAAAATCTGCAACCACATGAGTTGCATGATCATAATGTATCCAGTTACTCCCATGTATTCGTGGACTATTCCATGTGGTCACCCTGGAGATTTTGATTTTGAGTTTTTCCCTGAGAGAATGAGACGCTATTGGAAAGCATGTGGATTCACTTTAGGAAAAGGGTCATGTTTGCTCTGTAACACAGACTACGACGTTTCGCTCACGAAAGATGAAACTAAAGAGGAATGGAACTTCAGCTGCAGTTCATATCACTGCCTTGGACCATGTCAAACCCCAATGGACCCCCTTTGGAATTATTTTGCCAATATCGGAGGCGAAAGGGCTGGATTCTTACGCTACTACTATTTGTCGCATGAAGAAGGTCGGCCTTGTGGACCTGATGGTAACGAGTTGATCTTTGGGCATCCAACTATGAATGGTGAAGTTCGGCGGAAGTGGCTAGAAAAGAGTACAAAATCAGAAAGCTTGTAATATGATAGATAGCTGGCAAAAATGTAAGAAGAGATGCCATACACCCCACTTACCTAATTTAACAAATGTGATACATTACTCTGCCTGAACAGAACAGACAAGATACTGTGGCACCCACTTGACCCATATTGCGAGAGGGTTAATACAAAGGCGTGAGACATACTAGCCTTATGAGGCGAGGGTATTGAAGACAGAGCGAAAATGCTGAAGGAAGCTCGTATGAGTATGCCGACGAACCGATGTTGCGGAAGTTCTACGCTGGTAGGAAGGAAGGAATAGGCTTTCACCAGACATTGCGCGATATTTATAAATAGTTTACAATAATAGTCAGATATGCGCTATTGTCGCTGGAATAGCTCTGTTGATTGGCTGCTGGAGGCATTGGTAAGTTGGTCTGAGAGCACATCTGCCTGAACGCTAGCAAATTCGGACGAAGAAGTAAAATTCTGTGAAAGAGGATATCCAAATGGATACAGAGCGGAGATTGTTGTGACTACACTGATGAATATAAATACCATTGTTTGCTCCCTTTTCAATATGTTAATTCTGCGTCTCAAGCCAAGATAACAAGCACTCTCACCCAAACAGCCAATTATTTACTTACACACTTTTCAAGTTATCCAAAACCTCCAACACAATGCAGTTCTCAGCTCTTGTCTTGTCTGTTTCTGCGACTCTTATCGCAGCTGCCACAGCTACTGACAACATGAATCGCGATGTTGACTCTGGCTGCCGCGCCTTGTCCGTCCTCTCAAACTGCTTTGGTGATTATTTAAAAGTTTACAGAAGCTAATCTTGAAATGCTCTAGTGAGGACCCTGATTGTGGCATTGACCATGGTGTGTGCCAATGTTCCAATGGTTAGTCTCCTATTGTTGTTATAGTATCATGGCTCGGGTTCTAAAACTAAGCAGGATGGTTCTACGAACTCAACTTGGACAATATCGACGACGGAAACTACTGCAACCCACCTTGGGGATTCCTTGCAACAAATGCATCTGGACTTGCTGGATATACCTGTTAGTTGGCAAGATGGCAATATGATCATAAGTTGAGAAGTTGAATTCAACCTTTTGTCTCGTTTGTGAAATTGTCACTGCGTCCACCCCATGGAGAGTCCTGTTGTGCATTGAACGTCTTTTTTTTTTTCTAAATTGTATTAATAAATTTATTTTATTCATTTATAGATGCTAGTTCTGACTGGTGTATTTTCTAACATTTTTTGGACTGACGTTATAGCCCGTTTGAAGAATCCATTTGCTTTCGTGACATTGGTGTGGATGAGTAACATACATGTACACACATATCCGCTGCTATTTCGGTTCGTTTTACTACTGAAGCTAACCCTAGGATCACTCGAAAACAAATAATATTCGTGAGTACTATTTCACGATAGCATACAATAAACTATTCTTATGGGTAATATTACAGTCTATTGGTCGTAAATAGATGCTTAATTCACAAAAACCCTGTCGTGTGATACGAAAACATGTATTCATGGAACGGTCCTCCGCAACAACCACACCCGTCTTTATGGTTGCCTTTACTTTGCACTTTTCGGAAACTTGCCAAAGACGAAAGCCGAAGGATAGTTATGCTTATTCATCGACGTTGTATTCGTATTCACAATTCTTCTTCGTTTAGTCCACAATTGTGCTCGCAGAACACATGTCCATTTGAAACGCGGTACCAGCTGCGGATGGCATCACCGTTTCAACATGGCTAAACGATTAGCAGATCGCAAAATAACTCTGGCCATTGATAGGGTCAAGACTGCTACTGCGCATCACGACACAGTCGAAACACGCGGCGCCTATGTTGAGCGAATGGAATCGAATGTTTTGTGTCTTAATTTGTGTGACCAGCACGGCAGGGCAGCTGAAACGGCGCACGCAGTATCAGCGTCAGAGAAGCCCGGCCCCTGGACCGGCTCTAGCCTCGCGGCGTTTAGGAGGTACATGATCTACATTGCAGCTGTAGGCGCGGATGCAGGTACCTGCGTATCAATTTATGGGGCGGTCTAATGGCGGGGCTGCCTCAAGTTGCCCGAGGCTTTTGCGGGCGGTTGGTTAGAGGAAGCGCCTCCTGTAGCGACGATGCCAGGGCTGCTGAAAGGATGGGATGCGCCCGCAGGGATTGGGTGCAAAAACGTGTGCACAAAAGTCGAAAGAGTGACAGATGCTTGGAATTCAACGAAATAAGTCGAAGGGTGCTTATAAAGCTCAATGATGATGATGATGATTCCAGCTCAATGGTGGCTGGCTAGTGATGCAGTCAGCTCAGCTGAGAGAAGGAAGCCCTAGTCTTGTATATGCTGTACTAGACTGTCTACTAGCAGTACGTTGATGGAGGCAGCCGACGGAAAAATAAATGACGGGCATATCGATATCAAACAATTGGCATCATTGAATCTCAGCTGCTAAAAAAGACATGGAGCCTCTAGAATGACATCTGGAAGGTAACATTGAGACGTGCCCAGGATGCAGGGGCTCTTGGCGCTAGGCTAGGGCTTTAAAAACTGGATAAAATTAGCAGCAGCATTTTTGGGGACTCGGTAAAGTAGCCAAGCTGGGCCCAGAGGAAGAGAAGAGAGCGATAAAAGAAGAGAAGAAAGGAGAGGAGAAAAAAAAAAAAGATACGCCGAGGGACGGACGGATCAGGCGAAACGTCGAGTGTGCGATGGGCCAACCGAGACTTGGCAATGGCGAGAAACTCGAGCGTTGATTCTTCCTTGTCTGCAGCAGCATTGAGGCCGTTGGTTGGGCCCGAGTCCAGTCCCAAAAGGCCCCAAAAGATGTCATGGTGCTTGCAGGTACGAGGAAGCCACAGCGAGGCTGTGCTGGAACCAGTGCATTTCGTAGCCGTTGCGTCAGCCGGTGCTGATCTGTGGCGGATCTTGGTTGTGCTCTTCACAAAACCAGAAACAGGCCAGGCGTTGGCAGAATCTGGTTTAGAGAGAGGCTGGGGGGGTTGGTTCCGCCGTAGAAACAGGGGGAGAGGGCCCCTCGTCGTATTCGTACAGCAGTACCTGCGGGCACGGCCAGGCGTTGCCCGCAGATGGAGTAGCAGTACTTTATTTAGAAAGTGGATGGAGTTTTGCCCATGCTGCGATTGGGAGCAGGAAATTCTCCATCAGGGAATGCGAGTTTAATATTTTTTCTGCAATTATACAAGTAGGCACTATTACAGTGCTGTACGCTTAAATATAGTCTCTGCGTGTGCCTGTGCATGCTTTGTATCGTGTGCTGTAAGCACCCAGATTTGGCTGTTGGTTGGGTCGTCTGTACGCGTATTGGGAGGGAGGGTGGCGTTGTGCGCAGCTTATTTATAGACACGGAATCTTGAAGGCGATAAGCTCGTAGTCGGCTGCTTCCTCCTCCGTCCACTACAGTGCATACTCTCTAAATAACATTCAATCAGCTGCTATCGAGCGCATTCGCCAAATCCTTCTGCAGGGACAAGACGGATTTGCAGCCTGCTTGTTGGCCGCTTGGCCGGCTCTCGCCCGGCGTCTGACGGCCCATCTCAGCATCTCATGCATGCAGCGCGCCATCAACTGCTTATGCCGCGCTGTCCACTCGGCCGTAGCAGTGGCCCACGGCGCCGTCACACGCTGTTCGCCGCTGCCCAGGGATCCCCTTATAGCGCCCAGCCCAGCAGCTCTAGCTCCCCGGTAGCGTCTTCCCCAGCCTGCTTCTAGTGGGCGCTGCGAGTGGGCTGGGCCAGAGAGCTAGCTCAATCTCCAAAGTGCACGTTGCAGTTGCGCCCCCTCGCTGTCTCAGCCCGCATCTCCAACAACAGACCCTGCTGCTTGGTAGCTCCCTTTCCTATTCCTAGTCCTGGCGAGGCCTTGCAGCCCTCTTCTCTTGTCTGCTTGCTTCTTTAGCATCACAATTCGCTGTTTTGTCGACGATTTCCCTGTTCCGTTTTTCGTCTGTCTTGTTTAGCTTCCCGCTTCTCATTATCCTTTCCTGCGGCCGAACCCTATCTCAACGCCATCCTCGAGACTGGTGCCCAGCTCAGCCTCATTTTACCGCCACTTTCGATCGTCCCGTCGCATCGTCAATCACTCCCACTGCTCCAACAAAACCACAATCCCTCTCTTCCGTCGATCCCGCGACTCGCCCATGTGATCAAGCTCGAAACTACAAACCGACATTCTCGCCCTTCTTTCCTCTCCTCCTCCTCTCCTCCTCTCCCACGCTTCGTCGACTCGCCCTCTCCAGGGCTGCTGGTCGAAATCCGCCATGGATGATGATTTCCTCTTCCCACGAGCTGGCATCGTGCCGGGAGGCGAAGGCTCTGTGCGGCCGGGATACTACAAGGCCATCGGCATTGGTCTGGCGGTTGGGTCGGGTCTCTTTATTGGAACGTCCTTCGTCCTCAAAAAGGTCGGCCTGCTGAAGGCGAACACCAAATACAACGAAGCTGCTGGCGAAGGCTATGGCTACCTCAAGAACGCCTACTGGTGGGCGGGCATGATCCTCATGATTATTGGCGAGGTGTGCAACTTTGTCGCATACGCCTTCACCGATGCTATCCTGGTTACACCACTTGGTGCGCTGTCCGTCGTCATCACCACCATTCTGTCTGCCATCTTTCTCAAGGAGCGACTTAGCCTGGTCGGCAAAGTGGCATGCTTTCTCTGCATCGTGGGGTCGGTCGTCATCGTCATGAATGCACCGCAGGAATCCTCCGTCGCCAACATCGAAGAAATGCAGAAATATGTCATCACACCGGGGTTTCTATCCTACACGGGCGTCATTATTGTCGGATCCGTCATAGTCGCTTTCTTCGTCGGACCAAAATATGGTAAGAAGAATATGTTGGTCTACATCTCGATCTGCAGCTGGATCGGTGGCTTGAGTGTCGTGTCGACCCAAGGTCTGGGCGCCGCCATCATTGCATGGGCCGGCGGCCAGCCGGAATACAAGCAATGGTTCTTGTGGGTGCTGCTTGTCTTTGTTGTGGGCACCTTGCTTACCGAAATTATCTTTCTTAACGTGAGTCCTCATGGTGATGTATGGAAATGAAGCAATAGCGAAATGAAAAACTAACCGAGATTGATTCTTTAGAAAGCGCTCAATCTCTTCAACGCCGCCATTGTTACACCCACATATTATGTCTACTTTACTAGCACCACCATCATTACGTCCGCAGTTTTATTTCAAGGTTTCAAGGGCACTGCCCAGTCTATTGTTACCGTTGTGTTGGGATTCCTTACTATTTGCTCTGGTGTAGTCCTGCTACAGCTCTCCAAGTCCGCCAAGGATGTCCCCGATGCTGCCGTCTTCAATGGCGATCTGGACCAGATTCATACCATTGCCGAACAGGCACAGCCCGAGACGGAGCCCAAGGCAGACGCAATCCGAGGCGCCGCTGCTATTGTCAGGCGCATTTCCAACGCACGACTGAGGATGGAGGCCGAAGAGCTCAAACGTCTTCACGAAGAGAAGATGGCCGAGAGCATGGCCCCCATCAGCGAAGACGGTCAGCCGATGTACGAGTGGGACGGCTTGAGGCGAAGACGAACTATTGCGTCCAGTATGCACACCAGATCGACTAGGCTTTCAACGCCGATTCCCGGTTCCCCAGCCCCGCCGAGAACTCCTCATCCGCCGCTGGGCATGTCGCATTTCCCTACAGATGAAGAGCTCGCAGAACATGATCGCACTCCCGGTGTCTTCTCCAGCATAGCAGGAACAATCCGTGGCCGTCGGGGCCACAACCAGCATCACATTCTCAGCGTCAGCGAAATGGACGACGAGGATGAAGAAGCGCAGTATGGTACCGACAAGATTCCTAGTCCGATGCATCCGCTCGCCCTCAAGCATATTACGTTGCCCCAGCAGAAACCTGATGACGAAGCGGGCGCTTATTATGGCCCGACGCGCGAGCACATGTACTTCTCCCACGCAAACACCGACACCGCGTATCGCGGCGCCGAATCCGGCAATGCCCCCCAATTCCTCGCTCCGACACCACCGCCTCATGGAACACGACGCCAGTTCTCTTTCAACAGGGTTTTCCGAAGAACACCCCAGCCGTCTGAAGAGGAACGCGTAGGGCTTGTCAAGGAACCCAGTGCCGACGGTAGAGAAAGATCGCCAGGTGGATCTCCGGGAGCGTCTCATGGAACATCGCCAGGAGGTTCACCTGATCCAGCGGCTGGTGGAGGAGGAGTTGGACACCCTCCGGCCCCAGCTTTTATCTAGATAAGAAAGTGCAGGTCACAACCGGTCAAGCGATGACAATATTTTGCATTCGGTCGGCGTTTTCGGTCTTGTTTGATGAAATTACAGTTTTTCGAGTGGCTACATTGCTTGTTCATTATGCATTTTATTCATGACGGCTTTATTCCTATTTTTTGCTGGTCTCACATTCACTATTCAATGATATGACGCTTTAGAAGCGGGTTGTTGGTTTGGTTTGAAACGGGCGGTCATGACGGGACGATACCCTCTCCATAACTGTGCGCGAGCTATGTGAAGAAACTAGAGATGTATGCGTTTTTTGCCCTAGACGTATAAAGAAGAAAAACGGCGGTGGCTGCAGCGTGCTTGTGCAATTACAAATGAATGATGGCAAGGCAACATGTCTTTTGTATATAGTGGCTTAGAAAAGGGGAAGATGGTTCACGATGAGCTATGCGCTTGGACAGCAATACATGATGTATATGATTGGGACAGGTACTTGTTTCATTAAGTCCCTTATTTTATAGCCAACATTCATTCTTCAAGCACTAGTGATGATCAATCCCCTATAATATGCAAGTCAAGAATGCATTGATAAAGACTGGAAAAAAATTCCTTTTGTGCAGAAATGTCCTCAAAACGCTGTACGATGCCTGTATCACACCGATTCCATGCCACGCCTAGTCAGAATACAACAATATAAAGGGTAACAAGAAGAAGGATACTGAAGTTTGGTCCTAACCATAAGAACCTAAAGCCCGCATAAAAAAAAAATTCAAGAAGAAAAATTCGAGCTTAGCGTGTAGTTTGTAGAAGTGAAGAAAGGAAAAGTCGCTCGCTGTCAAAGACTTGAGATAAAAAAAAATTGAGGAACAAGTCCAAAACGAAGTAAGAGGCTACCAGTCCACAGCCCAGCCGTTTTCTTCCAAAAAGTCAGAGCAGGCCTGGCGCAAGGAGAGATTCGGCCGAAGTTCAGCAATGCTGAGTGGTTCGCGGGTGAGAGGGTCAGAGGGATGGCGGCGGAGATGCTCCATGATGGTGGCGCGTTCGTACGATTTGCCAGTTTTTGTCTGTGTTTTTTTGGATGTTAGAAGAACAAAGACTATATATACTTTAACTGAGGTCTGAAAATCCAACTTACCACGACAGGATCGACCATGATGGCGAAGCTTATATCGTCAATTGCCCAGTCAGGCACTTCACGCCGCTTTAGGCTTTGTGTTCTGGCGTTTTCAAAGACTTTACTGAGAGTTTGCATCTTTTCATTTGCTTCCTCTTCGATTATCTTGCGCTCAGTTTCATCACTTTCAGCTGCGAGCATGTCATCGCGGTCCCTGACCAACATGGCCAGCATCTCCTCTTCCAGCTCTCGCTCCTGTCGCAGCCTCTTCTTCTCCTTGTCGTCCCAGCGGTCCTTTTTGCAGCGCAGGACAATGTTGGTGATTGCGCCAAGCGACTTGTCGTTTGTGGTTGCGCATATCTTGTGCGCTGCCAGGGCGTTGGTGAGTGCGCTGTCAAAGTCGCCGATGGAGAGCTGCGCTTGGGCGAGGTAGTAGTGGGCTTTCATGTTTTGAGGAGCGAGGCCGAGGCAGGTCTGGCAGTCGGTGATGACGGATTCCCAGTGGCCCAGCTTGAGGCGGGCCATGGCGCGGTTAGTGTAGAGAGCTGGGTTTTTGGGGTCTGCGATGATGCTGAGTTACATGTGAGATTAAGCATATTTATGCATGCATGGGAATTGTTTTTGCTTGGTTGGGAGAGAGAGAGAGAGAGAGAGAGAGCTTACGCCTTGGAGTAGAGGCCATCTGCGCCAATGAAGTTGCCGGCCTGGAAGAAGCGATTGCCTTCTTCCTTGAGCTGCAGCGACTTGGACATGGTGGCGGCGATTTGGCAACGATGACGCTATAGATAATGAAAGAAAGAAGAAAGGCTGTTTGCTATGCTATTCGCAAGAGGAGAAAAGAGCGGTTTAGGTACAGAGAGAGATGAAGTGATATGTGCCCAGTGGAGGGATTTCGACGGCCTTATTGCTCCGCTCAATGATGGCTGTGAAATTTTGTGTACTTTTGTGTATCTTATTGTACGATGATGTATCACTTTGGATAAGAAGTGGTGTGGCGCCGATGCGACGTGGGTGGCGGGACGTGGGAGAACTGATCAGGGAATAAGGATATTAGAGGGCAGTATCTACAATGATATTGAGAAAGGCGGGAACTTGAGCTTATCGATACCGAATAGGTACAGTTGCAGGGAAAGGGGAAAGGGAAAGCCAGCAGAAGATGCTGAGGAAAGAAAAAAAAGGAGCAAAAATGTTCTACGGATGCGACAAGCTGGTGATATTTTCGGATGTCCGAAGAAATCTGTAGCAGATTAAAAGCGGAAGGACCCTGAATTCTACATCGCATGGCGAATGGCGGGGCAGCGCCGGAGCGGAATTTACGGCGGATTTTTAATGCTGGGGATGGAACATTCGAGAATGGCGTTGAGAGGGAAGGAGAAGCTGAGGTGCTCTTTCTACGAGCGTTGTAACGTTTTGTATCACTCTGTAAATGGGAATTATTGTAAATTTAATGAAACATAACAATTCAGTGAATGTTTATGAGAAATATACATTGAGTTTGCTATTAAATGCATGTTTCATCTTCATTTAGCTTGCGCCGGAACCTTGTAGATTGTCGCCGCCACAATGCCCATTATTCTCCTTTTAGAGCCTTCTATGGCGCTTCTAGTCTAGTGGTTCATCCAATAGGCTCTAGCTAACATGTATGTATATAGCTAATCCACGATTCTCTCTCATGGCTTCATAACAAATAATACAACGCTTCCAACCGCCCCATCAATCCGCCCATCCAGCTTAGTGGTTCATCACCAACACATTCCTGAACCGAGGCTTTCCGGCAATCAAATCGTCAACCGCCTGCTGCGCCTCCTCGAGCGGATATCTCTGGATCATGCAGCGAATGCCGTGTGTAAGGGCGAATCGAATCGCATCCTCGCTGTCGGATGCATGTCCACTTGGCCAGCCGTGAACACTCGCGCCCTTGGAAACCAGCGTAGTCGTGTCGACGGGAACTTCTCCAACAACACAGAGGTTGAGAAGTTTGCCGCCTGGGCCCAGAGACTTGACGAGTTTGCTGATGGTATCGGGGTTGGGAGCCGTCTGGACAATCATGTCGGCGCCGCCCAGCTTGAGAATCTCGGCGACAGCGTCGCTCTTCTTGGCGTTGATGTAATGATGGGCACCGAGCTCTTTCGCCAGGGCGGCTTTGTCGTCTCCGGATGAGATAGCGACGACCTCATATCCCATCTTGTTGGCGTATTGCACTGCCAAGTGGCCCAGTCCTCCAAGTCCATTCACAGCAACCAGTCCTCCTTGCTCAACACGTAGCTTGCGCATTCCATTGAAAACAGTAACTCCGGCACACAAGAACGGGGCAACCTCCGCGGCGTCCATTTCCTTGGGCACGCGAACCGCAGCCTCAGCTCGTAGAAGAACGTATTCAGCATAGCCGCCGTCGAAACTGACTCCGTTGATCTTCTGATTCTTGCAAAACTGGTACTGTGAGCGCTCGCAGGAGCGACAAGTTCCGTCATGGCCACCGTGCCAAGGACCGCCTACGCGCTCGCCCACAGAGACACGGGTTACGTTGTCACCGACGGCGACGACATCGCCGACGATTTCGTGGCCGGTGACACGGGGGAAGGCGGTGCCCATGTGGCCGTTGATGATGAAGACATCTGAAAGGCAGACACCGCAGGCGAGGACTTTGACGAGGATTTGGCCGGGCTCGGGAAGCTTCAGGGGGAGCTCTTGGAGGGTAAAGGGCTTGTTGGCCTCGAGGGTGACCATGGCCTTGTACGTCTTGGGGAGAGACATTGTGGTGTTTGTGGTGGACTTTTTGTTACAACGAAGCACAGTTATTCACAAAGGGTATCAAGTCGAGGGCGAGGAGTAAAATGAAGTGAAGTAGAGTGATGTAATGATGTGACTGACGAGGCCAACAACTGTATATTATATATGTGGGCTTTCAACATGGTGTCATCGAGGGTTGCACCCGCAGATACAACATCAGGTCCATAATAATGCGCTGCAGACTGACACTGAATCGGAAATGGATTTATCCAAGAGGTGGAAATTCCGAAGATTGAAACCTATCAGGGCTGAAAAAGAGGATCTCCCATGTGTTGACTATGTTGAATAAGCGATATTTCCGAGGGGTGGATTGTCGCGAGAAACGGCAGAGGTCCAATCATGGTGTTAATCAGGATTTTCTGACTGCTTTCCCTACATACAGTATATAAGTGTACAACATAGAATCGCTAGACTAGTGGGGCGACCGTCTTTTTCTCTTCGAAAGAGCGCAAAGTTCGGGCTGATAGTCTCAAAGCGGTATATGCATCAGGCCCAGGCCGCAGTAGCTCGCCCCATTCCTTCATTCCTTTTTCTAGCTAATTCTATTCTGTGTACGCTACTTGCATAATGGATGCGATGGGCAAAAATCTATCGTGTTACATAGGAAGCCAATGAGGTATGTGCTGGCAGCATAGTTCATAGCTGCTACAAGCCGAGGCACGACTGCGAATCCTATGGGCAACTATGTTACATTTGGGCACAAACATGGTAAGATGCGTAAAAGCTTACTCTCTGATGTAGCCTATATGATGTCATGCACTGCAAAAGAGCTTGGACCAAGACCTGTATAAGGAGGGAAAAGGAACGTAAAGTTGATCCTACTCATAGCATTAATTACACAGTCACTTCCAAGGGGTTATTACTTTGAGGCCTAGATTCAATGATCCACCACCACTCTTACAATCTCGCGTGTCACAGAAATGAGAAATTTTCATGAATCTAATGCCTTTTTTTTCTCATGAATCCTTACTCTATCGCCCAATCATGGTGGAGATTGTTAATTCCGAAACGCGAGCTGGATGAGGCTAAAAGTGGGGATAAGATGCGCATTCCAGGCGTCTCAAGAGATATTATTTGGAGCCATTTTTTAGTGATGATACAGTAGTGATATACTTCTATAGTCACAGGAAGGAGTTTAATGTAGTATACGATAGCTTGTGCACATATGAGGTCGCGATATAGAGATGAGTGGCTTCGGCTAGCCCCCCTCATTGGATAATATGCTTAGGCGACTACCAAATACAACTCTTTTTACAATATATCGTAGTTAGAGAAACTTCAACAGGATCAAATTTTATTAGGACGAAGACCTTCAACTCTGCCCCACTGTTTACTCGCAATGATAAAATGAAGCTGCAGGGCTGGTTACAGCTCTATAGGTCTACACTTCGGTCGCCAGAGTAGTCAACAGTTATGCTTAATTTAGGAGACTTCGCAATCTATACATCCATACTATTTACTGTGAATGTCCTAAATACGGCGGAAATACTTATCTCTGAGAAACCGTTATACTAATACTAATAAAGACAGTAGATTCTCAATTCGTTAATCCTATTGACTCTAGAAAGTCAATAGTACCAAAGCGGTAATACAAGAGTCGAGTTGTGCTTAATCATACGTGTATAACGCCTAACCCCGATTCCCAAGCGTGACTAATACTGAGAGCTACTTTCGGAGTTGATACTACGACTCGGCGATGCGAGTTACGGTTTAAGCTTAATTCCGACAGGGCCTATCCCGATCACCTTCACCATATATTCGGGAATAGATTTCTCGGTATATCACTGCGAATCTTGTTCAATGCTCCGAATAATGAATCAAAAGTCGTATTTATGTAGAATAGCAAACTGTATAAATACTGTTGTCTCAAAAAGCTTGATATACAATATCTCCCAACCATAATCAATTACCCAATCGCAATTTCAGCTGCCTGCAATCAAAACCCATCGCTTATAGGTAAATAGCGGATTTACCAGTAATAGCGTTGATTTATGTTTATCTAAAGCGATCTATCTATACGTCGCTTATATGAATGTTTGGCCTGGTTGGTCCTTTGGATTAACCATACTCATCAAGTATCTCATTGATCTTATTCTCATCCAAACCCTTAACCACTTCATATGGAGTTGGCCTAAGGATTCCCTTTTCGATAAGTCCCGGGAAAGCTTTCCAGAAGAGAGTTGCCAGCTCTCGTTTATCCTTTGCATGTGGGCGACAAAGGAATCCGCGCACCCTATATCCAGCCTTTTTCTCACCTAGTTTTGTTTCGTCGACTGTACCCTTTGTTACTGTAACTAGTGTTCCTTTCTTGCTGTTTGACAGAAGTCGGGCACCCAGTGTCTGATCCTTTGGCAACACAGCAGTACAAACATGCAGAAGGTTATCTCCCACGATATTTCGTACCTCAGACTCGATTTTATCGTCACTCAAGGTTCTGTCGATTATATGTGTAGCACCAAGCTCAACGAGATATTCTGCTTTGGTTTTGCCGGCGATTGCAATGATGGTGCCGAAACCGGCCCATTTAGCAAGCTGGATAGCGAATTTTCCACAGTTGGAGCCACCTCCAAGGATGACGAGAGGCGTATGTTTGTAGTCAAACGACTTTCCCGCCGGAGTCAAAGGGGAAGGAAAACCGTGTGTGGATGCGTCAAAAAGAGCGATGCACATAGTAAGTGCATTCAAGGGTAATGTAGCAGCCTCATCTTGTGTGACAGATGATGGCACATGCCCCAGGAAATCAATGTCCATCAGGGTGTATTCTTGGGTGGCCATGTAATCTCCATCAAACGGATCTCCATTTCCGAATACCAAATCGCCAACTTTGAAGTTGTTGACATCTTTTCCAACAGCATGTCCTGTTCCAACAATATCTATACCAGTAGGTGCAGGAACATTTTTACCGATGAAAAATCCTATATCACGCACAAGCTGGTCATGGGGATTTACTAGCCAAGTCACTAGTGGTACCAAATACTAAAATGTTGTATACATACATCCTGCAATTGCTACCTTCACTAGAACTTCTTTGGGTCCTGGAGTTGGTATAGGTCTGGTTCCTAGTACAATTCGATCGCCTGGCCCTGTAACTAATAGTGCTTTTGTTGTGCCATTGTTCAAAAATTTTGATGGTATGGTTGCTTTTATCGATGAGATAGCTGGAATATGTTTGTTGATGAACTTTCAATTAGGGTGCTGAACGAAATTTATCATGACATTCATGTATATATAGCTGAAGCAGTTGTATGTTCCAGATCTTCTGTTGATTAATCAATAAATACCTATGAAGATGATTCTATATCTAAACTACGAACTATTGGTATCATCGTGTATCCCAAATCATGTTTCACGTCATACTAATTCCGCGAATACTAATACCGCTGGCGCATTTAATAATCACGACGAGAGAGTATTACTGTTTCTTAATCCCATTCTCTTGCGAAAACGAATGTAACTGTGCTCACTAAAGCATATATCGCACGCCATTTCCAGTTTAACTTTGATAGCTTGTGAGACGAGTGATTTCAAGCATCCCTGTCTGACAGGGGAGCAGTATATCGATGCTATGAAACTTTTCTCCCGCTGTGTTAGAATTACATAATTTTCCCGCTCACCGTAGGATTCGGTATTATCGGTGAATATTTCTACAAATCGCACGTTCGGTAAAGCCATCTAATAAGCCATTTGCTTAATAATCTGCTCTTGAATTAATGATAGAGTAGATTCCAACAATGGGCATTAGACGGCCACGGCGCAGCCCTGTCCCTTTTCGCTTTCTTTTCTGTATTTTTTTTGTTTTCTTCTTTCTTCTTTCTTCAAATATTTCAACGCATTTTACTCATTACATATGACCTCATATACGAATTATCCAATCATTTATTAACTACATGTACCTCATTTGCTCGTCGCCAGAGAGGCAACAATTCCACTAGCATAATTATTGGACGCTAAGCTATAGCGCTAGAGTAACAATTAGGAGCACTATACTTCCCTGTCTTAATATATACCAGTTGGGCTATTTAATGTTTGAACGTGTCTGATGAAATCTTAATTCCTCACTTAGCCAGACATGATATTAACTTGAAGACGTCTAGGCGCAGCATCTTAGCGCTATATGTATATTTATATACAAGCCTATGATTCTGACGGCAAATGATGTCAGCATCAAGGGGATCAGAGCGACCAATCATCACAGGACATTCGCTTGGAGTGGTGCAAATAAGCTGTTGGTGTGGATCAGATTTAGGCAGTTGCTTTGGTTCACAGATCGTGCGTTTAGATTGTGAATTAAGCTTGGAAATTAGGCATCAGTGTCGGCTACCCCTCAGTAGGAAGCCAGTATGTGTAACACATTAGTTTCAAGGATACAAACTCGATCTTTAGCATTGTCCCGTTTGTTCTTTCTCGAAGCTCAACCCCTCAATCCAAGTATTCACTAGCGCTGGAGCCTCATAATCATCACGATCTTAGCACCATGAGACCAAACCAGACCAATAACGGTGAATATAACAACATCAGTGATGAGGATATCGATGCTGTTTTAATCGGTCGCGACGATATCAGCGACTACAACCCAGAACAAATACTGCCCGAGCTTCCAGGTGTCATAGAAAAAATCCGAGCTTGGCTGCAGCCAACTGCATACGATATTGCCGGAGGAGAATACCGCAAGCACATATCCTCTCACGTTGCTGGTACGGGAGCCTGGCTCACCTCAAGTGATGTATATCAGAAATGGTTAAACAGCGATGAGCATGGACTGCTCTGGATCAAAGGAATACCCGGCTCGGGGAAATCGGTGATGGCCGCAAAATTAATTCACGACCTTGCTCAGTCAAATCCAGCATCTCCTGTGCTATTTTTCTTCTTCCGTCAAATCATTGATGCAAATCATGAGCCCCGAGCCCTCTTGCAAGATTGGCTGGACCAAATACTAAGTTATAGTCCGCCTCTACAGAAGCAGCTTAAAGCTTACGTAGAAGCGGGTCGGTCCCTTGACAGTATACCAACGGAGGATTTGTGGAAGCATTTGCGACTGGCCATTGCCAGCTTGCCTGACAAGGTCTTTTGTGTAGCAGATGCACTCGATGAAATAGATCGAGGTCATGGCGAATTCATACAAGCACTTGGGAAGCTGGGCCACTGGCGACAAAAAACCGTCAAGGTTTTGATTACTAGCCGCCCAGTTCCTAGTGTCGAAGTGCCATTAAGAGCGATTCACTGCCTACATCTTCGACTACAGGAAACCTTGGTTGATATGGATATCTCAACATATGTTCACTTCGTGCTATCAAAGTCTGATATCCCCAAAACCGATTGGGATACCATTGCAAATGCCGTGCCAGGTCGTGCAAATGGCCTATTTCTCTACGCTAAGCTCGCCATGGATGCTTTCATCGAACCAGGAGCCAATATCGCTGCGGTGCTTTCAAAGCTTCCATCAGACTTGAATACCTTATACACCGATCTATTGAACGAGCATGCGGCAAGGTCCATGGTACCAGAGAGTATCCAACGTCTTATCTTGCAAGCTGTCACCCACGCTACTCGTCCACTAAGGCTACTTGAACTTGCTGAAATGATTAGGGTCAGCAGTCCTGATGGTTCCGTCCGGGATATAAGAGCTACCAAAGACCTCATTAGGACTGCCTGTGGACCACTTTTGGAAATCTTGCCAGATGAAACAATCTCAGTGATTCACCACTCTTTTACTGAGTACCTTAAAGGAACAACCAGATCAAACGAGAGTCCTCCCATAGGATATGCTGTGTTAGAAATGGGACCGACACATTCTCAGCTTGCTCTTCAATGCCTCCTCTATCTGCAATCTGGGTGCTTGAACTCCATTATAATCGATACCCGTGACGATTTTGCGCGCATGTACTGGAAGGAGTGGGGCCTTGTCAGTAACTATGGATCAGGGACAGGTACTGGCAAAGTATCCGATGAAGAAGTTCTGCTGAGACTTAAATATCCGCTCTTCGAATATGCAGTCAACAATTGGCACCAGCATATCGTGAAATCAGAGGCTGCCGGCCAAGACCAGACCGAAATTAACGCCAAGCTTCATCAGCTGTTTGAAGAGGGTAATAGTTTGACGGGATGGCTTCAGATGAGGTGGCCAGGCAGAGATGTAGGAGCTAGAAGAGTTACGCAGCTCCACGTTGCTGCCAAGACAGGCCTGATATCATATACAAAGGAGCTGTTAGCCAAATTTGACGTAAATTTACGTGATTATTACGACAGAACACCAGTGTAAGTCTCTGCTTCAGTCTCGGCCGCGGCCAGAGGATAGTTGCTGCAGAACGCAACAAAGCTTTCTGGCAGTTTCTTTCTCATTTATACTTTAACCTTTTATGAATATGATTCTAATATGCTTAAAATGTGTAGCTGGTGGGCTGCTGTGGAGGGCCACGCAGAAGTCATCTCTGTTCTGATAGAAGCCGGCGCTGATCCTGATGTACCAGACAATATAACCGGAATCAAACCTCTGCACAGAGCAGCCTACAACAACCACTCTGCGGCTGTAACAGTATTATTAAGAGCCGGCGTCGACCCTCTGACGCCAAAAACGCTTGATACCAAATGGCTTGTTACCTCTTACGATCCAGTGACTGGGCAGACACCGCTAATGTTTGCTTGCGGTGGTCATGTGGAGGCAGTAGAAGCGTTTTTGCCGTTCATTGGAGATAACATTGATCTTGTCAATCGAGCCTTGACATGGGCAGTGAAAGCAGGATCAGCAGTGGTCGTTGCGAGGCTTCTTCAGCATCCAGGAGTAGATGTTAATGCAATTGTCGATGGCAAAACAGCGTTATACAGAGCTTGTAAGGAACTACACCCTGCGATTGTCGCAATGCTTTTGCAAGCCGGCGCGCTCCTCAGCGTTGACTGCGCTGTTGCCAGTGATAAAGCTCTTAATCGGACATATGACGAAGATGATCCCACGAAATTTAATTGCCTTTTGGCTCTATGTGACCATAAGGCAGTTGTCTATGGCATAAAAGATATTGGAGAAAGGCAACAAGCAATATTTACACTATTAAGGAAGGCTGGAGCTGATATCAACTCGCGGACGTCAGAAGAAGAAACAGCTTTGCATATGGCAGCCTGGTCTCCTGTTCTTGTGAAGCTACTGCTCGAGGCCGGGGCTGATGCAAATGCTACCGACCGTTTTGGCGCAACACCTCTCCACCATATTTTTACAAGGAGGAGTTGGTCACTGCAATCAATTATATTGCTTATTGAGGAGGGACATGCAAATATAAATGCGGTACACCTAGATGGAAAGACGCTTCTTCACTGTCTGTCGAGTTTATATGATAAGAAGGCTGTGAAGAAATTCCTAGAATACGAGCCAAACTGCAACATTCTAGACAACGAAGGCAACAACCCGCTGCATATTTTCATGGAAGGGAACATGAAAGACATAGATATTCTCAAAATCTTGCTTGAGAAGGGTGCAAATCCAAATGCAAAGAATCACAAAGGACTTACCCCTCTACTATGCCTTCGCAACACCCACGGGGTGCTCACTCAAATTATTGAGCTATTTCAAGACGCAGGCGCTGATATTAATGAAGTGGATAGAGATGGCAATAACCTTCTTTTCCGCATTCTCTCTGACCCTACTGGATTATTTGGGAGAAACTCATATAAGGAACTCATATATCTCATGGATCGAGGGCTTTCGCCGTCTCACCGTAACTTTCAAGGCCAAACGATCCTCCATAAGGCGATCGAGCATTATGAAACTATTGAATCATATGGAGGGCCGAGATTGCCCAACACATCGAGACTCGATTTCTTCCTCGACTTAAATCCTGACGTCAAGGCTGTTGATTACAGCGGGAATAGCTTGCTTCATACAATTGCTATGCGTCCAGACATCCACAACTCTCACACAGGCGGCTCCAGACTAATTCCGCTTTGGAGGAAATTAATTGATCTCGGCTTAGATATAGAGCAAAAGAACCACGCTGGACGTACGCCGCTGCATATTTTATGCACAGCCCATCATTATGCCCCATCAACACCACTCGATCAAGGTAAACTCACGCCAATGGACTTTGTTATTTCGCAAGTCAAAGACCTTGATGTCTCTGATAATGATGGAGTTACACCCCTCCATATAGCTGTTACTCGAAGCGAAACATCCTCAAAGCAGCTCATTGATGCTGGTGCAAACCCTCTTGTTTATACTCACGAAGGGCTGACACCACTTCATCTTGCTGCACGATGCAGAGAAAGCAATATAGTTGGCTTATTATTAAGTGCAATGCAGAAACAGCAAATGAAAACATCAGGCTCCATACCACTAGCAGAATTTGAGGGCGTCACTTTGGACAAGAAGTCTACGACATCAGAGGCAGTAATTGGTATAAATGCCAAAATGCTTCATGGCCGCAATGCTATCACGCCTCTATTTTACGCAATTATGTCAGGGAGGCCAGAAACTGTTACCCTTCTTCTTGATGCTGGAGCTAGTGTTGAAATGGGCAACATTTTTGAGGCTTGCCTTGAGTTTGAGGAAGAAATTGGATCAAAAGCACCACGGGGCAATGGAGAAACAAATCATACGCACCATACGAAGTTTTCTGAGACATATCTTGACGATAGATCCAGCTTATTTTACCGGGAAGTTAGTGGTTTACGTTTAGACGATACCGCGAGGCTTGAAGAAATCGTGGATATGCTCATTGACTCTGGAGCTGATCCTTCTCTTATCGAAAGTCGCAGCAGCAAACAACTAAGTAACATTTTATGCAGAGCGGTCGAAGAACATAAAGACTATACGGCTGCTTGTTTCACACGTGTTATTAGAAAAGGATCGCCCGGCTTAGAGACCAACAAACACGAGGATGAGCTCACGAGGCTGTCCAATGCTATGAGCCAATTTCGAAAACAGGCTTCAATTCAGGCTTTGAGGTCATTCCGACCTGATATCGCCCAAAATCAGGGTCAATGTCAGACAGTATCATCAAAAGTTATCAACTATATTTTATCTCAGAGAGAATATCATCTCGTTGAAGAAATTTCTCAGTTAGGGATCAGCTTTCTCCCAGAATCCATGAAAGATAAACACTGTAGTTTATATCATTTCATACGCCTTGGTTTAACATCTCTTTTCGAAACTATAGCATCTCGTGAGGTAAAGCTGGTGTTAAGCAGAGGTGACTGGCATGCCTTCGGAGACGTAACCCGACCGGGACTATGGCACGCAAAAAGAGTCGATCCAACTTCTCAACTTATACCCTTTATACTTGTTGCAGTTCAGCGAGCATTGCCTAATATGGACATTGTGAGGCTATTAGCTGAGAAATTTGCAGTGGATATCAGTGAAGTCGACTCTTTGGGCGAATGTGCTCTATTTCATGTCGTCCGAGGAAATCACTGGTGGCATGTTCACCAAGCATTACCATACCTCCTTGATATCGGTGCCGACATTAACCTGCGCAATGCAAAAGGCCAGACCCCATTACACATGGCTCTCAAAGGAGAAATTCGGGAACTTGGTCCTTACCATTGGGACGCAGCCAAAATATTGGTTGAAAGAGGAGCAGATGTCAATGCAGTTGATAACAATGGCCAGAGCTGTCTCGCGTGCGCGCAACACAACTTCGATATGGTTAAACTACTTATAGGTCACGGCGCAGTTGTGTTAGTGGATTCTATTTTTGCTGCGATCGACTCTCGTAAGGCTGAAGTGCTTCGTGCACTTCTATCTGGAGGCATGGATCCCAATACACGTCGAGATAAGACATTGCGCGAGTCGGGAGAGGAATCGCAGCATTATGATGTAGAGCCGCATGAAGAATTCCCGCTCTATTATGCTGCTAAGAAACTGTACCCACGTTGGAAGCCATCAGAGAAAGATTCGCAAGATGCTGCAGAATCAATGGAAATAATTCAAGTGTTACTAGATCATGGCGCCGATCCGTTTGCAAAAATTTTGAAGCCAGTTGCGCAGATCGAGAATGAGGAGAATTTCTCAGCAGCAAGCAATTCTTCTATACCAGTACCGAAGGGCTATATGGAGTGTATTTTACTACACGAAGTGCTATTGAAGGGCTATTTAGCAGACACATTTCTTCAGATCCCGAGCTTGGATGTCCACCACCGAGATGCGAAAGGCCGTACTCTTCTCCACATGATATGTGAAAGTAGAAATGGCCCAGATTACATAATTGGCTCATATGTCAATGATTCGAATCGTGTGCCCAAAGAACATGTCCATGCATTTCAGCGGCTGCTGTCTTTGGGCTCAGATTTGACAGCCCAAGATAATTTTGGCCGCAATGTTCTGCATTACATGCTTGTTGGCGGGGTGGATATTGAGCCCAGCGCATACGCAAAGTTTCTGGCTTATACTCTGCATAATGCCCCCGAACTGTTGAATCAAGGAGACAACAACGGTGAAACTCCCTTACATTATGCCATGATTCGTGCAGTCGACAGAAATAACACTGGTGAAGCAGAAATGTTAATGGAAGCCGGAGCGGACCCTATGATTATCAGCAAGAGGGGAGATACCATGTTGCATATACTGGGGAAAGGCCTTGCCATTGCAGTCTTGCGTACCTTCTTCCAAGCTCTGGTTGAACGGGGTATCGACATAAACGCTCGCAACGCTCGTGGCGAAACAGCATTATTTTCGTTCTATAATGGACCTAAGACTGAACCAAATACGTGGATGCTCGAAGAAGTAGACAGACCTACTGGAGAACATACCAAACCCATGCTAGAAAAGCTTGGAGGAGACTTCTTTGTTAGAGATGATAAAGGTAGAGGGCTGCTACACGCTGCTGCGAGGGGAGATGTGGCACGGTTCCAGGAACTTATGGATCTGGGACTTGATCCCATGATGGAGGATAATGCTCAACAAACAGCAATTGATGCAGCTGCCGCGTTTGGTAACCGGGATATTTTGGAGCTGTTTGAGAAAAAATAGTAAAGGGTGTAGCAAATTACAATGAAAAACCACCATGTAACCCGCTGCATTGCCGTAATTCCATCTTCGCTAATTCCGAAAGGAAGCAGTCAATCCTCAGGCATTGTGAGCATAACCTGCCAAGAAGATTATACCAGAGATACGCTGGCCAAAATGGAAGCAAGCGGCACCGCGAAGCGGCGAATGAAGACCGGCGCTGACCATGGAGAGTGCGGAAGAATCACAAACCCTTACCTACGCTCTTAGGTCGAAAGATAAGAAGTCAAAATGGAGACGCGGGAGTCGACAATATAATTATAAAGTTCACCTAAAACCGGCGTAGTAAGTTCCTTTTTCAAGAAGTTACTGCTTTCAACTAATGGTATGTTTCTTCTCCCGGAAAATGACTGATGAGTCTTGTTTCATATTGTGAAGTATAAGCTGAGGTGGGATTTTCACCCGTTTCAGCGATGTAGATGGAACTCTGTACTTGCTAGGCGACTTGTCCCAAGTGCGTCGATGGCTTTAAAAGGGATATTGTCAACAGATTTAACATTTATTTTTCTCTTTCTTCCACACAGCGAAAAATTAGTTTAGATAACCAGTTCGATTATAGATCAATTTTGATTTGGAGAGAGAATAGGGCATCTACGTTCTTATAGCCTACATCCAATAGAAAGCGTACCCTAGAGTCTCCAGCAATACGTCTTAAAAAAAGCAACCCTTGAAAAGATACCAGATAAAATAGCCAATAATTCTACTTTTCAATGATGAACTCAATAATAATATGTAATCATTCATAATAAAATACGGAATTCAGGTGGAGCGCAATATACCAGCAGACGGAGTTCCGATGGGTCTGGCGATATCGCCTTCACCGGAGTTGAAGTGGGTCTCGGAGCTCCAAGTTACGGATTGGTGGTTTTATAAGTGAAACTAGTCAACATATATCGCAGACGGCTTTTAGTGCAGTCTCTCTGTATATCATAATTAATAAATCCGGTACAAAGTATCCTAAAAGATACTTCACCATGATTCTGATGGACTTGTTACTAAGTGGAATTCCGACAGAGTCGGATGAATTATAAATTACAAGGCCCCTGACTCTATGAATCTGTCTTTCCTTCCTCCATGGCTGTGTGCTTCTTCCAATTTTTTATCTTTCATCTTCATATCATATAAAATGTCTCCAATTCGTGTTGGACTCATTGGCCTCAGCTCTGAGCCAGCAGGTTTAGGCCAAGGCAAATGGGGCGTATCAGCACACTTGGCCTCCCTTCGTCCCTCTCCCCATTACGAAATTGTGGCGGTATGCAACTCGTCTATTGAATCAGCTCGCCGGTCAATCGAATACCACAAACTGCCTTCTTCTGTCAAAGCGTATGGCAGTCCTGAAGACCTAGCCAACGACCCCGATGTCGAGCTCATTGACGTATCAATTGTCGTCTCGAGGCATTTCCTTGCTGCCAAGCCTGCTTTGTTAGCCAAGAAGCAGGCCTTTGTGGAATGGCCTCTAGGGGCTAGTACAGCAGAAGCAGAAGAGATGCTCCGGTTGGCAAAAGAAGCCGACTTGAAGACTGTAGTTGGTACCCAATTTCGCGCAGATCCATGGCTCGCAAAGGCTAAGCAACTGGTCGAGAGCGGAGCAATTGGCAGAGTCACCAGTTCCGACGTCCAGATTTCTTCTCCCCTTGGACCCATAGATACCTGGACTGCCGAAGCTGAGTTTTATTTGGATTTTGAGAGTGGTGGGAATGAATTTCATATTTTCTTTGCTCACTGTAAGTCCGGCCATTGTATACCTATGTCAGTTATGCCCATACTGACTTGCACCTCTGAGCAGTTCTAAGCGGATTTACTTATGTGCTCGGAGAGTTCGCGAGCATCAAGTCGACGTTCGCAGTCCAGAATCCAGTAGTGAAGTTGATCAGCAGCAAGACCAGCGAAGTAGTCAACCCAGAAAAGCGTAGAACTGCCCCTGACCATATTTCAGTTCAAGGCATGCTGGAAAGTGGTGCCATGGTCAGCATTAGCACGCGTACGCCACCGAAGCCGATTGACGGACACAGCTTGCGATGGCTCATTACTGGCTCAGAAGGAGAATTGGAGCTCACAACCAGTGGTAGAGGGTACCAAGTTGGCTCCAATCCAAGAACTTTGCGAGTCGTTTTAAAAGATGGTGAAATAAAAACAGTTAATTGGGAACAGGACGAGCCAAGTCATATCAAAAATGTTGCTCCGCCAGGGGTGAACACTGCAAGACTGTTTGAGGCTTATGCCCTAAATAAGGATTGCTATTCGGATTTTGAGAAAGCCGTGAAACTCCATAAACTTTTGGATAGAATTGCGAAAGATGCAGGTTATATGTAGAGAACAATATCTTCAACATCATTATATCATACTTTCTTCAATGAACAAGTTCCGCTAACCGTTAAACCATCATCATGTAAAATTCAAACACCTTATTACTCATGCTTATTCCATTGCTTGCATTATTTCGCGGCGAGATATTAACGAAAGATATGATTCTGTGCCCCTGATTAGCATTTGATGAAAAGAAGTATGCATACGACACATACGAGCAACATGATATCGGCGGCTGAGGAGTTCAAGCCCCTGCTTAATAACGTGCAGTTTATCAGCCAAGGACTCGCTAGGGGTAGTTTTCGAAGCCTTTAAATAGAGCATGGCCACCCTATACAACATATGCAGGAGGAATGGAGACGAGCGCCGGTGTACATCGTTTTCAGGGCGCTGGGTGATGTAGACGGATATTTGCAAAACTGTCTGCGAAATCAGGCTGCTTTCCACAGATAAGTGGTCGAGCGATATGACAGGGCAATTTGACTCTCTTTGACTTTGAGAGCAGTCTAGTAAGAGTATCCCGCTGCTAAATGTTAACACTTCTCGGAACCTTTAACGTAGGTAGGTAGACATCAGATCACACTTACCAATAGCACACAGATGTTTGTGCGCAGAATTCCAGCTGCCTGAACTTTGCTTCCAAACTGGAGACATTGACCAAAGAGAAGATAGTCCGCCTCAACTGTGCGGTCTCGCTCTCTGGAGACTTTTCAGCAACATGGCGTAAAACCTGGCCGAGTAAATGGGCACCTTGCGCAAAGCGAGCAAATCGGCCCAAATTAAGAGCATTAGCTGAACCCAGCGTAAATGCATCTTCTGGTCGAGATGTCTAGGAGCACCATGTTAGAGGTCAATGGAAAGATAATGAGACACCCACGCGAAACTCACCCCAGCATTGAATGCTGCATCATCAATTGGGAGCCAGTTCTCTATCGCCGGGTCAGAAGTCACAAGATGACGACTCGGGTCAGACAAGTTCAAGAATCTAAAGTGCGGATTAGCATAACTATCTGTATAGCAAATGGATCTTTGTAGGCTATAAATGTATATAATACCCACCTGTCCAGAACAAGCAGCGACCACCATGCTCGGCGGCGTTCCTCCAGTTCTGGCCACGAAATACCGTTAATTTCGCAATGCAGAATTGACTTGTCGACATCAACCGCGCATGCATATCGAGCAGAGCTAGCAATGGATAAGAAGGCAGATGGATATATGCCATTCCCCAACTCGTAAATAATGATGAGAACTGACGCTTGAACCACCCGGAGAGAGAGAACTCCAGAATTTTCAATTTTATGTTGCAGCTGTTTTGTTATCTGATAAAGCGGCGTTCTTGAGCTTGAACCTGGCTCGCAAACCAGTTTCATAGCGAGGATGAGGAAGAAGAGTTCAGCACGTTTGTGAGTCAACGAACTGACCAAGTTAGCCAAAAACTGGATCTTGGATATAATTGGCATCCATTCGTGGACAGAATCAAAGAACTTGTCCGATATTGCCTTGATGTTGGCAACATCACCAACAAAGTCGGATACATCCTTTGTAATTAGGTAATCCACATCTGGCTCAGGTACTCTCAGCTGGGCGCTACGGAAGCCTTCAGGGTCCAAGAACCTCTCAGTGAGAAAATTGGCACCAGTTGGGTTCAAAGGCGCGAGATGGAGGCTTTCATAATAGTCTGGGCTTGCTCCAGAGGTCTCGGCTGAGCCGGAGGCTGGCGAGCGGTCTGTTAAGAGATTCGAGATTGGAGAGACTATTGAGTTGCTGGCTGGTCGCTTTCGCTCTCGCTTCTTGCGGCGGTACGGATAATCGCATACAATTCGCTTTCTAACAGCGGTTGGCACTGATTAGTACTCCATAATAAGGCCTGTGAACACTAGAATCCTAACAATCAAGGTGGGTATAGAAAGTCTCACTGGATGCAGCCTTTGCACTGAGGAATGGAGCGGTCGCATCGCCGCTTAGAATCCCGGCAAGCCAGACACGCAAAGGGCGCTGGAGTAGTCGCCAGAGTTTCGTACCGCCGGCTCATGATGAATAACGACGTCCTTGGAGGGCGGTTATTGGATGGGACTCTTGTTGATTAATTGACCTGCGGCATGTTGCGGACACATGCGACTGATATTGCCGAAAGTGCGGATCCGGCACTAGAGCTGACAAATTGACTGCCGAGGCTCTTGTGGCAGAGTAATAATATCTATTGCGGCTCAGTGAAATCTGACCCGACTGATGGCACTGTAAAGGAAAAGAAGGCGGAAAAGGTTGAGATGACATCATTTTGTTTATCCAAATATACCAATGGCCTATCAAAAATATAAGGCTTATAGAACAAGCAAACGTATAATTTTATACCTGTAAATGCTCCGTAGGATCTCGTCACTCTGGATCAAAACCTAGGGATTGAGGCACACGTCAAGTGGCACACATCCCAACAACTCAACCAAACCGCAAACACCTGTACTTATGCTTTTGACGCGTTGTCTCTCGCCAAAATCTCATTCAGAATTGCCTCTCCAAAACCCTTCGTTGTTCCCTTACCACCAACATCCGGCGTCACAACATTTGCTTCGGCGCGAGCCATGACTGTCTCAATCGCTCGAAGCAGTTCATCTGCAGCCTCCTTGTGTCCGAAATGCTGCAACAGCATCTGGCCGGCCCAGATCATGCCCACCGGATTTGCGATGCCTTTTCCAGCAATGTCCGGAGCGCTGCCGTGGACAGGCTCAAAGAGACTCGGGAATTTGCCATCGGGATTGATGTTTGCGGATGGGGCAATTCCGATGGTGCCTGTGCAAGCCGGTCCCAGATCAGATAGGATGTCGCCAAATAGGTTGCTGCCGACGACCACGTCGAATATATTGGGCCGCTGCACAAAATGAGCTGTCAAGATGTCAATGTGGTACTTGTCGACGCTGACATCTGGATACTTGGTGGCCATCTCTTGTACTCTGGAATCCCAGTAAGGCATTGTGATGCTAATTCCATTGCTCTTTGTCGCGCTGGTCAACTTCTTGCGCGGCCTGCTTTGTGCAAGGTCAAAGGCATATCGAAGCACGCGGTCAACGCCAGTCCTCGTCATTACCGTCTCTTGAATCACAACCTCACGGTCTGTTCCTTCAAACATCTTCCCTCCAATGCTGCTGTATTCCCCCTCTGTGTTCTCCCGCACGATCCAGAAGTCAATGTCACCCGGCTTGCGGTTGGCCAAAGGACATGGCACTCCTGGCATCAAGCGACACGGTCGAAGGTTGATGTATTGATCAAACTCGCGACGGAACTTGATCAGGCTTCCCCATAGCGATACGTCGTCTGGAACAATATCAGGCATTCCCACGGCGCCAAAGTATATGGCATCGAACTGAAGTAGCTTTTCCTTCCAGTCGGGAGGCATCATGTCGCCATGCTTCTGATAGTAATCACAGCTCGCAAAGTCAAACCACTCGAGCTGCATTGGGATGTTGTAAATTATGGAGAGGGACTCCAAACATGCCACACCCACTGGCATCACTTCTTTGCCGATACCATCGCCTGGGATAACTGCAATCTTGAGAGGTTTGACCGCCATGTTTGCTTTCGCTGTAGCGATGAGGGATGCTTTCAGAAATGATTAAACAGATAGAAACTGGCATATAAGGCAAAAGTGAGATAAATATTGTGTGTAGCAAATGATCAACATGCACAAATGTACGCTTGTTCTTTGTGCCGCATGTCTCGCATACAAAAGCTGCCGGTTTTGGCGGGGTATATTATACGTTCATCCGTCCTTTAAAGTGCACCTCCAAACCAGCAAAGAGCATTTGCTTGAAGGCCAGCCTGATGCTCGACAGTAGAATTAAACGTTCTAAAGTAAAGGCTGAGTTTTACGCCAAATTTGTCAATATTAATCTCTACGCACATATTGCGCTGCAGTGGAAGAGATCAATCGGAGGATGATGTAGCTAGAAAGCTCACCCGAGTCAATCTTCCTATTCGGGTAATTTGCCAAGTCGGGCCGCCACCTCCAAAGATGCGGGCGAAACACCGAACTGGATACCTTTAGCTCTTAAGCACTTCAGTTTTATGATGAATTGAAAATAAAATCAAAAGGGGTTAGAACTTACTTTCTACATTATCGGCATGTAATTATTCTATACATTATATTCATCCTATTCAATCTGATGTGCTCCAGTTGCGCAGACTTACTGCAATTTGCTGTCAGAACTGCAATACCTCATACAGATGTCCTCAGTGCATCATTATAATCGAATTAATAACATAAATTAATTTGTACATCGGTGCATGACCTTCTCTAACCACTCAGGATACAAATTCATTGTAGAAACTCTAAAATGTTGAATACAACTTCATCTGGCACATTCTCCGGAAGATAGTGGCCGGAATCAACGTCATGTCCATCCACCTTAGCATTGCTCACAGCTTTCCATTCTTGAATAGCATGGAAATGCTTCCCAATAACTCCATGTCTAGCCCATAAAACCCTCAATGGATTTTGAATCAACCTTCCCTGTTTGATATCCTCTCGTGCCTCGTCTAGATCCAACGTGGCGCTTGCTCGATAGTCCTGGCACATGGAGTGTATCGTCACTGGATCTCCGAGATTGGAAACATACTGATCTAGACTCTCTTTTTCAAATATTGAAAGTCCGCTCACTTGTCGACCGCCCATGAACAATTCTGCAAACTGCCGAGGACTTGCAGATATGAGCGTCTCCGGCAGAGGCGATCGCTGAATCAAGAAGTACCAGTGCCAGTACATCTTCGCAAAGTTCGGGTTTTCAACCGTATACATCGCAAGAGTAGGGCATATATCGAGGAATATGGCCTTCCGCACGCGATCCGGGTAATCAACGCACACTTTATGCGCCACTCTCGCACCACGGTCGTGGGCGCAGATAAAGAATGATCCAGTAATGCCAAGCTCGTCCATCACTTTTATACAATCCCGAGCCATGAAACTCTTTGCATACTGCGATACGTCTTCTGGTTTGGACGAACTTCCATATCCTCGCAAGTCGATGATTACAATAGTGTATTTGTCTCGTAATTGCATTGCAGCCTGGTGCCATATATGGTGGCTCTGTGGAAATCCGTGGAGTAGTAGTAACGGCGGACGTTTCGATGACGAGACATCGCCACTTCTAATGCCGAAGATTGAGACATGTGGCTCAATCTGCGTTGTTATGGTGAATGTATCAAATCCGTCAAACATGATGGTCGAATCTATGAATATTTAATGAACAAACAGTTATTTGCGCAAACAAAAAAAATTTACGTCAGCGTTGAAGCTTAAATGTGTCCATCTACGTTTGCGGATAGTTAGCTTACATGGCTCATGTGTAAACGTTTTGACGATGCTACTGTCTAGCATCGGTAGAAATATTAAGCGCCTCAGAGACATCGCTATATGTCGGCTGAACGTATTCTCAAAACCACTCGTGCCGCGAGGTTCAACGTAAAAGATACTTTTCTTTTCTTTTTTTTTTTTTTTTATTCAATCAGAAGAAATATGAAATGTAACCGCTCTTGAGGCCATCTAGTTACTAGCAAACTCATCAACTAGTCTCACGGCTTCATTAATACAGCTCTCAGAGCACACAAATTCACGTATGCAATCAGTCCTATCCTCTGTTTAGTCGAGCATCAAGAATTATTTGGTTCAATGCGTTACCAACACGAGACTTTTCATCTCTGTTTACTTTGATTGAATCGGGAATTGATCCTTGCCGCCCTAAGGTTATGATGCATTTATCGTCCTCTCAATCTCTCAATGTTGCTGGGAAGCTTACATTCTCATTTTTTAAAAAATGTCTCTCGGGATTCCTAAACTTCTTGCTCTATCTTAAATAGTTAAAATAGTTGACTCTCCGTCTAGTCGCTCAACTCTTACTTACTTGCCACAGGAATAATGTTTCAGGGCTATACGGCAGATTCCTCTTGCTTTAACTTACGAAAAAGTATGCATCCATAATATAGTCATGAAAACCCAATTAGAAAAGTGATATACATTTGCGAATTTGGGCTTTGGTTACTGAATTTAGGGATATTGTGCCATTATCAGAGTCGTGCCGTCCGAAACTACGGCCAACCAAAGCCCGTCTTAAACAGCCCGAAATCGTCAAGACCACCCATACTCAGCGAAGACTTCAAAATGGGAAACGGGTACTCCATACCGTATATAATTTAACCATCTTCATATTAGTTGGAGGTTAATAAGTGCTGCTGGGACAGTTATAGGGGGTTATCAAGACGTTCTAACTCGCATAATAACGTCTTTACACTTATAATTCGTCTGCAGCAAAGATCTCAAACTGGAGTGTGTTAGCAAACTGCTGCTCACGAAGCAGCTAGCATTTGTCTAAGGAAATGATAGGATAAGCAAAAACGATGTTGATATTATGAGTGGCTTAAACGCCTATCTTTGAAGATAAGTTCTTAACTCCGATTGCCAACTCTGCGTCGGCTTTTGTGTATAGTGGAGACTTGAACAAATGTGTTTTCGCCATTGTAATCGATCGAAGCTTCTAAATCCAAACATCACATCGACACACTGAGGATATTAATCAGCCAAAACTCTTGCGATAATAACTACAGAAATATTACTAACTGTGTGATCAAAGGGCATCAAAGGCATAGAAATGGTCAATACTAATCATTCTCTCCAACCGAGGCACTCTTAGTAAATTTGGTAAGTATCGGCGGACCTTTTCGGCATTATGCGGGAAAACGCTCGTCCCACCAATTGCTTACACCATCTGTAACGCTATCTGTGGACCTTTATACAAATTCGGAAAGCAGCTCTATCTATCGTGGGTCACCTACTCATGATTCCATAGGCGGCCAACAAAGTGCAATCTAGGTTAAGGGACAGCGATATCATGGTGTGAATGGTTGATTCCTTCTATTACAAATCCTTATTTCTTAACATCAAGGCGAAATGATGAAACTGGAGCTGAAAGAATGAAGCCATAAGGTTGATTCGGCCGAGAGCCGCCGCGCCCATTCCTATGGCGTTTCTTTAGCCTCAATTGCCCTTGGGAATAATGCTTTGGCTGTGTTGCTATATAGATAAGAGTTTCTTTAGTATCAAGTTTATTTCAGCTGTTTTAACAACAACCATACCTTATTCTCATTGACATCAGTCTCTATAAATATTTCTTATTCTTCAATATACCTTATTCGGCCCTCACTTCTCGTCCATCACAAAGCCAAGTTAACAACTAAAATTACTTTCACAACAATCACTATGGCGGGCGAACTCGTTCTAGTAAGTATCTGACAATTTCATGTTTATTCATAAAGCTTCATAACTAACAACCTACAGCTTACCGGAGGCACTGGCATGATTGGTTTCCGAGTTTTAACTCTCCTCCTTGAAGCAGGCTACAAAGTCCGCGCTGCTGTGCGGAACCAAGCTGGTTTTGACAGAATATCAAAACTCAAGCCAGTCGCTCCCTACGCCTCAGAGTTGACTAGCATTGTTGTACCAGATATCACCGTTCCGGGAGCTTATGACGAAGCAGTCAAGGGCGTCGAATATATTGTGCATGTTGCTTCTCCACTAGCAAGCAACGCTCCTCCTGGGGTTGACTATGACAGCTACCTGATCCAGCCAGCTATTCAGGGCACTGTAGGCATCTTAGAGTCCGCAGTGAAGACTTCCGGTATCAAGAGAGTTGTCATTACTGGATCTATTCTTTCTATCGTCACCCCGCAAGTCTTGGGCTCGGGCCAATACATCAACGGTAGGTTATCTGGATAAGTTTACTTACACTTTGCACTATAATATCTTGGTTGGCCGTTTTACTAATATTCGAGTAGAGGAAACACGCACCCCGACAATTCACGGACCATTTGCTAATCTCTTTGACGCTTACGGAGCATCCAAATCCGCAGCGTTTAACAAAGCGAAAGAGTTTATCGCTGAGAGAAGGCCATCTTTTGATCTCATTCACGTCTTCCCCCTCTTTGTTCTCGGACGTGATGAGACTGTCACAAACGCCGAACAGATTGTCAAGGGTACCAACAATATGCTAATGGGCCCACTGCTCGGTACACCACGACCTACCCCAATTCCAGGCGCTCCTGTCCACGTCGACGACGTTGCCAGACTTCATGTCCTGTCCCTGGACCCTAAGGTGGAGGGCAATCAGGACTTTTTGGCCGGATCACATCACCTCGAGCATTTTGACTGGCGAAAATCGGCCGACATCATCAAGAAGCATTTCCCTCAGGCAGCTGCCGAAGGCTTGTTCAGTTTTGAGACCGTTGAGAAGTTGGTGACGCTTAAGACGCAAGTAGATGGCACCAAGGCAGAGAAGGTTTTTGGATTCAAGGCTAAGGGATTTGAGGAACAAGTGGTGTCAGTTGTGGGCCACTATTTAGAGCTGCTCGGTAAGAACTAGAACGCGGGCACTACGGACTTGGCACTTTATAGAAGGCAACACGGTCTTTCCGGGAAAAGGCGGAATAGCTGTCAGACGTTATATTAATCAGAAAGATAAAAGTTAATACTTGCTTAGCCGATAATTCTCAGTACCAGTGTGGATGTTAATCCTTAAACGATCACAGTAACGAATAGGAACGAGTCAGTTAGTGATGGTTATAAATGCGTGGGGAAGATGGTTATATATTGCATTTAGTCGTGGAATTAATTCTGAAAGTTAATAGAAATCCATATGTTTGCAGATTAATAGTTACAAGTTTCTTCTTTTCTTAAGGTTTCGCTTCGAGTCCAGGGATTTTCTTGAGTTTGAATCGCATGTTGTTAAATCTACATCCCCAACAGCTCAGGAAGTTAGTAAAAGTCAAATACCAAACATCGTGGCTATGTATTCACGAAGCAACCGCATTTCCCTAGTCTTAGGGGGAAGCAATCTACATATCAATATACCAAAACAAATCGTATCCAAAACATAACTCCCAAGCATTACTTCTCTTGCTCGTTCATATGCTGTTCCGTCCTATCAATTCTCAGCCAGTTTCAAACATCTTCAGCCCAAGATGTGCCATCTTATATCTTCAGCCCTTGCCTAATTCTAGCCACCGTACTAATCTATCCACAGCTTCTCTAGCTTCTGGTATAAACCGAATCAACGGCCACACATGCATCATACCTTCGCCCTCCACATACTCAATCTCTCGCCCTTGCGCTACTACCTTGGCCACAAACTTTCTAATATCCGGTGTCAACATCTCAGTTGATCCAGCAAATATCAATGTAGGCGGTAGCTCGCTAACATCTCCGTACAGAGGGCTCACTCGCGGATCGTCGGGCGATACATCCGGGCAAAGATATCGCACCGCCTCTTCGAAACCGGGGATATCTAGCCATGGATCCGTTTGAGCGGTTTCTCTCATCTCCGGATTGAGAAAAGTGAACTCTACGCAAGGAGACATAAAGGCGAGTCGTGAAGCCGTTGGACGGCCTGCTTTCAGAGCCTCCTGTGTAAGAGAAAGGCCTAAGCTCCCGCCCGTAGAATCGCCCACAACAAAAAAAGGCGTCTTTTCTTGTGACGGCAAAGCAAAGTCCTCATACACTGGTCTCACGGCATCAAAAATCTCCATCAGGGTACGCTCCGGCGCCAGCGGGAAAACCGCCATCGTCACCACGGCCTGGAGTCGCTCTGCAAGCAAAGCCACCATTTGCCAGTGCACCACATCGACTTCGAATAAAAAGCAGCCGCCGTGAAGATACAAGATGCGAGCCTGGTTCGGCATCTCGGATTTCGGCGCTACATCGTAGAGAACACAACCGCCAAGATGGCGCTCCTCAACGATGAACTGCGCCTCTATATGCGCTGGCGGGCGCGTGCTCTTGGTCTGGCGATCATTTTCGATGCGCTGGCGAAGGGCATCGACGGTTTGGAGCGAGCCCTTGAACCGCCACCAGACCATCCATGAAGCGAGATATGCTTGCCAGCTGCCCATGATCGGATTTTGCGCGAAAATCTTGTCATGTAAGATGCGCGTTTGGGGAATGAGTGAATAAGTTGGAGAGCATGTGATTATGGCTCTTTTCTAGGCAGTGGCACATACATGTCATTGTTACATGTATCCAGCTGCGGCTCCATAGTCGAATGATGACTATGTTTACTGCTTACTCTGGGACTGGGCTTCGGATTACTATGGAAATGGATCTGTTCATTCCCGTCATAAACTTGTTATTATTGCTGACTTTTCCAAATACATCGCGCCCGTAGATGAAAGCTGCTGCAAGATGTAAGTGATTGCAGCTAAAGTGGAGCGCCTGAGATCGATGACGCTCGCATGTGAACATTTAATGGGCGTCATATGGAACACTGCGCGTATAGCATACATGTATTTAAATACCAAAGCAACTACCTTGAAGTAAATTGAGAAGTTTTGAATACGAATACATTGTCAAGGCTAAATACGCACTACAGAGCAACATTGGCAGACTCGTCTTATAAACGCTTCTCTAACAACGCTGCATACACTGGACGAAGAGAATGACGATGTTTAAACTCACTACCATGACTTCATGTGCGCATGTTCGAAAATTGAGCATTAAGCGCTCGAGTTCATCCAATGGCAACCCAACTGGCTTTTTTTTTTCCCACCCACATGTATATACTGCACATCTACAGCGATTTTCTAACCCCCCTCGCCACCCATGAGCATTGGGCCACCACAGAATACATGGGCATTTTATTGGCGGCATACAAGTATATGCCCGTCCCAAGCGTTCCTGTTTACAGCATTTTCAACCTCACCTGACGCATTAGGCTGCTATGGAGAGGTTCATGCATATATTGCCGTTGTAGTCAACATATGCTGACGAAATAGCAGGACTTCAGAGTACTTTTAGTGTTTAACAGAACATTGAGTTTCTAACATAAAGGTGCTCCGTGTACATGAAGGTATTCCGTATCCATCCAGAACCCTGCAACATCGGGATCAGGGATCTTCAAAATATATCTGTATGTTTTGAACATGGGATGAGGGTCAGGCGAGCCTGGTCCTTCACAGCATTCTTAACTTCTCCCGAAGCATAAGACATTTCATGGAGACATACATGCATTTATTACTGTGCACAACACTGCATATGTACGATACGTGTTTCACAGCATTTTTAAACCCTTCCGTAGCTCACTCATCTATGAAGCATTAGATAAAGAATGCAAAAGTTATCCATGCAGTAATCTGCCTTTGAATACCCAAAAGCCCAAATGCAACCAATGAACTACATATGCTATTAATAACAAGAAGCTTAGTATTGTGCATTGTGACCCCGTTCGGGGCAACGAGTTTTTCACAGCATTTTTTCCCTCCCCGAGGCTCACTTATTAATAGGGCTTCAGTATATGGACACCTGCATGAGGCGGGGAGGATTACGGTCCGGTTCTGAATTCACAGCAATTTTAACTCTTCCCGAGAAGCCCACTTCCCTCTAGAAGCTCCAGTATTGACAGTGCTTAAAACCCTTAATCTTCTAAAAATGATCTAGAATTGCAGGGCACTCGGCAGCATGATTGCGCTCGCTTGTGAATTATGACTATTAAATATATGCGCATGTACAAGACAGGTGGAAGTTACGAGAAGGACTTACTGGAGCTACTTCAGCCTGATTGTAGCCAATAGCAATAACTGAATTGAAATCCACAGTTGCCTGGAGTGTAAATAAACCATCATGTATACAATAGCAGCATGATCATGAATACTATTCATATTCTCCTTTTTATGTACAGTAATTGCTGTCGCAGAATGCTAGAATGTGTATGTAAATGCTGGCTTTGTATGGATAATGCATCTCTACATCTAGGCGGCACCCGGTCATCAATGGCTCTTAATATTAGGGTACATCAAAATAATAAAGAAATTAACGCCTATGAGCATTTCACAATGTGTTGCCGTTGTTGCTATCTCTTATCTCGGAATACAGTTCGATGGAACGTGTGTATTTGAAATGCGAATTATGTCATTAGTAAGACCAGCAGCAGTAAAACGAAAGCCGAGATGATTTAGCGCCATCGGGTTTATGGACTCTCGTTTTGATTCTCTACGTCCGACGCCTTAGTCCCGGGAATGCAGCAGCGCGATCTAGCGGGGCCGCGAGCTGTCGATTTTACTGCTCGGGAGTTGCTACTAGGCCTGCAAATCCGGTGCATCGGGGCAGTAACAGCAGCTTTGTGTTGATTTCGCTACGCCGTGATGGCATCAGATAACCCAAATCCGCGAACGGGCGACAAACGTAGAGCAAATAATTAATAATAATTATAACTATATATACGGACAGTCTCTTCTATAGTTTTGAAACTGCCTCATCATCATCTACATCAACATCAGCAAAAGCACCAACAATAAAGCAATATACACTCCAGCAGTAACTCAGAACTACATCTTTTATATACTGCCATCAGAATATTTGCATAGGTATCAAGAAACACATAGACAATGTCCCTCCAAGACAAAGTCATCCTCATCACCGGCGCCTCCAACGGCATCGGCAAGGCCTGCGCCCAGCGCCTCCACCAAGAAGGCGCCCGCATCGTCATCAACTACCGCACCGATGCCTCGTCCGCCAACGCCCTCGTCGAGTCTTTTGGCGCAGACCGTGCCATTGCTGTGCAGGCCGACGCCGCCAACACCGCCGACCTCGACCGCCTCGTCCAGGCCGCTGTTGACAAGTTTGGCCGCATCGACACGGTGGTGGCTAACGCGGGCCTGATGCTGATGCGAGATGTGGAGGACACCACCGAGGACGACTTTGCCAAGAGCTTCGATCTCAACGTCAAGGGCCCGTACTTTTTGGCGCAAAAGGCCGTTCCTCACATGCCGCCCGGCTCTCGCATCATCTTCATCTCGACCGGCGTCTGCCATCATTCATCCGTGTCGCCCAAGTATCTCCTCTACGCAGCAACAAAGGGGGCCATTGAGCAGATGACGCGAGTGATGGCCAAGGGACTGGCTGCAAAGGGCATCATTGTCAACGCTGTGGCTCCTGGCCCAACTGCCACGGAGCTGTTCTACAAGGGCAAGCCGGAGGGCCTGATCAACACGATCAAGGGATGGAGCCCCTTTAACAGGCTTGGCGAGCCCGAGGAGATCGCCAACACGGTCAAGTTCCTGGCTAGCGGAGACAGTTCGTGGGTCGTCGGCCAGACGGTGCTGGTGAATGGGGGGATTATGGTGTAGTTGACGAATTGACGACCTTTTCGCATTTAGCGGCATGATTTAGCATTGGTACAGGATACATGTATAGACTCTTGTGGTTCAATAGAAATAGACTATTTGTTGGTACATATTAATACGTCCCACCACACCACAGCTTCTCTGTATGGCCTCGGACATGTCCACAGCATCTTTCCAACCTTCACGTGCTCATTCATGCACATGAAAGCGCTTATCCGCCTTTGGCAGATGCAGATTCAAACGCGCTGATGCAGGTAATACGGGGTAAGTCTGCTGAAGCAAGGCAAAGTATCCCTGCACTTGCAAAGTGCCGTAGTGTACTTGATGGTGCTTGCAGAGGGCAGAAGAAGGCGTTTGCTGCGGCTTTGATTCTAGAAGATGTATGCGCCACCACGCACTTGTCTTGCTGCTTCTGGGTTAGCCCGTTTCTGGCCTGGCAAACGCGCATGAATAGGGCATCCTCCAATCATTCGGTGTTGGGTCAAGCTAGGCAGTCTTCATGTTCTAGTCTGCTATTCACTAACAGCATAAACTATTAGTATTCGAATCGGCATCAACCCAGACTTCAGCTGAATCCCCATGTTTACAGGCGCGGTTCGGTGATCCTGTCCCTCTCCTTTCAACCGAGGTCGTCAAACGCGTTGCGAGCATAGTTGCTGCATCCTGCTCCTTTTTTTCCCGAGAAAACGCAGAGCACATGACTCCTCCCAATCTATTTCGCTTCCCGCTCAGTGACAGGACGGCATCGAGTACAGAAAACAGCTCAAAATCAAAATGCCCCATCAGGTACTGCATAACGTGACCACTTGATATCGTTCTGGGCACTCTGGGATGTAACCGCGGCTGTGAACTTGCGAGGAGTACCTACATGGAGGCAGCCTGTTGGACAGTGCTGGTGGGTGGATGGATGCGGAGAATCTGCATCAATGACAGCGCCCATGCCTCGTCAATGCGGCCAACGGCATCTTGTGCGTGGATGAAGAAATGCAGGTCAGACTTGCCGGCCGAAAGCTCACGCCATGTTGTGTCAAGGGCTCGCAAAGTTCGACGAGCGACGCCCCGTTTATGAGCCGGGCCTGGTCGACGCCGGTATTTTTAGTGCATGGCACGTCCGCGACAGGCATCCATCGAGAGCGGTGGGACTGCGCGATACCTGCATATCGTCTGATCCCCCGCATTCAGCGGCATCAAGATATAAAGGCCGTGTGTCTGCGCGCATAGTCTATCTGCTAAGCTGTAGAGATAAATGAAGCCGAGATCGATGCCACCTCCAGCGACTCTAGCGAGCCCAAGCACAGGTCCTCGCACGTGCACAGTGTGACTTGCAGCGCGGTCCGCATCCCCAGATTTTTACTAGGCTATTAGCGGCTCCAGGCCTCGTCCGGCCTATCACAGCCCCGCCATTAGCCACTGTCCGCCATCTACTGCCCTTTCGAGAGCCCGAGTTTTGCCGACCTCGACGTCAGAATCTCGGTCTCAGAAACATCGGACCACCAGTGACCAACTTTGTCCGGATCCATCTCCGGACGACCGGCCCTTGCGCTCGAGCTCTGCATTGCGTCTTTGATAATCGCGCTGACGCCTCTCCTGAACATCACGCATACCATTCGATTTTGTCTGATATCGTCGCGAGACCGTCCCGGCGCTGTGTTACACTCGCCATCTCTCTTCCATCTCATCTCTCCCTTCTGAGCGACGCCTCTCATCGGCTTCTCCCTCTCGAAATCCAGGACGGCACAGACACGACTCTTTGCGCCGTCTCTGCATCACCGCCAGGCCTCACCGCATCGCAGCCTGACCGCGACGGCCGTTTGCCTTCCAATATTCGATAGGCTCTCGGCAGCTGCAGCTGCAGCCACTTTGCATTAACATCTGCAGCCCGGGAACGTCCATAGGCGGCCTGCCATCTCAACCCTGCGGGTACACCGAGACACAAGCGCACACGCACACGCACACGCGCAGTTTATAATTAAAAAATCCGATACCTACAATCAGCCTGCATCAGTCATCGATACTCAAACTACAACAACACTGTACATCGTCAGGCAGGGAGAAGGGGAACAGAATAAACGATGCCGTCACAGCGACCATTCTTCCTCTCCTCCTTCTTCAACTCCTTTCGACAACAAGCCCCTGCCCTCTCTCAACAAGCCACCAAACACACGTCGCAGGCCGCATCTGCATCTGCTGCCGCAGCCTCCACATCAGCCGCGGCCGCAGCATCTTCCACTCCATCGTCCGCCGCCCGCGCAATCTCCACAAACGCTGCCACAACATCGTCCACCAACGTCGCCATCCACACGCCGCGCGGTTCTCCCGGCGGCCCCATCCCCATCCCCAACGGCTCTCGCAGAAGGGGTAGCGACAGCAGTAGCGAAGGCTTTCGCGATGCGCTCGGCGCGGATAAGTGGTACATCGGCGGCAGGACGGCGGCTGGGGAGGAGAAGTTCTTCAAGATGGGCGTAATTCGAAGGGTAAGGAGTAATGATGGCTTGAGTCTTGATCGTCTGAGTTTATAGGCATATGGCTGGACGGAGACCGCCTGAGGTGCGGCGACATATCACCATCAGAGATCTTCAGAATGATCGCATCATTTCCTTCCCTTTGTCTCATTTTTTCTTGCTTCGACATCAGCACGAAAAAAAAAAAAAGTATATAAATGACTAGAGCGAATTTTGTTTTGGATATGGGCAACAAGGATGTAAAACATCAAAACAACGCCTACAGGAAAGGCCTTGACTTGGGAATTTAGGGCTTGGGATATTGGGAACATGGGCGTGGCGTTGTTTGCACTGGGTTCGGAATATTTTATCAACAACTTTTTACAACCGACATTTTTACAACTGAAATTTTTTACAATCGTACTCTATCTTGCATAAGAAGAATGAGGCTTTATTGCGGCCTCTGAGCAAATACAATTCTTTATCTATAAATCCGTTGATTTTACCACATGAAGCGCTGTAATCGTCCTCCATCGAGAATACTTCCATCTTCAGCTTTCCAAACATATGGCTTGTAGAGGAATATGTACCCCGTGATGATATTGATCAAAGCGAACCAGATCGTTTCCAGAATCAGCCGGACGTCGTAAACGCGACAAAAATTGACAAATTTACACCAGACAGATGTTGAACTGGCGCTATCGAACAGACTATCTTCTCTTGCTTGATGATCGTGCAATCTCCAGGCAGGCACCAAAAGCCTCCATATGACCCACGGAATGATAAAGTAGCGGGGCTCGACCAGTGGCGCCGTAATGAGCGAGAGGCTGGTGGCGAGCAGGAAAATGAGCCCGGTAGATGTTGGGAGGGGCTCTGTTGAGAAGGAGAGGGGATCCAGCTTGGCATCTTTCTTTGTCTCCTCTTTGGAATTCTTTGTAGTAGGTGTTTCGGCATCCGCTACGACAAATGGATCACAGATGAATGGTGATGGGCGACACGAGTGATAATATGCCGAGCAAGCGTCTTTGTGAACTCCCGAGATCAAGCTCGTGCAGCCAGAGAGAGTGCCCCACACGAGCCAGCGGCTGGCAGTGTATGGCAGGATGAGGAAATACCGGATCCAAGGTGCGCGGCGAATAGTATATCGAAAGACGTAGAACATGTAGTGCCGATTGTCAGCTAGAGTAAAAGGGTGGATGATTGTGTTGAAGCGGACGACAAGGCCGGACAAGACAAAAGTTGTGGCCAAGTAAAGCGGCCATAGAAGTCGATTGTTGAAAATGAAAGCAAATAGTTTCAGTGGAAGTGACAGCGCTGGCTGAGACGCTGCATTATCTTTCTTCTTCTTGGGTGTAGCTTTATCCTTTCGTGAGATGAACACGCTTCGTGCAGCATCGATTGCTAAGATTGCATACGGAACGAAAAGCGGGAGCGAAAAGAAGCCGAAAAAGGCCCAGATGTAGAGCATTTGCGGCAGATGAATGGTAGCAACGTGGTTAGACTTGTCTCCAAGGACCACGCCGCCGTTCCATGCTACGAATCCGGCAAAGGCGGCCAAGACGGTGACATAGGGCCATATCTGCCTGATAATTCGAATGGGATTGCAGAGAGCTGCGACTATTAGACTGACGGCGATGAATAGCATGTCTAGAATCCGTTTATTAGCACTTGGCGTTGATCTAGATATTCGGGTGCCATTCATCCATTACCTTCGGGATATGCCATGTTCAATGGCAAATCATGCACATGCCCAACAGCCCATCTCTTGAAGAAAAACAACAACTGCTCCGACAGCGAAGTCATGTACGGTTGGACAATCGCCTTTGGCCGCAAGCTCTTGACAGCATGAACAGCCTCCAAGCCTCCCATGAAAACAACAACCCAGAATACATTCGTCTGTCTCATGGCAAGACTGCACAGTCCGACGAGGACGGTCGTAACATCGCTCAAAAATGAGCTCTGATCACGGCCAATGCGATGAAGATGGTTCAAAAAGGCTGCGAGGACAACAGCCGTAGATATCACATCTGTGTAATAAAGCCCTGAAAAGAAAAAAATCAAGGGGAAAAGACCAATGTTGAAAGCTGTGTGGGCCGCATATTGAGATGCGGCGCTGATGCTGCTGGATGGGTGCGAGTGCGCCTGGTGAAGGCGTGCTTCGATTGCTTCCCGACAAAGCAAGGCTATGTAACTCAGCACGAAGACGCCAATTACGTTGGTTGCCCTAAGAGTCTCGGGATCGCATGCATAAGAAGCGATTAAGCCGCTGCTTTTTGCTGCTTGGGGTATCAATATTGATATCCAGTATCTGGACACAATGTCAGTCTCCCTTGGAAAAAAAAAAAAAAAAAAAAAAAAGGTCTCCTTTATATCCGCAATCTCTCCAACTTACAATCCTGGAGGAGTAGTGATTTTGTCGTCCCATTCCAAGAATTTGCCTTTGCAATACCTCTGTGCTTGGGGAATATGGAATACTTCATCCTGATTTCACCGCATTGTAAGCATACTGTGCCCCGTTGCAGATTGTCCCTAAACTCACCAGATATGGCTCGGGAACGATTTCAGACACCTTGCCTAGCCAAACAAAAGCCGCTACTGCAAGCAACTTAGTAAATTCAATCCTCAGAAGCCCAGAAGTATTCCAGCTGTTCCTGAAAAGCATCATATGGAGGACGAAAGCGATTGGCACAGCGCTGGCAACCCATGTTGCGGATTTGATGCTTGCCAAGGTGTCAGGGGCGCCGCTCGTTGGTGATGCCATGCTGGCGGTAAAAGGCTTTGATAAGCGACTAGAATATAGAGAAAAGAGTGAATATATAGGCTTTAATGGTTATAACGAGCGTTCCATTTTTTTCCCCTATAAAATTGCACCGGCTGATGCATGTCGCATCGCTGATTTGGCTACAAGTCGGAATGAGATGAGCTGGCAAGATGCATGAGACGTGGACAGTGAGGATTTGGTAGAAAACACTGTGTAGCCTGTGTAAAGGGGGACTGGGCTACATATAGGTATAGCTACTTTGGCTCGTCATATATAGCTAGATTATACTTTACGGGAAGAAATTGAAAATTTATACATAATCGCATCACTGTTTAAGGACCAAGGGTATACAGTAGTTTAGGATATGTCTATTGTGTATCTCTTATACAAAGGCAAGCTGCCGCAATCGCTGCGCAATGCCTTACATTTTTCACCAAACACCATTCCATAAGTAAATACATTTAGAAGGGCTATCCAAGTAGTGGTTAATCTTCAGTCTCTTGAAAAGTTTCAAACATGACGGAGCTTACGTTGTCAGCAGGGTGGATCTCCTTCTTCTCAAAGGTGCTGCCAATGATTGGGATTTTCTAAGCCTCCCGTTAACATATATTCTCTTGCGTTTCTATGGCGAGTAACTTACTGAGAGAACGTCGGCGCGGAAACGGGGCAGGCTGGAGGCGTAGAGGACCAGAGCCATGCCGAGGCCGGCACCGATAGAGGCAGTTCGGAAGCCGCTGTTGACGAGTTAGCAAAGCCCAAGACCCCGTATATCCATGCCAAAAGTCGATTCTGCTGAAGAAAATTTGAAGAGAGGGCTCTCCAGGTCTAGGAGAATCACATAATATCGACAAGATATCCCATGACAATTCCCAGTTTCGATCACCCCACTATGCAGACCAAAAGCTTGCCGCCGTTCCTCCTCAAATCTTTCTCCAGCAGTGAAATAATAACAAAAAAAAAGTCCGTCGACTTACTATCGGGTGGCGGTCTGGACGTTGATGCCCTTGAAGTTGGGCTGGAAAGCGTATCTTTGCAAAAATGTTAGCCAAACCGCTATCCAAGCTGCAGAGCACAAGCTACCCCCCGGGAAAGCTTTTCGCAAGTCTCTCCAAGACAAGGTAGTGTTCCGCAACATAAATCGCAAAATCCTCCATTCTCAGGATCGTATGGTTCGAACGTACTTGGGGCCGAAAGAGCTCTTGAATTCCGCAGCGCGGAAGGGAGTCTATTCGCAGCAAAAAGTTAGCTTCGTCGCTTCGTTTTTTTAAAGGGCGTTCTGCCGGCGGTGGGACGGGTAGTCGTTGCAGCAGAATCGGCTGGGACGCACTTGAGAGACCATATTGACTGTTGGTAGCGAGTAAAGCCGCGGGGATCGTTCAATTGCTCGTCAATTCGTCGTAGAGAATGCGCCGTCACTCAAAATGCGCGAGTTTGGAGATGCCGGCGGTTCTCGGGCGAGATTTTGGCCTGAGGCCTGACTAAGCGAATCTTGAATTTGGCCGCCCAATCATACGATGCCATTTTCTAGCCCCACACAAGCTGTGATCCCCCAACGTGAATGTACCTTTCTGGCAAACCAGCCAGCCTCGTCTCTCCAGTCTCCCGTTTCGCGCTTACGCATTTGCAACCTCGCGCTGTCCATCCAAGTGCCAGGCTATAAACAAGATGGACACATACATTGACAATCGCTTTGAGCGCTTGGAAAAGGCTCTCGCTAATCTCATTGACTCGGTCACCAAGTACCACCCCTCCACCGTCCAGGCAGAGGAGCTCAAGACGGCCGACGATGAGCTCTGCAAAGGCCTAGAAGAAGGTGCGTACAATGTCTGCCTTTGAGAGCATTCGGCATCTAACCACGATTATATGTAGTGCAAACACATCAAAACAACCACCTCAAGATCCAGCAGCTTCGCCAGCTATCCACGTCCTTGGACAGCCAAATCCGCGAAACACTCACCAGCCTTGCGACAACCCGCAAAGACATTGTCACCACTCAAGTCACCGTCTATCCTTCTGAGCCAAACTACCCAATCGTATACGAAGAGCTGCTCAGCTATGCTCGACGCATCAGCAAAACGTCGATGCCACCCTCCGCCATATTGAATGCTCTGGCTTCGACGCAAGAGAGCCAGACACCCCTACCCGACTCCCAGACCCAAGCGGGCATGACGCCCTCTGCTCAGACCCCGAATCCCACACAAAGCCCTGCTCCTGTGAATGGCGTACTGCCGTCTGGCCTGCCCGACCTGTCATCTACACAACAAACCCAGACTTCTCAGCTGACCAGTCTGCCGGAGAATATGAGCCAGTTCCTCAATCCTTTATCGGGACAACTCTTCTTCCCATGGCCCCTGGAAGACAAAATTCGCTCTGGAGCCCTGGCGTCCAACCAAATCCTGTTGGAGCAAGGCATCGATCCCAAAGGCTACGACCCCGTCGCGGAGGAGGAGCGCAAAGCCAAAGAAGAAGAGGAGCGCAAGGAGAAAGAAGAGAAGGAGAAGCAAGAGCGCGCCGAGCGCGAGCGACAGAGGAGGGAAGAGCTGGAACGCCTTCGAAAAGAAGATTTACTACGGAGAGAAAAAGAACAGGCGGCATTCCGAAGGGCAAGTACCGCTGCTGGCATCTCTGGGGATGCAGCCGTCAACGCGCCTCCCAGTGCAAGGCCCGAGAAGAAGCAGTTTCAGTTTACTAATCTGGATGACTTGGATGACGACGACGATGAGGATTAGTTGCCTCGTATCGACCGCCTCAAGGAATGCATGATGGGAACCGGGCAGAATAGAGTTGGGACCACAGAATTATTAAAATAATCAATACAACACATAATACCAAAGCACGCTATTTAATTTCAAGTAAAAATTCTTCAATTAAAAAACATGTCTATCCCGCAATGTTCTTTTTCCCGTCCAGCCCATCTCACTTTCTCCATAGTTGCACCGAAAAGAGAAAAACGAAGACAATGTCGCCCTGAATGTGCAAAATAGAAGACCGCTGATTTTCTTCCTCCCTTTTCTTTTAAATCAACGAGAAATCGTTGCGCACACCATGTTCATACATGTACTTTACAAGTTACTGGGGATCTTTTCAAAAGCCCCCCATTTTAGCCCTGTGGCAGAGTGTATTGACACCACTGCCACCGCGCATAGCTCTATATCTGTTTAGTCAATCTTGATTGAAGAGTAAATCTTTCTTACAAACCACCAAGAAGAGAAGTAGCCAATGGTGCCTAATAGCTTGTTAGACATCGTTACAGTTGAGAGGGGGGGCCATTACTTTGCAACATACCAGCAAGAATAAAGAACAGGAAGGAAATCAAGGCACTGTAGCCAATGTACAGGACTATTCCTGCAAAACCACCAAGCTTCACCTTGGTGATCAGATACAGGAGGCAGTTAAGGAAGACATAGCTTCCACTCATTCCAGCAGCCAGGAAAGATCTCCACTGCCAATTGTAGTTCTCGGCACACAAGAGGAAATAGGTCATGAGAATAGTAACAGCGCCGCATACGGCAATCATGAGGCCGTAGCAGAGGAAGAGGAAGCCGAACATGTAGTAGATACGGCTGAACCAGATTGAGCTCATGATAAAGTATAGCTCGACGAAGATGGCACCAAAGGGCAGCAGACCAACAATGAGCATGCTGGGGATGGGCTTCAGGTAAGTCGTGACTGGAGGAATCTGACGAGGAATCTGGTTGGTGCGGACGGGAGCCTCGATCTGAGCCGCCTTGAACCCGAGCCAGGAGCCTGTGAAAGAGAGAGGGATCGAGATGACGAACCAGATGCCGACGATGACGAGCATTGTGGTGAAAGGAACGGCGCCAGAGGACTGCTTGGCCCAAAGGAAAAGGTTCAGGAGGAAGAAGGCGGTAAATACGATGCCGGGAACAAGCAAAGGGGTGAGAGCAATATTAACCTTCCACTGTTCGCCTCCCATTGCCTTGTAAGTTCTGGCAGAAACGTATCCTCCAACAATTCCAAGAACAGTGTAGAGAATAATCGAGATGCTACCCAAGGAGCCGCGATTAGACGGCGAAAGGAAGCCAAGCAGAGCAAAAACAATGGTGAATCCAGTCATGACGAACAGCTGGGCTCCGTTGCCCAGGAGGATAGAAAGCAACAGTGGGCGGGAGGGAGATCGGAATACGTCGCCATGGACCAGCTTCCATCCGGAATCCTCCTGCACACCATCTTCAAGTACCGACGTGCCGCTCAGGTCGTCCAGATTGATCTGATCCAGGCGATTGTATCGCGCAATATCCTTCTTCAAAGTTCGAACCAAAATAGACATGACGGTAAGCACAAGGATGACGACAATGATGGCAGTATCGACGAGCCAGAACCAGTGGATCTTGGGGTCGAAGACGTGCAGGTACTTGTCCCATCGGGTGGCCCAGGCAGTAGGTGACTTGACCCAGTACACGCTGTAGCTGAACTTGACATCCTCTGGTCCACCGCCGTGAGCGAAGACGAGCGGCTGATGGTTGTCGCCGCAATCGGCATCCCCCTCGTACTTCTTGGAGCTGGGCTGAACAACAACGCCGACAACTCGAAGCTGATTCGGGTTTTTGTTGACCTCGTGGTATTCGACCCAGATCTCGTAGTGGTTGTTGAAAATGATGTTGCCTGCTTCGTCGTCCTGTCCCAGCAGGAATCCAGGGCTGTAGAAGGTCGTCCCCGTAAGCTGGTCCTGAATCTGCTGGCCAGCAGGAAGACCGTCGACAAGCCAGTTCAGGCTGTATCCCTGCTCAATCCTCGTCGTGACAAACTCGACCGACTTCTCCTGATACTTCACCGAGCACAGCGACTTGCAGGTCTCGTTGTGTCCCATCTTAAGGTCGAACGGCGAAGTCATTATCCTGTCGCCAAACAGGATGCTCCCCAAGCTCTCCGACACATATTTCGGGCCGCCCTCTGGCTTGCAGAACTGGAAAGCGGGATGGTAGTAGTCGTACGATACGACCGAGTGTAATCGCGCATCCTGCGGTGCGGCCACGGGCCTGATGCTGTTGACGTATAGAGGAACCTCGTCGCCGGGCTCGTACGAGGTTGGAGCGACGCCGGGCAGGTAGAAGGCAGACGCCAGCTGCGGCGCCGCAAAGAGGGTCGCTAGAAGCGCCGCCGGCGCACTCTGTGGTAGATGCATCGTTGAGGCTTGTGTCTATATCATGCCACGCGCGGGTCGTCGAAGATGCTGAGGTGTTCGTAGGGGCGATCGGTCCTTGTATACGCCGAAGCTCAGGCCAGGTCGGAAAGGGTGATGATGAGCGACGCAGCCAGGCGTCTCTCGCAGTGTCGGTCGCCCTGATCGCAGCGCAATGGAGGCAGCTTCGGTAGAGGAGGTGGGAATTGGCGACTCAGCAGCGGCGCAGGCGGGAAATTGCAGACGTCGAGTCCAACTTCGAGGGCGCAGCTTCAGGAGCCTGGATGGACTCGCGTCCCACGCCAGCTGTCCAAGATCCCTCAAGGAACCAGCTTAGTCAGACGCTTCGCCGAAGAGTGACGATTCCGCACTGAGCCCACTTGCCACCTTGGGCAGTACCCAGGCTAGTCCTGGCAGCAATACGGAGTATCTAGCAGCAATATGGCACTTACAGCGGCTCTGCATATACGAGAAGTGTGGTTCGTATCCTACGGGTGCGAGCTACGATCGTATAAGTGCGCGCTACGGAGGGGACGAGATATTGCTTCCTCGGATTTGACTGCAAAGACGCAAGATAGTAGTAGTATCTTGTAGCGATTAGTGAAGTGAAACGATGCAGAGGCTTGAAACAGGGTCTTATATCAGCTGGTGAACGTTGGCTCTGCTTTGCACCTATGATGACACTTGCTGGCGGGCATTAACGGTGCATGCCGCCACTGCTTCATAGCGGCATTGCTCATTTGACCTCGACCAGATACTACTGTAATGACTCTCTATTTACATTGACACCACCTCGACTGAATGAACCAACCGTATCAAATGCCTGCTCTGTAGACAGTAGTAACAGCTTTCAGGTTTCCTACCTGCGCAGGGCAGATGCCACAGCATATCCTCAGCAGATACCCAGCCCCACGTGACTGCGTGTTTCGATCGCGAATCTCCAGCCGCGCAGGCAGAGCGTCTTAATCACGTTCACCCCGCCATCGCATTCACGCATGTGCGGGAGAGTGAGAGCAGCAGCATCATGACCCATTTCTGCGGCAATCATGAACGCCGCGGCCATCCAGACCAGCGACGATGAGTTTGGCTACGATTTCGAAACCGACGACGAAGAGCTCTTGATCCAGCTTGCTACGAATGCCTCGCTGCCGCCGAAACAGACAGATGCTGTGGCGCTTATCACAGCTGCAAGCACAGCTAAACAGACAATAGCAGGCCTCAAGGCGTCGCAACATGTGAAATCATTTCACGAACGTGTAGACCCTCGCGAAGCACCAGCGCTTGGTCCTGGTAACAAGGGGAAAGCGCCAGAGGTACCTGTCTGGGACACAGATCAGAAGCGGGCTGCCTCATCAGCCCATGATCCTGTCGCATATCCCGACTGTGAGCATAAACTGGCTAGTCCCTCCAGAATGACTGATGAAGTGCTAACCTTTTATGCAGTAACCACCGCTTTACAAGCGATTCAATCCGTACAGTCGCCACCACCTACGGAACTCAGCAACCATGATGAGGCCGAATCCGAAGACGATCGTTCACCTCTGCAAAAATTTCGATCGTTTCCGAGGAAACCACTGACAGTAACTGACCTGGTTGCCGGAGCTTGGTGCGAGCTTCAGTACTGGTATACACTCACACAGCTGCCTGGTGGAAGAAGAACTCGGACACCAGCAATGAAGCAAGGATCCAAGGTACATAAGAAGCTCGAAGACGAGGTCCACACAACGGTCAAGATTGAGATTGTACAGAAAGAAGACGGATTTGGATTGCGGTTATGGAACTTGGTCCAGGGGCTAAGGACATTACGAGACACAGGTTTGACCAGAGAGCTGGAAGTTTGGGGCCTGGTAGACGGTAATCTCGTCAACGGCGTCATCGACGATCTAAGCTATGACAACCCGAATCCGGAGTTTGAGAAAGAACTCTCCAGCCAAGGACTTCAGCCTAGCGAGGGCCAGTCTATGATTTCCGACTATTTTCCACCACCTCAATCTAATAGCACAACCAAGAGCAGCCATCGCAAGATCTTTCTAACGGATGTCAAGACGCGGGGCACTTTGTCGCCCATATCACCAGCTATAGTACGTCCGGCAAAGATTCAGCTGCTATTATATCATCGCTTTTTGTCAAACATGGCTGCTGGCAAATTGGACTTCTTCAAAGTACTTAGGCGATACGGGCTGGATGCAGACGTGCGCTTCTCCGACACATTCATGTCTCAAATCGGGGAACTTCACGACGAAATCTTTTTCGATACGCCAACAAGCTCCGCAGAGGAATACATGGAGGTACTAAGAAATTCATCAAGTCAAGACGATAGTAACACTACTGCTCTTGGATCAGACTCCTCTCCTGGCGCGCCCGACCTCCTCAAATACGGAACCCTCCGCGAGCTTCTAACCCTCGTAAAGGATGAACTCCGCCTCACTTTCCCCCGCGGTGCGGATTCCCTAGGTCACATCCTCTGCGTAAAGTACGTCTATCGCGAAGACGGCCGTGAGCTCAACGCCCACGATTTCCCTGTTTCCCCACAGACCCTAGACGCATATCTCGATGGAGACATGAGCTGGTGGCGCGGCGACAGAGAGCCCAGGGGCGTGAATATCGAGGAGGCGTTTAAATGTTCGACGTGTGAATTTGCGGCGGGCTGTTCATGGAGGCAAGATATGGATCAGGAGCGGGTGAAGAGGACGCAGGATAGGGTGAACAAGGCGAAGAAGGCTGTTGAGACGCGGTTTTGAAATTTTGCAACGGAGTTGATTCGCTGGGTATTTTGTGTTTTTATTACGACTCATGGTGAAATAGCGGAGCGTGTCATGGAGTGGCTTCTTTCTTCTTCTATATCCTTTTTAGTTTACATGATCTCACGTTGTTCTCATAGCACACATATAACATGGATATGTCATTCGATACACACTACCTCCACTACTTATTCTTAAAAAGGACAGAAAAATTCTATTACTTCAACGGCATCTTCATGAATATTAAGACGTCTCAGGCATATAAAACATTCAGCCATTCCTCCACCAGCAAATGACACAACTTTGTCGCTCAATTCTCCACGCCACGCTTTTAGGGAAACGAAAACAGGAAACGTATTATACCCAAGAAAAAATCTTTTTAAGAGAGAACAAGAAAGATAAAGGAGTGCTGAAAAAAAAGTATTAACATTCCCTCGCAAAAATAAAAAAAAAAAAAGGAAAGTTGCAGAAAGAAGAAAGAAAAAAAGATACCCTTCTACTTTCAACCAAACATATAAAAAAGTTTAAGCATGTCGCTTCTTGCTCCTATCCCCGCTACTGGACGCTGTAGAAATAGACGAAAAAGACTTCTCCCGAAAAGAGCCCTACTTCTTCAGGCCTAGGAAGTTCCTCCTCTTCTTCTCCTTGTGCAGCTTCCCATCGTCATGTGAGCTACTTGAAGTTGTGGGCCTGTGTCCAGGCGGGTTGCTGATGCTCATGTTCGCCATCGCCTGCGTTGGAACGGTACCGCTGGGGACTGGTCTGCTGGGAAGACCACCTGGACGAGACATTGGTTGGCTCGGAAGACCGCCAGGTCGAGGTCCTCCGGCAGCCATTGGCTGCCTTGGCGGCGGCTGAGCCTGAGGTGGTGGCGCCGGGCGCTCGAAAAGATGTGCGGGTGCGTGCTTCTTGCGTTCGGCAGGAAGATCCAGCTGCCTTTTATCGCGACTCAGGTCTGCAACTTGGCGAAGGAAGAGTTGGGGTGTAAGCATGTGAGAAGTCGCCAGGATAACGTCTCGGCTTCGTTCGTTGCCAATTTCATAGCATACTCTACTCTCGCTATATGTTGCACCACCGGCCATGAACACAATCAGCCTCTGGCGATTTTCAGGGGGCCGCCGTCCAGCTGCTGCCCAGTTCGGCCGTCCAGCTGCACGGAGTGATCCCGCTTGAGCTGCAAGAAGATCTTCGTTGGGATCAAGTGGTGGTTTGACATAGGGGAATGTAGTCTGGTCCAGAGATCCTTTGGTCAATCCATCCAAGACTTGTTTAAGAACAGGTTCATAGCGCGATAGAGTATACTCGTCTTCGTTTTGCGCATTCTTCGAGTCGACGGGAAATAGGGGGATGATTGGCTGCTGTGGGTCTTTGAGCTGTTGTTTCATGGTTCTTCCACCAAGGTGCTCGAAGTTGATGACGGTTTCCACATCTTGAGGTGGTAGAGCTGAGTGTGCCAGCAACTTTTTGACGTCGTCCAAAATCATGCCGCCCCGGTATAATGCGTACATGGCAACGAGTCGTAGCCGGTCTCCAGACGCTACCGCATCATCATCCAACAGCCGCACAACGGAATCCAGGATATTCTTCGGCTTCTTGTAGTCCTCGTCCAAGCCCGTGGCCAAGGTCTGCTCAACAGACGCAGTGTCAGAAAGTTTGTGGTGTTGGAATATGTTCATGCACTCTTGTGCCATGGTAAGATGCAGGGAATAAGCCTGTTTCATCTCTTGAAACTGAGGCAAACCTGCCATCATATCTCGAATGGCACTCAGACTCGTCGTGTCTGCGTTTTCTTTTGTAAAGTGAGGGTTTTGTTGCAAAAACTTTTGGAAATCGCCCATAAGCTTGTCGATGGTATCCTTCATGTGGCGATGGCGGTTTTCAACCCAGATTTTGTCCTTCTCGGCCAACTCCATGTCCTTCTCTTCGGCTTCTGGGGTCCCTTCGTTGATTGTCGTGTGGAAAGTCACCTTATCGCCATCTTTGATAGGGAGCAGATCGTGGGCCATAGCTTGGTAGGTGAACTCGTGTACTAGTGGTGCCATGAGATCCATTGATCGGTCCGTAATGAGCAGCGTTGACTGCGGTCTGGTAGATGGAGGCGGAAAGTTGGAGTCCCATTGGGCATAGCCGTCTAATTCTTCTTGTACGAATCTCGCCAGGTGTGTGCATAGCACGGAAGCCTCGTGGAAAGCATTTTTTGGTCGGTAGTATCTTACCTTTGGATACTCCCCCAGGGTAATGCAAATTCCTGCAATCTGACGCACATTTTCAGCATCTCCATTCTATATAGTTAAGCTCATTCTACCCGGCTTACCCTTTGCGCAAGAAGCTGCATGTGCTTGGGCACTAGAGCATTGCATGACGGGTGGTATAGCATTGGGAAGCTCCACGGATCGCGGAACGTCACAAGGTGAGTTTCTCGCGGGTAAAAGTCGATAAAGAGCGTTCGAGAGCTCACGCGCAGCTGGCGGATGCCGGGGAAATCATCGAGGCGTCTTCGTAGCCCCGGCTCTAGCAGATTCGTCCAGACCAGGTATCCTCTTCGGTAGCGCCGGCGCTCGAAGTCAGCCAGGAGGCAGTCGACAATGTGTGGTTCGGGACTGAGAAGGTAGATGGCATCCATCTCAGGATTGGGCTCTCGACGGTCCTCGATGCGCTCGATAGCTGCAAAGTAGCCTCGTTAGCAGAAGAGCTTCGCGGTGAAGAGATGATATTTCTAGCAGACAAAGACTGACTCGCAATATTGCAGTTGAGGATGTCATCCGCTTTGACAGCATTGTCTACAATCTTCTTGGAGTTCTCATCCACTATCAAACATTTCCACTGTGGTTTGCAGCGATCTGCGTCAGTATGTCGGTCGATCGTAGGGGATAAACAGGGGCGGGCGGTCTCGTACGTCGTTCTGGGTGATATTCTTGATTTCCTGTAGGATAGCTATTATCGGAGTCAGTAATGTGGTTCATTATAGCTTGAAGCTCAAAAATGGAGTCCATACCATTGTGCTGCTCCTCAATGACGGACAACCCCATCTTGGCCGGTGGTGGACGGAGCTGTCCCGTCAGGCGGTGATGGCGGAAGAGGTCGGCGGCGATGGCCCGAGAAGGTACAGGCTACGAGTAGAGGATCGTATTGCAGTTATGAAATCGAGTTCAACTGTTAGTAGTTCCTAACAGCACATGAGCCGGCGTCCAAACAGCTGCTGCAAGCTCAAGCGGTCTCTAGGCTAAGGAGGCCGAGTTTGTTTTGTGAAGCATCACCAACAAGCTTCCGGTTTTGGCGGGGTTGGTAAATGCAGAGGCTGAAACTCCGGGCGACCCCCAGGCTGCTTCAGGCGCGTCCATTAGCGCCTGGCCCCTAACTTTAGCGCTAGCGGGGCCGATGAGGTCACTACTAGTCTCTAAAGAATGCGTAGCTCTAGCTGCTTAGCGGTGGCTTGACCAAAACTACCGCATTTGTACTCCACGGTGTAGGTGGCATGGACTGGAGTTTGCCAGGGTCCAGTGCATATCAGAATTAAGCGTTACGATAACTTCGGTGTCGATTTAGTTTTGACGCAGTGTACATGCAGCGCTTACAGCAGTGTGGAATCATGCCGGGCAAAATAATTCACGTTAGTTGGAGGCAAGTTATCACACATCCATAATAGAGTCAGATTCATTCAGCCACACCTTCGTATGAACCTCCAGCTGAAGAGCTATATCCATTGCTTTGACGATACGTCCATTCTCTCTCTATACGTGCCATCCGTACATCGTCAACTCTACTTCCTCTCACAAGCCATCTTCACCTCCATTTCCCCTGAGATACTTCTCCACATCCACGCGGCTATACATCTCAGCCTGTAGCCGCTCTCCTTTCCTTTTCTCCTTCTCCGCCAGAGCGCGCATCTCCTTAGCAGTCAGCGGCCGTGGTTTCTCTTCCACCTTTTGATTTGCCGGCTGCTTTGCTCCAACGCCCAGCGTATCCTTTTTCGGGAGTATCTTGATGGGGAACCGGGCTCCCTCGCCCTCACGGCCCAGACCCAGGCGGGAATCGGGATCCCAGCCCTGGGATTCTAGGGCCCGCAAACCCATGCGCGATCGATCTATCGCAGATGGCGGATGGGAATGCTCCAGGCTCACTTGATGCGCAAGCGAGGCCTCATGCTTCTGCAGCGTCGTAGTGATGGGAAGAGAGCAGACCGGGCATACCGGAGGCTCAGGCTGCTCTTCTGCCGGCGATATGGCATCTTCCTTTTCATCCCTAGTAGCTTCGGGTTTTGATGCCGAATCTGTAGAGCTGCTGCCCAAAACTATGCTGGCGTAGATATCCCCGATAGACGCCGTCTGTCCGCCAACGGTTTTGACCGTATTGCTGGCATCTGGATCTGTTGCTTTGACAAACTCAATCTTCTTGCGCTTCAGCCCAGCGCCAAAGGGGCGTTTGTGGTGCAGCGGAATGTCTTCATCGTCCGAGTCATCCCTCTCACGCGGCATGGCCGTGTGCCGCGGGAAATTTAAATGACGAGAAGTCGTCGCCAGATAGTCGTCGCCAGATGGTCGCGCTAATGTTGGTATTTGTTACAACATGCCGAGGTTTGCGTGAGCCAATAATGGGGAACGACCAGTGATGCAGAAGAAGAGAGGCTTGCAACTCTTTAGGACGTTGGAAGGTTAAAGTGCCTGGCCTTGTGATTACGTAAGAGTTGCATGATTTCAAAACCAACACAGGCACATTTACAACCGTAGCCATTTTACTTGTTTATTTTTCTTCATTATGATTACCTCTATTAGATGCATCTAATCATCATTTGGCTCGGCTTCCAATGCATAAGCTCTATATATAAAAACATGTTCAATATTGTCATCTGTTTTAAGGAGACAGATAAGCCCCAAGTCTGTTGAAACGTTAGCAAGATCTGGATATGAAAGGGATATCCCAGAGTTTTCGACTCACCCAATAATTACATAACATGCACACATTAAACCACCCTTCAGGCCGCTGGACCGCAGCGGACCGCTGACTCCTTCACCCAAAATCAAGAAATTCACCAACAAGACCGAGCCAAACAGCGTGGCGATCTCAAACAGGTTGAACGTCAACATCAACGGACGATCCATGATCCAGCCCGCAATAATCGTCAGGGGAGTCACACATAATGCAATCTGGATGGACGAGCCCACAGAAACGGCCAGCGCAAGGCCCATGTTGTCTCTTGCGGCGACAATAACGACGGTGGCATATTCGGCGACGTTTCCAATAATTGGCATAATGATCAGACCAATGAGAGACTCGGAAAGATGGCCCTGGCGAATCACATCGTCGATGGCGCTGGCGAGGAACTCGGCGGATACGGACATGAGCGATGATGTGATGATGAGCATCACGTAGGAGATGATGCGATCGGTCCTGGCTCCGAATGAGACTGGCTTCGGCTTGGCCACGATGCGGTCGAGGTTGACGTGGCTGTCTCGGAGAATCTGCCTCGTCGTGAGGTATGGCGCCATAAGTTCAGTCCGGTCTCCTCCTTCTGATGTCTCGCTCAGCGCTCCCCTGCTTGAACCCAACGATAATGAGCGGCCTCGCGTCCTGACCCGTCTAGAGTTTTGGAAACCTTCGCCTGCTTCTTCCTTCGGCTCTCCGTTTTCGAGATAGTCTTCGTTTTCCAGTTCAGTCTCGTGGTCTAGGCCGTCCAGACTGTCCCGCTCGCCATCTTTCAGAGGTGCGTGTTCTGATGTTGGACTAACGTCGACGAATCTGACGGTTCGGTGGTTGGCTTGCGAGGCGTGCAGTGTTTCTGAAGAAAGGGGCATAGGGCGAAGAGGAACATGATCTGCGTCGTGTAATAAGGTAACGTCTTCGGCGTCTTCATCATGGGATACGGCTTCGATATCGTGAGGAGGCGTGCGAGATTTGATTTCGTGGAAAAAATACAGGATATAAATGAGCAGAATCATGACAGCAGATATCCTGCTCATCTTCAGGCTCATGCTCTCGGCACCTTCAGTTCCTCTGAATGTGTGGTCAAAGGCAGTCTATCAAACGGTCAAAGGTGTACTTCGGCAGTAAACAACATGGAGCGAAACAGCCACTCACAGGCATCAAGAAAGTAAATACCGATACAAACAGCAGTGAGCCGAGTAGCTGCGTGCCGGCGGCATCGTGAAGGAACTCTTGGTCAGGGAGCTTGGTCGTTAGAAGCGCCGAGCCAAGAATCAAAAGCAGATTCACAAGAATGGATCCAAGAATAGACGCTTGGACGACTCGGATCTGGTCATTCTTGAGGGCGACACTATTTGGATTAGTATGGCAAACAATGGAGGGGAGCATTCTGTTGCTCGCATGAGGCTGATTCGACTTACATGCTATAGATATAAGTTAGCTTGGAGGGGCAACGAGGGGATGTACAAAGGACTTCAAGTGTCAAGAAGAAGAAGAAGAAGAAAAGAGGAATACCAAAAAGAAACAGCTTGCGGAACTTACAATAATATCAGCTCAACAAGGTTGCCGAGACTGATGTTGAGGATGGCACCAATGGTATCGCCAGCATCGCTAGCAATCTTCTCCGTAACATCGGTAAGTAAAGACGACAAGGGTACAATAGCGAGGGCGTTGAAGACGAAGATTATCGTAGAGTTGAGGCCGATAAAATAAGCAACATATCCGACAGGAACAAAGATAAGCAAAAGGTTAAGCCACGACGTGCACAGGACCGATCGCACAATATCCACAATGAGAGCCATCTAGCTACCGGGACTAGGCGCCGCTCCAGCCAGGCCGTGATCTGTCGATGATGGGCACGGCCGGCTATTCCAGCAGAAAAGAGAAAAGATATAGATTATTCGGTACTACCAGACCTGGTCTACGCCGGGTAGGGCAGATACTAATACTAGGGACGAGTAAAGTAAGGCAGCTGGTCCAGAAGCACGCGAACAGCTCGTGTCTAAGAGCGTCAAGAAAAAGAGGCGTTACAAAGCGTGTTGCGCGTTTTAAAAGTATAGAAGAGAAGAAGAAGAAGAAAAGAGCGAAAAGGCCAGACAGACTGCGTCAGGCGCACGCGACCGCTTGTGACAAGCAGAAGCGGCGAAAGTCACGATGAAGAGGGATAAGAAGACTGGGGGTAGCCCATTCTTCTGAGAGAGGAAAAGAAGAGCAGCCAAAAGGCTATTAGGGGCACGAAAAAAGAACAAAAAACAAGGGGCTAAATGAAGCCCAGCACAAAGGCCCACTCACTCCTTTGAACCGGGATCCGGGACCTGGCGCCACTTATCGGGGGACAAACCCAGGGTGCCATTTTGGCAGCATCGTGAGTTTTTTTATTTTTATTTTTTGCCCCAGTGAGGGGAATTGTCTCATGCTGAGGGGCTGCTGACAAGAGGTATTATTTCGTGGCTGCAGTGAGGAACTATGACGACTGAGCTGATGCTGCCAAAGAGGAGAGTGAAGCCATGTTGTCAGCTTTCAAAGAGAAAGCTGAAAAAAAGGAGGGCTTTTACATCATCTCATTTCACTTATTTCCTACATTCGATAGACTGCAGCGTTCAGCGGTTATTGAGGCTCCAGTCCCGGCATTGGAGCAGCTAAACTAACTAAAAATGGCGATAGTTTCAGAGCAGCGCATTGCTAACAGCCAATCTACTCCGTACAGATGCTACCTAACAGATGCTGCTCCCAACCTAAACCCCGTATTCCGTTGCAGGCAGGGCATAGTTTATGTGATATCGAACCGCCAGGCGCTATATATACATGCAATGGCAGCGGCCTCTTACACGATGCTGCTAGTGCTTTACTTCTCTTGGTGCGCTGTTGTTTGCGGACACAGAGACACAAGGACCGAAACGCTGAGCTAATAGATAGCTCTGCTTACTAGGACCGTGTGTTATACTCTATCCTTTGCAGAGTAACAAAGCCTATATTACATGGCGCCAATGCGGCCTCCCGCGATTTACAAATGCCAATACGGAAAAATCAATAGACGAGAAATAAGCCAAATGGAAGAACAAATGCCGCTCCCCATGAGAACGCCATTACGTGGGCGATGGAGCCGGGCTAATTTTAGCGCCTTTAAAGACCCGACTGTAATATTTGATGCGAAATGGCCACCGTTGGAACGTGATTCTAAATGTTCTTGGCGCCGCAGTTTAGCGGTGACGATATGCGCATAACAGCTCACGGGGGGCCGGTGTGCTTGGAAGGCCCGGGATGACACGATGGAGATGGCAATGAGATGAAACTCTTGGCTTGGAAACTCCAAAACATGGCCTGGCCAAATGTGGCGAAGGAGAGACAGCAGAAGAGACAAAAGAGGCAGGTAAATTGTCACAACCGCTTCAACAGGCTTTCAACGTTTTCGCCCTCTTTTTCGTTTCACAGCAGTGAAATCCGTGCGCGCGGCTTTTCAGGGGGGGATTGGCGGTTTCCCCGTCTTTTTTTTTCTGGAGATCGCCCTGGACCCTGCAATTGGGGCTGCAAGCGAGATCTCCAGCCACGTAAGTCTACCTGTAAGGGTCTTTTGCTGCGATGTTACGTGTATCCGTGATGATGCGGTGACAAATGTCCCGAGCTTTATTCCCGCGGATATATGATGGCAATGCCAGCAGCACGATACATGTACCTGGCATTAGGGAAGACGGCAAGGCTACAGGCATATTGAATACATATCCAAGACTCTCATCGATACAAGAGTGCAATCAGATGACTGTGCCCAGTCAAGATTTCACTACTTAATACTACTCTGAATTCAGGTTACTGCACAGAGTTCTCTGTATTAGTTGTGTGAATTGGTCGTTGATTAGTATCGTTGGGCTAGGGTGCCTTGTTTAGGGGAGTCGATCATCGCAACATGGCTGACGGTCTACCCGGTAGCTGTCGCTTGACCCTACGCAAACTACCAAATCATTAATACCCCAAGACGCAAATTATAGTAAAATATCCTTTTGGGTCCCATTGAGTAACGCTATGATGCTCTTTTTTATTGTCATGTGAAAGACAGCAAAAAAGATATAGTATTTGTGACTGTTTAACTTTCAACAGCTGTGCAGTTAGAAACATTTTACTACGCCTTGGCCTCTTCTTTATATGTGGACTTACTTGAGCTACAGGTAGCAATTCCTAAATAGGTAATTACGGAATTGATTTACCAATAATGAGACTTTTTTTAGAGACTTAGATCTATAGGAGCCGTACAGGTTATTTAATACGCTTCCCACAAGGTAGATAGTAGAGATTGTTCTTTATGAAAGCTAAGTCTTTCTCAACACTTGTAGTGCATTAATATGTGATCATCATCTCAATGACCATCTACAATGCAGCATATCTATTAATTATCTTCAATAACTGATAATGAATATGGATCCCAGTCCTCCTATCAGACGTCTCCATGTTGGTCACTTTCCGCCCCTTAGGTTGCCGACTGATAGCCTTTGGTAGTAACGAGATTCGGATGGTTTGGGCTTGCCCAACAAGATATCGAAGATGTCGCGAGAAAGACATGAAAAGAGTTTGTGACTTCTGGAAGCTATCATTTTAATGGCGTGGAGGAAGAAGCCAAGACTGTTTGGGATCACTTGCAGCAGCTTGGTGGATGAAGATGGCGAATCCTCACAAAAGCCGTTGGAGGATTCCTACTGACTTTCGATTCGTCCCCCGGTGATCCAAGCTCAGAATTGAATAGCTCAGAAGCAAGCCAAAGTCAAATATAATGAAAACCGAGTTTGGCAATGCTTATGCTCTCGGTAACAGGCTCATCTCTGCCGACCTTCCTATGGAAAGCCTAGAGCTGCTCATCAAGACCCTCCCCATAGCTACCTCTAGCCTAAGGGAGTTGGCTCAACGGACAGGGACCCATAGAGGTGGATTCCGCCGATCTTGGAATTAAGCGTTATATAGATCTCGCATTCAGGATAGCAGACTCGCCCTTACCTGACTTCCCATTTGACTTTTTTTTCCAGCTTGGTTTTGTTATTGGACGATGCGAGGATGATGTTGATGCGCCTTGTGGGGAAATACTACCACGATTCCTTCATGGCGGCGCAATTCTTTGTGTGGCGGAGGAGATTGCGCGAGCGGTGGCGCTGATTGATGAATGTTCAATTTGCGCTGCTTGAACATGGAGTTGGCGTCTCAGACAGCTGCGAAACTGCTTTCATATATACAATTGATACATGGAAATATCTTGAAATGTCATTTGTAGGTCCGAATAAGCTTGTAACTGGGCTTAGGGCAGCAAATCTTGAGCTCTATCCACTTTTTGAGAGCGATTTCGCCAGCAAACTATGCGTGGGAGAGGATCGCGGATTCAGAAATAAGCGCAAAATGCAAATAAGATGCCATAATAGTATAAATTGTAATAATATGCTTGTGTGATGAAAATGCTGATACTTTAATCCCTCACATTTGACTGAATCTGACCAAGATGAACACACCACATTCCTGTTATAGTCTCATGAGGATTCCTGATGGTTTGCAGAAATGGAAACAAAACGCCGTTTCGCTTCTTCAGCCGCATATGCAGCATTGCCACTTATATACTGCACAACAAATCAAACTGCATCTGCCGAACCGGGTTATGCTGCCACATTGGGACGTTTCGGTAGCGGATCCCCGGGCTGTGGAGACAGGCCCGACCGAGACACGGAGCAAGCGGTCGGTATTATTGCAATTAGAAGAGCTGGAGAATGACCTTTTTATTTGTTTGCTAACTGGGAAGCAGCGCTTTGAAGTGGGTATGATTGAGTATGATTAGGAAAAGCTGCGTTCCAATGTGGCTATTGTTCCCGATCTACATGATTTTCGGCAGTCCCTGGATCTCACCTTACCTTATGCCTTTGCATAACGATTCGCGCGCGCCGCCGGCGCCACTTAAGCCCAATCGCGCATTTTAGGTGACGTTATTTTTAAGGTTTTTGCTGCCAAGTCGGGCATTTCATGGGTCGGCGACTCGTCTAGAGCATGGATACCCGCCTTGCTAGAGGCTGAATGAGCGGAAAGGCTACCCGTTGGGGTTCATTGATTCGCACTATGAGCTTCACAATAGGTGGCAATGACGTGAGCAGTGCAAAAGAATGGTATAAAGAGACTTGGATTTTCGTGAGTCTATTTAAAGGATAATGATTGCTAGATAAAGTCTTTCTGCTTCCTTTTTCTTAACTGAACAATGCGAACCCTCTTTACTGCTGCCAACCAATACGTCAAGATGGCCACAGCTAATCTTCCTACTACGATCAGGGCTGTTTATCAGCAAGACCCTAAACTCACAACTTTAAAACTTGTACAAACTCCCATTCCCCAACCTGCTGGTCCTCAAGACCATCTCGTCAAGATCAAAGGCACATCACCATGCCTTGGTGAATTGGGTTGGGAGGTCAGTTTCCCCGACCTCTTCCCCCCAAACCGGGAACGTGTGCCCGGAACTGAAGCTGCTGGTATCATTGCTACTTCGCCACCTTCCAGCCCTTTCAAGCCTGGCGATGAAGTGTACTTTCGACTCCATGCGAGATTTCCAGGATGCTTGCGAGAGTACACAATTGTCCATACAGAGGAGCTGGCACTGAAGCCCAAGACACTGGACTGGGCTGAGGCAACTGCAACGCCATTGAGTACCTTGACCGCATGGCAAGGACTATTTAGCAAGGGAATCTTGAATAAGACTGGAATTAGCGGAGACGCCGACGCCAGAGCCCATAACAGCAAGCTGAGAGTCCTTATCACAGGCGCAGGCGGCAGCGTTGGAGCTTGGGCAGTTCATTTTGCTGCGGCCGCTGGCGCAGGCGCTGTAGTTGCACAGTGCGGTAGTGCAAATGTCGAAGCAGCTAAGAAGGCCGGAGCCACAGAGATTATTGACTATAAGAAGCAATCTATTGCCGAGTGGGCCCAGGAAGATGCCTCTCGTGAGGTGGATCTGGTCCTCGACTGCGTTGGAGGGTCGAGTCTGGCTGCAGGCTGGTCCGCTGTGAAAGAGAATGGCGTCTTGCTAAGTGTTGTTGCTAGTCCAGATGATCTGAAGCCCGAGTCAGTTACAAAGAAGTTAGCAAAGAGCACTTGGTATCTCATGGACTGCAAGGGCGATGACCTGAAAGAGATTGCCGACTTTATTGATGCGCGTGGGCTGAAGCCGCAGATTGACAGCGTGGTTGAGTTTGAGGACTTCCAGGCAGCGTATGACAAAGTTGAGCAAAAGAAGGCAAAGGGCAAGGTAGTTATCAAGGTCGATATCTAATTGGAATGGTATTATGATGAACGAGAATTGTACTATATAGATAGGCAGCAGTCTCTTGATGTTATTAGAACGATGTAATGGAAGTGTATAATCTCATACTAACTTGACAATGATGAATGCTATAAAGTAGATTGTGAAGATTGAAAAGGTGACTGAGGATTGAAGAAAGCCTATCCGCTTATTTGAGGGCTTATATACCCAAGGTGCCTATTCGATGCTTCTGAATGGTCAGATACCCGTCGGATGTCAGGATGGCTCTACATGGCATTTCTCGACATGCGAAACCCAGTTGTTCCCTATATCGATCGTGGGAATTTTTTGCTCTCTAGATGACGCCCAAAAGGATCAATAACGTTGACACCCAACTTCTTGCCTAGGGAATTGATCGAGCTGCTTCACAGCATTTTTAAGCCCTCTCATGGCGTTTATTAGTAGGACCTAGGTCCTAGAGGCAACCACCTGCACCTTCACAGCATTTTTAATCCCTGCTGAAGGCCCTTACGGTGCGCCTTTCATTATACACATGCATATATGTACATGTAGCTTTGGCCGTCGATGCTGCATGTAATCTAACCCTAAGCACTCACCCCATCTAAACTGCTTTCATTACTGCTGTCACGGATCTATAGTATTCCCAACTAATCTGCATTGTAATAATGGACAGTATATGCCAAGTCATAGGTGACTCTATTCTTATGCAAAATGTCATATCGTAACTGGTACCCCGCAAAAAGTGGACGATCGACGCCTCTGCCGCCGGAATGGGCCGAAAGTGGCTGCACAGAAATTGAATATCGCGACTACCGCTTCAACGTTGTATTTTGCAGGCTACAAAGTTGTCGACACTGCTGCATACAAACACAGGTTGGGTGACACTCGTGCTGTTGAGTCCTTGTCTAAAGGCTAGGTGGTCAACGCCAAGTCTTAGTCACATGCATTTGCGAGCTCTGCTTTTACCACCGCCTCACACTTGAATCATTCACCTCCGCGTTTCATTCCTCTCAAATGTGAGCCTCAGCAACACGTTGTTGCCGTATAACGCCCGCAACAATGCAGTACCTACCACTTTGCTTCGCCATCTCTTCTTTAGCCTCATATACGACAGCTGTGTCTTCGCAGTCTGCGTCCTCACCAGGCTCAGCTTCACAGCTCGTAAATAGTGACTATCACGCTGACGCAGGCGTCTTGAAATATGTCAACCCTCTCGTGGGCACCCGGGGCTATGATCCCAACGATCTTGGTGGCATGATCCCCTCTGTGTCTCCGCCATTTGGCATGACGCGATGGACTCCGCAGACGCGTGAAAACTTCATCTCCCAGGTCCCCTACAATGACCGCGACCGCCGCATGCACGGCTTTCAAGCAACTCACCAGCCTGCCATCTGGATAGGCGAAAACGGCCACGTAGCACTGATTCCAGGCCTTGGCGATGAGATCCGCCACCAATTCCAGCATCGAGGGCTGGCATTCAGAAAGGAAGATGAGAGGAGCACGCCTTACGTGTACGAAGTGACGCTTGATGCAGACTCGGTGGGCGAATTCGGATGGAATCTTACCGAACAAGCGACATCAGAGCTTCTCGGAGATGCCTGTCCCCCATGTCCAGGAGGCGCCAATTTTATCCCAAATAGAGACGTGATAGAGGGTGCCAATGGTCGCGTGAGAAGACGGGATTACGTCTTTGAGCCAGAGCACCAATATACCGTGCAAAGCCCATCTGCAAATGCTTCAGATTACCTTGCCGGAGCTCCGTATGAAAACTCGATACAAGTAGCCATGAGTGCATCAGCCCATGTTGGCCATCTTCGCGTTGATTTCCAAGATACCCAGTCACGACAGCCTTATTTTGTTATACAGGCCAGCCGACTCAACTGGACAGGCCATGTCGAAATTGATCCTGAGACTCAAGAGGTATCGGGAAGTAATAGCCAGCGACAAGAATACTTGCTAGGCCCCGACAAGCCGGAATCGTTTAGACTCTACTTTGTTTCACGCTTTTCTGCCCCATTTGCCTCTTACGGAGTTAGCCGTGCTAGCAAGTTGTATAAAGAGCAAAAATACATCCAAGACAAGTTTGTCGGTGCATATGTCACTTTCGATGAGTCGGTTCAGAGAGTCGAGGTGAGGACTGGAGTCTCGTATGTAAGCGTGGAGCAAGCTAGAAGGAATCTGGATATCGACATACCAGATGGGACGACGTTTGAAACGACTGTCGATAACGTCAAGTCGGCCTGGCTAGAAAGACTTGGCCGCATTAAAATCTCTGGAGTCAACGAGACCGGCGCAGACCACGACCCCCAAACTATCTTCTACACAGGTTTATTTCACGCTCTTCAGTATCCGAGCGACTATTCCGAGCCTACCACTTCATCTGAGGGTGGTCTGCGCCGCTTCTATAGTGGCTACACAGACAGCGTTCATGAAGCGAATGATTCATATTACCAGTCGTGGTCGATCTGGGACACATACAGGGCAGAGCACTCTCTGCTTACCATCTTTGCTCCTGAGCGAGTCGATTCTATGATACGCTCTCTTCTACGAATATTTGACTGGTCTGGCCGGCTGCCTCTTTGGAACAATATGATTGAAAATAACGAAATGATCGCAACGCATGTCGACGCTGTGATTGCAAATGCATTAATTAGAGGCTTCGACGATTTCGATATCCAAAAGGCGTGGTCTGCCGTCCATAAAGACGCCTATGTACCCCCGGAGAATGACACCGACTTGCTCTATTACTCTAGAGAACCAAGCACTCCCTACGAATGTCGAGCCGGGCTAACGAGCTACCTCGAGCACGGATGGGTTGACAATGATCGCTGGGCCGAGTCTGCTAGCCGCACGCTCGACTATGCTTTTGATGACTATGCTGCCGCCGTGGTTGCTGAACATGCCGCGCATTACGATTATGCGGAGGAGCTACGACAACGGTCACAAAATTACAGGAAGCTCTGGAACCCAGAAACCGAGTTCATGCAGGCTCGCAACGCAAACGGTACATGGGCAGATGAATCTTGGGGCTGGACCGAGGGCGACAAATGGATTTACACGCTAAACGTGATGCACGATGTCGGCGGCCTTGCTTCATTGTTCAAAGGCGGCAAGAAAGCCATGAAGGCTCGCATGGATGAATATTTCGCGGGTGGTCATAACATGCACAGTAACGAGCCGTCGCATCACGCTCCTTATTTGTATTCTGCAATCGGGTATCCTGCTGATGCAGCAAGACAAATCCGTGAGCTTGCGTGGGAGAACTATAACGCAACGGCTTCGGGGCTTAGCGGCAACGAAGATTTGGGGCAAATGAGCGCATGGTACGTCTTGTCGGCGCTGGGGTTCTACCCTGTCAACCCAGCGAGCGACGAGTATGTTGTAGCAACACCATTCTTTGACGAGGTGCAAATTCTACTGCCTCCTGGGCCGGGAGATGACGGAAAGGAGCATACGCTGGTGATTTCGGCACCTGGAGCGGGCTCTGAGGGGAAAGCGTTTGTGAAGAGTTTGAAGATTGATGGGCAAGACATCAATAAGCCGCTACTGAAGCATAAGCAGATTGTGAAGGCGAAGAAGATTGAGTTTGAGATGAGCAGTGAGCCAACAGACTGGGGACGAGAGGGGACGGTGTAGGTTGCATATGCATTTTTAGTGTTACCTGACTCAATGATTTTGGCATGTTTCTGGTTGATAATGAATGAATATTACCAATGAATACCTAGTATTTTGCAGCATATTGGTAAACGTACTAACAAGGATCATGCACCAGTGTCGAATCACTTGCCGTCAGCCACTCTTATTCTTGACAGCGGCCACTCCATAACACCATCCCACTCTTGTCCAATCAGCGGAATCACCGGTCGAGAAACATTTTCAGCCCACCCTTCCATAAACCACTTTCTAGGCGCAGATTTCATCACCGCACACCAATGGATGAGAATGACCAACGCCATTTGGTCTCTCCGCGTTAGAAGATCCAGATATTCCTGATCGACAGCCCCTGGCCACCATACAAAGTGCAGCCAAATTCGCGGCTTACACCATGAAAGTCGCAACCAAAATTGTAGCTTAATTAAGGTATCTCGATAAATTCCACGATTTTGGAGTGGCGACGATGTCTCGTTTATTGACTGAAGGTTCGAGATGGCCTGTTCAGCGAGATCATCCCAAGGCGGCCGTTCACCCTCGGCACGTTTTTTTAATGCATTGATTAGCCTGCTCTCTAGCACCCATGGACCCAGCTCCATGCCTATATGTCCAGCTCCTCGTAGGGTTATAATGGGTTCCATGAAATCATCATCTGTGAACCCACGTTTTGCTCTTCTGTGGATGTCGAAGTGGAAGATGAGGACAGAGATGGCAAAGACGAGGACGCTAAACCAGTTGCGATCATTGATGGTGCCTACTGACTGTCGAAATTTGCGGGATGCTGCGGTATAGTGCTGATACGCAGCGAGTTCAAGCCTGTTGCTATCCTCGTTAGGTAGTAATGGCTCAGTGGTTTTTTCAAGGAGTATTGCAATTGCAGCCATGTTATGCTGAATGTATTCAATGGACTCTTCCTGATCAACAAGCTGCTTTTGAATAAGCTGCTTTTCGTCCTCTGATGGCGGGTTTAATGCCAGCTTATAAACCCCAAGAGGAGATGCTGGTCTTACAGACCAAGCATTCACGCTCGACTGTGTCCAGGGAGCTAGAGATGTGGACAAGGGCGCGGCCCCAGCCGGCGGTGGTGTCCTTGAAGAGACACCTGCATGTCGGCGCCTCTTCAAATATGCAGCATGGCTATTATGCGTAAATATGTGGTCCGGTGGGCTGTCTATGCCGAGAGACCGGTAGTCGCAAACTTCACCTCTCCTAGTGCAGTTGGCACAACTTGGCGCTTGCAGATTACACTATTTGATGATGTATTTATGAATGAGCAATCAATGCTAGAAAGTGCTACAGGCGGGATATGGAACAAACGAACCCTAACGCGTCGCCTCTTGCAACGGCTGCAGCCATTCCTCGACTTGTGGTGAAATGTTCGTGAACCCGGGGGCATGTCTTCCTTTTATTCGCTGGGGTTTCGCTCGACAATTCTCCGGGTCTTTGTACTAGCTCGATCCGTATTCAGGTGGCGCCGAGTCCGATGCATTTATGGAGCATGGGTATCGCAAAGATGGGGACCGTAGAGACAGACGGAGGCCGTTGCGCACAATGAGGAAGTCGGACAAGGCGCATTAGCAGAAGTGTTGCGTAACTCCACGGCCAGGACGAGAATCCAAGAGACATATTTGGTAATAACTGGGCCCCTGAGCTATCCCTATCTGACTTAGTGTACGAGCCTGACCCCTGTTCGTTTTGCAGGATATGAGTGGTCGTGGCACCTCCAATCAGCAGCTCGACATGCATCTTTCTATGCTGCTGGAAGGAAGGCAGGTTGGCGGGTCAAATACTAATACAGAGATTACCTTCGTACGCTAAACTGAATATATACCCAGTCTCTGTGCTCTTACCGTGTCGAAACTTTGTTCGTACAACCCTCAACATAGTCCATAGAACGATTGATCCCAGCAATGCTTCATAGTTGTGAAATGCATCAGCAGATATCGGAGCATAGAAACCCTTGTGCTTACACTGTTGTATCTGATAGAAGTTTAGTGTACGAATATACAGAAGAACGCAAGTTTGATTAAACAGCCCTGAGATGAAGATGTATTCAGAGGAGCAAAGAAAGGAATTGCAATCGACGAATATAAATATGCGAGTTTTTTTTGGCCATTTATGCAGATCCATAATCAAGATAATCCTCACAACATATGATACTCAAGACTTATACTTTCAACACTGTTAAAAATTATTAGCTGCAAGTCAGCCTTTTTTAATTCCCATTATCCTTTCGCTCTTTTCAACATGAAACCAACTCAGCTCTTCACTCTCGTCGCAGTGTTCTCACCAGCCACTCTTGCTTGTCTTGAGCATCTGATGCAAGAGCGGGCACCAGACCCCAGTGATATGGTCCGAAGACAAAAGCCTGCGCCAAGACTGAAGACTGCTATCAAAAATGTTCGCGTATTCGATGGTGTCAAGCTCACTGGCCCTCAAACTGTCATCATCGACGGCGAGTATATTAGCAATGACGCGAGCAATATCGAAACTACAGTTAATGGCAACGGAGGTGTCTTGATCCCTGGTTTGATTGATAGCCATGTTCATATATCCAGCATTGCTGGGCTAGAGATTCTGGCTTCTTATGGAGTCACTACAGCCCTCAACATGGCATGTCGAAATTATACCCAATGCGCCCCTCTCCGCAACGTGGACGGCGTAGCCTCGTTCATCTCAGCTGGTATACCAGCTACTGGACCCGGCAGCCAACACTCCAAGACTTTCAATCTTACAGCACCTTACCTCATCTATCCCGACCAAAATGCTACTGAGATCGTATCTTACACCTTTGGCAACAACTCCGACTTTTATAAGATCACGGCTGAGATCAACGGTCCCAGCCAGAGCATGCAGAATGCTCTCGTTGACGCTGTTCACAACCTTGGCAAATTGTCCATGACCCATGCTTCCGATCTCAATGCCTGGGCACAGGCTGCTATGTCGGGCACGAATGGCATCCAGCATATTCCTACAAATGGCCGCATTAACGCGTCCAATATCCTGACGGTTCGCAAATCTTCCACCACTTGGAGCACTCCGACGATGAACATTGCTCGATATGCCTTCTCTAATGTGGAATTATTAACCTTTACAGGCCACAAAGTTGGTGGGCCAGACAGCTATCAAAATGTTTACGACAACGTCAAAGCTATTCACGCTGCCGGCATACCCATATTAGCTGGCACAGATGCCGTTGGGGCTATTAACGCCAATATCTCCATCCCGTGGGGATTGAGTTTACACTTTGAATTGGAAAATCTTGTCGAGGCGGGATTGACCACAGTAGAAGCTCTCAGGGCAGCCACCATAATCCCTGCTGAGCATCACCAGTTGACAGACCGCGGCCAGATTGCACCTGGTATGCGGGCAGATTTGGTATTACTCAACAGCAACCCGCTGGTCGACATTTCCAACACCAGAGATATTACAAGGGTCTGGATTGGAGGAATTGAGTACAAGGTTATTGCTAACAGCACCGGGCTGTCGAATCCCCCAGCTAACTTTACTGACGACGACGGCCCATCCAATAGCCCTAGCTCTGGCTCCGGATCACCCAACAGTGCAACTGCATCTGCTGCACTGAGTTGGATCCCTTTTGTGAGCTTACAGATTGGTGCGATGTTTTATTTATTCTTGTAATACTAGTTTGAGCTTTTTGGTTCTTTAAGGGCGTGAGTTATGATCGGTGGTACCGTGGCAGATTGAGTAAAATGACAAATCACACTCGTTCAGTCAGTTATTCGATAGGAATACGTTGAATTATTTATTAATGTCATTTGATAAATGTAAAATATTGCTCCTTTGCTAATCGAAAAAATGCTCGATAGTCGTGAACTTTATAAATTTTCAAGCTCATATCAGTTCTAGTAACTGTCAAAAGCGAGGGAGTGTGTCATGCCCTGCATCTAATTGGCTACTCCAATTGCAGCTCCACTCTCCTTACATTTCACCCAGTTCTTCTTACCATCAGGAATATTGTTATAAAGAAGTTGGACACAATTGCAATGCCATAGCATTGGATTCTCTCTAAACCGCCAGAAAACCCTCATTTGATCCGCTGGTTAGTCAACTTTGTTATATCACTAATACCACAGCACAATTGTGGTCGTTTTACCTACCATATACAGTGCGAGATACGTCTCTTTGAAGCCCGCTACAAGCCCGTCGTTCGGTCCAGATTCGACTTCCTTCGACGGAATCATGGATACACAGCCGGAAAAAGCGACAGTTAGAGCAGAAGATCAAGAGGGAAATAACAATGATATACAACAGAAGCACAATTTCTCTGCTTTTGCGTCCCTAGGCCTGTTGGATCGTTTCCTCGCCGTCTGGATTTTTCTAGCCATGGCTGTTGGCATTATCCTTGGCAACTTTGTTCCATCAATGTCACCAGCTTTGGAAAAAGGAACATTTGTTGGTGTATCAATTCCGATAGGCAAGTGTTTATTATCCGTCTCTGTTTAGTCTTCTCCCTAATAACGGTAATATAGCTATTGGGCTGTTGGTAATGATGTACCCAATTCTATGCAAGGTCCAGTACGAGTCTTTGCACAAGATCTTTTCTAAGAAAGATTTATGGAAGCAAATAGGCTTCAGTGTTTTCATCAATTGGATCATAGCACCATTTTTGATGGTCAGTTTCTGTTTTCCTGTTCTGATCCCCGTCTGAATGGCTAATGCTTAAAATCCAACAGCTCGCGCTTTCTTGGGCATTTCTTCCTGATAAAAGCGCACTTCGTAGCGGTTTAATTCTCGTAGGATTAGGAAGATGTATTGCCATGGTTTGTTTCCCTAGTTTGCCCTTCTGGAAGCATCGCCTAGGAAAATGCTTACACCCGTGGGATTAGGTCTTGATTTGGAATGCCCTCGCTGGCGGCAACAATGACTATTGCGCCATCCTAGTTGCGGTCAATTCTATTCTTCAGATGGTTCTCTTCGCACCACTTGCTATCTTCTTCATTCGTGTCATCAGCCACGAAGATGTTGGCTCCATATCTTATTCTGTCGTGGCAACCAGTGTGGCTGCTTTTCTAGGCATCCCCCTTGGCGCAGCTGTAATCACAAGATTCACGCTCAGGTTTCTTGCAGGTCCGGCATGGTATGACCGTGTCTTTATTCGCTTTGCCTCTCCCTGGTCGCTCATTGGACTTTTATACACTATTTTGGTCCTTTTTGCTGCTCAAGGCCACCAGGTAGTGCATCAAGTTGTCTCCGTCATTCGCGTTGCGGCTCCGCTCATTGTATATTTCACCATTGTATTCTTTACCACTGTAAGCATTTGCCGGATGCTGGGTTTCGAATATCAGTTCCTTGTTACGCAGAGCTTTACAGCAGCGAGCAACAACTTCGAGTTGGCTATTGCAGTGGCGGTAGCGACGTTTGGTCCGAATAGTGATCAGGCATTAGCATCCACTGTAGGGCCTCTGATCGAAGTACCGGTATTGCTGGGCTTGGTATATGCTCTTCGATGGATTGCTGCTAGATGGGGCTGGAAATAATAGTTATTTGCGATGCAGTTTATGGATTGAAGTAAGATCTTATTAAACAATTGAAATAGTTAGAATCATGTTAGAAAGATGTCAAGAAAAGTTTTCCAGTAATTGAAATATCTTGATGTTGTTGACAGTACAGCTGTTTGGGCCCTTGCAGCCTAGAGCAGCACGAGCGCGTTCAGCATCTGCATGGTGGTGAAGATCCACGAGAATGGATGCTGCGGTATCGCAAGACGTTTCCATGGCGTCAATATGACCGGTCTTCTCAGATGCACAATGAGGGTCGCGCTGAGGCGTTGAGGGAGGAGTCTCAAAGTCCAAGGATGTCTCGCTCTCGCCATCGCGAATTTTGTCTTTGTCTTTGTCTGCGTAAGATGCGCGATTTTCAGACTGGTGTTTATTAATTAGCTCTTTTTGACCGCTCTTATCCTCAAATGCATGGGAGATAATGGATCTTGGTCGCGGCAGAGCGAGTGCTGTTGGAGCGGCCGCTATTGTAATCTTATCTGTGTGGCGATTTTGAGTAGCCTCGGATCGCACGGAAGTTGAAGGCTGTGGATGAATAGCCTCTTCCTGCGAGATGCTTGAACTGGCACAAGATTTCTTTGCCGATATCGAAACTGGAAGTTTTTCTGCCACAATAGCTGTGCTCCCACAAGCTCTGCATCTGAGGGAACTAGGTCCATATAGACTGGCCTGTGTAAAAGATGAAGGAATTGAAGGCATTGAAATGTATCGGTGGATATCGTCTTGTGATACTCCGTGCATGTTGAGCAAGTTTCTCAAGCGCTGGTTCTCAAACGCGACTGCTTGAGCTACTTTTTGCATCTCTAAAGACGCCGCTGCACCTTGCTGCTGATAGGCTTCCACCTGCTTCTTTAGATCATTCATCACTTCGGTGCGCCGGGCTCTGGAACGCCGTTGGCTTTCACGATTTTGGTCCTTAACATCTTGTGTTATGAACTGAAAGGAGATAAAACTGTTAGAGAAAGGACTAAGGATAGGAGACAACTCATGCGGACATGGCACACCTTTCGAGGCATCGCGGCGATCCAACCTAGTAGCACTCTAACAACTAATAACAGCCGCTTGGCTTCCCACAGAACGAATCAGTTAATAAAGGATGCGAGTACCGCCATGCGTCACGTATTTGACTGCATGGAATGACAAGAGCGCAACAGTTCAAATGAATGGCGGGAGAAATACGGGACAGTAGCAGTAACTTTTATGTGGCTTAAATGTGAGTTTTGGCGTTGGTGTAATCTCCACATTTTGTGAGTGGCGTAGTGGATTACTCACTGAGAGTTTAAACACAGTACATGTGCTTTTCCGCACTTATACTCCCCAACTGTGCATAGGCATAGATATGTATATTCACAGGAACTGTCGGTACTTATATCAACTTGTAAGGCTGGCGAGCTGCGATGTATAGAGAGCAGCTTGGCTCCCAATACAGCTGTATTGCTGTCAGTCTTGGTATAATACCATGATACAAAACACCAGACGATACACACAAGGGCAATTTTTATGAAAGAACAAGTGAAGCAAACAGGTAACGTCTTAGAAGAGAACCTGGAAAAGGTATTCAAAGTTTCATTATTGCAACATTGCCCTTATCGCCTCTGTCGATTATTTCAAGCTTCTTAAACATGAACAAGGCCGATATGAGAGCTATGAGGTACAGTCAATCGCTCTCCTGGGCCACGGGTATACCAGTTCCTACTTATGTGGCATCCTTGGCATACATCAACAAGGATAAAGTTGATGAGAGTTGAGACTGAATAATCCAGCCGTTTGGAAATCAAGCGGTAATTTTTTACGATTAGAAAGTGGAAAATGGGGAACGGATCATGCCTTGTTAAGAAAATTGGCTTCCGGTTTACAAAAAGGTGCGGCGAGGTGTAGACCGCGACCGTCAGCGACCTCGCAAGCCCCAATTCGATATAATAGGTACATATGCGCCTTGAATGCAGTAACAAGAGCAATGAGGGAAAGAAGGAGCACTAAAATACCAGGTACTCGGTGCAGAGAAAAGAAACATTCGCCGATTTGATGCTATTGCCGCCAAGGGAGATGATGCGGATGAAAAATGCTGATCTGACATTGTTGCTTGGCTTCTGGTTTCGTGTATATACTTCGGATCTATCTCTGCCCTGAAACTCTGTACGCCTTCTTAAGTGAACACCTGTTGCCAAGCAGCTGTTATAAAAATAGAACGACAGCCACCGTTAGCGGGGCTATCATGTATATCCTAGCGAGGGGTGTTCATATTCAGCCGCATCTCAGGGATATGAGTCCTTGCACCCATCAAATAAGAAGACATAGGACTTGTATTCCGGATGTCGGCAGGACTCGTCAACAACGGCATCTAAATTGCCTCTATTGTACATATTCCCTAGTTGGCTCGTTGACGTCAAGCTCTTTGCAAGCTCATGTGCCTGTTTCTAAATGCGGCCGTTTGCCCCTTTCGGCCATGCCACAACCAAACTAGCACGAAGCCACGTTTCTCCAAACACCACGCTCCGAACCGTGACAGCAAAGCACTCGATAAACAAATAAACAAACGAGTCTGGGATCGGCATCTAGGCCTACGACTTGGGCTGCTATATGGACCAGCGGGCCGAGATCAGGCACCCGCAAGGACTGCATCGCTGCCTGTCCTAGTGGCTCCAGGTGGGTGTGTCAGTCCAGCAGCGCCTCCACTAGAGGCAGATCCCAGCCACCCAAGAGGCAGCACGGCCCTTGTAAATGGTGCTGCCTTGCAGCTCTAACACGTTTGGCTTTCTGCGGTGCCTGGAGTCCTGCATAGCCCGAGCAGCCTTTCCGCGTGTCCGCTGTTTCGGTTTCCGTCACATGAGGATAAGGCGACTCGTATTGAAGGTCAGCCCGTTGTTATGGTGGCTTGCCAGCCCTGGCTTAGACTCAGACATTCACTAACACAGCGAAGGCAGCCGCCAAAACACATGCACAAAAGCAGAGCCTTTAGCCTTCTTTCAACCTCTCTCTCTCTCCTATCCGGCCATCTCCCCTTTCCTGCGAATAAGCAATAAACGAGCTTGTTCTGTTCGTTCCATCTGCCGGCTCTTCCGCCATGAGCTCCACCGTCTCGCAGTGCAGTTCCGACAAGGACCGCGGGGCTCTTCCGGAAATGGACAAGGAGCCACGAGCTTCGTTCCTCAGCCTGCCAACGGAAATCCATCTACAAATCTCAGAGATGCTGATATATCCTGACGCACTGTCACTTAAGTATACCAACCGGTATTTCCACAGCTTCGTCGATACTGGTATTGAGCTCAAGGTGGAGTGGCTGGTTGAGCGCCGGCGCCTTCATCTTGAATGTCCCAATTCCAAGCGCTGCGATCTTGGAACAGACCTGAGGTTTTGCAGAGGCAGCGTACCGTAAGTCATAATCGCTCATTGGACAGCCCGTATGATTATGAATAAATGCTAACCTGAAATAGGCTGCTGATGAAGCGCCGGCGAGAGCACATCGAGTGTGAATCACGGCCTGGGCTGGGCTGCATCATCTACGGCACCCCGACTTGTCCCAACCGCAAACGGGGCATGAAGGCATGGCAACGCTGGCTCGAAACGAAGTTCACGATTGAACTGCGCTGGGTGTTAGTGGCGCTACTTGTGGTTTTATGCAGCTGGCTCTGCACGTTCTTATGGTAATAACGGGTATTGGGTGCGATGCGCTGGATCGCTGGGCTCCCGATTATGGATACGCTGTAAAATATTTAACTAATGTTTAATAATACACTTATGGAATGATGGCCTTCAAGGCATAAGGCCCACGAATATGCAAGTTGACAAACTTCATTCCCGTATCAGCATCGCTCAAATTCATCATTAATTAGCAGTCACATCCGCTGTTTCTTTGAAGACGAAGATCTCATCGTGGACGGCCATGGAAAAGCGCTGAATATTGTAATTGAGTGCCTTCAAAAACGATTGTGGATGCTTCATTGACGGCAACGTTGGCTAAGTTTATGGGTATTCGAAATTTGAAGCTTCATTTGCCAAAGCTGTCTTACAATCCTCAGATCTCACAGCGACTGTTTACAACCACAACACTGTTTGTTTTAAGATTTTTCTTTGGCTGGCAAATGTGTATGAGATGGCGGGAATGCCTGTACCTTTGAGAATTCCGGGTTGAAGTTGAATTACGTATGTTGAGACTCCACAGTAAGCGCAAGGATCAAAGCCAATTCTCAACGGCTGTCTCTGCTAAGTGCTGTCCGTTGTCTCTTCTGTCGTTGATACACTTGTACAAAAAAGTGAATGCCTTGGTTTGGCAGTCGCCCATTTGTTCATTACGCTACAATTCATCCTTTCCGCGTTTAACTAGCTTGCCATTGAACAAAACAACCTGACTTTTTTGTCTTGTCTCGATTGTTTGGGATGCCGCTTTTAAAGAATATGATTGAGTCTATCTAAATCTCTATATTCGCTTACAGATGGCTCTTCAGGTTTCTCCAATGCTTCGTGGCTGTGTATCCAATCATCGGCCAACACACACAGCGCTCTTCATAGTTATATAGCCCTTCTTGCTGCTGTTAAATCTCTTCGAGCTCTTGGGAAGATGAACGTCTCAAATTTTGATTTCTCAAAAATCATTGGACAAAACGGTGCAACAGATGGCTGTATGTAAAATTTCCATCAAAATACAACCCCCAGACAAGACTCTGTTGAGGAGAAGATCGTTAGCAAATGAAAAAGGTACAAGTAGATATGTTGGACTTACGCTGCAACAATTGATAGAGCGAAGTTGGCCTTCTGCATGCCACATGAATCTCGAACACTAGGCAATCCGTCCATGCCCATAATTTCCCCAAAAGGTGTATCAGCATAGCCTTTACAGTCCCTAAGAGCTTGTTTATATACGGTGGCAATAAAGACGTAGCACCCCGTCATAAAACCTTCGAGAGGAATGGCCATAAGAGGGATACAGCAAAATGCTGAACAGATGCCAAAGATCATATCAATACAACCCCATGCAGCACCTGCGGCCGCAAAACCTTCCGCAATGACTATGCTCCGGTTGACATGAAGATCATGAGAATTCATCATGCCCAAGAAGATAGAGTTCATTATGAGAATACCGGTGACGAATAGCGCCCGCCACCAGCGTAGAAACAATTGAAAGACTTTAAATCCGACGCTTGCCTCTCCAAGCATGGTCATGGTAGGTGTATCCATCGTGAAACTAGACTCTTGGTAACGCTGAGGTGTAAATGAAAAGACTAGGAAGAAGGATAAAATATTTGGAGAGAACTGAACAAGAATTGTTCAAAGAGAGGAAAGTGACTAGGAAGCTTTTTATCTTGGCGAAACTTGTTGAGAGCTATGTAGTTAGAAAATGTTACAGGACTGAAGACGTGAGACTTTAAATATTCAGATGCGAAGAGGGACAGAAATTTCGTAACACGGCTGTTCATTGGATGTTCAGATATGGGATAAAATAAGATTTAATGGGCTTGGTGAGTGTTGATAACGCAACACTACTAAGTAGAGAAATGTGTTCAAAATACGTTCTCATATATTTACAGATCCTATCCTTCATATTTGAACATCCATTATGTCTACTATTAAATCAGATGTGATTCTCTCTAACTCTACTTATTCTGCCAATTCATCGCCGCCGGATCTATACATAGTCGAAGTTCTCAGGTCATTGTTCAGACACCCGTTAGGAGCAATTTTTCGTCAAAGAATGTTTTAGTTTTTACTTATTACATGACAAAGGTCAAGGCAGTGGAGCAGAGTGTTCTTTCAGATCTACATATGAAGAATACATTCAATATGGAATTCATGTGCTACGGCACAAGAGTGATCTGCGCAACTCTGTGGCACGTTCAATATCCACTCCTTACTTCTCTATAACAAATAACGGTTGTCCTAGCGAGAGAAAAAATTAGTTATTGTCCGCATTCATTTTAATTTCTTTGTCTGGTATCTAAGCCGGTATGTTGTTATGTCACCACAAAGGTTTGCGTCATTTCAAAGCTTTTTCCTCCTAGTGACAAGGCCGCTATTCAGTTATCTTGGCCAAAATAGCTGCTAGAAATAGATGACCTTGAAACCATTAAGATTAGATCCACTGGTTCAAAATATACACATAAAATGACGACCTTCTAGATGAAAATAGTCGCCCCTATCAATTGTGCATCCTATCTCTCATTCACAACATAGGTCAAGAACCGACATTGACCAACCGGTCCATTAACAGTGATGAGATCGCCACCAGGGCAAAGTTATAGCTGTTGATGTACTAAAAAGCAAGAAATAGAGCGAGTTAAGCCGTGTACCCATTATACTCTGACCCTGATATCATCTAACTTATCTGGCTGCTCAAAAGACTGCTCTATGCGTCTAGTGAAAAATCAACCTCTGTATATGCGACGATATCGATACACACACTATAGTGTCGCCAGCTAAGCACAAAGCTCAGGCTATTCATGGACAATTAATAAACTAGGAAGGATCATGATAGAAAGAAACTGTATACTAACTTCAAACCGCATTAAAATCTCAACAACTCACAAGACTCTCAGGTGTATATATATGAGTCGTATTTCAGCTGCTCTAGAAAACGTAGACAATGTGGCAGAAGAACCGTCTACTCCTGATCATAAAAGACTCTTTAATTTAATGAATCGGTCTATAATATACGAATGGATCTAAATGAGGGAGATGATAGTCTTAAACCTCCTTGAGAACTTGGAATATGCTCCTGGATTTAGCGTACCGTCATTCCATGGTCGAATCCGAGGGCTATTTCTCTGTGGTGTAAAGCAAAAGTGTGAAGAAACACGAGGATCACGAAAGTTGGTTTATCTAGGAACATTTTATGCAGTACCATAGGGGACAATAACTGCTTACAAGTTTGAGCTTCCAGAAGGGTGCTTAATTGATTGGATTATATTGTTTTGCGCATAAATAGCTTCCTCTTTTCAAGAAATCAGTTATAACTTTCAATGCCCTCACAGTATGAATATTATAGTTATCTACACCATATACTTTATATCCTATGGAACAAGACTTTTAAAATTAAGTGGCGCCGTAAGCCACGTCAGTACTCAAGTGGCAATGCGTCCCTGGTGCTGAAATCGTGGTAACCTTGACGTTACATCCACAAATAGCGCCTAGGCTATCTAAGATTAAGTACAAAAAGCTCTAAGGTATTATTATAAGCAAGTCATAGGGTATAGAGAATATTAAAGACGGTGAAATAGCTAAAATAATATATATACTACGAGGCAGCGAGGAGGCACTTAGACCAGACCACATATCGACGCTCTTAGCAAGAGTCTAAGCATTAATATGAGTAGTTTTCATTTTCTCTAGTGTTATTAACATTTATCTCCCTGGTGATGTTTTGCAATATATAACAGGTTCGATTCTCTACATAGCACTTCGGAATATTTTGCATTAGATTTATTTCCCGATATCCCCCCTTTAAGTCAATATCTCTATCCAGATATTTAAGTCAATAGGTCTTTGACTACCTATACAACAACATGATCTAAAACCCATCTAATCTCGTCTACTATTAGCTGTGGGTCTGTCATCTGAACATTATGACCGTTTGTCTCTGTAAATGTATACCTTCCTACACTTGATAACTTTAGCTGCTCTTTCTGATGGTCGATATCTTCCTTTGACATCCTGTCTATTAACACTCTATACTGTGCTCTTTCCTTTTCAGTACCGTTTCCAGCAGTAACACCAGCATCAAACCGTATCTGGAGATCCATCGCATTATTTGCCGCGAGAACACTCACGGGTTTGTTTCCGAGGACTTGATTTTCGCCTTGCTTCTTTGCCATCAGCACCGGCTTGTCTCCCCAGGATGCCTTTAGTTCGGCAGCCCCGACGACTGATGTTCTGGCGCTATCATCCTGCTTCTGAACAGCAGCCCATTCCTCAGGAGACAGTTTTAAGTCCCGCGTAAGAGATGAAATAGGAAGAAACTCGACGTCCTTATGTAACGCTGGAAGATACGGCTCTTCAGATACTAGCTCCTCACGGACTTTACTGAACTCAGTAACAGCATCAACAAACACGATACCGGCAACATTTTTCTCCTGCAAATGAATGAACTCCCGAGAAGTGAGTCCTCCCCACGAATGGGCCACAATAACGTAAGGAGGAGCGACCCCAGCTGTTTTGAGGAGAACGTCCAAATCTGCCGCGACAGATGCAGCGCTGATTTCTTCACGCGTTTCAACGGGATCTTCACTCCTACCTAGGCCAGAACGGTCATACTCAACCCAGCGCGCAAATGGAGAAACGAGGCGCTTGACGAGAACCCATTCATCAATCGTGCTCGCCATACCTTGCATCAAGAGGATTATTGGCTGGCCGGGTTTGCGGTCCTGGCCCGAGGCAGCTAGATAGAGTTTGTGGCTGCCAATCGAAACCATTGCCGACTTAGCACCAGTGTTCCAGTCGATGCCGGAGGGTTCAGACATTTTGAAGATGGGGCGAGCCTGGGTAGACAAGAATGGTAGGCGACGGCAGATCTAGAAATTGGTGAAGTTTCCGCGACAAGCCGAATGTTGATTATTATAGCATTCCGCTAAATAGCGAATGCTTTAATTGCGCGAGTCTCGGCGCCATTCACGATGCTGGCTTTCTCGACTCTTTTGATGAGTAATAAGTACTGCTTCAATGGCGCGCACGGTTATAGCGGATCCGTTTTTCCCTTGTATTTACACTACCTTTATCTGTGTATTTAAAAAAACCTATGTAGGGCAATAAAGCTCTGTTTATTTCAAGCATTTATAAAAGTATACTTATATACCTGCATGCGTTAACTGCACTTCTAAAACAAAGTATAAGTGTAAAGAGGAAGCCATTTATGCGCAAAACAATACTATGCTCTTGCGTGAACGTTCTGATTGGGCTTCTAATAGTGGGAGCATATTTTAGATGTACTTTTGGGTAAGTGTTGTAGAGTTTCATAAACTGGGTAAATGACTTGTTTCCGACTGAAATCCACACAAGATATACAAAATTTGTACATGTAGACGAGTCCATCTATTGTTCAGTTCAAGTTTATTTCCTCTTGTCTACACTCTCCAAGTGAATTTCGGCATTCATACAGTGTCAATATCAAAGAAATGTTATACCGTATACTTCCTGCGCCTAGAACCGGACTTTCAAGATTACATACCCTTGCATCGTAGCGCGGAGCTTGATAAGGCGTCAGGGATTAAGCGACAAGAGCTCGAAAATATATCTCAAAAAACCGTAAACCTTTAAATGAGCGTCACGAGCTTTCTTATTTTCCTGATTTAGTAACTAGACGAGAGGCTGCGTTGTATTGTCCTGTTGTACACCGCAAGCACAGCCCCCCGTGAACAATATCAGGACGACCTCCGCTGGTTAGCATTGGCGGCTGGTAAGTATATAAAAACATGTAAGCACCATCTTCTTTTTTATTTCTTCCTTTCCATGCTCTCTATAGTCAAATCATGTCCTCTATAAGACTGATCATGGCACTGCCTTTTGGAGAATACAGAGCACACACTAATGCAACTTCTGCTTCCAGAGGCGTTTGAGACACAAGCTATGCCTAGGTAGATTCACCGATGAAAAAAGCCGATAACTAGACTATAGTACGGCCCCATGGGATTTTTAGTTTCGTACGCTAGCAAGGGCAGCTTTCAGCTGTTGTGGCTTTATCATCCACTTTAATTGATGAAGATGGCCTATCTTTGTTACATTACACACGTCTCCAATACACCAACTCTATCACATGGCCGTGTGTAGNAAAACTATGTGTACATGTATATCTATGTATGTAGACCCAGTGGTCTGTAGGGTTGAAGACTACATACATGTAGGTTATTGCCGTCTCTCTACAGACCCCACCACACCATAGATCAAGAAATGGCCCGCCCATGGCGCGGGCCAATATCCATTGCGGACGACATCCGACATCCACATTATGCGAGCATGGTTACGAAAGGAACAGGCCTGCCCCAGATAAACATGTATCATTCAGTGGGAAGAGGAACACGGCGTTTGCGAAAGAGAAGATGATGAAGTCGAGTACTTGTACAATATATATCTCCAGACATCCTCATCAATAAAGCCGGCTATATACTGATTCCTGAACAAATGAAGATGCTATTGACTTCGTAAAGCGGTGATCTAGCTACACATTCAACGCATTTGGCGCCGTCCTTGTAACCGAAATAACGTGAAGCCGGGGCTCCTAAGTCTAATCTAAATATTATCACTTCTCTTGATACTAGTACCCGACTGATGAGTTCACAGCCTGGTTGGCTTCTGAGGAGCCTCGCTTCTTAGCTGGAATCCTTGTTTACTTTACTTAAGATTTCAATCAGCTTCTTGCTCGCGAGAATGAGATTCTCGAGAAAAGCCCTTTCCAGAACTGCGCTTAATGGTTCCCAAGCCAGTCCCTTCTCTTAAATAAACGAGGGGAGAAAGCTGTTGGTCGAGTTTGATATTACGCTTTGGTAGTTTGCGTCTTGTACGGGAGATATATGTAGGTATTATGGAGCTATAGAATCATTGGTGTTCTCTTTAATATTTACTCTCAGCCGTGGTGATTTTGGAGGGACGGGTGGCGGCGCGCTGGTGCTTCTTATATAACCCAACTGGAAACGACCTTCGCCACTCCGGCCCCGCCAATGATGATTGCTTGGTCCACTATCAGTGAGGCCCGCTTTGTAGCTTATAAGTTTGAATAAAGGCTTGAGAGTCGCGAGGGACGCGGCAGTAATGCCTATGCCGACTTCGACGGTGCTCCAATTTGCGATGTCGACGGTGGCAACTGGCGAAATGATGTTAGCTTGGATGAGAAAGAAACCGCCTGATCAAAAATAGAACTTACATAGAAAGTTCGGGCCATCTGATAGAGAATCGACATACTTGTACCGGACAAGCGTGGCTGTGCTCGCACTTCATGACCACATTAGCTACACTGGCCGCTTGACTTGCAATAAACATCCCCCAACAAAAAAACTTACATGGCAGCAAACCCCAGAAGACCAATAACCAGAATCCTGCTCTTCATCGGCATATTCAGAGACCAGACAATAAAGCCAGGCAAGATCCCGAAAGTCCAATCCGCAATGCAGTTCAAGCATGAAGCAACATAGTTCATGATGACGATGGTCCTTTCTGGGATGCAGCGGCCTTCAAATCCAGGATATATTTCCCAATACGTAGATATAGGGTTGCATTGAAAAACGCCAACGAAGAAGAACGCGGCACCAAAGATCGCTGTCGATGCCATCGAGAGCCGAAGGATCCATATATGTTTCATATCGACTGACAGGCGTAATAAGAAAAATCCAACGGATACCTTCACCACACAAGTGCAGAAGACGTAAAATAATTCGCACACATACCACGTCTAAATATGTTAGCTCTCCTTCACAACATCTTCTAGGTCTGCCAATATAGAGCGGTGACGCACTAGGAGCGCATTTCTGTTGTCACTATCAGTCAATAGATCACGGCTTTTCCCGGTCCCGTATGAAAGACCGAATTGCTGAGAGATGAGGTATGCGGTAAAGGAAATCTGTGATTTGCATCAGACGTATATTCCAAGCAAACTTGTGGCCTCCAGTGGTGGGCACAACATACCCAAGTGACGACCATGAGGTGGTCATCGACCCCAAACGATCGTACAACCCATCCTCGACAATAAACGCGGAGGGCAACGGTAATCGTGGTAAGTGTCATAAAAATGATATTGAGAACAAGCATCTGGCCGCTCCGGTCGGCCATGGTGCTGGAAAGACAAAACAATAATCATGGGGAATTACTGGCGCAGCTGAGGCAGCTCTGGAGGCAAGTATAACGCATTGCCTAAGTAATAACTGCCGGCGTGGCTCCAACTCGGTGGGACTCGCAACTCATCGGGCTTTTCAGGGGCGCACACAAGGGCTTTAATACCATGTGAGAGTGTCAATTAGCCGATCGCGGGGGAGTGTGGAGTATTCACCCAGCTACACATAGAACAGATTATGAGGTTGTATCGCACTAGTTCGTGGCTAACAAATAGCAAAAACTTACCTCCTCAACAAGTATCATCAGACTAATTACGTATCGACGCGCGCACGTCTACGCCATATAATAGAGGATCTTGATGCTTTGCTAGATGACCGGGGAAATATCCTTACATCAAAAGTCCAGCTAATAATTCCATGGGTTAGTTCTAATTACAGCCTACTCATAGCTAACTTCCAAGTCCATCTCGGCATTGACGCCATCAATAGGCCTCCCGTGGTGAGATCGATAGGCCAACCACGGGAATGTAATGCCCCTATTATAGCCGAAGAACTGTCAGTTTTGCAAATCAAGGACAACTGGATAGTAAATTAGACGAGACAATGCCAGGCCAGGGGTTCACAAGTGGCAGTTGTAGTTCAGCCACCGACGGCCCCACGTGGCAGAAAACGGTTTCAGAAGCTTAGCTTCTCGCTCTGTTTGCCTCGGGGAAGCTTAGTGCCTGGAGTAGCCGCTCGAGTCGGCGCCCGCTTAACGTTGGAGAGAGTCGGGTCCGAGTTAGCTTTATACGAGTCAGTCCCGGCTGATTGGTGGCATCACAAGTTCCTTTGTCGTCCAGACGCGGCGCTGTCGATCCAAGGATTCATGTGTAATTGCCTTGTTGGGGCAATCTCCACGCCCGCAGCCCGCAGCCACAGATTCAATGCAACGGCAGCGAAATTGGCGCGCCTATGATGTAGCGGCTTCCAGGGGCAATGTAACACCAGAGTCGCCCACCACACCAAATTGAATTTGAGATGCATCATACATGCAAGAGGAAAGCCAACGAAATAATCTAGGGCTTCCATGGTGTTGCCGCAAGCTGACAAAGTCTGGAATTTGCACGCCGTCTCCGTGTTGTTATTTCCTCTTCCCCTCAGGAGGCAGCCTCAAACAAACCCACCAACTAGCATATGGGCAGTCCTACATGCAAAACAAGTGGTCCTGCCGCTGCTTTATTAGAGACAGCGCTCCGCACGGCGTTGGGGAAAGCAAAGCCCCATGTCGCCACACTGCTTTACCGCTGCTCCTGCTGTCAGGTTAAGGAGAAGGAAAGGAATGCAACCAGGAGGAGGTCTCATAATGAAAACAGTTAGTCCATATCTATACAATCAGGTACTACAGTGGGCACAGGTTCTAAAGGTACGAACGTAGGTCTCATTATTGGAAACAGTCATGGTCGGGCATGCGCCATTCTCAATCTTAGCAACAGAAGGTGGCCGTATAAGCCTAGCCTCACATTTACACATGCTATTCGGCTTAGTATGGGATATCCGTTAACCGACGTTGGGGACTAGCCTACCCTTGAGAAAAGTGGAGTTCGTAGATTCGGATCGTGAAGGAAAAGTGAAGTGTCTGGTTTCTTTACCCCGCAGTTATGCAGGGGCCCAAATCATGTGGTCTTTGGCTTTTGCTGGTAAAGAAAGTACCGCTGTCAAAAGGTCGCACTGTCGTATTGGGATTGCTGGGAACGATACAGTTTATCAGGCGGTAAACTATGGAAGAATTCCCTAGTATTTGTAAGTGTTGTAAAAAGGCAACTTTTTTGAGTCATTTGCATTGCCAGGAATAAAGATACATTTATTATGTGATACAAAACCGATGAGAGCATTTGGATGAATTCCATTTGCCAAGGTGGAAAGCAAGTATAAAAAACGTCTATATCTTTTTGATACGGCCTTCGGTATTAAGCGAATTGAGCATTTGAAAGATACGTGCATATTAGACCACAAGTTTGAGATGATCTCTGGTGGATTGGCTGTTGCTCCTGCGTTGTTTTATTGAAAAGACGAAAACTTGTCTTGCTTTGGCTTTGCATATAACGCTGTCTTAAGAATAGCACTCATATCCGTTCATATGTACCATGAATTGTATAATCCTTCTTTGGTCCGTTGACAGTATACTCTATACTCCACTTGGCCAAATTTATCTTGTTAAACGCAAAGTCGTACTTGACATTATAGTAGTCATCGATGCAAAGATGTCCAGCCTTCGCCTTCCATCCCTCTTTCTCGCGTCTCTTATTATCCTCAGACGGCGGAGATTCGAATTCGATTTCATGGAAGAGGTAGTCTGCTCGCTTCTGGTCATCGGGCTTAGCAAACCATACGCTAATGACGTCTTTCTTGGAGTCGTAGCGCCAGATGTAGCGTCGGGTGGCTCTGAATCCGAAACCAGAGGTTGTTTTAAATTCTCCGTCTTCGACGTAAAGGTACTCCAAGTCCTCACCACCATCTTCATCATAGCTAGCAATGCTATTTGGATCTGCGGCACACTGGAGGCCCTCGGGAGTTCGCTCGCGGAGCAAAAATTGCGCTGTGCCAACAAAGGTGCCGCTTGGATGAGAAGGCAGACGGCTAGTAAGATCCCGTTCAAGGCGCCATTCTCCAAGCAGGCTTCTAAAGACGCCACGCGCAACAAAACGTGGAGTGGTGAGGCATTCGATAGCAAGATCACGAGTCTGTTTCAGGGATTTCTCGGCTTCATCTTTGGCTGCAGCATCATCGCTTGGAGAAGGATATCTTGCAGGTGTAAGTGTATCGAGCGGAAGATTGTTTCGAGAAAGTGTAGGAACCTCTGGCATGATTGACTCGTGTATGGGTATTGACAAAGCTTCAGAAAATTCTTGCATCAAATACATATAGTCTCCCATGGGGAACTGTGAGAGTCTGGGGTCATCCCGCAAATGCAAAGTTCGCCTGATTGAGTCATCGGCTTGAAGCTTCCGCTGGAGAGCATCTGGTAGGTTGTCCGCCTGATTCGACCATAGCTCTGCAATGAACCGGGCGTGCATTTGCATGACTCCCCAGTACGGGGACCTATAAAATCCCACAAATCCGAGATTTGGAACATCTGGATGATGGGTGCCGTGGAATGCCAGGGCGAGAGCTTGATTATAATGTTGTGGAGAGTGTTGAAGCGTGTCGAGGATATCCTGCGGCAGGAAATCGACACAGGGCGACGGGTCAAAGCCAGTGGCGAGGATTACAGCAGCAATATCGTCGATCTGGGCACCGTTATCATCCAAAGTCACAAGATCATTCTCCAGAGAGATGACCTTGCCGAAAGACAAAGTGATCATACCAGATCTAACGAATTCAGTGTACCAATCGCTGACAGCTAGGTATGCTGGCTGATCTCTTTCTTCTTCACTAGGCATCAGCAGGGAAGAGAACTGCTCCTGATCACCGAGTGAGGTCTCAAAGATGGTATGCACCATATTCGCATGCTCTTCACTGATGTGGCCCTGCGTATTTTCCAATGGTCGAGGACGGTTGTTGATGTTATAGGAGCCTAGGTCCAAGGGCGCGAAAGGAGCTGATGAAAATGCCGGCTAGAGCTTGTCAGCGGCCTGATACGGTAGTGAAAGAGAAAGAAAGCAATCTCACCTCTGGAGAAGTAAATAGGGGAAACACCCATATGGGTCGCTGAATCGCATGATAAATAGAGTATTTATCAACGCCAGCAATTTCTGACTCTTCTGGGGAGTTTACAGCGGCTGAGAGATGGCTTGCAACAGTACCCGCGATCTCGACGCCAGACATTTGGCCTCCGACAATGAGAATCTTGCCCCCCTTTTGCCTGCCCTCTCCCAAAAGTCCCTTCAAATCCCGGTACTGGCTGCTGTGGATGATGGGAACCGAAGTATTGGCGTTTTTGAAGCAGTCAGGAATGATGGGCTTGCCAAAGTATCCTGTGGCCACGACAAGATAGTCAAAATCTCTTGATTCCTCGCCGCCTTCCGACTGAATGCGTACCTTCCAGCCCGCCGATCCATCGTTTCGCTTTTCAGCCTTTGCAACACGACTCTTCAGTTGAAGTTCAAAGTCGGCATGGCCGTCGAGATATCGGCCTTGGTACTGCTCGAGATACTTGCCAATCTGCCACGCGCGAGGAAATTGAGGTGCACTGTCCTCCCATGCCAGGTCGCTGAACTGCACCGTGTGTCTGCTCTGGTTTGCAACCATCAACGGATGGACTAGGCGGCCCGAATCAGTCTTTGAGGTCGGCCACAGACCACCGATGGCAGCCTGGCTGTCAAAGACGCTGACCTTGAAGTGTCCCTTGGGAGCGTTGTGAAGAAGCGTCTTGGCAGCGACAAGGCCGGAAGGCCCAGCACCTGCAGGTCATTAGAGTCCATCGAAAGGGACAGGGATTCTGGTTCGTAACTAACCGACAATGCAAACAGATTTGGACATGACTTGACTGAGACCCCTGCAAGAGCTCAAACCCATGTAACTCTGATCTCAACAAAATGCCCTTGAGCGTGGATGAGGGGCAGCTACGGTGCGCTGTGAATGACGACTTCTACGATGGAAATCGGAAGTACTTGCTGCAGCTGAGTAGTTGATTAGTTGATGATAAAGTGAGATTATGAAGTCATCAATCCCCTTGTATCGCGTGGGACCGGCCAGCGTTGCACAAGCTTCAAACAGAGCTCCTTTGTGTCAGAGTGCCGCTGAGATCAGAGGCTGCGTGCTGACATAAGACGATCTAGGTTGGCCTGGGTCTCAGGACCGTTCACAGCATTTTTAACCTCCCCCGATGTAAGGCATGGGTCTTACATTAAGTACAACGAGGCATATTGTTTTAAATGCAGTGACTGACTTCGTGGCAATTTTGCAACAACTGTGAATGGTTCTCACCAAAAAGTGGAATTTTTCTGACTTCACAGCATTTTCAGCTCTCCCTAAAGCCGTCTTTTTGCCCAATTCCCGCGCATGTAGCACTGGTACAAAGTATGCTATATCCTATATGTGCCAGCATATAGGCCATTCACAGCATTTTTAACTCCTTCGAATCTTATATCTATATTTCCGTCGTAGTCCCGAAATTTGACATTTCCCTTCACAGCATTTTTAAATCCTCTCAAGGCATTTACTAGTAGTAGTTGTACTCTCTAGCCCCCACAAAATACTACTGTACTAGTGCTTGCGTGTCGATGTCAACTGCAACTACTGTGGGTTGGTGTTCACAGCATTTTTAATCCCCCCCCAAAGGCCCAAGAGCCTCATCTGTTTCAGGGTGGCCTTGCAAGGCAATTTTATTTCACAGCAATTTTAATCCCTATCAAAGACCAAGGGCTCCGTCCATACTCTACAACTGCATATTGCCACCGGCAGTTTCAAGCCGGCTTCCTCTCCAAAATACCGCCGAGTCTTTTTTATACCTCGGTCAAATAGTACCAAGGCTTTGACATCCTCCATCAACCACCTCAGCCTCTCCCCTTCGGCGTTAACATGTCAGGTTCCTATCTATTTCTAATCTCACCCGGGATGCGCACGGCAACTTTAAATTCTCCAACGCCCCGCCCCCGCACTAACCCCGAAAATGAAGCCATCAGTGTCGTCATATGTCTCTTGTGTGATCCCATTCGGAATGCGACCTGGAGCGTTGGCCCTGGAAGATATAACATCTACATTAATGCCGTTTGAACAATTCTAGCTGAGAAACAGAAAATACAACGTCGCTTTCCTTGTCCACCCAATCCCTCCAATTAGTTGTTCATCATCATAGAGCTCCAAAATGGCTTCACCTCGCCACGTCCTCATCCTCGGCGGCCACGGCAAAATCGCCCAGCTCCTGACCCCCCTCCTCCTCAAGCGCTCCTGGGTCGTAACCAGCGTCATCCGCAAAGAGGAACAAGTCCCAACCGTCGAGAAGCTCGGCGCCGGGCTCCCAGGCAAACTCAACGTGCTCGTGCGCAGCATCGAAGGCGTCGACACGCAGGAAAAGGCAGCGAGCATCTTGGACGAAGTCAACGCCGATTACGTTACTTGGAGCGCTGGTACGTGCATATATATATATATATAGAGAGAGAGAGAGAGAGCAAATTTGGACACTTCTCACCCATACTAACCAACAATGCCATCTAAACACAGGTGCTGGGGGTAAGTACGGCGCCGAAGGCACATTCCGCATCGACCGCGACGCCGCCATCCACTTCATCAACGCCGCCGCCGCCAAGCCTTCCATCAGCCGCTTCCTTCTCGTCTCCTACAACGGCTCCCGCCGCAAAGGTGCCCCCTGGTGGACCGCTAGCGAATGGGAAGAGTATAACCAAAAGGTCAACAACGGCCCGCTGGCCACGTACTACCAGGCTAAGCTCCCCGCCGACGAGGTCCTGTACGAGGTTTCCAAGACAAGCCCGACTTTGGTGGGCATCGACCTGCGTGCCGGCGCATTGACAGATGGCCCCGTGGGAAAGGTCGAGCTGGGTAAAACCGAGAAGGTTATGGGAAATATCTCCAGAGAGTCGGTGGCGTACGTTATAGACAGGGTACTTGCAGCTGAGGGGGTCAAGAGTGGCTGGTTGGATCTGGTGGAGGGCAATGTTGACATCGATGAAGCTGTTACTGCTGCAATTCGCGATGGTGTCGATGCTGCAGAGGGCGAAGATTTATATGCCAAGTACAATTAAGAACGAGAAACTAGAAAGCCTGAATATGAATGATATTCTGCCATCATCAAATCTGCTAAATCTGAGTAGAGAGACTCTTCGCACAAACATCAACATCCACTATGGTAGCGACTTGCGAAATAATTAGCAGTAATACATTACATATACGTCGATAAGTATCTCCTTTCATAGCCTAGAGCGTTTCCTTCCTTCTAAGACTAGATGGATCCGCTTCTATGAAGTTGCTCCGACAACTCTACCTCGTCACTATCGTAAACTCGCGAGACCTTACTTCGTGAAATTATGGGCAACTCGATTGTGTTTCTGTTACCATAAGCCATAGGGTCTAATCTGTCGCTCATCTGCATGGCGCTGTGATAATCTCGATGCCATTCTGTCCATACTTTCGCTTTCAAAGCCTTTAGCTCTTCACGAACGGTGCTCTAACTCGTGGTGAAGTAGATCAAGGCGTTCCAGACTCCCTGTAGAGGCAGCACGCAACCGCTGGCGACACTGAGCTGAAAATTGACGCGGCCATGGTATGTGAGGCTGTAAAGTCGGTTGACAGAGCTTGGGATCCAGGTAATCAGAATCGCAAATCCAAATATGAAACTTGTGCGTAGATAGGCCATTTTGATCGGATCCAATCGTTTCAATTTGAGAGATGCATTCGATTTTACGCGTCGCAAACGTGACAAAAATGTATTTGGCTCCCTTGATTGCGTAGCAGATATAGTTGCATTCTGTTGAGGCGTTTTTCGTTCTACACCTGGAGAATAATAGCCCCCTCCTTTTATCGGCATCCAGGATTGGCCGTATGACACAATTGTAGGCCCATGCGCATATACAGCTGGAGGAATCGCAGGTAAGCCCGAATAAGAATTCTCGGGGGTAATGGACGTGATCTGGACTTCAGTAGTGGCGGTGCCATAGTGATCTGGCCTTCGTGTGAGGCTCTAGAGAAAGGATTAGCATGTATATCCCGCAACAGCAAAAGGGTGGTGTAGAGCGAGGATGTGTACCTTTTCGACAGAGTCTCCGGCTGCACTAGCTGCACGCAAGTTGCTCGTTTTCCTTTTTCTTGTAATCGGCATTGTGAATTTTCGTAAGCGGTTGCGGTGGTGGAATACATGATATCCTACAGCGACGTAGATCAAGATGGATCCAAAAATGCAGATCCATATAGGGATATAATATGCATAAAGGCGGACCAAGCTCCAGTTTGAATCAATCCAACACCAAAGCTAGTGATATATCAGCATCTACGGGCGGTCAGTTGGATCTGGACACCATACCGCTGCATTTCCAAAGACGGGGCCCTTTGCATCGTCATGGATAGAGACCAAGACTATGGCAGGAACCAAGGGGCCGCCAAAACAGATAATACAGTAGATCCAGATGCGCTTTCGAAAGACGGCCGGGTTGGCATTGTTGAAGAAAACGAGGAAGACGTTGAAAGCCATGGCGAATGACCACCATGGATCAGATTGCATGAACCTATATGTCACGAAATTTGTTAATCGTCCTACCTATGCGTGTCAAGATTGCAAAAGTTATAACCCACCACTCGAAGATGAAGCCTTGTCCCTGGCAGAGAGTTGACTCCTCTCCTTTGTCCAAGCCATCATATCCAATCATAGACGCGATGCTCGCGCCAGCGTTGGCAATGGATGCCAAAACGATGAAGATGTTGGGGGTAGTTCTTAATCTCTTGAATAGCAAGAAGGAGAGCAGAGTCAGTGTGATTGCCACCATCGAAAGGCCCGCTCCTGTTCGTTCGATGGTAATGAGGATTTCGATTTCTCGAGGGCTCAGCTCCGACCCGCTCGTATCATTGGGGGGGAGGTGCATCGTGGATCGTATCGAAAATATTCGTTCATGGATAAGGAGTGTATTGTGGAATGAAGATGACAGTGCATATGCGCTCTATCTTGATGATAGAGGCGTGGCTCGAAAGGCTATACGCGAGAAGCGATGAGAAAATTTCGAATGAAGACGATAATTTCGAATAATCTGAATTGCTGGTATGTTTGGACGGGAGAATAAGTGGCCGTCGTTAGTCATACTGTCATACTACTTCTACTCTACTGCGAGGGAAGGAGCCTTTATCGTGACAGCTGCCAAAGCTAAACATCATGTGAGCAGCAAGTCAAACTTTCATTCTAGCATCTCAATATTTCATTCTTTTTTCTTCATCACTGATCTCGTTATTCTTGGCTGACAGAGAAATCACCATTCAATGATTATTTCTGATGAGTCCAATCACGCTTGAGGCTGGCGCATGACTCTCCTGTGACGCCCTGCGTCCATCTCTTATTCTTCAGGCTCTCTAATCACGACCGGCCGGATCAGAACGCTATTCAGCGCCCCTGAGACAAGTGCACTAAGAGCACCCCGGTGCCATTGAAAACGATAAGCCAACTACAATCTCATGCATTTCTTCCTTCATTCTCATCTGGCTAAGTGTGCTGTGTGAGCCCAGGTCAGAGGGAACGTCGATGTCTGTCCCGCTCTCTCATATAAGCTTCATACCAATGTGCTCATCGCCAGTCTCTCACTAAATCGGCTTCATGGTCTAGTGGTATGATTCCTGCTTCGGGAAAACAAACCTGGAGTCCCCGGTTCTCTAGAATCGCCTTTGCAGGAGGCCCCGGGTTCGAATCCCGGTGAAGCCCCATCTTTTGCTCGTCAGGGCTACCCTTTTTGCTGATGTATTGTTTGTCTTTGCGGGAGGTGTCATGCTGTGAGTAGAGCGATTCAGGCACGAGTGGTGGTGGCGATAAAGGTGGCTGCGTGCTGCTCACACTTTATTTCGGTTTAGGTGCACTCAGCGCCGTCTCGGCTCCAGGTCCAGCAGCCTTCAGCAGCTCAACGCGGGTAAAAGTGGACGACCTCGGCAATCTCAGCTGGGAGATTGCCTCAATCAAAACACCACATGCAAATCCACACCGTCACGTCCTCGCCCAACATCAGTCGATTCATCCCCATGTCGCGATCTTTGAGCAGCCATCATCCCCTTCCTCCGCCCGAGTACTCCAACATGACGCAGTCCAGCGAATCCACCACATCCTCTCCCCTCGCAATCACGCTGCGCAATCGCGTCCTCAGCCCTCCTCTCGGCTTCAACCCGCCCAACACTCCTCCAACGCTCTATACTTCAGCCGTCTCCCATTTTCTCTCAATCCCGTGGTGTGCATGCCTCATTCAAACGCCAAATACAGTCCCCTTCGTCCCTCAATGCTTCAATCCTTCCAGCCCATCTCGCGACCAGCTCCTCGGCGCCACGCTGGCCACGCCGCGCGGAGTGCAACAGGTTCTTTCCTTCTTCCACACCGAGGATGAAACGCATATCCAGGACCCCTCGCGCCCCATTATGCACGTGAGCACTCTTTTTGCATTGGGTGAGGGCTTGTGTGGATACGAAGGCGTGCTACACGGGGGCATGATTATGACCATTGCGGATGAGTCAATGGGAATTCTCCACGACATCAACAATGCTCTGGGCAAAGTTGGATCTACCTTTGGAGCGGCAAATGTGACGGCCGGTCTTGAGATTAAATTCTTGAAGCCTGGGCCGATCAACGAGACAGTACTGGTCAATGCATGGGTGGACAGCGTAGAGGGGAGAAGAACGAATATTAAATGCGAAATTCGAGATGGAAGAGGCATCGAGATAGCAAAGTGCTCGAGCACGTGGGTGTCAGTGAGGCCCAAGATATAATTCTTCGCCGGGGCATGCACTGCGGATTCGTCAGGGAAGTTTATAAATACAGGGTTCAAAGATTACATTATTGGCAATGATGGCGGTACTATTGATATTTAAAAGGAAAGAGTGGTGGTATCATGTCATATCCATACAGTCATAGAAATTCTGAACAGTTCTCCTTCAATCAACTTTTTTTTTCCCTTTTGCTTCTTCCTCCCTGCTTTCACTCTTATTTCTCACTCTACTTTCTTCTCGCGATGTGGCAGCATCACCTCCGCAGCCTCCTTGAAATGCTCCGGATTGGGATGTCTCAAGACTGCATGTGCCGCCTCCTTCTTGCTCCTCCGTCCTGCCTCCAAACTGTAGTTTTCGTCGTTTAGCTCGCTCTCTACAGAGCTGAGGCTGTCGGAGCTGCTGTTCATGACTACGTGCATCATGCGGCCCTCGCTCTTCTTGATAGCCCGCTGCTCGTCCTTGAGCTTCTGCAGGTGCTCGTCTTCGACATTCATAGTGACGATGCCCATGTCGGGGAAGTTCTTCTGCAGGAACTCTTTAAGATCTGGCAAAATGGATTTCTCCGGACGATATGTTCCAGACTCGTTGTCAATGTAAAGCTGGTAGAAAGCAGGGTTTGGCGGCGGCGGCTGGTTTGGCGGACCTCCGGGAATAGGCTCGGACGGGTGCGTCTTCTCCTTCGGCTCGGGGCTGTCGTTGGCATCCGGGTGCTGCAGTCTGCGAATGAAGAATTCTCCCGAGTAGGCAATGTACTTTTCGGCATCGGCGTGCATGGTGTGTTTGCTGAGGAAATCGATGCCGAATTCTTTGCCCGTCTCGGTGAAGCGCATGAGGCCGTCCAGAGTGAGCACGTAGGTGAAGACGCGGCCGCCTTCGTCGAAATGCACCATCCGGAGGAACTGGAGCGAGGCTTCCCTGGAGCATGGCTTGAAAGTGCCGTATTCGGTGGTGCTGTCGTAGTTGTAGATCCTGTGGTGCTGCTTGTGCAGGGCCTTGTTGAGAATGGTTCCCCGGATACCGGTGGATGAGAAGAGCGAGCCGATAACTGGTCGAAATTCCACGTAGCGGTGGTAGAGCGTGGGTGGCACAGGACCTTGCAGCTGTATCTCGTTTGCCTGGAAGCTAAATCACAACACATGTTAGCATACGCATAAAAGGCATATTGTGATGTCCATGGCTTACTCGTATTTTGTCGACCGGGGCTCGTTGTCCTCGCCGTTGGGTTTCTCGTCATCAGACTCATTTGTATTCACCTTTGCTCCGATGAGGCGACCAATCATGGGACTGTTGTGCTTGATCCATCGCGTCGGGGCCAAGGTGCACATCTGCGCAAAGGGAGGCTCCGACTTGCCCAGCACTTGGATGCTGATGCGCAGACGGGGGGCGAGATGAGTTCCGTGGCTGATGGCGCTGGCGATTCCTTTGAGGATAAAGGCTCGTTTGCTCATAACGCGCTTCTTGGCCTCAAACTCTTGCCCCGGGGGAGGGATGCCGGGCCAGTCTTCAGAGACGGAATCGACATTGATCGTCACGTTGCCCAGCCTGTCGTCTTTGTCGGCAACATCTTCATCATACATTCTGCACTTGAGAGTGAAGCCGCCGGGGGGCACGTTGGCCACGATCCATTCTTCGTTCCATTCTGGCGTGGTGGTTCGGTGGATGGTGCGTGTCCTGTACTTGAGGTCCGGGTCTTCTTTGTGGCGTTTTGGCTGCGTTCCCTTGAGCGTGGCTACCAGGAAGGGGTCTGAAGATGCCGTATGCAGATCGGCAACGGGGACATTTGAGGCCGAGTGAAAGACGAAGCGCAGGGTGTATCCTTGAGGAGCATCGGGGAGGGGAGTTTTGTCGTAGCCGCCGGGAGGTCCCTTGTGTTCGTCCTCATGGTCGCTTGACCCCGATGACGATGTGTCGTCGTGATGCGTTGTGATGTCTCCAGGCATCGTGTAAAGAAAAGAAGAAGAAAAAATAAGAATATAAAAATAAATAAATAAATAACGACTCTAGCGACTAAGCAATATGAAAATGTTTACGGAAATGGGAATTATTGTTGATCAGCAAGGCTGCCAAGACTTTTGATTGTCCACGACTCAGCCTCACAGAAACCAGAGGGGATGACGTTGTGAGGGGTCGCTGGCGATTTGTAGCTCTTGTAATATAGCTGAGAACTAGAGCCGATCAGTCAGTTGCCAAGGCGGGAAAAAAAAAAAAAAGAGTAAAAAGGCCTCCAGCTGAAATAGACGACCAACAAAACAAACAAAAGGGGTGTCAGCACATACCGACAAGAGGCCAAGGGGCGGCATTCCAGGTCTTTGTTCCAGAATCAAGACCAAAAAGAGGCTGTACTGGCTGGGCATGAAATAAAACAGCAGAAAAAGCCTTACGCAGAGCCAGCTGCGAACCGCTGCAAGGTGCAAATCTAGAACCGCATCTCGCCCCTCCGTCTCATTCCTCGCGGGATCATCGTCAACGACGGTCCACCTACGTCAGATCCGCTGCCGGTTACCCGAGACCGCGCCGCGACTTCATTTGCCCGTTTCCTTGGTTTGTCGTTTCTTTATTACTTACGCTGTTGCCGCAACCTTTTTTGCCGGCCCCTTTGTTGGCGTGAACTTGCACATGGCCGTGCTGATGTCATACTCGGCCTGTCACTCAAAGCGCGGCGGATCCATTTTCAGGGCACATGGAGCTCCTCCAGCGAAAGCTCGGCGCTAAAGCTGCGCCAAGTGAGACCCTCCCAGGCCGCTGCAGGGCGTTGTATCTTGGCAGAAGAGCTCCAGTCCAGTGAATGTCCAATCTGGGGGGGCTGAGCAAATGGGATGCAGCGGCGACACCCGAGACTAGGAGGCTGGATCAACCGCCATCAATATCAGCCGTGATTGTGTTGCATACAGGCTTGTGAAGTACAGATGTAAAACGGCTTGATTTGGCCGCATTGCTTCGGAATCTTTCCGTTGCGGTTGGAGCTTAGGCCAAAACACCGCCGAGCTGCATCGTGGCCCGTGGGACAAACCACCACCAGGACTGCCAAGGCTCAGCACTGCCACTGCGCCAAGATGAATATCTCCGACACAAAGGTATTGCCAAGATGCCGAGATGGATATCAATCATTGCTGCCCGACGTAGCCGCAGCCAACGTGTATTATTTGTTCTCAACAGAGTGATGTGCCGTCTGGGTCTCTGGCTTACAAGAGCTTTAGTTGCCGTAGCAGCATTTCTTTGAATGAATATTACATACCTCGTTAGACTTTGCAGGAGAAGCACATACGGGGCCCTACCGGCGTGAATTCCTATTGCTTGTTTCCATAATCAGAAACATGTTCCCTTCAGCTGCGAGGCATATAAAATAATCTAGACCCAATCACCAAGCCCATTTCCAGGATACACGTCTTCTTTAGATATTCACAGACACAACGCACTTCATATCCTCAAATCCACGACAACTTTCATATCAAGCGTTTATCAAAATGTTATAATCAGTCAGTTCATAAAATTCTCTGGCCATAAATAGCTGCTTATACACATAATCACTATCGATCCATTCGTAAAGCCTAGTCCATATAATGTCAGCCCAACCCATCCATCCCGTGTGACATAATAATCCGGCCCTTTAAAAACAAGCAAACTTTAAACAATTCTGCCTCCCTAGCCAAATCTTGTAACCCTTTAATTTGCAGCCAGTATTCGACCTCAAATCCAAGCTTCATATAACAGCTTATTTGCGCACTTCCTTACCATGCTGCACAGCGGGTGAACGAGACATCTCTGCTCGCTTTGCTGGCGAGAGAGACAGCGAGCTGGCAACGGGCATAGAGACCGACCTCGCCTTTCCCTTGGCAAACACTTGCTTCTTGCTCGCAGTGGTGGCCTCCTCGCTCAAGAAACGTCTCTTCATGGACGAGGTATTGGTGTTGGCGTTGGACGGAGTATCTACCGTCTCAGCCCTCTTGGGAGGTGACTCGACATTCTTCTCGCTTGAATCTTTTCTAAAGCTTGGACCTCGCATCTAGCTAGGTTTAAACTTGGTCTTCAAGGCAGTCGGAAAGACTCGACGTATAAAACTGTTGGGGCCGCTGCGAGTGTCGTCTTCCTCAGAGGCGTTCTGTGGCACTTTGTTTCTGGCATTCTCCTCTGCAATGGCGCGTCTCTGAGAGCGACGGACTTCTGCAAGGCGATGCGAGATCAAAGATTGAACCGCTTCGGTGGGGGTGATCTTTGCAACAGAGCTATCAATCATCCCGAGGCGATTGGTCTCAGGCTGCGGGCAACCAGCAAGTTGTGCAATGGGATACAGTCCCTGCGGAGTGTTGAACGAAAGGGCAATTCTGCCTCGTGACATTCGCTTGCCAGGGCCCATCGGACGAGCTTTTCTCGCATCTCGTTTCTCCTTTTCCGTCAGCTTCCATTCGTCATCTTTAAGGGAAGCCTGAATTGCGGGATTCTTGTCTAGTTCTTCAAAGTGTTCCAGGAGACGTTGCACGCCGGTCGTGAGATGAGTCTTGACATTGCTCTTGGACACTTCTGGGTCCGTTTGGCGGAGGATCCAGCGCTGCCTGGCTCGCAAAAGAGAAAAGACGACAGCTCTGGCCATACTAGGCGGCATCTCGATGTTTTGAGCTTGAGAAGTGCTGCAAGCGACCACAGCCCAGTACATGTCGTAGTCGCGCTCCTCAATGACGGGAATCCACTTGTTGCATTCAACGAATAGCTTGCTCAGGTGTGCGATACCGGCGTCGGTTGCTTTGAACCCTTCCTGCGGGCAAAGTACCGCGAGGAGTTCTTTATCCGCATGCTTGTCTTTCAAAATGGAAGCGCTAGAGAGGAAATAGACTCCTTCAGTGGTATTCGTGATGGTGTGGAAGAGATCGTTGCGCAGAGATTCCAAGCTGCGGCTTCGGCTAAGTCCTCCGCGAACCATCTTGGTGAATGGATGAAAAGCACTGTTTTTAAGACTATATACATGTCAGTACCAATAAGTTATATGGTTATTGTCTCATATCACCGCTGCTTACGATGGTGTAGCTGAAACGTTGTAAGCCCAAGGGGCTGGAAGCATATGTTGGTGGCAATATGACCCAACAACGCGCCCGAGATCGCGTAGTTGAGAAGAAAGAAAAAAAACACAATGTTCACTTGTCGGACGGAAATTTACCATTATAAGCGAATGGTAGCTGGGTAACCAGCTGGCAACGATGAAGGTTGCTGAGATTTCCGCTCCCCCGTCGCCAGTTGGCACTTGACCCTGGCAGCTGTATTGTCGATTAAGGTGCACTGTCAAATCCTGTGTAGTAAAAGTATGGATAATGACAGAATATTGTAGGAGAGAGTGTGTGACTATAATATTAAGGAACAGGTGTTAAAAATTGCGAGGATTGTTGTTGAGATGGCCTGTCTGGAGTGCAGTAGGAGTGGAATAACTTTGCAAGAATTGTTTACTTAGAAGTATGACTTGGTAGTCATATTTTTGAAGGTTCGTTTGTTATCAAAGTATAAATTTTATCCTAAACTCCCTATTTCAGAAGCGCCTATGCAACTTTCTTCTATCGCTTCTTTCTTTCTCTTTCCTCCGAATTCGCTGGTTGCTGCTACGATACTTCTCTATAACGGCAGCTCCCTAGTAACTGGAGACAGACTTGCGGATATTGGATTGGAAAATATTAAAGCTACAACTATGAGTTACTGGACATTGATATGCGTTTTTTTTATCCTAGTCTTGCCAGATGCAAACCTTTTCCCAGTTGGTATTCACCAGCACTCGAGCTTCTTCTCTGCAGCACACGCGATGCTTCTACTAGAGGTTGAGAAATACCAGGAAACAAACCAGATACATCTTGTATGTAGCAATGAAAATTTACCCAATTTAGGGCATGAATTTAAAAGTCTTAACCACAGCTCACTTTAACCCTCTGCAAAATTCTATCACTGCCCTCGGCGCTTCGGGTGGGCGCTTAGTAGCGCATTACCCGATAGGTAAGTAAATCATACACAATCAACAACATCCAACAGCCAACAACCAAAGATAGTTGACTCCACGGTGGGTATCTGCAACATTGTGTTGGTTGTATGTCCTCGGTTGTTTATAAATAATATATGATCCATCCTCGTCACAACAGGCCATTCTCACGAAAACCCCGCTCACACCTGGTTCATAACGGCTGCCTTTTTGGCCTCCTCTCCTGCATCTCCTGCCATTCCCGGCTTTCCAGCGTTGCACAACTTCTTTTTTCGGACGGGTATGTATGACATTTCTTTTTGTTTCTTCCATTCTTCCATTATTCCATTCTTTCTTTTTCTTTCTTTCTTCATGTTTCTTTTCTTGCCCTGGCTCCTTTCCTAGCTCTCGTTCTCCAGCTGCGGTTTCTTTCCTAGCTGCGATTTTTTTGTGTTGAATCTTCTTTTGTATTACCTATTACCCATTTGCCATTTTTTTCTTTTGTTTCGCGCATTAATGGCGTCATCATGGACGTGTTGGGCCTTTTATCCAACATTTCGCAAGTCGTCGATCTTCTTGTCAAAATCGGCGTCATGTGCTCAATTTACTGCTTCGATGTTAAAAATGCCCCAAAAGAAGTGCGGCTGCTCTTAAGAGAGGTCGATCGGCTAACAGTCGTCATCAAAGAGCTCGAAATCCTAATAAATGGATCGAAAGGGGCCGCCAAGATAGAATCGCCGGTCCTGCGGCAGACCGTCTTCGATCTCCGCAAGCTGCTGGCAGAGCTGGTAGCGAAACTAGACCTAGGAGCGAAGAATACGTCTACTAGAGCGATGTGGCCATTCAAAAAGCGAGAAATCCACGATATCATTGCTTCAATTGATAGGCAAAAGGCTAATATTGTGCTAAATATGAGCATTGAACAAACGTAAGTTGACCCTTCGAGCAGATATATATATGTATATTATGGGAAACTTCCTAGTTACCCATGTATATCGACATTAGTATCTCTCTTGCTAACATGTAAAAGATCGATCCTCATTGACGTTCATCAAGAATTCGTTCTATCAAAACTGAGAGTCGCAGAGGCCGCCACTTTTGACTCTAGCGTAGATGGAGAGCAATCATACTGCCTTCCAGGCACACGAACAGAAGTTATCGCACAGATCCAGCAGTGGAGCACCGAGCAGAATGGCCAGTCTATCTTCTGGCTGAACGGCATGGCAGGCACTGGCAAATCTACCATTTCTCGAACAGTGGCTCAGCTATTTACCAACAACGATATACTTGGGGCTAGCTTCTTTTTCAAGAGAGGAGAGGGAAATCGTGGTAGGGCAACGTTCCTCTTCACCACAATAGCCACCCAGCTTGTCCGTCGATTGCCATGTCTCGCTCCTCATATCCGCGAAATTTTGGTTATTGATCCATTTATTCACGAAAAACCTCTGAACGATCAATTCGAAAAGCTAATTTTGGATCCATTAAGCAAAAACCCGCGATGCTGGGGGCAAAACTTGATCATAGTTATTGACGCTCTCGATGAGTGCGGCTCAGAAGACGATATGAAAACGATGATCAGCGTCTTCTCAAAGGCCCAGCACACCATTAGTCCTCGAGTCAAATTCTTTCTCACAAGCAGGCCAGAACTGCCAATCCGACTTGGGTTCGAACAAATTGATGGAAAATATGATAACTTGCTTCTCGCGGCAGTTCCCGCTACTACCATTGCGCTGGACATTGAGCTGTTTATGCGAGATAAACTTCAGACTATCAAGACAGAATATAATATATCCGTCTCTGAGCGTCGCAAAATAGGACCTGACTGGCCTGGCGAGCAGGTGCTACAGAAGCTTATCGCTACAGCTATTCCTCTCTTCATCGCCGCGGCAACAATATGCCGTTTCCTTAGAGATCGAAGATTAGGAAGCCCTCATCATCAGCTCAATAAGCTGCTGGGTTATCAGTCGATTAAGATATCTGGCCTTGATATGACGTATTTTCCAGTCTTAGATCGCCTGATTGTTGGTCTTTCGCCTACCAAGAGACAAGAAGTGCTGCACAGGTTTCAATATCTAATTGGCTCCATCATCACTTTATCTCAACCTCTATCTATTAAAAGCCTTTCAAATCTACTTGGCGTTTCCACGGATATTATTGAAGACCAGCTTGATCTTTTGCATTCAGTCCTTAGTGTGCCTACCGATTTGGATACACCTGTGAGACTATTGCATCTTTCTTTTCGAGACTTCTTAGTTGATGCTGAAGAAACACCCTTGAAAAATCCTTTCTGGGTAGATGAACAAGAATCTCATTCAAAATTATTCTCGCAGTGCCTTGGGCTACTCTCTCGTGTTCTCAAGGAAGATATCTGCTGCCTTAGATCTCCAGGGACGCTTCAATCAGATATAAGCCAAACAGTTATCGATGAACATTTATCCCCCGAAGTCCGATATGCTTGTACGCACTGGGTTTATCATAAAAAGTTAAGCAATCGCAGGATATGTGATAACGATGAAACACATACATTCTTATCGAGCTTCTTGCTCAAGTGGATAGAAGCGCTATCCATTCTGAAGCAAAGTGCGGAGAGTATCTACATGATAGATGATTTATTATGCAAACTTGAAGTAAGTGAGCTCTAGGCACTTTCTACTACCCCTACTACCCCTATTATCGCTACTATCCCTGCTATGGGTTGGATTTATGCGTATGGCTGACCGTCGATTTCACGGTAGGAAATAAATGCTCGAGCTGTTAGAGACCTCTTACGAGATGCACGACACTTTATACTCGCCAATATAGGTGTCATGAATAAAGCGCCGCTTCAGATATACTCTTCTGCCCTTATATTTGCTCCAGAAAAGAGCATTGTTCGAAAACTGTTCAAACCATGCATTCCGTTGTGGCTTACTACTCAACCTACAATGCAATCGCATTGGGACCCTTGTTTGGCAACATTCGAGACTCAATATCCATGGACAATAAAAATTAGAGCTTTTCCTACTGGGAATAGATTTCTCTCTCTTTGTAGGATGAGGATGGAAGTTTGGGATATACGAACAATTTCTCGCATTGCAGTATACGATGATGTGCTATCCACATCTGTTAGTTTCTCACCTGATGGCAAAGACCTCCTCTACCTTGCTGGGCACGAAGTTCTTCGAATTATGAGTACTGCCACGAGAGACTGCATCGCAGAATTTAAAGGCCATACGGACAAAATTAAAGACGCCATATTTTCTGCGGACTATCAACAGCTTGCTTCATCATCGAGAGATGGAAGTCTAAAGATATGGGACAGAGCAACTGGCAGGTGCACCGCGACCTACGAGTTTAACCACGACGATAGTATGGTTGAATTTTCTCCCGACGGAATGTGGTTACTAATAATCCGGGAGAAAAAAACCATCCACCTTCTCAATTCAACAACTGGTCAAACTATAACTTTCGGCAACAACAATAACAATATGACAAAAGCTGCATTTTCACCTGATAGCAAAAGGATAGTTTCTGTCGATTCCGAGGAAGTGATAAGATTTACAGATATATCCTCTGGTATTAGCTTAATTGCTAAAGGCGCATTTTTCAGCTTTGACGGAAACTTAATATTTTTCTCTGGCGGTGATCAACTAATTTGCCCTATGAGGAGTACTCCTGGGTCTGTTTGGGCTATTGGGCTCTGGAATACTTCAACAGCTACCTGCCATACTCATTTAGCAGGTCATCGAGCCTACATATCACATATTGTCCTGTCCAAAGACGAGAAAAGAATTGTCTCAGCTTCCAACGACAAAAGCATAAAAGTGTGGGACATTAAAACAAAGTCTTGCATAGCAACATACAGCGGCCACGAGGAGAAAATCACGAGCATCTCATACTCTGCTGATGAAAGCTTGATCATATCGGTGGATGATAGGGGTAGCTTGAAAATATGGGATACTAACTCAAAAATACAGCCGACAAAAGTTGAGAGCCACGGAAGCGCAGTTCTCGAAGTTATATTTTCTCCAGAGAAAAGAAAGATTCTAACGACTTGTGGAGATCGCACCATCAAAATCTGGGATGCCGTTACTGGACAGTGTATCGCGACTGGAGAGAATCATGTGCTCTTTTCTTACGTGCCCTTGGTGATAGCTCTAGATATCCCTTCAGCTCCGTATGACCACGTTATGAACAGTCATGGTCTATATGGTTGGCCAAGGTCGATCGACTTTTCCTTGGATGGTTCCAAATTTGTATCTGCAAGTGCAAACTCTACAACTTCCAGTCTTAAGCTATGGAATATGGACACTGGTGACTATGAGTCATTACATCAAGCGATCCCAGATTGTGCCACATCCATCGCATTTTCACCAGATGGTACAACAATTTCGTCGACATTTAGAGATGGCACGTTGATGTACTGGGATACTACAACGCAAAAACTCCTTGGTTCCTATGGTAGCGATACATACGATGTGTCATATTCGACATATTCACCAGATGGTACTTATCTCACGTTTGGCTGTGTGGATGGATCTGTTCGGTTGTATCATTTACCAACTGGAAAGTTCAAAGAAATGAACGAGACACATGAAAGGCCAGTGTCACTTGTGACAATGTCAGCAGATGGCACAAGATTAGCTTCTTACAGTGTCAAAGAAGTCAAAATTTGGGATACAGACACGTGTACGTGCATTACTAGCTATACATCAGCTTATGGTAACTCGAACGCAAGCCAATTTCTGTTTTCTCCTGACGGCCGATATCTTATCACCCTCTACGAAGCCGGAAGAGACAAGGTTGGGGGGGAATCCATATCTGCAGGAAATTACAAGATGAGGATTTTAGACTCCTCAACGGGACAATGCATTGCCGAGCTAGGGATTTGTGGGCTTGCCAACCATATGGAATTCGACTCTGCCGGATCTAGTCTGCTTATTACCAATGTGGGCACACTTACATTCGACCCGCCTACCTTTCAGAAGGCACATACCATAGGACTTGGCTTGAGCAATGACGGCGAGTGGGTTACGTGGGATTCTTGCAATTTACTGTGGCTGCCACCCACGTTTAGAATATCTGCATCGGATATTGATGTCGCGGCGTCTCGGATCGCGCTTGGGTCTCGCCTTGGGCGGCTACTTTTGATTGGCATTGATTCCTCCAAAATTCCTCCACCTACTGTCGGAGCGAACCTTCTGGACGCCACAAATGTGCCTTGAGCTAGCCCACTTGACACCGCCGCCTGAAGCTATAATCCATACGCAGCATGTCTGGGAAGCTTAACCGCCGACGTGCTCAGCGGGGCGGGCTCGCAAGGAGCAATCCAATGTGGGCTTTCAGGGTGCTAGAGCACCCCCTTAGAACAATTTAGGGATAGCAACGTGGCGTTACTACCCCCTATCATTGCGGCAAAGTCGTCATCGTGGATCAGCTCGGAAGAGACGCTGTATTACCCCGCCGACAATAGACAGCATTTAATGGAGGGGTTGAGCTGTCCGCTTGAAACTACAAAAATTCCACTTCCACAGATACCAGCTGGACTTGTTTAATTTTACGGCACGATTGCAATTGGTCAACCTCGAGCTACAATGGAGGTCACAAAGACTCTTTTGGAAGAAGGCTCTGGTGACGATTATGTTCACAACGGAGACACCGTCCTCATGGGATACACTGGTTGGCTGAAGGACACTTCTCAGCCGGAAAACAAGGGGAACAAGTAAAAAGCATGGCCAAGTTGTGAAATATCTACGTTGCTCACGTTTTATTTCAGATTTGATTCCTCCTATGACCGAAAAGACAAACCAGGATTTTCAACCGAGATTGGTGTTGGTCGAGTTATCAAGGGTATAGTGTATCTGTCGAAGTTAGATGATAGCTGTTATTAATAATTTGTCATAGGTTGGGATGTTGGCGTGGCTGGTATGAAGCTTGGCGAGAAGGCAAGACTTGATATTCCAAGGTAAGCTACGCTGATTTACATCTCCGAAAGCATTATTGACAGAGGTCGGTCACAGCAAGCTTGCTTATGGCTCTAGGGGCTTTGGACAAATCATTCCTGCCAACTCGGACCTTATTTTGTAAGTCTTGATCACCATGGACTGGTAGGAATTTATTCCAGCATCAAGTCTGACAATTTTACAGCGACGTTCAAGTGTTGAAAATTACCCCGGGGAAGCGAATGGCAAGTAGACCTGCCGAACAGTGAAGTTTGGGACCCGACAGATTTTGGACAAGATGGATTAAGATATCAAGACATGTTTGGAATTCAAGACCATGGTGCATAAATGAATGAGGGCAAAGCTGGCTCCTAAGGTCCTTTTGTGATATACTACTGCCATCTGTTTGGGTAATAGCTTGGCACATGTCTGATGTTTAATTATGTAGAGGATTTTGAATCTTTAGGGCAGTGTCAATGAAGAAGAGCATGCTCTATCTTGATTACCAGGTGTTAATCGTTTGCGTCTCGAAGCATTCGCGCGGCTCTCTCTTATTCCGCAATCCAAGCTTCCCCTGCAAATATGGTGGACAGCATATGCAAAACACGGCTATTCTAATTCATGCGTAAAAGACCTCTTCAGTTACCGGACCTGCCGGAAGAAGAAAATCGGCAGGTCTGGTCAATTGCAGCTGAATTGGGCACTATCATCTGCTGTATTTTCTTCGCATAGAGACGTAGGGTAAAAGCTGAAATCGCCAAAGACCGGCGTGTTGGGAGCTTCCATGGCGGTCTGAGAGCTTCCACACCGGGTACCTGCCGGCTGCTATTCGGGCTGCTTCCAACAGCTTCACAGCGCCTAACAGCGCGTCTCTGCCTGGCCAATCGCCGTAATTCGTAGCAAGCAGAGCCCCGCCTCTGTTGCCCCGCCTGGCTTTGCCTGACATGCGACTGCCCCTCTTCTCGGTACATTGTTCCTCGTACTCGTGCCATGACAACGATTGGCCACATTACCTCATCAAAAGAACTGGAGCCTTGTTGGAAGCAGACCAACGCCTTGCCTAAGCAAACGGCCGTGATTCTCGCATCCCCATTACAAACCAAGCATTTGCTGTAACGCCTCTTCTTGCGAGCATCGCCTTGCACTTCTCACGCAACAGAATCTCTCTGGCATAGCATAGCCAACGCCGCACAAAACCCCCCCTCAAGCTCTCTCTCTACCTCGTCTGCAGCATCTAGGTGGGGTCTCGCTCGACCTAGGTGCTGGATTACCATATCCAAGATTTCGTCACAGGCCAGCTCCGGAGCGCTGGCGAAGCGAAGGCTCTCCGAAGGGGAGTCGCAACAAGAGAATAAGAGGACCATGGCTGTAGGTTTCTTCTCCTTCTGGCTCCTCTATATCGCGCTGCATGCCTCTTTATCCCCTACGAGAAGTGGCATGGCATGACGTGATATGGCATAAGACCCAAGCTGACCATGATTCGTTTCCAAAGGCCTCCAAGCTCCCTGAGGTCGATCTTGCGACCAGAATGCAAGTCGACGATTCCGTTATCGGGACCACAGACATCGATGAGTCTCTCTACAGCCGACAGCTCTATGTCCTGGGACACGAAGCCATGCGCCGCATGGGCGCCTCCAACATCCTCGTTGTTGGTCTCAAGGGCCTCGGTGTAGAGATTGCGAAGAATATTGCCTTGGCTGGTGTCAAGAGCTTGACTGTCTACGACCCTGCTCCGGTCAAGATTGCGGATCTCTCTGCCCAGTTCTTTTTGACCCCAGAGGATGTTGGCAAGCCCAGGGACGAAGTCACAGCTCCGCGCATCGCAGAACTCAACGCTTATACCCCTGTCAAGGTCCACCAATCTCCTGGGTATGATCAATTATATCTCGATTTGCATAGTAGTAGTTATCTTAGCTAACTATTATTCATCACAGAATTGAGGACAACTTTTCACAGTTCGACAAGTACCAAGTCGTGGTGCTGACCAATTCACCCATCTCGATACAAAAGGCTGTGGGCGATTACTGCCACTCCAAGGGAATCTTCGTCGTTATTGTCGACACATTCGGCCTGTTTGGCTCCATCTTTTGCGATTTTGGCGATAAGTTTACCATTATCGATCCGACCGGCGAGGCCCCCTTGAGCGGTATTGTTGCTGGTATTGACGAAGAGGGTTTGGTGTCGGCACTCGACGAAACCCGACATGGCCTAGAAGATGGTGACTTTGTTACATTTTCCGAAGTTGAAGGCATGGAGAAGATAAACGGCTGCGAGCCCCGCAAGGTTACAGTCAAAGGCCCGTACACTTTCTCTATTGGAGATGTATCAGGCCTCGGACAGTACCTGCGTGGAGGCATCTACCAGCAGGTCAAGATGCCCAAGGTGGTCGATTTCAAAAGCTTCACAGCCGCCCTCAAGGAGCCCGAGTTCCTCATTTCCGACTACGCCAAGTTCGATCGCCCCCAGCAACTCCATCTTGGATTCCAGGCGCTCCACGCATTCCAGGTCGCCAATGGACGACTGCCCAACCCTATGGATGAGAAGGATGCCATTGTAGTCTTGGAGGCTGCCAAGACCTTTGCCGCTGACGAGAAGCTAGAGATCGACATTGACGAGAAGCTTTTGAAAGAGTTGAGTTTCCAGGCTCTTGGTGATCTCAGCCCCATGGCAGCATTCTTTGGTGGTATTGCCGCTCAGGAGGTCCTCAAAGCCGTTTCTGGCAAGTTCAACCCCATCCAGCAGTGGATGTACTTTGACTCACTAGAGTCCCTTCCCACCTCTACCAAGCGAAGCCCAGAGCTTTGCAAGCCAATCGGCAGCCGTTATGATGGTCAGATTGCCGTCTTCGGAACTGAATACCAGGAGAAGATTTCCAACCTCAAGCAGTTCCTCGTCGGCGCTGGCGCCATCGGTTGCGAGATGCTCAAAAACTGGGCAATGATCGGCTTGGGAACGGGTCCCAACGGCAAGATTTACGTGACCGACATGGACTCTATCGAGAAGAGCAACCTCAACCGACAGTTCCTTTTCCGAGCCGCCGATGTTGGCAGCATGAAGAGCGACTGCGCTGCCAAGGCTGTGCAGCGTATGAACCCGGAGTTAGCAGGCCACATTGAGACGCTGCGAGAGCGCGTTAGTCCCGAGACTGAGCACGTCTTCAACGAGGAGTTCTGGCGAAGCCTGGACGGTGTCACCAACGCTCTGGACAATGTAGAAGCGAGAACCTACGTCGACCGACGATGTGTCTTCTTCCGAAAGCCGTTGCTCGAGAGCGGAACTTTGGGTACCAAGGGCAACACACAAGTTGTCCTCCCCCACCTAACAGAGTCTTACTCCTCTTCTCAGGATCCTCCCGAGAAAGAATTCCCCATGTGCACCATTCGAAGCTTCCCCAACAGGATTGAGCACACGATTGCTTGGGCAAAGGAGTACATGTTTGAGAAGTTCTTTGTCAAGTCCCCCCAGACGGTGAACCTCTACCTGACGCAGCCCAATTTCATCGAGGCTACGCTCAAGCAGGGTGGCAACCACAAGGAAACTCTTGAGACGATCCGCAACTATCTAACTACAGAGCGACCTCGGACTTTTGAAGACTGCATTGCGTGGGCCCGCCTTCTCTTTGAGACTGAGTTTGCAAACAAGGTCCAACAGCTTCTGTACAACTTCCCCAAGGACTCAGTCACTTCCGGTGGCACTCCTTTCTGGTCTGGCCCAAAGAGAGCCCCTGATGCACTCAAATTCGACCCCAACAATGCGACTCACTTTGGGTTCATTGTTGCCGCGGCCAACCTCCACGCATTCAACTTCAACATCAAGTCTCCTGGCACTGATAGGTCCATCTATCTGAAGGAACTCGAAAATGTCATTGTGCCTGATTTTGCCCCTGACGCAAACGTCAAGATCCAAGCTGATGACAAGGAGCCCGTAAGTCTTTTTCACCTACCTTCTCAGGCTCTATATCGCACTATTCTAACTCTATATTCAGGATCCAAATGCTAGCACCTTTGATGATACGGATGAGCTTAGTGCCCTCAGCGCAAGTCTTCCATCGGCAAGCACTCTGGCTGGCTTCCAGCTGCAGCCTGTGGAGTTTGAGAAGGACGATGACACCAACCACCACATCGACTTCATCACTGCTTGCAGCAATCTAAGAGCAGAGAACTACAAGATTGAACCTGCCGATCGCCACAAGACCAAGTTCATTGCGGGCAAGATTATCCCAGCCATTGCCACCACCACTGCCCTTGTCACAGGCCTCGTTGTCCTTGAGCTATACAAGATCATCGATGGCAAGGATGATATTGAGCAATTCAAGAACGGCTTCATTAACCTGGCCCTGCCATTCTTTGGATTTAGTGAACCCATTGCCAGTCCCAAGGTGGAGTACAAGGGACCTGACGGCAAGGTCAAGCTGGACAAGATCTGGGATCGATTTGAAGTTGACAACATCACGTTGAAGGAGCTTCTCGATCACTTTGAAGCAAAGGGCCTCAGCATCAGCATGCTCAGCTCTGGCGTCAGCTTGCTGTATGCAAGCTTCTTCCCTCCGTCAAAGTTGAAGGATCGCTATGCCCTGAAGCTCAGCGAGCTGGTGGAGACCATTTCAAAGAAGCCCGTTCCTTCGCACCAGAAGGAGTTGATCTTTGAGATGGTGGCTGAGGATCTAGACGAAGAGGACGTGGAGGTTCCGTACATCAAGGTAAATATTAAATAAGTGGGCTCAGTTTTCGATAGACATGGCGCGGATCACGAGTAGTTACTACAAAATGAGTAGATATTTGAAACAAAATTGAATGTTTTATGGATCATTTTGACGTTGTGCCATCATCCATCGCCGTGCTCTCGTTACCTTTGTGCCTCAGTCGTATTTTTGCATGCTGGCTATGCTCAATTAAGATGGCGATGAGTAAGCCTCGGAAAAGCCGCCGCATTTGAAAAGGCTATTCGATGGATCTCCTGGCGCTGTGCGTCGTTATTCCACCCAGTGAGGTCTGATCCTGCGATGACTAAGGGGGGAGTCATGGCTGAGTGATGCAGGCGCTAATGCTTATAAGGCCTTGTTACGTCACAATTAGAAAGCGCGCTAATAGCTTCCGTATAACGTGTGGATTGGTAAAGGAACAGCTGTTTGCCCGGGACTTTTAGCAATGCTTAAGTCAGAGGACACTATGAAGCAACTGGAAGCGCTAAAGTATAAGCAGAGGGGCTACTGGCGTTTTTCGTAGTGCTGTCAATTAGCAATTAGCCACAGTAGACTGTATATATAGACGTCAAGCTCCTTCACAGCGAGTGAGGGGTATCATTCAGTAAATGAGAGCAGTTCAGCAACAGTTGAAGATCAGAGCCAATAGTGGTATCTTGAACAATTATCACAGGCAATTCACGAGAAGATTGGCATCTCAAGCATTGCCAAAAAGCGGCAGTCCAATTGCAAATACGCAAAGCAGCAATCTTACTCATCACCCCTCTATCTCTACGCAACGTTCATACACACACACTTCACAACAGTCTCTAAACCAAGTCAACATGGTTAGTAGTATTCATGAAGAGCCTTCTACGCCTTTCAACACTCACATACTTGTATGAAAGCAATACTAATTGGTATTTCTTAGGCTACCAAGATTACTGACTGGGCCGACAAGTCTGGCGAGTTCAAGCGACAAGTCAGCTCGTTCCGCAACTGGATCTCTCGTGAGTCCGGTGCTGAGTTTCCCCCTGAGAAGGGGAGGTATCACCTCTACGTCAGCTATGCCTGTCCATGGGCTCACCGCACCTTGATTGCACGGAAGCTCAAGGGACTGGAGGACATCATCTCCTTCTCAGTGGTACACTGGCATCTGGGGCAGGAAGGATGGCGATTCGCCACTAAGGAGGACAAGCCTGAGGACATTCCAGGCGAGAATGTTATCCCCGACCCGCTGCACGACTTTACACACCTGCGCCAGGTATACTTTGCGTCGAACAAGGACTACACTGGGCGATTTACTGTTCCGGTGCTTTATGACAAGAAGACGAACCAGATTGTCAGCAATGAGAGCAGCGAGATCCTCCGTATGCTGGGAACAGAGGTGAGTGTCTGATATCGATCGCAAGGCAGAGACACCTACAAGTGGACAAATGATTGACAAGTTTTACAGTTTGACGACCTGATTGAGGAAAAGTACCGCTCTATTTCCCTGTACCCAGACAGCTTGAAGAGCCAGATCGACGAGGCCAACTCGTGGACTTACGACAACATCAACAACGGCGTCTACAAGGCCGGCTTTGCCACCACCAGCGAAGCCTACGAAAAGGGCGTCACTGGCGTCTTCGAGGCCCTTGACCGCGCAGAGAAGCACCTCGCCTCGCAGACCGATGGCCCCTACTTCTTCGGCAAGAACATCACCGAGACTGACGTGCGGCTGTACGTGACGCTGGCGCGCTTCGACCCGGTGTACGTGCAGCACTTCAAGTGCAACATTCGCGACATCCGCAGCGGCTACCCGCGTCTGCACAAGTGGATGCGCAACCTCTACTGGAACCATGCCGCGTTTAAGGAGACGACGCAGTTTGACCACATCAAGTGGCATTACACGCGGAGCCACACCCAGATCAACCCCCATAGCATTACGCCTTTGGGACCCCTGCCGCATATTTTGCCGCTGGAGGAGGAGGTGGCTGCGGTTGCTGCGGCGAGAGTGTAAACTACGCGAGTGACAAATTGTTTTTTTTTTCTCTCTTTTTTTTTCCTTTTAACTTGCTGTAAGGATTTTGGTGGGATGGGAAGAAAAGGGTGTGTTGGAGGGGGTTATGACTGGATGGAATTTTTTGGGGGAGAAGAGCGAAAATGCTGGGAGCTGAGGATTGTCTTACCTACCCTAAGATGTGAGAACTTTGTCGTGAATATGAAACCAACGATTTATGCGTCATATAAATCCTTCTGCAACTGCGTGAATTGAGTGGTGTGAAGTTGGCCCAAGTAAATTGATATTGTCTTCTCATTCACTTGAAGTGTTGAGTCACCACATGAATACCGGTTTGTGCTTGTTAGGTACACGTAGTCCGAGTCTAGTCACCTGATGATGCCCAAAGACTTTGGACGTTGGCAGCCAAAGCCACCTTTGTTTGTGATACAAGCTTAATTGAAGGCACCAAACTAGACAACTGGGTTTGTTTAATTCGTTTAAAAGGAGAACTAATTACACACTCAATAACTATTTAATCAGCCATCCTTCCATAGTTTTCACCCGCCAATCTGGCGAAATGCGTGCGCCTTGTTTGGGCAGCTTTCAACGTGCTTCCTTGGGCTTCCAGGCAGCCTGACAGCCCCTCTCCCCTAAACCCCCCCAAACCCCCAAATGAGCAGCGCCTGCCTGCCGCCCGCCACCCGCTGGAAGCCCTACTCCTTGCCACTGAAGACGCTGCTAGCCGCCACTACCACCTGGCAATTTCCCGCCGTGGCTCCTGTCTGCCTGGTCCTTGCTCTCTTGCCGCTCCTAAAAAAGCGTCCCCACCAAAAACGCAATCTGCTCCCATCACCATCATCACCAATTTCCCGAATCAACCAAACAACCGACCTCCTCTCGACCTCCTCGCCGCCTCGCCTCGTCAGCCACAAACAACCCAACAATCCCGAATATCATTCGTATTCGCACAGACTGCAATCAACCTCCCTCTCCTCCTCCCTCGGCGCGCAGCCACCCGTGACGCAGCGTCCTCTTGTTTCCGCCCGACCGCCAAACTCTTTCCCCGCGCACAAACAAAGCCAAACCTCTGTTCTCATAATTGTCTCTTCTACTCGCCTCGTCTTTTTGCGTCCTTTCTAGTTTTGTTCTCCGCCAAATTGTCTCCATCGTTGCATACTTTTGCAGTTGTTGTCCTCCCTTTCTCTTTGTTCCACCTTCTCCTTTCAATTTGCCTCTTAGTGGCAACCCCAGCTGTTTAGCTCCGTGGTCGGCTTCAGCCTCCCCTTCGAAATTGCAAGGCGGCCTTTACAGTTTCTGCTTGTTACAGCTCCTCCACGGCCTCCTCGACTGCTAGACATATACTCGTGCGGCATTCAGACCTTGAAGCTGTGCGCCCAGCTCCTCGATTGACACATATACGCTGCGCTGCATCACCCCGCTACCAGCCGGCTACTCGACCCTCTGGGTCCTTATCTACCATTTGCGGCTCTCGGCCGACCAGCCCTCTTTTTTTGTGACAGGTTCACCACTTTCTTGAGCGATTAGTCGGGATATTCGCCGGATGAGCGTCGCAAATTCCTCGCCTTGATATGGCCGTTCGATACACCGCAGAGCACTTGCTCTTCTTGAGAGACTCGCCGCTATGTTTGAAACCTGAGAAGCTTCCTCCAGCGGAGGAATGGATGGGGTACGTGCAGCTAGAGGGTGAAGATGCTCTTCGAAAGCTTACAATTCACTGACTTCACTTTACGCAGGGCGCCTCCTGAAGTTCGAGTACAAACCAAAACAACCAACGATCGACCTCGGCCCTCTGACAATCCACTCCTCGACCAGAACAATCGCCGTACTGGCATCGGCCATGCCTCGCGGAATAGTACAAGTTGGTCCTATCTTATATGTGAAGTGGGAGTGTTTCTGTGGCGCTAACGATACAAACTATTCAAGACCCTGAAGACATTGTCTTTGCCCCTCCCCGGATGGCATTTGCTTCCTCTGGCCGAGGCAGCAAGACGCTGGAAAGCGACAAGTCGGCCAAGGATATCGACCCGGTAGGCCGTTTTGGCTTGCGCAATCGAAACAGTGAAGCAGACGGAGACCGTCTGCGCGCCCCTAATGCCCTTCGGCGCCGCGGCGAGAACGATTTAGATAGTGATGGGTGGAGTACTGTGAAGCCCCGCAAGAGTTTTGGAGCTGAGGGCGCTGAGCGTTTCCATGGCCGCATGGGTGGCAATTTTCGAGATGAGAAGAAGCCACTGCGAGACAACGACCGTGATGCCACGCGCGACCGTCCGACGAGAGTGGCTGATACTTTGATCAGAGACAAAGATATTGAGAATGACAATCGTACGCGCAATAGCGCTGGCAGAAGCAAAGTCGACTCTTGGCACAAGACAGAGCCAGTAGCAGCAGACTCTCCGGCGATCGAACGAAAAGAACGCGATCGGACAAAGAGCTGGAGAGACCGTGACACTTCTGAAACGACAGATGATCGTGCGAACGGAAGAGGGGCAGCACCCGACAGGCGCTGGGCCCGCGATCGCGAACAGCGCGTGGAACGTGACCCTGAGTGGTTTGATGAGCCCGCCGAAGCTCTCCGCGAAGCACACACACAGCAAGATTTCCAGAAATGGATGGAACAGATGAAAAAGGGCAGAGGAGGCGGAGATGCTGCACCAGCATCAGCCCCTGTACCTGAACCGGCTGCAGAGGCCGAGAGGCCTCATCTTCCCCACCAGCCCATCTCAGCTGTCGAGAATGCCCCCGACAAGTTTTTCCTTGCTTTCGGCGGCCGCCAGAGCTCTCTTGAACCTACCTCCCCACCTAGTGAAGCAAACGAAGCACCTGCTAAGCCCAAGGCTGCGGGCAAATCGTCGAGATTTACCTCCTTCTTTCACCAACCCCAAGATGAACAGCGGACCAGGGCAGAACAGTCGACGAGCGTACCTCCTCAGGCCACTCAGTACCCCCCCGGCTTAGGCCCCATCCCTGTACAGCCCCCCCCTCCCGAAGAAGAGAAGCAAGCTTTCCAGCAGCTACTTCTTAAGCTCCAAAAGCAGAGCATGAGTGCTACTCCTCCGGCCCCCTCGCCGTTTGCTCCACCGCCTATGGGAAATCACCTTGATATGGGAAAGAAGAGCAGTTTGGCATCTCCAGAGCCATTCCAGCAATATGGCGGAGAGAGAGCCAATGGTATGGGTCGTCCGCCGCCACAACATGTGCAAGAGATTCTTGCCCCTCGGCCACAGCAGCAAACTGCTCGGCCAGATCAGCTTCTCCAAGACCTTGTGGGCCACCATCAACGCATCTCTAGCCAAAGCTCAGGCATTCCTGATCAGGCTCGCAACAATAACAACACTGAGTTCTTGATGAACCTCATGAGAATGGGACCCGGTGCTCCTCCTTTGAGTATGCCTCAGTCCCAGCCTCAGCCGCAGAAGCAGCAAGCACCAATGCTGGAGTCAGACTTTTCACCTAGAGAGAATCGGGGACCACAGCGCCAGATGCGCCCCCAGCCGCCTCCAGGGTTCCCCCTCGAAGAATCTTTCCACAATGCCGAACGTGATTCGCGTCTCGGCCAGCCCACGCAAATTTTGCAACGACCTCCCCCGCCAATGGACCAAATGCCGCCAAATTGGATGGCAAGCGGCGGCCAGATGCCACCACCCCAGCAGCGTGGCCCTATGATGCCCCCTCCTGGATTGCCCGGAGGTTTGAGCCGCAACGTTCCCATGCCGCACATGTTCCCGCCCAACTTCCCCCCTGGCGGTATGCCGCCACCTCCAGAGGCTATGGCTGGTATGCCTCCACGAAACATGCCTCCGCCTCCGCCTGGCTTCTTTAATGGACCGCCTCACGGATTCATGCCTCCTGGACTTGGTGGGTTCAATGGACCTCCGGGACCTCCCGAAGCATTTGGAGGATCCCCCTTTGAGGCCCGTGGCATGCCTCCTGGCGCCGCTGGCCGAGGGGCTGCTTTTGGCCGACCTTAGTATGATGAGGCCCCGAGCTATTGCGATCCATGACTTGATCGGATCATCCGTCAAAAGCACACACTTGGCTTTCCGTGTCGAAACTTTTGTAGTCAAATTAAACGCAAATTTTTTTATTTTATTTATGCTTGCTATGGCTTTTGGAAGCTACAAAGGCTCGAAGTCAAAGGATCCAAAGGGGTAATGGGTCTTGATGACTGCTTTTTTTTTTTCAGCTTTTGTCATATGCAATTTGTCCTGGGAATTGCTTTATGGGGGAAGTAGTCTCGGAGACGAGGAAAAGACTCTCAAGTGCACGGTTTGCTAGTTAAAGGGGATGAAGGGGACGAGGTAATGTCAGTAGCGGGAATGGAAAAAGACGTTGCAAAAATGGACTCTTTCGTAAATGTGGTGAAGATGTGTGATGTATATCGTGTATGATGTCTACGCTGTTATTCTGCTTGTTCTTGGCCAAAGGGAGGCGATGAAGGAAAAGTATTGAGAAGACATTCTTTGGTCTCGGATTGAGATGGGATGAGATTATGAGTCGCTTTGTAACTGCACAATGGAGTCTAGATACTGGCTCTGTGCAAAAGGATCAACCTATTTCAGTCTGCCTCGGCTTGCTGCAATTGAGGTGTTGGTGATTGAATGCTTACAATTGAAGTTACCCAATGCTTACCTACCTACTGGTATACTTGGAAGTTCCTGTATTTTGTGAGAATTCCTAGGGAATACCAAGTTCCAGCAGCTGCTGATTTGGTGTAATACACAATACACGCAGCGTTTTCATGTGAATGTCCGCTTGCAGGTCGCTGCTGCTAGCTGGGCGAATCATTGGCCGCGGAAACCTTATTGAGTGCATGTGCGCAAAGGCCTGGATCTCCTCATTCGGTGCCAAGCCAATTGGGTGCCACCCACTCGATAAATAAAGCGCCTCTCTCCTCTTTTCTCTCCTCAATTACGTGGGTAAAAATAAGAACTTAATCTTCGCTTTAGTCAATCTAATCTACTGCAATTTGACAATGAAGCTCGCTGTGTTCAGCACCAAGCCGTACGATAAGCGGTACATTGAGGCAGCTCGTGACGCTGCGGCTGCGAAGGCCACAGAGTCGCCTGCCAATCGTCCTGCGTCTGCAGATATCGAGGTTGTTTACCATGAATTTGCGCTTGAGGAGGATACTGTGGCACTTGCAAAAGGGGCCGATGCCATCTGCGCTTTCGTGAATGATTCTTTGAGTGCGCCTGTGGTGGAGGCATTGGCTCGGCAGGGCGTGAAGGCTATTCTTCTGCGATGCGCCGGCTTCAATCATGTCGATCTTGTGGCGGCTGAGAAGGCCGGCATCATGGTTGCCAATGTGCCGTCGTATTCGCCCGAGGCGGTTGCTGAGTTTGCGGTTGCGCTGATTCAGACTTTGAATCGGAATACGCATCGGGCGTATAACCGGGCTCGAGAGGGGAATTTCGCGCTGGATGGATTGCTGGGCAGGACGCTGCATGGGAAGACTGTTGGGCTTATAGGCACGGGCAAGATTGGGATTGCGACGGCGCGGATTATGAAGGGCTTTGGGTGTCGGATTTTGGCGTACGATCCGTATCCCTCGCCGGCGTTGGAGGGCATTGGGGAGTATAAGAGCCTGGACGAGGTTCTCCCAGAGTCTGACATTGTCAGCTTGCACTGTCCCCTGATGGACAGCACTCGTCAGATTATCAACGAAACCGCAATCGCCAAGATGAAGCCTGGCGCGATGCTCATCAACACTTCTCGCGGCGGCCTTGTCGACACACGAGCTGTTATCAGGGCCCTCAAGACGCAGCATCTCAGCGGCGTGGCGCTAGACGTGTACGAAGGCGAAGGCGCGCTCTTCTACGACGATCACTCGGGAGAGATTATTCATGATGATGTGTTGATGCGGCTGATGACGTTCCATAATGTGATTGTGACGGGCCATCAGGCGTTTTTCACGCAGGAGGCGTTGAGGGAGATTGCGGACTGCACGTTGAGGAATATCGATGAGTTTGTGGTTACGGGGACGTGTAAGAATTCGTTGACGAAGGATTTGAAGCTGGTGAGGCGGGATTCGCTGCCGGTGAGGGGGGTGTAATGGGTTGGGAGTTGTGGAAGGTAGTTTGGTTTACTTTGTATAAGTTGTTGTGCTTTTTACGATGGGAAGACGGCCGTGTCAAACGGATGAAGGAACATGGTAATGGTCAGGCCTTGGTGCCTCTTGCTAGCTATGCTTAAATAAATAAATAAATTGACACACAAAATCATAAACCCAAATTGGCGATTGTCTCGTTCGTTGATTATTTTGTCGACTTTAGCAGTTTCTCTACTGCCTCGACGTCTTTCTTCAAGTCTCTGAATCCATCTCGAAGTTCGTTGAGCGTAGTGCTTCGCCCTTGGACGCCATGATGAACGTGCCCCCAAGCGTCTCCTAGAGAGCGGAGGCTCTCCATGCATCTCTCGCGCATTTCAACGGGTCCTATAGTAGGGATCTGCTCTTTAGTGATGCTTCTGGTCCCAGAGCGAGGCTGATAAAGATGATCAAAAGCGTGGGCCCCATATTTTCCTTTCTTTGAGAAGCCTTTGGTTCCTGATGGAGACTGACGACGGCTCTCTATGGCGCCGTCCTTCTCTTTGGCTAAGCAGGGTCTGGGCGGTAATCGGGCCCTTGGCGCTTGAGATTTGATGGTGGATGAGGTGTGGGCTGGATCTGCTTTGTCTGAAGAAGAATCCATGTTGGTTAAGAGAGAGTGAAGATGATAGTTGTCCTGTATGTAGTATTAGCTTGAATTACAGCTGAGTTTGGAGATATTGGGGTAGAGCTGACTGTGTGTGGCTCCTCACTTCTCGATCAGATGGTGATGGATTGTGCGAAATGGTGTGGAAATCAGGAGCGATGGAAGCAGCTCAAATTTAAATAGATTGTTGACAAAAACAAAAAAGGAATTATGACAGGGGGATGCAGCTTTCAGCTGGCAGGGGGTTACAACGTTTGTGTTTCTGTTTGCCTTGTTTGTGGCGTATTGGAGAGTGACGAATAGCAACACTGAGCCTTGCAAACGGAGATATCGCGTGTGACAGACAGCCAAGGCTCAAATTGGTAGCTGCTCTAGACGCAGGTTGCTTTCCAATGCAACATTTGTGCGTTGGCGGATTGAAAAGTGTAAGAGCAGAGAAGACGGAAGCAGGAGCTTTGGAGAGGCCCAAGGCATATGGAACTTTGTTATTCTTCCTGCCAGGTGAAGTTACACAAGGGGCATCTCTCTCTCTCTCTTCTTTCATCATCATCTTCACTTTACTCTACTCCTTCATTTATTTTTTGCTACCTCTTCTGATAATCACAACAGCAAGTGCCATTTACAGCCATGGATAGTTCAAGTTCCGAAGACGACTCAACAGCATCATTCCCTGAGGGCTACACTGCTCCTCGAACCACAGAGCAGCTAATGCAGTACCACAAGGACCACTTAACCTCTGCAAGCGCTGACCCAATCATCCCAATGCATAATATCGAAAAGAGGCTCAGAATGATTGAGCAGATTCAAAAGGGAGGACCAAAAGACTTCCAGTTTACGTACTTTCAACTGGCGTATTTTCTGTTGAGTCCTGAATCGTCTCTTCAAAAAGTCATGGACGACCGATTTCATGGTAACTTCTTGGAAACGCAAATAAAGTATCTGGAAATGTGGCTGCTAGGCAGTAGGCGTCTTTATTCCCTGAATTTTCCCGTTTTGATGACTTCGATTTGCTGATGCAGCATCTAAAGTGATAGATGAGAGTCAATGGAGGGATAATTCACCTCGACATAATGTCGACCCGGATATTTCTCAGCTAAACGAAGAACGCATAGCACAGCTAAAGAGAGGCGAAGAAAATATTCAGCGCAAAAAAGCTGAGAAAGAAAAGGTAATGGATGATATCATGGCCCGCTAGCTCAGTTCGCATAACGCGAGGCATTAACATATAGATTCAGTGCCTAGTCAGAGATAATTACCGATGCGTCTTCACGCAAGAAGAATCCCCGAAAGTGTATCAGATCTTGCCTTTTGTTGCTAGTTATGGTAACTGGACTTTTATCCAGTTGCTAGACCTCTCTTTATGCCTTTCTGTCGTTCTTGGCCATGAGACTTGGTCAGAGCTGAATGCCTTCGTTTGCATTGGGCCCGACCGCTGCGATAAAAGCTGGAATATGATGAGTTTTGGCTTTGCCTTGCATGTATTGTGGAAGGGCCACTTCTTCGGAATCCAATGTCTCGGGATACTGCCAATCGATCGTCAGGCTTCTGCCATTTGGCTTCAGTTCCATTGGATGCCTAGAAACGGACTCGATCCCAAATGCCGCGCAGAGCCAAATATGGACACTGTCCAAAAAATGCTGCAGATCATTCCCCCAGACAAAAAAGATCTTGTTAAATATTGTCGGAGCCGCATGCATTGTCCACTTGAGACAGGACACATATTTAGTATTCGCATGGGAAAGCAAGCGGCAGTCAACATGAAGCATATGATTGATTTCCGATGGGCCATGGTTAGGATTGCGACAGTCTCTGGTCTTGCCAGGAGTCGGAGCCATTATAAGTGAACAATGATTATAGGGCTATGCGTGGGGGATTTCGAATGATGCAATATATATTCACGCTGGTGCTTCAAAGGCACATGCGTAGTAGCCGTTGGACCTGCAGCCTTTATTACTTGCTATGCTAGTTTACAAAACAAGGGAAATCACGTTAAAAGTTTGATTCCCTTCTAGAAGTGAATGGATTACCATCCTGTCATCAATAAACTATGAACCGGAAACTATTATGTGTAGCATGTGCTAAGATTTCTCATCTCTTCCGTCGCTTTCTCCGTCCAAGACAATTCTCTAGACCATATCTCCGTCGCCATTTAGCATATTCATTGCTTCGATCCTCATTTCCGCAAGCTGAACCAGCCTATTAGCTGTCAAGTGCTTCTCGCTCTCCATGCTGAACAATCTTGCGCTTTTGACCAAGTCTTTGATCTCACGGCCGTTTAGTTCTAGCACCGAGAGTCGATTGTAATCCTTATATCTAACGTTAAATCTCTCCGCACCACCAGCGCGCTTGGCAAATTTCTGCCAGACTTGGCGGCGAGCGTCTGTAGTGAAGTTGCCATATGGTAGGAGGAGGTCGATGCGAGACTGGAAAGCGTAATTGAGGCTGGCAGGGCAGTTGATGGTGAGGGATAGGATAGGATACTCTGGTAGTATTCGAGCTTGCTTAAGAACATGGATACCATCTCGTTGGGTGCTAAAGTATCTTCCTTTCGCGTACCCAGAAATACATCAGCTTCATCTAGTAGCAGTAGAAAGGAGTTTCAAAAATGGCACAACTCAAAAGCGTGGCCGTGTGCCTTTTCAATGTCATTCGTATTAGATCCTAGAGCGCCGATGCTAATATAGAAGAGTGGCATGCGAGCTTTCTTCGCTACAGCTTTGGCTGTGTATGTCTTTCCAACGCCGGCCCTTGTCAGTAACAAAATTATCAAGGTCTGAAGTAGAAATGCTCTTGTTCTCGGCGAATGCCCACGCGAGTGTCCTTGTCCCCTCCGGAGGTAGAAGTAGAAAAAAACCTTTTATAGAAGACCTAGCCCTACCTTACCAAGTCGGAACTCCAGCTTATAATCTAATGTATTTTATTCAAACCAGATTGTCAACTGTGAATTATATCTCGAACCTTTCCAATGGCTTCCAAACGCTCTCGAAAAAGGTTTTGTTAAGGACAATGTTGTCGTCACTCCGTATCTCGTCAAATTCGGCCCCTAAGCAAGTTAGGACGACTTTGGCGAGATTGTTGCCTGCGCGGAAGGCCAAATCAGTGTTGACAGCAGGATCGAGCAGTCCTTTGCGCATGGCCTTGATATCCTGAACTTTGCACTCCTTGAGTAAAGCCGCATCCAGATTGCAAAGTCCTTGCTTCCTCAGCTCCTTCTCATTCTTCTTTCGGGCCTTCAAAGCCTCGGCGCGCGCGGTCCGCAGAAAAGTCTCCTTCAAGGGCCTCCACTTCACAATCTCGTAAAGAACCAACCCAAGGCTGTACACGTCGTAGGTCTTGCGGAAACCTGCATAGCCCTCCTCCAGGCAGTCCGTATGGCGGTAGATGTTGCAACCAGGATCTCGATCCAGTTTCTCACTTGGATGCCCCGCGGCATCTGGGCGAGCCTATGAGAATCCGACGATGTACGGATTGTTCAATGTCCTTGGTGAGTCAGAGAACGCTGAAAAGAAGAGAACGTTGTGGCTTGAGAACGACTTGTGCATCCGGTTCGCCAAATGCATGTAAAAAAGAGCACGGCTGAGCTGGTGGGCGAGCGAAAAGCGGCATGTCAGCGACGGTTTGAAGGTCGATGACAGGAGCTCGTGCAGAGTCCTAGGTGCAGTCGGCGACTCGCTCTCCACTGACCATCTGTACACATACATGTCCCTGGATTTGATCGGTTCGTTGATGATGCCCACACAGTCCAGTGTCCGAAATACAGGATGCTTCGGGGCGTTTAGCAGCATTGCTAAATTAAAAGAAAGGGTCGGTCAGGCTGAGGTGGCGCACGTGAAGAGTCGAGGCGACGACGGTATGTCATGTTTTAATGTCTCTCACTCCTGCTGACTTTCGAGCTGTAACGGTGGTAAAATTTCTCCCGCTGCAGACAGTTTCATGGTAGCTCCTATGCCGGGTGCAACATATGCCGCAGGCATAGATAAGTGCCACTTTGCGGAGATGGAGGAATCGTCAAGGCGCCCGAGCAGCACTGTACGCGTTTCAAGAACCGAAGATGCTGACAGCAGATGTGATGACTATATTGCCATCCACTCTCGTCTGGAGAATAACTCGGCTGACAGCATCTCTATCACTTATGATCACCTGTTCGCTCTACTTACAACACTTGCTGGAGATGTACATCTGAACATCATGGATCGTGGTGAATCTTCCTTCGAGCAACTAGTCAACAACGACATTGGTATTGTTGATGCAGCAACCACACAAATAGGTGAGGGTGGCTCTTTTAGCGTCAGATCATTTACCTTGCCTTCGCCATCTACCAGTCTAGTCTTGAAGAGTGTCTTGCCGGTCCGCGACTTCACAGATAGGGAAGAACAGGCAAGACTTGGGGCCATAATCTTGGAGTTGCGAGCGTTGAGTCATCAGCCGTTGCGTAACCACCGAAATATTGTGAAGTCTCCATCCTTGACATACCCGAAGGAGCCATGCGGTTATTAATTCTAGAACCAGAGTAGGAATGAATCCTTTGTAGCGATAATGCTATATCATTCACATATCATCACATATCATCACATATCAATGTATCTTCTCTTCTATATTTGAACTCAAGTTTCCTTTAAAGCGCCCAATAGATGTCAATCTCAACAGACTCAACTGTGTTCATCCACCCGCGATGCATAGCTCTCCCCCACACGGTAACGACATCTCCCAGCTTGAGATTCCTCACAAACTGACCATCGCCGGCCATCCTCCCCTTTCCCTGCTCCATTAACTCTTGCGCCCCTGGAGAATCTGGAGAGACGACATCCCAGCACGTCCAAGTAACTTCGTAGTCTGTAAAATCCGAAGATGCCATCCTGTTACGCTGGATTTCGTGCGGGCCCTTCCACGGCGTGTAGGGAAATTGATAACCCCAGCCTTCGTGCATATCTTCTGCCTCCTTGACTTGTGGCTCAACCGTTCCCAATTTGCGTGCAGTCCACCGTCTCATAGCATTGCCATCCGCTTCATCTGCTGCGAGCGAAGTTCTATTTTAGTAAAGGAAGCTGCCATTTGCTGTCACGCATTGCACCGGATACTTACTGGAATTGCTCGCATCGAACCTCTCGATTCCGGCGTCAAACCAGGTTTTGGCGGCGATAAACATGCCTGGCACCTCGTCTGTCGTCCAGCCTTGGTCGTGGCTGCGGATCCGAAAGACAATCTTCCGCGCCGGATTGCTGAAAGTAGAAGCATTCTTTATTGCTCGCTGGAAAAAGTCCCGATCAAATTCTTTGAAGACGGGCAGAGGGTCGGGGACTGTAGTTGAGAACTCCTCATCACGAGAGCTGCTATCGTCTTCGCCTTCATAAGCACGCTCCGTCAGGCCGACAGGGTAAGATCGAAGCCGTAGCGGTGTTAGTGGCGTCTTGGTCAGCCTCGGAGTATACGCTGCTCACCAGAAATCGGAATCCCTCCCAATCGAATTCTCCCGGCCCAATACAGCGCGCAGGAATAACTTGGTTCAGCTGAGCTTTGGTGGATGATCGCGCCCAGTATTCGGCGCAGTCCAAGATGGTTCCCACCAGCTCTGGGAGGATCACCGTTCGGGCCAGCATTGCGCGCACGACCAGGACATCGCTCAACGTGGGCTCGAAGGGCTTACTAGAGCTCATTTTTATTGTACTATTTTCCGAACTGAGATGTTGGCATGTGTACAGTGACTAGAATAATCTTTTGTTTCGTCTGGCGATGAAATGAAGGATTAAAGGGTGCCGTGCTGCAGATCGGCCCAAGCCTTGGGTTGTGTGGCTGATGTCATTCAATTTTCAGGCTATTCATAATCTTGTTTCAACATCATACATAGATACATAGATTGGCATGTATTTTCTGCTATGCTGAATACTTGAACATACGCACACAAACTGCACAGCTGTGATGCGAAAAAAATGTCTTTTTCATTCTATAACGATTTTGTATCTTTCTATGAGGATGAGATGGAATTATAATCGTCTATTAATATCTATACCTTCTTATATGCTGTATTCCGGATTTCTCTTTCACGGTACAACCGACGACGTAGGCGGGGGCGATGCAGGTACCATAGGACCAACGTAAGAAACACCAACCTTGGCCAAAAACCACTGGTTTGGCGTTTGAACGCTGGGATGGAAGGCAATCTGCACTTGGCAGTTACCCAGTTGCTGCAGCGTCAGTGGACTCGTATCAGTGAGCGTGTTGAAAGTGGTTGAGCTGGCCATATAGTTGTTGGGTCCGAGAGTTGCCTTGGTCATATCTGCTGTTGCCAAGCCGTATGAGCCGCAGGCAACTTGAGCCGACACTTGGCTGGTCCAAGAAGAATCGGTAGCGGTGTTTGCTACATAGAACGTGAATGTATAGGTGGAGCTACTTTGAAGAGGGAAGCTTGCGCTGGCCATGAAGAACAATCCTGTTGTAGCTATATTGGTGACGCTGAAATTGGGTGAATCGCCGTCAGGGCTGTTGTTCATGCCGACATTCGGGTTGACCCATGACGATGGGCTGGTATTGATTTGGGCCCAGGGGCCCAAACCGGATGAGAAGTCGCCGTCGGGAATGAGATTTGGCGCTGAAGGTGACGTAGTAGCGGCCGCCGTGGTGATAGGAGTAGTAGCAGGAGTAGTAGCAGGAGTAGTAGCAGGAGTAGTAGCAGGAGTAGTAGCAGGAGTAGTATAAGGAAGTGTTTCGGGAGTTGTAGTGGTCGTAGTCGTGGTCGTAGTAGCAGTCGTGGTGATGGTTGTCGTCGTACATGTAGTCGTAACACCATTAGTCAATCCTGTGGCGACAGTATGCCATGATGTTGCTGTAACTTTAGGTGTCGTTGTTGAAGTAGACGTCTAAGAGAGTTAATATCGCCAATGTTAATGCAGAATATGAGAGCAATGTCCTGAGAAAAGACATACCACTGTTTTGGTAGAGGAGCAGGCTGTATGCGTAACTGTAATCGTCTTGGGCGGAACGTTGATGCAGCTGCATGCCGCAGTAATGCGTTCGGGGGTGTATACGAAGCACTTGTTGAGCATACACTTCGGTGGCTGCGGCTTTCCTCCTCCGACAGCTCTTTTCACTGGCTCAATTATTTTCTTCAATGGCTCAGATCTTTGAATGTCGGCCGTAACGGTCGCTGTAGCCGTCGATGTCTTTGTCTCTACAACTGTTGATGTTTTGATCACCGTGGACGATGGGATTGTTCTTGTATAAACAGTGGTTGTTGATTTTATGAGGCAGGTTGACGTCGCCGCGGTCTGCGTCTTCCACACAGTCTTTGTCCTGTGGTGCAAATTCCATTGGCCTTTATTTCTTATTAATCTAGAATAGGAAGAGAGCAGGCTTACACTGTGGGCTTCACTTCCGTGACTGTCTTGGTGCATGGCACGAGGGCAGAGCAATAAGCCGACGCCGAATGAGCATATTCGTAATCAGCGAAACACTTGTAGAGGCTGTCATCTCTACAGGGCCTGCGTTCGACAATCTCCAAGGGAGTTGCAGTTACGCCAGCGACGAGGCCAAGCACACCGACGACTGTCTTTATCATCATTTTGGCGACTTGGAACTGGAAGAGACTCCAGAGAGATTTCTGGATGAAAACCCATTCGCGGTCATACTAATTGAATATATATTGCATGCTAAGTCAAAACTTGCCGCTCGTACCGGAAAATACTAACTTTGCCAATGCAATCTAGTTATGTCTTGAATCTGGCCATCACGGCTCGACTGGATTAGGCCGTATTTCTGGCCTAAAAATACGCCACTAGCAGCTCAAGTCGAGTCTCAGTTAGGGACTACCCCTGTAGCATTTTGCTGCGGCTGATATATAGTGCGATGTTGTTGGCAATGCCCCTTACAAGTGCTCGGAACTATTTGCACTAGCGATATTAGCTCTTCAATTTTCTTAGGGTCTAATTCTTCAGCTCGTGTCCCCCATGTTGTTCCTGGATTTAGTGAGTGGCTTCCTTTGTTTGGGCACGGATATTCCTTGGGAGCTTTTAAATCGATCTCAAGTCCCTGGGGGTGGGGAACCCCGGAGCAAAGCTCCGACTGTCACAATATGCTTAAAATATTAGAAACATGGCATTACCGCAAGTATAGAAAGATATCTTGATCTGATTCAAGTAGTCAATATTATACTAGTCAGATATAGCTCAAGTATCATTGCGGTGATATTTGGTCTTAGCCGCTTGTATACAATCAAAGGGGGCGAGAAAGGAGATCATTGAGATCGTCAATATTCTCAGCTATATTTGAGCCCTTCTTCTTTGCTGGAGTACATGTGCCACTAACTGACTCTGTACATCATCTTAAAGCTATGGTTATTCCTTTTCCTTCTGAGTTTATCCTAGAAACTCTTTTTCTCTTCGTATTTTAGTCTAGTGGTGCCCAAGAGTATGTGCATCATTCTAATGTAGCTCCTCAGCCCATATGATTCTCTTCCAGGTTTATTACGAATCTCTTTTGGATACACCACCTTGGGAGCGCGATCAAAGGATTTGAGCAGCATTTGGCATTCTTGAGACGTGTTCATGCAATACCCTTTAGCCTTCGAATGTCTTAATGCTTCCCGCACTCCTAGTAACACATTCAGTTGTCTGTACAACCTTCAACTCTCCGTTATCGTCACTACGGATATCAAGAATCATTATCGCATGACCAATCTGCTCCTCTTTAGTCTTTTTATCAACATATTTAAGCTCGCCGTCGAACACAAGTGAGCCGCCACCGTTAGGAGATTCCCACACTTTGACTTCTATGGCGTGGATGAAGGCTAGGTTAAAGGCAGCACGTGTGCTAGTAATGTATGCAAGATATTCTTCGCGGGTAACATGGTCGTGGTTGATCCTATCATAGGGTACGAGTTAGTCATCGATATAGAAGTATGGTAGAGACGTGGCATGGTGGTAGAAATGCTGCTGACTTGATGACTATATCGTTTGCAAAAGTCTTGTTGAATGTGTTGACTGCGAGATCATCGTCTGGTTGAAATAAAATCTTTACCCAAGCTTCTGATAGCCAGTTAAAGAGGGCGCTGTTTTTACTGTCTTGAGAAGCCGACATGTTCTGATGTGTGTAGAAAGCTGGAGATGTCGGAGAAAGCAAGCCAAAAGCTTCAGATGCGGTAGTAAAAGGGTGGGAGGAAATAGATCTGAACATAGTCACCGAATACAAAGATATTACATAGACTTATATAGGCCTCTAGAGCTTCAAGTCAAAGTATAATATATATTCTATCCAATGTATTGGTCAATATCTTTTGGGCTATAAGCTGACATCCATGCTCATCCAAGCTTCGGAGCTCAGTGTTTTAGCTAAGTGAGGAGTAATATGTCCTCGTATCGCGCTTAATAAATGGTATTATCAAGCCTTAGCTGCAAAAAGAAATAATCATCAAAATCTTACTAGTAATCTGAAGTTTAACCCGCCCTTTATTATATAGGCGCAGCAGCCTAGATGATCTACAGTCAGCCTTCTGTTGATGGTCTAACCCAACATACTACTAGTCAGGTAACGGTCTTAAATTCCTGGCTATACCATTCCACAAAGAGCAATTGTATTTCGCCACAAATCGCAAATTCCATTGACGGTAAAGCACCATGCTCAGAGTAGAGCTTTAGTATCTCCGCTCTTTCTTCTTCTTCCTTTTCTTTCTCGCATCCTGGCATTGGGCGTTCCATATCTAAAATAAAATATTAATCGGCTACTGTATTGCAAATAATGCTCGCTATTAATCATTTTGAGCCATAAATCATACACATAGATGCAAACGATAATTGTCATTGGCAACCTCTATGCTTATTTATTATTAGGTCTAAGAATCCTTTTTTTCCCCAGTGAAGTATCTGTGTTAAGTGCACCTTCTTCAGTTAGCCCTGCCAGTGAACAGATATTATATTTGATGTTTCACTAAGCCTCCGGGACTCCTAAGCCCTATAATTCCATAGGGCGTTGAAATCCGCTTGAGGTTGTATCACTTTGCCGGAACCTCTCGGGTTATTCGCCTCAAGGAGCACCAAAGGTGCTATTAGAGGACTCTACTAACCAGTAATGGCGCGTCTTCTTTGTCATTTTTGGTTCCCAAGCCTAAATTAGGTAAAAACTTCTTGTAATCTGACTGCGTGTACCTAATAATTCAGTTTAGCTGTCAAGAGTTTAGCTGTCAAGATGCAGCTCTCTTGACAAATGCCTCAGATGACATTGGCGCTATGAAACGTCGCCGTTGCGCCCGCTCTTGCTAGTTTGATGACCTTGGCCCCAATATACAATATATGACTTGTTGCTTTTATCGAGTTGCGGACAAGCAGAGATTTTCTTCTGTTCCTTAGTGAAGAGAGAGAAAGATCTAATATTATTTTCCTTATATGGGTACATGTTCGTGAAAAGTATACGAAGTGTATGCAGGCAGAAATGCCAGGGAGGAGGAGCTAAGCTGCGGGGCTCTACATCCTTCAATGGCGAGCTCACGAACTACTTTCAAGGAGGGTTAAGAACACTTTGCAAGATGGCTATTCATTCTCTCTGCTTTGCACATTCTTGTCGCATTTAGTTCACAGAGTGGCTGCATTGTTGACATACATTTGACTACCTTTGAAAATGGCTAGTTTGGCAATCGCTTCATGCAGTGTTGCTGACGGCGCGGCTCTCAGTCGCAACAATATGTCGGCATTCTGGGAAATTCCGAATTGGGTGCTGGCGTGGCGCCACAGCACACTTGAGGAACATATTGCCAGAATGACCAAGAGATACCCACGCAGGTTGATAAGCGAGCGTGAGACTTCACGGCACCAAAAGGTGGTTGATACAGAGACCGGCCGTCTATTAGGCTATGCTCGTTGGGTCTTGCCGGAATCATATGCTGTTCTTGCGGATGGTGGACCAGCCTGGCCAGAAGCCATGGTTCCGGCGGTGAGCCCCGAGGAAGAAGCTGAAATCAAACGAGTCGCTGAAGCAACCCAATGGAATCCAAACAACGATACCGACCCGCTGGATGAAGCAGTTACGAATATTAAAAATAAGATAATGGCGAGAAAGCCGTACTTGTGTAAGCGCGTACAAGGACAGAATCAAAGACAAACATTAATTCTTGATAAACTTATAGGCCTGGATTATTTAGCTGTGCATCCAGAGAATAAAGGTAAAGGAGTCGCTACCCTTTTGGTAGAGAGCGGAATGAAGCAAGCAGACAAGTTGGGTTTAGATATTTTCATCCTCGCCTGTAAACCTGCATGGGGATTATATAGTCGACTTGGATTCCGCATTGAGGAGGAGCTTATCCAGGACGATTCCATGTACGGAGGGGATGGTGAATTTGCCATGCGTTACTACATTTACGAGCAGCCCCTGAAATCCGAGGCGTGATAGATAACTCGCTTGGCAAAATGTGGCATCTGTATTGAAGAAGAGAGTAACATGGAAATAATATAGAGCCAGGGGTTATACAGGACACACGAGTTCCACCCAGCGGTTCTCTCCTATAATTGACTTTGTAGCCATAAAGCTGATACGATTATGACTACTATAGAATCTTCGTAGGAATACTATTACTCCCTCCCGGCAGGGCCTACCTTGGTTTTATGGTCTAATCTATTTTGGCCTTCTATTTTGCGTTCTTATGCTCATACAAAATCCACTTCAAAATTTATGCCGAGCATAAAGAGGATTTTATGAAGTCATCTACAATAACCAATTACTCATAGAGCCTGCTTCGCTATGTTGGATGCCGATTTTCCTTCATTATCGATGGGCCTTGACTCTCCAAGTCAACTCGCAGTTCTTATCTGCCAGACAGTGATACACCTCAGCTCATCTTTAGAGGGATGCATAATGCCACATATGCCGGCGGCTCTAGCAGAGAATTATTTCGTACAGTTGCTCTCTGGTAGCTGCCAAAGGGACCTTAAAGCCGATTTCAGTCCCTCTAAAGACTACGCAAAGGCCTGCATGGGCTTAGATCTTTGCATGAAGGAGCAGGAGATTTCACAAAGGATTCTTAAAGGTTGATCGGCAGCTAATAATGGCGATTTACCATTTTGCTACTTGCAGCTGTAACCAATTATAAAATGACGACCCGGGACTCTTTGTCGCATATAAGACGACTTCTCTAAACCTAGTGAAGCCATCTTCGATAATATCATGCCTTTGAGAATTTGCGAATATCGGCTGGACGTTTAAGACAGCCAGCATTTAACAGATCTTACTTTCCGCTCGGACAGTGGAGCCACGCTTACAGGTGGCTGGCCGTGTAACGAGGCAGAAAGTACGGCCACATTACTAATTGCAAGATGAATTTCAAATCACGATTCTTGAAACTAGTGCGTAAAATGGCTTTTACTTTTCCTGACAATATGTATTGCGATATAATGGATTGTCGTCCACAAAACCACTGGAGGTCAACTCCTGTTAGCGGATGCTACTTTATTTCGATCGCAAGCTATTGAAATTGGCAGCTTCCTCAGCTTAGTCACTTTTAGGTAGCGCTGAAAGAAGATTGTGCTGCGCCTCAAGATTTCGCATAAGGAAAGATTCTAGCAGCATTTATACCTACCCCTTGTGTATCACTGGCTTTTCCAAAACAACGCATGACGTGTAACTGAAGCTATGTTCGTATGATGTTTAAATTCGTGATACGGACTTAGGAGATAGACGGGTCGCACAATGCCAGATGACCCTTCCATGGCATGTTAGCAAGGGATAGTCTATTAATAATTGAACCTATAAACTAGACTACATAGTCTAGTTACTAAAAGTATTAAGGTGGAACCGGTCGCTGACTCTTACAGTGGTCTCATTGCTCTCATGGTTACTCGATGCTGGCACAACAAGGACTCTGGAATTCCAATTATGTTATTACTATTCTCAGACTTACACCTTGATGGAAGTTTTTACGACGTAGTTACCCGTAACCAAGATTCACTTTCGTTGTAACATCCTGGATTTCGCCCAAAGAGTGTGTCAGGGATAGTATTAATGGCCCGCTCGAAGGATCATCAATCTCCAGGGCACATCTCATTAGGTAAGCAGCTGTTGCTGCTGGCTTAGAAATCCATATTCTTCTACATAGAAATTATTTGTCTCTAACTATCCTCCTCATATAGTTTTAGGAGTTGAGTTATAAATACCGCAACATTTACTTATATAATGAAGGCTTTTGGGCTGGTCTTTAATGATGCTAAATAAAATAGTGTCTCTTATGTGGATGCATACACCTGCTATAGCTCAGCTATAATAATTATTTACCCATCTCATCATGGCCGGCTTCATTCCTGAAAAAGTTCCAGGGTCCCATTCTGCGGTTATAATTGCCGCCCCTAGGGCTCCTCTCGAAATTCTCACGCGAGATACTGAGGCACCCGGTGCAGGCGAGGTTCTTATTCGTGTTGAATGGACTTCCTCTACTCCTCTGGACCTCCATCAGGCTGATGGCGGGCTTCTAATAAAACCGCCTTATGTCATGGGCACTTCTTTTGGAGGTACTGTCATGGCCCTCGGTCCTATCGATCCCGCGAATCCGGATTCCCATAATCCTAAACTACAGGTGGGCGATACCGTCTTTGGATTCGCCTTTCGTAGTGCTAGAGAAAAAGGCCACCAGACATACTTGACAACCTCAACTTTCTTATGCAGCCGACTACCGCCAAATCTCACTCTAGAAGACGCTGTCGCTGTACCGGTGAATCTAGTCACAGCCTTCCATACCATCACAGCAGACCTTGAGCTGCCGCTCCCCTGGCCGGTACAGGAACTAAGCAAAGAGAGCCGTAATGCTCCTATCCTGATATGGGGAACAGCAAGCAGCGTAGGAGACTATGCACTGCAAGTCCTTCATCATTGGGGCTACGAGAATTTGCTTGCTGTTGCAAGTGAAAGACACCACGCGCGGCTTAAGGCGCTAGGTGCCAAGGCGACGTTTGACTACAATGATTCGAATGTGGCAGAAAAAATCCTCAGTTATGCTGGGACAATCTCAGACACCGAACCCCGTATCCCATATATCTTGGACTGCATTGGCTCGCTGGAAGGCACATTGCGGCCACTGACAAAGATTGCCGAGCCAGGAGCCAATGTGGCTGTTATGCTGCCTGTTATTAATGTCCATGCGAGCTCAAATACGCCACCCGAGTACGAAATGGATGTTTCACAGTCACTGGTAGGAGAGTGGAGAGAGGGTGTAAAGCTCAGGGGAACACGAACACACTTTTATCTGCGCAACGAACTCTTCAAAACCCAATTACAGTCTGAGATCGTGCCGACTTTGCTGGAAAAAGGCATTATCCAGCCGAACAAAATCCGTATAGTGGAAGGAAATACGTTACTAGAACGAGCTGAGAATGCTTTGAGCTTGCTGAGAGATCAAGCCCCAAGTGGAGAGAAATTGGTATGGAGAGTCGCAGATGAGGATGAGTAAGATGAAGAAATGCATCAATTAAGCCATTCTTAATGCCATCCAGAAGAGTAAATACAAATCAGTTACCAATACTTTAATTATCAGTCTTCTTAATCAAAATATTAACTATCACTGAGAATTATGAGGGTTATTTTCTTCAAAAAGGTGAAAAAAGCAAAACGAATTAAATTCTTTTGTTCATTTTTTTTTGAATCTTGAAGTAAACTAATTATCACAAATTTACGGCCCTGGACACTGGCCAAGCCCCAATCTAATCATCGATGTTATCTAATCCGAAGATATGCTAAAGAACGAAATAATTTTGGTAAGAAATTACTCGATTTCCGATTTTCTGCTCAAGAGAACGCCTCCAACCATTATTGACTTCCTTGAGATGATTGTCAAGCGCTGAGCTCTTCGGAGCATCCATCATATCCGATCAGGATCTTGATGTATTAGTACTTTTTCTGCAGAAGCAGTGATGGCTTTGTTGGTCTCAAATATTTTTGACTTGAATGCAGTCCGACCAACGTTGACAGTGGCTGGAAGTTTTGCGGCCTTCACTATGTCCTTAATAAAAGTGGTGAAGGCTGCATCTGTGCCTCTTGCACCTATTAGCCCAATAGCCACAGGAAGCCACTTCCTGCCTCTTCGTCAAACGAGAGTGGTATGTTGTTTGACCAACTAAACGAAATTAATCATTGCATCAAGAGGTGAGATTCAACGGCGAAAGTCGTACTAGGCAAAATAACTTCGGGAGCCCCTGCATATACCGCAATAAAATAAAAAAACCACCCTTCGCCAGTCCAAGACGGGCGTCTGTAAAGTGTCAGTGAGATCGATAAGTAGTAATGACAGGATACATACTCTCCATATTCGTCCCTATAGCTAGGTTCACCTTATGTCCACGGCAGCACCAACATGCTTTCGGAGCAGCCGTTTTCATCTGCTTGCAGAACGTATCTTTCAAACCAGGCACGGAAAACTTCAATTTCCTCTTCTCCTTGTTTTTGTCTTTCAACTGTCTGGGTTGGCAAAAATTCCCTTTGGCACCGTCAACATATACTCATTTGCAGCTCAAAGAGGAGAAAGAAGGCATCTCACATTTTCCACTGGAGTTGGGGATTTAGTGGAGGAGCGTGGCCAAACGCGCTCTCGTATTCTGCATGGAATTTCTTTAGCATGGCCCATTGATCGGGAGAAGACGCAGTGACAAATGTCGTGTTGAAATAATCGTCAATCGAGAGTTCGGTTCCAACAGTGTTTGTTTCCGACCAAAGTTTGCCTAGGCTGAGCTCAGTTCGTTTTATACCAAGAGTGTTCTCAAGTTGTCGGACAGTGCTTTCAAATATTGCTGAGCTTGCCTCGTCTTCAACTGGCCAATATTCACTAAGATATATAATCCTCGTGGGATTCTATCGTGATGTTAATGTAAACATCCTATAGTGTGTGAATTGTTAGCTATCTGACCTTGAAACAGGCAGGAATCTCCTCCTTTTGATTATATAGAACCGATGATGTTGACGCAAGAATTTCTATATCTCTCGTAAAGATTCCAAAAGTATCGAAGTTCTTTGAGAATGGGATGACGCCTTGATTATCTATCGCATTTGTCGACGGCCGGATCGCAAAGAGCCAATGAATAGCGGCAGGAGCTCTAACGCTTCCACTACCTGTTTTGAATTTGTCAGTAATCAGAATCATTATGCCTCAGAGTCAGACACGATGAAACGTACAATCTGTTCCAGTAGACAAATCTAACCATTCATAGGCGGCCACAGAAGCGGCGCTACCAGAGCTACTCGCGCTTGGAGTTTGATAGCCATCTCCCTGTGGATTCCACGGCGCATGGTAGTCCACCCAATCACTGGTAGCCCATTCACTCTCGCCAAACTGTGTTGACTTTAGTTTGCCGACCACGATGGCGCCATGGTCCAGCAGGCGTTGTACCCCGGTGGCGCTTTTTTCCTGAGGCCCATGAAGTTGGGCCCAGGCACGAGACGAGCCTGTCGTCTTGACCCCACGAACGTTTTGGGTGTCTTTGACTGCGATACGCAGCCCAGCTAATGGCTTTTCCTCGGTAGGCGTAAAGTATAGGCGTGAAGGCACACCGATGGTCAAGGTTGAAGGGTACTCTTCTGTGAATACTGACACATTGAAGGACTTGTAGCTATTGAAGGTTGTTAGTGACTGTACGGTACCAATATATTCATTTCACTTACAGATATGGGTCATTTGGTGACTGAATCGTCGCACTGATAAACGCCCCAGATGTATCGGGATATAACCGATAAACCTCGTGTAGCTGACCACCATTGCAGTAATATGGCCCAGATGGCGCGTCCAAAGTTTCTGAGTTTTCGATAGATAATACTCGGTCCCCCCAAGTTTCGAGTATCTTTTGGGCAGCAGCGCTGAGTTGGATGATTTGGCGAGAATTCTGGTATTGGAAAATGAGGTTTGGAAAAAATTCGGTCGTCCAAACGTCAACTTGTGAAAGCTTTTCTCGAGCCTTAATGAGGTACGCTGGTGTGATATGAAGACTGGAGACACGAATGACTGTACATGGCCCTGAGACCGATAGGCCGTTGGACAGCGTACTTTTATACTAAGAAATGGAAACCGTTATTCTTGAATTACGTTCACGGTGTTATGATCCAGCGTGTACCTTGGACGATGGCGATACGAAACAGACTGCTTCGCCGAGGGTAAATACCGACGGAGGTGGCTGCATGGGCATAGCCATTTCAGCTGACTTCCCCACAACGACGCAACCAAGGCAGAAGAGACAAACGATGGCGATGAGGAGAATTCTTGTGCAGTATTGGCGTTCCGATCGGGCCGTCTTGAAGCTTTTTTCTCCGGTTGAGCCTTGCCCCTGCCTACTTGCTGTGATGTTGGCAGCGTAGAATCAAGGAGATCCAGAGAGATGTTCGAGGGGACAAAAAGTTCCAAAACTGGGCCTGATCCGGGCGTAAACAAAGAGCCTGTTCAATTATGCGCCTGCGAAGTGTGGTTCTGCTATCACATAGGCTCCTTTGAGCACAGTGTAATTTTCTTTGAGACGGGTCTTGCCGACGCTTCTCACACGGTACGATAAACGTGACCATGTCCTGGCCCGTGAACGGTGAATCTGAGGAGGGTGATGAGCTCAAGGTCAAGGCCCAGCAGTTGCGATTCCAGTTGACAGGTAAGGAGCCAGGAGAGGACGAGTCACAGGAAGCATACGATGAACTCATTGCCTATTTCTATCGCTGATGGCATAAAGAGATATCTACGGAAGTATGCTTAGCACCAAGTCTGAAAGGTGATTTTCTCATGAGTCTATGGGTTCTTCTGTTGTAGCTAAGGGCTTACCATGAATGCAGATTGGAGACGGATGCTGTTACATTATTTGACATTCGACATCTTCATGTATTTGGATGGCTACGATTGTTGCAGTTCCATCTTCACTGATTAAAGCCAGAATATACAAGTAATTTCACTTCTACTCTGTATTTACCATATCTAGACTGTCAGCATTACAGCCCATTGAGCTCAGCTGTTCGAGAAAAAATTTGTTCCGTAATGTACTCTTACATACTAATTAATGACGCTTGTCTCTTTGATCTCGGCTATTAGTAGAAAACCTTATAACAACTAAACCAAGAAAGCGGAGCAGAGCATATTTACATTTGTATATAGCGTTAAACATACAGTTCTACAAAGAAAAGCCTCCTCGTCTTCATCGTTATAACCCAGTATGCACACCTGAATAGGAGCAGTTTAGTTAAGTAGGTTGAAAATATGGGTTGAAACAGTGACAATTCCGTTACCTCTTGAATACTTCATAGGTACTATATTGATCTAAGATATCATTTGCATATTTGCTACGTAGCTGTTTAAAACTGTGTGATCGTCAGCATCGGGTAGCTCATCGAATCCTAAAGCAGCAAGTTGCTTTTTGTATCGCTGCTGGGATCTCATTTCCTAAAGGCGGTTAGCAAAAACATATATGAGAGAGATTATGCGAGACAAACTTCTTCAACGGTACCCTTGATCAGGTAGCGTGTCACGCTGACTTCGCTTTTCTGCCCAAGTCGAATAGCGCGCGCGATAGCCTGGGCCTCTACGCCGGGATTCCACTGTAATTCTACAATGAAGATGCGATTGGCACAGGTGAGATTGAGTCTGATAACTGATAAGTATCATGCAATCAGAATGGAATCAGATATACGGCTGACATACCCAAATCCTCCAGTTCCAGTCGTCATAATGAGAACTCGCTTTTCATCATCAGTTGCAAACTGGTCGAGTTTGGTTTGCCGCTGTGAAAGAGAAGAGCTACCGTCAATACAGAGGTATTGAATTCCAGCTTCTTCCAGATACCGGGATAATAATTTGAGCGTTCTGGTCCAACATGAGAAAATAATGCTATGCTTGTTAGAATTGTAAATTTTTGTGACTCTGTGACAGAGGAAATATTTACCTTTTTGTCTCGTTCAAGTCTTTCTCAACATCTTTAATCAGTGCTTTCATTTTTGTTGAATGGCCCTCCTTGTGGAAATAATAATCATCATTGTTTCCAATATTGCCCTGAGCGGGCCAATCGGGGACGTCTTCGCTATTCGATACATTGCTTCCCATCATATCGGGCCCAAGAGTTAACACACATACAGGACACTTCGCTAGCCTGCCCGATTCATTGAGGCATTCAGAGCATAACACATGGTTGCAATGCTTATTATAGTCGCTGCGAAGCCAGCTAGAACCCAAAATTGGCATGGGTGACTGGCAACCTGAGCAACTAATTTCACTATTATGGCCGAGGGCAGAAATGGCAGCTTCTCGCTCATCCTGATAGCTGCGGCGGCGCCAAGAGAATGGCTGCTGATATGTACCGTGATTGCACAAGAGGCGCATTTGCAAGTTCATCTGGAAGAGCCCAAAATGTGAGCTCTTATCCACTTCACCTACACGGTGGCAGATCATGCGCATCAAGATTTTCTTCGTATTCTCGTATTGCTTGCGCTCTTCGGGAGTGAATTCTAGTTCACGCAAATAGGATCGTAACCCTGGTAGTTTGATCACGTCTTTTGTGCGTCTTAAACAAAGGGCTTCAATAAGCATAACAAGGCGGTCTTTAACAGCAGTCGCTATAGCAGAGTCGTCAGTGCTCTGTTCAAAGGGCACTTCAATCCATCTGCGAAATACTGCAGCCTTGGAGAAAGGCTCAGCGCGGATGAATGCAAAGAGCGTGCCAATATCCGCAAGCTTATTCTGAATAGGCGTTCCTGTAAGACACCACCTCGAGTTGGCATGGAGCTCATCACAAGAGCGGTAGAATAAAGTGGCTCGGCGTCGTATTATGTGGGCTGAAGAGTGAGCATTCCCCTGAAATATAAAATCGTGAAATATATAATAGGATACAGGAAACTGACCTTCGTCCAAAACGATTCTATACCAGTCAATACAATGGAGGAGTGATTTTGTCGACTTGTTCTGAAATTCAGCCTTGAGAGTGCTGTAAGTAGTCACAACAATGTCTGAGTTTAAGACCTTGCTCAGTTTCTTAGTTCTATCAGGGCCGTGGTATTTAATTGTCTTGACTCCCTCTTTCAAGTGCCTGCAGTATAGCTATTTAGTATAGATGTTGCTGTAAATGGAATGAGCCTTACGTGTTGATTTCATTTATCCAATTGTATACAAGAACTGTCCAAATAAGTCAGTCACAAGGCCCATATTTGATTCGAGAGAGAAGATTAACAAACGTGCAGATGGCACAATTACAAGGGTAGATCGTGATCGCTTCAGAATTCCCTCTTCAGCAGTAGCGCTATTTTCTTGTTGTTTAACCCACTCTTTTCCATCATCTAGAGTCTTCATTATCAGAGCCAGGATGGATAGGGACTTGCCCATGCCCATCTCATCGGCTAGAATGCCTCCTCCTCTTTCGTCTGGCTGTATGCCATTCTTAATCTCCGTTTTGGTAATTCTGTGACGATATCTAATAGTTCAAGTCAGCTACCGGCAATATGGTATGTAGAATGCATGGCTATAGTACTTCTCAGTTCCATCATCGAGTACTTTCGTCTCCCAAAGCCTATATTTATCATTTATATGGCCTGTTTCTCTTTCTAACATGAAGCCAAGAGCTTCTTGTTGATGCCTAACGACAATAAGTCAGCAACTATTTATAATAGTATTCAGGAATATTCACTTGAGAAGCTCTTGGGTGACCCTGTCTCCGCCATCCACCATGTCCAGATCTCGAGAACGGTCGAGAGACTTATATACTTCCTCAACCATCTTTTGTAGCCGTTCTTCTCGCTTCTTCTTACCCGTAGGACCCTCATTGCGAGTTTGGGTTACTGGCTGTGTGCACTGTATTGGAACTCCACCAATTTCGAGACGTAAGAAGTGGGGGTTATCGTAAGTTACACCACGCTTCATATGAGTTGATTTCTGTAGCCATAGTTTACCGTGGGATAGCATGTCACCAACTTCCTTTGCAGCAAACTGCGGTCCATACAGGTTGATATCAACTTTCGCAATAGCCTCAGATGCCTTGTTCGCTCTTCCTATTATACCTTTGAGATTTGATGCTTGCCCTATGGGTTCAAACTTAACTTGTGGCATAGCTAGGAGTGGTGCAAGCGTCTTGCCAACGGCAGAGCGCAGGTAACCGAATTCCCCACCTTCATCGCCCTCGTCGGCGTCGTGGAACAATAGAACTACGTGATCTCCTTGCTTCTTGATCTTAAAACGCTCATACATGGTCTCCATTTTTCCAAGTCTAGAGTGGATGGCTTGCATTTCGCCGATCAATTTGACGTCGAGATTGTGCAGCTGGTATACCTTTGGTTAGCAGCTACAGATTTAGAGATAATCCTTGTCTCACCATCCCATAGCATATTTCATCCTGATCATTCAACAGAGTGACATCTTCCGATCGCGATTGGCTTAACTCTGGACTCAAAGATGGTAACTGCGACGTCTCTTGAGACGAAAATGGTGCTGATCCAGAGAAATCGGTGTCAGATAGGACTAAATCATTTCGCCATTCTAAAAGCGCTCCATCTAAGTTGTACGGAGGTTCATTGATATTCAACGTTGACATTTGTTCGCCCACAGTCTGGTCAAGGAACATGCCGCTGATTACACCTGTCATAGAATGTATTGGCTGCATAATCGGAACATCGCTGAGTCATTTAGTAGCTGTCATGCAGAATACGACATTTTACTTTGCTATACCTAGTTGGATTCATATAGCTTGGTCCGTGGAATTGACTCTGCCGAGGTATGTCAAGCATATCGCTATAATCAGATTGCCATATTCCTTGCTCATAAGGCTGCGGTATAGTCGCGCCGGGCGCGATACCGGTACCGGTGTAAAGATATTCATCATCATTTAACTCCCTGATAGGGTCAAATTGTCGCTTCAAAGGGTTAGACATGGCGGCTATTTAGTGTCGCCTATTGATAACGCAAATCTCAAGATGCCGAAACCGCTCCATTGTGTCGCTAAGAGAATATGTGAATACTTATGGTACTGTTCCCAGCTGTCTGATTGTTGGATTTACGTCTCATCGGGCTATGTGGTGGATCCTTGGCGAACGAGGCAGAGACCGTTTGTCACCGAAACCGAGGCTGAAGTCGTCTACGTGGTGGATGGTGGCGTAGCCCCTGGTAAGGCAACTAAGGCTGTATGCACATGTAATACATACATGCATTGATGCTATTCGCTTGCCAGCTCAGCGAGCGAATCGGCTGTGAGTTTCTTGGATCTTTCAAGAGGCTTAGGCGCCTGCTGCCTAGATTACATGTATGTTATTGCATGCACTAATGCATGCTCACACACCTGTCACAGCTGGTCCAGCGTTGAGGGCCCGAAAGCCTTGCGTTGTAAGGCGAATTTCTGTTTTCATTGCTTCAGGTTGTTGCCAACAGTACACGAGTCATGTGTAACCGCGTTTGTTGCCCGATCTATTCGTTGGGTATTCATTTAATATATCACCTTCCGAAAATCAGCTCGGGTGGGGTAGGTTGTCAAGTTCTGCGTTCCAACACATGCAGACGCGAACTCTCAGACACTGATTTCGATATGATTCAAGCAGAGGATTAGCACGCCTATGTCATTCCAAATCTGGCGATATATATATTTCTAACATAAATTTTGAAATTAGCCATGAATCACCAAACCAGACGAAGGCGACGGTGCCTTACGCTTGAGATAAATAGGAGAATTCGACGACGCACCTTGGATATTCCATGCGACCTATGCAAGCTGATATTTTCTCGTGAAGGCCTACAGTATTTGAGTTCATTTAATGGGCTACGCCACCATACCCGAGCCAGCTGTGTCGCCTCCCGAGATGAAGGTTGCAAAATCTGCAAGTTCATCTTCTTGGCCGTCTGCAAAGATCACGATCGAGATTGGGATGACAATGACCACCTCATATTCCGCAATTTTCCCCAAAGAAGCTCTACCAATATTCCAGGTATCTACAGTCTTCAATGCACATTTGAAGACGGGCTTAACGACAGCATAATCACTATCAATACGTTTGCTAGAGAAGGTCTGCATTCTCCCAGTTACCGGCAAATCATCCAGATAACTGATAGTTCTTAGACAATCCCATGAGCAAAATTGTACAACGAAGGCCTTTATATCGAAATGTGAAGAGTGACACCATTCTTTTGGCTGCAAAATCCTTGCTACAAAAATGTATGAACCCTAAGAAGCCGCACAAGCATTGCCGGTATTCACGAGACACTGTACTTCCATCCCGAGTTCTTGATGTTGGGGCTTTGGGGGACTCTCAGCCAACCCTTAAACTGAAAGTCAACAAGACAGAGACTCATGCTCCTTACCTAGCATTGAGTTACTGTTGGGGACCTCCGCCTGCATCTACCTCGCATGTGCAGCCACTCCAGTTACGGCTTGAGAATCTTAACACTTTGATGGCTGGCATCGATTTTGAGACTCTCCAGCAGTCTATACAAGACGCTGTATTTATCGCTCGCGAACTTGGTTTTCGTTACCTTTGGGTTGACGCTCTTTGTATCATCCAAAATTGCGACGCCGACAAGAACAGAGAGATCTCTCGTATGTCAGCCATCTATAAGAATGCCACAGTAACCATAGCGGCGTCTTCCTCTAAGAGTGCAGCAGACGGATTTCTTTCGACAGAGGTACAACCTTATTGTCCCGAATTCGAATTCCACGTCCCGATGCCAGATAACAGGATGGGCACTGTATATATGTCGGCAGAACCGTACAATCCAGAACACCATCTAGACACAAGAGGTTGGACGTATCAAGAGTTCATGTTATCGTCCAGGATGCTTTGTTTCTCCGAATATGAGCTTTTATGGCAGTGCAAAGAAATAGGTCTGAGGAGTGTTTCTGAGGGAGGGCTCGAGTATACGCAGCAGCTAGAAGCTCTTCCTTGGGTAGTGTTTGATGATGATGCAGAGCCATATTTTGGAATTAATGATGCTGAAAAGATCTACATTTGGAAGACAGTTGTTCAACAGTATACTGAACGTAATCTCAAAGAGCCAAGCGACAGACTCAACGCCATTATGGGCATAACGTGTGAGCTAGAACCACTATGGCGACAGGAATGCATATACGGACTATGGAAACAGTGGTTTATAGAGCTCTTAGCCTGGTATAAACCCTATAGCGAGAGGGAAGAGCAGCGACATATTGATCGGGCGCCTAGTTGGTCTTGGGCGTCTTTGAATGGCGTGGTTAGATATAAAGGATCTATTTCAACCGAGGACGCAAAGGTCCTATCATTAACCGTATCCGCTGTGGAATTAACATGTCGCATTCTTAAGGAAGACAACATAAAGAGTAATGACGATGCTTTCACTATACATGAAGAACCGGACCTCATTGACGCGGCCACAGAGATTGGTCAAAACGGATCACCCATTGAAATGGCACAATACTTGCTATTGGGTACGTTCAAGTTAGAAGGAGGCCTTGAGCATGGCATAGGTTTGCTTGTAGTAGAAGTCGGTACTGGATTATATAGAAGAGTTGGATTGGTCACTTTTAGAGATATGAAGTTGTGGGACAATATTGAAAGCCGAGATGTCGTCTTGGAGGGCAGAATTGGGCGGTAGACCGAAGAGCTCAATACCAATACATAGTCTTAGAATAAATATAAATAACTACAACCTACTTATCTCCCCTGCCTCCTCGAATGTATCTTCCAATGCCTTTGGCAATCGTTTAATCTCGCAAATGCCTTGGTGCAGCCTTCATGTGAGCACTTATATGGGCGCTCACCAAAGTGGCTTCTTTCGTGACCCTGAAGTGTTATTTTTCGGGTGAACTGCTTGCCGCAAAGACTGCATTTGAACTCAGTTGGCCCAGTCCTGTGCCGCAAAGCCTCGAAAATTGATGGCCCTTCGCTCAAATGTGGGTGATAGTGTCGCATATGCCTTTCCCAGTCTTTCTTGTTGGAGAAGCCAAGAGGCGCCAGATTACATTGTGCTGGACACTGGTATGGCCTGTCGTGGCGACTGTTGTGAGCTTCGCGATCATCTTTCTTTTCGTATCCTATGTAAAAGAATTTACATAGCACGCGCTTACACTTGAATAGATTGGGACCATAATAGTCTGCTATAGTATCATTGTTGACGGCTTGTGAGGCAGGTGTGAGAGTTTCCAGGGTGCTCCTATTCCGCAGTAGAGCTGCTTCTATACGAGCTATACCGACTGTGTTTCGTATATCATATGCGCTCTTTTGATGCGTATATATGTGGTTCCACAAGAGGCAAAGATTATCGTAAAATGAGAGTCCTGAGTATTCTTTCAATTCAGCAGGTAAGTCTCTAGCAAGATCCGAGTGCAGCTCTGTAGTGAGATATTCGCGATGAGTGTCGATAAAGTTCTGCAAAGCAGAGCCAAAACTCTCTGTATGCTGACCGTTATAAGTACTGCTACAGAAGAGATCTTTGCACGCTTTTATTACCGTATCAACATGACTATGCCACTGAGAACAGGCGTAATCCTGGAAAGCGAACCATCCGTGCCTTACTTTCTTTAAGTGCTCTTCTTCATTTGGATCAAGATCGGAAGTGGTTAGAAGGCATAAGTATCTTAGGCAAAGTACAGTAAGTTGGCATTGGGTTTCTTGTGCATTTATATGTGCATTGTTAACGATATAGCTGTTTATTGTCAGACTTGAAGCAAAGAAAGAGCGGTAAATAACTTTTCTGACATACCGTCGTGCTGTGGAGTGAATAATTCGAATGTGACCACCATCTAAGATATGGACTAGTGATCCCAAATATTTTTCGGCCTCTTGTCGTAACATTTCGTTGTCAAAATCTACTTTTTGCCTTTCTGGCTCATAGGATAGAATTGACTGCATCTCGTTCCATTTTAGGGGTCGTTTTGCGCAAACCAGCCAGCCGAGAAGAAGCTTGGCCATCTTCCAGTGCTCCTCACCATCTTCAAGCTGTAATAGCTCATCTCTCACAGCTCCCAAAAGCTTTTCGTAACTATCACTAATGGTCAGTGGATGCTGAATTGCCAGTGGTCATTTTCTTTCTTTTCTTTTCTTTTCTTTTCTTTTCTTTTCTTTTTTTNGGGCTTGTGTAAACATACATTTGTCTGAGTGTCTCTGGCAGCATCTCTCCTTTTGCCTTCTGTAGAAGCCTGCCTTTCGTTGGTTGCTGCAAAAGGTACTCAATAGCTAAATGAGCATAGAGAAACATTTCTGCCATCATCATAAGCATGAGCCACTGAAACTCTTTATACTAGTGTCATGTAGCAAGGAGGTACCTTCGCTTCGACCGCAAACAATGCTTACAATTTGGTCTTCATCGGCTTCAGAGAGATTAAAACCGCTCCTAGTACCACGTGTTTTTGAGAATTCTGGAATCCTCGCTTTCACATAGGCTCTAATATCCTCTGCGTTGTCGGTCGACTTAAGCTGTATGCGGCCATCCTCTTCCGGCATAACGTGGTCTTTTTCTAGTTCCGGTGTCTTCTGGCTCATAAAAAGCACTCTTAACTGACCTTGCTTAATATCATTGTCACATTTCGAAACTTGTTTCATGAAGAAATTTGCTATTTTACGCATTTCTTCGCCTGTTTCGCACTCATCAAGCCCATCAATCACAACATATTGCCTGGAATTGTATTCAAAGAATGCCTCGATGAGAGCTTGAGCAACGTCGACATGTGCCAAAGTGGTGCTTCCACCGGATTCGGCTTTATCGGCGCAGTAGGGTAAAAGATAATCGTTAGTATCCACCATCTGATAGAGAATTCCTTTTAGAATCCCGAGATGAGTGCGGTGATCAGCGTCTGCTTCTTGGCAGTAGAAGTAATAGATCTTGCTTTCCGAATCAATGGCCTTGCGATTTTTCCGTGAATGCAATTCGTCTATTATAATTGAAGCCAATATAGTCTTACCTAGGAAATATTAGCAAATAATCTTCTTTGAATTCAGGATCATCGTTACTTACCATATCCTCTGCTACCGTGGAGCCAAATTGCAGATTCTGGTGGCAGGTCTTCGTTCATCCAATCAGTGACTTCACTGTATTTTTTAAACAGCCAGCGACCGGTATCAGGACAAATTCTTGTATCTTGAAATCTCTTGTGAAGAGAATTCGTCTCTTTCGAAGCTGAAATCCATTCCAATACTTTGGTTTTCATCTCTTCTTTCTTTAAATTCTCTTTCTCACCAAAATCATCTTGATGCTTTATTACACTGTCGTCATAATTATGTAGTTCCAAACTCAGTCTACCCCAATTTTGGGTAGTATAAGGCTCAGATTCTTCAAATAATAGTTCGCTGCCGATATCCAGACTCGCTAGAGGATTTCGGAAAGGTGATCCATGGTCTTGTATGAATTGCCCATGTCGTTCCAAGGAGTCTTCTAGGTGTTTAATTGTATCATTTAATGCCTTCCAAGTGGGTTTATATAGTTTTAGGCATACTAGAGAGGATATGTTAATATGCATCGCACTTCTAGAGCTACAAGATTGATCGCACAACTAGACCGAAGCGAAAAGAGCTTGTACGAATTCTGATGGAAAGTCGAGACATCGCGATAGATATGTACCAAGCATAATTCGCTCTCCGTAAACCCAATAAAAAGAGGCGCATATTCATACAAAGGAGGTATTTTGTCTCCTAATTTCTCGTACGCGTCGAGCAAGTTGTCAATTTCTCGCTCCGTAAGATTGGTTGTCTGATACAAACTATCAGCTATGCTCGTTATTTCTAGGCTAAAAAGCCGGAGAGCCTATACCTTTAAGAGGAATCGGATCGAGCCCCAAACACAAGCCATGACATCTGAGACCTGCTGAAATTTGATGGCAACTAATATTTTTTCTAGATTGACCATGCCTATGAGAAAAGGTTGTATCCTCTTCATATTAATCATTGTTTTGGTCAATTCACGCTGCGATTGAATATCGTTAACATCTTGTAGTACGTCGTTGTAGCTACTCGTCTCAAACGTCTCTTTGTCCTGAGGCCGTAGGGTTTTGCGGAACTCCCTGGCAATTTTCAGCAGCTCATTCGTGCTCATTTTTGCACTCGCATTTGCCACTGTATAAATCGCTCTTCACAAATTTGAAAGACACAAATGGCAAAAGCAAGAGAGCTAGATGAACAGACATGCAAATACACTCTTCAGTGAATATGTATAATGAAGTGAGAAAAAACTGCTGGGCGCTATATTGATTAGGCTGCGAAGCAGATTAGGCAGAATGCGCAGCAGAGAGGCAACCACTATTGAGGGGGCGAAGGATTCACTGTACATGAAACATATTGGTGTCTGTTGCATGCACTTCGCCTTGCAAATACGCTGGCATCTCTTTATTGGATGGACAGGCAAACTCGCTGCAGGGTACATGGCATACATAGCGATGCAGCATTTATTTGTGCCGGCTGTATTTCAAATTGCATACAGCGATACCTTGTTATCAGATCACTTGAATGATCCACGCCTCTCATAAACCATCGCAGAGCAAGGATCTAACTAATACAGAAGCGAAAAAAAACTTTTCCAAAGCCGAATCCGTTGTGCTCAGCCAGAAAAGGCAGTTTAGCCATTGTCAAAGAAGTCCAGCCATACAGTTTGCGCGACGTAGCGTGCCTACACAACCCGCTCCAGATAGTCCTACCAGCCAAGTAGTTGAACTCATGCCTTTAACGGTATAAATTGACATCCATGGATTCTATACCCGTACTGCTGTGTGAAGATCCAGCCAGCCAACGGCACATATATAGGCATTAGAGGTCACAGCTCTTGTGCGGCTTATACTCGACCGAGTTTTAAAATGCTGTAAATGCATGGCCTCGGGCGAGTGGCACGGTTTTGAGGTGGGAAGGCCTTGGTGGGGGTGGGGGTGTTAAAAATGCTGTGAACGCGATGGAAAAGACACCGAGGTCCCAACTGCCGAGACTGCAAGACCTGGGCATCTGTTTCTTTAACCTATGAGGGGCTGTCACAGATCTAGATGCATCTGGGTGAGCATGATTGTAGTAAATTACATGTTTATCACTTAGCATTATTCCACATTCGCCATGAAAGTAGGTAGAATTTTCTCGGCCATAAAGGAATTGCTATTGCTCATGTATCCCAAGCGTAACACATTAAAATTGAAAAATGACTCCATCCAAAAAAGACTGCCTGTTAATGTTCAATTTTCGAAATTGTGTCAAAAGTACCCACAGAGCAAACTGCGGAATTTTTGTTCCGTAGGCCTGGTATTCCATACAAACAGTAAAATGCTCAAAGTAATTCGAACGCTATCACCCAGGGCTATATATTGCCGTTGATTTTCTAAGGAAGTGGCTGTTTAAGAGGTTTCAGTTAGCAGTTGATACAAAATGAAGCCTTCTACAACATCAAAAGATTGAGAAATAGTAAACCACGCCGCTCTTGGCGCGCAAACTTGTAATTTATAATATGACAGCAGCTTTATAGTGATTATCATGGATTAGTATAAAAACCAAGGTTTTAAAGTAGCCTTCTTAAATTTGTTTAACATTGGTATCCTGTATGAGAAGAATATTTTTTGAGAACTAGCTGTCGCGTTGGTTGCTTACAAAGATAGTATCCTTCGGAAATAGTTGCCAACGATGAATAATAGACCCATTATATTTGCACTAGCTCTCAACAAGGGTGATCTTTGAGAGCTTTAAGCTGACATACGAGCCTCGAGTCTCCACTAATCCTAGTCCACTCGTGCTTGTATTCTGTTGAATACGTAACTACAGGCCACAATTTGTCGGCGGCTTGATAGACTTGTTGATTCGAAATCAACCTCGGACAGGGTTTTTAATTACATGAACTTAATACTATTCTAACCCTTCCGAAATAGAGGCTCACAGCTGATAAATCAAGGGTGCTCCTTGAGATCGGATTGTGTATCGTTAATGAGAGGATAACTAAGAGCAGAATTAGCTATTGATAATAGTAGGACTTATACCCTTCAGACAGAGTTCACGATGAATATAAATGTCAGCTTCCGGCTGCATTAACTTTATTGCTATAGTTGTTATCACATTGTTTTGCACAGAGATTCCAATACTTCATATTTTCAGCCCTCATTCCAAAAAGCATTTACGACGAACAAATATTATAATGATCTTCCCAAATCCCACCACTAAATATCATGGTAATCCCACTCCGGTAGTTGATCCAACGCAAGAGCATCTTTCCGCAGTGGGTAAAATTGTTTTAGTTACTGGCGGAGGCACAGCCATCGGTGCCGCTACAGTTGAGGCATTTGCCAAAGCAAAAGCCGATCACATCTTCCTAGTTGGAAGAAGATTCAATCTTCTTACAGAAGTGGAAGAAAAGGTACGGGTTTAATGTTGCTCACTTGTATAGAACGCATCTAATATATATCATAGTTGTCGAAATCTTACCCCCGGACAAAATTCCATGCCATTCAAACTGACATTACTAAGGAGGATGAAGTTAAAAGCCTCTTTCAAGAGATCAATAAAGTTGGATTTCTTGACATTCTAGTGGCTAATGCTGGATATCTGCCAGAGCCGGGGAAAATTGCTGCTACAGAGACAAGCGAGTGGTGGAAGGGTCATGAGATCAACGTCCTGGGAACTTATCTTCTCGGAAAATACTTCATCAACCAGTCCCAGGCCCCAAGAGGGAAGCCCGTGTTTGTTGGCGTGAACACTGGCGCCACCCATTTGGGTCCGCTTGCAGGTCCTATGAGCGGGTATTTGACCTCCAAGATTGCGACAGCTTCAGTGGTGGAATTTCTTCAGGCTGAAAATCCCAATATCAAAGCCTTTAATGTTAGCCCTGGCATGGTACCTAGCGAAATGAGCGCCAAAGCCCGCGCAACACAGTTTATACCAACGGATTCACCAGAGCTGATGGGGGACTTTGCCGTCTGGCTGGCTGGTCCTGATTCAGATTTCCTCAACGGACGTTTCCTCTGGGCTAATTGGGATGTCCAAGAATTGATTACTCTCAAAGATAAAATCGCAGCCAATCCAGAGCAATTGCGTATACTTTTTGGAGGGTGGCAGGAGAATTATGCAAAATTAAAGTAAAATAGACATGGGGTTTATTTATGTCCCATAAATATATAAATATATATATTGTATAATTGGTATAGCATGATCCTGCTTACCTGATCTTCCACGCCCTGCAGTACCCTTGAAGAACAAGTCTACCAATCTTTAAAGTTCTTCATGGCTTTTTTGTACCGTATATCCCTATACAAAAAGTTACCGAGATGCTTATCTATATTACTAAATTTAAGCCCTCATTTTGTTTATTTTATTCATTTGAGCGCACACAGCAACGTCTGAGCGCAGTGAAAATGAGACCAACGAACGGTAAGGCAATACTAGAGCTTTTGAGAAGCGGGTATGCGCAGTTTCCTTATATACGCCTAGAATATTTACCACAGTTTATAGACACCTCATATAGCTAATGCGGCTGGCATTTTATCTGCAAGAATATACACAAGTAGTAGCGGCTGTAACTGTAATAGACCGAAGATAGTCAGCACTTCAATATCCAGACCCTCTTTATTTTAGTATACACAAATCCAATCCTGAAGTCTATTTATCTACTGGACACACGCAGTAGTTGGTTTAAGTGGCCAATCCTGCTCTGCAGCCCAAGAGCCTATAACAGGGCTTAAATGTAACATCATCTGCTCCTCGCATCGGAAAAATGCAGCTTGGATATAGCATTTCATTGGATAGGGCGGATCACGGCTTATAAAAATGCGTAATACCTTACACCAGTCAAAGCCCTACGTTTACTCGTGTTTTATTTGGGCAGCAATGTAAAACAATAACCAGTGTCCTCATCGCGCTGCCGTTCGCATTTCTTAAACCTGCATCAAATATTCTTTTTACCACCAATATCCGCTTACCCAGAAGCCCTCCAAACGATAGGTATTGATCCAATATACCAGCTATGGCACCCCTATTTCTTGACTGGAATAATGGCACGCAAAACTTGAGCCTGCTGAGTTCTTTCGTCGAATGGCTATCTCAGCCCGGTGGGTGCTGACCTTCTATATAATCCAACGCATTACTAATAGAGAGAATGACAGACGTCCTTACCGTCATCATGGCGTGGGCTATTACATTTACTGCCGTTTGCACGCTAATACTCTGCCTGGGCTTTGGGCCTGCTGGTATCGGAGCAGGTAGGCGGTCGTCTCTCACACAAATAGTATTTAAGTGCGGTGTAGAATCAGCGCTAATCAGACACGAAGGAACCATCGCGGCTGCGTTTCAATCATACATGTATGGGGCCTTCACGCCAGCAGGGGGGATTTTCGCGACTTTGACGAGCATGGCCATGCTAGGCAAAATGATGCCACAGGCTGCTATTCTCGCCGTGGTTATCGCAACATGCGTGGCCATACTCGTATGGGTCTGGGGCATTGGCAGATGATTCGACGGCTGTAGCAATTCTAGGATCTCAGCAATCTCACGACGCGACTAGTTTTGGTCTTTTATGCATTTCAATCTCTATTGTATTGCGTCCTTCCGAGCGCGTTACTTTCCTGCGGCAGATGTGTCGAGGTCTTGAAAGGCAGCCAGTCTTAAGAGGCTAAAATACTGGTATAATGAAGCTCTATGATTACACAAGGCTTATTCAATAATTTGTTTACTAAACAAGCTCAATAGCAGTACATGTTACTTCTTGTATTGCTCCATTGCCTAACCACAGAGCATCCACGTTCAATGTTTGTTTTCATACAACGCCGTAATCCAGGCATCTGTCCAGAGAATTCTAAACATGCCACATAGAATACCCTTTATGTAGAGAATATGAAGGTGAATGCTCAGCAAAATAAAATAATTCGAGACTACTAGATATTGATCTATGAAGTATTCCATGTGGTGATAGCAGCTTCAATGGGCCAAAATCGTAGGAATCAATATAGGGTATCTTTGCATTTGAACGCATCGCTCTGGACAACTTAAAAACTCCAACACATGCCAAGGAGAGAATAATATTCCCGATCGTTGGTAACCCCAGCGTTTACTAGGACCGGGATACCGTGACGGAGTAATAAATTCACCGACTGCTATACTTGCAAACTCCTGCTCGCCGCTGAACTCACCCGCAAACCTGCGGAAATAGTATTGTTCGAAATAGTCCCGAGTTCCGGTAATAACAGCGCGGGCGCTATCGTGGGGCTGTCAGCATTCAAGCACAGCAGTCATCACTGAACTAGTGCATAGTATGGTCAGGAATAGACACTTTGGTTTACTTGAATTATCCGTCTTCTAAATACAGGTGCGTATGTGGGTATAGGCTCTTTTGCAAGCCGTCGAGAATGGCCGACCCCTATACCAAATGTCAACTACCGAAATAGGAAAGTCCAAAGTCGTCATCTGTAGGTATAAATATAGAGCATCTTCTTCTCGCCATGAGAAGAACGATCATCAGTTGTTCTATTCTACTCTATCAAGAACCAGTAGCACATACGAAGCTTTCTGACAAAGTCAACGAATTCGCACACGATGAAGGCGCAGGCAACTGCAGCGCTGGTTGCTGGGCTTCTCGCCTATGCCACAGCCGCGCAATCTACTTTGGCTTTGGGAGAGTTAACTTTTGCAGCTCCCCAATGCTCTGACGGCGGCTCCGGTGTTAATGTCTCCGACTGCAGCACAGCAATCTCACAGCTGCTGGCCGCAAACTGCTCTGGGGGAGTATGCCATATCCCAGCAGCAGCCCCCGATGCCGCAGAGTCGACTATTTCCCAGCTGGTGGGAAAATGTGAGGTGGCTATCGGTACCTTTGCCAATGGAGATGCCGTCACGTTCAACCAAGATTCTGTGGAGAGCGCATTCCCAGCTTTTATCAATGAATGCTTTGGACATGCCGGAGGTTTTGGCGCCCCACTTCAACTCACTACTGACGGAATTCTCCGCCTTATATTCTTCAACGGCATCATTGGCGGTGGCGGTTAATGCGGTGACACGAAGGATAAGAATGGGTTGACAACTACAGTGAATGAGGATAGACGCAAGAGGATGTGAATTGTATTTTGTTCACTAAATTTCGCATTGGAATAGATCAAATCTGAAAGTTCACATATGCCATATATATTGTACCGTATAAAATATGAACTCATTGCACATTATTAAAATCGTACCCCATAAGAGCCCCTGTATAAGATATTACACGTACACTGTAAGGCATCTGCACAACCCTCTCTAGGGTAAATTTGGTGTCGAACAAAAGAGATGTTTAGATGATGCTGATGCATACATAGATGAGTGGAGCAGCTCACAAGGTGAACAGCAACAGTTAAGATAATGTACAACTTAATCAATACCCAGCAATAATCGCGAAATGGGCGGACGACTTCTTGAAAGCTGTGTACTCATATTGCATGTAACTTTCAACGCTCCTACTTAATTCCTCGGTCTAGCTTGTCCCGCCACAAGCAGACGGGAGCTAGGCTGCTTCCGCGAGGCAACTTCAGCTAATTAGGTAAAGTGTCGCCGCAAGAGGATAACGATCTAATCAACTTATACAGACTCAGATTGGCGCGAAAATGCCTGAATTTCCCGGTGGCGGATATCCTGTCCGACATGGATACCCACTGCGTTCAATATCAGATTAAAGTCGGCGATGCTACCGCGCAGTTTGGTAAGAGATGCTGAGATTGTGAAGGAGCAGTGGGCGCAAGTGACAGAGGCTTTGTGAGGCGTGATTGGAGGTTTTCAATGAGCAGCATATTTCTCCCAGTTCATACTGTGTTATTTAAACAATGATGTACACAAAATCTTGTATAAGTCGCCTCCATCGGCCGTCGCGATCAGGGGCTGAAGATTGTGGGCTGAAGATTGTCTGAGTTGCGGCAAATCTGGGAGCGGCGAGAGCGAGTAGTGAGGAGTGAAGATGAATTCGCCCAAAACTTTGGGTTTTTTGTATTTCTGTAACTGTAATTTGTGAAACTAAAAGGAGTTCATCTGAACTTGTATAAGCAGAGGTTGTCTGCAAAGGTTCACTGTTCTGTGAAGGACTTGCCAGGATGCAGCTAGACACAGAGATAGCTGTATCATTCCGTTCAAACACAGCGCCAACTCTATTGGTAAAGTCTAGGCTATTTGTTACTTATGCTAAAATGTTATCTAGGCCATGCTTGCTGGCCTCTTCCCATTCCTTGCTGAATTTGTAGTCCAAATAACCCTCCTTTGTTTTGATGGCGTAGAACAGATCGCGGTTATACTTGTTTGGCTCGAGCCCTCGTCTGATCCTGAAGGGTAGGTCGGGTGTAGCCAAGAAGTGCCGACCAAAGACAATAGCGACATTCTTGTCCTTATACTGACCATCCATAGCTGCCTGAGCACCATCGGGCTTCCAACCACCAGCAATCAAAAAGGGGGTATCATCTCCCCAGATGTCCAACAGGAAATCGAGCTTCTCGGTGCCTTCACCCGCGTCATCACCTGAAATCCGCGATTCCACGACGTGGAGATACGCCAAATTCAGGGCCTTGAGACCTTTGACCAACGCAGAGAACTGGGGATACGGATCGTCCATCTTCATACTCTGAAAGGTTGAGAAGGGGCTGATTCGAAACCCGACCTTATCAGCACCGATAGCATCGACCGTCGCCTTTGCAACCTCTAAAGCAAACCTATTTCTATTATCAACGGAGCCACCGTACTCATCATTCCTTTGATTCGCGACATCTTGGATGAACTGGTCGACAAGATAGCCGTTTGCAGCATGAATCTCAATGCCGTCGAATCCGGCTTCAATGGCATTTTTAGCCGCTTGACCGTAATCCGCCACGAAAGCCTGGATCTCCTCATAACTCAAAGCCTCAGGTTCCGGGTGTTCGCTGTCCATGGGGATGTTGCTAGATGAAACGATCTTTATGCCCTCCTTCTCGGCGACTTCTTTGTCTGCCACGCGGCCCAGAGCCCAAAGCTGTAGGAATATGCGGCTTCCCTTGGCGTGCACTGCGGTAGTGACTCGTTTCCATGACGCGATCTGGTCTTTGCTCCAGATTCCAGGGAGATTAGAGTATCCTGCTGCACGGGGCGAGACGGCTGTCGCTTCGGCGATTATGAATGTGCCCGGAACAGAGGCCCGTTCAGCATAGTAATCTGCCACAAAGGGTAGGGGGACGTGGTTCTCGTCGTTGCGGTAGCGGGTCAAGGGAGCCATGACGATGCGGTGTTTCAGTTCCAGGTTGCCGATTTTGAAAGGCGAGAAGAGCCGCGAAGGGGCGGCCACATCTGAAGAGATTGAACCCATGATGACTGTGGACTTCTTGGTTCAGGATTGGGATCTAGGTGGTTGAGTTGTAGATTAAATCCAGATACTAGAAGGCTTGATCAATATGATATAATGGTGATATAGTACAGTATAGTAGATGCAGAGGAGGACAAACCCTGAAATTGAGGAACATCAATCTTAAGTAAGGTGGTCGTTACCATCAGGTCGAGTAGCTTGATAAGTTCAGATACTCATAGTCCATGGATATCGAATTCCTCCATAGGCGGTACGATTTTCCCTCCGGATTGATCATCATTATTGTTATTCAGCGACGTCTCCAGATTAGCAATCATTATTCGGTGACGCCTAGATTTAACGAACTGATTGGCCAGTGCTTTCTTTTGAGTAGGGCATCCTGGTGGGTTTGAAGTAGTTGGATGTCTCGGCTTGTTTCTTGTGCCCCACTGTCCAGAGAGCAAGTGAGAAGACAAAGGTAGGGTAGGGTGACTTGGTTCATCTGTTGAGAAGCCCCACCTCATTGCAAAGCCTTCTTGTGGGGAGACCCGTAAGAGCAGAACGCCAAATGATGGTGAGTGGCATATGGCGGCATATTTTAACGTATGAACGGTTGAGACGTGTTATTACAATCGTCGTTGGGGTTTGGCAACCTTGTGTATTGTGTGTGGAGTATAGAAGCAGAAACCAAATATGCTATCCCGAAGTAGATATAGGTCCTTATCTGACCATTTAATAATATTAGTGTCTCCCTAAAGTGATGAGGAAAACAGCAATATACGACTTGAGGTACTGTGTATATGTACTGTAGTATGGAGACAGAGGCTAAATGTTCTATCCCGAAACGGACATAGGTCCCTAGTCAGCCGCTTAATTAGTCAATCACTCAACAAGATAGAGAGATACAAAGATAAAGCTTAAGTTCCTTTATCAAACTAACGCTATATCCCGTTCAATTGACAAGTTTCGAATCGACCTCGGCCTCTCGGAAAACAACCGAAGAGTTGGGCGGTGAACCGAGGTATATCAAGAAAAGTTTGTAATAAGCGTATATAACTAGAGGTTGTGACAAATCCAGGTGATTTTTAATCTTGAACTAGATGGTTCGATAAAAAGTAGTATAGACGGCTACAACGCTATCTAAGCGTCACTAACACTATGAGAGTCAACTTCATCTGACATTGCACTATCATGGTCCACACTACCCTCATCCTCTAAATCTTGATTCCAAAGATCCTCCGGCATACCAAGGTATTCATTTATCCTTGGAAGCCCTGACATTGATACGAATGACATTTCATTACTGCCATCCATATCCTCAAACAATTCTTGAATGGCATCTGTAGCAAAGGGAGTGGTGATCAGGACTTTGGTGTCTCCGCACAAAGATTCTCCATCATCTTCCTCATTGAAGGTTTCTTCGGAGAGTTTTAACAGCATTTTCATGACGACTAATACGTCAAGCTCGAATTCATCCGTTTCGTAATACCCGACACCATCAATCATACACACCAAGATGTAATCTCGACTCAGCTGCCGATGAACCAACCAAACGAAGACATCGCATAATTGGGATATGTCGCAGTTGTTTTCACTGAGGCAATTTATATTGATGCTTTCATCTAAAGTCAAAGACTCAAATGGGATTTGCTGTAGTAGTTGTGCTAACAGGCTCTTCATCATCGCTACAGCGCCGATGTTGCCGTCTTCCGTCTCAACGTGGCATCCGCAAAAAAATACCAAGGAAATATAACTCTCTCTCTCGCGTAGCATGTGCATCAACATAGCACAAAAATGCGACAAAGGAGAAATATGCCACGTCGCCAGAGACTCCCGTGGTAGTTCTCCATGAATTAGCAACCGACGCGAGTTTGGTGTGACAATCCAATCGCGGAACTGCATTGTTCGAGTCACTTGCTCAGCGTGAGCGCGGAGTTTCCTTGGAATTCTGTAACTGCCATCTTTTACGATATCGAGATCCGTTTTGTCGAGATCAAGCGGGATATTGAGGAGATCGAGAAAACGAGAAGAACTGACAGTTTTTGGCAGTTGTGGAGGTGGTGGTGACAGTGGCTGGTTTTGAGGCGAAAGAAGGTTAATCGGTAAATGGCTGTATGAACCTGCATTAAATGAAGGTCCCGTAAATACTTCTTGTGGCGGAAAAGTACCGGGCCATGGATTATGATAAGCTGGCAAGTATGGGCCAAACTGGAGTGGATAGCCCGCCCAAGGAGCCTGTTGGCTTGGCCACACTTGAGTGGGTTCTGGAGTTCCAGGAGTCGATGCCCTAGAAGACCCTTCGAGGCTAGCAATCTTCTCTTCCAAGCTGGCGATTTTGTTTTGGAGACTTAGATCTCTTGCTTTTTTACTCTCCTCGGCATCTAGGAGTAGTCTGTGCACTGTGTTATAGAAGTGGGCTCCTTCTCTATAGCCGCGATCGACTTTATCGATCAAGTATTCCATTGCTTGGCCGGTCATGCGCTGGGACATGACAAGCCGCCCAGTATCTATGTGTGAATTCGCTGTTAGACAAACTACGCTGCAGAGAAAATTCAGCCGCCACATACCATTCCAGATAGCATTCAGTCCAATCTGGGTAGAAACAAAATGGGCATTTTGTGCTTGATGAATGAGTTTCCGACTGCTCATCTGAATTTCTCCCAAGCTTGCAAGGAGCGGCTTTTGATAGCCAGATTTCCCACGACCTAAAGCAGAGGCTGCTCTGGATACTTGACAGAATAAAAGATAATATAAGTTATAACCTGAGCGTAAAGCTTCTCATGCCAAAAAAAAAAAAAAAAAAAAAAAAAAAAAAAAAAAAAAAAAAAAAACATACCTTGGTTAGATAGGAAGAATCCTATAGCATCCTCAATCGCTTTCAGAACAGAGACTACCAGGGACACAGCAGCATCTTTAATTTTGCTCATGTCTGGAAAAGTTATCAAGAACACCTCAACGTCGGCAAAGAGATCGTCAAGGTTCCGATCTTCAAGACTCGAGGCAACTGTCTCCCGCACGGTGGATGCGGTAGTGAAAGCCTTGATAGATTAAGTCAGCCATGATGCCCTATAAAACTCCAGCCTTTCCGAGGAAATTGCTGAAACGTACATTAAGAAGCAACTGCACTGCTCCCAAAATTGGTGAAACGTAATCAATATCTGGAATCACTTGAATGATATTTTGCGCTGGTTCAACAGCATTGTCTCCAATCTTGCGGAATACCCGCTTACACCGGCCGCGAAAGCCTTGTTTTGTGCCATCGTACACCTCCCGCGCTTTGTGGAGCTGTTCATTAACACCGTCCCATGTTGTCTGTGTCCGAATGCTGTACCCAGACTTGTCGCGTTGTTTAGGCTCAATTGGATACTCTTGAATAAACTTCTTCATCGCGTCTGGAAAAATAAGGCCCCAAAACTTTTCGGACTCTCCAACATTACCAAATGAGTAGCTGGGCTGAACCAGAGCTTGGCTGTTGTCCTGGCTTTCGCCAGTAGCTGACTCATCTGCGTATGTGAGGGTTCTATTTTCTACATATCTTTGTAATACAGGGTCATAATGCACATCTCTATCCCTGAAAACATCATGAATGGCGGGAAGCCGGTTGTCAATGAAATCGACAGATGGGGGCTGAAGGTGGATCGAAGGAATGTCGGGGTGCGCCATACTGGTCAAGCACAACTAATTCCTAATGTTGCAAAGCAGATGCTTGAAAGAACGAGTAATGGTATATTACAGACTTAAGTATGCGATGGGAAAAAAATCGGGAATGAGAGGATGCGGCTGATCACTTTGTCTGCTGCTTCAAAACCTCAAGAGCCCCCGCTTTGACAGGGGTTGTTGCTGCGTGGACTCTGTTTCTGATACATCAGCACGGCCCAGTCAAATGATATTCAATCACAATGACTCAACTGCATATCCTATTTCACCAAAATAAGCAGAATGTTCTAATTCAGTGTATATTATTATTATTATTATTATTATTAACTTGAAGCAGTTTATATACTTGTTTTTGCTTTCCAAGACATATCCTATAAGACTAGTAGGTCGGGTTACTAATATTTTGCGTAAGACTTCAAGCTACATACACCCAGAGAGGCATAAGTTATGTATCACTTTCAAGCTGATAAGCTATAATAGCTTTATAGGTATGTATTGAAAACATATGATGGAAACCACTCATTAGCTATTATTATCGTCTTTTATTTTATTTTTCACTCTGAGGGCTTCACACTTTGGATCCTTTCTGAGGTGCCACTTTACATGGCTGAAGCTGATAGCTCGTTGGATACACTAGTGGTATCACTCTGCAGTAGGCCTGTCAAGGTGGTCAGCTATTGTATTCTATATTTACTCCCCTTGCCATGTTCCCCCACAGGGCCTAGTTTAGGATCCTGAAGCCTTCTTTTGTCTTGTTTTTCCTGCGAAAATGACGCATTGGAGCGGGGTTTCCACAGGAGATACAATAGGCAGCAGAGGTTCTCGCACCCGCGGATAGCGTATCAACAAATCTTAGCATCATCCAGTATCTAAGGGAAGAGTTGTCACACGTTCCACACCCTAACAAGAGGGAACAGAAACTCTCCAGCAACACGCCTTCAATGCTCTAAACATTAGCCATCATGGCCGAGGTATTAACGAAATCAATCATAGCCTCTAAAGAAAGCCAAGATGCCGCAGCCAACCCAGACACCACAGACCCACAGATTTCAGACTCTGTGATATCCGATACAGCGAATGCAAAACCACTAGGACTTGAAGAAGAGTTGATTAAGCTGAGAGAGAAGCTTGCCCTTGCAGAGGCAAGTATTGAGAAAGAAAAGCAGCAGCGAGAAAAACTTGAGACCGAGCTTAAAGAGGGTACAAAGCAAATCTCTGGCGATGATTTAAAAGGGCTTCTCCAGCAAATGAAGAGTCACTTTAGCGGAGTAGAAGAAAGAACCAAGGATGAATCTTGGTCACTGGGGCGCAAAATATATGAGATCGGATGGGAGCTCCAGTATATCGAGACTCTCACTGGAATTGTGGACACTGCCTCAGAGGAGCGCGACAAGCTACGAGATACCACATCAAAGCTACAGAGTTATTGTAACATGTTGAGAGACGAGCTGCAGAGTGCACGCCCTGGAGATCGGATCCTGACCTTTGAGGAAATTAGTGAAAACGAAAATCAAGAGGAAAATGCCAAAGCGGGTGTTTTTAATGATGGGCTGATGGTCGAGCTGAACCCTATGAACTGGAAAATGTTCAAATTTCCGCACAATCCCAATCAGCTAGAAAGCCGATATTTTGTCATTGATATCTTGATAGAGGAGCCGGCTATTACCTTCGACGACTATTCCAACCCCTGGTACGCGCGCCGTGCAGTACCACCACCACAAGAAAGGACAGTAGGTGTAATGGCAACGGCGGAAAAGAGCTTGTCTTCGTGGAAAGAGATGGTCGATGATTCAGACCCCAGCAAGCAGGTTGTGCCTGAGAGAATTCGAATAAGGTCGAAGTATATCATTGATATACTTCGTGAAATTTTCGAGTTGAAACCAAAGTCATACGACGGTAACAATGGAGTCGTCATGGTCCGGCCTTACCGAGCACTAGTGCACTACGATAAGGAAATCCGCGCCCAATATCGCAAGCTGGAAGATACTATTCTTTCCAAGTCCAAAGAGAAACTTGATGACGAAAAGGTTCTAAAAAATGAAAATGATGATGAAGCACAAGATACCTCCGAGACAAATAATGCAGTTGAAGATGGAGGTAAAGAGGAATATGCATCTACCTTGACGGCTTTTCAACACCTCGGCTGCCTGATTGAATTTATGGATCGTGTAATCAAGGCCAAGATAAACTACTTATCACAACCAGGCTTGCGAACAATATCTTTCAAACACATATGGTACCTCTTCAAGCCGGGAGATACTGTAGTTGGCCAAGGACAACAGCAAGTATACAGAGTCATGAATATTACCAGCACAGGCCACTTGGTCACTCCGCCTTGGCGAATCTGGAACAAAGACGAAAACTCACCAGTGGAAAACATTACTCTTCACTGCGTCTATATCGACTTCGATGGTAAGCAGCTTGGGCCAGTAACTCAAACCTTTACCATCGAAAAGTTTGACGGCGAAAAGGCTATAACTGCGCTCGATGTCTACCCCATTCGGTTCGCAGCCACGGGCCATCACGCTCGCACAGAAAACAAGTCAGAAACCGGGGAGTCGGGATATCGAAACAAACTAGTAGAACGCGGCAAGCTGTTTGTAGACGTTGCGCATATAAAGCACATGCATTATAACGGCTTTGCGCTCGAGACGCGCGACGAGATCGACAGTCAAGTCATGATTGACTTTGCAGAGGCTTTTGCGGTGAAGGATGCAGAAACAGCAGCGGCAAACGCCATGAATGACGCGGCCCAGGTGAATAACTGGCAACCAAAGGTGGAATCAATCATCGGGCGAGATTTGGGACAAAGTGCTTCATCAGACGACAAGGATGCGCACTCATGCCTAGGAGCTTGCTGCAAAGGCGATTACGTATATGCCGACGCTTACATTGAGAAGGATAGATACGAAGAATATGTCGCCGGCATAATGGCCAGTGCCGAAGAGCTGAATATTGAGCCACCTGTTGCTATTCATCCCCGTTCACTGAAAGAGTTGGCAGCAGCCAAGGACTCGCTTACAGAGGACGACCTGTTGATCATGCCATATCGGGTATTCGGGTTCGTCTTGCGAAGCCGAAAATGGGGTGCGCGAATCTCTCTTAATATCGCTTTGCTTATTTCTCAGGGACTAACCATTCGGAATGATAGCAAAACTTGACCTGAAATATTTGAACCCCGCTGACGAAGGCCTAAAGAAGAAAACAGCTTTTGATCAGCTTGTCCTCCCAACGGGCCACAAGGATATAGTTCACTGTTTAGTCGCCCAACACTTTCGCGACAAGGCAGCTAGAGTCAGTGATAATGAAGAAGTCGACATTGTACGAGGGAAAGGCAAGTTGCACCTCACTAGATCTCTTTTTTGAAATGACTTACAAGCAAAGACGGTGAAGATCACCCAACAATGTTTGCTGACACATTCCATAGGAAAGGGCCTTATTATTCTCCTCCACGGAGCTCCTGGAGTGGGCAAGACGACTACAGCAGGTAGGCTTATCATCCTATATATAATAACTTCTTCTACTTCTGGCGGTATAAGTATTAACATGTCATGCCATAGAGGGTGTTGCTGAACGATTTAACAAGCCTCTATTCCAAATTACATGCGGTATGTGCCCTCCAATATATAATGACATCAAGCGTAGACCTACTTTGACTGACTCGATACAGGAGATTTGGGTACTATTGCCAGCGAGGTTGAAACAGCATTAGAGCGCAACTTCAGTCTCGCCAACAGATGGGGCAGCATTCTTCTCCTCGACGAAGCCGACGTCTTCCTCGCACAACGATCTCCCAAGAACTTTATCAGAAACGGACTTGTTGCCGGTAATGTCTAAAATTCCAATGGATTGCACAACTTCTCCTTTACTTTACTTTACTTACCTAGAGCAAACTAACGTATACCACGCACAGTCTTCCTCCGAGTCCTAGAATACTACGCCGGCATCCTCTTCCTCACAACCAACCGCATCGGCGACTTCGACGAAGCCTTTGCCTCCCGAATCCACGTCAGCCTCTACTACCCACCCCTCGATCTCAAATCCACCCGCAAAATCTTCAAGCTCAACCTCCGCCTCATCAAGGAGCGCTTCCGGGAGAAGAACCGCTCCATCACCATCAACAAGAAAGAGATCCTCAACTACGCAAGCGACTACTGGGAAAAGAACGAAAAGATGCGCTGGAACGGCCGCCAAATCAGAAACGCCTGCCAGACAGCCCTCGCCATCGCCGAGTTCGACGCACAGAAGGACGCCTCGGGCGACGACGACGCCAAAGACGCCCAGGTCACCCTCTCCGACGACCACATCAACACCGTCTTCTCGGCCTATCTCGAATTCATGCGCTACCTCAAGAACATCTACGGCAAAGACGCAGACAGAGTAGCCAAAGACATGGGCATCCGCGCCCGAGAAGCCGCCATCGCCAGACACATCGACGACGACGATGACGACGACTCAAGCGACGACGACGACGACGACGACAAGCCCAAGAAAAAGGCAGCAGAGCCCCAACCGCCTCAAACTCTTCCTCCCGCCATCCCACTCCTCGACAACAAAATCCCCATCGCCGCAGCAGAAGCCAATCCCAGCCCAAACCTAGCCGCCCCCAGCCTCGCCACCACAAACGGATCACCAACGCCCTCCTCCTCAGCCGCCGCCGCCGCCGGACACTACCAACTATCTTCCGGCCAACCTCACGCCCCAAACCCTTACATGCTGCCCAACGGCTACCCAGCAGGCGGACCACCACCGCCCAGCTTCTTCCCCCCTTACATGAACATGATGTACACCCCTCAGGCATTCATTCATGGCCAGGCCCAATACCCAAACATGGCCTCCCAGCAACCACACGTACAGGCACAAGCACAGACGCAGGCGCAGGCGCAGACATCCTTGGCGCCAGGCACAGGCAGCCCTCCACAGATGCCTCAAATGACACCGCAGATGGCCGCTCAAATGGCTTTTCAAGGCTGGCCAAGCATGAATTGGCAAGGGATGCAAGGAGGGCCAATGGTATATCCCGGTATGGCCATGGGCAACGGCAGCGAGAACACCCCTCCAGTCTCCCAGCCTGGATCTTGATGCTGGAAAGAGAGCTGACTCGACTATTACCCATTTACTATTACTCCACTAACGAGATATATATAGCGGTCTACTATATAGAACTAGTTAAGATTCATTATCAGCGAAATGAGATGCTTTCACAGTAACAAATAATACCAAAGCCATGTCACACAAGCAATGCTCATGATTGGTTCATTTAAGAATACTATATTATCCTAATACGTAACTATACCAGCATAATCATAATAACAACTCCAAGCTCAATCCTCCAACAGAGTTATGCCCGCGTCTAGGACAAGAGCTCAACATTCAACCTCGTAATACTACCCACCTCTTCCACCAAGTCTATACTCAGAGTATCATCCATATGATCCTGCATCTGCTAAATGTCCCCCCGCACACGATGCCTCTTGCCATGGCAGCGCCGTACCGTCGTTGTCTTTGACACCACCAGCTCGCCACGCGTGTCGCTGATCGGGGCGCCATCAAAGAGGTTAAAATCTAGGGAACTCATCTCCGAGGACGAGTCCAGAGAAGGCAAAGAGTCAGTCATGATGACATCGCCATCAGCATCAACTTGTCTAATACTCCCGTCTCGTTGAGCAGCAGACCGCATGATAGGTGTCCGTCTCCCGATATCCAATACCCAAGTCTTAGCCCATCCTTCCGCGGCAAAGGCCCAGATTATCAAGTCTGGCGAAGAGTTTAGTGCAATTTCTGTAAGGTTCCCGCAAGTCGCCACCACATGTCCATGTATCTCCATTGGATAAACCGAGTTCTCCTCAAAAGGGTCGCTGAATATGTCGACGGGGCTGTATCTTGACTCGGAGCGTCCTGGTTCCCGATCTTCAGGAGAGTGATATCCCGTAGATCTAGCCTCAGAGTCTGCCCGACGCATATCGTAGAAGATATCCGGCGGAACTGTATAAAAAACAAGAAGCTGTTTCCCAGAGTCCCTATTATCAAATCTTCTTACGCCTATATCAGAAACCCCGAAAAATTCTTCTCGTCGTCGGGCCGCAAAGGTCGCGACGACACGAACACCATGTCTCGTATCAGCTCCAACAGCATACAATAGCGGTGCAGGTGAATACGCTTGTTGGGGAGGGCGAAACCAGATCTTACGAAGGAGACGAGTAAGAGAGCCTACAGGAGCATCAGACCCCAAACATAGGTTTCCAGTACGAGGGTCGGTAAAGAGGATATGGTAACCGTCACTCAACGGCACCGCACGAAAATGGTCGGCACTCGCAGCAGCCAGCCGCCGAATAGGGCTATCTTGTGGTACATTCGTACTCAAGAGATCTTCGTCCTGATCCACATCGACATCTTGGCTCGATCCGCTGGCCGCAAAAGGGATTCCATATTCACGCCGCGCATGCCAAGGCTCGGAATCCAGCGACGACACTATCGCTGTGCTCCCTGATCCCAATAGCGACGTGCTGAATCCGTGAAGAATTCCATCTAGTAGGTCCATAGGATTGCCCAGGCCAGCGGCTGAGCTGATCAGTCTCAGTTTCCTCGGTGTGTCTACTCCCCTTCGTGGCGGCAGGAAATAGAGAAAGTCGCTTGGAGATGTAAGTGGAAACCATCGACTGAGATTCTGGCCAGTCATGGCATCAACCCAGTGCAGCTCAATACCGGAACCACATCCAAAAGCCACGCATTTTCTCTGAGGGCAGATGGCAACTGCTCGCGGAGGATCATCTGGATGGCAGACATTGCGATATAGCGATCTCGGACCATCTTCTAGTGGCACAAGGTAACATACCAGTCGCTCTTGGCAAATGCATTGCGTCGACGATGATAAAGACATTACCGATACAGACGATACTCGAGATCCAGATCCAGATCCAGATCCAGATCCAGGTTCTGCTGCTGCCGTTGGTTCATTTGCCTTGGCCGAGCTCGACGCAGGACTCGAACTCCCCGTCCTCTCAGTCGTGATATCGCAAACCATCCCAACCCGGCCCTCCATCAGAAACGCCACAGAATATCTCTCAGAAGAAGTATCCATACTGCAAGAAATCACTCTCCTCGGACACAATATCCTTGCCACCGGACGCAGCAATCCCAGTGGCAGCCCCTGTCTGCGCCGAATCGGAAGCGACCACAGCAACCTCTCTGGAAAACACACATGATTCAGCTCATATATGTAAGCAATGCGGCCATGCACAGCCATCAAGAACCTGCCGCACAGGCTCACTGTAAAATTCATCGCTCCACGCATATCTCCCGGCATCGATCCAGGCACAGCAGCGCTGAAGTCTGTACAGCCAACTTCAACAAAGGCAGATTTCTCCAAGCTCAAGAGGCTGCATTCTCTCGAAAGCCACTTGCCCATGATACTCTCGCGACTTAGGTTCGACATTGGTGTAGATCTCATAGGTGATAGGATGCTCGTCATGCTGCTCCACCATCCTCCCTGCTTCAGCATGCTCGTAAGCAGCTTACGATCAAGAGATGCGAAATACTATACTCGACATGTATGTCTCGCTGAATTAAAATCCACCGGCAATAGGTGTTGGTACACCTGCTGGACTAATTCGACAGGAAGCTTCATGGCGGCAGAAATCTCTAATACCGGATCAGCAGCAGCACCACTTTGAGTGAAGCGCAACACCGTGGGCATCACTCACGAGGCTCCTCGTCTTCATCCCCGTATTCACCTCCATACACCATTTCCACGTCAGCCAGCTGCCCAGGAAGCGCATATATCCTCCTGTCGCCGCTTGTCACCAGTGCCACAACAGCTATTGCTTCGCCAGGCCTATTTGCAGGCCGTCGGGAAGTTCCATTCGATCTCGTTGACCGGGCTCCCGCAACACCTCTCGAGACAAAGATTTGAGAAGACGTTTTGCAGAGTTGCCTCCAGGGCAGGAGGCTTTTCTTTTCTAATTAAAGGATGATAGTTATGGAAGAAAAAAAAAGTGTACATGTATTTTTAGGACAGTCGTTCAGGCATAGAATGATGTTAAAAGTAAACGAGAGTTGACATCACATGAAGCGGGAAATGGCGATTCGGCGAATGATACGCATTCTTGTTAATATATCTTGAGCTCTCCTTCATCATTCATCTTCGCTCCTCCTCCGAATAAACGCGTCAGGAAAGAAAAGCGCTATCTAAATAAAGTAATCAATGGTATCGTTCTTGCCATATATATGAGAGGCAAAGAGCAAGGCATAAAATGTAATCGCGGCCAACGTAGAGAAAGAGAAAAAAAAAGCCATCGTGTATCAGTCATCAATCAATAACGCCCCCATGTGAGAATGAACAGCAATGAGAAAGAAAACAGCAGATGTCCCCCCCCATCATATTCACAGACCCCCATTCAATATGCATTCTGTCACAGATTATTTTCATCTCATCTTGTCTCATCTCATTTTGTCTCATCTTGTACTTCGGTCTCGTCCTGCTGCGTTCAGCCAAACATTATCTTCTCCAATGCCCAAGGAGCTGTCTGCGTTAGGCAACACCAAGGTCGGCTGGTCTTCAGACCCTTCTCCAGAGCCATCCTCAGACTCCTCATCTGTCATTGTGATCGGAGGCGGATCAGTGTAGACCCAAGCTTGCTGTAGACTAAAAGAACATGTTAGCCATAATACAATTACACAAAAACCAGAGATGGAATATGTTGCAGAAAATTACTTACGGGTCGATAAGACTTGGGTTCGTAAACGTCAAACCCTTCTCCTTAAGTTCATCCAACGTACTGCCTCTACGCAGCATTTCTCGTGATCGTGAGCGACTTGGGCTAGCGTCATCAGACTCCTCATCATCCACAACAGCTTGGTCTTCATCGGAGCCCTCATCAGATTTGATGGCTCGCAGAGCAATGTACTTCATCAACGGTACAAATCGCCTCTTGAAATAGTAGCTGTACCAAATCGAAAAGGGGATGAGAGGCATGATCGCCACAGACTGTACAAAGGCGGAGAGTGAAGCAATCTGTCCGACCATGACAATCTCAAAGACAATTAGTCCAATGACGATACGGTAGCATATTATCTGCCAGGCACCTCCAGTCGCATGCTGCGGCTGGTCCATCGCGTAGAGGAGCATGTGCTTGAATGTAAAATACCCGATGGAGAAATACAGGGTTCCAAACAGCAGGATAGCGAAGCCCCATCTCAAAACGGAGTATATGACGCAAAGGTTAAAAACGAGCAGAGAAGTTGGCAGATAAAACCCATATTGAAACAAGGGCGGCTTCTTAAGCGCGGCGTAGTCTCGCGGTGTCTGGGCCAGAAAGCGATTGATTGGGAAGAGAAACACGCTTCCAACTTCCAGAATTCGAAAAGGCATCAGGCCAATGCCTTGCAGCATGATGAAATTAATATAGAAGACGGACAAGTCCTCCACATCAGCCGCTATCGCTCTAGGGATCTTGCTCGTGTCTTTAAGAAAGTCTTGAAGTACGCTCCAGAAATCAAAACCGGTTCTTGAGACAGCAAAGACAAAGAAGGTGTTGAAGAAGGTGAAGAAGAAGTTCTTGGAGATTAGCGACAGTTCCACATCGCCATGGGATATCATTCCTTGACGGTTTGATAGAAATTCGTAGAGATAGGGAACAGCAACGTTAAGCAGCGAGACTACCAATGTAGGCAGACCGTTCTGAAACAACGAGTGAATGATGGCGTGGTCCTTGAGCCAGACGGAGAAGGATGGCAAGACTTTCTGGATAGTGCATATACTGAGCCAAGACGCAAGAAACGCCGTTGGGAAAATCCAGACAAGCGTCAGAATCGTGATGAATAGAGTAATCGTCCATGCTTTGATACGTCGCACTCCACGCGGCTCGTAAGTGTTTTTCCACACAATGTCAGAGGGTGACGGCGCAGCCTTAGTCAAGAATCGTCCTGGCCGGGGGTCAATTCGAGCTTGGACGATCAACTGGCATGACGCGACAGAGTCCATGGTCACAAGCACCATGTCGGTGGTGGCGTACTCCTTCTTGCGGGCCTCAATGACCTTTTCGTCAATCCTTCGAAGTTTCTCCTCGTAGTAGTCAATAGCATCGACCTTGCGGCTCCGCAATCCAAAGATTCCGTAGCGGATGGAGACTTGGGGTCGATCGCCTTCCGAGACGTGGGCCTGGCCGGAGCCGCCGCCTAGGAGCCGCCAATTCTCGCCAGACTCTTCATCGCCTTCGCTAATATGAGAATTGTTTCGCGGAGAATCGGTACGGCCATTTCGGGCATTCGCGGCCGTATACAGCTGCTGCTTTCGGTAGCGCGCCCAGGACAGCTCAAGCTTATGAAGGATCTGGTGTCTTTCTTCGACGATCTTATCCAGCGACTTCCAATTTCTGCATATTGACACAGTCTCGACCGTGCCAATGCGTAGCTTCTCAATGACGGCTCTAATGCGCGCTTCAGTTCTGAAATCAGTGGGGACGCCCGTAAGGCGAAATGTTCGGTCCGTGAGGGTCGACTGCGATCCCAGGTAGTCTTGCCTGTACCCAATGATGCGAAACGTCTCTTTATTAATAAAGTAGATTGTCAGCGCCACAAAGAAGTACGTGAAAAAGACGTAGGCCCATAAAAACGTCCTCTCCCGGCTCTTGTCTTTCTCTATCTTGTCTTCCAAGCCCATCGCAACAGAGCCCAAAGGCAGGCCAATGGGCCGATATAGGTCGTCCCAGTCGTCGGGGTCGTCACCAGTCGTGTGGTTTCCCCCCAGCAAAGGCTGGAAGTTGCGGTAGCTGTAGTTGATTGGCCACAGCACGACGAAGGCGAAGAAGGTCATGATGGCAAAGATGCGGGTGGCCATTTTGAAGAAGGTCAAGAACTGCACAGCAATGAATCGAATTAGCACCGGAAATATTTCGCTCCTCACATCTCCAACAGCACTCTGCCAACGTACCACAAACGCATCGAGTCCAGCCGACGCCAGAATCTGCTCCTCCGTCACCTTGTACAGCCTGGGGATCCATCCAAAAAAAGAGTCGGTCAGCGGCGGCAGGCCAATCGTGGGATCAAGGCGCCTCTTGCGCGCGGCGTAGAGAGTCGGCCATCGCGGGCGCAGAATCTGCAATGATTGCAAAGGCAGCGAATTAGTCTTGCGCGCGTCCAGCAGCAGCGCAGCAACCGTGGAATCGCCAAACTTACACAGAATGCGATAAAGGCCCCAATGCCCAGAATCAAGGACAGGACCAGCTGCACCTCGAGATCGCGCTCCGTCTTGGACGCCGGCCGGATGTAATCCTCGCCGTCGCACGTGTCGTTCTTATTGTCCCCGAGCATGATGCTGCATCGCCTCTGGCTGCGAGTTGCTGCGAAAAGGGGAAACCAGCGTTGGCGACCAGAAAAAGCAATGGCATGTTTAAGTCTTGTGACGTAGCTTTAGCTTAATGCATGATTTATGCACCTTGGAGCGCTAAGCGGCGAACTGTTTTATTTGTGGCGAAAAAAAGGCGTGGCAGACTGCACGGGCGATCACACCGCCGCCACCGCAGCCACCCAACTCGGGGCTTATAGCGGAGCTTATAGCAGAGCTTATAGCAGCTGGGGAGCTTATAGCCCCAGAGCTCATCGCTAACCCGCGGCTTCTACAGTGCCTAACCTGGAACGTCAGAACGAACCTGCAGTGATGCTGCTTTGTCAATCACGTTGATGAACAGCTTTCAAGAGGTTTTTTCACTTCATTTAAAAAAAATAAAAATAGCATTAACAAATACATCCATATCCCTGTCCCCTGTCTGAGACTAACAGGCTTCTCCTCAATTCGACGTGGCACCATGTCCTGCTATTCCAGCATTTTAGCGTCAGGCTCCTATCTCTATGCCCAAACATCGACATCAAGACCCCCAATGGCCCAGCTAGGAAAGTAGCAGTAATGGACATGATTCCAACCAGACAGGCGCCGATATAGGACAACGTCCCCCGCATTGTCAATTATCTAGCACGCAGGAAGCGTCAATCGTCATTACCAAGCATTTAGAGCTTGTGATTAAGAGCGTCAAGCTCGAGCTACTCAATACATGGAGCTCACACGTTTGGACCGTCAAGTTGTGGTGGATAATGAACACAATGCTCACGAGTCATGCTCACTATGTATTAACCAATAATTATGAATCCTCGGATTGTTCATCGTAGAGATCCATTTCACCGTCGTTTGTGAATACTGGGGCTCAAGCTATCATCATCTCAAGCAAAGCCATTTATTCCACCTTGCGTTCACTTACGCCGTTTGGTGCATGGCCCCATAGTAAATGTAGATAGCGGCCACTCGCCCACTTACACACACTCTTCATCAAGCCTAATATATCATAGACAATTAGAAGTTATTAGGAAATCTATGGCTACATGTCTTCGTGAATCGTCAAATGCCGTCATCGTAACTAGCCAGAGTCTTCACAATATTCCTCGTTTAAAGATGCGCACACCGCGCGATAGCACCGACAACTATCCGATGTGTCACGGCCGCTTCTTGGTCTATTATAAAGTCCCGTACTGTATCAAGCATCTTCATCGTACGTAACGTTGCCTCAAGACCGACGCAGCTTCAGCATCGCCAGAGACTCGAGGACAATCTAGCGGTGGTCGCCGAAGCCATTGCGGCCCGACCACGTGAAAACGAGACTAAACAACATAAAGTCCATGTTGTGATACCTTCCGAGTATATCCTTCAGGTTTCCTTTGCTTGGGTCGAAGCACGAGTCCATAAGTGCTTGCTATGCCAAAGGTAAAAGGCGAAAGTGGCATCGTCTAGATGTCCTACGACACCCATTCGAGTAACGTCGTGGCATGTCGATGGCATTTCAGCTGCCAAGCTTAGGCATGGATTATTTAAACACCATGTGAGAGCATGTTCCTGAGGTGTTACGGAGTACAACACATTAAGATCATCAAGGGACTTCAAAGAAACCCTGAACATCGACACCCCTTATCGTTATACTAAGCGTGAATAGTAACAGGCTTCCAATGCGCCATTGGATCATCCAGCTGGCTAATTTGGTATAAGCTGTAAGACGCTGGAGAGTGTGATATTCTTTGAAAATTACAGACATAGCACCAGGCTTCAACAACTCACCGGATAAGACTTTTTTTTTCTTTTCTCTTTTTCTGTGTTGGCATAGTATGAGACCGCGTCATGCGTCAGACGTTCTGAGACAGTGTAAGACCCGGAAGAGGTTCCGAAGATGTTGGGTTGTTTCACACCTGAAGAAGAAATCGATCGTGCTTATCGCATCCTAACTATACATATCATACCTTTGGGAAGACCACGTCATCCTTGTCATATACGTGCCGTCCTTGTTCCTTGTTTAAAGCTGCCCATCTATGAGAAAAGCTTCAAGAGGCTCACAACCAACGTTATGGAACATTACCCTGAAGAGTCGCATGTAAGGCTCTAGATTTTGATTCGATTTATGAACTACACAAGTTTACAGTTATGGAAATTCGAGCGAACACATAACAGTAACATCTCACTTGTTAGTGAATACGAGTGAAATGCCACTAGACTTGGTAACATTCGTCGTGCTCCAATCGTAGTAGGAAGACAGCGTGTAGTAATGAAAGCGCGCCTGTGGTGACTCTCAGAGTTGGGTTGTCCGCTTCCGTTACCGAGACGACCTGCTTATACAAATAAAAGATCATCCGGATAGTTCAAAACTCGGAAGCAAGACTCGAAGCTATGGCCCAGTCTGGGCAAATCGTGGCTTAGCGTTTGAGTGCCCCTGCGTTAGTGCAGTACGACCATCCAACCGTTTATGAGATGCTCTGATAGGGAAATTCTATACAAGCGCTGGCGAGATGAAGAATTTTTGTCAGATGCTGTGCTCCGGATGACGCTGACGCCCCCTTGCCGTGAAGAATAGGTACACTGTTAAAATGTGCCACCCTGTCAGACAGACCTACAAGATTTCGTCGGAGAGAGGTCGTATAGTTTTAGTACCCCTCTCGTAATGATGAAAATAATGGCATAACTTAGCCTTCAATACTCCTAGAGCTTTGTGGCTGCAAAAACCAACTACTCGACGTTACTTTAAGCAATTAAGATTGTGGGTTAAAGTTATATGAATGTGCAGCCAAAGGTTACCTCTACCCAACGAGAGATAGGTAACAAAACGATAACGAGGTCGGCGTGTCCGTCGTACATCACGCCATATCATAGGTGGCTAAGAGGAGGCCTCATCACGAACAGCCACCGATATTGCAATCTTATAGCCGTATTGTTACTCATTAGGGAGCTTTGTTAGACAATTGCCAGCTAGGCTGTTTAGAGATACCAGTTAGACCATGTCTGTACTTTCGTAAGAGAGCAAAGGGCGGTAAGGACGAGGGAATAGACAACACATACATTTATAATCTTTCTCTTGCAGATTCGATGCTTCTATTGCACGCTGCAGCCGCCCGTTGCAACATGTCTCAATATTATGCTCATCTAAACACGTCATTGAGAGTACACGTTCCTGAAGTAGCGAATGGCGCTTCCCAAAGAGACTTTTATCCCCTTTGTCATCTATTCATGTTGTGGTGTAGAACACATGGCAACGAAGACGGTGTCTGAGCGAAAGAAACCTAGGCTGCGAAAGTCTCCAACAATGGACTTTTGCGAACTGGTGACTTGAAAGTTTTACGCAGGTCAGAACTGGCCCGTCTGCATAGGTAAGACTGCCTGGGATAGCTGTTGGAGCCCAGTTGTTGAGTCATCTCACGAAAGTTCTCAGCTACTCTCAAGTCGACTGTGGTCCTAGGTATCCTCCATGCCAAGTCTTTACACAAATGGGTTTTGCCTCATCGTTCGACTAACGATAGACTGCATGCCTGAGACATGATGCTGTTCCGATCCCGCACGATCCCGGTAAAACAACATACTGTACGAAGTAGACACGGCCATACTCATGCTGTGTATCTGTAAGTCGAATGATAAGAATAGCAGTACAAACTAGCTTCGTGAATGCTGGCTCATCGCTAACGAATAATAAAAATACATAGGTACCTCGCACACGCGTCCATGATGGGTTGTGCGGTGAACTGGACAAGATATGATATTCTAGGATTGATTGGCTTGTGTGAGGTCCTTTTGGCCAGCTGAGAACTACAGCAACGAGATTTTAGAAGCGTTTCTTGAGGAGTATAAAGCATCCTAATACCCCTGAGACATGGTGCTTTGTGTTCACAATAGTCTGCTGGACAGTAAACACTCGTCGATAGCTGCAACTGAGACAGAGTCACAAAATTATATCGACCGATTTCACACAATACGACATGCAACAACAAGACGATACTTCGAACAGCACCGCCTCTGGGCAGGTAGGGCCTCAAGTGAAGATTAAGCCCAGTGGATCTCCTCCCAAAGCAGGCAAGATAAGCGACCTCAAAATGGTTGAGGAGAGTGCTAAGAAGAATCATGCATAGCCACCTCCCAAGTGCCGTATGTGATCCAGCGGTTCACAGCAGAAAGCGGCCCCTGGCTCGCGCCTGGGGTAGTCGTCGGCATTGTCAAGAGCAGCCACAAGGCCCGAGACGACGACGACAGATCAACGGTAGCCACTCAAGGTTCCGGTAAATAACCTGTAGAATAATCTTGGGGGCAGAGGCGAGCCGGGACTGTATACGGACAGGTCGAGCACCAGCCGCCTTTAAAAGGGTTTGGAGCAGGTTCCAGGAGTCGGCAGTCTTTTGGTAGAGCGCTGACTTCTGTATGAAACATGGAGAGCTGAGGCGGAGCACATGACGAGACTTGGCTAGGATATCAAAAAAATATCGCTTTGAAAGTTGCATTCGCCGCCAATACACGCTGTTTTCCTTGGCACAGACTCGTATATGCGCGCAGTAGCAGCAGCATCACGGTAGAGTTTGCTGTCCATAATGGCCTGTCATGCCTTGTAAGCCGGACGTGGCTGCTGAGGGATGGGATCGGCACAAGGCCGACTATTGCACCGAGCAGCGACGGGATGCATGGACTGGGCTATTAGTGCTATTCTCTTTCCCCGCTTCTGACAGATGGGAGCGGAGACTCGACGTTTTCTACATGTCGAAGAGGCATCCATGCGATCCACAGGCAGTTGATGATGACGAGACGCTCAAACCGTAGACGTGATGGAGCTGTAACGAACTCACACACGGCGCTCCATGGCCGTAGAAAGACGATCGCCACGGCAGCCATATCCGATGAAACTTCTGTTCTCCATAGCAGAGCCCGGCAGCAGCGGCGCGAACACGAGCACGAGGCTAGAAACAGAACAATAACGCATGGATAGTCTCGGGCGGCGGGCCCAGCAATTGCTCAGCCCCCTGTTTCGGAGATCAGAAGCCGCGGCGCAGGGGCCCAAGGAGAGGGAGAGGAGCAGCAAGCAGAGGCCGTGTCATACATAGTACATAGTAGGTACGATAGGCGATCGATGGCGCTGGATCTGCAAGCGTGCAAATGACTTTGTGTAGCTGCATGTAGCAGAGAAAGCTGGATGTGGCTGGAACTGGGCGATGAGAAGAGCAGGATGCTGTAAGAGAGACGTCTTGATCATGGCCTGTTGCCGCCAGCCGTATGAGCTGCATGTGCTGGAGCCCGCATGTCCGAAGTACCGAAAACAAAGGGCAAGGTACTGATACTACGTTTTGCCAAGTGCAGCCTTACCGCTGAATGACGTCCCGGGACTGTAAAGGAGAAGGGACAAAAACAACAAATCCATTTTCCAGGGTCCAATACACCTGCGACAGGGGGCCACTGCACCGGATACCGGAGTTGGGTTGAAACAAACTACGCAAGACGAGGAAGAAGTTGGAGATGGATGATCTTAGTGCTTAATAGAGATATTTGCCCTATTTACCTGCTAGGAATGCATTTAGAGGCGTTGTGCGCATGCGTTTCTCAAAGTTCTCTCCATCGACTCCCAATCATCTCGTATTGCACATGCCTTGTACCGGTACAAGAGCCCGCTGTAGCAGCGACCTGCCCTTTTTAGCCGCCGCCTTCTCCGCATTGGCCTAATTCTAGAACAGCCAGCCAATGCAGCTAAGATATATTGCTGGGTCGTATTGACACTTGATGGATCGATCATGGGATGAATGACACTCACATTCGCACCGGAGAGAGGAAGAGAGCCTGGCTGATGCGTGAGCAGCTGGAAATATCTCCATTTACAGCACAGTACACCTATACTCAGCAATAGAGTAGTAGTAGTAATATTAAAATCCCCAGCCGTTGTTCGTAAATCACTAGCTTCGCCTTGCCAAATCAGGTAGCCGCTTTCAACAACATGAATGCATTCTTCATCTCAATCCCTGCCAATCAAACAGGCCGCTTCCGTCGTTGCGCCATCCCCCATCCATCCTGCTCCCGCCCACCCCAGCGCCGGATTCCCGCTGACGCGCGCTGAATACGGGATTCTACAGGCCCTCGTCGCTCCCGATGGGGCCCCTCTTGGCGCCTGTAGGCTGTGCCAGTTGAGCTGCAGCAGCGACGAATGCACCACTAATCAGGCCTGGATCCCTCCTGCTGGGCGTCGCGCACGCTGCATTCCAGACCATTTTCCCCAAAGTCCACCCATCCATTCTCTCTTTTTTTTTTTTGTTCATTCTCCCTCGTCAGCTCTCACGATCTCGCCTTTCTTGCTTCGAATCCCGCCAACTTCGCGTCCATCGCTCGGCTGCCCTTTTCGCGTTCGGTCGCATTTCCTCTCGCTACGTTTTTCGACTTCTTGTTTTATTTGCTTGTCTCGGCTCCTCGTGCCATTTCCCGGCCCTCCCGATACTACGTCTGCGCAAAGACCTCTTCTAGCCAGACTACGCACTCGCTCTCGCTTTAGTCAGCTCTCTCAGGCGACTCTCCCCCGATCAAAGACGACAACGACTGCAGAAAAGAAACATACGAAAAATACGAAGATACAAGGCGAAGATCACGAATCGCTCGGCGTTTTTGCGCATTACAAACGGCTATTTTTGACAGCTGTCGCCTTGCGCACATCCACGGAACTTGCAACATCGGCCGTGACCGAGTGACCCACGGGTGTTTGGTCAAGCGCCCTGCCTGAAACAACAAAAAAAAAAAATCAATAGCATCCATCTTTCTCTCGCTTCTTCCATTTCTTCTGAATTGGCGCAGGCGTCAAGATTTTATTTCGCATCAACTTCACCCTTCTCCGTCTCGGATTCTTCTCAGTAAATACTTGCCTTAATTACTCCTTTCTATCGTCATCATGGGTAAGCCCCCTCAAGTCGGCCTCCCGAGCGGCCCGTAGTCTAACCACGATTCACTACAGCGAATCAATTGCCAATCACCACCATCGTGCCTTTTGGCAACATCCAAAAACTGCCTGCCTGTGCCGCTGCTTGCGGCCATCTCTACGATGCCAATGGCGCATGTGTTCCTCCCGCCGTGCCCAGCAACAGTCCCGCCGTCTACACGTCATGCTTCTGCTTCGACTCTCGACTTGCGCCCTTTTCGACGACAACCGCCGGCGTTTGCGACGATGCCTGTACCGCGAATCCTAGCGGCCTGGCATCCATCACCAACTGGTATCACAGCGTTTGCAACATCCAGAAAGGAGTAGCTCCCTCCACGACTGCCTCGACCTCAAGTACTTCGACCAGCACGGGTATTCCTTTCCAATCACACCCGGCTAGCGGCGACTGGTAGGCTCTTCCTATCCTTCTACCTCTTCGTCTTTCGTATACTAACTCTCCATTCTCCAGGATCTCCAACCACTGGCAATGGGTTGTGATGCTAGTCATTCTCGTCGTTGGCATCGCCGGCATCTGGATAGGCGCATGCATCTGGCGCCGTCGCTACCTCCGTAACCGCGAGCTTCGAAAACAAGCTGGCGCCACCGACTCCTGGGGCTCCGGTGTCCCTGCCGCTGACGCCGCCGCCGGCGGTATTCCCATGACCTATCAGGACAAGTCGAACGCGACGCCAAGCCTACCTACCTTTACGTCGACGTCCGAGAAGCGCAACACGACGACCAAGCTGTGGCCATTCAGCAGCAATCGATCATGATATGAAAAAAAAAAAGGACGTGACAAGAAAAAAAATAGAGCTAAAGGAAAATGAAAATAAAAGCGATGGATGAAACCCAATGTTATAGGAGCCTAATTCAAGACGAAGCACTACGACTACGGCATCGACTGCTTGCGACTTTATTCTTCTTCCAATCCTTCATACAAATACCGCCTTATTTACACATCTGCTACGACAAAAATTATTTATCCTTTCTTTGCCGCTCCCTCAACATCTCCATCAATAGGCGATCCTTTATGTTTTACCATTTTCACCTCTTTTCCGGCTCTATCACTATCCTGTCATTGTTATTTGGTGCCTTTTTTTCTTCCTTTTTTGGATTTGGCGTTAGCTGTGTTGATATTTTTTGTTGGGATATTATCATGTCTTCTTACAAGGTGGAGAAATTAGAGTTTGGGGGGGGGGGGGCGAAACGAGGATTTCATCATTTTTCTCTCAATACGAAGTCCCTTGCTTCTATACGAAGGGGGGATATTGGAGAATTAAGAGAGGGGAGCAGTGAGCTAGAAATACGTCATTCATCAATCGACGTGGCCTTTCTATGCCTGTACTTGGCAGTACATTCCTTGTGCTCGAATCAAAATAAAATGCACCCTCTTTTTTTTTTCCCCCTTCGTATTACCATGTTGTGTACTTTGTGATAACGTCCAAAAATGCTTCTCTTTTTTTCTACATACATATGTTGTACTAATGTCATGTACTCGTGAATTTTTTGTCATATCATCCGTCTATGTAATAAACAAAAAGTCATCCATTCATTGCTTCAAAGCTTCCTGCTCTTCCATAGCATCCATGTATAGGTCAATGAGGCAGCCAGCAGACCATGCCTGCGTTGGGCTCTAAAACCAGATAGTCAGTATAAGCATCAAAAAAAGGGGGCGGGTTTGAAGGTATGATGATTTCATGCGCTAGAGGAAAGGGGAAAGAAGATCTTTAAAAAAAAAAAAAACTCACAGAATCAGGACAGTGCTCTCCATTCTTTTGCGTAAGCTCTGTCAGACCCGCCCACGGGCTTTCCCGAATCATCCGCTTGCACTCAGCCAGTCTTCTAGTCACTTGCTGGAATGCCTCAGTCCTGCCGGCGGGAGTCTTTCTCCGCTGAAGATCAAACTTCAGCAGTGCGCGGAGGAAGAAACCCGTTGGCCACAGCCACTCTGGTCCCTGGTGGTAGTTTCGGCCCTTGCTTGTTGCGAAATCGTGGCTGTCTTCGCTGTTGCGGTAGTATGGACGGTAGTCCTTGTCTGCTGGATCCAAGGTCGCCATACCTGTAGGTCCTCGGATCGCCGAATCTGCAAGACATAGAGCCTGCCATGCATGCTTGGGGTCGAAAAGATCTGTTGCCACAGTCATGGCAATCGCGAAATTTGGCCGAAGCTGGTAATCTTCATGCTCCTTTCCAGACTTGTACAGGTCCTTATAAACACCTCTGCGACCAATAACACTGGGGTTAACATCATACTTTGCATCCTCTTCAGGAGTGTGAGGTACGTAGTAGCACTTCTCAAAGTTGGCTTTGATGAGATCGGCCCATTGCGTCCATGAGACAGGCTTGTCCTCGGCGGTCTTGACGCCCGATTGAGCAAAATTTCCTTGCTTGTGAAGTTGCTCTACCCATCTCAAAGCGCTATAAAGAAGACCCGTGATTTCAATGGCAGCACCATCGCGAGGAGTGCCAGGAACACCCTTGGACCCAGCCTTGTCACTCTCGCCCATCTTGTCCATCCAAGTGCCACAGTTGAACTGGTTGCCGCCAAAGATAAGTCCATTGTCCCAGTCGACCTTGATCTCTTGGTTGAAGCCTTCGTCTCTCATCTGTGAGTCGATTTGAGGTCCGGCATTTGCCTCGCGATACTTCATTCCCGAGGCGTGCCTTTGGAGAGCCTCCTGTATAATCTCCTCGACCGTACTCTCCTTGGAGTAGGTTCGCGGGTCGTCTACAGGGAACCAAGTATCATCATATGGTAGAAAGCGTCGCCTTACCTTTACCTTGAGCAAATCGAGCCCCTCTGGTGCAAGGCGAGTATAATCTTGAATAGCCTGGAGGAAGAACCACACTGAATCTCGCGAGTTGTATCGTGGTGCAGCGCCGCTGCTCAAAAGATTTGGAATCATGCCGTGCTTCAAAACGCTAGCAAATGCAAGGATATGCTCCTTCGCTTCAGCAAAGCGGCTAGTTCCGAGGTACAATCCCCGAATAGAGATGAAGACGTCCCGGCCCCAGCATCTGGCCCATTGCACGGCGAAGTGCGGGAGGCCAGCGGCAATTGAAGGTACCTGCTTATCTGGCCACAGGGAGGCAGACTTGATAAGTCCAGTTTGCTGTACGCTAACCATAGCGAGGCTGCTGAGGAACCATTGACCCTTGGCAACATGGTCGTTCATTAGCTCCAATGCTCGATCACAACTAGCTCTGTATGCGGTGCGGATGGCAAGTGCGAAATATCGGGGTAGTAAGAAGCTTGGAATAGCCCTGACGGCTTCGAACCGTTCTCGAAGCCAGGCTGCAGGTCCCGAGAGGCCTTCGCTGCCCGGCGAGTGGCTCTGCTTTTGAATTCGGCCCACAATGTAATCTAGAGCCCAAGAACCGTCTCGCAGGTTTTGGCAGATTGGATGCCCGAGGTTATTGTCGCGAATTACTCCTTCAAGAATGCTCCACCATCCTTGGAGACCAGAATAAACGAGCTTTCCATGGCCGGGAATATCATATACTCCGTCCTGCCCGTCGCTGGCATCCCTCTCCTCTGCCTCACAGCGGTACAGCAAAAAGTTGAGATCAATCAGATTCAGATTAGCCCACGCCTGTTTGGCACCAGAAGTTACGTAGTTATCCAAACCAGTAGAGTGCTCTGCAGTTGGAATCCAGGTTTCGAAGAGGGCAATGCTGCCAGGAGGGAACTTGTCGCGAACTGAGATGGTAGTATCTTGGCCGTGGTACTCCATCTTGATTCCAGGAACATCCACAACCTGACTGGGAAGACCTCGAAGGAATTTAGTATCTTCCAGAACGGTTTTGACCGTCTCTTCTCTGTCGTCAACCTCGAGCATCCAGCTACCCAGATGGTTGGCTCGGGTTCCTGTCAGAAGAACTGGGTTGAATTCTCCTCTTCCATTGCCGTATCCTGGGAACGCAGTGTGGGCAATGAGGAAGTAACCCTTTCTGGATTCTGGATGCACCCTGTGTACAGTGATGTATTCGCCTTCATGGTGAATATGGGTTTCGTTATAGCCATCTTTACCCATCAGGGTGTGAATCTGGTTCAGGAGCTTCTTGATACTAGCAATGCCTCCCTTTCCTCTCCCAATCTTGATTGATGAAGTTCTCGAGGCTTCAGACGTGTAGTGACGCTTCTCGTTTACGAGATCAACCAGTCTTGGATAAATTTCATCATAGCCCATGACACTTCCCGTTGCGCTAGAGCACATGCTGACGAGAGCAGCGTTGGGCAGCGTATCTCGCGCATCGCGCTTCTGAGCGGGTGGCTCGTTATCGTGAGTGCAGTCCATGAATAAGGCGTGGACTGGCGAGGGTCTAATCCTCCTAATAACCTCTCTTGTAAGATCTGTACTTCCCTTTACATCTGATGGCGTAGTCACATCAGACTTTGAGATATCATCAACCTCAAAGCTACCTATAGGGCGGCCACCGTGTCTGTGAACAAGCCTGCTGAGCTCTCCCGTGCTCCATGCCTGCATGGCTTCTCGAATGAGTGAGCTGATACCGAGTCGTTTCACAAACACATAGTCCATCTCCTCAGACCCAGTAAAGAGCTCGGCAACGACGTAAAGGTTTGGTCGAACTCTTCTTGCCTCGTCCAAAATGTGCTCCGCAACGTGAATGGGGGTTGAATGGCAGTTGTCGATACGGAAGCCTGCAAAATACTTGGCCAGCATCCGGGCATATTTTGTCATATGATCCCATAGCCACGGGCTGTCCTCCGGGCCAGCTCCATATCTGAGTTTGACGCAATCTCCCCAGACAATGACTTCTCGTTTCAGGTACACGCGAGAATCCGGGCCAGCATTGTCTACTAACGCATTACCACCCCATACCCAGCCGTTATTGGCCAGAGCTCTTTCTCCTGGAGTGAGCTTCGAGGTTGTTTCGTTGACTGGTAGTCGAGAAAAGTATGTCTCAATGAGGGGGTTGGCCTCGTTAATCGGACCCAGCTTCGGCCCATGGTCGTCTAGGCGAACGTACTTGATGCGATTGAAGAGTTGTTCTAGAATTTGGTTTAGGTCTTTATCGTATTCCGCATAAAAGTCAACATTGATAGCGTCCAGAATCTCGACCGCCTTGGCCTTGGCAGCTGCTTTGTCGGCCGACTGAGTAGCTTCGCCTTCGTATCGGCCAAAGTGAAACGCCAACGAGGTGGCTGCAACACTGGGCTCGATTCTTCGCCTGAATCGTTCTCCCAGACGGTCTGTGCCTCTGAGAGCATACTCTTTGATAAAGGCTACATGATCGCCGAGTCCTGCCGTCTTGAGGTGTTCGAAGTCGTTTATTGTAGCAGAACCGTTTAGAGGAGGGGAGGTCTTGCCACTGATCCAAGCCTCTACGATTTGGTCGGCGTCTCGTTCGACATTGATGGCATAATACTCCCATAGCTGAAGCTCAAGGATCACATGCTTCTTGATTCCTTCCATAACCTCCAAAAGGTCCTCTGTGTTCTTGATATCGACAGGCAGTCCCAAAGACTCGAGCTTGCCGCTCAGCTCTAGCAGCTTTGTATCAAGCTCATAGGCAGATTCCAGCCACGGGGCTGTGGTCAAATTGTAGCCCGCCTCGGGATGCTCCTCTAGCCACTTTGTGTTGTGTGCAGTGTGATTGAGGACAATGTCTGTCAAGCTCAGCAGAGAGTACTTTTGTTCAAGATGCTCGACCAATTGCTCGATATCTTTGACGCCCTTGGGGAAACAGGCGGGATCCCAGCCCAGTTGGTCATACAAGCTGTAGGGGGAGTTTGAGCTGCCACGAATCTGCAGAGGCGTGAAGTGCACCATGTTGTATCCCCTCTCGCTGATGCCCCGCAGGTGCCGCTCCCAATCGCCAGGGAAGCGGCCCATGAGCTTGCTGATGATGGAGAAGAGCGACAGCGCAGGAAGGGGCAATGGACGCCCATCCAGCTTGAGGCGAGGGGCTACATCGATATAGTACACCGAGGTTTTTTTCAGCGCTTCTTCCTTGTCGGCCGACTTTGGAACGTCGTCGGGGTCGAGGTTCGGCAGCGGGGCATAGGTGGTGTAAAAGGCAAAGACGCCGGACTCGTAGATGGGGATGGAGATTTCGAGAGTGCGGTTGAAGTCGGGAGTCAGCCTGCAGCGCAGCATCGTTAGCGACATGCCCATTGCCATTGCATTGCCCACGCAGCACCGCAGATATTGCCTCTCCCGCTCTACTCACTTGTACTCGCGGAACTTGTCGCGCCTGAACTCGGCCCCCTGCTCGGGGATGTTGACCCAAAGGCTGCCGTTGCGGCAGATGGACGACGTGCCCTCGATGGCAAATCTGATGGTGATTGGGTCATCGCCGTTGGGATCGAGGTAGATGTACTCGCCCGCGACCTGCGGCGAGCCGTCGTCGTTGAGCGGCAGCAGATAAACCTCCTTGGTCGTCATGATTCCTGGGCTCATGGCGGAAACAAGAGCGGCGGCCCAAAGGCGTTGCCCCGCGGTTTTGTAGCTACAGTGGCGTTAGCGGACCCAAGCCCAAGCAGCGCTCTGTAATCGGCGCTGCTGCTGCGTGTCTGCAGGGATGTGTGGCGGCTGTCGATCCGCTGTGCTAGGGCGCTATTGAGCTGGGCTCTAATACGTAGACGATGGAGATTGCGAGTGTCAAGCGAGCAAGCAGCCGGGCCTTTTGTCTTTTACAGCTTCTCCCCTTGGGGCTGGATGGGCAGAAAGAGAGAGAGAAAGGAAGAATCGCGTCTAGCTGCTTTTTCCCGCAAGCGAGCCCGAGCAGCTGCTGGTTGGCCGGCACATGGTGTGATGGCCTGGACTGCTAATAGCTATCTGCGTCGGCCTAGGACGGTGCAGGCGCTGCTCTGGAGTGGCGCTGGGTTGAAGCCACCAGGAACCACCCGGCAGGCCAGGAAATGTCATCAACAGCGGCCAGGGCGAGGGGCAGCGTCTGGCCGTGGGCGGCGCTAAGTGGCCGTTTCTTCTAGATGCCCCTTCGCTGGGGCTTGCGTTGCGCACGGCCAGCCAGTCAGACGCACAACATCGGGCGATGATGCTGGAGTAACGAGATGTCAATGCAATCATGATGCTATTCTACGCGCTACTGGGTAGCACATGTGGCTCGGCGCTGCTGGGGTAGTGCCTTGCTCTCTGCTGCCCCTTTTTGCGAACAGACGCAGACTGTCAGGCGCTGCATCAGCTTATTATGCCGGGCTCTCTTTGTTGCTAGAGCTGGTTACAACAACGTGAAAGGAAACGGATGGCCTCCATGTGGTGGCTTGGATAGTGAGTGGCAGCCACGGCGTCTTCGGGAGCTAATAAAAACCCAAGCTGAGCTCCCAATCCATGCCTCCCCGCTACATATTGGCGTCGAGCTTGGCTAAGCTTGCCACTCGCTCCCCGATGCGCATTATAAACTACCACCAATTGCGCATACCGCAATTGATTCTCAACTGCCTCACTTTTCTATATTGAACCCTCCTCAAATATTTTAAATGGCGATTGTGCAGCTCCCGCTTCATTTTCAGGCACGGTTGAAGCTCTTCAAAAACCGTTTGACAACCCCCGCTATGATATATCAATGACGTCACTAGAGACGCCTTAGTCTACAGCAGCGCCGCCCTATGTCGCTTACAAGTACATATAATTATCTACTAACCCTTCCAGAGCTTGCTTACCTGATATCCGTTAGGCACTAGAGGCATCGCATACCATACCATACTTGCACCACACGCACATCGTCAATTATGTGTCTCACAGAAGCATCTGTATCAATTCCACATGCGCGCCACGCGGCAGTTAGGGCACAATAGCCAACCAAAGAGTTGCTTTCTTCAAGCATAAACGGCAGATGAATGCATTGCTACCTGCAGTATCCATACACGAATCAGCCAATCAGCCCCTCCAGTTGTTGCAACTCTGTCAACATCGCCATTATCCGCTCCCCTGATGCCCAAGCCAAGCAGCTGCAATCCTGATCGGATAACTGTTCAGTGGCCTGGCAGTGGACGTCCACTAACTTCTGCAATCCTGCGAGGGCCGAATCCTGCCTCAGCCATCTCAATCGCCAACTTGGTAGCTTCATCAAAGTCCTCCTTGGGCAGCCCCAGAGCGTCATTGGCCAGACCATACTTTTCTTCAAAGTTGCAGTCTCCGTTGGGGTAAAATGCTCGAGAATACATGGCCATGCCAAAGCCAATAAAGTTTCCAGCCTGCATCATCTCCAACGCTCTCTTGTAGCGAGCATCTGATGCCTCGTAATCGATCTCCCAATCACTGTCCTTTGTACCGAGGTTCCGGTTGATGCTGTCCAGCATGTCTCTTTGGGAAACAAGGAAGCTGGAAACATAGAGGGGCTTGTTTCTCCATTGGGAGACGGTCGGTGATTGGTCGTTCTCGTCGTCGGGCAGCTCCTTTAGGCTGAGAAGCTGTGCTGCAGCCCTGCCGCATTGTCTCCAGGTCGATGTGTTGATGCGCGTCTTGCCCTCGTCGTAGAAAGTGACCTTTTTGTTTGGGATGTCGAAGCCATAGAACGGTTGGCCCATGGAAAGCGAGTATTCATACCAGAAGCTGCATGACATGAAGATCCAGGATAGGCCGGCCTTCTCTACGGCAGCGACTCCGGCGGCGGTGCTGTCAGTCATCGACTCTTTCATCAACTTCTTGTTAGCAAAGTCGGCGCCGTAAGAGTTAGGCATGATCCAGGGCACGCCAGCCTTGGCAGCCGCGGCAATGAGCTTTTCTTGGGCGTCTTTGGGAGCTGTCACAGCCATAGAAATGAAGAAAAACTGATGCCCTTTGAGGCCGTCGACTAGAGACTGCTCATCATCATAGTCCACTTGAACGACCTTGACGCCCTGAGGAAGCTGGCTCTGGCTCCCAACGCGAGTCAGGGCAGTAACGGTGTGTTTTCCAGTTTTAAGAAGCTCCTCAGCAATGTGTTTGCCAACTTGGCCTCCAGCCTATTGGACATTCTTTTGTTAGCAAATAATGCGGCGTGCTGCAGAGCAGAGATGTGCTGCAAGACTTACTCCCACAATGGCCACACGCTCGATGCGGTTGGTGAAGCCTGCAGGCTGGTCTTTGGCGTACTTGATTGACATTGCGGCTAAATTCCGGTTTTATTGACACAGTTTGAATATTCAAAGTCGTTGAGGAGATGTCTTTGTTGCTTGAAGCTGTGTCTTTTCTTTGTCGATGAGATATCCTTCCAACAATGAATGATATTCTCTTCACTTATATACATTTTCACCGCGCCATATTCTCAACCCCCTTCTCTCTCTATCTCCATTATCCGCGAGATTCGCTGCTCATCGCACAGAGACGGTGCCTATCCCCGACATTCGTAAGTCGATCATCAGGCACATCTCCAGCTGGGCGGGTTTCGATATTTCCCGAAACAGCAATCCCATCGCGCTATCGACACCGATGTCGAGCTAGCTGCGGCAGGCTGCCGAATCACTGATCGCCAGAATACGAAACAAGGCTAGTGTGTTTGAGCCTGCGGCTACAAGGTTACTAATCTCCGAGGCGTAGCTTGCTTATATAACCTCAACTCCGGGCTTTCTAGAGGCACGAACTGCGCAATCCTCGAGGCGCCACAGGTTCGTAGGATTCGCTCGGACTTTCTCGGATGTCCTGAAATGCCGTATCTCGTCGGTGATTTGCAGTGTCGTGTCTTATTGAGAACGGCATATTCTAGACGGCTTATTGAGGAGCTCAATGGAACGAGCAAAAGTGGACGCATGAAGGAATCTAACACAAATTTTCACCAAACACGATTGCAAAATCAGGGATGTGATTGAACAATATAAAAAAAAAAAATGAGTTCCGCTCGTACTCTCTCTGCTGCTAATAACGCTGCGTATATGTGGTGACATATTAGTGCGCAAAATCTCTATTGCGTCGGTGTTGAGTAGTTCGAGACACTGCTAGATTCTTATTGTGAGACACTTTTGTAAGCAATTAAGACTGCTAGCTTTTCCTCTGCAATTACAAACTCAAGCATTTACAAACCTCTAGTGGCCCATGCCTTTCCAATTCTCCAATGGTGGTTTTACCCGAGACATCAACTGCCGCTACCGCCATACCCTACAGCAAAACTTGCACAGTAGTGGGTGGCTACGAAGAATATTCCAGCGGCACCATCTAGTCTAGTTAGACTTGCTTACTTCGATAAATAAGACTACGGAGAATAATATTAAATGGACTATATCAATGTCCTGTTATGCGGATTAAGCATTATGCACCTGTGGTAGTTGAGAAGAAAAAAAGCGCTAAATCATTCGTGATATGAAATGTTGCCAGAGGATATATTTTGGTCTAGATACTACACAGAGTGTTTCCATGTAACTAAAAAGTGAATGCCCAACTATTCCCACAAGGGTGATCGTCTTCGGCTAGAACTCTGAAACACTAGGAATTGGAAGCAAATGAGATTCAGTGCGAATCTTCGATCTAAGACATGTACTCCACATATGGGTTTTTAAAGCATGTATGTGAACCAGCGCGATATGATGGCCGATCTGCACTACATACCGGCTTCTTTATGGAGTATAGCAAATTCTATGTATCCGCTAACTGTAGTGGAAAGAATTAGGCAACGGCTCCGTCGATAGTTTTTGCGTCGATCAAGAGCGCTGAACAAGGTGTAATGTGTGCTATATTTCAGGGTCCACACCTCAGTCTACGGTTGAATTCGCAGCCTCGCAATATACTACCAAACTACTTAAGCCGGATGGAAAAAACCTTGGAAGGGTCCTTGCAAAGTCCACATACGAGTGCGGAGTATAATAGCACTACCAAGGTCTCTCATCTTAGCTACTGCCTCTAATCATAGTCCTAAAGTAGTAAGTAGTGCAGGATAGAGCAACATCAGGGTCGGCCTGTAGCGAAAATGTCGCCGCGAATAGCCTTGTCCAACAGCATTATCCGCGAACCTAGTGTGGACACAAGCAAGCAAAGCTTAATTTTCCACGGACAAAAACAACCCTGGTCGTCCGGGTGGCCACGTCAGATTCGCTTCCATTGGCCGTGGCCGCATGGGAAAGGGTTTGCGGCTGCATTGAACAATTTTTCTTTGCAGAATACCTGTTTTTTAGAACGACTAGCTGCGGGGCTGCTTGAATACGGATATCGTGGACCCTAGGCGATCCACAGCTAGCGCTACAAGTCGTTAGTGATGGACCCTATGACAAGGCCGAGCACAGGTGCAGTACAAGATCGAGATGGGATATTCCGTCAGAAATCAGGGTAAGCCTCAGAACTTTTGAAGTGGGATTGGGATCTTTTGACCCTTCCGCACACGGGTATAAGCACTCATGATATGCGTACTTTTTATAGATGTCTAGGTAGCTGCCGCTGCTAAGGCTATTGCAACATGCCACTTGCTGCGCACTATTTCTTATACGATAGTGAGAAAACGTGGGAGAAGACCGCTAGGAACCGCTCCCGTAGTTTGATAGGGCTAGTTTCTTCTTGGCACAGCTGCCATGCTTATGGGGACGTTGAACGAGAGTCGATGACGACATCAGGATCCATTGCCGTTTTGCATCGTATGTACAAGTTATTGGGGTGTACTGTACGGAGCATAGGTTGTTATGGATCACGGTGGAAGCTGGCAGTAATGGTGGCTCTGATCTGGCTGCGGTCTTGTCGATCCGCTGAAGCTGCCTGTGCGAGTAATGCAAGCAGTCAGTCACCGCAGATATATAGGTCGGTAGGATGCTGCCTTTGACAGCGACTCTAGGCATTATGAGTTGAACGCTGTCTGGGCCAAGTTGGCAGGACGGCGTGTACAGCGTACGGGGTGGAATTATTAACAAACGGGTCGAGAGGTGGCTCTTCCATCTTGGCAGTTTGATATAACGTCGCTGTCCCTGTGCTCTTTGCTGGGGAAATAAGCTCAACCAACCCGCTTACGTGCATTGGGCCTTGTAGGTTGAGCGGATGCAACAAAACATGGAGTAAGTTGGCCGCGCCGTCGTCTTGCTGAGCACTCGCGTCGCGTTTGAGAAACCATTCGAAGGCATTATCACCTCCGGCCGATGACATGGCGTAAACAGGACCTACCATTTCCATGTAAGTATATTCATTTCGGAGAAGCTGCTCCGTATCTGGCCCAGCGCCTTACAAGCGCATGCTGTGGCTTGCAGAAAACAGGCTTCTGGCGCAGCTGTGGAGAAGTGAGCGGGCGAGTAAAATGGATTTAACCGAGACAGGGTTCTGGCTCAGAGGATGGATGAGAAAAGTTTATCACGTGATATATCACGTGACTACTCTCCGACAACTCTTAGACGTCTCCCTGTCCACCGTTGAGATTATCCTTGGCCTGCATGAATAAAGGGATTACACCTGTTCAACCGAGAATGGAGCCATTTGGCTCCAGCCACGGCGCTTTGTCGTTAAACAGAAGCTATTCAGACCTTGATTTTCACTCTGTTTGCCATTCTTGATTCCCGGTGGGTCGAGCGATGTCTGAGGCGTCCACTCCAGGATGGATCCGGAGCATTTCCTCCGTCTCAATGTTCAACAACATCCCTTGCGGCCCAGCACTGACTTGCACTCCATACAAACAGCAGATTAGGATCGAGATCTTGATGGAATGACGCCAACGACTGAGCTCCAGGCGGCCCCCGGCGCTATTCACAGCGCTATCCGCAGCGTCTAGCGCTCGTCATGGCAGCGACTCCGTTAGTTTGGCACTTTAGGCGGCAGCTCGCTTGACGCCAAAGGACCACCGCGGACCTGTCGGGGAGACGCAACCCAGCCTTTTTCTTCCAACTAGGCTTCGTGAAGGGTCGGACGGGGGTGCGACGCACACAAGCTTTCGACTTGCTTACAGGGGGCTTCCTAGCTGAGGCTCGGCGTGGGATGCGTATGTTGGCTTTGGAAAATATTGGAAGTTTCGATGTCGAGTCGTCGAGGAGAAAAAGTCATGACACACTCGATCTTTATGGAGTCCATGTTCAAGTCGCGCGACTGTGGCCCTTCCTCACATCAGAAATGACGAGTCACTCATCTGGTAGACTCCCGCTGACCTTTACTGAACAGCAAACCATTGCCTCTCCACGAAGCATGCCGCCGGCGTCTTTTCTTAGTCTAGGAGCCGCAAGCTGGTGTTGAAGCCCTGCTAGGGGGTGGCCACAGAGCTGATTTCAACGCTGCTTGCAAGGCGCCAATTTAACACCGTATTAGCCTAGGAATAGATAGGCTCCATTCGGAACGGGGGGCCGCATTCATTTGTGTGTGGTGTGAATGATACCGAGGGCAAACATGCTTGGATAGGACAAGTACAAAGCACAGAGAGGCTCCGCCGACGCCATCAGGAAGAATATGCGACTCCACAAGAGCCACCCGCTTGATGCTATGGATACTACCTATCCTGCATGCAGTCCAGCAAATGCTCAGATCTATTTCCTAGTTTGAACCTTGTGTACCCTACCTGACTTCCTGTCCAAGATGCTTCAGCAATCCGAGACATGGTCCCGGTGCGCTAATTCTCATGTGCTAACCCAACGGTGCCAGGGGTAACATCTCATCATCACTTTCTGTTGCGGCAACACGCCTCAAAAGCTCCCCAAGTGAGCGGCGATCTGTCTATCATTCCCGTATATTTAGCAATGACGTTTCCGCCTTATTCACGAAGCGTATCCTTTCTCTTCTGCTGATCTCTACCTCGCGGCTCTCTCTCACGACTGGTGAAATTTTTTTGGTGATATATTCCAGGACAAACATTGTGTACTACATACTACATACTGCATACTACGTATTATATGTTATTCTTGTCATCATCGTCCTTTTCTTCCTAGAAGTCAGCTGGATCTTTTGGAACGGCGCTATGGCTACCATTGCCGAAGCTTCCCCATTCATCGCTTGCGGTCCAGACTACGCCCATGCAGGGCCTCTCTCGCTACCATTCCCTCCTGCAGATCTGGAGGGCACCTTGACAAGCCTGTGCCATGGCTCGTCAGGCCCAGAACACTCGGATGTGTTCTTACCTAGTCTACCCTGGCAGTCGTCGGAGTGGGATATATCAGAAAATTTCCCCAGATACCCGGAAGGAAACTTACAGAACCCCCCAATGGAGAGTGTTATTTCTGGAAATGAAGGCTCTTTAAACACCTCGTTATGGGACTACCCAAACCATCAACCAACACTGGGCCGTGAATATAGCCCATCAATAGTATCAAGCTCAACATCCGACCCCCTCATGTCTACTTCATCCGCAGCATCATCAGCATCATCAGCATCATTAGCATCATCAGCATCATCAGCATCCTCTGCGCCGTCATTATCACCACCAGCACTGCAGCTACCAAAAGCGCCTGTCGCTGCCAAAAAGCAGACACGCACACGGAAAAACTCGTCCGCAGAGGGAGGGGTCGCCAAGAGGCCCCGGCGGCCCAAGACAGACGAAGAACAAGAAGCCAGCCGAATGCGCATCCGCGAGAAGAACCGCATCGCGGCGGACAAGTGCCGCGGCAGACAGCGCATCGCCATGGAGAGGCTCAACTTGAAGCACGACAGTTTGGAGTATGAAAACCAGCAGCTTTCAAAAATGCTGAAGGATTTGGTGGCAGAGCGCATTGTGCTGAAGAACATGCTGCTGGAGCATGGAAACTGCGGGTGCGAGTTGATTGAGAATTATTTGCGCGAGTCTGCGGTGCGCTGGGTGAAGCAGGTCGAATCGCAGGCGGTTAATGTAGAAGCGGCCTGACTACTGGCAGGCGTCAAAAGAGTAAAAAGAAGAATTTGGAACATTCCTGCATCGGTTGGCTATAGCGTTGTCAAGATACTCAGATTTATGCTGATTCATGTATATACTCTTGATATATTTCAAATGTTTCGAAATCTTTGTGTGTTTTTTCAGAAGTAGAGCATGTGTGCGCGTCAGCCAGCCACTGTGAAGCTATTCGCATGTCTTACTAAGGCACTGGCACTATGGAGCTCACAGAGCACGAGTGCAGATTCCCCTGTTTATAGGTCCATATAACATTTTATATGATTGATTTCAGTTGCTCTTTTAACATCAGCTTTTTGCACCATGTATAGCTGACCCTCCTTTGTATACTATTTATGTACATAGACGGCGGTTGTCGTCGTTTGTATGTATAAGAGCCCGGCTTCCTCGGAACTCATCAGTTACGAACCCATGTTTTGAAGGAATAAAATAATATATATACGTATAAATGGAGGTAATTAGTATTGAGTTGTATCATTTATGCTGTCCAAAACGTTATTATTTCCTATCAAAAGCAATATAAACACCAAAACCGCAACCACAAACTCCCTGCCCCATCACAGCATTATCACCAGACCGATGATGTGAAGTCGAAAATGCACAATCTGACACGCCCACCATGTATGTCATTCTGCAGGTCTAGTTCTCCTCCATACCACTGTACATAAGACAGCCCTTGTCGATCTTTGCCCGGCCCACGGCCATTGGATGGCGGACACGAAGTGATCAGCGCTCCGGCTACCGAAAAAACGGACGGGAAGCCACATCGTGGCTTGGCGATTTTTTTTGCCTTTCTTGTCTGCGTAGTTCTTTAGTATTATAGGGCTCTGTGGTACCAGTTGATGATCTCTTGGCAAAATGGGGAGCATATGCATGGTGTGGTGCTTGGTGATGGAAACGGGGTGGTGGTTGTCTGTGGAAGCGTTTTTTTTTTTGGGGAGGGGGCGGGGATATTGAGGAGTTGCTAGATTTGTAAGATCGGTTTTTACATGCTTTTGTGGGTTATTCGTTTGGATTTTAGGAGTTGTGTATGAGGATGTTTTTGTGTTATTGCGGTGTATACGCCGTTGAGGTTGATCAGCGTGAGGATGGACCGTTTGATCAACATGGCTGACACTACGACCGAAGTCCGATTAAGCGAGAATGGGTGATCTTCGAGGCTAATCCACATGTAAACCAACAAGTACGTATAAACGGTTAAATTAGAATGTAGAAAATGAATTATACTCACTTTGTACAATGCGAATATGTCGTCGTGGACAGCCGCATTGGTCGTTTGACAATGAGCAACAACGACGGCCAACTCTTGCGAAACTGTTCTCAGTATCCGTGTTAATTGAGTGCGAATATGAAAGAGACGAGAGTTTTGATTATACAATTGATTGCATAATCAACTTTTGACGATGAATAAATTATATAAATAAACTCGCATTAACGTAGCAACTTGAAAAATGAGAGTCTCAAGTGGATTAGAGAGCGCCCTTCTTGCTTTGCTTATGGAGATATGCCATGGGCTCTAGAGAATACAGATACAGCGAGCAGTATCTATGTAAAGTGTTTCTAATTGTTTTTTTTTTCTCTTAGAGTTCATTGTTCCATCTCATTCCTTGTTATCACGCTGAGACATTTCTCTAGAGGTGGATATAATGAGCGATGCTGTGCATTAAGTCGATCGGGTTGAATTGCGCCATGCTGACAGGTTACAATCAATCGCCTGCAGATCCGTATACGCGCACCATGCCCCGGCAATCGGATTACCAGGGTAAAAAGCACTACTACTACTCAATGGGATGCACGCCTCTCTACGCCTAAAATCCCGTCTTGAAGCTTTCCGTGAACGTACCAGCTTCCTACGAAATAAATACGACAAAGGGACAAAATGAGACAATACCAGTTCGAACAAATCAGATTAGATCATTTCGTCAATCAAGATATTTGTAGCAAAACGTGAAAAACAATGCCCAGTCGGATCTACCGCTTCATGACATTCAGCCTAAAACGCCTCTCCCCACCCGGATCTCTTCCCGCCTTATCGCTATGCCTAACATCGCAAGCTTATTGTTTTACCATGCATTCCTGGACACATTTATGGAATTGGCTGTTTTCGCTCAGTCTCAGAAACGAGGTTGGGAATGTCGTCAACGCTTGCTTGGCCAAGCAAGATGGCGTTGACAGCCGTCAGAAGAGGGTAGTCTTTCTCCAAGCCACGGGCCTTGAGGAAGCTGTTGACCTCAAACGCCGTGCTGGTACCCTGGAGCTTCTGGCCGTTCAGATCCTGCTTCTCTACCTCGTCGACAGAAATGCCCTTTTCAACAGCCTTCTTTGCGCATCGGAAGTTACGACCTCCGGAGCAAGAGGTGATCAAATCAGCAACACCGGCGGATGACTCTGTGAAAGTCGCAGTGTGCACAGTCTCTCCAAAGAACTCCTTGCCGAACTTGACCATTTCCATCAAGCCAATTCGCATCACGGCGGCCTTGGCATTATCGCCCCAACCGCGGCCGTCAACGAAGCCCGCAGCCAGGGCAACAATGTTCTTGAGCGCACCTCCAAGGGACACGCCAGCGACATCAGAGACCATCTCGACATGGAAGTAAGGTCGGTGGAAAAGGGAATGGAAGCAGGTGTGGTCGAGCGGAGGATACTCTGCGGGCACAGGTGTCAACTTGGTCTTGGACATGCGGCCGCGGGCATCGCGGTGCTGCATGTCGACAGGCTCCGTGACGGTCATGGTCAGGCCGGGGCTCTGAGATCGCGGCGTGGGAGCCCTGCTGTTATCCATTGGCGGCGGGTCGTAGGCAATGGTTGTCTCGGACCACTTCTCCGCGGCAATTTCACTGGCAATGTTGGCCCCGCTCAGAGCACCGACGTAGATGTTCAAGCCGTCGCCAATCCATTCGCTGAACAGGCTGACGCCATCGTCGGATACGTTGACGCCCTTGATGCAGCTGATGCCACGGGCAAAGGGCAGAATCTTGCCGCGGATCTGGTTGCAGACGTTGTGGATGAACTGGTGAGGGAGGTTGAAGATGAGAATCGTAGAATCCGTGACGGCGTCAACGAGGGAGGGGTTGGCGATGATGTTGCTTGGGAGGGTGATGCCGGGGAGGTATTTGACGTTTTCGTGGTATTTGTTGATGACGTGAGTCAGCTTCTGAGGAGCCTCGCCGATGGACTCGTCGTAGTGCTTGGAGCTTTTGGAGATGGTGACGTCCTCCTCATACACCCACATCTGGACATCCTCCTCAAAGACATCTTTGTTCGCTCGTGTGTTTTCGGCAACGATTTTTGCAATGGTGGATCCCCTGTATCACGAATGAAACCCGTTAGATTTTTTTCTTCCTGACGCAAGATATTGATTGATCTTGACACATACCAATTGCCAGATCCCACAATGGTGACCTTGTGCTTCTTCTCGTATCCGCCAAGGAGAGTCATCTTGCCGGCGGTTGTGTTGAGGGTGGAGTAGCTGCTGCTGCTGTAGCCGTACAGACGAGTGAGCTGTGAATTCCGCAGATAGGAGCCGAAGCGAAAGCCGTAGAGTCGAAGCATATACAATCTGAGCAACAACCAGGGGAGCCTCCTATATATAGTATCCTGTAAGTCTTATCTATCCGCGCTGCGAGAACAGGGAAGTTGCTGGAGAAAAAATGACCTGCAGCTCGTGTGCCAAGCTCAGTGCTCAATGACGCATAGGTTCGGCTGGACCACCAGGTACACAGGCTCACCGCCTGCCGCATTAGGCGTATTCGCCCCAACCGATGAACCGCTGGGGCGGCAGCAAATCGCGTGCACCAACCGCTTTTTCCCGCCGAGATGCGAGGGATGCATCGCAATCACATGCAATATCGCCAACCCCTGGCGCGAATTGGACTTTCACATGCCAGCGCTGGATGGCGTTTCTTCTTTACTGCGATTGTTATCTGCTGATATCACAGGATCGGTACGGCCATCATAAAATTCTCTTGGCCTTGGCGGACACCGCAGATGAAGGAGCATCCATTTTGATGATCCTTGGAGCCGAGCACGGTTACATTGCATATCGAGCGCATAGACAGACATTGGACGCACATCACGTAACAGGCCTCCAGCTGCACGTGCAATTGTGTGATATGATTGATTCAACATGCAAATACGATCCAAAACAATACTCTAATTCCATAGCCATGCCATACATGATTGCCGTGCAAAATCGCCCATTGCTCCACGTAGTGCGGAGCCATTGTCAGCACCAGTGAGACACGACGAGATTCAAGCCAAGTCTAAATTCAAAAAACGCCCGCTCCTTATTATTACTACTCCTTCTCCTTCTCCTTCTCTTGCTCCTCCTCTTCCTCATTCTCTTGTATCAAAGATGCCTTTTCCTCATCTGTGCCGCCCGAGTACGACTTGCGTCGCAGCATCTTCGTCTTCTCTTCCTCCTCCACCGTCCGTTCGCCATCACCAAAGATGTGCTTGAACACCCTGTCATAGCTGTACCACATGACGCTAAATGATCCTGATATTATACTCGCGCACCATCGAGGAACTCGACCTGTCTCGTCTGCCAAAATCCTCGTCAACGACATCATGCATATCAGCATCGGTGCCCAAGCAAAGATGAACACAGCATGGCCAATCTTTTGCCTGATGCTGGTGGCCGTGTAGGGCTGTAGCGACGCCAGGTGGTCTTGGTAGGCCTGGGGAAGCTCATGTTCCCTTGCACCGTCTTTCAAGAGCTTCAAGTATCGAGCGCTTGGCTGGGCATAGTCGGGGCTTGGTCTCCGGGGGCCTAGGGCAAGCCTCGCCCACCAGTTTTTGCTCTTGCCCGACTCTGGTTCAAGGGGGATATATGGACAATAGAGAGTTCTTGCGATGAACGGTCTGGGCACGTCTGGGAAAGTCGGCTTCTCTGGGATGCCAATATCTGCGGGCAGTGGGAGACAAGGCACCACGATTTCCTGGTAGCCCGAGCCGCCCCCTTCGGTCCTCATGATGTTTCGCCAATCCTCCTGTGTGACTTCGTATACGATTCCCATGAGGCCGCCGTCCCAGCCCTGCCCGGACTTTGGCGGGCTGATTGGCGGGATGATGGGTGGATGAAGAGGATCGGGTAGCTTGGGTTCTTTCGGCAGTTTTCTGTATCCGACATTTGCAAAGCACGGCTCTCGATAGGGAAACCCGGGCAGGTCGAACGTCAGCTGCAGAACCGGCACGGAGACGTTGATTTGGGAAAGCGGCCGAATCTTGCGCATCCCCAAGAAGGTTTCTGCACACATGTTGGAGCCATAGGCTAGATACAGGATGGTTGTGGCAGCCTCTGCAAATTCTTTGGGCGCATCCTCGGCGGCTTGGGCGAGACGTTTGGGCGAGATGTCTGGGATCGACGATATGGGCGGATATGAGCCATCTGCCGGGTGCTGCTCAGTGGCCTCGGCCTTTTCCAGCGCAGCTACGGCGGTGGAGGGCCTCTCTGGAGATGCTGATCGCTTCATGCTGGGCAGCTGAGATGGCGACAATTTGGTACGCTCGAAAACAAATCAAAGGCCGTCACAAGATTCGCGGGGATGGGCATTTCTACTATTTATCCACGCAAGCGGCACACCAGCTTGAAACGCGACCAGGGTCCATTTTGTGCCACATCCTACGCAACGCTGCCTAGATCAATCGCAACGCACATCCGCCTCTACTTTTCTCTCTACGCTGCAGCTAGCTGATGCGGAATTCGACGCCTGCGGAGCGTCGGACTGACCCTCGCTGCGAAAACCGATGGCCCGACCTATCGTAACCTGGCGCCAGCTGAATAATCACGGCCTATGACACATTCTCTCGCACAAGGGGGAAACTCCGCACACGATTTGATCTCTCCGCTCGGCATTCTTTTTCAATGGATCGCTCGATCTAATAAGACATCTGAGTGAATCATCCGCTTATGGGGCATCCAGGCACGGGCTACGCGTACGACTCTTTTGCAGTGCCGAAACAAGGTGAGGCGGGCCGTGAGGTGGCATCGGGCCCTAAATTGGCCTGCATGGAGGCGAATAATGCGGTGAGTACCGATATGATTGATTCGGTTGCAGGTTTCTGATTTGACAAAGAATTTCAAAGTATGTCGGCACATTTATATGTGCATAGTATGCCACATCGCTGCCCAGCTTTCCTATTGCAGACAGGAGGATATTATAGGAATACTAAGCAGTAATTGCGACTTGATTCAACGAGCGTCATCTGTAAATCTCCACATGATTGGTCACAAACTCATCGCATAAGCTCTGTCAATATGCAGCCAATAGCATGTAAGAATTGGGTGAATAGGTAATCAATCAAGCATCACGTTTAATAATAGAGCCCTGCTTGTCGCAATCCTTGCAACGACAGGCCGCATCCACAAATTAATATGCGAATCCACATCGGCCTCAAAGCAGACGAGACCCGCCCCCTATGAAGGCTGATTCAAGACGGCACTAACCACCTCGCACATGTGCCAAACAGATTCGCTAACAGCGCATGGAACCACCTGTAAAGACCCTCTCTAGAGGCGAATGAGACGCGCCAGCGCCTCCCAAATGGGTAGTCCTCGTCAGCCTCACACGGCGTTTCTATTAGGTCCACCTTTGGAAGCTTAGCACCTCCTCCAAACGCCATCTCGTTCGTCCCATTGCGACGCCAGCTGGGTCGAGCGCGGCTCAGGACACAGTGAACAAGGGTGCTAGCCTCGTTTTAGGCAAAGTGTCTCAGATGGAAACAATGGGGCGCTCGGTGAAAAAGGAGAATGGGACTCGAAATTAATATGGGAATACGAGTAGATGTCGTGTCCTCTTTTATGGGAGAGATTGTCACTGCCTAAAAAAAAAAGCTCAGGCCAGCAATTTTCACCTTTGCGCCTCTTCTCACTCTCCCTCACCTTCGTCAGAGCGTATTCTGTGATGCTTTTTGCGTGAATGAAATAAAGTCTGAGATCAAAGTGAGTTTTAGCGTTTGTGCTGCGCCTGTGCCAACTTTGCGCTTACCTTAGCCTCGTCGGCTTTGCTTAGGATTCTTCAGACTTGGGCAAAATTACTCTGCCATCCACTCGTTATTATTACTATCATCAATTTGTTGCATTGTTGAATCCGGAACCATGGCTGCGCCTGTGTCCGATGTGCCCAGGATGGGCGTTGAGATGATGTTGGAGCGCATCATGGGCGCGATGGAGAAGCAGGTAAGGGGGCTTCTTGATTGAACGGCTGAGGCTGCGAGATTGCCGACGGCAATCTCGGGCCCATCGTTCGGATGCTTCTGCGGAGATGAGACTGAGCCTGACGAATGCGTCTAGAACCAAGAATTGGTAGAGCTGCGGAAAGAATGCTCGGATCTACGGTCCTCAAACAAGAGCATGGAGATTATGCTCCAGAACATTGCTGTACGCCGTCACCCTGTTTGGATTGCAGCTTGCGCCGCTTCCCAATTCTATCGCGTAGTGCAATACGCATTCTGTCATGCCAGCCATTCTAACATCCCATGGTGTCCTCTAGCAGCAAGGACGTAGCCACAGTCCAGGCGGCCTCTCTCCCAGCGTCGGCCGTGAGCGAGCCCGTTCGCCTTTCCTGCCTCGCCATTCTTCAACGCTCCAGACTGTTCCTTCGCAGATCTCCATCACATCGCCAACTCGCGAGCTCTCTATTCAGTCATACCCTTTCACCGACGACCGCGAGATCCCTGGTTTTTACGTCGTTATCCCAGCAGGCGGTGCTGGTACGCGCCTCTGGCCCCTTTCTCGAGAGAACCATCCCAAGTTTCTCCTCGATGTCAACCTCTGCGGCAACAGTCTGTTGCAGTCGACTTGGGATCGACTCCTCCCGCTGGCTGGCCCTTCGCGAATGACTGTTGTCGCAGGTCCTGCCCACTCTGAGGGCATCTTGGGCCAACTGCCCAATTTGGCCGCTTCTAACCTCTTCACTGAGCCTGGTCCCAAGGATTCCATGGCTGCCATCGGTTTGGCTGCCGCAATCCTCGTCAAGCGCGATCCTGAAGCTGTCATTGGATCCTTCGCCGCTGATCATATGATCTCTGGCGAGGATGCATTCCTCGGTGCTGTCACTGAGGCAGTCGAGGTCGCCAAGGAAGGCTATCTAGTCACAATCGGTATCGCGCCGTCTCACCCTGCCACCGGCTTTGGTTACATCCGACTGGGCGACCGCCTCAACCTCAAGTCGGCTCCTCACTCGCGACTGGTCAGCTCCTTCAAGGAGAAGCCTGATGCCCACACTGCTGCCAAGTACCTCGCTACTGGTCAGTACCGCTGGAATGCGGGTATGTTCGTCACCAAGGCCTCTCTCCTGATGGAGCTGATGAAGGAGAACTGCCCCTCCCTTTACGAGGGCTTGATGAACATTTCCGACGTGTGGGAGGATGAGGCCGCCCGCAAGGTCGCCTTGGAAGAGGTTTGGCCTATGCTGGAGAAGATTCCCATCGATAATGCCGTTGCAGAGCCTGCGGCTGCGCAGGGCAAGGTTGCCGTTATTCCCGCTACATTCGGTAAGAAGCTCGATATTCGACAAGTCTTGGAAAGATATCTTGTTGCTGACTCGTACTAATTAGGTTGGGATGATGTTGGTGACTTTTCTTCTCTGGCTGAGATGCTTCCTGCAGAGTCCAACAGGCCCCGTGTGTTGGGTGACCCAAGACTTGGTAAGATGCCCTGTTTTCTTGATGCTGGCATTTTTTCCACCCATACTGATATTTTTGTATAGTCGTCTCCGAGCAAACTGCTGGAGGAATCGTGGTTCCCGTGTCTGGCCGACTCATCACCTGTCTTGGAGTGGACGACATTGTCATTGTTGATGCCCCTGATGCGCTTATGGTTACCACCAGGGCGCGTTCCCAGGAAGTCAAGTCCCTTGTTAAGAAGTGCCGAGAGGCTGGCTGGAAGAATCTGTTGTAAAACTTTTTTTTGCTGTTTACGAAGATGTGTCTGTTCTGAGGCCTTTTTTTTTCTAGCCTTTGCGGGAGTTGCCCTATACAGCTTGGGCACAATAAGGCGGTATGTCGCTACGCATTTACTACGATTTAATGCTCTTAGTTATCACTTTATACTTAAGATCCAATCAATCTCACTTTCAATTCGCAATTCAGACGCCTTTCGCTACCTTAAACCTTGGTTCTAAGGCCAAATCCTGCTGCCTCAGGAGTGCAGACGCTCTGCGGGCGACTTGCCAGCTGCGCGGTGCTCCTTCCCTCTTTTTGTGCTCGTCCCCTCTCGATTCTTGCCCAAGTGGCAGAACATTTTTTTTTTCTTTCCCCTCTTCACAGCTCTCCTCCCTGCCTCTTCTCTGCACATATTATTCTCTCTTCTTCTTCTCTCCTTTTTTTTTTTCCGTTCTCGTTCAACTTCTTTGTCGGTTTTTGTGTTTATGACGTTCATCGGAGATATCTCTGTTCCCAGCAAGTGTTGTGAATAACCTCTTTCCCACAACATCTTGCCAGAATCTCTCTCCCCACCGGTCCTTGCAGAGTATCCTTGTTTTCTTACTATTCCTCAGAGGATTCTCCTTCTCCCTGCCCTATTTGACAGAGTTTTGTCTGTTCGGCTTTCCCTTTTCAAGAATCTGCCTGCTCTATCAATCATTTTTCATCAACGCCGTGTTTTATTCAATCACGCCCCATTCAAACATCACTCTTCACTATGGTCCCAAAACTTCGTACGAAAACCAATACTCGTGCCAGAGTGCAGAGGGCACCGACCAAGTTCAGTGAACTAGAGGTAACGCCCAGTCGACCCAATGAAAAGCACCATCCTCCTTCCAAGGGTGACAAAGAAAATTTGCTGCTCTCTCAGGAAAATAGAGATGAGTGCTATCTGGATGACCACAATATCGGAGACTCAGTTTTCGACGAGACACAAGACATCACGAACACGGCTTCATTTGCATGGTCGGACGCTGGCTCCACCAATGTAACCCGTCGCAGCACCCCAGCTCCCCCGGATGACTTCCCAATCGAAGAGTTTTGGGACTTTGATGATGAGGACGATGAAGTAATTGAACAGATGTTTAGCCAGGATCCCAAAAATAAAAACCTGCCTGACACTGTGCCTCTCCAAGAACCCTCGCCCCATGTCGACTTCTCGGAAACTGCGTCTACCATTCGCCGCAGTTCGCCTTTTCTGACAAGTGATGCGCGAAAAGACATTTGGGATTTTTCTGATAGTCTATCAGGAAGCGACTCACCTCCAGAGGAGATTAAAACCGGCCAATCAGAGAAAATTTGTCTCGAGCCGAATCCTAGATCACAAAAAATAGCGATTGATGACATATATGATGCCACGCCGAAGAAAGATGCGATGCCAGCTCAGGTAAAGACTGCAGTTGAATCGAAGGCTATGAAGTCAAAGACTGTCAGTGTCATGCAAGATCATTCCACTGCGGCGGCCATGCATTCAAATTTTGAGACTACTAGCCAACCATCTTTGCGTGCCTCTGCAAAGAACAAAAAACACCTTCAGAAGGCAAAAGAGCCCATCCGGTTTGATCCGGTGACCCAGGAGATTGTTGATATACCCGTATCCAAGAAGAAAAACCCACCTCCAAAACGATCCATCGTAAGTGCTCTACAAGAATCTGCAAAGGGATCGAGCTCTCCGTTTGTCAGCACCAAAAAGGCATCTCGAAAACAAGCTCCCAAGCAAAAACAACCCAAAACTCAGCCTGCAAAGAAGCGCAAGCCCGAGGCGGAGACAGCCCAACACGACTCACCCAGCGTCGATATTTTGAAGAGCAGTCCCGTGCAGATTGTCATGGCCGGTTCTGCAGAAGTCTCACCAGATTTGCGCCCTGTTCATCATGAGAGCAAGGCGATGGAAATCCAACCCATCTGCGCAGAGGATATTCCTGGTCCAAAGCACAAGCAAAACGAGCACCTTCATCAAACGTCACTCGCCATGAACGAAGCCAGTAATGGGCCCGAATCACTCTCCATTCGTGCTCCTGCCAAGAGAAGGAAAGTATCTAGACAGTTTACCATTTCTGAAATGGGCAGCCCCGTTGTTGCAAGAGATGCTGCACCTATGAAAAAAGCTGGCCCTGCCATACCTGAGCTGGATCCATTAATGATGGAGAGCACAAACCCGGTGGTAGCAGTACAGCGTCCATCTTTTTTGAGGACTGCCTCGGGGGACAAACTGTACGGACAGCAGTCGGATAATGTTGTTGGAAGCATTGATGGCAATGGCCCATCAAGATGGCTCCGCAGGGTGGACGAGCAAAAGCCGTCCCTAAAGCGTAACTCCAGCACGGGAAGAAACTTTCACGATAACATGATTGAGAGTTTCCTGCAAAATACCAAACCACCGCAAGGCCTTCAAGATCGCCGGCTAGATGAGGTGATCCACCATGGCCAAGTTTATAATCAGATTTGTCTCACGGTGAACGTAAGTAATATCCCAAATAGGCAGTTCAGAGACGTGGAAGGCTGACAATGTGATAGCAACTTATGGTTCACCTGGATGGAAAGAAAGCGGCCGCCTCTAAAATTGTGGAAGCATACCATGCTGGCGGGACGTCTTCGATAACGTATATGCAGCAGCAGTGTTTGTATGACTGCCAGAGAGTGGTGGCCACATTTCGCAGACATGGTGCACTATTTGACAAAAATCTACAAGCTGCCAAGGACGCCATAAAGACTCGTAGGCGGGCTCGAGCCAGGGTAGTGGGCGAGCTTGATGAGCTGTTGAAGTCGCGTAATCAGGCTTATGGCAAAGCAGGTTCGAACCTTGGAGCTGTTGTTTGATGGATGAAGTGGGTTTGTGTTCAGCGTACACTATTATGCTACTTACATATCGTTTTACATTTGGTAATGGCAGGACAGATTGTCGTGGAGGTCAAGATCTAATAATGCAGGGGCAGAAGGAATGCAACTATGGCTGCGTTGTCAAATGCGTAAATAGTGACAATTGATCGTATAGCACGCGCTTGCTGGAATAAACGCATCGACTTGAGGTGATATGGGCCGCATAATGCATCGTATGGCTGCCCCGTGCGATTTAAAGTGCCCACCCCACCAATTATGTGGCATTACATGATGGAGGCCTGAAATCATGAAGCAATATCTTGTCCGAGGCGGGGGTGTTTTGCTATATAAGAATAATGCACCAGATGGATCAGTAGACGGAAGATGAGCTGGATGATTAGAGTAAGAGGCTCAAAAGTGGCCACAAAAAGAAAAAGAAAAAAAAAGGTACGAGCGTGGATGACAGGGAGAGCCGGCGGTGAGAGAAGAGCGTCGCGGCGATACCGGGATATCCATATCCTGGTCCTCGTATGTAGGCAATCATCATCACCGGTTGTCTGGGTGGCCGCTGCTGAAAGGGATCGCGAAGGCCTGCTAAAAGCTAAAAAGCATCTATATCGCCGACTGTTGGGTGAAGTCACAAGGCCAACACATATCAAGATCACGCCTGGGCCATCTGGAGACACTTCTTTCAATTTAAACAACACTTGAGCTCTGACGGCTATTAAGATGGAAACGACATCAGATATCTCGGGCGTAGTGGGTGAGCGGCGGCTGGGGGATTTCGAGTGTGCCAGCGAGCACTTGCAAGATGCAGCACTGCGGGGAAAGCAGAGTGGCATGTGAGGCGGCGAGAGTTGAGAGACATGAGTGGATATTTGAGTGACTTGGGGGTGGCATTTTGGATATGGGGGGTACGGCATGGTATAAGAGAAGGTGAGCGAGCTGGGTGGGTGAAAAGCGGCTGCTTATTGTACCCTGAAAGCAAGATGGGAAGAGACAATGGATAGACTTGCTTGTAAGAAAGAGGAATATGCAAGGAACAGAGAGGAAAAGGAAAATAAGGAGAGGGAGGAAGGAATCTAGAAGGCGAAAAGGGGGTCTGTGAAGCGATGATGGCGATGATGCCGAAGGTGTTGGTACAAGGCAAAGTACCTATCGTGGTATTGCCGCATCCCGATTTGCCGAGACAAAAAGGTGACGTGACGTGCATGCCAGCGGGTAGCTGAAACGGGAGATGAGGGAGAGAAGAGGCGGAGAGAGAGAGCTTTAGGCCGCCTGTGGATGCGTCTTTGGGGGGCAAGCAATCCAGTGAAGCAGGAAAACGAGCAAGGGGGGGCCTGGAAGGGGACCAAAAAGGCGGCGTAGCATCCTGGGCGGAAGAATAAGAAATGGAAGCGTGTAAGAAGGGCGGGATGTTAGTGGGCGTGATTGTGATGAGTGGTGACAACACAGGAATTCCCATTCGTATATCTGTTGGGGGCGCGCCGGGACAGGTGGTTGCGTTTGCTGTGACTGTGCATCTGTCTAATGTGCTGATTGATGCGCTGGTGGCCTGCGATTGACGATCTCTGGGGATTTTTATTTTCATCTGCTTTCTGGGTTGAGTTGTTGGCCGATTATTGGCTGGATCGAGGAACAAGTGCTGTGCTGTTGGAGATTTGGAGACGAGAGCGGCTCATATCTTTGGGGGTTTGTTTGGTGCCTAACTGGGGATAAATATCAAGAGCCGGCACGACGCGGAAGCACAGACGAACGCATTAATCGAGTCGAGGCGGACCAAGTCAAGCAAAAGGCGAACAAGCGTCATCACCACTCTACACGATGCCTTCGACGAGGTCTTCATCGGCGTCCTCGTCGCCAACCGGACACTGGAGGTGAGCAGCAGCCAAAAGGCACATCCATCTCACTTACACCTTTCTGATTACCTGCCCATTTCCTTCATCGCATGTTTTGCTACTCTTCCCATCACCTATTTATATACGACGCACATTCACCATGAGCATGACCATGACCATGGCTGCTAGGCTCAGCCTCGTCTCTTCTCTTCTTCCCTCAAAACACCCGCAGTAGTGGTGGGCGTTTCTTATGCAGCAGCAGAGCCTGAACGTTGCTGCTTGGCGGCTCTCCAAGCCATCGTTGCTCCCGGCCGCTGCCGGTGCCTCCGGCGCTGCCTCTGAAGCTAAAAAAGAGTTTTGGGGGGGCGCGCCTCGGTTTCGACGGGCCCTGCGGTTTGCGGATTTGGGAGCAATGGAAAAGCATAGAAGGCAGAATGGCGAATTATCGTGATGATGCGCACCGGCTCAGGCTGCCGAGGGCCGTCCAGCTGATTGCGCATGATTCACAACGTGCTGTCATGGCCATGAGCGTGGACATGCACATACAGACGGCGCTTCGTCATAATCTGCTTGCTATTCATGGCCATATAAAGCCTCGCACACGCTCTCTCGGCTTGCTGCCCACCTGACATGACCAACCCCCCCCTTATCGACTGCTGCCTTATTGTTATTATTATTGTCACTGCCCTCAATACGATTGTCACTGCCCAGCCCTATTACCGGGGGTTTCATGGCAGCCGTGAGCCTCTCCTCAGATTCGCTCCAGAAGACCGGCTTTTAAAACCTGGGCTGGGCTGGCTGGACCCCACGCCCCGCAATTTAATTTTTCGATGGCCATTTTCTCGGCAGCAGCCCATTCTGCCGCCACTACCACTACTATTACCACTGCCACTACGGCTACCACCACCACTACCGCTGCCGCTACCACTGCCACTGCCACCACGCTTTTTACTGCACTGCTTCTGCACCTACTACTGCCGCTACACCTGCACTTTTTCTACCAAGGTTTTTTCTCTCTCCTCGTCACATTCCACCAGCTTCGCCGTCGTCTTCTCTTCTCCCTCCTCTTGCCAACAAAGCTCCTTGATCCCTGACCGTCTCTCTCTTCTCTCGTTGCGCCCTCTACAGCAGTCGTTTTACCGGCCTTTCCTTGGTCTACCGCAGCCGCCACAGCTCCGGCGACAGCACCAGCTCGTCCGAGTCAATTCGTCCTTGGGGCAGCAGCGCCGTGTCGACGCCGCGCGACGATTCGCACAAGAAGAGGAAGAAGCGCAGCCACAGCACCAGAATGCCTTTCCGACAGCGCATGGCCCGCCATTTTGGCGATTCTGTACGGCGTCACTTTTCCTTGTCCGCTTGTTGATTTCCACTTACAGCAATTTTTGATTTTTTTTTTTTTTTCCCTTTGAGAATCATGACTCCACCTGTTTTTTTTACTTATACACACGTACAAAAGCTCAGACCACACATACACCCATACCATGCGCATACATGCTGCAGCAGTAGTGCTAACATCACGTCATTGACTATGATCGACAGCTCTCGCCCGAAAAGCCCTTCCTCAGCTACTACGATGTCCTGCTCACCGTGGAAGACATGAAGTCGCTGAAGAACGACTGGCTGACCGACAACAACATTGCCTTTTGGGAAGAATACTTGGAGCACGAGACGCTTCCGCGATTCCCCCAGGCCCGCATCATCCTGCTGCGCCCGAGCATGACGTTTCTGCTCATGAAGGAGCCTGATATGCGCCACGTTCGATCTGCGCTGCCAGACTTTAACAAGGTCACCCACGTCTTCCTGCCCATCAACGATAATCGAAATGTTGCCATGGCCGAGGGCGGCAGCCACTGGTCGCTGCTGCTGGTGTCTGTTCTCGACGGCATCGCCTTCCACTACGACTCGCTCGGCGGAGCCAACTACGCCGAGGCAAACCTGGCCACGCGCAAGCTCAGCGAGATTGTCCAGCGGCCCATTCGTTTTGTCAACCTGGAGGACTCGCCCCAGCAGGAAAACGGCAGCGACTGCGGCGTCTTTGTCTGTCTTTTGATGCGACACCTGCTCGTCAAGCGCCTCTTGGCGGCTAATGCTCGCGAAAAGGTTTCCATGAGCATGGCAGGAAAAATGGTCGATAGCAATGGTGGCCGGAAAGAGATGCTCCGTATTATTGAAAATTTGCGTAAGGAGGGAGAGCGTCGCCGTTCGTGAGTATTCCCCCCTTCTCTTCTCTCCTTGACAATGGCTATTCCCTTTTTTCCTTTGATGCACGATGGCTGACAGAGCATCTAAGGAGAAGTGCGAGCCCCTTTGCTTCAACCAAGACTCCTCCGCGAATTGAATAGAAAGCTGCTCGCTTCGGCTCTTGGGAAGATTTTGAGAAACTTATGCACCAGTCCGAGAGGCAACATGATGAGGAAATCAAGCAGCATTCGGCCAAACGACGTAAATCGGGGGAACTACCTGCCATTCCTGATGATCCAGAGACGAATAGCCCAAAGCAAGATGACTCAAGGGAAGACAATCCAAATGTGGCTACGCAGCCTGGACGACCTATGACGAGAGCGAGAGCTGCTGCTGGTAAAGGAGAATTGCAGTCTCCAGCGTCATGCAAGCGCTCTACCTCGTCTTCTCCGCAGAGCTCGACGAGTCCGAAGAGCCCCAAAAGCTCTCAGAGTTCGAGCACTCAGACCACTCCAAGCCCGATTCGCCGAATGCGCAGGATTGTCCAACCGCCTCGTGATCCCAACAAGCCCACCTGGCTAGAGTTGAAGTTCGCCCACAATAAGGGCGTGAAGCGGACCAGTAGTAAGGCCCAGCGACCCGCCAACGCCACGCCCATCAAGGACCGAGGTCTCAGAGCATCCTTGGAATAGTTTTTCGGCTGGTGCCTGCACAAAATCATACCAAAGAGCGACGGCCTATCTGGCCGCTTAGATTAATCGTGTCTTTGACTTCGTTATTTTTGCCTTTCTTTCTTTGTTTATTTTTTTTTTCTTCTTCTTCACTTCAACTGTGTTTCCGCTTCCTATAGCGAGCCTAGTCTTGAGTCTTTTGATGAAAACACTCTTGCAATGTTTTGGAGTTGGATACACATACGGTATGAGTAATGCGGAGGCGAAGGAGCATACCAAGAAGACTCGAAGAAGGGATAAGCGAAAGAATTTTGATTTGACTGACCTTGATGCTTGTACACCAGAACGGGTTGTGCTGTGGTTAGCGACGAGATGAGACGAAACAAGGCGAGACGGAAACGATACCAAACTTTTTTCTTTTTTGTTTTACTTTTTACTTTTTATCATCTTTATTATGAGATATGACCATGACGGCTTCAGAAGAGGGAAGAGGGCATGGCGCTACAGGACATGGGCTTTTGACGCCTTTGATAACAATGTCAAGGCTGAGGCCGACTCTTTTTTATAAAAAAAAATTCAGGAAGGGATAGGATCGGCTTCTATTCTAAGCATAGCACTTTTTTTGAGCATTGAATTTTTGAGTACTGATCAATAAACTGACGATTCCTTTTTTATATACCTGTATAAACTCCAAACGCCATGATGTTTCCATGCTGTGAATCCGTCGCCTAGTTGAACAAGGGGTATTCTATAGTCCCGCCTTTGGCACAAGTATGCCTGATATGCCCACTATCTCAAAATGTTATCGAGATATGCCATCTAGCTTGTAATTGGCAATTCCATCCACCAATCATCCTTTATAGATGATTACTCTTTATTCACAAACACCGGGTTCTGCTCCATCGTCGCTGAAATGTATCCTCTTAGCGCAGCCCATCGATTTGACACCGCTGGTGCCGGTGCCGGTGCCGACGCCGATGCATTTGTAGAAGAAGCTGGAGCTGCTGCATGCTTTTCAGCCGGCAGGCCACCATTCTGCGGCTGCGCAGGCATGCTCGACAGCTGCGCCATGCTCACGCCAAACCTCTCCATCTCACCCTTCAAGAGCCTCTCCTTCCTCTTCAGCGCGCCCTTCTTACTGCGCAAGCTCTGATGCCTAATCTTGCCGGACAGGATCTCGGCGGCGCCCTCGCCGGCAGCCAGCTCCGGTAGCGCATCAGCCAGGCTGTCGAGGGAGTTTAGCGTCGTGGATTTCTTGGTCTTGCTGCGGCCGCCACGCTTGAGCGCCTTCTTGGACACGCGGGCGGATGTGGTGGAGGTGACGCGGGAGACGAAGGAGGAGTGCTTGATGGTGCGCTTGTCGCGCTTGGAGGAGAGGAAGGAGTCGCTTGTGGAGGCGTTTTCGCGAAACGTCTTTTGGGGGGCCAGAGGGTGGATGGAGTTTGTGATGCGGGCGTAGCGGAGGGAGGTGGCGGATGGTTTTTGGGGGGCCTGGAGATTTTTTGAAAGTTAGAGTGGGATGGATTTTGGCGGGAGGGGGGGATATTTTCTTACCATTTTGGCTGGATATCACATGTGAGTGATGCTGCCGTTGTTTTGTCAAGAAGAGAGCTGGTGGTGATGCGAGGATGGATAGATGGAAGGATATAAAAAGTTTTGGTGGGGACGCTTTCTGCGCTCGGTGAAGGGTGGAGCCTTTGACCGACGGTGTGGGTGGGGTAAATTTAATGCCGGAGTTGGCTAAGACGGACCTTCTTGTAAGAACTGATAGTATAAACCTTCCTTCACTTTTACGCTTTTCTTTCCTTTTCTTTCTCACAGGGAACCGTACACTGCAGTTGGATTTCTTTGATAGCGAGAGAAATGGACAAGATAGAGCACCTGCGAAAGGAGATTGCGCAGAGGGAGGCTGAGCTGGCTGATTTGCGGGCACGGCTAGCTGCGGAAGAAGAGCTGAGATGCACTGCGGGCGAGACGCAGAATGGCGAGGAATGGAAGTGGCCGCTGGACGAGCATGACTATCAGAGGTATAGCAGACAGATGATTGTGCCTAACTTCGGGTTACAAGGTATTCATTCTTCTTTTGTCGTAGCCCATCGATGTCGCAGTAACTGACTTTGCCTGCTCGTCGAGGCCAACTCCACGTAAAGCAAGCCAAGGTCCTTCTCGTCGGCGCTGGCGGCCTGGGCTGTCCCGCGGCAGCGTATCTCGCAGGTGCTGGGGTCGGCACGCTGGGCCTCGTGGATGGAGATGCGGTGGAGGTGTCGAATCTTCACAGGCAGGTTGCGCATTCGACGGGGAGGGTTGGCATGATGAAGGTTGATAGCGCGGTGGCGTATCTCAAAGGGTGAGTTTTTTTTTTTTCCTGTCTCTCTCTTTTCTTCTTGAAAGTATTTGGTTATATTAACAATGTTTTTATTATTATTATTATTATAGGTTGAATCCTACTATTACTTATAATGCTCACGCCACTCATCTCACGCCTCTAAACGCCGAGGAAATCGTCTCGCAGTATGATCTTGTGCTCGACTGTACGGATCACCCTACCTCGCGCTATCTCATCTCGGACATTTGCGTTCTTCTCTCCAAGCCGCTCATCTCCGCTTCTGCCTTTCAAACTTCCGGCCAGCTCATCGTGCTCAACAACCCCCCTGGAAAGGGCCCCTGCTATCGCTGCGTCTTCCCGAAGCCGCCTCCGCCGGAGAGCGTCGTTGGATGTGGCGAGGGCGGCATCATAGGACCTGTTGTGGGAACCATGGGCGTGTTGCAGGCACTGGAAGCGATTAAATTGATTGTGAGGGGAGATCATCTCAAGTGGAGTGAAACAAACGGCCAAGGGGAAGAAGTGAAACAGGTCGGCTTGCTGCTTTTCAGTGCCATGGGCGATGTGCCGTTTAGGACGGTGAGGATGAGGGGCAAGAAAAAGGGATGCTTTGCCTGTTCTGGAGATGGGACGGCTTTGACACTCAACGAGCTGAAGACGTCAATGGACTATGTCCAGTTTTGCGGCGTCAACCAGCCGGTCAAGCTGCTTCAGCCTGAGGAGCGCATATCTGTTGCTGAGTATGAGCGCATATCCCAGCAGCACAAGAATCACCTTCTCCTCGATGTGAGAGAAAAGGAGCACTTTGGAGTATGCAACATCAAGGGGTCGATCAATGTTCCTATAAGTCGGTTTACAGCTCATCGTGGGCAAGGGTCGGATTTGTCAGACTTGATACCAGGAGATGTTGCCCCAGATGCGCCGATATACATTGTCTGTCGCGTAGGCAACGATTCACAGATTGCGGCCAAGAAGCTGAAAGATCTAGGTGTAGATCGCAATGGAGAGCGGTTTGTTGGAGATATCTTTGGCGGGCTGAAGGCATGGAAGGAGACGATTGATCCGAGTTTACCCTTTATATAGCCATGAAGCCATAAGATATTAGAGCATCAATTGCGAACAAGAGAGTTTTTTCATTATACATAATACACGTACGAAGTACATCCTACACGTCCACAGTCCCAGCAACGGGGAAAGGGCTCTTTTTTTCTTTTTCGTCCACCGGATTTTCCGCCATCCCAAGCATGCTTTCAAAGTTAAGGAAGACAAGAAAGCAAGATTTTTTTTTTAACACGCACCGTATGATTGCTAACCACCGCGCATATTTATCGGTTCTTGTCAGAGAGTGTTTGTTTTTGTTGTCTTAAACCATTGTTTTAAACAAAGGATGCCGACTTCTTCTTATTAAATGCTCGCTGATCCTTCAGCCACCTTCGATATCCGGCAACGCTCTGGATCTTTTCGCCGTAGAAATCGGGAACTGAAAAATACTTGTTAGAATGATCGACTATGAGTCATATATATATATCTCATGTTCGCCATACCTGGGTTGCCTGCGCTCGAGTTTGTAGGGTCGGCGCGATGCCTCTTGACACGTGCAAAGAACTCGCCCTCCTTCTGCATCATCTGCGTCTTGAAGCGTCGGTTGATGATGTAAAACACCTGGTTGCCGAGCGTCGGCCCGACCAGCCAGCCCATGCCCGCACACGCCATGGTCATGATGCCCAGCGTGAAGAAGGGATCCAGCGGAACCTGCGCAATCAGAGGCTCGGCAAAGCCCTCGGCTAAAACGACGGTGCCGACCGCGCCGCCCAGCAGGCCCGTGGCCACGGAGAAGAGCAGCTGGATGCGGCGGCGGCGAAGACGAAGCTTGAAGAAGGAATCCCAGTCGAGGGCCGGCGCCGAGCCTGGGCCGCCGGCCGAGGCGCTAGAGTAGGGCTGAAGACGCAGACGGAGGGCCGACGACGATGACGCTGACGATGGTGTGGGGGAGGAGGCGCTCCGACGAGTCTTTGCGACGAGGCTGGCGATGGACGGCCGCGAAGTGCTGGAGCCGGCCAGGCTGTGGTTGGCGCGGGTAAAGGTCGAGGGCAAGGCGAGGGCGCGAGACCGAGCGCATCCTCCGGCGGCGAGGGGCTGCGGCGGCTGCGCCAGCGAGAATGAAGCTTTGGGAGCACATCGCACGAGGCTGGCTGGCGCTGCTGCGGGGATGCGCAGGCATAGCGATTTGAGCGAGGACGACATGGTCGCGGGGTTTTTTCTTTTTGGCGGCCGACTTGCGAGGGCGCCCAGGGCCAATTGAAGGATTCGACGGCTGGGAGGGCGGAGAGATGGTGATGGCCGAATCGGTGCGTTGTGTTGTGCCGCAGGCTGCTCTTTTTTTTTTTTTTTTTCCACTCCAGCTGCAGGGTTGATTTGAAGTTTTGAGATGCACAGTTCAACCCATGCTTGGTGGAGGTCGGCCCGGGTGCTGTTGCGGCCCCCCCCACCTTTGGTCGCTGAGCTCTAGTGGGCTGCGGACACTGTAAGGCTACAGGCAGTGCTAGCCCCTCTAAAGCATGGGCGCCTTGCTCAGTATATGTAGCCCCCCGGAGCCGAGCTTGTTACATCCAACGCTAATATCACCGGTCCCGAGAGGTTGCAGTAGTTGTTGGCCGCAGCTATGTCTCGCTGGAGGAAGTGAAGGATTGCAGCGCCAGGGTCGCATTCCTTGTCGTTCGCCCATGTTCTGATCCAGGGTAATCGCTTACTCCTTGTCTGCGGTGGTCGATGAATGATGCAGTAGGACAGACAATCAAACGGCTGCTCGCAGTATTTCGCAGCTGCAGACCTCATATCGGCTGGGCTTTGGCCAGGCAGCGCCAAGAAGGCTCGCAGCTTGATGGCGCTTAGTCATCAAGTCTATCCAACTGACGTCGCGTCTGTCGGCATCGGCATTTCCATCGGCAACCTTGCGTGTTGCACACAAAACTTGTCCATTGCACACGCCGCGCCTCGAACGAGAGGCTCTCCATGACCAGCAGACGCAGACAATGAATAGGCGCGTTGGCTGCGCGAGAGGCTGCTCCCCCCTTCGCAGCGCCCTTTCATGATGTTTTTCGACCCGGAATTCCTAGATCGCCGCCTGGCTGGCAAGGGACTGGAGCCGCTCTCTCAAGCTGCCGATCCGAGGCGCAACCCGACCCTTTCGAATCCAGCCCAGCCCCCGACGTCGCGAATCGCCATACCTCTCTTCTCGAAGCCTGCAGACTATGTGCCTGGCAGCGGACCACCGTTGCGGCCAATATCCTTGCTTCCCGCAGGCGACTCCACAGCGTACATCATCGAGCGTGTCCTGCTTCCTTCTCCTGGGCCTGCGGCGAATGGCAGGCCTCTGCCGAAACGAATGGCCTACTTGATCGGATGGCGCGACCTGCGCGCTGCGAGCATGCTCGTCCCCGCAATGCAGGTCCTGGAGTACGTTGCCCCACGGACGCTGGAGGAGTTTGAGGCAAAGCTGGAACAGGAGGTGGACGACGAGAAGGAGAAGCTGCGGAACGAGCTCAAGTCGGGCGCGGCGGCGCCGCAGAAGAAGAGGAAGAGGGGACGGCCTCCTGCTCACAGCCAGATAAAGTCTGCCGTTGTGGCAGAGCCCGTAGCTGTGACCCCGACGAAGCCACGGCACAAGAAGGGCGTCATAAGTCTGTCGACTCCTCAAAAGTCTAGGCTGGCGGATTTTGAGTGGCTGTCAGAAGAAGATGGGAGTCCTTCGCGACAGATAGCTGAGGAGCAGTTTCAGAGCTTGCATGGCTTTTTACCTGAACCTATTGAGGAGGGTAGCAGCGTAGCTGGAGACACAACCGACCCTCTCCCCAGAGATCTTGTGCATCCCGTACGTGGTGCTCCACAAACAGACATTCTCCATCTTGTTGGTAGCGACCTTGTGAAACAAGAACAACAGTCAGCATCGCCTAATCCAGAAGTCGCAAGGATTAAAACTCCTATTTCCGCTGATAGTGGGCTGCAGACGCCAGCGACTAATAAGCACAGCTTACCTACCACAGTGGCTCTGTCCGTTGACGAGAGAAAACGGGGCAATCAGCCTCTATGCTTACCTCCATCTTCAACATCATTACCCCCCGTAGTGCAGACAGTACAGACACTACAGAAACAGGCAGAGAAGCAGAACCCTCTGATCAACCTTGAGAAAGGCGTCAAGGTAGATCAGAAGCCGAAGCAATCGAAGAAGAGACGCAGATCTGAAGATGGAAGTGCAAGGACTGAGACTCAAGAGGACAACGGTTGGGTGGTGGAGAGGATAGAAGATGTTGAATATTACGAGGTTGATGGCCATGGCTTGGTGAGATATTTCAGAGTGAGCTGGGAGGGCGATTGGCCGCCAGATCAAAAGAGGACGTGGGAGCCAGAAGAAAACATCCCAGCCAACCTCGTGCGCAACTTTTTCAAGAATTCTAAGCATAAACGAAGAGCCTTGTCAAGGCTAGGCACCGTTGGTCAGAGTCAGAGCCAGAGCCATCCCGAAGGAACAGGCAGGGCAGCTAAACAGAGTGGCAGCTCTTCACGGAGCGCCCATAAGCAAGGCTCCTCTCTCAAACAGAGCAAACTATCGTGGCCCGCCGTCCGTAGGAAGTACAAGAGCGTCAGCGAAGCTTTTGCCGCAGAGGACCATGACAGCCCCGAGATGATGGACGACGGCTACGATGCCGAGGAAGAAGAGCTCAGTGAGAGCAGACAGAATGAGTATTTTGTCGTGACGGAAGATGGCGACGATGATATACATGGCCGGAGTCTTTGGCCAAGCGCTGGCCCTCTTTCAACTGCATTTGGCGTACTCAGGGGGCTGCAATAAACTGTTTTATACCCCCCCCCCCCCCCCCCTTTTTTTTTTTTTTCTTTTCTTTTTTCTTATTTTCTTTTCTTGTTTTTTTTTGGAGACAAAGTGCTGAATTAGAAAAAAGAATGTGTATCCGAAGAGCGTTCTTTTGGCATTTACTTATTTGTCAATTTTCAGTCTTCCTTTGCGGGGAAGACACTTGCAAAACGACAATATTTTATAATCGCTGGCTGGGCTTTTTTTTCCTTCTTAGCGCATTGGAGATTTGATTAACCCCCTTTTTTTTTATTTTCTTTTATCCCCCCCTTTTTTATGAAAAATGGTATCGGCGCAAGATTGATTTTTTTATTTTTTTTATTATTAGTTCTTTTATTTGGCGGCGCGGTGCCAGGGATATGGATTAGGCGATTTTGAGACCTTTGGAGTTTTAGAATCAAGGGCATTTATTATGCAAAAAAGAGGAATTGAGAATTTCTTACCTGATAGAATAAAAGAGTCGTGATTGTTTTTATGCATTAATTTACACTTTGTTGAATTCTTTATGCTCCATGTCCTACGCAGACTGTATTAAAGAGGGGAGGTCATAAGGGGGATTCATGCAAAGTAAAGCTTCATAGCAACAGAGGCACATGATGTATTATAAACTGTTTGCCTATGATTCAATTCAATATCAATCTGCTTATGCATATCAGTGCGGGTATAAATGTTAGATACTAGAGCAATAAAATGAAAAAAGCGAAAAGAAGCAGAGAAAAACTGCCTCCCCAGAATGCAATAGCAATTCTAAAGGTGCCTCTGACTAATAAAAAAAAAATGCAACAAAAAGCGGTCCGTTTTGATATCAAATAACTTTTAACCCCAATAACCCCCCTGGTTATGAAAAAGAAAAAGAAGGAAAAGTAATAAAGTAGTAAAAAGAGAAGGCTAAAAAAAATGAAACAAATGGCGACCCGTTTCAATATCAAGTATCTTTTAACCCCAATATCCTCCTTCGGTTATAAAAAAGAAGAAGAAGAAGAAGAAGAAGAAGAAGAAGAAGAAGAAGAAGAAGAAGAAAGGAAAAGTAAAGGGAAAAAGAAACCCAATTACCGCCTCTCCAAGCCAATCATCACCATCCCAAAAGCAAAGCAAAACTTGACCATTCCTCTCAACCCTAGTTCGTATCCCAAACTCCCGAAAAAGGAGAAAGAAAACTCACGGCACAACTCCCGTGTCCATTACCCTAACTCTGGAAACGCCGAGATACTTCTTCACCACAGCAGCCACAGGCGTCTTCTTAATGTCGCGGCATCCCATCTCGCACCCCTTTTCGCACTTGGGCACCGCACCCAGACCAAGACCCTGCTCGGCCGCCTTCTTTCGACGGTGCCTCGCTAGCATGCCGTACTGCTCCCACGTGCGAATGTTAATCTCGCCGCGGCTCAGAAAGTATTCGTCCCAATGCTCTGCCCAGTCAGGTTCATGGAGAGTGTTTGCCATGAGCAGCTTGGTGTCGTCCTCGTCACTCATGCTCCAGCTCCATTTTCGGCGCGTTATTGTGATATTGCTGCCGATGATTCTGTAATCCGTGTCCTTGTGGTTCTCGAGATCGTAGAGGAGGTTGTCGACTTCGTCTTCCTCAATATCATGTTGCAAAGCAAGGCGTTTCTGCAAGGAGAGGCGCGTTGGACCCTGTTGGGCGGCTGGCTTGGCGAGATGAGGAGGTGGGAAGTTATACGGGTGCGTGTCCCAATATCTCTCAAGGTCGTCTTCGGGAAGATATTTGATTATGCCACAAGGAGGCTTAGCGATGTGGTTGTTTATCTGCGTTACGTCGGGGACGATGACCTTGAACATGCCCTTTTGATTACAGTATTTGTAAATGTCTGAGAATTTGCCTTTCCAGATGAGCTCGTCAACTCTTCGGGCATGGTAGAGAGATGTAAATTCGACGCATAACGAGTCGTTTGCCACATCGTGCTCAACACGAAGGATATGTTTAAGCCCGATTGTGTTGATAAAATACCAGATGTAGTCACTGGGGAATCCTTTCAATAGGAGCGATCGACTGTATCTTTGTGATACAATCTCTTGATCTACCCAGCATACGTCAAAAGAGACAGTCGGAACAAGCCACGCGTGTGCGTGATACTTGTCGGAATTTTCATCCTCGTAGATGAGAGACGTAGTCTGAACTGTGCGAACAAAATCTGCGGCCGGCCTTGGGTGCAAGAATTCCACCATCACCGTCTTTGTGGTATTATTGGTGATGGGTAACGTGTTGAGAGGTGTGATATTGATAATTTGCCCGTGGGTCTGGATGCCTCTTACAATCTGGGGTAGTTTTGCGCCTGGCGGCAAGTTTCGAAGTATGACTCGACGGCTTCGCTCCGCTGCGGGTGTGTTTGGAGGAGAGGGTGCATATAGCCGTCGACCATAGATGGTTGTAAAATCAGAATGGAATTCGAGACGAATTTCAGCATCAGGCGTCTCGATTCTTGTGACAGCCTTCTGGGGAGCGTCGATGAAAGGATCGATTTCGGAGGATTGTGTGTTCTGGGTCACAGGGGACTGGCAGTCTGGAGTATCGAGATTCGTGAGATCTGTTATATCGTTCTCGGACGGGGTACAGTCTAGTAGGAGATCGGATAAACCGTCTTCTGTCTTTGCTTCATCAGAGATTGTAGAGATACTTATCGCAGGCGAGGCTGGAGTCAGCCAGGGTGAGCCGCCAGAGGACTGTCAGACGGTCTGGTTAGTAAAGCTGTAGTAAAGAGTGGAACTTTGGTGGGAAAAATCTTGCTTACCCTCTTCATCTTGGAGAGGCTTGAAGGGTTCTTCACACCCTCAATCATGGCAATGTTTCCCGTGAGAATATGTCCAACACCGGCGAGAGCGCTGCCAAGGGTGCAAACGGCAAGAAGTAAGTTGGTGTCTGTCTCTTCTTGGGGTAACTCCTGGAGCCTGGATTCGAGGTTTCTCTACACAAGCAAATAGGGTTAGTCTCAGGCGTATATGGAAGCTGAAGCCTGTAAGTGAGGAATGGGTGTATGAGGGCAGCTCACTGCTTCAAACAGCGTACGTTGTAGCTGGTGGAGTTGTTTGCACAAAACATATTTGATATCCTGAAAGATTGCGAGGCACTCGTCCCGCTTCTTATAATTTTCAAGGAGGCCATTTTGAACAAGGTTGGTTCGATTGCTCTGGATGGCGCTGTTTGTTGAATGTCTGGGTAAGAACTCTGGAGCAGTGATGAAAGATTCGCCATCATAAATCTCTGTCGTGTTGGGCCTATTCAAGGAAACACGTTGGGTTTGCAGTTCAAGGAGCTCGGTGTTACTGCTGTGCTCTTCGGGTTGCACAAGACCAGGGCAAGGGCTGACAGTCATTGATGGAGACGGCACAAGGCTGATTAAGTGGTCTGTGGTTGAAGCATCCATTGCAACAGAAGAGAAGGTTTAGAAATTTATCCCTTGTTGCAGCATTGAATGCGGAGTGGATGATGATAGAGAGGGTGAAATTGGAGAAAGAAGAAGACGTTCAATCCAAGTTCAGATTACAGTTATAGCTAAAGTTGAGCAGGTGCAACGGCCTGAGGCAGTGAGTTGCATTGGAGCTGATGGAGAGTTCATCTGGTGCACGCACTGGGAGCAAGGCAAGGATAGATTGGATGAACTGGCCATGTCTTTCGTTTGTGGCGCTGAATTGTATAGCAAACGCGAGCATCCATAGACAGTGAATCACGAATGAATATTTGGTTTTCATCTTGGGAAATTAGGGTAAGGGATGCTGAATAGTAGCATAACACAGATGAGACCTAGCAGTTCACCATGGCTAAGATGATACAATAACATAACGGGACAATATGCAGCAACTGATGCAGTTGGAAGTGAAAAGAGAGAATAACCATCAACGCCTCTACATTATAGAAAGTGGTGTTTATTAAACGGACTTTAACACTGATAGAATAAATTTAGTTGCTCTCCATGCAATTCGTATTACAAACAAGAAAGACGGTCACTTTTTGATCTCTGCATCTACCGAGGTGCAGTGCCGATACATTTACTTTGAATTGTAATCCATACTCCGGCATCATTTACCTCGAGCAAGTCATAAAAGGGCGCCGGCTGTCGGCAAGGCTGATGACATTCGGTAGCGTAGCATAGAATAGTCCACTATTTTCCGTTTTGAGAAGGTTTCTGCGACATCTCGCAACCTACTCATGTAAGCAAGCTGAAGTAAAGCGCGCGGCGGTAAGGCTGGTGCAACCCTAGGCATCTGTCAGATGTCGCTTTTAACGTCATAGTGCTTAATCTTGATGCCCAGAAAGAGATCCAGGCGCCAAAACATTTGCTGCAAGGGGGGCTTGGTGAGGGAGAGAGAAGCATCCGGATCAAGGGATGGATGGCACGGATTCGGAGAATAAGCGCGTCTAGAAGCCATCATAGCCTATGCTAGCACAAAGAGGAATTCCAAAAACGTATTTTATAGCGGCAAAAAAAAAAAGTGTCCCGCGATGGATTGCCGGACTTGGCTGCTGTCGGGCTGTTCAGCCTATCAGATCTGCCAGAGACGAAGCAGGGGTTTGAGACGCAGACTGCGATGGAGCTTGCGGGAGTAGCCCGGCGTGCGCCTTGCCGAGCCAAATCCGAAGAGTATCGTCAGGTACTGGGCCGGAGATGAGGATTTTGGGCAGTTATTTTGTACTAACCGTTATTACGGGAGAAATTGGAGTTGCTGTTGTTGCGGGCACTTGTTGAGGTTGGCTAGCAGTTGTCTGGGTTAACGGGAGTTGGCGGATGCACTTTGTACGTAAGAGAAATCAAAGTTGAGTTAAGCCTGGGGGGCCATGATGCGAGGGTGAGATGCTGATTCAGGAAAGGATTTTTCGCACGCATGAGGGGCTGGAGCACGCAAGCCGGGATGCGACTTTTCGCAAGCAATTGGGTCTTTGACAACATGTCAAGGCGAAAGATGGCATTGCAATGGGTAGGACTTAAACTACATGTAGGTTGCGTGAATGCTTCGAGGCCGGTAACAACAACTTACTTGCGCCGCAAGGGATACATCAGGGTACATTCCTCAGGTCCCCACCGCCAACCGACAGAGCCAAACCAAAAGCTTGAGCCAGGACAGCAGCGGCTACAGGGGTCTATGCGACCGGCTAGCGGTTCGTCTGCCAACTAGAGCCTCCTGGGGGACGCCAATTCGCGGGAACAGAGCCCACTCTTCGCGCTGCCGGTGTAGATGTGATGTAACCAGTACTCTGCCCTCTGCCTGTTTGCCCGCTAACACGGCGCCCGATTCACTCACAGCAGTGCCCGAGTTTGACTGCGTCTCGCCGACACAGCGGTGGTTGCGTGATGCTCGGGGTACACGCAGGGTACGCTCAGGGTACATCTCGCCCTGGGAGCTGCTAGCCCGGCCCTTGTTCTCCAGCTCAGTTCGATGCAGCGCAAATGCGGATCTCCGCGGCGCGCTGGATCGCTTCCACCTACCCTTTCGTCACTGCTCGGCTGCTGGGCTTCTTTTTTTGCTCTGATGGAGATTTTTTCTCGTCTCCTTTCGGCCCTGTGTTTTGCAACCCGAGACCCGGCTTCGTATATTATATTATGCCGTTGGTCTCACCGAGCTCTGGCAGGTTCTGATGGCCAGCATCGTTCACACCCTCTCTCTATATCTAGACCGGCGCTGCAGGGCTGGCTGAGCTGAGCTTCTCTCCTGTACATCCCACTCAAGCTCGCCACCCAACTCCCTCCGCAATACTGCTCTCTTTATACCGGCTATTCCCCCCCAATTGGTCAAGGCCGGTCAAGGCAAAATCAAATCGAGTCGAATCCCGCGGCAGCAGTGCTCAGTCACGACCGCCATCATGCCGCCCATCCACCATGGCTGGAACTTCAACATTGACCGGTTCCTCAACCCATTCGTGCCTCCGCCGCCATGGAAATACATCCCGTATCCCGTGTCGTACTGGCTCGGATACCGCAAGACCAAGCCCCAGGAGACTGGCAACTTGATGCCCATCTTCTGGGCCTTTCTGGGTGTCTTTGGCGCCATTGCCATGATTGAAGCCGTCAGCATGCATGTGGCCTCTTTCGCACCTCACCACGTGCCTCATATTGTGGGCAGTTTTGTAAGTTTCCGCCTTTCATGTGTTTCCATACGAACACTGCAACTGACTGTGTCTTCAAGGGCGCTGCCGCCGTGCTCGAGTTCTATGCAATCGAGTCGCCCCTGGCCCAGCCGCGAAATGCCATCATGGGACAAGTCCTCGCCGCCGTCATCGGATGCGGCGTCGGCAAGCTTTTCCTCCTCAGCGACAACTTCGAAGAAATCAAGTGGCTCGGCGGTGCCCTTGCCTGTGCCTCAGCTACTGCCATCATGGCACTGACCAAGACTGTGCACCCGCCCGCTGGCGCGACAGCACTGCTGGCCGTGGTTGATCCTACTCTCATCCAGGTCGGGTGGTTCTTGATTCCCGTCATGTTGCTGGGCTGCGCTCTGATGCTCGGCGCGGCGCTGCTCATCAACAACATTGAACGCCGCTTTCCTGTTTACTGGTGGACCCCTGATAATTTGCGACAACCCAACTCCCTCTTTCGCCGTCGGCACTCTGTAACCGAGGCGTCTGAAGCCGGCAGGGACGAGTCTAAGCCAGAGGAATCGAGCGAGAGATACACCTCAGACCTGGAATCCCCTACCGAGAGAGAAGCCACGAGGGAAGACATTGAACACGCTGCCGACATCATCATCAAACCAGGACAGGTTATCGTTCCCGAACACGTCTATCTCACGCAGGAAGAGGAGCAATACCTAGAAACACTATGCAAACGGCTCTAACCGGATTCTACGTCCATACTGTATATCACAAACTATCCATCACATTGGCGTTATTTTGGAGACATTGGGTGCATTTTTTTTTAGCCGGCGAATAACGTATATTGAGCATTCGGCATGGTTTGTTTACTTTATTCTAATACAATACACAGCATATACGTGGGATACAAAACTAAACGCGACAATGGATGGAATTACGAGATACCATTTCTACTCAAAATATAATACATAAACTTTATCTACCCTCTTGCCTTTGCCTTTGCCTGTGCCTTTGCCTTTACTTATACTTTTGCTATAGCGCTTCAATGCGTCACAACTCTCCACAGCCAGGATCCATAGCCCAAGCTAAAAAACCCCGCCATCACGTTGAATGCAAATACATGGACGTTGCTGTACATAGTAAGAATGCAGTATGCATATTGGGTAATTTGAATTCAGGCATTGCCAGGGTTGGCTGCTGAAGGATCCAATTGTTTCATCAAATGGGCTTGTTGGGCTTAATTATAGCGCCTCTAATGCTACGCCGCTGCCTGTTGCGCTGCTGGCGGTCTGAGTCACCCCGGCAAGCATCATGTCCAATTGGACTCAGCCTCAACCTCAGCCCACAGATGCATAATAAGCATAACTACCTAGTAGCACACAGCCATGGTGGTAGTTCTAGACTCATACTATGTATGTACGACATGATGCGCCATGCAAGTCTACACGTATAAAGATAGGGCTGCTACACCTTATTTACTCCTCAATCCTCGTTTCTTTCTTTTCTTTTATGCGCAGCTTACCCTCTTGTCTCCAGTGTATATCGTAGCTGCTGCACATCATCATCATGGCGGCAATCGACGGCCAAACCGAGGAGCTGCCATGGTTCCTGAGGACCTCATATCCCGTCCTCTTCTCTTCACACGAAGCCCTATTCAAGTCTCATGCCGAGTATGACAGCTTCCTCGTCAATGAACTGCGGGGCTTACACAGGGTCATGTCGCTCGAGTCTCTGGAAGACTCCATGGATGGCGCGACTTTGACTGCTGAAGAGAAGGAATTAATACTAAAAGAGAAAAAAAATGACGACGAAAAGTTTTTCAATCTCATGTTGACGGAGAATTCCGACGTTGCTTTTCGCTCTACCAACAGCCCAGTAGTGGACCTCTTTTACGAACTGGAAGAGGTCGTTTCTGGCCCGCGCCTGCAGGAGCTTCTCGAAGCCGCATGGGCTGAGCAGCCGCTGGTCACCTTGAAAATCATCTTCAATGCGCGCTCCATCCACCTGGGCAAGAGCTCCAAACACGTCTTCTACCGCGCCGCTGGCTGGTTGGCAGAAAACCATCCGCTTACTCTGGTCGGTAACCTGCGGTGGCTGACCCGGCCGGTTATCGAGAAGAAGGTGAGAAAGGAGGGCGAGAAGGACCCTGACGAAGGGTTTGTCAAGGTGGAGAAGCGAGATGGGATTGAAGATGCCGTGGATCGATTCGATGTTCAATACGGAGTTTCGCATGGCTATTGGAAGGATTTGCTCAATCTTCTGGCCTTGGCGGCGGAGAAGAAGCTCAAGGTGCTTGAGAATCCGAGGGACGTATTGAACGTGGAGAATGAGGTCATTAAGACAAGGGTTATGAGGCGACGACAGCAGAAACAGGATCCCGCAGGTGCCGAAAGAAGTGGAAGGACGGCAAAACGAATTGCAAAGGAAAAGAAGAGGAAAGCCGAGAAGAAAGCCGCGGAGATTGAGCATGCGCTGGAAGAAAAGACAGTACACATTGGAAACCCAATCTTGGCCAAGCATGCAGCGAGGGACGCCAAACATGAGGCTCTCATGAACCTGTTTGAGGCCAACGCCTTTTACCGAACGCTGCATATTACCGTGGCTCGGCTCTTTGCTGAACAGCTCCATGCAGACCTAGAAGCCCTCCGGAGTTCTGATTCCAAGGCCAAGAAAGGCATCTCGCTTTGTGCGAAATGGGCTCCCTCACATGGCAATTTCCACGACAGGCATACCTGCATAATCAGCTCCATCGCCGAGATCCTGTACCCTCGAGAGTCTCTCGGTAGCGCCGTCTCTGCCACCACGAGCCGACAAGTGTATCTTCGCCATGCCCGCGAGCAATATCGCAAAGACGTGTCCGCGCTGAGAAAGCATCTCGAGGTTGTGGAGCGGGACATTAGCGCCAAGGCGTTTGAGAAGATCAAATATGACCGCGTGCCGTCCATTGCGATGAAGAACTATATGAATCTCTTTGCCAAGAAGGACTTGGACAACTTCCGCAGATATATAGACCAAGTGGCCGAGGGGAAAGCAAGAATTTCCGGCGCTGTTTTGATGCCTTCTACATTAGTGAAGATGGCATCTGGCCTCGAAATTTATGCCGATAGGGATCTGGATGAGTTGACGGCAGCCGAGCTGATGGACCACACTATCAAGGAGATTGAGGCAAAGGCTGTAGACGGCCAGTGGAAGGCTCTTGTTCAGCGGATAAAGGATTCTGGCACCTTGTCGTCTTGCATCGCGGTATGCGACGTCTCCGGGAGCATGAGTTATCCCGTATTCAAGGACAAGACGAGGCCCTTGGATTCTGCGGTTGGTCTATCGCTTCTAATCGCCGAGGTGACTGAGCCTCCATTCGGCGGCAAGTTCATCACGTTCCATTCGCACCCCGAAATGATATCCGTTGATACGACAATGACACTGTCTGAGAAGGTGGACGAGATGGAAAACTCAGCGTGGGGGATGAACACAGACTTTGCTGCCGTTTTCGAAAAGCTCATCCTCCCGGTGGCTATTGAGAACAATCTGAAGCAGGAGGACATGGTGAAGCGCGTGTTTGTGTTTAGTGACATGCAGTTTGATGAGGCGGAAAAAAGCATGGAAAATCGGTGGTCTTCGTCTTCTTACGAGAGGATCAAGAGAAAGTACGAGGAGCATGGCTATGAGATGCCCGAGCTGGTGTTTTGGAACATCGCGGGTGGAAGGGCGGGTTATAGCAGCGACGAAGACGAGAAAGACGACGAAGGCGAGAAAGGCGATGAAACTGCGCCTAAGCCTGTGCTTGCGGAAGAACCGGGCACGGCTTTGGTGAGTGGATATTCACAGGGTATGTTGAAGGTGTTTATGGACAATGGGATGTTTGATGGAGAGGAAGGGGAGGATGAAGATGAAGAGGAGGAGGAGGAGGAAGAGGGGGAGAACAAGGACGGGGAGGATAAGGAGGAGAGTCCCGTAAAGACGTTGAAGAAGAAGAAGAAGAAGGAGAAGAAGATCAATCCATTGATGACGGTGAAGAAGGCAATTTCGCATAAAGGATATACCATGCTGGAAGTATTAGATTGAATGCATATAGGCATTTAGGACAATATTAAAAGAACCATCTTGATCTCGAAAGACTGCTAGTACCAAAATTACTGTAATCTCAGTAGAATGAGTATAAAGAGCGTCACTTTATAGCCCAGCTGTAAAGAAAGTACTTGTTTGAAAAAGAAAGAAGAAAAAAAAAAAAGTAAAACGCGAGATGCAGATCATCAGTAAATTAACCAAGACATCATTTACAAAATATGAAGAAAATGCAAAAAGAAAGGTTTGGGGCCAAACCGTGGATTGAACACGGGACCTCTTGCAGTTGAGTTGGTAACCCAAAGCAAGAATCATACCACTAGACCATTTGGCCGATTATTTGATATGATAAGCTGAGTTAAATCAAACTTATAAATGACTACTCCGATAACAGCATTAGCGTGAGAGCTAACGACGACGGCTTCAGTCAGTAGCATGCATAGATATTATGCTCCAGGGCTGAGAATATTCCTCAATTGCATTCTCATTCTCCCTTTTCTATATGCTTCTCTTTCTTCTTCTTTTTCTTTTTCCTCTTCCACCCCTTTTCTCTTTTTCATTTTTTATTAGTCTTATTGATATTATATGTGTGCTCATTGAGTAATAATGCGGCCATAAATTTGGCTATATTCTAGGGTAAACTTGGTATCTATCGAACCAATGTCAGGAGGCACAAGATGCATATTCGCGACCAAATCTTGGTATAATCTATTCTTGTATCAAAAAAAGTGATTCTTGGTTAACTATATTGTTTTATACATTTAATTTTACGCCTGTCCGTACATCCACTATATCGTGTCTTCGTCACATCGATATGGTTGAAAATCAAGTTGTATATCTAAAACGTGTAAATGTAGCCGATGGCAATATATCGCCTACTCTACACAATAATACACGCATGCACGTTGCATTCATCCATATCCCACGTTACAGTAACCTTTAATAAGCAGCTTCCATTTACAAGCAGATACAATCTATTACTGCTCCATTGCCACTAGCACAAGCGTATAGATTGATAAATCACAGGAGAGTCAGAACCGTCGGCATCAAGAAGAATATCAGCACAAAAGCGTAGAACATACCAAGACGTCACAGGACCATCGCAAGCCTAAAGCGGAAGAATGGACAAAAACATGACATAACGTAATTTGTAACCAGATGTTGAGAACACCTTTCCCCACGTTATACGAGATTTAACACCCCTGGATGAGACATGATACCGGAGTGACACATGCCAGCCGCCAGTTTCAAAAGTTCCAGATGAAGCGTTTCCAAGCCGTCTACCCTCTAGCCGCGGTATCATGAGATGAAATTTTTGAGGCATCCAAGTCAATAATTGCCATTATATTTCTTCCTTGTGTGTGCTTCTTCCCCTCCAGCTGGCTGCATATTCTGTCTTATTCTATACTGCACAGCCTTGAGCTTCTCAGACATTCCTTGATAGATCGGACAATCAGATGCTTCACTCACCCGCACACGCCCCCTAACTCTAGCATGGCGTGTCTCTTTCCCCGCATATTCGTCCCAAGTATCGCGTATTCTATTCGCGAGCCACATTTCAATATCCCAGCCTCTAGACGGCTCTGCTTCAAACCTAGCTGATCACCGGGGCATCTTGAATACGCGTGGATCTGGAACTAGCTTCTTTGGCCCATTCCATTGAGTCTCCCTGGCAGTAATCGAGTACTCTGCCAGAGGGCTGTCATATCTGTACGCTTGGAAAAAAAAAAAAATTCACTGTAGTCTGAAACATCGGAGTAGATGCCATCTATTCAAATTGTATCATGTTAAACACAGTATCTAGCCTGTAGATATCTAATATCTATCTGTTTCATTTATAGTCTTCATGTAATCGCCTAGAACAAGCCTGCTATACACCGTGTGCGCGATAAGAGTCCCTGTCTCTGAACCTCCCCCAAAACATAACCGGAGAGAAATATGATCCATACAAAAGAAGAGCAGTAGTATAACTCGCTGACGCCTTGAGCCGAAAAAAACATAAAAAAAAAGAGTTCTTGTATATCTCTTAATTGCGCCGAGAAACTGGGTATTAAGCTGTGTTTGTTTGCAAGACGTGGAACTCCTATCCTTCCTCTCTGTCCGTCTTACTCCTGTAAACCTTGTAGAATATGTCGAATAACATGGTAAATTTCAAATTTGCCGAGTCGAATAATGATTTGCAAGTCGCTTAAACAAAAGTGTGTTTTATCTGGATAGATTTCGCTGCTCGCTCTTGTAATGTTGCTTGCTAAAAGGAATGAATGAAATGCAAAAAGGAAAGTGGTTGAAAAGGAAAACAAAAGGGCAATAATTAGGAATCAGAAGCTGAATAAGCCGCTTCTCCTCTTGCCAAGCGGATATACAATCAAAGCACTCATAAAGAGGCCAACGCTGATGCCAATTGCGACCTGGATGACGCTCAATAAAACTGTGAATGCAGTACCATCGATCTGAGAACTGCTAGAAGTTGCTGTACTATTTTTGTTCAAAAGATTGGCCGAGTTGATGCCAGCCAAGAGGGAGCCACTCGCAGCTAGACCAGAAGGTACCTGTACAAAGATGGCTGGGAGCATGGCAGCAGCAGCAAGACTATATCCTACTTTCCTGGGCAGTCGCTTCTTCTCTTCTGGAGGTGGTCCCGCGCTGGATTCCACGTCAGGTACAGGAGGCATTGTCGGCCTCCTCTTGGAAAATCGCGGCTGGACTCGTGCTTGCCACCACTCTACGAGATCTAGCCAAGCGTTTTGCACGTGCCGTCCAAGTCGTGAGTATAGGTTGGCCAAGATACCAATTGTCAGCGCGCCAAGCATGTTGGATATTTGGCTATTGCTTTGAAAGTACTGGCTCGAATAGCTGTTGACACAGAAACCAGCCAGGGACATGACAGTCATGACAGGCGTCTGCTTCCACTTAGCCTGGTTAATGATACACAGACAGAGCGTGAAACCTGGAACAAATAAGATTGACCATGCGCGGTTCGCGCTGAGAGGGTTTTCGCAAGTTGTAGCACTGGCCGCTCCGCTGTCAAGCATGCCATACAAGGAGGCTCCGATGGTGATACCGTAGCCAAGAAATAGAGTGTAGATGACGGCATGCACCATGCGGACGCTACCGGCGACAATGTTGTGGCTTTGTAGCTCCAGAGAACCACAGAGCACCATGTAACCGGGGAGAATAAGAGCAATGCTACTCTGTGCCAACGCGCTAAAGCAAAATAGTTTCCCGCCCTGGATAGAGCCAAATCCACGGGCTATAAATGTCGTAATAACAGCAGCGGAAACCTCGAAAACGTGAGCATAAAGCTCATTGCTGGGGGCGAACACGAGCTGAAGTAGTCCGACCAGGCAACCTAGAAGGAATGCAATAGGCAGATCGATGAAGCGACCCTGGAAGGCAAATGGAGCTACACAAACCGAGGCGAGACCATACATGAATACGCGAAACCAGGTCTTGAACTTGGGCCTCCGATCTATGACCTCGTCGAGGCGCCGGGTTGCCTCCTCCACGCCAATCTTATCGTGAACGACGTCCTTGTAGATGTTATGAACATCTCGTAAGCGACCGAGATCAACTCCCTGAGGAACTCGAACTACTTTAACTTCCGCCGTGTGGGTAGAGCTATCGTCGAAGCTGATGATCATGCAGGATGGCATGTAAAGGAACTGGCCTTCGATTTCAAGAACGCGGGAGGACATGCTCATGTACTCCTCGAGACGGTGCGTTGGAGCACCGTACATCATCAGGGCGCGACAAAGCTTCAAGAGATACCTGTGGCGTGCAATTGTGCCAGCGATGTGAACGGTAATTCGAATTTGTTCCTTCTTTGATTTCTTTTCCTTCTTCCTCTTTTCACCAAAATGATCGGATATTTCGCTAGATCCAGGAGCGGCAAACATAGTGGACGACTTTAGTAGCTCACCCAATGCAAGTGAAGAAGTCGAATTTCCAGATTTGTGATAGCCTCTCAGACGACTAGATGATCGTGATCGAACAGTACTGACGGTAGAGGGCCGTCTGGAAGACGGGGGAGAAGGTTGCGGAGACATTATGGGAGTTGTTGGGGTCGTAACGGGAGTGGTGAACCCGCTGCTAACTTGGCCTCGATTGGCGCCGTGGTCATCGCGGTGAAGCTTGAGCAGAGAGGAAAGGATGCCTCCACGATATCTGGACGGCCTGGGAACGTAGTCTTGAGCGTAGGCTTGCATGATGACTGGAGTTGATCTGCCGGATGAAGAGGGTTGTGGATGGAATAGATAGTCTTTATCATGAGAGCTCACGAGCGCCTCTGCTCTATCGTGTTCATGTGGCTGGTACAAGCGGGAGCTATGGGGGGTACGATATGTGGTAGTATGCGTGTTGTAAGGCGTATATTCCCGGAGAGTAGACGTGCGGCTAGTAGTGGTAGTAGCGTCATCATCCAAGTCTGGATCAGGATCGTCTGAGACGTTAAGGACGGGCTGGAATGACCTTTCAAGTTCGATAGAGTTTCGTCTTGAACCCGGGGCAGACCTGGAGTAATACGAGCCCACCGATACAGCTAGGCGATCTGCTCGTTGCCGTGCATCCGTCATGGATCGAAGCTGCCGCTCTGTGACATGCTTCTCCGCCTTGTCTGCTTCCTCTTGCTCTTGAGGGGCATTGTAGCTGGTGTTGCGCCTCAAGACTGGTCTTGGCACTCTTGGGGTAGTAGATTCTCCAGCTTTTGGTAGGGGGGTCGATGCTTGTGGTGGTGACGTTCGTAATTCGTGTGAGTTTTGCTCCTCTGTCAGCAGTACCTTGTTTAAGGCAAGTCTCAATTCCTGAGCATCTGGTGCCCCTAAGGGAGTGAACTGTAGGGTTGGTGATGCCTGGGGTGACTGTTCGAAATATCCAGCAGGCGAGCTGTGATCCAGGAGCCAGTCACCACTGCTGGGAGAGGCGATTTCTCTGCCAAACGGACCAGCCGACAGGTTTGCAGATGACCTCAGCGATGATTGCTTCGATTCATCCTCGCTCCAGACTACACGCTTCTTGCCTTTGCGGCCTGGCGTAGAGATCTCGCTAACGTCTCCATAATCTCTGGGGTCCGTTGACATTGCTGTGGTGTGCCGGTTGCCAGTATGGTCGGCTCTGAGACAGGTCTCAGGGTTTGAGGAGGGGCTTCGAGCCAGAGAAAGGAAGATGATGCAGCATGATTTGGGAGAGAACAACTACCACAGCTGCGTGAGCACATGTAAATAAGAGGGAAAAAAATGCCATGAGTAATGGCCAAGGAGGGTTGGATCTCCGGCTGGCCTGGAATGCCCCTCCCCCCTTGGGCGTGGTGATCCCTGATAGCGGCTCGGTGTCTCGTCAGCGAGCAAAAGCTTGTCTGGGCCCCGGGCCTGTTAGATTTGCAATTACAGCCACGATGGCGAGACGAAGAGTGGGGGGGCCTCCGGAGAGGAATCCAACGTCCGCGAGCATGCCAGAGGCCGGTGCGGAAGCTTCTGCAGGCAAGGCGTGCGCTTGGCAGGCCCAGGAACATGGCGGACGCCAGCTTTGCATCCCCGGTTTTTTTACTTTCCACCTTTCCGCCATGCTCCATATCCCGTTGTCAGTGCCATGATTCCATTCTGGCCGCATTGGCTAAGACGTGTTTGCTTGTCATGATCGACTGGTCTGCGGCAGCTTCCATTGGCTTCCGTGATCATCAGTGGCTCTTCATCCATCTCCATCGCATGACTGCCGTCCCAACTGTCCCTGTCGCCGTGTGCCATGCTATCAGTATCATCAGCATATTTCTAGTCATTCCTGGCTGCGACCTGCCGAGTTTAGTCAATCGGTAGCTTGGACGCGGCCGCCGACCATCGGGTGCATAATCCTCAATAATACGAAATCCGCAGCAAGGAAAAGGCGAGCTAGCCAAGGCAGCGGGTCAGGCAAGATGCGAAGAATGAGTGCGTGATAGAGAGAAGTTTTGCAGGTGGACCTGAAAAGCGGTTCTGCTGGCTAAGCTTTGGCAGCGATATGGAGGTACAAGGGCACCGTATAGCCGCTCGGGTTGCCTCTTTGGACTAGCCGGTGAAGAGCTTATCGCTAAACAGTGCACGTGCAGCCACGATATCAGGTTATCAACTACGAGGCGAGATAGTTTCTCCATCGATTCTCCATCAATTCTCCGCAAGCCGTGGCAAAGCATGTCTTCGTTACGCTTTGGTTGCGTATCTATGGCACACTCGCAAGCTCGTATTCACCCGCCACTGCTACTGAGGCTTGTGAGGGCAGGTACCATCATTATATGATCTCGTTTTCACGGAACTATATCCGCCTCATGGCAAAAGCCTTTTGCGTGGGTGGCGAAGATGCCTGGATTCGCGCCACTTTTAATTTTTTTACTTCTTTCTTTCAGCCGCCTCGCCAAACACTAACTGACAGCCGCCCTGGCTAGAGCATTCAGTGTTAATTAACCTCTTCTATCTAGTCTAGCTCTTGGCTAGCTTCGATAAGAGTCCTGCTAGGGTCCTCCCAACAAGGGCCAACGCCAGAGAACGCCAAGCAGCTGACTGGCATCTCGAGCTTTGTTCTCGAATCTTTCGCATCTCACTTCCAGGCGTGAATCTGCCTATCGGAAGAACCCCTGGCGCTTATCTATGCTGACTAGCGTGTAGAGGCATCAGGAGCTAGGCTCATGCAAAATTCTTCATCGCTTTCACCGATCCTTGATTTCAGCGGGCAACATGCGACGGTCGCAAGAGTCCCTATTACGGCTCGCAGTCTTGAGATTGCTGCCCAACGATCAGTTCTTTTGCGCCCGAGGGGAAAATATCACCGGTTCCAAGACCACTGCCGACGGGACCCAGTCCGAGCTCCTCCACTCCACTGCTCAAAGCCGGAAAGCTTAGCTTGAAGACCCATACTCGCACATAACGGGATGAAACCCACCCGGCCCACGTTGGGGGCTAGAAAGCAGATCAAGAAATCTTGTTCTCGCCTAGACAGCCATGCTGCTAAGCCCGCAAGATTGCGCGTGCATATTTTGGTGCCTTGCTATTAATATCTCTATCCGCACAAGCCGCACTACTCGAAGCCAGTGGTTGACGATCTACCGAGACTACTCCTGAGCGGACTTGGATGGCACGATTCATTGTCTGCCGAAAGAGCCGTTTCACTTAGATAGAATTATCATTGGCGCAGGAGCACAGCCGTTATCATTTTGCATCCGTGAGTACGACCATGACTTGCCCTATGGGTCAAAGTTTCAGATGTGTGCCATCTTGTCGGTCCATTATGATGTACGACAAATTGAGTGCCTCAAACATTTTGATACGGTTTGTCTTAGCATATCTGAACCTCAAACGTCATCTTCATCTGCTTGACACAAAATTCTGTGTGTGTATCAGACCATATATCTTGAGGACACACAAAGACCAGCCACTGACGATCCTGTTTAATTTGACCCGCATAAACGCCGCTTCTCTGTGTTTCCCCTTGCAACCTGTAATGGAATATGCAAACTTGTCTCTCTCTCTCTCTCTCTCTTCTCTCTCTCTCTCTCTCTTATTGTTTCAGCAATGTTGCGTATGTGTGTGTATCCATCATTGATATGACCATCGTTATGACATCGAGAAAATGTACCGAAATCAGGATCTGCCGATTCCAGTGATGCACTGAATCAATCCCGCTTCTATGATCGTCAGGGCTCGTTTCTTCTCCTTTTTGCCTTTCTCTCCCTTAAAAGACGATCAATCGCTTGATGGGCGTGAAATATTTGATATGGTGATTCAACTTGTCAAACGAAATCAAGATTGACCCTTCATAAAATTTGACGTTTGGTATTCGCACCCTTGAGTGTGACTATAGAAGCTACCCTTTCTTTCATGATGATATACTGAAAGGGAATGCTTTCTTTCTTTTTCATTTTTCTGTCTTTTCAATTTTTTCTCACCAGATAAAAAAAAAGTATCATTTCGAGCATTCTTCTTTCACCACTGGCATTCCCTTATCTTGCACAGATGCCAGCCAAGCGACCCCCAGCCCGGACTAATTCATTTATACCGCATAAAATTCCTATGCAAAGGATTTCGTCTGGTTCTCGCAGTATTCAAAGAATTTCCCGGCATTGGATGTGTCTTCTCCGTTTTGTGGAGACAGAGACTTGTCAATATCTGGACGAGTTGGGCCAAATCGACCCCAGGGCATGACGTATTGTCCACTGTGCTCTGGCTTGACATCTGGAGATAGGCCGGCAAACAGCTCCGAGTATGCACCGTAGATGGGATCATGAAGGACCGGTAACTGGCCTCTGCATTAGCGTGATATGTATCTTCCTAGGCTTTGTAAAAGTAATCTACTGACCATTGAATAGTATTCAAGCGGAGACACGTCGCGCTGCAGCGGTGTTTTGAGATTACCAGGATTGACAGTCTGTCATGTCGACAGATTGTTAGAATTTTTGAAACCATGAAAGATGACGTCGAAAAACACTCTGACTTACCAAATGCAAAATTCCATTGCCAGCATCTCGTCTAGCCCATTCGCTACTAATGAAAAGGTTTCCGGACTTGCTGGCCGAGTATCTAGTATACTCATCTAACCATTTCTTCTTGTAGTCCAGGTTGTCGAGATCTATGCCACCCTTTGGCGCCATTAATTGTATCATGAGTGACCCCAGCCAAACAACACGGACACTGCCTGCCGGTGAAGATTTGGCAGTCGATTCGATGACCGGATGGAGGAGCCTTGTAAAGAGGAAAGGACCGAAACAGTTAACAGCCAACATTATTTCATGATCCTAGATGAAAAACAGGTAAATATCTCAGTGAGCCATCTTGCTTGGCAATTAATGGAGATAGAATGCGACCTACCTGTTTCGACCTGGTTGGAGCCTTTTTAGGCAAGCGCATAATTCCTGCATTGTTGAAAAGAACGTCAAGTCTCGTTTCCTTTTCCAGGAAGGCATTCGCGCTGGCTTTAATAGTGGACAGATCTGCTAGATCAAGGAGCAAGAATTCCAACCTGCCCTTGGAGTCGGGATAAGCTTCTTTGATGGATTTAATGGCATCTTGACCAGCGTCTTCGCGGCGCCCTGCGATATAGACGACTGCGTTTTTTGCGTACAATATTTTTGAGAGCTGGTATCCCACGCCGGAGTATCCGCCGGTTACGACGACGACCTGCTCGAGTAGACATGAGCGGCGTTAGTAGGGCGACTCAGGGTTACACGCCGAGATGCCATCCTGTTGGGATTTTTAACTGACCTTTCCAGAGAGATCGCCCAAGTTGTTCTCCGTGAAAGTAGGCTTCGGTGGGAAACCCTGCGTCAAAATATTACCAAGCCGCTTGAACATGGTAACAGATTTGAGGTTAAACTCAAAGGTCTTTATTTTGATGCGTGCGGCGGTATGAGAAGCCGGGAAACGAAGAGCTATGCTGAGAAGCCCAGGCTGGTTTTTATTGCCCGCGTAGAACGACAAAATTATGGAGAAAGAATGAGGAGATCACGAAATTCGGCCTCGGCAACGTCTTTATATAAATTACCAGGGCAAGCGGATATCTAGAGACAGGGATCTAGCAAATGATTAGCATACAACCCCTCAAGCATGCGCACTGCAACTACGCCAGTATGCCCCCCGCTTTGCTCGATGCCATGCCGTTCATGTTTTCGACATATATGTGCATTTTTATATGCTATCCCTGTTTCTCGGATACTATTTGGTTGACTATCCGCCGAGTACTCCGTACGCTAGTAGTAGATTATTTACGCCCGCATACTCCGTACAAGCCAACCATACTAATTGCAGCTTGGAGATTCTGGCGAGTTTGTCAGCGTCCATCTGTCTTCCCCTGCATACCATCCTTCACGATAACCAACTTCTCCGTTGCTTATACTGGAAATGCAGCTGAGCCGGTCTGGTAGCTATCCTATCTCCAACCCAATATCAGCCGCCAGTTTCAGACTCTTGAGCGGACTTGAAGCATAGCCCGGGGAAGCCCCACATGATTTTCAGTATTAGGAGGCCAAAAAACACGCCAAAAATCGCACATACAGGTGGACTGGAGCTGTACGATACGAGGAGCCATCTTGGTCCGCAGACTAGCCGTAGATGGTAACTACGATAGGATTTTCCTAAAGAAGAATCCACGATGCCGCCAGCTTTACCAATTGCGGCCGTCGGATGGCGGTGACCACTGCGGGCAGATTTGCTAATCTTGGGCGATAGGCTGACTCCCAATACATAAGTCTGCGTTCCTGGATTGGAAGACGGTCATCACATGCTATAATCTTGGTGCGATGCTTATAGCATGAGCCTATGCGACTTAGGGCCTTGACTTCTCAGCCAGTTGCCGTGTGCACGAGTGGTACAATCGTGATATTCGGCATAGATGTACCTAACAACTATCACTCAGAGAATGATCTTTACTTTCATGACTTCGTATGGACGGCTATAATCGTCATTGGCTGCCGTTGTGGCCATGTCTCAGATGACAACCTTGGTTACCTGAGTATATCTAAATGTGGCGTCAATAGGCGGCATCTATCCATCTTCTTGGAATAGCTTGGCTAAACTACGTATATTTCCACGTATAACTATATAAAATTCTGCTCTGTCATCGTCGATCTTTCATACTACGATTAAATAGCGACTATTGGGTGATAGAATTGCTACAACTGGAGATTTCACTTTCACGAGCGAAATCGCGAACGGTTGATATGTTGGCAGATACAATAGGTTGCTTTCTCAAGGCCATATTTGTCCTACATCTTTACTTTAGACTAGCCGATGATGAGAATTCTATATTTAAGCCTCTTTTTGTCTTTCTGCAACCGTGGTGTAACCATATGTCTAGTGCGTAACAGTGGAGTTTCTGCCAGTGTCAATCCCCCAAATACGTACAATTCACCTTGTGTTGTCTTGTACGCCACCTGGCCTGGTGCAAAGTGAGAAGCACCTTAGAAAGCGCCGATGTCGCATACGTTAGACATGCATGGATGTACCCTGTATATTGCAGGTGCTACAAGCATGTATCTGTTAAAGACATTAAGCGCATATCTACCTACTTGATTGTTGGCCAGCGACTCGCTCCTGTTGCGATACATGGCCTACTAGTAGGAGTGGACTGCGCTGTTCTGGCCAATTAGCTTCAAACTATATGAGCTTCATGCAGATCTAACGTTAGCCTGTTCCGCCTCTCGCTAATCTTGATATAGAAAAATGTGTCCTCTGTAACGTGTTAGGCAACCCATCGGTCTTACATTTGTGCCCCTCATATTCTCCAGTTTGCTTATGCTCCCAACAAAAATCGTTTGTACTTGTAAAGCTTATAAAAGACTCTATACTAGTCTTCAAATAAGACCTCATATTGCCATCAGTTGTTGAGTCATTGCAACCATAGGACATCGCAAGTCGGATGGTCTGTCGGGTAACGATCGGCAAACAGAGTCGACAGACAATGCTTGGTAGAGTAGCAGCACAGACTTGTTAAGTAATCTGCGGCTACACCGCACATCGTTGTTGCATTGAATGTCTTAGAAACTGCGTCATGTGATTTGCAGTCTAATTGTTGATGAGTTTCTTCTATATACTGTCGGGCACCTTGCGTTTGTCCTTCACCGTTTCATATCATTAGTACCCGCAGCCGCGACAAAACCAAAACCAATCAGCAGCTTCAATATGACTTCTTTCTTCCCAGACCCCAGGCGGATTGTCACCGGCCACAATTCAGAAGGCAGAGCCATTGTAGTTGCCGACAGCCCAATTCCATGCGTGCCGACGCCAACGGGGGCCAATTTTGCTGTGCTCTATGAGACGCACCAATTCCCGGCGTCCAACGACGAATGGGTTGACCCTACCAAGACGCGAACCACTGATTTGTCGAATCACAAGGGAATCATCCTCCGAGTTGTCGACATCCCACCCAAAGTGGAAACGGTAACAGTATTTTTTATTTCAGATCCAGGGCCCGGGGCGGGGTATTCATTCGGGGCCAGATACTAAGAATGGCGGCAGATGTTCCATCGGACGGAGTCGCTAGATTTCGGCATTCTGCTCAATGGAGAAGTTAGCTGGTACATTGCTTCTCTCTCAACTTGGAATTCCTTTGGCCCCAGTTGCTAATGTATCTCTCTGTAGCCATCTCGATGATGGTGTCCGCATCGATATGAAGCCTGGCGATGTGTGCGTCCAGCGCGGTACGATCCATGGATGGACAAACTACTCGGACGAACCCGCTCGTCTGTACTTTGTCTTATCAGGTAAGAAAGCAGCCTTCATGTCCGTCGTTAATTAAGGAGACAACCTCACAACGAAAATAGCCGCTACACCTGTCAAGATTGATGGAAAGTCATTGACGGCTACTGGATATAGCAAGGAAGAAGTCGAAAGTGGAGGCGCATCACACTAGATACTTGGTTATAAATTTTCTGCAAAGCGATTCCTGGAAATTCCCATCTGTCGGATATTAGTGCCTAGATGACCAAAAAGGATGTCATACACATGCTTGGATACATTTGCGAAATGTCATGATTTAGGATAGGCGCGGTGCTCTTTCTTTTAGCTCTTTCAATTTTATAAAACCGAGCCTATTTTCCCTCGTGAGTAAATTGAATTGGCAGTTGTCTGGATTACTTAAAAAGCAATACCCTGGGATATTTCATTCTCCAGCCAATTCTCCAGCCATGCTTCCACATTGGGCGTATCTCTCTCTAACCACTGGATTATTCCCTGCGCGTACTCCACACTATGATCCAGCTCTCGCTCCACACCTCGTATATCTTGCTCCTTGACCAGCCTTTCGAGAGCGAGTAGCTGATTACGGGTCGTTAGATAAAGCGTGGTGAATCTTATAATCCGATCTCTGCTGCCGAGGGTATCGGGAAACGCCAGTATAAGCTGTGCCCAATTCTCTTGAACCCATACCCAAGCCATGTCACGCGCTGTTCTTGAGTATCCCAATCCTTTCAAGATGATTGGAGCTTCAGATGGCTCGAGTTCTTTGGATAAAATAGCGTCCAATGTGCGCTTAACGAGAGTAGGGTCTTCAGTGGCAAGAAGTGATTGAGCGGCTATGCGTCGACTGTACGAGGATGGCGCATTTTTAGCATGATCAAAAATCACATTGTACTAATTACAATTAGCCAGAATAACAACGTCTATATTGAGATTTACTTGTATAACTTACTTCCTTTACCCCACCATTAAGTAGAGTCATTCGAAAGACTCCAAGCTGTATGCTTTTGTGAATTGCGTGTTCGTCGCCATTGGCAAACTTGTCAAACATGGATTTTGCTGCCTTTAAAACTTTGCTGTCGCCTGCTACGCCTGCCTCCACAAACGCCAGTGCCTTGAATAACTGTGTTTCGTGATCTCCATTGCCTGTAAAGTCCCAGCCCAGACGGTGGCTTATCGGAGCCGTAATCTGTACGTAGAAAGATTTCAGAGCACTCGACACGGCTTGGTTTCCAATATATGCCTGGAATAGATTCCGAAACTGGTCGGCGAGCTCGGTCCAGGGCAGATAGTCATTCTCCCCTAACGATCTGACAAGATCAAGCACGGTAGAAGTCTTATAGTTGCCAGCCTGAGCAAAGGCAAATGCATCTGAAATTAGGCCAGCTCGCTCCTGTAACGTGAGAAGCCTGCTGTGGCATGCCTGTACTAATTTTTTGAGTCTTTCTTCGGGATATAAAACGCGACAAAGTGATGTGCGATTGGCGTTTAGTATATAAAACTCGTGCTGGTCAGTTTTAACATCTAGCGATAAGTTTTCGCTGCGATTTTGAAGAATTGTGGAAGTAGTTCCTGATGCCGTTCGTGTATTGAGGAAGATTGGCCAAATGGTCTGATCTTCTTCGGGTTTTACATCTCCAGTGAAGAGGAACCGATGCTGCTCAAGGTTGATTTCACCATTTTTCTCAGAGACTATGAGATAGGGATAACCGGGCTTCTTGGTCCACGGATCCATCAAGGAAGCAATATCTTGTCCACAAATCTTCTCGAATGAGGCCCATAAACCACTGGTTTTGGCATTGCTATAAGCATGAGCCTGTAGATAATCTGATATAGCAGCAAAAAAGACGTCTGGAGTCAAATAATCGCGAAGCATGCATAAGACGAAGGCACCTTTCGAATAGGTGATCTGGTCAAAGCCCTGAGATATATCATCGGGACTCGAAATTGGCATCTCAACAGGATGGGTGCTTCGATAGGCGTCTATGCCGAGTGCGCCTGCGGTACTTCCAGTACGACGATATGCACATGATGACCATGTGGGCTCCAAGCTCCGTAAGCAGTCCTGGAAATGTCAGTGAGTGTAGAATAACTAAAAATACACCAAATTTTCTCACTATAGTCATCGCCGTTGCACTGCAATTTATTAGTTATTGATAACTTGGAGCATCTTGGAATCTTCCAAGTAAGCCAATAGACTCACCCGCCCTCGTTAAGCCAAAGTTGATCCCACCATTCCACAGTAACCAAATCTCCAAACCACATATGAGCCAATTCGTGGAGCAAAGTTTCCGCAATTGCCTCTCTTTTATCCTCTCCGTCGGTTGCATTGTCGAATGGGAAGAAAGACGACTGTCCCATTATCATCCCCCAGTTTTCTACAGCCCCAGGTAAGAATGTAGGAGCCGCTAAGAAGTCCAATTTGGGCAATGGAAATGGGATCTTGAATTTGTCCTCGTAAAATTTGAGGCCACGGGCGACGATATGAGCCGCATACTGTGTCAATTGGACGTTGTCTGATGGAGTTGTGTAAATGCGGATAGGTACACGACTTTCCATATTCTGGATGTATTGTAAGTCGCCAACAGCACAGCTGACGAGGTAGCTTGACATTGGCGGAGTTTTGTGAAATCGGGTGATTTTTTTTCCTTGCTCGGCGAACTGCTGTACCGTATCAATGTCCATATTACTCAAACAGGTGTGATGTGAATCTGATATGAGAGTAACAAGGAAAGTAGCTTTGAATGCCGGTTCGTCAAAGCAGGGAAATGTTCGCCTGGCGTATGTTGGTGCCATGTGCGTGACGGCTAGCACGCCCTTGGAACCATCGGGGTTGTTGTAATGAGAAGCATAGAAACCTGAGATGTCATTGCGCAGACTTCCAGTAAATTTGATTCGAAGAGATGCTGTCTCTCCTGCACTTAATGGCTCGCCAAAGAAGAAGTTTATCATGCCGGCCTCTACGTTCTCTAGGAATGGGATTCGATTGCTGGGATACTGCGTTAGCTTTATTATAGAAGCTATATAACTGAGAATAGTAGGTATACTTTCTATCTGGGCCTTCAATAAACGCAGACCCAATGGTCAGATTCTCAGAGTGCAATGTTACTTCACCAGCTTCTTCTAGCGTCTCAAGTTGGATGGTGACGTTGCCAGAATACGCTGCCTTTTCGAAATGCGGCTCGAGTGTGAGGTCATAGTGAATAGGTTTAACGTTTCTGGGAAGGCGGAAATTTTCCGGTGCCAAAGAGCAAGACCATTCGTCCTCAATGTTATTCGGACTTTGCATCTCGTTCTTGATGGTTTAATCTCGTACTGGCGTTCGTATGTTGGACGTAAAGACTGTAACATGTATTCAGTATAGTCTGTTGAAAGTGTTTGTATAAATAATGGATATTTTAACGGCCGTTGGAATTGTAGGGAATATAAATGGCTCAGTTGCAGACTCATCTACTGGTTCTGTCTTTATATATCTGTTACTCTACATTGGATACTGGCAAATGAGGAGAAGGTTGGACACGCAATGCAACAGAACCATGAATTCTCCGCAGCGATGCATAATTAGCGTGGTTTGAACCAGCAAGGCATTTTATTGCAGTAGTTTATGACCGCTTCGGGTACGTTAAGCGAGTCTCTTTTATAATTGCGTATTTGCGCTTGAGGTTGTAAAAGTCAGCATCTAAAACAGGCATTACTATTCGTAGACGCTGAGAAGGTCAGTCGGATAGGTACTCAGAGCGATGCCGAGTTAAGCTTTGAGAGATTATAGGCGGCACGTCTTATACGGCACATGTCTCAGCAAACGCATAGGCATTGCAATAGACTCCGACTTTTAGTTTTAAAGAACAGGTTCAAGTTGCATATTGATTTACCAACAGCTTACGCTTCAATCATTAAATAAAACTATAAAGTATCGCTTTTCCAGACACCGTCGCTAATGATAACTAAGCAGATAGCAAGAAATCCTCCATATGTTGCAAATACTTGTACAGCCCGACATCAATACCACCATCCATTGTCTCTTCTGCAAATCTGACAATCTGCAGTGCTTTTGGAAAGTCTTCCTCGGATGGAAAATTGCCGCTAGAAAGAGAATGTTGAATCGTCAATGCGATCCGTAGGTACGTTCGCGGCTTTCCGGCAAACAACTTTGCCCATTTATTTTTCGGCTCGTGGATGATATCCTGTGCCTTCTCGCCAGGCAGGAAGCTCGACAGAAGTTCTGGGGGGAAAGAGGTGTCTGCCGAAAGATCATATTGATCAATGTCAACAGATTCCGTTGTTTGGATGTGATTGATGAGCTGCTTTATAAACTTTAGTACGTTGTTTGCGTTTTGGTGGAGGCCTCGGAACTTGTTCATGACGTTGGTGTAGACCATAAGATCGCGCATATTGTCTGCTGCGAGCGCTCCAGTATTTAGTATCTTTGCATCTAGAACTTGCCAGATGAGCGGGATAGCTGTGAAGGTAACGCTAGAGATTTTGAATTAGTCTTGAATTTTCAAAGGAATGGATTCTGGTTCGCGTACAATGTGTTTGGCAAGTACTGGACAAGCCCAAGACGGGCTAACTGCATGAACATCCCGGTGATTCCCTTCAAAGATGAATCCATCTCTGCCTGAACCTGGAGATCATTCTTCTTCACATCTGATGCGTGGCCAGGATTGGATACAGATAATAACATCATGTGGTAGCAGAGGCTCGCTCTCGCAGAACTTGAGGATGTCAGTATGAGTCTCGTCTTAGTAATAAAGTAGACTTACAAGTAGTAGATAAAAGTCATCTTGATGAACATGGTTAGGCATTTGTGGACGCCAATTGATGGGGTAGAAGTCTCAAATCGCTCCCTTGTTTTCTGGTGCCAAGCATCCAGAAGCTCGAGAATTTCGGCGCAAGCATCTGACTCCTTTCCAGTGTTTGTCTCTGAGGTTATGGTATTGGGGCCAGCTGCTGGGTAGAGTATCGTAAGAGCTTTGTTCAAAGGAATAACGAGTTCGCAGAATGCCGACATGCAATGAGCTAAAATTTGTCTTGTCGGCCGGTCATATACTGTAGAGACCCCCAGTTCGTCTGAGAAGTCAGCAAGATTAAGGCCTTGGTGGCTGAAGTCGAAATCATCGCATCCGATGGTTAGTGGTCTTCGTAAACTCAAAGATATAACCCTGTCTCGCAATATGCAGGTCCACCACAGCCGTTTAAGCCTTAGTTTCGCGGGGTTGTCGTCGCTTAGTGTATGATACTGGTCTGCACGAGCGCAACGCGCAAAGTGGACTGCGTTTACCATCCAGTATGTGTTTGTGGTATCGCTCGGTGCAGGTGAGTAGTAGGTCAGCAAGAGCGCTACCTGTGCACTGACGACATTGTTTCTGTGGATGTCGAATTGTGTCAAGGTCTGTATTGGATCGGAGACGATTAGTATCTGCCAAGTGATGGATGAAGTGTTGACAAGCTAACCTTTGCAGCCGTGTATAGTTCAGTATGAGCCGCTTGTACACTGCTGTACCCGAGGCTAAGGAGCGTTGATGCTGACACGTACTACTTGGGATTAGTTATAAGGCCCCTAGGGTTCAATACATCATGCCAACGTCGATGAACTTACAGGTGATGATATAAATAGGATTGCGCGAATTAGGAGAAGGGGAATGCGAGCGTCTGCCGCCCAAAACTCTGCTTCGCTGAGTAGAGGTATGATGGGATGCACATGTGAGAAATACTGATGAAAGAACTCTTCCAGTGCTGTTTCCGTAGGCAAGGTGAGACAGTCCTTTTCTGTCAAATACGCTACGTCGATATGACTAAGTTGATTGAGGGACCCAGCATCAACAAAGTTGTAGTTAGAATAAGGCACGAAACGTGCTGGCGGCTGCAGTCCGAAGATGGTAGTTTTGTCATATCCCGGTCCCCAGGGATTGCTACTACCAAGGCCATCTTGCGTTCCTATTGTGCTTGGGTCAATGGTACCATCCGTGAAAGTGAAGTTGGAGTGTAAAGCTTCGCTATTAGTATCCGATTCCCCATGTTGGAACGCCGGTGTCAAGGATGGATCGATCTTAATAGATGGACTGGATGAACTGTTCCTTTCTTGGTCCTGTTTAATTTCTGCTTGGGACTTGGGGCTTGGGTAAATTGCTTGTGACGGTTTCGCCTTCTCTACATCTATTTGTCGAGACTGGGATATATGCTCCTTTCCCTCGTGTTCTATCACGCGCTTCACTCTTTGTTCCCTATTCAAAGTCAGTTTAGTAACGTGGATTCAATAAGAGCTCTCCCCACAATGGCACTAACTTACCATTTCCGCTTTCGCGGCAACACTTTGCAGTTGGCCGAATCTAGCTTGCAGTTTGTGCACGGGAAACCAGTAACTGCAACATCGCATCTGACTTTGCGAATTCTACAGACAGTGCAAGCATGGCTTGCGCGCAATCGCGTGCGCAACAGCGGAGAGCTTGATGATGTCTCTTCATCTGACTTGGAGGAACCCATCGCCTCCACTTGGCTTCTGTTCCGCGATGAGTGAGTGAGATAGTAATTTAGTTGTATGGCAGCACGGCTTGTCTCTCAGCCGTCCGGGAGCCGTTGATTCGGGTTAAAGTAATGTGGGGAGCCGATGTGAACAATTCACATATTTTGGAAGATGAATGGAAATAGTGTTTCCCCAGATTTTTCGACAGTTTCCCCTGGGACTTGCGCGCGACCTCCGGTTGTTTAAACAGTTATGCATCGGCTTCGGCTATGGGGATCTCGGAGGGCGTTTTCGGTCACTTGTGGAGAAGTTCCCCGGCTTGTCTGGCGAATCGGAACAGCGCGATTTACCCTCGGCCAATTTCGATAAGCCGGTTAAGGAAGTACCTCTGTACCTCATTGCCGACGCTCATGCACTCTGCATAAAGGGCGAGAATTAAGGTGTGCATGATTTTTGCTTGTGCCAGTATAAAGCAAGAAATGCTGGACATTTATGAAAGCTACCAATCATACGAAATACAATGAAAGCTTGATTCATCTACGGACTTATAACTTATATGCATTTATTTCTTCGGGATTTACGCTGCATTGAGAAAGCCTACAACAGTGAATCATGCGACCCATCGCACTATTTAGCTAAGGCAGTGTGACCAGAAGAGAGATCGCAAGCAAGAAGAGAGAAGCTTCATTCAACAATAATAATATGAAACAGTCCAATTTATTGCCTATAAAACCTTTTTGTTGTCTAGGAGACTATTTAGAATTTGGCGGCATCAAAGTTGCGCACAAAGTCGTAGTAAAACTTGAGCATCTCAATATGACCGTCTACGCGAGCGTGCTCATCAATGGTATGGATGTTGTTTTCAGCGTGAAATCGGTCAGGAGTAAAACGCCAGATGTTGTCGGAAAGACCTATTTGATGTTTTAGAAATGGGATCTCCATAAAATCTGATTCAGAAATAAAACATGTATAACTTACCAATGTAGTGGCGAGTGTCAGTGTTGCCCGTCATAATCTCTCCGGTGGGAACCACAGTTCCGTTATCGAAAGCAAAGCTGTGTCGAAGAGTACCGGCAAAGACATCCCAAGCGTGACCACTTGTAGGAGAAATTGGGCTAGGGTGGAATTTGCCCTTGGTGGACAGGACCAAGGTGCCCTTGTAGTCGACATCGTTCGAACCAGCCTTCTCGCGAACTTCGGGTTTGAGGCTGGCGATGTATTGCTCATACTCTTCGTCGTCCTCAAATGGCTTAAGCTTCAGGCCATACTTCTTGATGATGCTGTCGACGCGTTGAACGGCATTATGCTGCACTTCAGCAATACTATTCTGGTGGGCGACTCGGTAGTTTACGCCTAGGATAGTCTTTTCAGGCATAGCATTAATCTTTTGCCCACCGTTAATAATGTCCACGGCCTGGGAAGTCTGAACGATATACTGCGTGTTTCGGCCAGCCTTGACCAGCCACTTCGCAATGCCTTCCAAGTCGTCTTGTTGAACCAAGCGCGTGAGATCGGGATACACTTCAGGCGAGTAGCGCGCCTGGCACTTTAGATGGCCGTGAACCGGGCCGTCCTCAATCAGCTCGGCCTCGAAAGGATGGGCTTCGAGCTCGCTGACGATTTCGGCAATAATGCCAATGCCAGTGTGAGGAAAAGGAACAGAGCTATGGCCACCAACCACGTCCAGCTCAAAGAAAACGTCGACATGGCCCTTTTCGGTGACGGCTGGGAGAACATACAGAGCATTACCAACTTGGGTCAATCCAAGGCCACCCTCATCCAGGATGGCGGCAAAGCTGTCTTCGCCATACTGCTTCTTGAGGTGTGCGGAAATTTCGCCAGCGCCGCGGAACCCTGAACACTCCTCGTCGTAGCCAAAAGCAAGTAAGAAGGTACGCTTCGGAGCCCAATCTTTGTTAGACAAGAGAGCTTCAATCGCAGACAAGATGGCTGTAAGACTGTTCTTGTCATCTGAAGTTCCTCGGCCCCAAATATACTCCCCATCATACACGGCTTCAAAAGGAGGGTATGTCCAAGTCGATTCGTCAGCAACTGGGACGACATCTTGGTGAGCCATCAATAGCACCGGCTTGAGACTCTCATCGGAGCCCTGGATTGTGTAAAGAAGGCCGAGAGTGTTGATCTTCTCGACCTTAGCCTTCTTATGGCTAAAAAATGTTAGGAAAAAAACTCATAAAGGCATTGAGACACAATTCAAAAAGGCTGGACTCACACGTTGGGAAACGTCTTTTCCAAGACTTTGTGCAGGTCGAAGAAGGGCGCCCAGCGCTTATCCTCACCAACCGGTCCATTGTCATCGTAGGAAATAGAGGGTACTTGAACTATGGCTTGAAGACGCTTCACCTGCTGGTCTCGTGCAGATTTGGACGCAAAGAGCTCATCGGCAGAGGGGAGTCCATCGCCTGTCGGATCTAAAATCGGAGGAAGATTGCACTGGGACTTAGACGACGGCGCGATCGAGCTCAGAGGCTCTTGGCCGTAGCTGGGAGCTGCGACGACGCCTGCGACTCCCGCCAGAAGCAAGGCCAGCTTAGAAATTGCCATTGTGAAGATGCGAAAAAGAGGCAAAGGCGACAGCCAGTATTTCGCCAATTGGGTCGCAGGTCAGGAAAGAAGACAGAAGCAGCAAACGGGAACAGCTCGGGTTATCAATGCCCCAGAGAGAGCTTCAAGCCGAGCTGCACATCCGTCCCCGCCCCTTGCAGAATTACGTTTTAGTGGAATATTTGGACGAAATCGGATCGCAGATTGGCGGTGGTGAAATAAGTTCCCGCCTCCACGCAGTGCAGTGTGGAGCTTGATAGCTCTAAGAGGAAGGCCATGCGATTCTTCAAAGATGAAGCTTCGAGATACGGAGCGACTATCGGCAAAGAATATCTATGGATGTTGATAGCACTATCTGAAGCCCAGTCGTGACACAACGTCCAATCCATTCACTGCAGTGACCTAGTCGAACTTTGCCTCTTGTCGGCTGTGTATTGCTTCGAGACACATATGGTGGGATACCAGACATGGGGCTTCGATTAGTCACAGCGGTTATCTCGCAATGACGGGTCCTTTTAACGTGCTTTTATCCCGAACCACACTGGCCGGCCGGTTGGCCGATAGTGGGAATCGCAGCGATGCCTGATAAATAGCTTACTGTGCTCGCAGCCAAGAGTCTAAGCAAACGTCCCCGCCCGACAATTTTTTGACTTATTTCCGGACGTATATTTCAGCAGCATTTCCAGAGAAGTAAATCGAGAGCGAAAGCGTCTAACATCTCTAGATATTGTTCTATTAGATATTGTTCTATTATACACTAAACTTTATTCTATTTTACAATGGTAAGTAGGGGAGATCATAGGGCGTTAAGAATCGAGTGAAGATATCTCCATGTAGATTGTTGACTCTGTTGGTACAGTTGTGTAGGTGACTAGGTGGATGATCGATCATGCTCAATTACGATCGACTCGGGACCACCCATTAGCTAGTGTCGAGATTTTCTGCGAGTCTGTTGCCAGCTTAATGGCGCAGACTACTGATTAGTTGATAAGAGATACAAGTCCTTGAAGATGGAATTTTGCTGAGATAATAACTTTTGTGGAGCGTCAAATTCCATCAACTTTCCATCGTCTAATACGGCGACTTTGTCGTAGTCGAGAATGGCATCCAATTTGTGTGCAATGGCGAGGATAGTCCAGTCTTTGAACCAGGTTCGAACGATCCCATTAATAGTATTGCTGGTTGCTTCATCCAGGCTGGAGTATAACCAGTTAGTATTGTCTCCTCGCAGTTGTTCAAGACGTATTAGGATACTTGCCTGCTGGTGGCTTCATCCAAGAGCAAGACTCTGCTTTCTCCTTCTCGGAGCATCGCGCGAGCAAGGATCATCAATTGAGCCTCTCCCTGTGAAAAGAACTTTTCATCGATAGATGCAGAAAGGCCTCCGCGAGCCTCAATTTTCTTCCATAGGCCAACCCGTTCAAGGGCAGCGATGATTTCCTGGTCGCGTCTCTCCGAGTTGACTGCAGCGGATTGGACATCTCCATCTTGGATACGATAAGGATCAGCATTAAGCCGCACCGTTCCCTCCAAGATGTATGCCTCTTGAGGCACAGCAACAATATGAGTGCGTAGACATTCCCTAGGCAATGCCGACAGGTCAACGCCATCAATAATAATTTTACCTGAATCTTGAGTAATAAGTCCAAGCAGACTCAGGAACAAGGAAGATTTCCCGCTTCATTGAATTAGTAATGTTCCGTTGACAAACAATGCAAGAGACTACACGGGTGTTATTGGCTCACCTTCCAGTTCGACCACAAATACCGACTTTCTCTCCAGCCTGAATGGATAAAGTAATGTCATTCAAAACGCGCCCAGATGATCTGATTATCGGATTGCAAGTTAGTAATCGCCCACGACGAGCTTTAATCGAGTATGACATACGGGTATGAAGCACAAAGTGCTTCAATCTCAATACGACCCTTGCTCGGCCAAAATGTGCTGTCCAGTGCGTTGAGATTAGGCTCCGTAAGCTGTTCATTCCGACCTTCTGAAGCCAAAGCATCAACAGCCTCGTCATCTTCACTCTTTGTATGCATCGAGAAGCTCCTTATGCGAGCAACTGCTCCCAGACAAATCTCGAATTGGACCCAGCTGCTGATAGTGGCTTCCATGGTAGCACCAAATGCAAGAATATTGCTTAATGCAACACCTGCAAATCCAGGTCCAATTTTCTCCCGCAAAGTCGTTATTAGGACAATTAGAATAACTGCAAGAAGCATGATCATGATGTTCACTACAAACACCAGCCATCGCTGCACGCAGAAGAGTAAATAGTTTGGTTGCTGTGAATTGTCCAGGATCTTCATATATTTGGCGGCGGAGCGGGATTCCCAGTGAAATGCCCGAATAGTTACGAGGCCAGATACAGTTTCCATAAGCTGTGAGTAGAGAGGAGCTTTGAATTCAATGTCAAGAAGACGCAGTTGCCGCGCAGTACGCAAGTAGAAGTGCTGAATGGCATAGAGTAGAGCCACAAGAAATGGTATGACAACAGCCATGTATTTTGATGAAGCACAAACCAAGACAAACTGCGCGACACCGAAAGAAAGCGCTACAGAAACCGTTAGCAACTTTCTTAAGAAAAGAATTCTCGTTGCCAAGGCCTGATCAAGTGACATGCTAACTATTAGCAAACTTACTTATTATCACGCTTAGAGCTGAGGCTGGCAGCTCCATATCAATCAATTGGAGATCCTGACTAAACCGATTCACAGTGATTCCGTTATCAGTAGCTGTGTGATAAGACATAGGAGCTCTATATATTAAGCGTTAGATGATTCAAATGTCATATAAATATATAGCACTTCTTACCGTGCGACAGTCTTGACTAAGAGATCGTGGAAATAGAGGCCAGATCGGTTAATAACAACGATAAATAGTTCCCTTGGAGAATGGTATCAGTAATTGAGACATATAGGCACAAAAGGGTGTTTCCGAGTCATCTTACCAAGCGGCGACTAGACATGAGATAAAAGCCCCTATTGAAAGAACTGTATAGACACCAAGCCATTTTCCAAGGTTGGAGTTGGGATCCTTTTCATTCGACTCAGCCCACCATTTAAGCCAAACGCCTAAGTAAAAATTTAATTAGTAAATTTGAGGGATAAATTCCAGTGACTGAGACGTACTAGGAAAAGAATCGCAAAAAGCAAAGACGATAATCGCAATAACAAAAGCAATTAATGTAGGCCAGCCAGCCGACTCAAGATAGAACTTATAGACAGCTGAATCTCCCATTTGTCTGGCAGCATCAGCTTGAAGTGCTCCAGTAAGATCGGCAGTAGCGGCTGCATCTGTTGCTGAGTTTGTTGAAGACTCTAACTTTCTCGCGCTCTTTGCGCCACCCTCTCGTGATCTTTTGCTAGCTTGCGCAGCAGCAGGATCTCTCAAAAGCCAACTAAAGTCTGGATTTTCCTTGAGATTATCAACGCTTCCCGCATACCGAAGTTGACCTTGCTCATTTAGGAATATAATTTGATCCGCATATGAGACACGGCGATCTATAAACTATTATTAATAGCTGAGCGTGGCCAAATACATCCGAAGTACAGATGAGGATAAGTATAGAGAAGTAGGAAGACAATACGATGCACTCACAGTCTGAGGACGCAAGGACTATAGTCATATTCGCTTTTCGAAGAATTCCTTCTTTGCTTAGAAGATTGTCAAAGACTGTATCTTCTGTGTTCGCATCAAGCCCACTAAAGCAATCGTCCATTACTAGTACTTCGCTGCGAGCAAAGGCCGCCCTCGCAATTGACTTTCGAGCACCACGTAAGCAAAAATTCAATAGTAGAAAGAAAGGGAAAGGTTAAAAAAAAAAGCATGATATGGGGAGCTTACCAAGCGTTGTTTCTGGCCTCCGCTGATTGAGATTCCCTTGGACCCTACGGTTGTTTGGTCTCCTTGTGGCCACATAGCTATGTCCCTTTCTAATGCGCAAGCGTTTATAATGCGACGATACCAATCCGCATCTTGGCCCATTTCTTTTTCTCCAATCACATTTATATCCTGGGCAGATTTTCCACAAATGATTTCTCTGACCATCTCATTTGGCAACCAGGGAGTTTGGTCACAGAATGTCACGGCACCAGAAAATCGTGTCTGGATTGAGCCATCGAAATCCGACAACTCTCCTAATAGGGCCTTTAGAAGAGTCGATTTTCCACAGCCGACGGGGCCAAGAATAAGCGTTAATGTTTGGCGGCGGATGTCGATCCGAGGACTGATATCAATGACTGGCGTTTTGTTGTGATGGGCCTGATTTTCTTGATTCTCGTCGCCAGATCTGTCTTTAGGTACGGTATCGCCACTTTGGGCCGATGTTGCCTCTTCAGGCCAAGAAAATTTGCCCCGGATTGAAGCAATAACGTCAGATTTTAAGGAACCCATTTCAGCAACCTGGCCATCTGCATTGCCATGAGGAGGCGAAATGCGAGTATCCTTCCGTTGAGTCTCGTTAAGATAATCTTGAATTCTTTGGAAAGATGTCACGCTTCCTGCAATCACAGGCAATGAGGCAATAAATAGAGATAAAGGAGTATTGAGCAGAAGGATGAGGGAGAACGATGTAAAAATCTTCGCAATAGTTAAATCTCCATTGCCATGAGAGGCCATGCCCGCAGCGGTAGCAAAAGTGAGAAGCGGGCCAAAAATGGGGGTACAAATAGCTGGCGAAAATGTTAGCAGATGCGTTCAAGAGTTACTGTAGAGGGAGATTTGGACAAAGGGACACATACAGAGCACAAGAGTGATCCCAAGGAACAAACGAAATTTGGTTGATACAGCTAGCTCTTGGGTTCGAAGCTCTTTAATCCCATTGAAAGCTACATCAGTGAGGCCCGAAATCTTCAGCCACTTCATGCTTCCAAGAGCTTTTGACGTTGTAGTTACTCGGCGCTGTGATGCCGCGATCCACGCTGCTTGATGCTTTCCAATTGGCGCCGCTAAAAAACCAGAGCTAATCATGACAACTGATCGAGCCACTATGTTAGTAGTGCTGTTTACGTCTGGATTCATATTACGAAGCAGGAGAGCGGACGTACCAATTGCAAAGCCCACGCTCATCACACATGCGGCACCCAATTGCCTCTCCAGAAGATAGATGGCAATTCCAATCTCAAGAAGGTTGCCCCATGTTTCATGAAATAACAAGACTCCACCAGATATTGTTTCAATATCCGTAGTCACAAGCGTCAATGTGCCGCTGGGAGTAGACCTAGACGAGCTCGCCGAATCAATATGAAGTGTTTGTTCATAGATGAGTGGTATTAGGCTACCACGCATGATGGTAGCATTGCGACAATTATGCCATTGATATTGAGTTATAGATACCTAAATAGTGACACCTATTAGTATATCAGATACAATGGGAAAACACATAAAAGAAGGTCTTACAGCTATACCGGCGTAGACGAGAATATAAGCCCCAATGAGTCCGTAGCCGTTGTTATTAAATTGCTGTGTCTGTGGCGTAGCTGCAAGATTTATTGCAGCCGTGATTAAAAAAGGCTGGGCGTAAGTGAAGCCAATGCGGAATAGTCGAGGGATTATAGGTATTGCTAAATGGCCTATAAACGCCTTTACCCAAGCACCAAGGAGCGCGCCAGGTTTGCTCTTGTCAGATACTAAACAATTTACGAGTCAGTATTCTGCTACCTTCCTAGCCAAATAGTAGAAAACGGTTGAAATGTATGTAGGTGAAATAGAACAGTAAGGCTACTAACCCATTTCCCAAGCCTTTGACATTTTTTCCGCCAAGGGCTCGGACAGTAATGTGTCGTCAAGTTGGTATAGATCTTCGTGCGCGAGAATCTTCTTGTAACCAGTAAAGAACAATGAGCTGAGCCAGTAGAATACGCCCAGATTGTAAGGCCCGCTTGCGCCTTCTTCTGAAACATTTTTGTATTCATCTGTTAAGATGGACCGCTTTTCTGTCGACTCAAATAGGAGCATCAGAGCCCTCAATGCTAAGCTCGCCGTAAAGACAGCAGGAATAGAACTGCTGCCAGCATTTGGGAGCATCCATAACGTGCGAGAGCGCGCTGTATCAAAGAGAATTGACAGAGCCAAATAAATGGATATAATAAACGATGGACGAAAGGACGATCGATGCTCGAGATTGGACAAAAGAACGTATAGAAGAGAGAGAATCAAATTAAGCACAGAGCTTGCGATCGTGGCGCGCGTGGAAGTAATGGCAGAAGAAGCCGACTTGGTCGAATTCACCACCCAGAGGCCAACGAGGGCGGCGCTCAGTGCGACGAAGCATATCGAACTAGTCTTCAAAAGGGACGAACTGATCAGCGATTATACATCATGTTGGTACGATTCATGCCGTATAGTCTAGAGTATTCACTGCAGTCATCAATATGGCGAATGATACCTTTTTGGCCAAGTCTAAGGGACTTGACTTGACTCTTATTGGCGCAGCGAAAAGCGCAAGAATCCGCAATGGGGAGAGGAGGATGAAGATGCTAGAAATCAGAATAGAGAGAATCGTTTCTTCGAAAAGCAAAGTAAAGTCGAAGCCGCCGCGACACTGAGGACCCGCCCATGGCCCAAAAGTGTCATCTGGACATGATGCCGTCGACATCACTGGGATGCCACAGGGCTGATCCAATTATTGTAGTCCAGCCAATGGCAATTTGTTACCGCTTTCCATATGTGCGCACGAAATACTGCAAGAAAAGAAGGCTGACGATAATTCGTATTATGAGACACCAATTTGGTAGAAAATACAACTTGAAGGAGCTTCTTCGCGTCACTCAGCCCGTTGATTAGCCCGCATCCAATTTATAAGTACAGGGCTATCATGCATCCTCAGGTGTCCTTTTACATCCTCAGGTATCTGTCCGGTGATGGCCTAAGGGAAATAACCAACTAGGCTTAAAAGCCATGCATAAGGGGCAGTGCTTATTATTGGAGTGCGCTAAAGTGTATGAGTCAGGGAGAAGTTGTGTTCTGTTATAGAATCCTATAGAAGGTACACGATCTATGTGCTGAGACGCGATAAAAATGATGTAGTGATGGCTTGTGAAGCACTTTTGTTGTCTGCAGCTTTATTAAAGCTGCCTAAACTGCGCGTTTTCAAGCGAACACGCAGATGATGATGAGGGACGTTTGTAGACCGGGGATTGCGTGTGCGACGTTTGAACCAATAATGAGATCGCAGCCTCCTTGTCGGCAGGATCTTGGGTAGTATTGTGTGCGGGGTATTCAATTCCTTAATATTGAGCAAATGACTCCTTCACAGTGTTTATGCAAGCAGCGTACGCGTAGCTTCTACATATGCGTTCTCCGTAGTATGGCTTGGAAGCCTCTAGAATTTTTATAATGGCGCTGCCAGCACTTACACCGAACTGTTTATTGAGGACTAGCATGCATGTAGGCGATTGGGGTGAATTGCATCACTATAGTTGAGCGAATCAACAGCAGGGTAAATTTGGTCAAGAGCATGGAGACTAAGAGCCCCCGCCCAAGAAAACAGCCTTTGCAGTTTCATGTAGGCGGTAAATATTAAAAATGAAAACAGCTCGTTTCGACATGGATTCCTTGGCAGCGATCGCTCTAATGTGAGCAACTCTCTAGCTTTGACTAGATTCTGAAAGAGGAGACAATTGATTCCTCACTAAAGACTGGATCGGAAATGATATGGCAGTTTGGTCAGAGGCCTCTAAAAGCCCTACTCCATAACAGCCGAGGATTCTCTATATATCATTTCGTAACAGTCTATGTCCATCATTTAGTCTTCGTATTCTTGCTCCATTAACACATTTGCCTCTCCCCACGTCTTGACAATCTGCATTCCCTTCTCTTTGTGGGCATCAACTTCTGGCCTTGACCATCCTGCCTCACCGTCTACCACTTTCTCCATTTCATTATTATCTGCCTCTTGAGCTGGAATCCACCCGCATTCAACGAAGAACTGCTCTGGGCGTACCGTTATACGCCCCTTCTTGATGATATACTTTGACAAACTGGTAGCATACACCTTCTTCTTGGATGTAGATTTGCTAAGGAACCATGATCCGACATATATCCAGCGAGAATCCCAGCCTAGGATTCGTGATTCGACATTGTAGGAGGCATAGGGTCGAAGCTCGCGTTTGAAAGACGTATGTGTAGCTCCCAAAATGAGAGCAGGTCGACCCTTTATCTTTTCTTTTTTGTCCTTTCCATCTCGCCCTTTGTATTCAACCTCCATGTCGTCCATTGGCCAAACTGGCGCAATTATTCTCCCCATTAACTTGATCCGAGATACGTCAAGGTCTGTGAAAAAAGTCGAGTTCGATTTATGCAAATTCATGTCGATTTCCAACAGCGGTACATAGGTGCTAATAATGTCCGCCTTGAATAAAGGGTGCTTTTCGATCGAATCTCCCACGTTTTCTTTCCTAACCAGAGCAACTTTCCTCCTGCCTCCGTCAGAGGATTTAACTAGTCGTTTTTGCTGATTCCGAAAGGCGGTATTTAGATGGTAATATGTTCGCGCTGTCCATACAAACGGCAAGGCCTTGAAATTGAATAAGACAAATACTGATAAAGCAGCGCCATACCAAGTGTAGAAGAAAGGCACAACATTCTCTTTCAGTGACGAAAGAATCGTAGGCACATCGAACGCCCGAAATTTGACATCCATGAGTAAGATAGTGGAGCAGAATACGCTCCAATGCTTCAATTGAGATGCATCAAGATCAGTCTTATACCGGTTATGTCCTCTAAGCGCGGATATGTCAGGCAGATAAGTAGGTCATAGAAATTCTCAAATAATGGTATCAAAAGCGAATAATCTTACTACCACAAAAAAAAAGGCTGTACGAGCCTTATTTATAGCTCAGTCATGGTTGTTTCATCGGCGATTTGCACAAGCAGAGAGAATGCGCCGACAGGGCATCGGCTGCAAGTCAGCAGCAGTAAAGTCTACAGATCGTAATCTGTAAACCATTCATCCCTGTCCAACTCCGAAGCAATAAGTACGAGCATATTGCGGCGCAAAATACGTCCCGGTGAATAGCGCTCGGTTCCACTTTTATCGACCGACTGTGAAGTAAAGCTCTCAATTGAACATAAACCGCTGAAAGACCCGAAATCGAGCACACAAAGGCAAATGGTGAAATTTTCCGTATAATAAACATCTACCAAAACACAAACCCATAAACTTTATTCTGTATATAAACAATATTAAAGCCGCGAATATTTCCTATTGTGTGCAATATGCTCTCACAAATATGTGACTGCAAACAATTAGAAGGATACTAATATCGTGCATGAAGGATGCGCACTTCAGTTAAAGGCTGAGCTTGTAGCATCAACAACAAATTTATAGACTATGAATGATACATGTTACATGAACATCTGCCATGGGTAAGCCTGTATTTATATATATTACAAGTCATTGTATAGAGGCTATGACAATCTCCCACGGCGCCTTTAGATTCATTGCAAATAGTTTCCATTTACATAATCAACTAAGAGGCTTAGCTATGAAGCACTTTTTGTTTTTTGGCATGTGCTCTTATGTGGTATAAGAGCTTTTAAAAAATTTTTTACTAACTTCAAGTGGATTACTTTTATAATGACAAGAGAAAGTTTTACGCAGAAGTGTGCTTCAGGTGCTTTAAACTATGCATTATGAGGATAATAATAGACAGTAATCGGGTTAGTAACGACCGAGAATCCAGATGTTTCTCAGTTGCCAGAGATAGGACACATAAAGCTGCCATAAATCTTTAGAACAGTTGCTAACACAGACAGAAATAGCAGTTCTGCTCGGCTGCCGGCCTGATACTACATATGGGCTCGGATTTTATAAGAAAGCACATTCTTCAAGTTCGTAATTTTTCGGTTTCAGCTAGCCCGAATAAGAAGCGTAATAAGATCTAGAACTTGCTCTTTCATATACCTTATCAGTAATACGTCTGTATCGTATCATCAACCCCGCCATTTCTCTGCATATAAGCCAAGGGGTGCATATGGGCTAATTGTCAGCCTCCCCCGCTATGTAGCCTACTACTAGGTAGATGTATTCATATCCAAGAGAATGCAATTGTGTACAGTTGATTGACTACTACATGTAAATTACGCGCTGCTATCAAATGATATCGGATTTTTGGCAGAACATGGTATAGAAAAAGTAGTATTAGGATAATTAATTTAGTTTAAAGCTTACTTATATCTTTCTATCACCGAGACTTCCGTTTGGCGAGATCAAATAGTAACAGTATCTTTTATGCGCGTCACAAATGCTTACTCCATGCGGCCACACATATGGGTTGACCGGGCCATTTATTTAGCACCACTCATATACATTTAAAGCAACATTCAGGATTCGCTGATTTACTATTAGCCAAAAGGATCAATGTAAGACCATCGATACGCATGAAATTCTATATATAACTCGATCTAGTAAGCTTTGACAAATAGTCAGGGCAGCTTGTTCCTTGTTTTGTCCGTACCAATGCACAGTCTGATCTTCATGGACATATTTCTTACTGCCATGTATTATGCACAGCTATTATCTACAGTCTATAGTGGCAAAGAAAATAGCAAATAGCTCATAACTTCAAGATCATATATAAACATGATTCATTCTAAGCAATTATTACGGCATTTTTACATAGATACAAAGAAAAGCATCACTGGCAGATAATGGCACATATAAACCTCGAATTATTTATACGAAAGCTTTTCATGGCCAAAAAAAAATATGATGCTTGGCCGTATCTAACGCCATAGGCTGAAACAAGTTATGAGGGGGATATACTTCGTAGAACAAGCCAGATGATTAGTGCTAGCTCAGCGTTGTGCGCATAGAGCCCCCTATATTACAATGATACTGTGAAATGTGTAGACAGCTCGTTACCAACGCTGAGATGTCAGTTCTGTGCATTTGATTCGAACAGCATAAGAGGAGCATAATAGAAAGCGATGTATAGGTGCGCTGTTTTTGATTCAACGTCCCATCCATGTTCACAAGCGTCTCAATCAAATTGCACAACTTCGGTGACTAGAAGTGAAAGACAGCGCAATTAGTAACTCGTCTTACCTGATGAAGACAAACCCTTCATAGTAACAGAAATCGAACGGCTTACTGTATCTTGAAACACTTTGGAAAGTTTCCGAAATGCTCTTGGTATCAATTCATTCTCCCCTGAGTTATGAGCTAGCCCTGCGGCCAGCGCCTTCTCTAGATCCATAAGTGCTTCAGTATAGATATGCTGTGTGGTAGGGTTAGCGGTCCGCTCTGAGCGGATAAGGCTCTGCGCGGACTTAATAATTTCGTATTGATAACGATGGGCTTCCCACTGAGTCCATGTTTTGACGCTCTTTCGAAGTTTTGAAAGTACCCGTGGAAGCTGGCTGTGCCGACTGTTGCGCTGCTCTTGCGAGATGACAGAGTCATGGCTAAGGTCCGCAGTGTAATACTGCTTTGCCATATCGTCAATGCTATGGAAGCCCGCTACGGAGGCACACACCCGCATGAACTCTAGCCGTTCTTCTAGGCTCCTATCTTTTAATCGCTGCTCGCCGTTTCCATAGCTTTGTAGCATCTTTGCTAGGTTTTTATCTTGGCTATCGTACAGCGTACTACCAATAATTGAACTCTCCGAGCTTAAACTCCCTGGATCACTTGATTCATCTGGTGATCTACCCGCTATTGTTCGGACGTCTGTCTCTTGATCCATGATATGAACGTGCGGAGTTTTTGAGTCATGGGGATGTACCATGAATGCTGTGACATCGGGGATCGTATATGAAGCGTCCGAACTCGAATCGTGATCGCTTCGTACTTGTCTAAGATTTGGAAATCCTAATAGGGTAGAGATATGTTAGTTTATATCCACATGATAAAAGCCTTTTGCCCTGTTGCTTAGGGGTATGTGCAGCAACATGCAAACAAATTGCTGGCTTTCCATACCTGGGATCGCTTGGTGACCCATCGGATCCCTATACAAATTTGGTGTATTTGTCCACGGCCAGTCAGTCGGTAAATTATAAGCAGGTGGTAAAGCCGGCGCTGCCAGCCCAAATGCCGTTAATGGAAATTGTTGAGATATGTGAGTTCTTTGATGTTGTGGTTGGGTGAGACGCTGAGGTTGAACTACAGCATGCGCTTGCTGAAGTGCAATATTCCTTGTGGATGGTTCGGAGTTTATGCTGCCTATCAGTGAAGGGGCGTCTTCGTGTGTGTCTATGTCCATCGTGTAGCCATTACTGTTCCTACCACCCGATTTCTCTTTGTCGACATCTTCAGGACTACTTCTGCTATGGATGCTGTTATTGCTGCTGAGATTGGCCGGGTTGATGGTACTCGGTGGTGGTGTGTTGGAACCAACACTAGGTAATGATTTGATATCGGCCTCCAGACCTATAGCTTGCTCAGTTGGGAAGGGAGTCTTTTCGCCATTTGAATTAACATTGATAGTGTCTCCTTCGGATTCGCCGACACTTCCGTCTTGAGGCTCTGTCGAGGCTTGCTGCTGCTCTCGGCGGCGATATTCATTGACCTCTTTTTGCAGCTCTTCCATGCGCTCTTTTATGCGATTACCTAGTAAGATATAATCAAGTCAGATATATCAACGTTTCTCTCTCATTGAATGTTTTTCCTTTCAATCCATTTCCAAAGCTTAATAAGTATCCTTGGCATATTAGAGCAGCAAGAAAATACCTATTATTTGCTATGTGCTAAAAGAGCTGACTTACGATATGTTCTTTGTGCCACGCGGTTTTGAATCCTCTTCTTTTGGCTGCGGTCTGCCACAGCTAACCATTCTTCGTTGGCCATTGTGATGGCGTACAAATATGAAGTGGATTTTATGCAAAAATTGCTGGAAGTGGTCGTGGGAATTGTAGTATGCCCCTGTCTCGCCAGTTGCTTGTGCTAGACTGTTGTCTGCTAGTTGGATGATGTAGTCTCACACTAGTTGTCCAAGCGTAGTAATGGCGTCGTCTGGATCATCATATATCTAGAGTATAGAGGGGTATATATTATTAACATGTGTACATATCGATCTAAAACCCCCATGAGGTTAGACTAGGGCGTGTACGAATTCTCCTGGTCTCCGAACTCTGAAGCTGCCGTTACCTAACGAAATTAGGAAAGCCAATAAGAATAGATAAAGTGATGCATGGGGGTGGCGCGGCGCGTAGCATTTTGATCATCGTCCGGTTTGGTTCCTATATACGTAACGAATGGGCAAGGAAAGGATATCACGGAAAATTCCCTAAGCGCAGATTTTTACTGCGCACTTAATTCTCACCATGTACGTCTTGTAGCTACGGGTCATTAACATCTCCGATCACACCACAAACCTCAGCTGGAAGAGGACCAAGCATAGGCCACCGGTTTGCTTACCGAGATAGGTTAGCAAAGCATGATCGGTAGCTTGCCATTGGGTATCAAACCCGTTGCGAACGTCTAGCTCCAGGTCACCTCAGGCAACCAGGGTTGCTTCGAAATCTATAACTAGGTTGATGAATCCGAATCTAGAACAAACAGGTTGAAGAGCTAATATCTCAGCCGTATGCGCCAAGATATGCTAGCTAGACACTGAAAAGACCGATCCTGCACGTTGATCACATTCATCTGACGTGAGATCCACACATCCGTATACACGAGCTACTGTAGAGTCGCGTGTGGATCAAAGTCTACAATGATAACGCTGTAAAAGTTCAGTGTACAATGCCTAGTTTTACTAAACAAGATCTGCAAGGATAAATTAGCCGGATAGTCTGATACAAGCCGCTTTATATACATTATCCCAGTACACTCCACATTCCTTCCGCCCTAGCGCAAGTAAGCATTCGTTTATGTATAATAAAGAAATTAATAACTCATATCAAGGGCTGATTCTAACATACAGATAATAAACATTTAGTTTTATTAGTACTCTATAAATATATATATATATATATATATATATATATATATTTAGCTATTCGTATTTATTATAATCAGATGTATGTTTAATATATATTTTATGTTTATTATTATTATTATTTTTTTCTGGTCTAGTAAATTTATTATATTTACTATAGTTAAACTTTTCAATATATCCCATTTAGTATATATTTTATATAATATCTTCATTTAAATCTCATTACATCTTTTATTAAATGCAGACTAGTATCCAGATAAATAGTGAATATATATAAAAGTTGTAAAGTAGTTCAAGTAATTGCTTGGTTGTATAGGCAAGCAATTCAACAATCTAGATCGTAAGCTCTCTACTACAGATTACCCCGCGAAGACTATGAGAATAACCCACATACCTTCAAAAGCGGCTACGTTCGGCATGGGTTTTTTGTTTCTAGTGAGGTATGAGCTATAAAATAACCGATAATTCATTATCATAAACCTTATGGAAGATAACGACGGACATTTGGATTACAGTAAAAGAAATACTAAACAAATAGGGAAAAAATTGTTTTTTATTACAACAACGTAACTTCAAATTGAACATGCCTCGATAGGGCACATATGATAATCGTAATAAAATAAATTGTTGCTTGTAAACAGGCCATCCATTCAGGCATCAGTCGATGTGAAAAGATTCAGTTTCATGAGGTTAACAATTTAAGAAGAAGACACTAGCTACTGTATACTATAACCTGTAAATGCAAGATGTATGTATGTAGATTACTAGGTACCTGTAAACTACTTCTCGCAATTTGTGGAGATGGTAAATAAGTGATATGTCTTATAATTGAGACTTCTTTTTTTTTTTTTATTCTCAGAGTGTTTCTGTTTTGCCAATGCATGTATTCCGTGCCGCAAAGATAGTTTTGGCTATAAGCAGTGTGATAACAGCCGGCGAGGTTGTAATAGTATGAAAACGCTTTCCCAAAACTGTTGTATTCTGTTCGAGAAAAACCCTTGCAAAAATCGGTGGATTCCAGTGGAAAGAGGAACTCGGTAGGGAATCTTAGCTGCTTACTTGGGGCCCATGGTGCTTATACCGACAACCGAAAAAAAAAAAAAAAAAAAACTACGTAGCTAGTGAAGCTCTATTTGCCACGGTCCAAAGAGGACATACTTTACGCGCGGGTGTTCTAAATAATACTCTGTACTGAAAAAGCAAGCTTTTGGGAAGGCCATGCATCAATCAGGTCGTGCTTCGCCAAATGCTACTTTGTGCTGACTGGAAGAGTAGCATTGCAGCGGCCGGCTATGCATATCCAGCAGTAGCGGTGCACTTTGTTAGTCTAAATTAGGCCTTATTCGGCGCTTTCCTTTTCAGCTGCAAAATTTTTCTCTCTCTTGGCTGAGAGCCTAGCACAGCCAAGATGTGCAACTCTGACTCTTGCGGCCGGTGGCTCCATAACCTACATGATCCTTCACTATGATCCTCTCTATTTAATAAAGTGGATATAATCAACTGCGCTTCAGGTGTTAATCGGAGGCGATTTCATGAATGTCGGTTCCATTGGAGCGGAAGTTTGGGTTCTGCTTAGCAAAGAAAGAAAAAACCGCACCAAGCCGCCATTCTTGGACCCTCGGCACGGCCCGAGCGGGCATCACGGCAAGTCTAAATGTACTGCGATACTCGGACACACAAGAAATTATTTCCGCCTGCTTGATCGGCCTAAATCCAGCTCGACAAACTAAATGTGGAAACTCGCTCAGCCTGTTCGTGACAGCCGCCGGGCTTTATGTTTCTCAGGCACATGGCCCTTGGTTAAGGCTGTCCCAGTCACTCCAGCTGGCTGCCGTGCCTTGACTCACCACCCAACAAGGATCTCCTGTTTTAGCTTTGCATAGGCATGCCGTGTACTGTAACATCCCGTGAGGCTTTTGCGCGCATGGACCAGCGTTTATACCTCAACCTTGTGCTAAATAAACGAATCTGCCTTGCTTTTCCATGTCCTTGCTTTGGTTGAGACCAATGTGGCGACAGTTTCACATGTTACTATTCAAAAGGACTTGCAAACCGCCAGATCTTCCGTCATTATTCTTGATAAAGACGAAGACTCAAAAGAACCTATACAATAAGGTTGGCTGTACTTACTGCATACGGTCGCCGACACTCCTCTAGATGCACTGCGAGCCGCTGGGCGGTAAGATGTAACGCTGACCACGGCGTTTTCGGTATCGGAGATAGTCAATGTAACCTTTTGGCGCTGTTCTTTATCCTGACAAATGCCGAAATAGAAAGTCCTCAATTTCTAATTCTGTATAATCGTCTAGGCGGGGTATGATGCCAAAGACTTTTGCTTTTGCTTTCTTGATCCATTGCATTGGCGAATAATTTCCACCAACTTTGCCTGGCCATGTGCTGGGTGGGGCAATGATTAGCGCATCGAGTGAGCTCTTTGAGTAGAAAGCGCCGACTATTGTTACATAGATAGACATGGGCGAGACGCTCGTCGGTTAGATCGGGTGAGATGCTACATGCGGTCTCAAAAACAAGTGGTCGCATATGGATTATTCCCTTAGCATCGTGGGGGTTATAAAATCGTGATTTATAATCGCAGCCGGTTGTATATATATGAAGGGGTGTAATCTGCTGGATTCGCCGTAATTGATGCCATATACTAAAGCAGAATGCATCAGCCGACCTGCACGATAGTCAAGGCGAATAATATTTATTTCGTCAATAGGAGCTCAGAAAGTTATAAAATGCAACTTAGAGCGTTTCTGTCACGACATGAGAATTTGAGGCTAAACTGTGTTAGTAAGTCTAGTCACTGCTGCCGTTCAGCTCTTTAATTGCCGACCTGTGGCGATTGCTTATATTTGGCGAGATGTTTAATGATGCGCGGCGTGGGAAGCGGGAAGATGCTATAAAGGCCATTCGAGAAGAATTTGGCCGCAGCATTGAGGATGTGTTCGGTGTTGCGCTTCCGGCGATTATTCCAAGGTAGACATGGCTGGTGTCACCTTTGAGCAAATGCCTCGAGTTTTCGCTTCTATATCTCGGGTATATTTTGCTCTGCTTCTTGATGAACGTAGAGTATATCTCGTGACAGATCGCATCATGGAGAAGATCAATTTCGAACAAGAGGCAGATAGAGATGAAAAAGCTACTAAAACTTTCTCTCAGATTCTTCGTTATGATTGTGCTTATATCCATAAAGAATATCGTGACCTTTCTGTCAAGGGCGTCTTAAATGGCGGATCGGATTGATACCTTGGCGTAAATACCATTTTCAGTTACCAGCGGTACTAATATAAGCGTAGGAACTTGTTTGACTTGCAGTTAACGGATATATTCTTTGTTTTGCGTTGAGGTCGGGTCGGTCGAAATCGATACCAGTATATGATATAGCAGCGGGGGTCGTCGCAGCATGTCGAATTATACCCCTGGCTAGATTTGAGGGATCACCCTTCTTAATACTCAGATCTTTATATTAGCTTGATTATTGAATAAGGATAGCACTTCTCAATATGCCAATGTAGACAATTTCTCTATGGAGCAAAGTATGTTGACGTACTCCAAAGCTGTTGAAGAATAAGCTTTTTTGCAAGGCTATGGGATTCAAACACTCCCCAGAGAAAGAAAAAGATAATCTAGATATATATCTTACACAAAGTATGAAAATACAATAACTTGTTGAGAGTTGAGGAATATTTTAACCCTGACAGAGTGGATACAAGCCAAGTTATTTGAGATGTTGAGAAATTCTGGAGAAAAAGGGCTAGGATTTTAGAGCCAAAGAGTTGCAACAGGATCTTTGTAATAATTCACAGAGCTCTGAGTAATGAAGGGCGCCAAAAGACATAAAATTAACCAATGGTAATTCTATAGAAAAAAGAATAGGGCGGATAGGTGGGTGGGTGGCAAACTATATGTGAATCAAGATACACCAGACAGATAAATCTGCTTGGTGCTATCAATCAATGGGTTTTGGAAGAATATAATTAACTGTGCGGCACTAGTTATTCCGTAACCCGCCCGTTAATGCATGCCACTGGCAAACGCATATCTAGCTACATGTACACATGCCTAGCCAGTCACAAACCTTTCACTTTGAGCTAGATCTCTTCTTTTTCGAAACACTAGCCATCGTTCATCTTTATTCTCTGCAGACAATTCACCATTCAAGCTCTGCCTATGTATTGTCTTTATCCTGCATCTTGGTGCTACGATATTATAGTCAAGTTAGAGATCATCTTCCTCGATATATTTGGTTTGTCTGTCAGCTCTACCAACTTTACTTGAAGCAAACCCTCGTGTTTTCTCTTCCCTAGAAGTTTGAACTTGTGTGTTTTCACAATCCAACATTCATAAAGAGACAATCGCCAGCATGTCCGACCGCAAAGAAGAACAGCCCCCTGCTGCCGTTTCAAACCATCTCAGTCTTGATTCTCTGACTATTCACGACGATTCCAACACTGAAGATCGGTTTATTTCGCATAACAAAGACGAGAATGAGGGATTACATGCACTCTTTCAATATTATCAAGATATTATTGCCAGAGATGATCCAACACTGGAGATCAAAGATTATCAAGAGAAACGCCAAGGCCAACAAAGCTCGCAACAGAAAGTCGCATCTCAAGAGGAGCTTATTGACCTCGATGAAGCTACAAAGATTATTCCAAGACGAGAATTTCCTCTTGTACCATCAGATGCTACAGTAGCGCAAGCTTTCTTGGTATCTGGGCTAGATTTTACAACCGGCGACTCTCTCGCGAATTTTGACAGCGTCGCTGATTTAATCGATTCTCTTCAGTCAGATCTACCCTCTCCTTCTCTAACTCTAATGACTCATAAAGTCGACACAAACGCATTCAAAAAGTCAATGAAGACCAAGAAAGCATCGAATTCTGCTGGTGAAGAGGATTCGCCTGAGGAAATCGTCCCACACTCTGCATGCGCCCGCTGCCAACATAACCCAGCCATTGATAGGCCAGGGTTGACTCTCTTGACCTGTGAGAAGTGCAAATCTGTCGAATATTGTAGCTTCAACTGCCAACTTGCCGACTGGACTGCTCACCAGGTTATGTACTGCGTGAACCCATCTACCATTCCTCCAGAGCATTTGGCAAAGCCTCACCTCGCCCCGTTCCTAAAAACGCCTCTCCCAAACCCATTTTCTCGTTTGAGCAAAGGCATCTGGCTACACGATCGCCACAAGCAAGACGTGTATACCCTCCTCATCGACTCCTTCCGGCTCCGAGAATCTGACGACTATTGGTATGCCGGCCTGACGAAGAGCGAGAGCATCTACAACGGAAAGGAGAGCTCATGCTCTCTATTTCGGATGTTCTTGGACTGGGCTGAGATCAAGGAATTAATGCCCCCTTGGTGGTCGTATAAGAAGCGTGTCGAGTGCATAGACATAGGTCTCGACAAGGGTTTCGACAACTTTCACGACCTTGGCGTCATGACCAGGGACGTCGAGATTCTAGTCGTGTACGAAAGCGCAATGATGCTCATGCAGCTCCGAATGTTCGCCGAATCTGTTTTGGGAACAGGCCCGGCAAAAACAAACGGAAAGCTGATGCTGCAGAAGATGGTGGTGGTGGAAGAGGCCGCGCGAGCCTCGGCGAAGAAGTAGACTTTTTGGTCTCTGTCTTTATTTGGGTGGAATTTTGTTACTCAATGTATATATACGTATGTATTTGTTCTTAATTTACTTGTTCTGGCTTTCAAATTTATCATTGCGAGTCATATTCTGTAAAGCAGTTGCGTCGAGCAGCAACAGTTACCGGTCTTTTGCTTGGACACCACCCACAATTTTCCTGAACAATATAGTCCTTACGCATTACAGAATTCCAAATTTGACTGTCTTTCCAGTGAGTTTTCTATACTAAACTGAGTCCAAAGGTTCTGTAATAGCATTTACAACGCTAAATATAATATTAGAAGGGAAGAATATTGAAAGGAGCACGAAATATCAGACCTTGAGGTTTATAGCAGCGCCACACCTCCAACGATTCGCAGAGAAATCCATCATGCCACCACTCGTCAGCAAGCAATGGCCGCTGTTGAAAGTTAATTCATAAAGCAATGCACGGCACAAGCAATGAAGAAACCAACGAACTGCTCACCAAAGCCTTAAACGAACACAATTGATCTCAGTCCTTCCGGTACACGAAAAACAAATGTTACAATTGTGGGCAAACATGAGGGGAAGATTTCGTATCTCATCTTTGCTTAAAAATCTGTTCTTTCATGGCTTATGCGGCTTTTTTTTTCCCCTTTCTTTTCTTTGATGGAGTTCTTCGGCTACAATAACGGGGCAATTCTCTTGCTCTGCAGCAGTTCTATCAGGACTCCTGCATAGTTATTTGTCGTCCATTCCACGGCTTTATCAACTATTGTGGTTTCTTCAGGGTTTTCTGTCTCTTCGTCTTAGTCGACCATTTCTCGTTGTTCCTCTTTTCTCAACTAACTTTTTTGTTTATGATTCTTTTTTTTTTTTTTTTTTGCCATTCGTGTGATTTTCTACTCGGTGGTTGGTTCCTCTCGAAACTCAATGTCTGTTTCTATGAATTTGCATTTGGGCGTGTAATGTTTCATAACCAGCGACGTAAAATCAAGCGCTTTGAGACTGACCATATGTGCCGTTACCTCATCTTGTTTGTTTGTCACGATGTGGAAATAACATTTGGTGGAAGAAAGTACAAGAGATATGAGAGTACTGGCACGCTGGCTCGCCAAAGGTGGCCCAGAACAAAGTAAAACCGAGGCTTCTCGACAACTTCGAATGCAAGAGCTTAATTTTTCGGCATTTGGTAATAGACTATAGCTAGCTAGATATGTAATTACAAACAAATTGTCAAACTTTGGCATCCCGGCGAATCTGGCTACTGATTCGATATACCTCAGAACGAGTAGCTATAATCGGATCATCCGAGGGCTCGATGCCCTGAACTCCAGGAAAGACATTATAGGCGATAGTCTGATTTTGAGGAGGCAATTCTTCCTCACCAGCAACCTTGTTCAAGGTGAGGGTGCCAAGTTCAACAAGTTTACGATCCTCGGGCCAGATCTTGGTGCAATCATTTGTAACGTCATCATCTCCCGCCACCTGAACTACCAGCTTGAAGATAATCGGTCCTTGGGCAAAAACGCCAGGCAGCTCGTCGAAGAGGAAATTCGGTCCTTTTGCTTCCAGCTCGCTCTCCGTCAAATATTGTTTCCCAGACAGCGGAATCCAGCGATATCGAATAAAAGCACTTTTGCCAGAAGCATTCACAAACTTGAACGCGTTGATAGAGTAGAAGGATTGTGTACCAAAGTTTTTGGGGATTTTTCTGTCCTCTTGTAGGAAACTAGCGGCCGCCGGATGATCTTTGGCATATTCCTCAACAGTGTTGTCCCTGAAGGATTGGAAGACTGCGAGAACCTCTTCCCCAGTCGCTCCGGGGAAGAGGACCGACGATTGGCAAATAATGTCCGTTTTCGTGTCGTCTCCTATCAAGAATCGAACAGCAAGACCATGAGGAGTTGCCTGGGGGGTATTCGACGGTAAATCTGGGATTCCGGTGAACAAAGAGAATCTAGCTATGACTGGCGTTGAGGGAGAGTCGAAATGAGGTGCAGCAGACAGTTGCTTAGCTTCGTTTGTTGGAGTAAAGGAACCGGCCACAAAGACGCCTCTGGCATGGGCTATATAAAGAAACCGAGTTAATAGACATGTACCATCTGTATGTAGTATCAAGACAGAAGATGGACCTACAAGGCCTAACATGGTCAAATCGCCCAAAGATATCTTTGAGGGTGCTAATCAAGTCGAGGTGAAGCATGATGATGGTCGTATTTTCGGTACCGATAGAAAGTTAGTAAAAGCATCTGGAATTTCTCAGGGGGGGAACTTCGCAGTTTAAATAACCTGTTTATTACTTGATAACGGTCAAGCTGTGCTGACGGTCGAGCGTGGGGCTATGCGTCTGAGTGGCTGAACACTCTTGGTAGACTCACCGCTCAAAGCTACGCGTGATATGGTTCTTATGGAGGTCAATATAACCTTCTCCGAGGAGCATGAACCATGCAAGTCCTAGCTACAAAGCTGTAGAGCGATGTCAGCGAAAGCTTTCGTGGTATATATAGCAGGGCTCCATTTGCCAGTTTGACCGGTACCACTGCTGTCAAGACAATAATAACAACGGGCAGATGTTTGCTCAGAAAAACGAATGAACTCTCCATATTCTAACAATATTCTAATGGATATACTATATAACTCTTTGGCTTTTTTCTTCAAACTTTCATCCGTCAGACCTAGTTGTAATTCCCATCTGCTCATTTGCTGCTTCATACAATTGGCTGCTTAGCTCATTGATGTGGTAAGCGTGGTTGAGCGGCATTGGCCCGGCACTAGCTTCGGGACCCGCTCCGCTGGTAAGGCTCAGGAATTTCTAGAGAAGGTGTAGAAACATCATTTCTGTAGATATAGCTGGGCAGCTGGATAGCGGAGACAAAAGTCTAGACCCAAGCCATGTAATGTCTTATTTTGCTTTTGCTCAGCCTTACTCCCTAACCTGGAAGGCGTAGTAAGACGAATACCTACCATACCAATGTACTAGTGTCATAAACTACTATATTTGGGAATGATTGGTGAAGAACAGTCGGGTGCTTCTGTTACACTTCATACAGTGCTGGATTTTGCCCAGTTTGTACCACCACAGGTTTAAGAGCTTGTATATACCAGTATTAGAAAATCAGCCACAACAGTGGTCTAAGTAACTAGCTCGTTTCGAAAGCCAGAAAAAACGGGTAAAATCCAGATGCTCCGTATTTATTCATGTTGCACGTGAGAATACACGTGACCTAGGCAAGACGAACTTCGTTTGCATGCAACACTAGATATTATAGATTGCCCCGGTTGGGAAGACATCTCCCTTTAGATAATAATATATATGCCTTTCTTGACTTTCTTGATCCCTATCATCGTGATAATTCTCTAGTACCACATAATGCTGTGTTGAGAGGCAATGATAAGGCTTCAAGATGAGATCAAACAACTCTATGCCATCTCCGGAACAGATGCCGTAATAGGCAAATGCGCTGCCTAAAGAGCGCTAGTAATGCGGAGTAATGCCGAAGCAGGGTTGATAAACTACAAGGTACATAGTATCACGATCTCGCCATACGAAGGTCATTTCTCTCAACCATTACTAACAATCATGCGTGACTGAGCGCGTTTGTCAGCATCAGGAACAAAGGGCGAGCGGCGATCCACAGTGCCCTAAAGTCTTGTCCCCGTGTTGGATCCCTCGCGGAAGCGCAAGAGGCGAAAGGCGATATTGCTAGACGAAGGGGACAGTGGATTTGACTGTAGCTTCGTACTGGCACGTTCTGGCGATGGTTGGAGAAATTGGAGAAGCTTGGCGGCTCTTTAGCCGGCGAATTGCACGAAACAGCACGTGGGACGACACTATAGATTCGCGGCTCGCTCCGGAAGAACTGTCCATCCGAGAGCTAGAGCCCACATTCCAAGATAATCGTCGGTGAGCTTTTCCATATGGGGGCCTAGCTGGATCCCACAGACGCCACACACGCACGCCGGGGTCTTCTTTGCATCTGAATCTAAGTTCATACGGATACGACAAACAAAGTAAGGATAAGGATATTACGACCAGGACTGCGTCGCTGACCGGCGCGGCACCAATTCATGAACCGAGCCGCCCTCCGTAGCCTAATCCCTCCCCACTTGTTCCATGGAAAACCGCTACACTTCGGAGTGCGAGCAACGCTGACGAAATCAGCGAAAAGTTGCTGAATAATCGGACAATGTGGGAGAAAGGGTGGCCAAGCCAGCTACTCAATCAGGTGGGTGAGGCACACGGAATTACGATGGTGGGCAGCCGGATTTACGTCGAGTCACAGTCTGTTCAGATGGTTTTGCCCCTGAGAGAGGAAAAGAAACAACAAAGCGAGAAGGAGAACAGCCAGACAGAAGATACTACTGGTGACATCTAGAGAGAAGAAGGGGGGAAATGCCCACCCACTTCTCCAAGATCCCGCGATGGCAGCGAGATACTGCTTGTGGCTGGGGTCCCAGGGAATATGACTTGAGGCTAGCTGAGCTGAGCTGCTGTCCTGGGAGACTCGCGGGACAAGCACCCATTCAAGGTGGATCTCAGCCGCCTCAGCAAGACCCCAGCGCACGAGCGTTGCGTATTGCCACAGCCTTTGAACCAACGCCGGGTACGTCAAATTGCAGATTTCTATCTCCGATTTCAAAGCTCGGCATGCGCTTCGAGTTGGGCACGCACGGGCGGTCCCACCATTTCACGAATGGAGGCAAAGACGTTGACTAGCCTACCCTTGGATGGATCTCAATATATGAGTCTTCGGCAAATGAAACACTTCACTGCTAGTATCTCTCCGGTCGCTCAATTTCACAGTGCGAGGCCTCCAGACAATGACAATTGTGACAGGTAACAACCAACATGCACTGCAACTCTGGCAATTTCCCCATTGGCAACTTGTGCCCTTCAGCTGGAACCAGTCGCAGGGGAGCGTATTCGCCGCGACTCAAGCGCTCAATATTTCCTCTTTTTAAAGCAGTACCCGCAGCGGAAAGGCGACTCATAGGCCCAGTCGTATGTGCTACTTCAACGGCTTCTACAAAAACGGAGCCACCGGTGACCATGTGCCGAGCCCGGTTTGTTATATCCGAATGGTGCCAATACAGGTAGCTTCGAGTCCGCGGCCGGGGCCCATTAAACCCGACGCGCGAGGATGGGGCAACTAGGCAAAGAACCATGCAACGCCAGCAACGTGGGAGGAAAAAAAAAAGAATGTAAATACGGCGGTGGCGCTCTTTGCTCCCCAAGCTCATCTGGCTCCTTTTTGCCTCGTGGTACCAGGACAAATAGCCGCCCTCTCATATCTCGGCGAGCTTCGGGAACGAGAGCAGCAGCAGACATCTCGAGTTTTCAAGGCTCTATAGGAAGCCAAGAGATAACAACCTTGACGGAGGTGGTTTTAACTGTATTTAACCTCCAATAATACGACTCAACCCTGAAATGACGAAAGGATCGGATTATCCTTGATATCTCAATAATAAAGCTTTAAAGTTGTCACAAAGACAAAATTCTTCATCCACCACGAGCTCACATCTTGCAAAAAGACAAAAAAAAAAAAAAAGAAAAGAAAGGTGCTTCGGCCTTTCTTATCACCCTCCATCCACCATGGGTGCCCTTCATCGCATTCTCTCGGTACCGGTTAACAAACCGTATCGCACACATGAACTCCAGTACAACGAGCCTCCGTTTCTAAACGCAGATGGCTACGTTGACTTTGCTCCCGGGGATATCGAGAATCCTCGAAACTGGTCCATGAAGCGCCGTTTCTATATTACAATGTCGACCGTCTTACTAGTCATGAACGCCACTTTTGCTTCCAGCTCTCCCAGTGGCTGTTTCCCGTCCATCGCAGAATCATTCGGCGTCTCTGAGGAGGCTGCGGGCCTAACCATCACTCTCTTCTTGCTCGGTTACTGTGCCGGTCCTCTTATTTTCGCTCCCATGAGCGAACTGTATGGTCGCCGCTGGATCTTTTACATCACCTTTAGCATATACTTGGCGTTCAACTTCCTCTGCGCCTTTGCTCCTAATTTCGGTAGTCTCCTTGTCGGTCGATTTCTTTCGGGCACTTTTGTTTCTGCAGCCCTCAGCAACGGCCCTGGTGTCTTGGCCGATCTATGGAACCCGGTACAGCGTGCCAACGCCATGGGAGGCTTCTCAGCAACGCTTTGGATCGGACCCTCACTTGGTCCGGTTATTGCAGGCTTTCTCGAGCTTAAGAAGGACTGGCGATGGAGCTTCTATGTCCTTCTCATGCTTGGTGGTGCCTCGGCCCTTCTCATGCTCACCATACCCGAAACCCACGGTCCGACTGTACTGCGCCACAAGGCTCGACGAATCCGCAAGGCTCAGATTCCCGGTTATGAGAACGTCAAAGCTCAGATTGAAGACAACAACCTCAGCATAGTTGGTGTTTACAAGGTCGCCTTAACCCGCCCATGGATCATCCTCTTCGACCCCGTCTCCTTCCTCATCGCCATCTATCTCTCGGTCGTCTACACTTTGCTCTATATGCTTTTCACAATTTATCCTATTGTGTTCCAGGAGAAGCGTGGCTGGAATGCCGGCGTTGGCGAGCTTCCCTTGCTTGGTACCGTTTTGGGAGCCGTTCTCGGCGGCATCATTGTCGTCTTTGACACTCGTCGTCAACAGAAGAAGATTGACACCGGCAAAAAGCAAATGCATGAGATGACACCTGAAGATCGTCTACCTCTAGCCATTATTGGCGCCATCACTTTTGCAGCTGCCATGTTCTGGTTCGCTTGGACTGCTGAATTCAAGTATGTGTTTCTCTAATTTTACTCCGCCATGCCATCTACATTAAATGAACAGGTACGCTAACAAATATTGTCTCTAGCTCCATTCACTGGATCGTTCCCACCATCGCTGGAGGCTTCCTCACCACCGCCCTCCTGCTTCTCTTCGTCGGCTTCTTCAACTACCTCGTCGACACCTATCTCATGTACGCTGCCTCCGCCATCGCCGCCAATACAATTATGCGATCCGCCTGCGGTGCCGCCGCCCCTCTCTTCACCGTGCAAATGTTCCACGCCCTCGGTGTCGGTGGTGGTGGCTCTCTCGTCGGCGGTGTCGCCGTCCTCCTTTCCGTCATCCCATTCCTCTTCTACAAGTACGGAGCGGCCATCCGAGCCCGCAGTCGCTTCAACCCCAAGGCTTTCAAGCCTCCCGCGAAGACAGATGTGGAGGCAAACGCTGTTGTTCTGGAAGACCCCAACGAGGGCGAATCAGGGGATACTTCATCTGAGTCCTCGGGCTCGAGCACTATCGGTGCTGACGAGACTGGAGAAAAATCTTCCGAGAAAGAACATTCCGGCCTCAAGCCGGGCGCAGCTCATTCGCATACAGAAGCGTCTGCCTCCACTGAAAAGGTGAAGTCAGAAGAGGCATAATAAGCCTGAAAAATATGATAACATTAAGACAAGAGTAAAGAAAAACAAACAGAAAGGGAAATGAAAGTAAAAGTATAGCATATTGGCTTCAGAGCGTCACTTAGGGAATATTGTAATAGACAGCGGGCATCTCCATTCTCGGTCATATATACGGGGGCATATAGCGGTTATTGATGTCTACTTATTTGGAACTTACGGGTCATTGCATTAGCATGGGCTGAATGAATTGATGCTATGATTTAGGGAAAGCATGAGAATATGCTCTTGCAATCTTTCATCTTTTACATCCAGCGGCCAATATTCATGGGCGGTATTAAAATCTAGTTATTAATCATTATTTCATAATCACTATTTGTAATCCTACTACCAATTTCCAGTCATGGTGCTTAGGCCCAGATACACGGTGCTCCCAAGCACCAAACGCCATTCTTAGCCTTTAAACGACCGCTGCTTTGGGATTCGCAATGACTTCTTTGTTCGCCATGTCCACCATTTCCTGAGTGAGGCTAGACATATCCGCAGCGGTGGAAATGCTCATTCTCCGGAAATGTTGCTCGTCTCGTTCCCGACGCGTGACGTATCCAGGTGGAACCCAGCGGGCGCTCTCCCATGGTGCAAGATCGTTGATACTGTACATGATATCCACGCTCTCTAAACTCAGTAGCGTCGACTCGTACAAGTAGAACCAGACCAGTAATGCGGCGAAGATATTGGCGCCGGCTAGAATAAACCCGAAATAGTACGATATGCTATAATCAGCGTATGGAGTGAGCAGCCCGATCAAAACTACAAACAATCGTTAGCCAGATTTCTCTATTTGCAGGGTAATACGGATCCCAGTATTTGGGCAGTAGTCTTACAGTTACCGAGCCAGTTGGAGGCTGTGGCAAGCGCAGCTTGTTTCGCGCGTGTCCGAAGAGCGAACGTTTCACCCATGACTACCCAAGCAATGGGACCCCAAGTTGCTGCAAAAGAGGCAATGAACATGCAAGCAGAGATAATCATGACGATGCTGAATGTGGGTGAGGGGTGATTGTCCACGATGCCTATGGAAGCAAATACCAACAGCCAAGCGGCTTGCCACACTGCACCGCAAATAAGGGGACGTCGACGGCCCCACCAATCGACCAAATAGACAGCGAGAAATGTCGTACAAACATTGACAGCTCCAAGGATAAGCTGAGTCATGAAAGGGTCATTAATTTTGGCAGATGAAAAGACTGTGGTGCCATAGTAGAAGAAGTAATTAATGCCCGTCCACTGCTGTAAAAAGTGAATGCCCATGCCCAGAAAGGTACGATAGCGTGTTTTGGGGACTTTGGATCTGGATGAGAAGCACTCAATCCATGGTGCAGTACCGGTTTGGCGTTCCAAAGCCAAAACTTCTCTCATTTCATGCATGTCGTTCTCAACGACGACATTCCCAGGATCATGGCTCTTGCCCCTCAGCCGCGATAGCGATCGGCGGGCACATTCCTATTCATCTCTGCCGGCAAGCCATCTCGGTGACTCTGGGACGAGAAGAATACCACATGCAAGGGGTAGCGAAAAGAAAGCACCCATGCCAATGACGAGACGCCATGCAAAGCTGTGATCATCATATGCGCGCATAAAGAAGCATATCAAGTTGCCGAAAAGTATACCGATGGTAATGAGTAGCTGATACGAGGTGACAACTGCCCCGCGGATCTCTCGTGGAACGCACTCCGATTGGAACATGGGGACTCCCACAGAAAGATTGCCGATACCGAGGCCCGCGATAAATCTGCCCAAACTAACGTGAAGCCAGTTGTCCGTCGCAGTGATCTGAATGACGTCGCCTGCAAGGAAGAAGGCTACACCGAGAGCAATGCTCTTCCGCCGACCAAGCCAGTCAGAAGAGCTATGCGAGTATTTGGTTAGAAGAGGTAAACCCACACGAAACCACACACAATACACTGGCACATGGTAGCTTACTATGCGCCCAACAGAGAGCCAAAAAGACAGCCGATGCTCATGAAAGAAACGATCAGAGACTTTATTGTTGCGGAGTCATCATGAAGGAACCGATACTTGAAGTTGCGAAAGAACAAGATGCCAGAGATCTGCCCGATATCGTAGCCAAAGAGGAATCCAGCAATAGACGTGATGATAACGAGGAACAGGGCATCGAAACCGCAGTCAGCACCTTTTACGGTAATGCACCTGGTGCAGCAATTCAATATCAGCATTAGAAAGAGAGAAAACAAGTAAAGATGGATGCATCAACAAGATCCATGGCCTCTAGAGGCTGCTCACCTGTGGCCAAACATCATGTCAAATGTACAACAATAACCGTGAGCGAAATAGCGAGAGAATTCGAGAAGANNNNATAACAAAAAAAAAAAAAAAGACTGTATTATGTTCACACAATTCTTGAACTTGTATCCCAGTCAAAAAACGATCGATCCTCGTGGAAGATGGGAGAGCCCGCCCGGTGGATGCAACGAGCTGTGAGAATGTCAGTTGGCGCCGCCAGCAATCACGGCACGCCGGCGAAGCGGCAGCACAATGGAACACAAAATCGTGTGGAGGAGAGAAGAGAGCAAGTGGAAGGCATTTTCCCTCTGTTTGTTCTAACAGAATTCGCTAAAAGGCAGGCTATTGCGTGATTTGGAAAGCAGCATACCTCGTGAGGAAGCCGTTATGGGAGTTGAAGAGTCTACTTATCACCTCTTTTTTTTTAATATAGGTAAAAGCAGGCCCTTATCTAATCTCCCAGATCTGTCGTACGCTCTTCACGTTCAGTACATCCAGCACGTGGTTATGTCGACTTCACTTACCACGTGAGGTGCAGTTTACATTGGTATGTCGGGCAAGCAAGTGCATGCCCGCAGAGAGTGGCAGCGCAGTATCTGACGGGTACGTTGGTCACTCCAACTCTCCAAATATAATACCCCAAATCTATCGCTGAAAAGCCTTGAAGCCGTAACGAACGACCGCTAAACAACCGTCTCCGGTTTCTTATGCTCACGAAGCATACACGTGTGCGTATACATCTCTCCGTCAACGTTGTCCCCAGGCAGCGGCACGGTAATCTCCTCGGCCACCTCAAAGCCAAATTTCTTGTACAAGGGCACAGCTATCTCGGAGCTCGTCACCCAGCAGGCGAGCCCTTCTCGATCTGCCAGCTCTGTGACCCAGGCCATGAGTAAGCTCCCGGCACCACGTCGCTGCGCCTTGGGATGTGTCCCAAACAGATACACAACTGAAGGAAAGTCAATTTCCATATTTGGCAGGCGTTCAATTAATCAATGAGGCAAAGGTGCCTTGAGACATACCGATGGCAGGCCGATTGCCCAAATCTCGCGACCGCGCCGCCTCGGCTCTGCCTATAAAGTCGGACCTGGAGGTGGCTATATTTTGATCCTTGGGAGCTGATGTTGGCTGGGTAACGATCTCGATATCAACGTCTTCCGGTATATCTGTCACCTTTTAGTAGTGATGAGAAATTGAGAGGAAAAGGTATGGCACATGCCCGCTGGAGCAAACAGCCTGGGGTCGATGTCAGTGTTCTCGAACCCTATCTTAACCCAGCTGACCAACTCTCCCGTGTCCGTGTCGACAACCTTTTTATAAGCAACAAGCGTCTGGCCATAGTTTTTCGGCCAACGACGGATAACCCCCGCTACCCGCTGGTCGAAAGTCTGGTCTGCGTAGGAGGCTCTAGAATAGGCGTTGTTCTGGAAAGAGGTGACATATGTGTGGGCGTAGGCAGCGCCATCTTTGAATGCCATGTCCTCGAGTTGAAGCGGCATTGTATCGCTAGAAACAGGATCTTGTTTGCCTTACCCTTGGGACAAAGAGTTCAAATCAAGCGTTTAAAGCGACAACTCTGGCGATGCGGGTTCAGATGATGGCTATCAGATTATAAGCCGTCTCTTAGTTACTGGAGATGATTCGTCAGCCTAGGCTTGATAACACGAATATAGCGTGAGCTTTCTCTAAACGTATCGACTGGGGCTGCTGCGTAAAATATACAGTCTGCCGTCTAGTAAATAAAAAGCTAGCCTGACTTGCTACCCCACTCACAAGCTGGCTTATACAATCGGCAACTGCCAAATAAGTGAGATCCCCCAAACGAGATCCCCTAAGTGATGCCACGGACAGATTATTGTGAGAACATGGCTCCGATATCTATCAAATTATAACGCCAATTCTCTTCAGATCATTCAACCATTTATCCGCATAAAGAAGCTTATACCCCATGAGAAATGGGCTTTCCCATTCCAACATTTCTTTCCTTGTATGTCCTTGATGACCGCAACCGTGTAACATCAAAGGGCACTCCCCATCTCCATCACCGTCAAACAAGTACTCCATATATTCCCACCATAGCTCTTCTATTTGATCAGCCGTCTTGTTCAAGTTGTTTGGCTGCATCTCGTGCCACAGCCAAGATCTAATATAAGCCTTGTATCGATGGAGTGGACGTATTTCGGGTGATAATGCCACAGGGTGCACCAGCCTTTCGTCATTGAAGAAATGGTTCGTTTGAACAATGTCTGTGGACAGCTCATATATTTCGCAAGGAGCCAGCTGCACTTCGATTACCCCCATCTCCCGCGATCTTTTGGAAGCCAAACTGCCGTCTTCGCCTCGAGCTATTGTTGAGAGATGTGGACGGGAGACATCGGGTCCCAACGCCAAGATTGTCAGCGCCTCCAAGTTTGGCAATGTGTTTATTGCAATTAGGCTAGCCACGGGCCTAAGATCCCCGGAGATTTCACAGAGTGCAATGTTGCGTATAAGCGAGCGCTCGAGACCAATAAAACAGTCGACAGGGTCGTTGGCAGCATCGGGGCGGATGTCAATACCGTCCAACGGCCATGCAGCAAATATCGTAAAAACATCTGTGCTGTAGCTGATAAAGGGTGTATCGAAGTGAATATTGAGCCCTGAGGCTTGATAAGTGCGTTGTGGCTGAAAATACCTTGGCAGCCAGACAGCCCGAGCCTCTCGGTTTACATGAAGCGGTGGAAATATAGCTTGACTCTTGGGCTGCACAATATAACGATAATGGCAGGGGTGGATATTTGTAACGACCTCTCTCTGAACTCGACGATGGGTAATTGGTGGAGCAGTTGTTGCTGGAGGTAACAGTCCAATCACACGAGTGGGAGGTGATAAAAGCTCCCATATCTTGATCCTTATCTCTGGTGGGAGTTGCTGAAAGAGCGAGAATTCAGTGATTGGCGCCATTGGAGACATTTTGAAATGATATGTTTGAGGTACAAGCAAGTTATTTGATCAACCGCTGCAGGATTTACAGCTATGTAAACAGGCTGTTACCCCTCTTTCGATAGGATTTGGAACCCCGCTTTGTGGAAGTCCTGGTGGTGGTTGGCTGTACGTCTTTCGGTGATGACGGATGTATGTAGAAGGTCACCGAAGGCGATTTTACTGAGACAGCTAAACGTGGCATAAATTTGGTAAAAGAATTAATAGAATGATAATAAACATGTGTTCGTACCTATTCATATCTACCAACTCGCTAAAGTATTCGAGCTCAGCGTGGTAAATCGGCCGCTATGATCTTGATCTTGTCACTAGGGTGGCGAGGCTGTATGAATGCTCTGGATAATAATAACAATGGCTCTTTTTCATAAGTATAATCAAGCTTATTAATAAGAGTGGATGAATTAAGTAAAATACTATGTATCTGGTGGTGAGATTGAGCTGCGCGCGATAGTTGGGATAAAGTGAAGTGAAAACAAATGGTAAATTGCATAGTTTATATTCTTAAGTTTATATCTCCACGGATATCAACATTGTATAGGTGTCAGCGGAGGACACAGGTTTGCAATGATAGTGTTGAGAAAATTGGGAACAAAGACGGGTAGTCTTGTAATGGTATAATTATAATTTCTGTGTGTTGCTGATGCTGGATCTTCTGAATATGTTGTAGATCGGCTTGCTTGTGTAAACCCGTTTCCACTACTGTTATCAACTTGCCCTTCTGTATTTTTATTCGTCATAGGATACCTCCTGTTCGATCGCCTTGTGTGAAAAATTCTTCAGTTTGGTTGTCCGTTATAGATGTACTACCGATAATGTCATAGAAGTATATGCTGCTGATATCCATTCTTGGGTATTGAATCAAGATCTGATAACTTGTGCTAGGCTATTGATGCAGAACTCTTCACCAATCAGCGCCTTCAAAGTAATCGTAAGTGGTATAATTTCGAATAATTGATATCAAGGGAATGTAGCTATATCAGTACTGAATATCTATGGACCGGTGCTGTACTAGCATCAGCTGCTAATATGCATGAGAGATTGTGAGTGCTTCCAATTTCGGTCTGTTTTAGCTCTTTTTGCTTTAATAGAAGCCTTCATGGCCGCGACCTACAACCTATTTGAATCTTTGGCTTTTCGTTACACCATGCACCTTCTTTCATACTACAAACGTGTATTTTTGCCTAGTCATCTGGTGTCAAAAGCTTGAAAGGCAAACCCTTGCCGTAGCCCACTTGGTGGGCAGGACACTAGAAAGTGGAGGCTAATTGTTATTAAAAAGATAAAGTATACTAAGAGGTATCTGTAGTATACGCAAGTACTGGCCGTGATGATAATCACTAATCATCTATAACTCGAGTCATGTTGGTGTATGGACACTGCCACATTGTTGAAGAATGTTGACCCCTGTATCTTCAGAAAGACCGACATTGCAGGCAGCTCGCTTAAACCAGAAGGCTCGATTGTAAACACTGGCCTTAAGCAGCCGAATAATATAGCCATCGGACTTAATCCTGACTGGGAGGGTCATTTATCATTATATCTGCAGAAGTAAGGAAGATCCAGATGTAGCCGCTTTCTCTTCGTAGTAACTGCATGGGGGGAGAGTTGAACCAAAAAAAGAAAAACCGGGCCGTGCGTCTGCTACGTTCGTCGCTAAGCCTTGACTTGGCAACTATAGAGCAGCAGAAACATCGGTTAGTCGGCCCGAGGGTATTACCATACTTAGTTTGAAGCTTAGCCTATAGATGGCTTTTATGGACTAAGCTTGAAAAGACGTCTCTGGTAGGAACTGCGATACGGGACTGAGGGCTATGGTAGGAGTGAAGCTGGGGTTGCTTGTCGCCCTGCTTGCCGCCCACACTAGGCTAGTAATCGATGATAAAGGATACTATGATTCGCAGGAGAGAGGGGGTGACGCGTTAAGTGGCCTGTTGTGTATGTTAGATAGGTAGTGCTTATAAACCGTGGGCACATTAGAAGTGCTGCAAATACCTGTACTGTTTTGATCAGCATCTGACATCGGCAGCTTTCGAAGAGTACCATGTTTGCATTTGGCCTGATATGGCCAATCTTTGCTGTTCGCTGTTCGATAAGCCCAAAGAAAGGGAAAGGGAAAAGGAAACGAAGTGTGGAGCGTGTTTCATGTTTCACGTAGGTGGGGAGAGGGAAGAGTGATGATTCTCACAGCTAGGGCCTGAGAAAGGAAAAAAAAAAATGGGTGCGCTGCCGAAATGCGGAGTGGTAACGGCGGGCAATACCCTCCGAGCTCCAGGGGGCACGGGTTTAATTTGCACCGCTCTCAAGGATCAGATCAGCCAGTCTTCTACGACGTAACCTCGTATACATTGGTGGCTCTGTGACGTTGAAGAAGCGGTCTTGAGTTGTTCTATGGATCATCAGACTTGCAGCTTTGGGTTCTTACATTTATTTCCCATGTGCTCTTCAATAAAGTTGTGTTTTTCCGTTCTTTTCTCACCTAAAATGGAGTGATGCCGGGGTGTTGCTCTCGTATTCTGCAGTCTGCACCGCCATGTGCAAACTGATTACGTCTCCCTCTGCCAAGCCACATTGGCAGATGACACTAGAGATGCAATTGAGGTGGTAACGGCAAAAGCCAACGTCAGAACAGCGGGCCAAAGTAGGAATTTTTGTGCTAATTTGGAAGTTGTTCCATGCCTAGAGCCACATCATTTCCGCGTACTCTCGTACCCTGCCCTGCCGCATAGACTCCATATAGCGCTCTCCAGCCCTAGCCGCAATTCCAGAAGCGGCGATTTGCCATGGTTTGAGGCGGTATGGAGATGCAAACGGCCGTTTAATGTCGCCAACCTTGTCATACTGCATCTTGGGTGAAACTGGAGAAGCTTAATACGAGAAAGTTAAAACAGTTTTACGAAGCATCTTGCAATCTATGACCGGAGTAAATACTCATTCAGGAAGAGCAGTTGGTTGCGTTTCTTGTCTGGAAGGATCCATAACCACACAGTAGGCTCCATGTAGTGCCCTCGCCGATTAACTATCGGACAAATGTTATGACCTGACTAATCTAGAGGTCTTAAAACTCCTTCATAGGTTAGTGAACAATACAAAGTAGATGACTGTCTTATATATATCTTATTATAACTAGCAATCCATGTCCAGAGTTTTATCGTGAAATAATTCAGCTCTAGCCTACTCTTTCTGTAAAAAAATGCTACAGACTTGGGTTAAAGAGATCTACAATAAACTGCATTAGGTAGTTGGCTAATGAAAGAGATGTAGTAATATTGCATGCTATATGTAAACAGAAGAGGCAAAAGAAAGTAGGTCACCAGAGTCAAAGTTGAGTTCAAATTTAGGCATAAATGGGACTTAATGCAATTAATCTATTCATATATTGCCGAAGAGATCCTACCTGAGCTTCAAGCGGACATTAGATTATCGAATACTACAAGAAAAAAACAAAAATAGAATGAAACAAGACTTTAGTGGCTAGGCAAAATAGCCGTAGCTGTATATATGTAACTGCATACTGAGAGCCGCTTTGGGCCCGTTCACATTCTCCACGCTGGGGCCATTCGATACGAGTTCCTCCGGAACGCCGTTCATTCGTGGAAACTATACTGGCCAAGGGGGGCTATATTATTTGTTAGAGAGTCATGATCATTATTCATAAGAACCAATGATATTAGGGACAATTGTCTAGTATCAGGGGGGTTGCTTTGTACCAAGAGAAAAGTTTTTTGCCCTATCAACATTTTGTCTCCTCCCTGCTCGTTTGCTGATATATTTGTTTGCGCGTTTGCCTTGACTTTCATCTTAATAATCAGTCCGACAAAATTCGAACGACAGCCCCCTTGGTTTCCACATTTTTATTTCTTCCATCTTGCTCTATTTAACACCTTATTTTGTCTCTCATATTTTACTCTATGCTATCTTAATTCTGTCCCCGGTATAGAACCAATGGGACTATTATCTGCTCTCACTTCTTTCTTCTCGAGGATCCCGACATTTGCTCGCAGGCCTGGATGGATTGCTGCTCGCTCAGTCTCTCTACGACTCCACCAGTTTCCAACCGATGAGGAGGATGGTGATGAAGAAAGCGGCGGAAAGCCGCAAAGAACGCGATGCCACCCTATATTTAAGATATTGCTCTTCATCTTTGGGTTAGCTGCTGCTGCTGCTCTCTTTGTGAGGCTGTTCGAAATCTCTCGCCTCCCTCGCTTCTCTCGTCCGAGCATATCATACCCATACTCTGTCATCCCGATGTGGTCATCGAACAAGGAACCAGCAGCTGTACCCGTGCTGGGAGAATCAACATTTGATTATGGAATGTATTTTCCAGCGCAAGGTAACAACTACTTCCCCCTTGTGGCGCCCTACAACGAGCCGCCTCGCCATCGACCGAAAACACCGCTCTTCATCCCCTTTACAAGAAACAACGCCATGATGCGGCAGACAGTTCTTGGATATATTGCTAGCGGGTGGCCGAGGGAGGATATTGTCATTGTTGATAATAGCGGTACTGCCGACGCCAACAACCTGAAGCTCTTGTCGACTTCGAACCCCTTTTCGCTCGACTACGACTTGTTTCGTTACCGATACGGCGTTTCGATCTTGCAAACATCAGTTCTTCTCAATTTCGCCCAGTTACAAAACTTCATGTTGAGGGTGGCAATGGCTCGTCACTGGCCATACTATTTCTGGAGCCACATGGACGTTGGAATTCTGAGCCACGAAGAAGAGACGCCCTACTCGTCATTTTACGAGCGCGTGCTCAACATCCTCAACGAAGCAGAATCATCCAGACTATCCGGCAAAAGCAAATGGGCAGTCAAGTTCTTCAACTTTGACTACCTCACTCTGGTCAATGTGGATGCATGGCGGCACATTGGGGGCTGGGACGTGTTTATCCCCTACTATACCACAGACTGCGACGCGTATGGACGACTTCGAATGCTAGGATACGACATTGATCGCGTGGGTGCAGGGCACATATGGGATGTAGCCAACGTTGTGGAGGATCCCGAAATCAAGTTCTTCCCCCCCAGCTCCCACCCCAGATCCGACAAGGATGGAGAGTCGGCCAACAATGCCACTGTTGAAGATGACAACGCGCCCAACTCGGAAAGATTCAAGGCTCTGAGACAGGAGCTGCAGAAGATTCAAGACGACAAAATGGCCAACTCCGACGGCCGAAACACATGGCAAAATATGCAAAAGGGAGGAAAGGGAGAGCCGTGGACATATGATCCCGCGGGCTTCCAGGCTGCTTGGTGGGAAACAGCGGATAGTGGAAAGAAGCTGTTTGAGCACAAATGGGGAGGAGGAGGCTGTGATATATTCGAGCTCAAAAAGACGATAGACGATATCTGGAAAGACGCAGACGAGGAGGGTCATTAGTGGATTTATTATGCATAGGTACCTCATGTTTGGAGGTGCGGCAATGGGTAATTTGCTGTGGTTTTTGGAGATACAATATTTAATTTGCTTGTGATTATCAATTAATACAAACAACAGAGAAATCAATCATTCAATGTATAGTAATCATGATTCAACATGACTTTATCTTTTAAACGAGAGTAACTGGCTCCAGGCTGTGGCTGAGCGAGTGATTGAGTTGAGTGGCTGAGTGTTTGACAGGGGCTGGCATTTAGCGGCGCCAAGACGGCTTACACTGCGGAGTGCTCCGTATCAACAGGGCACAGCAAAAAGCTGTTGGTGGGTCGTTTGCTAATAGAGAGCAGGTGGTTCTGATGCTTTTGTTTAGAATTGTTGTGCAGTTTGCCATTCTAACTAACCCTAACCCTCAGCAAGTTGTTTGAATCTCGCGATAGGAGAAAAAGAGAGAGAGAGAAAAAAAAGCGACAAATCGTCCTCGCCAAACATCCAGAGTCTCATCCAGGACGTGGTTGGTGATGCACCTGCAGAAATCCTTCTTGGTGGTGTCACAAGCTGGCATTGGCTAGCTACGGGCGGTCCGCAAGGCTGCGTCATCGCCTACGACAGCCTTTTTTTCGGCTGGAGCAGCGTTCGAATCGCAATAAAAGGCCCTGATGGGCTGCAACACGAGCAATTCTTTTTGTCTTGCGAGAAGCTATTGCGCCAATCCATTCCAAGAAGCAGCGACATTTGTTCATGTCCCGGGGTTTATAGAGAGAGCACGCGCCAAACGTTGAATTGAGGATACAAACACGCGACAGCCTCATTGCTTGTCCAAAAGTGCCCCACAAGAGGCCTCCTCCATAGATTTTGTTATTTCGCAAGCTTCACGACACGCACGCGCAATGGACGGCCGGTCGACCAGCGCTCTCACAACGCTATGCTCTACAGTTGCGCAGCGGGCAATTGCCATCATCCATGAGGTGCAGCTGTTAATAGAGCCGCTGGGCTCAGGCCTGGACAAGCTCGAAGCGCTGTTGGAATTATCCAATTCGCTGGAGGAGTTCAAGCTCCAGGCATCTCAGCTGGATGCTTCTCTCGCGGTCCGCACTGTCTCTATGGCTGCACACGATGCATTTAAGGAGCATCTAACAAACTGCGATGCAACAATGGCAACCTTGTACAAGCAAGTACTGCATCTACAGGAAGACAACATCGGCAGCATCAACGACGAGTTTTTGGCGGCATATAACGAGACTGTCAAGGCATACAGCCAGCTGTTGAAAAGCTTCCTTCAGATTGCTGCAGCGTAAGTGCATCTTCAAAATATCATCATGCATAGAAACACAGTGTGACTGATCATTTTCTTGTTATTGTTTACAGGGGGAATGCACAGCAGCAAGAAGCCAGTCTCGGCCTGTTGCGCTCCAGCGGCATCATTACACAGGCCGAGCGCACATCAGAAGCATCAACGGCGCAAAAAAGCATTCTACACGACCCACGCGAGTCGTCATCCGCATCAGGAAGCGGCAGCTCCTCCCATCCGCCACCAACCCAACCATCAGGCGACGGAATTACCTCACCACCGCCTTATTCAGCTGAGGCCGAGCCGTCATCGTCTTCCTCAAGTCCTGAGCCCCCAAAGGTGTCATGGGGCCAGTCCCTGAAAAACTCATTCAAAGCTCTGGCTTTGAGCTTCAAGCCAAAGCCAGAACCCTTTGTATCGGCATTGTGCCAGGCCGCGACAATTGGCGACATTCAGCAGATAGCAGGGTTCCTCACCCAGGGGGCGAATATCAACGGCCGCAACGAAAACAACAAGACTGCCTTGCAGTGCGCCATTTTGAACGACCAAGAAGACGCTTCTCGCTTGCTTCTAGCGTCGGGAGCGAGCATTTCCGGTTCTGGGTGGTCTGATATCCCACCACTCTTTCTTGCGGCGTCTGTAGGTAGCCTCAACACTGCCAAGATGCTCATCGAGAAAGGAGCAAGCATTGACGAAAAGAGCGAATGGGGAGAGTCATACTTTGTCGGCGTGGTTTCTTCTGGCAACTTGGAGGGCATTCGCTTTCTCCTCAAGCAAGGCTGCAGCGCAAAGACAGAGAACATTAGTGGCGAAGGCGTTATTGTAAAGGCAGTGCAAAAGAAAGACATGAAACTTGTAGAGCTGCTTTTGGAATTTGGCGCGAGTCTCACTTCTACCGACCTTTCTGGCCGCAGCTTATTAGCCGTGGCTCTCGATAAGAAGGACTACGAGATGGCAGAGCTGCTCCTAAAGATGGATGCCAAGCCCAATGACTCGACCGTTTATGGCAACCCCTTGCTGGCTGACGAGATTAGCAACAGGAGAATCAAGACGGCCAAGCTGCTGCTCGACTGGGGCGCGGATCCCAACACTACAAACTGGTACTCGCAGCCCGTCCTCCTCATCGCCATCAAGGACTCCAAGATGTCACAAGAAGAGAAATTGGACATTGTGCGCCACCTCTTCGCCAAGGGCGCAAAGGGCAACGTTTACGATTCTTCCAGCGAAGGACCCGCGATCCGCTACGCTATGGAGACAGGCCTCCCCGAGCTCGTCTCCCTCCTGCTCCGACACGGCGCCAAGACGACGGACCAAATGTCAAACGGCGACTCTCTCCTGAAATACGCCATTGACCAAGGCAGAAGAGACCTTGTCGAGACGCTGCTCCTCTACGGGGCCGACCCGGACTACACTCCCGCGAAGAATGGCATCAAGCCTGTCCAGCCGCTCGTGCAGGCGCTCGTGAAGCAAGATCTTGAGATGATTCGCCTGCTTCGAGAGGCTGGCGCGGACACAAGCACGCCCGAGGTAGGGGATGTGGCAAAGGCGCTGGCCAAGACTGAGGTCTATGAAGCGCTTGGCATCCGGCACATGCCGCCTCCAGCAGACGGAAGTCCTCCAAATTATGAGACTGCGATAAAAGATTGATTATAAACATAAAATTCTGGGAAAAGTCTTTTGCATCTCGAAATCATAGAGCGTCTTGTGTGTAATGCTTTCTTTGTTCTTATATCCCCCGAAGCTGTAGTCTATCATAGGTCCTCATGCGTCTATATACAAAAACATTGTGTATCCTTTTCTCTAAAAGCAATAATTTGAGCATCAAAACGAAAAAATATAACGGAAAATGTACAACGCCATCAGTAATATCTCACTAAACATTAAGAACCTGCTTCAACCACCATGCATGAATACGAGCATCATCCGTCAATTCCGGGTGAAAGCTCGTTCCCAGAATCGACCCCTGCCGCACGGCAATGATATCGCCCGAATCATCCTTGGTCACAGCCTGCGAAACTCCAGACTTCATCCTGTCGATTCTGCCAGGCAGCTTAGCCATGACTTCCACCTCGGGGTCTTGCCCGCCCTTTGAGAGAATCTCCTCCACAACGGGAGCGCGGATAAAGACGCCCGGGAACGGCGAAGGGTCGGCTTCGCCAGCCAGGAACGGCAGCTGAAGGGGCGCCTCGAAGCTCTCAATCTGGCGGCCAAAGTGGTTGCGGTGCACGCGCACGTTGAGGCCGCCAATGAGTTCCTGGCCGCCCTTTTTGGTGGCGTTGGCTTGGTTTGAGAGGAGGATGAGGCCGGCGCAGGTTCCCCATACGGGCTTCTTTTGGACTCTATATCGAGGGAAGAGGATAGTTAGTCCATGTACAGCTCGTATATGTATATATATATAAATATAAGTATATATAAACACAGCGCATGAGAATCGAATTGAGCATCAAATGTACAAAAGGGCCTTACTTGACGAAATCTCGCAGCGGCTCCAGCAGGCCAGACTGCTGCGCAACAAAGGAAATGGTTGTGCTCTCGCCGCCAGGGATGATCAAGGCATCGCACCGAGCGAGCTCCTCGGCAGTGCGCACCTCTATGGCCTCAAAGGAAGTGTCGGATTTGGTCTGTGAGAAGACGGTGCTGGCAGCCTTGCGGAGCAGGTTGAGGTGCTCGATGAAGCCGCCCTGGAGGGCCAAGACGCCGACAGTGACGGCCATCATTTTGGAGCAGTGGTAAGGACGATGAGGCAGATGGAAAAAGAGAGCGTTATTCATGCATAAGCATGGGGGTTATCTTTGGTTGCTGCTGCTGTTGTTTTGGGTATTGAAGATGTGATGTAAATATGGGGTGGATATTACTAGTCGTGGAGCTCTTTATCAAAAAAGAATTGGATGTCAGTAAATGCTGCTTTTGTCATGGATTCATCCAGAAGCGCCGGTAGCCGGCCCAAGCGAATGGCTGAGCCGGAGACTGATTTTTTTGATAGTGGTGGCGGGGTGACAACCCCACGTTGCCAAGTACTGATACGGAGGGCTGCAAGTACTCCGTGTACGACACAGTCAGTTGGTACTTTGAAATAGGGAGTGGGTTCAACGCAGCGGCAGCCAGTTCCGAATGTGCATAGTGATTGATGGGTACTTGTTTGGCAAAGCCTGGTACACTGCAGATGCATACTATGACTTGTTTGGTAGTAGAAACGTGCAGTAATGGACGTCAAAAGAAGCAAGACGCTGCACTCTACACAACCCAGACTCTCGCTTAGATATTCCTGACACGGCAACTCCTGGTGAACGCCCATCTACGCTGTGACAATTCTCTTGAACATCTCCCATTTAGGATCCTCCTCTCCTACTCCGCCGTCGGAAACTTTCGGACAGATGCCACTCTCGATTCACTCCAGCGGGACTGCCTCAATCTGGCATTTCCTGACGATATACTTGAAAAGCTTCTGCAACGGTCCCAAGCAAAACATCCGGCCGTGCTTCCGCCCTGCGTCTGCAGATGCAAAACGCCATGCAAGTGTCAAATCGATGCAGATTCGCTACTGAGGCTGGCGCCGCATCGACCTGCATGAGGCGCCCACGGAGTCGCCCAAAGAGGCCAAGCCTGGCTGCAAGTCAGAAACCCACCAGGGCCCGCCGGTCCGGATGTCGCTGCTTGGAGAGTGGAGGAGTTGAGTCCTGCGGTGGCATCAATGAGCCTCGTGATGCTGAGGTGTCTACCAAGTATGCAGCAGTAGTGGTGATATCTACCTCGCGAGATGTAGTGAGACGGCGCTGTGTAGCAGTGACTGACGGGCAATGTACACAAGCCATAATCCATAATGGCCCTCAAGTGCCGGCGTATGCGCTGCTACTAACCCATGCCGTGTTCATGCTGATTGTCAAGCGTCTCGCTCCCGGCCATCTTGGATTTGCGCCTCGCAACTGAGATCTCGGGGCAGCTCGAGCGTGGCAATGGCGCGCCGCTAAAGGCTCCTGACGGCATCCATGCGGCTTCTAGGCTTCTAGACGCTGGCAAGGGCGCTGCGTGACACTGTGGCTAATAGATGTGCCGCCAGTTGCTTGATTTGAGCCTCCACGCCTTGCCATCGCCATCTGACTTTTTGCATGCGGCGCACATTCACTCGTGCTGCAACCTATTCCCAGTCCTGTATCTCGCAATGCAACTAGACTAGCCGGCATTGACGCTGTCAACGACTAGATACAGCCTGCTCCCATGCCATGCTCACTTCATTCACTCCTCCATTGCGCCCTTGTATGTAATTAGTTTCCTGCAGTGACAGCCTCTGCTTTCCGACGATTGCCGTTCCACCATGCATCCATCCTCGCCTAATTCACAGGCGCCGTTCGCCGTCTCCACCGCCGTGCTTTGGCTCCTGTCGAGGCTACGACCGGCTATCCATGCCAGACACTGTGCCGGATGCTGCTCCATTGCACTCACTCCTCGCTACCTGTACCCAACTGCAGCAGCCTCCTCTCCGTAGAAGGACAGAGAACCACGGCTCCGTTTTCGCTTGCTCCGCACAGGAGTGCGCGGCGCCCGCTGCCGCCATGCAGTAGCTCATGTCAACTGGGGCTCTGGGCTTGATTGGGGCCGCTCGCCATGCCATGCAGAGCGCATCTCGAGCCGATGTACTCCGTACAAGCCGCCATGTACCTCGCGCTAGATGCAAATCAGACGCAGCCAGGTACTTTCGTAATCTTCTAATTACCTCCTGGGCAGTTTTTTCGGGGCTTGGTTTGGATTTCAGTTGCTCCGATGTTGAAATAGAAAATTAAATTGACTCAGCCGGGCGACTGGCTTTTGCCCCGCGGCCAGGTCTTGTCCCTCCCCCCACTACCAAAACCTTCCGAACACCTGCCCCGCGGCATCATATATTGAAGCCATCGCCAGCCTTTCTCCCAGACTCTCCCCTTCCAGTCTCTCAAACAACTCAATTCGACTTTTCGACACCCTCCAAAGTCTCTTCTTGTTTGTGCATCCCCTATTCTGCCAGAATCCCAGTCTGCTTCACGTGCTAACCATCGTCAATGCCGTTCAGCCCATCTCCAGATACCCCTCCATCTCCAACCACCACAATGACCAACGACGCCTCTACCAACGGCTCTGCTGCCCCCGCAGCCCCCTCCAGCTTCGCCCTCAAGGCCGGCCTCGCCCAGATGCTCAAGGGCGGCGTCATCATGGACGTCACCAACGCCGAGCAGGCCCGCATCGCCGAGGAAGCGGGTGCCTGCGCCGTCATGGCCCTCGAGCGAGTCCCCGCCGACATTCGCAAGGACGGCGGCGTCGCCCGCATGTCTGACCCGGCCATGATCAAGGAGATCCAGGAGGCCGTCACCATCCCCGTCATGGCAAAGGCCCGTATCGGCCACTTCGTCGAGTGCCAGATCCTCGAGTCTCTGGGCGTCGACTACATTGACGAGTCCGAGGTCCTGACGCCCGCCGACGACGAGAGCCACGTCGAGAAGAGCCCCTTCAGCGTGCCCTTTGTCTGTGGTTGCCGAAACCTCGGCGAGGCCCTGCGCCGCATCGCCGAGGGTGCTGCCATGATCCGAACCAAGGGCGAGGCCGGCACTGGCGACGTCGTCGAGGCTGTCCGCCACATGAAGACTGTCAACCGCGACATTGCCCAGGCCAAGGCTGCTCTTGCCGAGGGTGGCATCGTCCGTCTCCGTGAGCTCGCCCGCAAGCTCGAGGTTGACGTTGAGCTGCTGCGCCAGACTGCCGAGCTGGGCCGCCTGCCTGTCGTCAACTTTGCTGCTGGTGGTGTTGCCACTCCTGCCGATGCTGCCCTCATGATGCAGCTCGGCTGCGACGGTGTCTTCGTCGGCAGTGGCATCTTCAAGTCTGGCGACCCTGCCAAGCGTGCCAAGGCCATCGTTCGCGCCGTCACTCACTTCCGCGATGCCAAGGTGCTCGCTGAGTGCAGCACCGGTCTTGGTGAGGCCATGGTCGGCATCAACTGTGACTCCATGAAGCCTGAGGAGAAGCTTGCCGGCCGTGGCTGGTAAGCACATTGTACGATTTGCAGAGGAACATGATATGATAAGCGGAAGAAGAAAAAACGGTATATACCAAAGAAAAGAAAAGAGGAGGATTGATCAAAGGGCTTGAATGAAAATGTATTTTACTGCCATATTGGCTTCTGGCGTTGTGGATATCTTATCGCATTGGGAGGCACATAGCATGCTGAACATCAAAAACTTGTGCAACTTGTTGAGAATAGCACGAAATCTACATTTACCATTTATTTATTTATTTATTTCTATCTACATTCTTTTGTGATTTCATCCTTCTGTTTCTTGAACTTGGGTTGCCAACTGCCGCCATGGGTCAGGGTTGGGTTGCCGGCAGTGGAAGAAAAGTGAGGAACAAGCATGCAACAAAGTGAGGGGAAAACGATGATATCTCTGCCTCTGCGAAATTGCATATGACAGGCTCTGGGCCTGTTGGTGTTTTCTAAGGGGGGGAAAACCCCCCATACAAAAAAACAAGGGGGGTGGAAAAACAAAATGACGCCACGGCCAGATTCACATTACCGCGTCTTGACCACGAGGCTGACAGCTGTGAGCTTGTTTACCTTTTTCTCTCACGCACCATGCGAGTAGTCATGTTCTTCGTCCTTCTGATCTTCAAGCTCGGATTTCCTACTCTCTACAAAGCATACGAATTCGTCAAATCACTGTTTCAACCGTTTCGTAGTGGTACTCATCGCACCAGGTAAGTCTATCTCCCCTTGATTCCCAGCCAAATTCCTCATTTCTTCTCCGTATTTGCCTTTGAAGCCGCTCCTTATGCACCCCAGAGGAGAGGTTCTTTACGATGATTTCTTCTTCATTCTTCAAACTGAAGCCCTCGTGAGATGCACAGCTAGATCTCTCCCCCCTCCCTCCCCTTTCTTTTTTGCTTTCAATATTTCAACACAGTCTCCTTTTCTCTTTCCTGCTTCTTGCTGATAGTTGCATTTGTAGCAAAGGAAAGAACACCGTTCACTTTGCTGAGCCAATCAGCCACGTTCGCATTGTTTACCAATCTTTCTCGAGATTCTTCTAAAGCCCAAAAAGCCGCTATCACAGCGCCACTCTGTTCAACAACTGGAATAAATTCCTTTCCTTTTGTTTCCATCGTACTATCAAATCTTTGTCACTTGACATTATTCTACCGCGCAGCAGCTCACAAAGCTCCCTGCTCCTCCAAAGCACAAAGATTCCCCTCACAGGAAACACTTCAAAGGCTATACAGCAAGCCTTCTCTGCAACCATGATGACCAACGACACCAACACTCCTGACATGAGTTGGCCCGAGGCCTGGGTACGCGAGTTCTGGGTTTGGGTGTTTCTCGTCTGGTTCTCGGTCAACGTGATGATCATACTCTTCCTGTGGCCTGTCAGAGACTGGTCGGAGCTCCTCTAGTCCATTCGCGCTGCTATTTTGCGCTGATCTTCTGATCTGTCTTTTTACAAATACCCCATTTGCTTTTTATCTACTGGAAATATCGGGAATCTGGGATCATATCTGCCTGTTGGGATTTATCGAATTACCCTTATATCTCTCTGGATTATTTGGAGTAGTAGTAGCTATCTCTCAAAATTGAACTGGCCTTGTTTTAATTTGCCTTCTTCCTCTAAATTTTATAACTCAATCTCTATAGCCTTTTGGAGTCATGCCTTTTTTTTAATACGTAATCATTCGTAACATGGGAAATGTTAGCTTGGCAGAAGCCATGGAGCAGCGCGGATATGGGAATCGCTGTGGTTACCGATGTTTCTAACCAAAACAGGTTTTCAAATAAATGAATGCTGGCAATACTCTATCTAATTTATCATTTTTGAGTAGTTTTGTAATGTCATCTGTATTCATATATCTGCCATGTCATTGTTTCCCTTCTCGCTTTTTTTTTTTTTTTTTTTTTTTTTCAACGCGCCGACTTTCTCTTTTCCTTCAAATATAGATTCTTTGTAGCCTCTTTCTCGCTCCAGGTAGCTAAGGCTTCGCGACTAAATATCGCATCTCTTTTTTTCCATGGTGTTTTATCCAATTTCTTTTATCCACTGCGACCAAAGTGTTCTTTGGCCATGATATATGCACTTAGTCTATAACGATTCCAAGATCCCTTTCCATATATTGTTATTCTCTTCAAATTTCTCGTGCTTGATTGTCATTCTCTTTGTACCTTTATTGTTTTGTCGAGTCCTCCGGGCATTCATCCAATCCCTTCACCGAGCCTCTTTCCATTTCTGACACTTCTTTATCTATTGACAGAAGCGCATGGGTCTTCTGTTTATTCTTTCCATCGCTTCTTGTATCTTCATCTCGTGTTTATTTCGCTTGGAATTTCGCATTTCGGTCGACTCGACCCTGTACAAATAAGTATCAGTAACCGATTTATCCAATGATTGGGACTTTTCTTTCAGATTTTCAACGTATCTCACATTTGTATCCGGAAGTATCCCGACCTAGCAATGCACTTCCATGGAGGCGATTATGGTATTGCAGCTACCATATTCGACTGCGTCACGATCCCATTTTCTTTCTTTATTTTGCTGTTGTGGCTTCTTGGATATTCGATCTTCTCCTTCCTCCTTTTCTTTTTCGTAGCTCTCTCGTAGGCAAATGTCAGCTGTTCCGAGTATCTGTCATCTATCCAGAGCGAGATCACATCAGCCATTGTTATCTTGATCGCGACTTTGCAGACATACCGAAAGGATCATGTGGCTTTTGATCATATTGAGCCAGAAAACAGAGGGGTAGGTCACAAATATCAGCTCATTTAAAGCAAAGAAAGAATTCTAGCTTCGTGTCAGAATTTGAAAATTGGATTCCACCTCGAAATGGCATTTGGGAACAAAGTACTCTTTATTTCACCATCCCACCAGGAATTAGAGAAATTAAGTCAGACGCCTAGAACAAAACACGGCGGTAGGATAAAGATTAGAGTGATAAATTCTCTCAAACTCCCTCGCTACCATTTCTATTCTACTTTACCCAGTTGCACAAATTGCATGTGCCCTAATCCATCACAGTAGTCAGCAATCAGAACCAAAATTTAAGCCGATTGGAAAACGTAATATAGAAGATATGTGGTCAGAAGAACCCTGATATCGCACCCATAAAAGTAGAAGAGTTTCTTCCTTTACTTGAAATGTAGACCTAAAAGGTCGTCGTAGATTGTTCATCATCATCCCACGGATCAAATAAGAAAAGAGAAAGAAACTTACCAACTAAGGTATAATCAAGGGATTCCAACTACATTAGCCTGTAGAGATTGTTAGTTCCTAGAACCAAGAATTGACGCCATGAAGATAAGAGAAAGAAATTATGGTCAGAAGAACCATGGTAGTGGATCCACAAGAGAGTCTCCCCTCCTGCTTCAAGCGCTCAACCATCGTTCTGGTTATAATCATCCCACAAAACAAAAAGAAATTTGGAGAAACTTACCCACAGGGGGTGAGATGTCCAAGCTCAATTATTCTGAAGAAGTGGTTAGCATCTAGAACCAAAAATTGACCCATGAAGATAAGAGAAAGAAAGTGTGGTCAGAAGAACCATAGTAGTGGATCCACAAGAGAGTTTCCCCTCCTGCTTCAAGCGCTCAACCATCGTTCTTAGTTTATAATCATCCCACAAAATAAACAGAACTTAAGAAACTTACCAACAAAATATTCGAGACAAGATATCACAGGTGTATTAGTCTGACGAGGTGGTTAGCATCCAGAACTGCTAACTGTATCCAATAGATGAGAGAAAGAAAAGGTAGTCAGAAGAACCATGATAGTGGATCCACAAGAGAGTCTCCCCTCCTGCTTCAAGCGCTCAATCATCGTTCTGGTTTATAATCATCCCACAGAACAAAGAAGCAAAGGAAAATGAACTTACCACATATCGAGTAGGAAGATCTCGACCCTATCTTAGAGGTGTGTCAGTAGTCAAAACTGAAATTCCCTCCTCAAAAGTGATGAGAAAAAAAGATACAGTCAGAAGAACCCTAATTTCGCACCCACTGGAGGCAAAGAAGTTACCTCCTTTGCCTCGAACGCGCACTCACAGGCCATCGTGTTCTTTTTTGTAATCATCCTGATGAAGAAAAAGGAAACCGGAAAGGGGCTTACCACATATCGAGTAGGAAGATCTCGACACTATCTCAGAAGTGTGTTAGTAACCAGAACTGAAATTGCTTCCTCAAAAGTGATAAAAAAAGATTCGGTCAGAAGAACCCTGATGTCGCACCCACTGGAGACAAAAAAGTTTCCTCTCTTGTCTCGAACGCGCACTCATAAGACCGTCGTGTTCTCATTTGTAATCATCCCGCAGAACAAAAAGAAAATAGAGAGAAACTTACCCAATATGACAAAAATAAATAGAACTCGACTAGTTTGGAGAAGTGTCAGTAGCCAAAACTGAAAATGATCCTCAAAACTGGAAAAGGGAAAGGAGTAGTCAGAAGGCCAAAAGTTTCCATTTCAGCCTCGAACGCGTGCTCATATAGGCATCGTGTTCTTGTTATAATCATCCTACAATGCGCGAGATAGAGAGGAAGAAAACGAAAGCTACTTACCATGGACTGCTGAGCAGATACCTCGAGACTACAGAGCCCCTAGGAGGAAGTAACCGTCAGCATCTGCAATGTAACTGAAGCCACAACAATAATGGAGAGGGAGTCTAGTCAGAAGAACCCTAATGTCGCACCCACTGGAGGCAAAAAGGTTTCCCCTCTTCCCTCGAACGCGCACTCACAGGCCATCGTGTTCTTTTTTGTAATCATCCTAACAAACGAGAAAGAAAAAACTGAAGGACTTACGGAGGATTGCCAAGAAAGGTCACAAAAGCTCTAATGGAAAGAAATAGTTAGCATCGGTAGCGTAATTGAAGTCATGTCAATCATGAAGGGATAAAGATATGTGGGTGGTCAGAAGAACCTTAATGCTACGTATCAGACGAGCACCAACGTTCTTGGTTATAATCATTCCATAAGGCGAGAGAGAAAAGAAAATGTAGGCTAACTTACCAGTAGCTACCAAGCAAGATTGTAAACCCCTAGTAGGTAATAGTCAGTGTCCGCAATGTAACTCAAGTCAAACCATCATGAAGAAGAAAAAGGGTGTGGTCAGAAGAACCCTGATGTCGCACCCACTAGGGGAAAGCGAAGAAATAAATTCTTCTCTCGCCCCAAAAGCGCAATCATAAAGCCATCGTGTTTTTGTTCATCATCATCCCACAGCACAGGAGAAGAAAGTTGGGATCACTTACCGGAGGCTGCTAAGCAGGTTTGCAGAGGCTCTAGTAGGAGGAAAGAGTCAGCGTCCGCAGCGAAACTGAAGCCACAAAGATCGTGAAAGAAACAATTTGTAGTCAGAAGAACCCTGGTTTCGCACCCACTGGAGACAAAAGAATTTGTCTCAAAGCGCACTCACGAGGCCATCGTGTTCTTGTTTGTAATCATCCTAAAAGAAGAGAGAGATAGGAGAAATCAAGGCGACTTACCTGATGTTACTCTGTATGAGATCGCAGAGACTAGTACCAGAGGAAGGTAGTTAGCATCTGCAATAAAAGGTTGAAGCCACCAAGATCATGAAGGAGCAGTTTGTAGTCAGAAGAACCCGGATATCACACCCACTAGAGACAAGAGAAGAATAAAGTCCTCTCTTGTCTCAAAGCGCACTCATGAGGCCATCGCGCTTTGTTTATCATCATCCTAGAAGAAGAGAGAGAGGAAATCGAGGCGACTTACCGGAGGCTACTCAGTGCGAGATCTCAGAGACTAGTAGTAAAAGAAGGTAGTTAGCATCTGCAATTAGAAAATTGAACCCAAAACTTTCACGAAGAAAAATCATGGTCAGAAGAACCCGGATTTCACACCCACCGGAGACAAGAGAAGAAAGAACCGCCTCTCTTGTCTCGAAACGCACTCACGAGGCCATCGCGCTCTTGTTTATCATCATCCCAGATCGGCAGAAAGAGGAAATCGAAACGACTTACCGGAGGCTACTCAGTACGAAGATTGCAAAGACTAATGGTAGTTAGCATCTGCAATTAGAAAATTGAAGCTTAAACGATCATGAAGAAACAAGAATGGTCAGAAGAACCCGGATATCGTACCCACTAGAGACGGTCGAGGAAAAATCCTCTACTGTCTCAAACGCGCACTCATAAAGCCATCGTGCTTTTGTGTGTCATCATTCCATGAGGGAAAGGGAGAGAAAAGAAAGATTCACTTACCAAAGGCTGCCAGAGCAGAAGCAGAGGATGACGAATGCCCTAGGAGAAGGAAGCAGTTAGCATCCGCAAATTAATGGCAGTCAAAGTGATTATGAAGAATGAATGTGGTCAGAAGAACCCTGATTTCGCACCCACTAGAGTCAAGAGAAGAAGATCCCCCCTTTCGTCAAAAGCGCACGCATATTGCCATTGTGTTCTTTTTTGTCATCACCCCAAAGTGAGGAAGAGAAGAAAGAAATCACTCACCAAAGGCTCCTGCAGAAGAAGATGGCAAAACCCTGATAGAAGAAAGTGGTCAGCATCTGTGGCACAAATTTGAAGTCGAAGAGATTGTGAAAGAACGAATGTGGTCAGAAGAACCCTGATTTCGCACCCACGGAGCCAAGAGAAGAAAGTGTCCTCTTGACTCAAAAGCGCACGCATATTGCCATTGTGTTCTTTTTTGTCATCATCCCGAGACAAAAATGGATAGAAAAAAAGAAAAAGAAGCTACTCACCGAGGGTCATTGGAGAAGAAGATTGTGAAATCTCTAGCAGAAGGAAGTAGTCAGCAGCTATAACTGAAGTTTGTAGACAAAGCGATCTTGAAGGAAGAGTATGGTCAGAAGAACCCTGATATCGCACCCATGGAGGTAATGAAGATTCCTCCATTACCTGAGCAGACCTAAAAGGTCGTCGTATGTTGTTTATCATCATTCCAGCATGGAGAAAGGAAAAGAAGGAAGAAAGTGTAACTTACCAGAGGCGGCAGAAGGAAAGAAATCCAAGTCACTAGATGTTTACCGATAGTCAGCAGTGTCAATGCAAGAAGAAAGAAGGTCGAGGAATAGATTTTGGGTGCTCAGATAGATTGATGTCAGCATGGTCTTGCTAGAAGTGCTCCAGCTGACTTTGACCAGAACCAGAGTCATCACTGCGCGTTTGACCAAAAGCAAAGAAGTGAAGTCAAACTGAAGGGAGGCCCACCACTGTAGTGCCGTCATGTGGAGTGGGGGAAAACAAAAAGAAGCAGAAGAAGACATACTTGCCAGAGAAAAAAATCAAGGGAAAAAAAGTTGCGGCCAGCCATCACTGCTGTGCGAGAGGGAGCACACGCGGGAAAACAGAGAAGAAAAGAGAAAACAAACTGAAAAAGGAAAAAGGAAAAAGGAAAAACTAAATGAAAAAAGAAAATGAAAAAAGTGGAAAAATAAAAATAAAAATAAAAATAAAAGGGGGGAGCAAGGTAAGGTAATATGGCAAAAGAGAATCAGACACAATATTTTACGAGCATCAGCTACAAGTAGCCTACATCAAGAACCCTATTTTGTCATCATGTGAGAGCCAACCGAACCAAAAAGATCTACGACGAAAAGAAAAACAATTAGCAGAATCATGAACTGAAGAAGAGAAGAAGAGAAGAAGAGAAGAAGAGAAGAAGAGAAGAAGAGAAGAAGAGAAGAAGAGAAGAAGAGAAGATGAGAAGATGAGAAGAAGAAAGGGTAAAACAAAAAGAAGAAGAAAAAGTTTCCGGGATCATAGTAGAATTATCAATCATTTGAAGCAAACCAGTGCCGTGACACTTCGTGCAACTTGGAAGAACCCTTTCTCTAATCATTTCCCGAGCCCCCAGATTCCCCACGATGTTAGCAAAACTTGAGAGTTCTGTCCATGGGACTTACCTTGAATCCAGGATGGAGAGAGGAAAGAGGGAAAGAAGAAGAAGAGGGAGGGGGGGGGGAAGGGAGGTCTATATAGTTGTAGAAATCGAGGTGGTGGAGCCCCCTGATCTGCTGCCAGCTGGTGACTGAACAAAAAATAAAACAACCTGCTCTCCTAACTGGCCTATGAGAGGTCAGGATCACAGCTGTCACGGTGAAAGTGAGCAAGTTTACGCGTAACTGCCTGGCCAGACCGCTCCATGATCATAACAAAGATGACGTGATGCTTCAAATCATCTGAAGTTCATGCAGAGGTGAGGGTCGTGATCATTTCCTCGATTTACAATTGGCAGACCTTTGAGGGGGAGAGGGGCCATCGTCAGATATCACTCCGGTGAATTGAATTTGTGAATGTAAAAAGTCTCCGTGCAGTCATGAGATTCTGACCGCCCCCCACGAAGAGAATTATTGTTGCGGTGACTCATGATTATTGTAGATGTGTGAAGTGGCATTGTATTGGTTTGCCATTGGAGTGGTGCAGCAAAAGTTGAATTGGCAGCTGCGTATGTATTGTAGGGACCCCCTCCAACATACTCGTAGAGTGCAAGTTTCCCTGTAGCTACTCCCTAAAGCGTAGACGTAGATGCTGCTGGAGATGTGGCATGCAGGTGAAGCTATCGCCAGTTCCAGACGCTTTTTTCTACTAGGGCCACGTATTTTTTTTTTTTTTCCTTTGGCCTTCTCTTTTGTTGTTTATCGAAAAAAGAAACTGCATAGTCTCTAGACGAGATTTTACAGTAGTCACTTTCTTTACCCCTTTTATCTGGCGATGCTACATTGGACCTTGATTTCAATGGGAACTACGCATTTATTCTTAGTATTCTTGCGGCAAGGTAATAATTCTTTTCAGGAAACAAATATATTGATTGTATTGTTATTAAACCAAATGCTCTATCCCGTAGCGTTCAATTTGGAAAACGTTGTGGATGATGGACAGGTTCCCACAAAAATGATCGCCAAATCGTCGCCAAGCTAGATCTGTATTTCGTGGAGAAACCTAAAATCCAACCTAAAATTGACTACTGTACACAGCCTTGTTTTGATTCAGCGGTGGCTCTATGTTTCCTAGATTTCGAGAAAAGAATGTAATCTACAGAAATGCTGAAAGGCTTTGATATTGTGATGTTGGGGAGCCATACTCAGAACAAGTAGTGCTCAGCACGCAATTTGGATAGAATGATCGGAATTACCCTAGAACATGAAGTGACAAATTGATGGGCGCGGCTATGAAAATACGCTCTTTGGGAAAAAAGAACTATGACGAAAATGACATGAAATTAGGAGACGAAATATTTCTATCAATGCGTAACGGTAGCTGGCAGCTAAAGAGGATAAGAAATGTGCAAATTTTATCGGATGGGTGCATTATGGCTGCACAGGATCATTCGGCTACCACCGTGAATTATTCCTCTACTCTCCTACTTGGATTACTGCAACACCGTTTTACCACTTTAAATGCGATACGTAGCCTCAGATATTATTTGAGCTCTCTTCTTAGAAACAAAGTGTTCTGAAAGATGCGTTTCCCACCGCTTATCCTACCGAAAGAAACGCCAGCGAGAGATTCTCCAAGTGGGAATCGCACACCGTTCGATGGCTGCCTAATTAATGATGATTATTATGCCACAGCAACGACTAGCCCATCAGAGACGAGTTTCATAAAAATCTGGTAAGATTTTCTCCAGAGATATTTCATTTTGCCATCTCAACTCTCTACTGGATTGTGTTGACGCAGATGGAGACCAAACAGACTGATCTGAGCCTCCTATCCAACAACGGCGACCGCACTACGCATACACATACTCTAAACAAAGAGACCGAAATTAAACAGCCATTAGCTCGATATTTACCTCCACATGCTGAAGAATCTGTGCCATCTATTTGCAGGCATATTATATTGGTGACGGAGAGAGCTTGATCTGCGCTACCAGGCAAGGGAAACGCGACCGAAAGTCAAAAATCAATAGAGTAGAGCAAGGTATTCCAATACACTGCGTACCAATACAGTGACTGAGAAGTGCAAGGTGTTGAAAAATACTGTCTCTACCATTGCTCGAAGCGCGTGGATAGGGCCGACGTCACACAAGAGAGCGTGGCCACAAACAGAGTCCATATACTGGCTGGTGGCGAGTTCGCCCTCTATATTCCCCCACCACTGACTGTAAGCAAATCTATGTCAATACAAAAATTGATACTGAGAACATGCTTTTCCCCCTCGTAATAGCGGTCGGTGAGTCGCCTGTGCCAAATGCTCGACAAAGCTCGTGGTGGCTTCGCAGACTCCAATTCCTTTGCAGGCGAGATGCTCAGCTTTGCTGGGCATGGAATCAAAGAATTTCAGCGGTTTGAGGGCAATATTTTGAGCTGGCACTACCTCAGTATCATGGTCATGCATCAAAGGATCAATAGATAGAAATATACGTTGGTAAGTACATGTCAAATAGCCGATACTCTTCTTGCTCAGTCTTCCCTTCTAGGGGTGCTGTGTGTTTCGACCCCCCCCTTTTTTTTTGCTCGCTTGCTAGAAAAGCTCAACGAAATGCTAATATTACCTTTACTCGCCCGGACGAAAAACCTCGACGCAAAAGATTATAACGCCGACTTCATGCCCCCATCGCCAAGACGAGTTCCTCGAAAGCCTACATCGTTATTTCCCCGTTTCCAACTCGAACAATACATATACTAAATTAAGAGCGAAGAAGCTTTTACGACGAGAAAAAAACATTTGTATACGGTTTGACCAACAAGGCTCAGCTAATTCAGCTGTCTGCCAAGGCTTGGTTCCACGTTGCTATATCTACTATACGGGTGTTAAGATTTCTGGAGGATTCTCTTCTCGGGCTTTCAGCTTAAATTCAGAAAATTCCTCAGAAGCACACAAGTTCCTTGAATGTAGGCGTTTGTCATAGCCAACAACTGCTCCCGCTTCTCACTGTCGAAGGAGTGATGCCCTTTAGCTCGCGTTCCAGAACTAGATTTGACTTGGATTGGAGTGGCCGCAGTTTGGACGCGTATTACAATCCATCGCTGAACTTCGAAAAGGTAATTCCAAGCAAATACCTGACAAGATGTCTCTGATGCCATATATTCGCGGCTGTATTGGTAATATCGACGCACTGAGCATGTGTTTGTTCCCCCTAACATCGATTGCGCCCGATCCTGAATCAATATTTCAGACTAATCAATATCCCTTTACTCTACTGAAGAAACCCCACAGCTGATTCAAAATGGAGTTGACCTTTCGCCTTCGTCAAAATTTCGCCTTCGAATTCGAAATTTTGGCATATCCACCTACCTTGGCTATGCCGTGTGGCAACATTTCTCCGGGCTTAGATACCAAGGTGACGTTGAATTTCTTAAAATTATGGCCGATATCATTTTATTTTCTATCCTCTTTTAGGTTTATAGTTGCAAGTCGCTCTGTAGATATATCCTACTAACGATGTATTTGGCACTACATTGACAGAACTACGAAAATAACCGATCGTTCAAAGCGTCCACGAGAACCGCTGCTCCTGAAGCAGCAAGAATAACATATCAGCCTCACATCTCACATATATACGCAGACGTATCGACACAAGAGTAATTCCTAGCCGCAATCAACGTAAGAGGATGTTTTCCATCTGCCCTTGGGAACCAATCTTGGCAAATCATACAAATCCCCTGATCTTTTCTTCTCAAAGATCCCGCTAACTTCTTTCCGCTCTCGATAGTTCTGGCCCAACTAGACTCGACTTACCTCCGAATCAAGACTTCACCCTCGACTTTCCAAGCTACAAACAAGATATATGCATTTATATTTCCAATTTATTAAAAAAATATACATCAATAATCGCTAACCGCAACTATTATACCAATCCTCCCTAATCAATCACCAATCATACCCACGCTCTCCAAAAACCACATCCACATCCGCTCTAATTCCTCACAGCATTAGGAGGCCACCAAATCATCGGCGGATACGCCAACTCCTCCGCCCCATCTCCACTAAACACCTCCCACCCCAAGCTCTTATAAGTCTTCATCCCTTCCTCACTCGCCTCCAAGTACGCCGGAATCCCCAGCTCAGCGCACCTCTCCATCCCCCACCTGACACACGCCGACGCCGCCCCTCGCCGCCTGTACGCAGGATCGACGCACATCCAGCCCAGCAGCGCAAACGGCCGCCCCTTCATGAGCTTCCTCCGCATGTCGACTTCTGGCTGGATGAGCTCGAGAGCCTTTTGCCTGTTACCCTCGTCCTCGATCCATTCCATGCGCAAAATGTGATTCTCCTGCATGTACTCCTCCTCGCTTCTCACCCTGTCCCAAACGAACCACTCTGCATATCCGATGATAATCTCTTCCCCAGTAGCAGGATCCGTGTGTACGCATTTGATGGCCGGCCACACAGAGGGATACTTTGCCGCGTGTTCTCTGAAGCCGGTCAGGTGCTGCTCTGCCATAAACTTTCGGTTATCTGGCGTATTGCGCCCTCCCATCAATTTCATCACCGGGAATGGCCCAAACGCTTCAAGAACGATTTCCATGCATCGTGGCAAGTCCTCATCCCGGGCATTTTCGACACGTAAGTTGAAAGGCGTGGACGACATGGTGAGCAATCTTAGGAGTAAAGTGGCTGCGAAATCAGGCCCTTCGGTCTTTGCATTGGGCAATCTGAGTAAATGCTTGTCTAATCCGCCAAGTCCTGTGGTTTATATAGGCATCTCCAGACCAGTTGCTCAGCCCATATATAGTATATCGAAAGGCACTTTTGATGGGCCAACGCAAAGCGGAGCATCCCATGACTCTTCGCCGAAAAGTGCTTACACAAGTTCTAGTGCCACTACCCCGCGACCAGGGTCCCACGACAACTACCTAGCGTCGCTCAATTCAGCAGCATTAGCCGCTGGCCTGAAGGATCATCGGCACGGCTTTGAAAGTGACAGCATGTGAAAAGGATTTCTATCAAAGCAACGAGTACAGGGCAAAGGAAGAAGAATGCCAGTAGTAGCTATGTATGGTCACGAGTCTCACGAGTATAATCAACTCCCCATCTAAATGCTCCCATGTATTTTTCTCTAGGTATCTGTAGATATATATCTACTATATGAGGTGCCCCAATGAAGATATGCAAGTCCCTTTGCCATCCGCACAATATCACCAGCTTACAGTATACACGTACTCATAGCAGTTACTCCACATACATGTTTTGGGGGAAATTTTAGATAGATACCATTTAACACCAGCTTCAAAGAAAGCAAATCTTTCAGCTGCTTTAGCGAGTGGAATATTAAAACATCAAGTGAGAAGACAAGAGCAGCCAAAGCACTCGAGGATTAATGAGCGAGCATCGACCGCTGCTACCAAGTCCAACAGTGAGAGTGGGCGTGAGAGAGAGCAAGAAAATCACTTTTGGTAATAAAGAGAAAGAAACAAGACGTGAAAAGGAGAATAGAAAAGAAAATGACGGGAAACGACGGGAAAACATAGTTATACAGGAGAAATTTTTAATGACTAGCGCGAATTCTAGGCTTGAGAATTGCTATTGTCGCTATGCGCACAAGTCTGGCTTTAATGGATAAAAGATAACAGTCAAGAGAGAAAAAGGAAAACAAAACAAAGGAAAAAATAGGGCAAAGGAAAGGGAAAAGAGGCATCAAATGAAACGAGGACGGATAAGACAAACAAGGGAAAAAGGGAAAAGACAGGAACTTCAAAGCTTGAATATAGGAAATCATTGCACACATCACAAAAGCGAGAGACACAGGAAAGTAAGAGGCAATCACACGCAAACAAAGCACGGCATCAATTTTGTAAGGGGAATCATAAAATCAAGCACGTAATCAAATTTGACTGGTGACAGTTCCCCAGAGAACTGAAATCTCCAACGCCGGTCGTGATTTGAGACTCAAGAAAATGGGGGGTGCATGGTGTCGTGTCAAAGTGCAAAGCAATGGTAATTTCAACGTGAGAAAAAATGACAAAAGACGACGTGCCCCGAACGACGCAAATCAGTCCAACGCCCCAATGTTGCCCCAGGTCAGCCTCTCAATCTGGCTGTGAAGAATAGGAAAAGAGAGCATCAAATGAGAGTCGACAAAACCTTGTCCAATTCCCTGTGACAGGTCTGAATAAAAAGACTAAGCCGTCTCTAGTAGTGTCCAGCAGCTTCTTCAAACTTTACTGCAAAAAAAATTCCAGTAGTCAGCATTTCTGTGGGCTTTTCGCGTCAAGGAAACGGGAAAGGGAGAAGTAGCATATCATGTTATGCTTTGCTTTGTTGGGTGTTGCCTACCTGAGGGGGAACAGCGGGACCTGGAGGCCCTGAAGGACCCTGGGGGCCTGGAGCAGGACCGCCGAAGTGGTGAGGGCCGCCATATGGGCTGGGACCAGGGCCGCCGTGAGCAGGGCCAGGCATGCCCATGTAGTGAGGCGGAGGAGGAGCAGGGCGGTAAGGAGTGCCAACTCCAGAGTTGTTCTGAGATCGGCCCCAGCTGAGACGCACGCGGGAGTTGCCGATGGGGTAGCCCTGCATCTGGTTGATGGCCATCTCGGCGGCGTGGCGGTGGACGAACTGGACGAAGCCGCAGCCCTTGCCGGGAGGAATCTTGACGTAGGTGATCTCACCAAAGCCCTGGAAGAAAGATCGCAGCTCGTCCTCGGTAACGTATCCTGAAAGGCCACCAACGAAAACAGTTGTGTTGTTGGGATCGGTGAACTGATTCATCTGGGTGGCCGGGTTGAAGTTACCGCCGCCGCCGCCGCCGTAGGGGAAAGCTTGCACTCCACCCCACATCTGCTGCTGCTGGGGCATACCGCCGCCCATCATAGGACCTCCCTGGTGTCCGTGACCGAAGCCGTGGTTTCCGCTGTGAGGAAAAATCGTCATATTAGCCAGATTTCCTCTTTGAAAAGAACACAGTTTGATAGTATGTGTGTTGGAAGGGTGTAAGTGAAAAGCCAGAGCGGGCAAAAAAAAAAAATCAAAAGGAGCTCAAGTTAAAGTATAGCAGAGTGCGTGCGCAAGCGTAAAGGTAAAAAAAGAGGGCCGATAGTAAGGCGTGGGACGTACCGATTCTTGGGAGTGGCAGTCGAAATCCTCATAGGACGGTTACCGCAGTAGACTCCCTGCATCTCAACGAGCGCGCGCTGCTGGTCGTTCTCGTCAGAGAAGCGGACGAAGCCGTAGCCACGGCTCTGGCCAGACATGGCATCGGTCATAATCTTGGCTGACTTGCACGAAGGGAAACGAGCCTGGAAGAGCGACACCAGGACATACTCGTTGACCTCGGGGCCAAGATCGCCAACGAAGATGCTGTACTCAGGGCCGCGGTCGTCGCTATCGTTGGTAGACATTAGAAACCGAATATTAAGCAGGAGTAAGAGCGAATGTTGTGGAAAAGGGAATTCGCCGAGCAGCGAGAGAATGAACGTAGACGAGGGCAGGGCGCAATTGGCAAGCGAGAGTGTGTTCAAAGCAGAGCAAGGAAGAGGCAGAAAAAAAAGAAAGATGAAGCTGCGCCGGAGAAGTGGTGAAGAAAGTAAATCCGAGGCGCCAGCGTTACTGCCGTAAATCTGTGGCAAGTACCGGCCAGGCTCAGGCACACGAGAAGCCGCGCGGGGGAGGTACAAGCACAAGTACCGTCGAAGGCAGCAATAAAAAAAAAGGCAAAAAAGGGAACAGGGCTGAACACAGCATGGGTTAATTTCACAGAGGTTACACATACCGTCGATCCACCAGGCCGCCGCCAGAAGCCCAGTTGAGCTTGAACTGGCGCGAACTGTTAGGGACTGGCGTTCCGTTCAGGCCAAGCGCCTTGGTGGCGGAGTCAGGAGTCGGGAACTCGACGAAGCAGTAGCCGGCATTACTAGGAGGGAGCAAAGTTAGTTGGGGAAGCTTTCATACGGGATACGACGCGTGGTTTGTGGTGCGTGATGGGGCTCTTCACGTATAGACGCCGCCAAAGCCCCATCGTGGCGACAGGCACGGCCAGATCCAGATTCAACAGCAGGGCAGCGGAACTTACCCAGAGTTTTTGTCGCGGATGACCTTGACGTTGACCGTCTCTCCTGCGGCAGAGAGGAAGACGCCCTTGATGAAGTTTTCGTCCATCCAAGGCTCAAGCTCTCCCATCCTAGTCCATTCGTAAGTCACATGTGCCACCTCGCATGCCACCGGATTGCACTTCATCTTACCAGAGCGTGGTCTTGGCCTGGTCCTGAGTAGGACCAGCGGGAGGGGGGACAGCCGACATGTCGGTAGCAGGGGGGGTTCCGTTTTGGAAAGCCATTGGACTAGCAGCAGCAATGCCGTTAGATTGCGCACCGGAAAAGGAGGTGTTGAGATCCATACTTGTCTGCAGCAGAAGCCATTAGTTCACGTTGAATATGGATGAAGCGCGCTACGATAATATATAAGAAGAGAAGCCGCAGCCAAAGTTCGATCGTTTGCAGCAGCGACTCGAAAAACGAGAGAGGGGGGAACGAGAGAGGAGGCGAGAGAGAAGAAGAGATCGTCGTCATGTTGAGCCAAGTTAAATGTTGAAGACCAAACCGCACATCCTCTAGCTGCGTCTTGTGGGTATCTCAGGTTTGGGCCCCAAAGCCCCGCGCGCAATCTTCTTCTTGTAGCAGTGTAGATGAAAAGGGTAGAATTGCTTGTTGCGCGGGGCCTCTCACGAGGATCTGAGTTGTGCCACTTGGCCCAAGGCAACACCTGCTTGCGTTCAAAGAGCCTGGTCGACACTGTTCGAACAATAGGCTTTCGCATCTCGCCAATGTCGGCGGCACTGCCAAGCAGAGAGGTGCTTATAAAAGAACAAGAAAGCCAAAAANAAAAAAAAAAAAAAAAAAAAAAAAAGTTACTACGTACCAATAACACTATGCTTTCAGCAACCAAGTGGTAATTCTGTTTCTCAAGTCCAAATATAAATAGGCTATCTTTGCCAAAGAAGATGCTCAAAGACTATTGACAACAATTGTTAGTATCAAAAGACTAATGATGGATAGCTAAACCCAATTTTGGCCGCCACGAACCTAAGAAAATGGAAATAGAGATGAAGCGTCCGAATCGAAAATGAGAATCGAGAACGAAGCAATAACGGACCGATATCCAGTCACACTAGCTGGACTCCGAAGAAGAAAAAGGGTGTAGGAATAAAGATATTCTCAATACGCCGTCACGCCGCGTCCAAGATGGCAAGGGGACAAAAGCGATGCTTGAAGCGGATAAGAATCTTCTCTTTAAGATGGAGTCGTAACGTGATATCGTGGAACCGAACGTTTGTTCTACCGAAAATCCTAAAGGAGTGTGGTAAAACAGTTGGAACGCTCTCGAAATCAAGAATAACCTAGATGAAAAGCAAATTAGTATTCTGGCTGGCGGATTATAACCTTTTATAGTCGCGTGATGTGCAAGATGATAACAAAGCCCTCTTGTCTTGTGTGTTGTGTAAAATGTCAAAGGAAATCCTAGTCATGAAGGCAATAGCTCGGTGGCACCATTGGTCCAGCGTCTTCTCCGTTCTCATGGGGATATCCTCGAAAATGGCCAGCCTTTGTTATCCATGTTTCTTCAATCATCCCTGATAATGCCAGATTCCACAGCTAAGTATTTCCAGTGTATCCTCAGAAGCAGTATCGTCATTTTTGAAGCCATAGCTAGTGGACGGCGCATTGTCGACGCCGCAGCTGTTCTTCTTATAGGCATATAATATGTCAGACAATTTGCGCCGGTGTTGCTTGACGTTGGTGAGCCTACCAGAGAGATCGACCAAAGTCAATGCTTATCGGAACCCTCTCTGGCGATTCGTAGAATGGCGGTATACGACAATGAAAAGTGTTGTCCGGGGGAAGAATATGGCGAATGCGCACCAAGGACATATCCACAGCTCAACCTTCACAAGCCAGTCGCTGCATATAGTCCAACGCCGTCCACAAATGCTGAATATTCATTTATCCGCGATCCGAAATAAGTGAGGTTCAAAACGTCTGTCATGTGCGTTGCAGCCGTCGGGCGCATAGTTGCATTGTCAACTGCTCGGGCCACGACTTGCAACAATCCCTCCTCCTAGGTATTGCGATACTGAGATTTGGCCAGCATCGACAAGCTGAATGTCCGCATTCGCTAATTTCTGCCATGGCCAGGCACCTTGTCGCTCTACCTCGTTTGAAATATCAACTCTCAGCAGCGTGCATCTCGATCCATCGTTTGCCGCGATCGCATTGCCATGGGCCCGGCGAAGTGGGGTGAAGCCGGATGGGGATCGCGCATCGTCCCCGCGAAGACGCCCGAAGTGCTTCCGGAGAGAAAATCTGCATGGCATTGAGGCCAACCAAAGCGCTTCGTGGAAGAGTCGGGCGATGCGACGGCCAGCAGGAACAGCGATGCCCACAATCTGGACGTGGTGGCGGTCCTGGAGGGCTTCGGGGTCTGTCTTGACGGCGACGGCGACGGCGCAACCGGAAATACGACGCCGCACTTTTTCGCCGCATGTGCGCTGCGGACGGCGCGCACTAAAAAGGCCAGTGTCGGTCGATTGCGTCGCTTCAGCTGGCTCGTCGCCGGGCGCACAAGGCCCAGGACGTTGCTTCGGTCCTTGTCGATGTCGAGATTCGTGATTCTGTCGCCGTAACCGGAGGGGCGGCGTCCAATTCGAAATTTCGATCCATCGTTTCCGCGCGCAAACCACACACTATTCGACCTTCCGGGCACGGACAAGAGGGGAAAATCTCACAAGAGGCACCAAAAAAAAAGCAAGGCTGGCAGGGTGCAGAATCTCAACTTACTTTTAGGCGCCGGCAAAAACAACCGTAACTCTCTCAGCCGATAGTCCGAAACACGCGCAAGGGAAGAACCGTAGCAGCCGTGACGAAAGAAAAAGAGATGAAAGAGGAAGAAGTGTGATGGAAGAAAAGAGTCAGTCGCGGGACGCCGTGCGGCAGAGAGAGCGGGCGAGCTTTTTTTTTTCTCCCTTGTCCAAGCTTGTACTGGCCCTCTCTTGTTGGACGATTTATTAGTGGGCACACACTTCCTGCTCACACAGTTCGACTCTGCACAGCCAGGTCCGGCTTGCGCGGGGATTAGTTAGGCGAGGGACAGGGGGGGCGTGTGCCTATTGCTTGTGTGAGACGTTCGATGTGGGCGCTGTCGTTCTGGCCAAAGACGATCTCTGTGCTCGATCTCGGACCCGTTGGTTGGCCAGGCTGGTATGAAAGGGCGCTGCAACTACCCACAAGGTGAAAATTCCACACACACGAGCGACAAAGACGACCACTAAAGCGCTGGAGCTCTGGGGGGAGGGGCTCGTCCACACGAGAGTGACGCTGCTGCTGGAACGGACAATGCTTTGCTATCGCAGCTCTGGCTCTTCCTTTCGGTTGGCGAGAACAACAAAAGGACGCGAGGCAATAGACGAGCGGGTGGGTGATGGACAAAGAAACAAGCAGCGGTAGCGATATATACCAAAATCAGCAAAGTAAAGAGGTGCTTTGCGGCGATATTGACCAAACAGATCCAAGAAAAGGTCAGATCTAGACAACGGGGAGCGCAAGCAAAGATATGACGGGGATGAGATACACAATCAATCAATCAATCAATCAATCAATCAATCAATCAATCAATCAACAATCAATCAATCAATTGCTGTGTAATCGCAAAAAGGACGGAAAGAGTAAATAACGCTGTGGTAGAAGCAGGAAGAGAAGAGGAAAGGAAGGAAAGAGGAAAGGAGCGACAGCACTCGGGTATTATTATTATTCTTCTTGTTGTTTCCTATTCTGATTCATCCCTACCTACTATACCTACTCTTCCAAAGGACCACTGCTGTTCTGCTTTGTTCTGTTCTCAGCGACGAGCAAGTTCTAACTACATAAGCCCTCGCTCATCCATTTCCACAAAAACCTTGTGGGTGCTGTTTCTGGGCGTGTACGAAAGAAAAAACGGCGAGTGGCGCCCACAGTCCTTAGTCTGGCTCAGGACGGCGAAGAGGTCCAGCCGCGTCAACAGGCTCAATGGCTCTGGACATTGAAAATTGGGGGCCCAAGGGTCGAAACGGAGAGGTTTTCAGCCATGGTGGCCACCAAAGCAAGCGCGGAGCGTTGGTGGCGCATCGCCAAGCTGAGTATAGAACACGGAAGCCTGATGTACCTGCCAGGTATAGGTGAAACGCATCGAGTCCTAGTTTACATGCTACTCGCCTTGTTCCTCGCAAATACGAGTATAAGACACGCAGCTGCTTGCCAGTTTTGGCTTTGTTTGGACGCTGACTTGACCCATGAGGCGGCTAGTGTCTTCTCTTGCTTTTGCTTTGACCACTGCGAGGCTCCATGCACTCCGCAAGACCGCAAAGATGAGTTCGTCGGGCTCCGGCCGCGAGGCATCAGCTGTCAGGAAACAATGAAATACTTGTCGAGTACCACGGTTGTCCGTCTTCATCGCGGAACATGCGGCAAGCACGCACCGTTTCCAATCACGCAACCCTACTGTCTCTCTCAGTGCCAAAAGAAGGCATCTCCACAAAGCAGCCGGAAACAACCAAGCATCACGGGCCCTGCCAGCCTGCTGAGGCTCATCTACACTGGCTCAGACCGAACTGCCATAAAAGACACTGTCCCCATACCGTGCCACGATCCATCGCCTGTTAAAAGCCCGTGATCTTTCGCCCTAGAGACTAAGCACTCAGAAGCTTTCTAGCGGACTGTCCGACGGCGTGTCACTAGCTGCCAAAGTCGACTCCATTCAGAGGGCTCGCCTCTGTCTAGTGCATCTGTCCATGTGGCGATTTGGATAGTGCACGTATTGGGACGCTCCGGCATCTCCCTGTTTGCGGCTCTGACTGGCTGCGAGAGGAGGCACTTGTCAGTGGACCTTGTACCCGCGTAGCAACATTTGGAAGCTGAAAGAAAGAGAAAAGCCAAAGAGCACAGTTTGAATAAAGACAGGGTCCGGAACCGGTAAAGCCCATTCTGGCCTGGATCCGATTATGCAGGCCACGAGCGGGGGAGTTCAACTGTATCTAGCTTGCTTGTCAGATCTGACTGCCCAAGGCAGCACAGACTGACTACTAATGCTGAATCCACGTTTACAAGATCTGTTATATGTGAGATTTTGAAATGTAGCTGCTGCTGTTTTACAGAGAGTGGACATGGTAATGCCATGGTATGGTCTCTGAGGAGCACAAATGGGCGTGAATTTGAAAGTCAAACAAGGGTCTATACGCAGCTCTGATCAATGCAACAGTCTTGTCTCAGTATAATCTTGCAGTCCGTTTACCACGGAGCAGACCGAGGCTCCGGCGTACCTCCTACACTGAAGCTTAATTCATTCTAGTTCGCGAAGTCCCTGACACAAAGTCTCAGATCAATATTGTAACGCGACAAGATGCTTTGTGTAAATTGGGGTGAATCAGTCCCTGCGCAGATACACGTGAATAACTAATTGATACCCGTACCTACCTATGCAAGCACCCTCAAAAACAACAGAAAATTTTGCGGTGTACCTTGGCGCTAAAGCACTATTGAATTTGTGTTCATGTTTTCTTTACCCCTGGTGCCTGCAGCGGCCACGATGGTGATGCCAGTAGCCGTCTGCCTGATGTTGTTGCATGTACTTTCGGTACGTACCGATCGCCGCAGCAAGATCAGGCTGGCTGTCGAAAGGGAGGGAAACAAATTCAACACCAAACCCCCTTGCATGAATAATTATATTCCTAGACTAGTTTCTTATCAGACTCGGCGGGCATCGTGTCCTTGCTTTTTGTGCTGATACCCCTAGGCACGATGCCGCACAAAGAAGCATCGGCATAGACCCAGCGGGCGTATCGCAACCGCTCGTCACATCTCCCACGCATGCTGGAGCCAGGTGTGCCGCTGAACCTGGTATCCCCCTAGCAAGGGAAAAAAAAAAAAAAATATGCTGCATCCCGGGCCTCCTTTCCATCGGTCAGTGCCATGGGCAAGTCTTGTTCCATGTGCGGGCATGGAGCTCTTCTCGTTTGTGCTGAGACTGCCATCGCATTTCGCGACAAATGCGGTCTCTTGTTGATCGACCTAGGCCTTGTCTTGGAAACCTATACACGGGAAGCATCTTCGCTATCAGCTGCGTCGGTACCCCTGCATGATTACGTGCTTCAAACAGCTGACAAGGGAGATTGCATGCAGGCGTACAAAAGGTACGGAGTATCTACAATTAGCAGTGCTCCGGTGCAGGTCAGTTGTGACGAGAAACAAAACACAGCCGCTTGTCTTTCGCTGAAGAGCAAGCCCTGAGGGGCCTCCATCGCGACTCTCCAGCAGCTTCTAGCCCTCTGGAGAGCTCCTACAAGTTGGCACGAATAGTGAGTGGTAAGCCATCCGAGGCCCGTCTGCCATGTGGTATTCAGCCTGTGCATCCCATCCCGCCTATGGATCTTGTTTCTGACCCGTCACGATCGTACAGGGCACCACTTCTACCCCTCCTCACCCCCGGCCTCTCAGCACGCCAAAGAGACGCCCCTCCCCTTGTCGCCTCTCTCGAACTGCAGGGCTTTGGCGGACGCTGGTTGGGGGAGCCGGAATCAGGGAGTGGCACTCCTGCACAACACCATCTGCTCAAAGCCCCAATGAGGAACGTTTCCAGGTATCTGGATGCCCGCCGCTGGTGGATTAACCTTGCGAGGTAGCTGTTGGCTTGGTTATGTATTTGACATGGGAGCTGGCCCTCTCCTGCAGCAGTTTGACCGTGTGGTCGCAGAGTGCTACCTCGTAAAGGGCCAGGTCCATCCTTCCAGAGAGCACAGCTTTGGCCAGTCAGCGTTCGACAATTCGAATTGATTTTCGACGTCTTCCCCTCTTCCAGGAACCGCTTTGATTCTTACCGGCCGATAATTATGACGGCATTGCTTTCACGACAAGTGCGAACAGGCTTCGCTGCCTAATATTGATTTTCTCCATCTTATGTCCCGCAGCAAAGGAAAAACAATATGATACATATGACGTACGATACTACAGGGCTTATTGTCGGCGGGATTCGCAGCTTTCGTTCCTTGGTCGCATGGATCGTCACCGGAAACCCCTGTAATATTTTTTCTGCTTGTTTCCAGCTGAAAAAAAGGTCACTACAGGCGGCCAATGCAGCGTGTCAGCTCAGTATTCTATTTAAAGCCACCGACTTTTCCTTCTCGCCGCGTTTCGGGGAGCATTGACATGGCAGCTGATGATTAGCTAGACTCTCAGCTTTACAGGCAAAGCAATGACCAAAGCCGATAGGCATAGCAGCCACCATCTGCCATCACCGCTAGACCAGCATGCAACCTACTTTTTTTCTTAATTTTTTTTTTCTCTTTGGATGAGAACCTTGGGTGAGGCGTGTCTCTATACTGCGGGGCTTGCGACCTAATGAATGTTAGTTAGCAAAAGCTTTTCATACACCACATCGTGAACTCGGCCGCCCGTGGGTCGTACTGTACTGGGAAAGAAAAAAATCGCGGCCATTGGACCGTGACTTGCGACTTGTCGTGGGTCTCTCGGCATCCAATGACCTCGGCCTCCTGCCCTACGCACGCAAGTTTTTTTTTTTTTTATCAGCTTACCTGATCCGGCACTATGCACAATGCATATGATAGAGTCTAACTTGCCGTAGTGGTTTACTTGCCGTTGAGCGAAGTTTATGCCGTATGAGCTAGGACGTTGCAAGCTGCCCTGCAGAGACTAGTAGGTAGTATGTAGTATAGTAACAGTATTCGCTTTGAGAAAATCCTACTAAGCGTTTCCACTTCTTTTGACGGTTTGCCGCCGTCACGCTAGATCTTTGCGCCTTCTGCCTTCTGTTAGTTTTCCTTGTCCGATTGTTCCGCTCTTTTCACTTGGCCGTTTGGACGGTGTCGGAACTACAACCCTAGGAGAAATGGCTGACGTTACTCGCCGAATCCCGAATTGGGATGGTAGAAGAAGAGAAGTAATTATTGCTTACTGTAAACGCTCCATACTTTAAGTTTTTGCCAATGCGCGTTTAAGAGTAATCTTATCCCATAAACGACAGGATTCATTACTGAGTTTACCAGGTGCTTGCTCCATCAGTAGAGTTAATCACCTTATAATTGCGTGCTAAGAAGTGCATGTAGATGCTGCACCTCTCGTCTCGGAGCACCTCCAAAGCGCATAGTATTTCTGAATGCGGAAGCTCCGCTGCAGATAAAGTAGGGGGAGGTTGAATAATTCAAACAACAGCTTGCATAACTCTTCAAGGATGCAAAACGTAAAGCATAATGGGAGGAGAACCTTTCGCAGTGCCTGTGCAGAATGTGCCATATCAACCCAACTGTGTACGGCAGGATATACATACGTGTACTAATTCTTAATGAGTCTCTATGGATGCATGTACGTACTCCGCACGCTACTAAGCTTACAGAATTGGCTTGGTTTGAAGAGATCGGTAGATCTTGCAACAACCCTGGGACATGCTGTGGCTTGACCAACACATCCGGCGGTTACTAAACGACGATATTTGCAATATCTATGCCCAGATACAAACATTTCTCCCAGTAGAGCTTGTAAAAATCATTTCAGCAGCAAAACTCCTGCCTCTCTGATACCCAGAAATTCGAAAATGCCCTTGCTGCTGCACCTCACGTGCTCCGCAGCACCTGGCTGCTTAGTCATTGTTTACTTCGTTACGACAGCGATGTTGGCCTAAAGTGATGATGCACTGACGGGAGCCTCAAGCCCTCAACCCAAGTCACCCTTTTTCCCCCAGCATATCTACCTTTCGTCTTCTTCCGCATTCCTTCTTTCACCACACAAATTCTATTCCGCACTTTTCGAATGTCATTTCCTAGGTTTTGTTAAGCCGTGATACCGATTATTTTCTGCAATTGTTTTCTCTTTTCTGTATTATCAAGCATTTGAATTTCCCCTACGCTAGCCGCCAGGCCCGGCCCCAGTCACATCCCTGAGACATCTTCAGTCATGGCCGCCGCACCTTCTTCTCCTGAGCAGCGAGAGCTGCAGTTGGTAGACAACGTCGAATTTAAGATTCTTGCCGTTGCAAACGTCGAAGACAAGCTCTGTGATCTTCTGGGCCGCTATTTGGCGCCCATCATTCTCAAGGCGGACAGCAGTCATGCCTCTGTACGAGTCAAAGTAAGGTTTCCTCACTGATCGTCAACCACTTTGCTAGCCTCTATATGCTAACATTCTTTAGGTTATCCAACTCCTAGCACGGCTGAGAACATTTATCCAGCCTCCAGGGTACAGTTGCTTTTTCTTGCCCTCTCTCTTCTCCTCTTCTCTCTCTTCTTTCATGACAGATCGAAGCTAACTCTGGCAGTGTCATCCTACCTGTAAAGGCGCTACTTGAGCAATACAAGTCAAATGACTCCAGTGTCATCAAGCAACTTGATCTGCCATTCATTCAGCACAGCCTTGGCCGTCTTGACAAAGATGACAGGCGAGCCTTGCTTCCTATTGCGCTAAGAGGGTGCTCAAAGGACGAAGGTCAAAGCAGAGCAGCCACCTTTTTCAACATCATTCTTCAACTTCTTGTTGACGTCCGTCTACCGTCACGCGGAAGCAAGGATGATGAAGCTTTGAGAGCCTCTATCGGATTGGAAGATGAAGCAGACGCCAAGTATCTTGCCAAGATGCTTTCTATCTTCTTGCGTTTGCGGCCGCCTACTCCAAGCAAGACGCTGGCCGATTCAAACCCAACCTTCTCTCAAGAAGAGATCAACATTTTCTCCGTTGAGGGCGCTGGAACAGCTAAAATTTTCCAGAACATCTCACAACTCAGAGCAAAGATAGTCACGTTCCTCGCCAGTGCAGCTTTTACGGATGAGGAGAAATTTCTTCCTGCGCTATATGCTTCCTCCAGTCCAGATACCAGGGTAGCATCTCTGGCAGAAGAAATTATCAAGAGAACTTCAGTCTCTTTCGAGAACAAAGACTTGGTCAAAAAATTGTTCGAGGCTCATTCTCGGCTCCCCGCTGCCTATCGCACGCGAATTCTTACTCTACTTTCCAAGTCGGCTATTGCTACTTCAATGTCTGGGCACATTATGAATGTGGTAAAGCTGGACTTTCTGCCAGCTTTCAGACAAGACTCTTCCACAGACGCACTCCAGCCGTCGAGCTCCCTGGAAAGAACAAAGCTGCACAAAGCTTTGTTTCAATTTCTGTCGTGGGTCGCTCAAGTAGGCCCGTCCAACAAAGACTTCTCTATCGGTCCGAATCTTATTAAGAGCATGCAAAACTACATTGAGTCGCAAGGATGGCCAGTTCCGGTGCAAATATCTCATGATGAGACTCAACTTCGCTCAAGAGGCTATGAAACCATTGGAATGCTCGCGCGTTCCGCTGATATTCCTTTCGAAGCACAAGTTGACTTGGCTGCTTGGCTCTTCCAATCGCTGTCTGAGGATCCTACCAACGACGCTGTAGTCAACATTGATGGAGCACTCTCAAGTCTGACATCAAATATCCCCAGACACATCGCCGACGAAGACCCTAAGTTGAGGAACATGCTCCTCAAGTACATGTCTCTTGCTGAAAAGGCACCCGCTGTACGAAGCACTCGTCATGCAGTTGTTAAGTGGTCTAACGAGTGTCTGTCATTCACAAATATTGATGCTCGTTGGATAAACTTTATGGCTATCGCCGGCCGTCTCAACGAGAGAAGCGATGTGGTTGAGCAAGGGCAAAAGGGTCTGGATCCATGGACCTATTACGCCCATAGCGAGATAGCTCCAGTTCTACCTGACTGGCGCATGATGGTTCTCAAGTACTTCACCATCGCTTCCGAACTTCAACTCGATGCTGATTCCGAGGCTGGTCACGGGGCAATAGTCCTGCCTAATGACAGTACGTTTGCCAATTTCAAAGGTTCTGCAATCCGTGCTTTTCCTCTTGTCATTCAATATTGCAAGCAAATGATGTTTCTTTCAGCCCTCGAAAATTTCAACGTTCAGCCGGATTGGATGCAGGCGCTCAGTGCACAAATCAAGACCAATATTAAATCTCGTCAAAAGGTAGGAAATTATTTGGCATTTGGAGACCCTAGTTTCCTAAATATCTTTCTGAGTGCTTGCCTCATTGGCTCTTCTGTCGAGGATGCTCCAATAGCAGAGGAGAGTCTTCGGTCTTTCGTCGAAGTCGCTTCTCTAGCTCCGTTCAACGTTGTTGGAGAATTTGCCAAAGGCAAAGCCGCTCGCCTGTTGCCTCTTATTAAATCTAATAAGAGCGAGATAAGACAATTGAGCGCGAGAGCTGTTGGTATCCTGGCGGCGCATCCAGCTGTGGACATTGACGAAATTCAGAATTGGGGTTTGACTCTCAATGCTTTGTTTGAGAAAGCTACAACGGCTATTGGACCAGATCTCAATGCTGCAGAAGGAGCACTAGTCGCCTATGGTCACCTTTGCTCTCGGTCTGTCTTCTACAACAATGCATCTGTGGCTGATTGGAAATATCCACTTCATATCCTTGTCGAAGAGCATGTCGCACCATCTCTATTTGACGCAGCAGTCGAATCCTTCACTCATTTGTGGCTGGCAAAACTTGCTATCCCTCCGAAAGAAGGAACTACTTCTCTTGACAATGTCGTCAAAAAGCTTTCTGAGAAAGCGAAGAAAGGGAATGAAAAGGCGATTGTGGCGCTTGGCATGCTGGCTGCAAGCATCCCAGATTCAGAGCTTCCGGAATCGCCAGCTTCATGGTCAGAAGGTCCAGTTGGGGCTATCTTGAAAGAACTGTTCGCTCTTCATGAAATCAAAAGAGTTGAGGTTCAGTTTGCCGTTGGAGATGCTATAACCATTGCAGTTGCTCGCTGGGGCTCGGACTATGTGAAACTAATGGTGGACGTGGAATTCCGAACTCGCAACTTCCAAGCCAAAGCCCGAAGCCAGCTACTCACAAATGTCCTGGACAAATTGTTTGAAGATTGCAAGGCTACCAAGCCATCTCTTCTGAAAGCTTCTGGCATCTGGCTCTTCTGCATCGTCCAATACTGCTCTGACCTCAGTGAGGTGACTTCTCGCCTACGACAAGCACAGGCCGCTTTCATGCGCCTTCTCAATTCAAGAGACGAACTAGTCCAAGAAACAGCCTCGCGTGGTCTGAATCTGGTGCATGAGCGTGGAGATAACGAACTCAAAGCCGCCCTGGTAAATGATCTTGTGTCTGCATTTACAGGATCGACCACCCAACTTAAAGTGGACAATGAAACCGAATTATTTGAGCCGGGAGCGCTGCCAACTGGCGAGGGCAGTTCAGTTTCGTCCTACAAGGACATTGTCAACCTCGCAAACGAAGTTGGTGACCAGGGCCTTGTTTACAAGTTCATGTCTTTGGCAACCAATGCGGCTACGTGGTCAAGAAGATCTGCATTCGGACGCTTTGGTCTCACTAATATCCTCTCAGATTCCGAGGTCGATCCCAAGATATATCCAAAACTTTTTAGATACCGATTTGATCCGAATACCAACGTCCAACGAGCCATGAACGAGATTTGGAAAGCCTTGGTCAAAGATCCCAAGACGGTTATGGAAACACATTTCAACGCCATCATGGAAGAGCTCCTCAAGAGCATACTCGGACGAGAATGGAGAATGCGAGAAGCCAGCTGTGCTGCCATTTCCGACATTTTGACTGGTGTCCCATTCCACCAATACGAGAAATTTTATGGAGATATTTGGACAAAGGCTGTCAAGGTCCTTGACGATGTGAAGGGAAGCGTCAGGGAGGCAGCTTTCAGGCTTTGCAGAGGCCTTTCTACCACTCTCGTTCGACAGCTAGAAGAGGGGACTCACGAGTCATCAGCCAATGCTATGATGCAGAAGGCGCTGCCCTTTTTACTTTCTGACAAAGCTGCAGAGAGCTCAGTTCAAGAAGTCCAGGCTTTTGCAATCATCACAATCATCAAGACTGCACGACACGGCGGTAAGCACTTGAAGCCATTTATCCCGGAGATGATACCCAAGCTTCTGGGACTTTTGAGCACCATCGAACCTGAGCGCATCAATTACTACTATCAACGAGTCGGCGAGGACAGTCGGGAGCAGATTGATAAGTTGCGATCAAGAATGGTCAATGCCTCTCCCATCTCGGAAGCCATCGATAACATCCTACGCTTTGTTGATGAGGACGTGATGGCAGAGCTCGCTCCACGCCTTGAAGCAACTATCAAGACTGCCATTGGAATGCCTACCAAGATTGGCTGCAGCAGAGTCTTGACAACTCTCTTTACCCGTCATACGAATGAAATCAAATCTGTCTCTACTCAATTTTTGGAACTACTGGGCAAGCAGGTTCTGGACAAGAACGACGAAGTCAGTCAGGCCTATGCCCGTGCCGCTGCATATATCATGCGAGTTGTCTCAGACAGCGCCAAGCAACGATTCTCGGAGCGCATGTTGAATCTTTATCTACAATCGGAAGAGGAGAGTCGCCGCCAGAAAGTTGCGGATGTTGTTGTTTCTCTGGCAAAGGTGTCCCCTGATCACTTCAGCACTCAGGAGACACTCTTGTTGCCGTTTTCTTATCTTGGTTCTCATGATGTTGACGAATACACCGGCAAAGTATTCCAAGAAGTGTGGGATCAGCATTCCGGCAGCAATCGAACTGTTGTTCGCTATGTGCCAGAGATTGTCGACCTTATTGAACGCTGTCTGGCTACGACTCAGTGGGCGCTGAGACACACTGGTGCCTTTACAGTAGCTGCCATGGTTTCGGATGTGGCCAGCGCCAGTGACACCACAGGCGCAATTGGAGAGGCCAACTTGAAGGCCATTTGGCCTGTCTTTGAAAAGGCTCTCGCTCTGAAGACCTTCCCCGGCAAGGAAAAGCTTCTGGAGTCTTTTCCTGATTTTGTTGAGAAGGGCCAATCTCTTTGGAGATCCAATACTGAAATTGCAGCCCTCATGAAGAAGATTGTTATTCGCGAGGCAAAGCGGAATAACGACGACTACCGTGTCCATGCCTTCCGCTGCTTGTGGCGATTTGCGAAATTGGCGGATATCTTTGACATGTTGCAAGACATTGTCGATATTGTGACACCTCATTTGGAGGATTTCAAGGATGAAAACAAGATGGATGTTGATTCTAAGGAAGAAACTGTGATCAAGACTGCGAAGAATGGTCTGGAGGCTGTGGCACGCGGATACAGTCGCTCGTCAGACAGACGAGCCTATGCCGTCGCCACTCAAATCATCAAGGCTCTTGAGCCTTTCCTTTCGGATCCGAAATTCAACGTGATCAAGCGAGAGGTGTGGTATGAATCTGTGATTGATTTGATGAAGGATCTTGCGGCGTCTGAGCCTGCAGCTGATCCCTCTTCAGTGGAGAAAGATGGTGTTTTACAGGCATATCTCAGCAGCCTGGATGTTGACAAGGCGGAAGTTGGCGTTGAATCTCAGCGACTCAAGAGAGCCGAGGCAGTTTCAGCGACGCTTAAGACTTATTCCAGTGGCGTGTTTGGCAAATCGACTGCACAACTGGATGAGTTCGAAGCGGTAGTGCAGAAGGCCAAAGAGGACGAACGCGTTCCGGAGATACAGAAGGCTTGGCAGAGAGTACTTGTGGAATTGCAGGAAGCTCGTATTTAAGAATATGAGTCTGGAATGGAGGACGGTTGAATTGTTTGCTACATTATAAAATTTGCTACAAGATCTTCTTTTTTGGGATGCCTCATATACCTGTATATTGAGGATCATAGGTAACTACGGATTCAAATATGGCAGATAGCCACTCAAATGAATTATTCATATAAAATCAGATAAACGTTGCAAGTGATATGATTTTGAAACCAGAACAGGCCAATGGCCCCTTTATTTGCTTATAGACAAATTTCTACGTCCTCCTAACTATTTATAATTTGCCTTTTACCGCTACCTAGCTTGGTCACATTGCCAACATACCCGAAACACCAACATGAGCAGCTTGCGGTCCAGTTGGGGCAATCATACAACTCACCACCTTGCCGGTAATAAATATATATCTAGCATGCTAATGAAAGACAGGTAACACTTCGAAAATCGAGCATCAAAAATAGGAAAGGCACGTTTTCGTGCTGAAGCTACTAGCTTGACTCGAGAATCACAGCAATCACACTTTCCGAGCACGATCGACTCTAGAAGAAGAAGAAGAAATTCTATAATTAGGATGAGAGATGAGATATGGCAAAACAGGACGGTTTGAAGCCTTCGATATACCGATAAAACCAAATACCATCTTCTCGATACCTGACATGCCAAAGGAAAAAGAGGAAAAAGAAAGAATCCATCCGAATACGATCCGGCCAAGAGATATTGCACCAAGCAAAGAGGGATCGAACTGGATACACGAAGTGCATACTACAGGAAGATACTAGCACGGAGAACGGTATCCTCAGCGTACCAGCTGAAATTGAGTATATTCACAGGGATGGATTGAAGATAGTCGTATCTGCTTGGCAGAAGTGTTGGTTGATGTGCAATGAAACAAGTCAATACGCGGTATTTCGGGGAAAATAGAAGGCAGCCAGGATATATTTTTTTCTTCTTCATTATTAGAATCATCTCACAAAAACTGACAATAGAGGTTTTCTCTTTGGGCCGCTTTTTTCACTTCCAAACACGGTTGGGAAAGGGGTTGATATATTGCGTCAAATTTCACATTTTCTGGCTTTCGTAGATGTAGTCCTACTACTAATGCCTGATTATAAGGCACAAGTAGTCCCACAAAAAGCGCACTACGAGTCGAATTTCATCGACTTTGTAGTCAAGATATCCAAATAAAAGACAATCTCAGATCCAAATATGCAGGTAATGCTAAAATGTATGTAAACCAAGCTCGCTTATCTGCCTCTTCAAATCGTAGGGTAAGCATCATGTGGCGTCGTGCTGTATGACGGCGCTAGGAATGATCCGGCCGAGGGGCTATTCCAGACGTACCTCCAGGTACCCGCCGGCCAGAGGTCCTGCAGGAGGTACCTGCGCAAAGTTTCATGGCGGGGTGCTCCTGTTGCGTCATGTTCGCGGTGCCTGTGGCGCTGATGCGGCCTGTATTTTATCCACTACCTCTCTCTGCCTTACAGTTATCGTTTATTGGGTCTATCTACCTAGCAGCTTTCAACCCTTCCTCAGTGTTCTGCGCGATTCGAACGTTTGCTCCTCTTAGGCCCCAATTTCTCACAAGCCTTTTAAGGGCCCCGAGGCAGATTCACGCTCTTCAGAGCATTCAGATCCCTTTGGCTAGGGAAACATCGCTATTCTATACGTTTATCTACCGCAACTTTCCCCCGAGTCGGGTTGAGCCAACCAGCGCGTGTGGGGCAGCATCTTAGTCCTATCTGACCGGCATTTCCTGCAGCTCCCCGATCCGTTTGGCAGTTCAATCATCACCTGCTATCCGCTACTATACTATTGGCGAGACGACGACAGGCTCTGGCGTTTCTGTTTAAAGAGAGCAATTCAACCCTCGTTCCGCTAGCTGCTTCACTACCCAGCAGATATCTCAGCCGGTTGGGGGCGTTGTGGCATCACTTTGATCAGCCATGGAGGAGAGCATTCAGCACTTTACTGACATTACTGGAGCGAGCGTCGATGTGGCTCGAGGCTTCCTAGAGATCACGGGAGGTGATTACCAGCGGGCCATTGAGCTCTTCTTTGAGAGTCCAGATCTGGTCGGAGCTGGCGTATCCAGCAACCCTCCCACCACCTCGACGGCTCGCCCTCCTGCACCACGCAGAGTCAACATCGGCAGAGAAGATGCCAGTGGAGTGATCCACATCAATAGTGACGATGAGGACGAGGAGGATGTCGACATGCAATACCACGATGATGCCTTCGACGTCGACGAGGACGAGCGGGTTGCCGCTGCGCAGGCTGCCGCTTTTGCACAAGAAGAGGAGGATGCTGCCATGGCAAAGCGTCTACAGGAGGAACTATACCAGGAATCGGGATCAGCTGGTGGGGATGTCAGGGCTCCTATTGCTCGGACGACAGAGACGCTTGTGGCACCAGACCCATCCTGGGGAGAAGAGGAGAGCTCAGCTATCCTGGAACAACTGAGAAGGAGGCGACAGATGCCTCGTAAGTCTGTCCCGAGAAAGGAGACGCCTAACGAAAAGTACATGGAAAAAATTTCTAACGCTTCATATAGCTTCCTCTAGAGGGCCATTCGGTCACCGGATATGGGGAGATGATACGAGAAGTGCCGAGCCCGCGGGCGATGACGATACATCCGCTCATGCCCGGCGCCTGGAGGATTTGTTTCGACCGCCCTACGATCTGATGTCTCGATTATCATGGGATGAGGCCCGTACGCTGGGCAAGGAAGACAAGAAGTGGATAATGGTTAACCTACAAGACATGAGCGATTTTAGCTGTCAGATGCTTAACCGAGATATCTGGAAGGACAGAGCTGTGAAAGAGCTGGTCAACGAAAACTTCATTTTCCTGCAGTTGGACAAAGATTACCCCGATGCGGAGGAGTATATAACATTCTACTTCCCCAACCGGTCACATGAAAATCCAGACAACTACCCTCACGTCTCCATTGTTGATCCTCGAACTGGAGAGCAGGTCAAAGTATGGAGCGGGAAGCCCTTCCCCAATGCCAACGAGTTTCACGCCGAGGTGGCCGAATTTTTGGACCGATACAGCCTCGCAGCCAACAGCAAGAATCCAGTTGCTAGGGCGCCCGCTCGGAAACCTCAAGTCATTGACGTGGATCGAATGACAGAAGATGAGATGCTGGAGATGGCGCTCAAAAACAGCTTGGCTGGAGCTCAGAGTGGCGGCTCGGGATCGGGCTCGGGATCCACGCCAAGTGTTCATGATCCTGATGCATTGACTAAGGAGGAAGCGAAAAAGCCTGAAGAACAAGAGTCGCAGAACCCATTTGCCCAGATCTCTAGCATAAACCCTCATGTGGAACCTGATAACAACCCCTCTACAACGACACGCATTCAGTTCCGACACCCTGACGGTCGCATCATTCGGCGGTTCAATTTGCAGGACCCTGTTCGCAGGATATATGAATGGCTCAAGGCGGAGCCGCTGCAGGGCAAGGAAGGGATTATTTTTGAGCTGAAGCAGATGCCCCAGGGACAAGATCTTATTGAATCATTGGACTCTACCATCGAAGAGGCGGGCCTGAAGCAAGGGACAGTCATGATTGAGTTTATTACGGACGAATAACGGCGCTGATGGGCGATTCTTTTACTATTGAATGACGAATGACGATATGTAAGATGCGGGAACAGGACAGGTCTCTTGACAACGCTTATATGAAGCGTAGCCAGGATGACGATGACTGCATCTGTTTGATAGACAATATGGGATATAAATACCCGTCACGGGCGAACCGGTTCTACGATGATTTGCTTGGTTTATTTGCTGCTGTTATACGGGAGGAAGCCGCTGATTACGAAGTACGAGGGATACTAGTAGCATAGACGAGCTATTGTGCACTTGGTTCTCCTGACCATACACCAGCTTGCTCTTTGGGGGCCTTTCTTTTTCCTACTTATTTGTTTTTTTCCTGCTTCTCCCTTTTTACCACTTGGAGACACAACCTCTGCCGCGTTGTGATATTATAGGTAGACAATGCAAGTGTTTGACGCGGGAAATTAGCGAAACAACAAGTTTCAGCTGCTTTTATTGACCTGCTCTTCGCCCTTTACTGGTTTGCCGCGAGGCTGAAGAAGGGCTAGCAGACGCAGTTGATGCGCTTGTGTACCCCTGGTTGCGATTGGCGTTGCCCCGCAATAGACCCCACGAAATGGTGGCGTAAACAATGGACAACCAGCTGATTTGTTTTGATGCAGCGTTGGCTCTGGCATTTGTTTATAAGCAGTCCATGGCGATCAACGGTTAGTCCTTGGGTCAGTTTGCTCAACGTTATGTATGTTGATAGTGGGATAATTTACATGACTCTGCCGAGTCCCAACCCTGCGAATTGCCATCGCCTTCTTGTTGTTAGTTCTGTAGCATGTTGAGCACATAAATAGTTGATCGCTGACGGCTGATCGATAAGCAAGCTCGAGCTGTGTTGCTGGTGCGACGGCCGGGATCGCCGCCTGCAAAACAGCGACAGGCACCCTACAGGCACCCTACAGGCACCCTATAGGCCCCTAGGCGCAGGCACCGCAGCGCCCTGCCCCTACAGCGGGAGCGCTTGTGCCGGCCCATAGTGGGGCTCACCGCCAGCTCCAAGCAACCGATACGACATTCGGCCATTTCCAGCACATGCCCTTTATCCCGTGCATCTTCAAGCACCAACGCCCGGTGCCCGCTTCGCGCCTCGACTTGCAACTCTCGTTTACATAAACCGAAAACTGCCCTTTTACTCTCCCGTACAAGGCGAACCGACCCATCATAGAGCGCATGGCTTTATGATCTCGCAGCGACGACACTGCCCTTTTGGTGGACGCGCAAGTAGCCGCTCCCATTCCATTCCCGCCAATCGGTAGTGCAGAACCGGTGACGAGAATACATACCAGGACAGACGCCATGGCGGAATCGCACCGTTATGCGGATGAGGCCAACGAAGTTCTGGATCCGGAGCTTCTATATACGAAAGAATACTGCATTGGTCAGTTTGCTGGTCTGAGGGATCTCTAGTTGTCTTGGTCGTGGTCCCTAATGCGATGTTGCTTGTAGGCGGTGGTAGCTTTGGCAAGGTGTTCAAGGGGTACGTCGTATGTTGCACGTCCTGCCGTCCCTGGCTGGGCTTTTTCTCTTGTTCCTACTGTTTCTCTCTGTTGAAGTTGAGTGATGCTACTGGCTGGCGACTGTTCTGACTTGCTCTCCTGCGCCCTTTTAGAGTTGACAGACGCACTGGCCGCTCTGTCGCCATCAAGATTATCGACGTTGAAAATGCCGAAGACGAGGTCGAAGACATTATCCAAGAAATCGCCATTCTGTCCGAACTCCAGTCACCATATGTGACCAAATACTACGGATCCTATGCAAAGGGCGCCGAGCTATGGATCGTCATGGAGTTTTGCGCAGGCGGCAGCTGTGCTGACCTGATGAAGCCAGGGATCATGGGCGAGGATTACATCGCAATCATCATAAGGGAGTTGCTGATGGGCCTGGACTATCTCCACGCGGACAAGAAACTACATCGTGACATTAAGGGTGAGGATTCATAATATTTTTCTACTACGACCCTGCAAGAGGCTTCGATTTTGGTGCTGACACTATTGCTAGCGGCTAATGTCTTGCTGGGGGCCAACGGGCAGGTCAAGCTGGCTGATTTTGGCGTCTCGGGCCAGCTCTCAGCTACCATGACGAAGAAAAACACATTCGTTGGAACCCCCTTTTGGATGGCACCGGAGGTCATTAAACAATCTGGATATGATCACAAGGCTGATATTTGGTCACTCGGTATCACAGCTCTCGAGCTGGCGAACGGCGAGCCTCCTTACGCCGACATTCATCCCATGAAGGTTTTATTCCTCATCCCCAAGAATCCACCGCCAAGGCTGGAGGGGAATTTTACAAAGGCCTTTAAAGATTTTGTCGAATTGTGTCTGCAGCGCGATCCAAAGGAACGACCGACTGCGAGAGACCTCTTGCGACATCCGTTTATTCGAAAGGCAAAAAAGACGACATACCTCACAGAGTTGATTGAGCGACATACCAGATGGGCGGCGACACATAAAACAGAAGAAGAGGATACATGGGAGGTCAGCGAGAGCGCACCTCCGGAGAGGACGCGGGTGAATGAAGACATGTGGGACTTTGGCACCGTTAGGCTTGTCAATGATCGTGGTGGTGTCGTCAACCGGCCGAGTAAGCTCAACCCGCTCGGTGCAAGTGCTACTAACACGAGAGCCGGACGGTCATCCGAGAACTCGGATGATTACGGCGAGAGGCGGCGCGAGCCATCAAGCCCAACAAAGTTGAGACCAGAACATGTCCTCCAGCCCAGTGATACTCTCAAAGCAGCCAATGCATCCAGCGCAGGAACATCACGGCAATCCAGCCCACAGCGCAAACCGATACCTCATGCTGTACAGCGCGGATTTGTATCGAAAGCAGCGCCCCCGCCCCCTAGCCCTGTCGTGGTGAAGACCTCAAGCTGGGACATCCAGGGTTCCACACCAAAGACGCCAAAGATTGCTCCGGCACCAGTGCTGGCCCCGGCGCCAGAACCTCCCTCGCCCGATTATGACCGAGAATTGCAAGCTCAGCTCCAGCGCGATATGGGAATACTGAATCTGAATATAGAGTTGCCTGAACCTGCACCAACACCGTCGCCCCCTCCCCCCGCAGCTCCCGCGCACCGAGTCATTTCCATACCTCCTGGATTTGAGAGGCCGGTGCCGCCAGCTCATGGCGTTTCACCTCGATCAACAAGCACAAAGTTTACGCATTACGACGTGCCTGAAATTCCACCATACAGGGGTCCATCCCCTAAACCACCACCGCCTCAAGCTACTGTTGAAAAGCGAACGGTAACACCGGTCATGGCGGCTCATACTTCAGCATCTAGGGTATCTGCTTCATCGCCCAAGACTACCGAAAAACGAACGGTCACTCCGGTCATGGCGCATACTTCAGCATCCAGAGTATCTAACTCATCACCTCATACAACTGAAAAGCGGACGGTAACACCGGTCATGGCTCATACTTCGGCTTCCAGAGTACCAGCTTCATCAACAACTGCGCCTCCGCCTAATGCTGCTGCGCATGCGCCATCAGCATCGGTATCGTCAATGCGATCACAGGGTAATTCTTCAGGGATGTTAGATAACTTTCCTTCGGCCCCGGCTGCAAACCCTAACGGGGAACTTGATGCACTCAACGATGTCATCTTTCCCGCTCTGGAAGAGGCGCTCAAGAGACGGCAGATTCGACTTCAACAGATGTATAGATCTGTTCAGAAAGGGTCAACAATGTCAGCCAAACAACAGCGAGCCGAGGCTTCTCACGAGAAAGTCCGCAAACTTGTCTATAAGCTGGCACACGTTTGCAAGGAGATTGATTACCACGACAAAGCTGAACCCGTAGGTATGGGCCGTGACGTGGGCAACTTTCTGGAGGGGCTGCTTGAGGAGATTTTGGTTCGAGTCGAGCCGCTGGATGAGGAAGAGGTGTAGACGATGTGGAGAGAGACGAACGATTTTTGTACGGAATAGCCTTGAATGAACTAACGAACTGTACTGTTTCTGGGAACGGGAAAAAAAATTGAGGTAAGCTTCTACTACACGAAGGCATGAAAACGACGACGAAAGAATCATGCCAAAGAGCCTTTAACCTAGGACACGGACACCCTTGGGTGGTAGGAGGTTGGGTATGACTGATGCGATGTGTTTGTAAGAGTGATGATGACACCGATAATTGGGTATGAAGGGAACGAATGGGAACTGGCTGGAATTACTTGTTAGAGGGGTGTCTTCTATATGATTTGTTGTATAACTGAACGAGAAGTAGCAATAGAATTTCTGATAGTTTAGGTAGCTCAGTACTAGCTCTGCAATGTATGACTTAATGAATCGGCTCGAATGATGGCTCATGCACGTACGACATTTGTTGGCAGAATACAATAACGGCACATTCATGTAACCCCTAATCATCGTGAGCGACGACATGACGTCGAGCTGGAATTACCAAGTTTGGCAATGCATGTCCGATAAGCAACAATCGCAGCGTCTAGTCCCGAAGAAGCAACCGCGCTAGCCCGGAGCTGCGCTCGGAAAGACGTCGCATTCCGCACTTTGTTCCGAACTTGCAGCTAAAAACGGAGCAATGGAAGGTAAAAAAAAAAAAAAAAATTAACGAAAAAAATGCTATGCGCTGCGGCGCCGCCGGCGCAGGCCGAAAAAGCTCGGCTCAATTGGCACGAGCCTATCAAACGGTCACTGCGGTAATTTGGCTCCAAGGGCGATTTTTTGAAACCTGTTCCAAAAAAGAAACTCTCTCTTCTTTCTTTCTCTCTCTCTCCTTTCTCTCTTTAACGAACCGCAAAACTCTCCCCTCCTCTCCTAATTATAGTTCCCTTTTATCCTTGTTGGGTCGAATCGGGAATTCTGGACCGTGCACCTCTCTTAGCATCTGGCTGAACCGTCTCTTCTTCTTGTGTCCAAGATGTTGTCGCGAAGCTCCCTCCGGACCGCGCAGGTATGTGGCTGCTTTTCGTTCTCCTCTTCTATGAAATAAGACACTTGGGAATGGGATCGAGCTTTGGCAAAGGAAAAGAAGAAGAAGAAAAGGGGGAAGAGCATGGAATACAACGCACTGCGAAGAGGGTTTTTCTCTCTCTCTTGGGAGATGCCCGGAAGAGGTGGAGGGGCTGATGGCTGGAACCAAGGCCATTCCCGCGAGATTTTTTTTTCTCTTTCGTTCTTTCAAGATGTGAGGACCAGCAACTGACAAGCAATGATGCCATCAGGTCCTCCGCGCTGCTGCCCAGCCCCAGCAGCTCACCCGATCATTCGCGACCGTCCAGTCCGACATCTTCAAGCCCGCCAAGTTCGGCGGCAAGTACACCGTGACGCTGATCCCCGGTGATGGTATCGGTGGAGAGGTTGCCGAGTCTGTCAAGACCATCTTCAAGGCCGACAACGTGCCCATCGAGTGGGAGCAGATCGAGGTCTCCGGTGTCGAGGAGAGCGCCCTGCGAACCGAGGAGGCCTTCCGCGAGAGCGTTGCGTCTCTCAAGCGCAACAAGCTGGGCCTCAAGGGTATCCTCCACACGCCCGTCAGCCGCTCCGGCCACCAGAGCTTCAACGTCGCCATGCGCCAGGAGCTCGACATCTACGCCAGCATCTCGCTGATCAAGAACATCCCCGGCTACGAGACGCGCCACAAGGACGTCGACCTGTGCATCATCCGTGAGAACACCGAGGGTGAGTACTCCGGCCTGGAGCACCAGAGCGTGCCCGGCGTCGTCGAGTCGCTCAAGATCATCACCCGCGCCAAGTCCGAGCGCATTGCCAAGTTCGCCTTTGCCTTTGCCCTCGCCAACGGCCGCAAGAAGGTCACCTGCATTCACAAGGCCAACATCATGAAGCTGGCCGACGGTCTGTTCCGCAGCACCTTCCACCAGACCGCCAAGGAGTACCCCACCCTCGAGGTCAACGACATGATTGTCGACAACGCCTCCATGCAGGCCGTCTCCCGCCCCCAGCAGTTCGACGTCATGGTCATGCCTAACCTGTACGGCGGCATCCTGTCCAACATTGGTGCTGCCCTGGTTGGCGGCCCCGGTATCGTCCCCGGCTGCAACATGGGCCGTGAGGTTGCCGTCTTCGAGCCCGGCTGCCGTCACGTCGGTCTCGACATCAAGGGCAAGGACCAGGCCAACCCCACAGCCATGATTCTCAGCGGCAGCATGCTCCTGAGACACCTTGGCCTCGACGACCACGCCAACCGCATCTCCAAGGCTGTCTACGGCGTTATTGCCGACGGGTACGTTTCTCTTTTCCTTTCTGCCTTTTATGATACCGGTTTTTTACTGACGTCTTCTACAGCAAGGTCCGCACTCGCGACATGGGCGGCGAGTCCACCACCCACGAGTTCACCAAGGCCATCCTCGACCGCATGGAGACCATCTAAATACCACATACTAGCCGTTAAGGCGAGAAAAAAAAGATTTACACCCAGCACGACCACTAACAAAAACCCACACCTTTCTCACATTACCTCGACCAGGCGTGTTTGGAAAAAAAATGATACCTCAAACCTTAGAAGCCGAAGGCGATGCGGAGCGACGCCGCTGGAATTCAAAACTAAAGGGCAAGAAACAAATCAAGGCCAGATAAATTGGTATTGGGGGCAGGGGGGCGATATCATGGAGAAACAGGAAGGTGGTGGGAAGAACAGGGAGGAGAAAAAGGGAGTGTACCTATGTTTTAACATGAGCGTATGGAGCAAGGCAGCAGTCTGAATATATAGACTTTTTTTTTTACAGCACATGATTACTTATATAAATACGGGCTGAAATATTGCTTTGCGAAATTTGCTATAGGTATTTATTGATCCAAGATGAAATCTAAATACATAATTGTACTCTGCTAATTTTCAAGGTGCTCCGACTGGCTTTGGTATGCAACTTTTATATGCATAGTTGCATCTGGATCGATTGATTGTCAATTTCGCAACGTCTCAGGAGATGTCACTGCGGCGACGATCCGGCTCAGGCCCTCAATCAGATAGTCCTTGTCGTGAGAAAAGACAATGCGGAACCAACCGGGTTTCTCAGATCCGAACCGTTCTCCTGATGCAAGGAAGACTTTATGTTTCAGCAAGGCGTTCATAACGACTCCATCGAGATCCTCGGGCTTTATGGCATCGGGATTCTCCTGGTGTTTGAGATATGATCTTCCTAGATCGACCCAGATGAAGAACCCGGCGTTGACACCTGGCGCATAGACAATGTCGTTTTTCTTGGCCCAATTCGTGATGTATTCGTAGTATTCGGCCAGTTTGCGCTGGTTCTCCTTGATGTAGTTTTCGACCCAGGCATCGTCCTCTAGCACATTGGCAAATGCGTGCTCCGAAAGGGACGAGATGGTGGAGAACAGGACGGCAGGGCCGAGTGCCGTCATCAGGTCCACGTTGTGCTGCGAGATGACGGCGCCTAGGCGTAGACCATTTGCGCCAAAGTCTTTGGACATGCCCCATAGGACGTGCACGAGCGAGGGATCTATCAAGCCTGTGGGATCGATGGAGAGGATTGAGTGGAAAGGCTCTGGAGGCGGACTTGAGTCGATTTTGTTTTCGAATATTGAGAGGGCGTAGATTTCATCGCTGATGAGGTGGAGCTTGTACTTGTTGCAGAATTTGAGCAGGTCGATGAGGACTTCTCGGGAGTAGCATCGTCCGAGGGGGTTATGCGGGTGACAGAGGAGCAGGCCAGTCACTTTTTCACCTCTTGCTCGGGCTTCTAAGAGCCTGTCTTCGTATCTTTTGACGCAGTTTACTCCTAGCGGATCGTCTTCTTTGAAATCGACAAATGCCAGCTTCGTTCCAGTACGAAGCGTCGCATCACTTGGAAAAGCCCCGTAATACGGTCGTCCGAGAAGGATGTACTCTCCCGGATCGGCAAATGCCCAAGCCAGATGCTCGACAGCAGAAGTACAGCCACTCGTAACAGCCACATGCTCCAGCTTTATAGGCTGTACGGGATTCAAGTGTTTCGAGAGGAAGCGTGCAATGGCGGTTCTGCCGCGCTTCCAGAAGTCGCCGTAAGTGAAAGCCGAAGTAGGGATTTTGAGATTGGCGTGGAAGTGCTCTGAGAGAGATTCGTGCATGAGGTAGTTTTCTGCGACGCCGAGGTTTACATAGCCCGATGGATTGGAATTGGCGTTCCAGTTGTCTAGGATGAAACCGACTGAGGGATCGGGGGTTGTGAGCTTGGAGGCTCGGCTTGAGAGCGCCATGGTGGACTGAAGAAAATATGTACAGAGTTTTTTTTTTTGGTGTTGTTAAGGAGGGATGGACAGTGGTAAAATTAAGATTGAAACATGATGACAAGTAGAGTATCTTGTTATTTAGCTTGTGGCTGTAAGACTGAGTGGAGATATAAGTGGTGGTTTAGACAATGGGTAGGGGAGATACGGCGATTTAGCCGCTGCTAGGAGCAATACGAAGCAGTAGATCTTTGGGGGTTATGACCCCCAAATAAGCTAATCGATTTCATAAGATCAACTACTCTTAGTATTGCTGCTGCTTACTGGGTAACATTTTCCGGAAGAAACGGTTTGGAGGAGCATGATAAGAACCTGCTCGTTGTGAGTTGGGGTGTGCGGATCATCGGCCGACTTGCGGGCAGAGTTACATCAGTATAGGATTTCAAATGTTAGATAAGACAGAATTTGCCTGGAGTGCAACCTATGGCGGGGTTTTAGGCTCTTATAAGCCGCAAGCAGCTCGGACGAGTTCCATCTAAGCCCGAGTACTCACTATAGCTTTTAGTCTATGTTTTTAAACCTGGGTACTGGACTAAGGTATAAGTGCACTGTCTTTCATAATGAGTTTTCTAATTGTATACGTCAAATCAAACTGTACATAATTCATTAAGCTATTGCAGTTTATAGCCATTGAATGGCCAACGTATATGCTTTCACCAATCCCTACGCAAAACTCAAGCATATGCCCAATGTATACCAGCCAGCCCCAAGTCCAGCGCTCAGCTCTGCAATGGCATGCAGCGCATCGGCCGGATCGGGGAATTGAATTCCCGTCCAATTAAGGAAAAAATAACCCTGGCGCCAACCCCTCCATTGGTCGCATGGCGGGGTGACTCCGATTTCTACTATGACTCGAAGCCTGTGCGGAAGCTGATATTTTTTTTTGTTCTATTTTTGTGACTATATATTTCAACCTCCTCGACGATATCCCCCCCAATTTTATTCCGCCAACACCCTTAGACGACCACAAATCGATTCACCATGGCGGACAAGCAACCCACTGCCGGCGATGCGGCCGTTGACGCTGCTGCTGCCGCTGTTTCCAAGCTGCACCTTGACGAGGTCACTGGAGAGATGATCTCCAAGACTGAGCTCAAGAAGCGACAGAAGGCCCGTGAGAAGGAGGCCCAGAAGAAGGAGAAGGACGCCGCCAACAAGGACAAGAAGCCCGCGCAGGCCGCCGGCAAGAAGAGCGCTGAGGCTTCCGAGAAGGAGCTCACTCCCAACCAGGTATGTTTGCGTGCTGGACATTTGTCGCGCGACCATTGGATTGTCTGGATTTTTTTTTTCTAACATGGCATATCTACGTAGTACTTTGAGATTCGATCAAGAGCTGTCAACGAGCTCCACGCCCAGGGCAAGGCTTACCCCCACAAGGTGCGCTGCTACTGATGCCGACGAATAAATTTGTTGGTTGCTCATCAGTTTTATAGTTCCATGTTACCTACGACATCCGCAAGTTCGCCGAGGAGTTCTCAAACCTTAAGAACGGCGAGTCCGACACAACCAAGAAGATTTCTCTGGCTGGCAGAGTCTACGTGAAGCGATCAGCTGGTAGCAAGCTGTTCTTCTACGATATCCGCTCCGAGGTGCGCTTCTACGCTGAGATTTAAATATGGCAAGGCCACGCAGTCTGACAGTTTTCCAGGGTACTCGTCTCCAAGTCCTTGCCCAGGCCGACAACCGTGAGGAGGGCACCCCCGAGTTTGAGGAGCAGCACATCAACCTCCGTCGTGGTGACATTATCGGTTCGTAAATGGAAATTCTCACTGAATTTGCGAGCATCTTCTGACTTCTCTTCTAGGTATCCGTGGTTACCCTACCCGAACCAACCCCAAGACCAAGCAGGGTTCTGGCGACTTCTCTGGCGAGCTTTCTATTGCCGCTGTCGAGGTTGTCCTCCTGTCGCCATGCTTGCACCAGGTAAGCCATTGCAATCGCGGGGTCCACATATGTTCATCCTCTGACCCCATTTCAGATTCCCGATGACCACTACGGCTTCAAGAACCCCGAGCAGCGATTCCGTCAGCGATATCTCGATCTGATGATGAACGACAACGTTAGAAATGTCTTCCTCACCCGCGCCAAGGTTGACTCCTACATCCGTCGCTGGTTTGACGACCGGGACTTCATCTCAGTGCAGACCCCTATGCTTAACGCCATTGCTGGTGGTGCCACTGCCAAGCCATTCATTACTCACCACAATGATCTTAACATGGACATGTTCCTCCGTATCGCCCCTGAGCTGTACCTCAAGATGCTTGTTGTCGGTGGACTGAACCGAGTCTACGAGATGGGACGTCAGTTCAGAAATGAGAGCATGGACCTGACTCACAACCCTGGTACGTTTTCAATTTACTACTTCAAAGTCTTTAGAATCAGAAGAAGACTAACGTTTGCTAGAATTCACTACTTTGGAGTTCTATATGGCCTATGCTGATTACTATGACCTCATGGACATGACCGAGAGCCTTGTCACTGGCCTGGTCAAGCACATCCACGGCTCATACAAGACCAAGTACCACACCATCAACGGCGAGGAGATCGAGATCAACTGGGAGGGCCCTTGGCGCCGAATTGAGATGATCTCCACTCTGGAAGAGTGCGTCGGCGAGAAGTTCCCTCCTGCTGACGAGCTCCACACCGATGAGGCCAACGTTTTCCTCAAGAGAATCCTGAAGAAGACTGGTGTTGAGTGCAGCGCTCCCCTGACCAACGCCCGTATGCTGGATGCCCTTGTTGGAGAGTTTTTGGAGTCGCAATGCGTAAGTGATCGCAAATAATTACAAGAAACATGACCTTGTCTGCTTTCTTGATTAACACTGAATATAGGTTAACCCTACCTTCATCACTGGCCACCCCAAGATGATGTCTCCTCTTGCCAAGAGCTCTCGCAGCGTTCCTGGCCTTTGCGAGCGATTCGAGGCTTTCGTCTGCAAGAAGGAAATTTGCAATGCGTAAGTAATATTGATATGAGAAAGTATGAATGAGTTGCTAACATCAACAATAGCTACACTGAGTTGAACGTTGCCACTGAACAGCGTGAGCGATTCGAGGAGCAGGCCCGACAGAAGGCCCAGGGTGATGACGAGGCCCAGGGTGTCGACGAGACCTTCTGCAAGGCTCTTGAGCATGGTCTCCCCCCCACTGGTGGTTGGGGTATGGGCATTGACCGAATGATGATGTTCTTGACCGACAACTACAGCATTAGAGAGGTCCTGGCTTTCCCTACTATGAAGCCGGAGCAAAACAGCGGCCCATCAGACAAGCCTGCTGCCCAAGAGGCACAGGCATAGAGGATGTGCGCTGATATTTAAAGAGAAAAAAATGTTAAACAAGTCAAAATGAATGGGAATGAGGCGAATATTCTTTGCTAAATATGAAAATCTGATGAACATGGCTAGAATGCTGTTAGAAGGCAGCATCATCATATTGATGAATGAAATAAAAACATGAAAAAAAAAAAAAAAAAATTTTTCCACCATGTCAGAAATGTAGATGAATCAGACAATCACAAACAGAAACCAGAGATGACTTGAGTGATAAAAGGGTATCAACAATTCATATATATCATATGTATCTGGAAAAGAAATTGTAGAAAACCGAATGCGCCGCTAACACCTTGACCATGCAACCCAGCTCTGTCCTCGTCAAACAACCTGCTTTTAAAACTGTATACGACGCTTGCGGCCGGTGTACTTGGATGTGGCCTTGACAATCTTTCCTTTTCGTTCCATCTGCTCCTTCTTCTTGACAATCCATGCCTTGCTTCCCTTCTTGATCTGGGTGTTGTTCGCCTTGAGTCTCTTTCTAGCATCCAAAACGTCGACATTGTCCATGCCGCTGACTACGCCAGTGATGTCTGTGTTGCCGCCTTCGTTGTCGTTGTTGCCCACAGTGAGGACGAGGTACAGCTTGACGTTCTTGGTGCCCGGGTCGTCCTCGAGGAGACCGGCGCCGAAGCCAGCTTTGACGGCAGCCTGGGTGATCATGTTCCGCTGAGTATCGTTCTTGGGGTAAAACTGGCAGACAGCACGGCCACCTCTGCGCAGCGACGCGTACAAGCCGTTGAAGAATCGATTCAGACGCCCGGTGGGGGAAGTCTCGCTCGACTCGGCGCTGCAAAGCCACTGAATCGCAGATATGCTGATGGCGGCATCGAAGGATCCCGCGCGGAAGGGCACGCCCTGGCCAATGTCGGCCAGCATCAGGTCGCCCTCGACGTCGCGCTGCAGCGCAATGTCCAGCATGGAGGGGGAGACGTCCATGCCGATCCAGGTGTGAGGGCCGCCGTCGGCCGGGTCGACGGCGGAGAGGATCTCGCCGGAGAGGCCGCTGCCGCAGCCGATGTCGAGGATGAGGGACGGGGCCTTGAGGTCGAGCAGCTCGAGGGCGCGGCGGGTCATGGAGGCTTGGATGTTTTGGATACGGGAGCTGGTGGTGTATTTGCGGGCTTCGGTATCGTCATAGTGGACGTCGGCCGCGCTGGAGAGAGAAGAATGAGATTGTTAGAAGAGGTCGGGCGGTGGTGATGGTGGGGGGGAATGAGAGCGTACAGAGAGTCCTCGGGGCGAGACATTGTGGCGTAATTACAGTGGTTTTTTTGTGCTTTAGTAATGAATGTATGGGAATTGCTTGTTGCTTCGCTTAGGGCGCCTTTGAGAAATGGAATGTAGCGCAAGAGATGGCGGTTATTTTGCTTGGATCATCAAGTCTGCGCTGCGACGGGGCATCAATGATCTTTTTTTGTGGGTGTTATCGATAAGCTTATCGGAGCTGACAAGGTACATGCAAAGTAGCACATGCCAAGCCAAGCCTCTTACAGTACATGGACCTATGAGGCTCGACATGTGATGGTGGTCTGCATCGTCACACCAGCCAAGCAAACCACAGATAAAAATCAAGATGGCATGAGAATTCGTTATTGGGCAATGCTTTGATTAGCATAGAAGCTTTTACTTTCAGCCACATAGATAACAGATGCCATGCTGCTGAAAACATCACATCGTTTGCATCCATCTTCAAGCTTATCGGAGCGGGAAAAGTTATAGTTCCGTATGACGACAGGCATCCCACACAAGCTCATCCCATTTACGAGTACATGAACGTGTCCACAGCTACTGCTAACCGCATCCTTGCTTTAATTTAATCTAAACGAGCCGCTCTTCCTCATTCATTCGTTCGTTCTCAAGCTTCTTCTTCTTCGTTTTCCTTCTTCTATAACCTCAGCTTAACTTGCGCTGGCGTGTCACTACCTTCTGGCCAAGAGCTTTGAACAGAACAGAACACTAATACAGCAAAGATGTGGATTCTGCCTCTACTGGGCTACGTCGGCGCCATTGTCGGCTTCTGCTTCTTGACCTTATCGATCGCGTCTGGCCTCTACTATCTCTCGGAACTTGTGGAGGAACATACTGTCTTGGCAAAGCGCTTCCTCACGCGACTGATCCAGATCATCATTGGCGTGCAGGTTGCGCTGTTGATTGACGGCTTTCCCTTCTGGGCTACCGTCCTGGGAATTGTCTGCCATGTGGTGTATCTGGGTAACTTGAGAAGATTTCCCTATGTGCAGCTGACTGATCCGCTGTTCTTGCTCTCTTGTGGTATGATATCCAGCTCGACACCTATTGAGGAGTACTTGTTCTGACCCGAAATCTTTTAGTCTTGGTTCTTCTCGACCATTATGTGTGGTTCCGATTCTTCTCCAACCACCAGGAGCGAGCCTACGCCCGATCTTCCTACTACGAGCATGTCGACGTCCCGACCTTTACCATGATTGCATCCTACTTTGGCATTTGCGTCTGGCTTATTCCTTTCGCACTGTTTGTGAGCTTGTCTGCCGGCGACAACGTCCTGCCTACGATGGGCACAGAGCCTGTTCGAGGCGTAGATGGCAAAAATAAACCCCAGGGCTTGGTCAAGGCGCTTGTCGATTGGGTCCGCGGGTTGATTGGGGACATGGCTGGTACTGGGATGGACCGTCCATAAGGATGTAGTTGTCTTTCAAAAGATGGGATAAGGTTTTCTTTTTATGACAGTGAGATCAGTCAGTCTCGAATAGATTTGAGACCGATTCGCCGTATCAAGTGTCTGCGGTATCGGATGGCCCATCTATCTTGCCATCTGATATAAGTTGTTGCTTTTACATGGTAATTTGGTATCCGTCTGTTTTCTCTTATTTTTACTAATAACACTTGTACAGGGTTTTCAAAGCTGACTGGGCAAATCACACACGATTTATTATAATGATTGTATTCTTTAATCTGGATTGTCAAAGCGTGTTGGGAATGGCGCTAGTCGAATGAGTTACGCATGTTGAAATGCTGCGTTGTATATTATGTATAACATGGATAAGGACCAAGGGTGTAGCACGCGGCGTTGTCTACTTCTGCAATCATGGACTCGCTGAATGTTTTATCTAAAAAGGGAGTTTTTGTGGATTGGTATATTCCGCTGTGAAAGATCGTCGACGTTACTCGTTACTTAGCTCAAGATGTTTAACGTTCTTGTCTGGCCATATGGAATGAACTTTCGTGGGCTTGCAAGCAGTACTTGGAGGGTCGAGATTTAGGACACAAAAAGAGGAAATAAACCGATCAATTGATCTTCAGACGAATATCTGAATCTCAGCAGTGCATCTTATGTCCTTTTTCACCTGCGGGTTCAATTACACGCACAGCGCCCTGTTGCCATTTGCAAAACATATCCCTCGAATATTTGGTATCTTTATAACTCTGTTGTACATTTAAAATACAATATCATAAATCAAGTGACAGGTGTGCATCAAGGCTTATGACCGCCTTCGCCACCTTCCCAAAACTTCTTGTCCACCTTGTCGTCTGGTGCTGTTTGGCCGTGATCAAATTTCTTTTCGAACTCTTTATTGCTATTCGTACAAGTTATGTGTTAGTTGTCTCTTGTTTTCTTCTCCTCTCTTTCCCCCCCCCCCCCCNCTATAGAGAAAAGACGAAAAAGAGATTCTTACTGTTGCCGCACTTCCTCCTTTTGCTCTTTTGTGAGCTCCTTTGACTTATTGACACCCGGCATGCTCAGATTGGAGATTTTGGGCTGCGGAGCATGGTTTGCTTGCTCCTCTTTGCTTTTCTCGGGCTTTTTATCTCCTTCAAGCTTGACGGCGGGTTGGAGACGCGGAATTGTCTGGTGGAAGGATCGGCGAAATGTGCTGGTGGGCGTGGCGCGGATGAAGCTGGAGGAGGGAATGTGGCGGAGATGAAGCGTTGAAGCCATGGTGCTTAATCAAAATAAGTTTTTTTTTTTTTTAATTGATTTTGAATTATTGATGGAATTGAAATTGAAATGCACAGCTTTTTGTATATGATAGCTGCCGCGCTTTGCGAGATTCGCCTCCTTGATGGAGGGAGTGATATGGAGTGACGTCAAGGCTTCATGACATCACACCCTCGCAACGGATTTTGAGTTATAGTGAAACAGAGCTATGCGAAGCGAGATGTGAGATGTGAGACAAGGTACATGTATTTATTATTAATGAAGAAATACTTCAAGCTACTTAATTAATTGGGAATAAAAATTGGAGAGAAACAATAACAGAAATCCGCTGCAGATCCGGCACTAATTATCTACCAAATCGAGACACTATGTAACAAAGGTATCATAAAGAGAGACAGAAACAATCCTCGTTTAAGCATCATGCGCGATGCGGATAACTGGCGATCCCATCCCTGAGCCCTTGCCCCAAGCCTCATGGGCCTCTTTGATATCGTCAAACTCCCAGACAGCCTTGATCGGAGGGGTAATGATCCCATCCCTGGTCATGTTGAGTAGCTGCTGGAGTTCAGGCTCATACGTCTTTTGATCGCGCGTGATGAAGTAGAAGACCGCTCCTTTGTTGGACCAGAAATACAGATTTTTAAACATCAGCTTGGCAATGGGGATCCAGGGATTGCGCCGCTTCGCACCAGTAAGATTGTTGAGGTTGTTTCCGTAGGCAACGACTACGCTCCTCTCGTTGGGTGTCAAGATGGAGTAAGATTCGTCGAAGCTTTCGAAGCCCAGGGCATCAAAGACGGCGTGCACGCCTCCCAGATCCTTCATGGCGGCGATCCAGTCCTTGTTGGTGTAGAGGTAAGGATGGGCACCAGCTTCTTTCAGGGCGGCGTGGTTCCTCTCAGCGGCTGTACCGTAGACGGTTGCGCCCTGGAGGAGGGAAAGGTACATGATGCCTTGGCCAACGGCTCCGCTGATGCCGTGGATGAAGACGCGCTGTCCTGAAGACACTTTTGCGGCGCGAGAGACCATGCCGTAGGCGGTGGCCCAGTCGACAGGCAGGGCGGCAGCTACCTTTGGATCAACGCCATCGGGGATGGCCACGAGGTACTTCTCCGGGATATTGATGTACTCGGCATCGGAGTCGTATTTTGTCAAGGCCGTGACGAGGGTGCCGGGCTTGAATTTCGAGCTGCCGGGCCCGTTGACGGAGACGCGGCCGGAGAAGCAGTAGCCGGGCGTGAAGGGAGGGGCGCTTTGCAGCGGGTAGACGCCGAGACGCATGTTGACGTCGGCGCCGGCAAAGCCTGCGTAGAGGATCTTGACCTGGACGTGGTCCTTGGGAGGGGGGGAGATGTTGTCGGTGACGATTTGGAGGGAGGTGGAGGGAGGGCCGTAGGCAGTGATGACGACTTTGCGGTTGGGAATGGCCATTTTGATAGAGTGTGTATTATAAGGTTGTGGTGGTGTTGAGGTGCGTGTCGTGTAAGTTGAGATTGTCCAAGTTGATGGAGTTGGGAATATTATATATAGAAAGATGAGATGCTTGATTATTATGTATGTCTTCTTGTTGCTGATGCTGAATGACCAAGATCCTGTCTTCAAGGAGCGGCGGCGGCATCGACCTACTTATCTGTTCCTTCGTCATGCTACTTTTTGCCAATCGCTGGACCGAATCCAATCAGTGCTCTCAACCACGGCGCAGCCCTTGTCGTCACCATGCACCACCGCTCCTGCGGCCGATGGCACCACGGGGCCGTGTCGCAGCCGACTATAACGCCACGACGCAGTTAGCAGTATCATGATCCCACGGGCTGCGCATTGATTTTTGACAAATGACAGGCTGTGCGTTACGTAGTCAAGGCCATTTTCGACATTCAGTTGTCCCGGGTTTGGGCAGCGCAGCCTTGTGTTATTCCCAATAGGGAAATGCGAGAGCGAAAAAAGGATGATAAGCTTAAGAGGGCCCCTGTTTAGTTGTTTAGAATGGAAGAGAAGCTGCGCCTTGTGGATCTTTTTGTGCCCTGTGCTTTTGCTCATTGCTTTTTCTTCGGCAGATCAGGCCGTTGGACATCGGTGCCACGGAGGTTAAGCGGGGAGAAGTTTGGGCCGTTGGGCGCTGTGGGCGTTTTTGTGGCGTTTTTTGGCGGCTGGCGCTTTGACGACTGGGAGGTACCGCTCTGTGAATTACGGCAGTGATGCTGCATGCCGGCACTACTATTCAAAGGCCGATATGCGTTTGTAGGATTACTGGGAAAAATTCGAAAAATTTCAAAAAAATTCTCTTTTATACTCATACTTATTGTTATACGACTGAATATTTTTTTTTTTATTTTTTTTTTACCATTATAATAACTGGCATATTGCCCCTGATAGCATCTACAGCCATAATCGCAAGAAACTTTCGGGTACCTCTCCCTTCTGGCACGCTCCCCTGGCCGCTCGGGTAGATTCTCGCCCGCGTGGCGTTCGGTGGCTTGCCCAGGGTCCTCGGAGGATCTGGTCTCGGTTCCATCGCCGACATCATAAGATCGTTCTCGTTCATGCATCGCCAATTCTACGATTCCAATCGTCATTATTCCTATATTAGCAACATACGTGTCTCGATATTTGCCTATGGAGCCCCTAATTTTACGTCCCTTTACATATTATCTGATGACGAGGCCTTCGAAAGATGCTTCGTAATTCCCTCCATCATGAATCTTCCAACACAAATGAGTCACTCAGTCTGTTCATACTCATTCATTGGACATCACGTCAAGACATCCTGGGCACGCCTTTTCTAGCGTCGCTGAGACGTCCTCCCATACTCTAACCTGCCACTCTCTTCCCTTGTCGTCTGTAACCTAGCCAGGAACGATGTTGCTTACGCATAAGTTTCATTAGCTTTGTCCGCCTATATGGGCATAATCCTTCGACCAACGCAGAAGAGGCCACATGATGGAGGGGGAACAGAAATCAAAGACTCACTCGCTAATTTCACACTCTGAGAGGTACCTCCCGTGGGCTTCCTCACCGACTGTGAGGCCATGAAGCAACGTCCGGCTGCCGATTTCAGCGCTTCGCCCTATTAACGACAGAACGACGCCAACTTGAAGCCGGACGATGGAATTGAGATGACGGGGAAGGTTGGTTTTGCAGGCACCCGGATTGACCATGGTAATTGTCACGCCAGTACGAGAAAATGCCGCTCGTCGTGCGAATTCGAAATACGCAAATGTGAGGAGCAGCTTGGATAGAGGGTAGCTGGGAGATGTCTCGGTCAGCTTCCCCTTATAGAGCTGTGAAGCAAAGCCCAATCAGCAGGAGGAAGATTTGTCTGCTTACCCTGTGTGGCTTAACTTGGGCTCCCACTTCTTGCGGTCTCTCAAATCTTCGAATATGTTGCCAATATCCAATGTCTCCCATATTGGCTTTGCTTGAAAGGCGAGCCCGCTACCAATAATGACCAGCTGCGGTACGATGCCAAATTGCTTGGCCGACTTGTGCAAATGCGGCAGCATCAAAAGAGCCATCAAGAGCGTCGAGAATAAATTCACCGTCATAGTGGTTTCATTTCCTTCCTTTTCAACCCAAGATGTCTCTGCAGTCCCTGCGTTCTCTATGATGCCGTCAATCCGATGTAGCTCTTCGCCAGCTCTCTGTGCAAACGCCGCGACAGACTCATAGCTTCCGAGATCAACTTCCCATACCTGAAGAATATTGGTATCGCAACCTGTGTCTGTCTCGATCGCTTTCTTCGCCGCCTCACCTTTTTCTCTACTTCGAACTCCCAGAATCACCCGCGAAGAGCCGAGGCGGGCAAGATGTTTAGCACATTCATATCCGAGGCCGCTATTGGCACCAGTGACGATAAACGTACGCTCTTGACAATCGGCAGGTCCAAGTGTCATAGGAAGAGTCTTGTATTGCGCACGAATAAAATGGAGAAAAGACATTTTTATAATTATACGTACAAACTTTCAGTTTGTAATTACCCAAAGATTCTTGGAATAAAGGCCCAGCAAATATTCCTTTTCGAGGAGCCCTACGACTGTGCTTTATATGCCCGCTTGCATTCATCTCTCAACCACATCGTCGCCATTTTACTATTTTACAACTAATGATCCTGGAGGATTGGGCGTTTGGCGCGCATGAGGCGCAAGCACCAATAGAATCAAGTCAGCCTCGTTGCATCCGGCGACTAATCAACTATCCTATCGCCGACCGTAGCATGATAGGCATCAAAATAGGTGCGAAAGCTTTCTGCCCAAGCCAAGGTTGGAATCGCTTCATGCAAGACAACGCCTACCACAGTTCAACTATTAATAAACGCCGCTTTATACCCCGCAAAGTCTGTCAACGGCGAGCGCCGGTATATCAGTAGCGCTTTCGTGATGCTCAAATGGTAGGTCATAATGATATTCACAAATGGTCATTTTTGAGCGGAAATCCATGCAATTGCTCCAACTAACTGCCTATCTAGTAGATGAAATATTTCCTCACATCTTTATAATGTACATCCTATAAAAAAAACCCACACCGCCAGTCTAATTACGCCATGAACTCCAATCATTTCAACGAAGAAGGTTCAACTACTTCAGCCCTGAGTATGGTGAACCCCCCCTCTCAGTGTCGAAGCCAACTTCTGTCTCACGCTGTCTTTATTCCGATGCGATGAATCATACCCATCGCGGTCCTCAAATCCCACCTTTTGAGGGCGTGGAGGAGGCGGCGGCGGCGCATGATGAGGTGCTGACTGCGCCGTCGTATAGTATGCTTCATCCCACTCCTGGGGAGAAGCCTCATGGTGAGCTACTCCGTTGGTCTGGAGGTCCGGATGGGTTTGTTGAGGAATTGGCGGGACTCGCTGCGTAGTCTCTACACTGATAGATGAGCGAGAACGTTCTTCGCGTTTCTTTCGACGAACCGGCGAGGTTTGCGTTACTTGCGGCTGTTGCGCACTTTCATTCAACGAGGATGTCGAAAAGCGCTTAGAGCTGTAACTATTCCGAGGCTGACCCTCATCGTCTGTCGCAACCTCATCCTCCATTTCGTCCTCATATCCGCGCAGCTCGCTCCTCATTGCCAGGCTGGCACATATACTTCGAGCCTCCTCAATGGCCACCTTCCTCGCCTTGAGTGCCGCACGCTTGTCGCGAGCCTCTTTATTCTCGGCGGCGATAGCTTCAACAGTAGCATTTCGCATACGCAGAATCTCAATGGGGTTAAATAGTCCGAGCATCCTCATCAGTAAATGTCTCTCGACTACCTGGGTGATGGTATTGCGGGTGAATATCCGTGCTGTCAGATCATAGTATATGAGCATCTTCTCGAGCACCTCCTCTGCCTCGGTATAGGTGCCACCATCTTTCAAAGCCTCTGAGCGCCATTTGACGAGGCGCTGTTCATATTCTGGATCGTATGGCTGAATTTCCAACTCCAAATCGTCAGTCAGCCTCTTAAGCTCCTTTTCCGCTTCTTCCATCATTTCTTTCATCTTGTTCTCCAGGAAATGGAAACGCAGAGGGTCTCTCATTCGCAATGGCCAGACATAATCAATGACATCAGCGAGAAATTCATTACAAATGACGCCGACGTTATCTTTATACTCCTGAGCCAGAATGGGCCAGGGGCGAGAAAAGTCTTGGAAAAGGATATATGGTGCTCTTGGGTTAGAGTCGAGCGGAAGCTCGTTACCGCGAATCTGTCGCAGCAGCGGCTCAACTTCTCTTTGAGCAAACTCCTTCTTGGATGAATCACCAACGACTCCTGCTGCTGGTAGGTTATTCGCCCCGGAGCTAGAGGACGAAGAAAAGTTGACCTTGCTGTTGTGTTGGCGGAAAAGGCGAGCGAACTTTTCGCTTTCTTCGCGGACGCGTGCCCGGAGCTTCTGCGCCGGTGTTCCCTTGGGATGAGATTGCCTAGCAAAAAAGGATTCTCCAACCGGATTCTTATAATTTCCATTCACAGCAGGAGTAACCAGGTTGTTGGATGCCGAGAAGAGCTCGCCCATTTCGAAGCGCATCTCTTCGATGGTTTCTTTTCCAGATCCCATAGCCTTCAGCTCCGCCTCGCACTGCTCAAGGGCTTGCTGAATCTGCCTTCGGAGCGTTTTGACATGCTTTCCTACATGGCGTTGTAGCTGAGAGCTGAGTTTCTGTCGCAAGGCTTCTATACCCAACATTTGAGGCGGTAGAGCTGCCCATTTGCCCCTCGCAAAGAAATCTGCCTCGCGTCGGGATCTTTCTTCAAGAGACGACCAAAATTCTCCTGGCCCTGGATTAAGCAAGATATACCAGCCGAGCTTGAAATTATTTTCTTGGTCTTGGTTTGTTACAAGCCCGATGAACTTGTCCTCGAGGCCGATACCTTCTGTCATGTCAGGCTTTGTCAAGACTCCAATGGTTCGCGAGCCTGAAGGGTCGAAGTGACGTGCTTTCTTTAAAATTGGCGCTTGCACATAATCATTATTGCCGCCAATAACAGCCAAGATAATCGTTCGGCTACTCTTCATATATCGATCAGAGAGAATCTCGATGGTCTGAATGTCGGCCTCGGATTGATCTCGGTTGGCCACACGGACCAATCCAGGAAGATCAACAAGACTCAGCATGGGCATTTCTGGTCCTGTCTTTTCTACGACGAGGATATCGCGAGCGGCAAAACGTCCCGGTATATTTCGAGGGGCGATTAGTTCGGTCGCCTCTCTCATCATGGCATCAAACGGCGTATCAATGCCAGCGTCTCCTCCAAACTGCAACAGGCGAGCCTGTTCATTGTACGGGCGGTTTTTGTCCGGAATAATGGACACTTTGAGATTCGTTTCTTTTGATCTTCTCAATCGGATCTCTGTGGCATGGCGAGTGCACGCTCCGGCATCTCGCGGGAACGGCGTGCCGCTGAGGGCTTCTAGGACGGAGCTTTTGCCGGCGGATTGGTCGCCGACGACGACAATTTGAGGTAGCTTAACATTGTCTAGTTGCGCAAATTGAAGTTTATCGATGAGATCCAACAAGCCTCTCTGCTCGTCTGCGAGCCCCTGAGCATCCAACGAAGAGCCGAGGGTTTGGGCCATGGCGGGATTTGCGGATTGGGAGTTGAAACGAATGGATCCCATCACCTGGTGAGTCCAAATGCAAAGGCGCAAAGAATGACGATATGATGTAAAGATGCGCCGAAGTCAATTTTGCTACCAGATGCTTTATATATACAACAGAAGAAAAAATGCGAACTAGAACAAACCGCCAATACCAGGCAGAACTTTACGGACATGTGAAACAGCCTTTCGCAATGCAAAAACGCAATTGTTAATCCCCTTTTCGCCACTCAGTCCGCCTCATCCCATTGCTTGCGCTCTGGATTTTGCCGCTGCGTACGTGTGTGCGTACGAATGCTCTAGAGGCAGCCATTTGACAAGCCTCTTACGGAGTAGTGTAAGTGCGAATAGGACCGCCTAAATTATGTGGAGTACCGCCAGTGGCCGGATTACGTACTCCTTCAGCTTAGCCGCGACTCAGATGCGTGGCCAATTGAATGTTGACGTTAGCATGTAGTACTAATGTTAGACATCAGAGCCGTGAACTTGGAGTAGTTGAATAGCGAGCAATGCTTGGCGAGCGGTGTTACGCACTATTTCGGTGCAGGGCGTATATGGGAGCGTATACAGGCCGTGATAATTCATCAACTAAGAACCATGAAAACACAACTGCTGCTCAAATAAGACCACTCAATAATCATTGGGCGACTAGTATTAAAGTATGGCGCCAACGTTCCCCCGGATCATGCGGCTTTTCAAATATACTTTTGACATCCGGCGCTGAATAACCAACCATAACTGTCGTCGCCGGAATTGATCCTTCACAACTAGCATATTACCGGTTGGGATTTTAAGAGATTCGATCATTCGAAGTCGACGAAACAAGCAAAGCTATTCCAAAAGTAAAGACACTATCTCGAAGCGATAGTCTTAGATAGACGCCATGGCGATCAGTCTTTTTAAAGATCAGGGCCTGGAGACTAAAGCAAGGCGCAGCAGCCGATATAGTTGACGAATAATACGCGTTCGATACGCTAAACATGCTAAAACGGTTACCCAGCTAATCGTTGTATAAACTAGCCCGTATAAGAAATTTAGGCATGTTGAAAAGATCGAGTTATAAATGTGTCAATCGTTGTAGAAACCAAGCGATTTGGACCATGACTAGTTGTCATGCGAGCACAGATAAGCGCTGGGACATATATTGGGGATATCTGGACTACGTCATTAAGTATCTCATGATTTAACTGCGCAGATGAAAGCTGCAAAAGCGTCGTGAGTTGCGAGCCGAGTTTAAAGTAGGTTTCAAAAAGAGACTTCGAATAATCACGTTCTTGCTAAGCAAGCTTCCTATCACCAGAATGTTTTATGTTAAGATCAAATGCATTCCAAACTTTTCGTAGAGTTGTTTAAAAGCAACGGTAAAGCGAATACGATATCCCTCGTTCAAATCACCCTCATATCCAGCGCGCATCTATCTCAATTCCATGTCTGATTCCGAGTAAAGCGGAAACTCCCGAAGAAACCAACCTCGCCCTTTATTTAGGCCAATCTCAAGAACTTAATGAGCCGAATGGTTCGCAATACTTCTCTCCAGTTTGCCCATCCATTCATTGCTGCGTAGGAGCAATCATGTATTGTAGCCTCCTCGGATCATCTCAGAATGTTGAAGATGTATCGACAATCGTTCTTAAAGAGTTTCGAATCTCAAACACAGCAAGTTGTCTCTATTCCAGCTTTATTCTTTCCTTCACATCTTCGAGCAGCTTCTCCATCTTATGCCTCATTTCCACGCCTTGAAGGGTAGTATATAGCTCATTAGCGATCTCAGCCAGCTGGAAGAACTGGTTCGCCGGCGCTTTTCGTTTCTGCAATTTATTTGCCAAGTGAGAAAGAGCAAATATGTCATTAGCCAAACTCTCATTGATCTTGCGTAAAGCTGCCCAAGATTCGCTCTGATGGACGTTTACTCCAGCGAGTCTGTACATGGATTGTGAAATATCGTCCAGGCCCATCTCGGGAAATTCTTTCGCATTCCTGCAATAACCCACAAAATAGCCGAGGTCTGACGAATCTTCAGATTCTTGGTCAATTGCTTCCTGCAGCTTCTCGGCCATGGCTGATGTTGACATATAGGCAGTTGGCAAGCTCTCGAGATCAGCCAAGAGCTCCTTCCAGACCGAATGAGTAATGGTGGGCAGTAATCTCAACTCTTTCATGACGAGCTTCTTTAGAAGGGGACCCCAGACAATTGTTTCTTCTCCAGGGTCTTCTTGGCCCCACGAGTGGCGCGGCAGGGAAGAAGACTTGGATATTTCATCAACATCAGCCCATGATCCTGCGTGAAATAAAGGAGTAGGGTTTTGGTGCCCTTCGTTGCTCATATTTCCGAGACCTTGAGCTACAAGAAGTCCATTCTCATCAACCCATAAAAGAGAGCTGCTCCCAACAACAAGATGACCTTCTTCGATTAACTGATTTAGCCGGTATTCTTGACGATTAATAAAGGCAGCTCTTGTCTTCTGATGGGACGTGGGTAGATCGCTTGAGTTGGAGTTTGTCCGATTCGAAGCGCTCTCTGGTCGACTTTCACAAGCAACGATTGACTGGTTGTCCATCTTTTCGATATTATGTTGGATAATATGGGAATTTGTAAGATGGCGTCTAGCGAATGGAGTGACGAGGAAGAAAATCGGAAGTTGGGGAAGAGGGAAGATTGGGGTTTTTATGTAGCGCTCAGCTGGGAGAAGAAAAAGAAATGCGCACATGAACAGTGAATCTTGAGAGAAAGTCCTTTGGGTTGGTACTTTGGAATTGGTGGAAATACTTAGTGGCACGATGTCACAAACAGAACTCCGAACATTTCAGTCTCTCCAACTTTTCTCCTAGCCCCAGATCTGCCATTCTACATTGGAAGTGGTCAGCGATGTTAAATTTCAACTTTTGGCTTTACTCCTCGACACAACGCGTCATACTTGTATGCAGCTATGTCATGGCACTATTTCTCCTCGATTATTACACCCAATGAAAGGATCCTTTCGGTATATCTCAGCTAACACCAACATTGATTCAAGGACGAGGAAAAAATCTCCTAGTTCAACAATGATCAAGAGCATTTTCTAAAGACTCGCTTTATAGCATAAATTAGTGGGCGATCTTCATAGCAGCCATGGATGAATACTCTCTACTATGATTATCTAGGTAGCTATCTAGGTAGCCCAACCCCATTATTGACCTTTTACGCCATTTATCATTTCTTTTTCTTACAAAAGCATAGGAAACACTTGCAAGCTACAATTGATTCCTTGCTTATAAACACGTCGCTCACATTTGTTCTAAGAATACAGACCAATGACCTCACGATTATCTGTTGCTTTAGAAGCCGCTGCACCTGAGATTTAGCCAAACGCCGCTAACAACTCAAGACTCAAATTTCTCATTTTTATATTACCAAGTATTGAGATCAAAAAACAACCCAGCGTGCAGTAGAGATGAGACCGTTTTGTCAGCAGCTCTCTTCTTTATTCTCGCAGCATTCTCGCCATTCTGTTCACCCCATCAGCAGAGAGTATACCGCCCTCAACGTATGTTTGCCATAAATGACGGCAAATATTCTGTAGCCATAGTGGATATTCTTCCGTAGATCGGTACTTCTCCAGTTGCCAACTTGGTTTCTCCCACGCTTCCTTCCAGCCTTGTCATATCATCCAATCACATCCACCGCCTCAACACAATATATGCACAAAGGTAGGTTCCGTTACGAAGTATCTCGACGAAATATAAACGGCTCAATAATATTTGAAATAGATGTGCTCTGATTGCCTTACCATACGACCCTGCACTATGGTGATCCAGAGTGCAGCTACAAAAGAATACTTATCAATCTCGTCTTAACCCTTCTCTACAAATGTCTCGTTATTATCCAAGTCTACAAATATACATTATAGGTAGCCATCTATTTACCACTTCTAGCTCCCTTCTACATAAAATGTTATAAAGCCTCGTTGGTTATATCAAGCTTTGGGTTCTTCATTTCCCAAATCTTTTCGTATCTTTCTCGGGCTCCTCGACCACACCTCTCCACCATCCTATTGAGCCATTCTTCATCTAGATTCTCCGATCGATAACAGTCTGGCTCCGCTCCATTCTCCAGTAATATTTTAGCAATATCCCAATATCCCCAGACAGTAGCTGCATTCAAGGCATTTTTGTACTCTCCTCCCTGTGCATTAACGTTTGCTCCCTTTTGTATCAATAGCTTGACTGACTCAGTCTGGCCTGACAATGCCGCTGCCTGTAAAGCAGAGCCGAATTCGCCTCCTTCTGCATTGATATTGATATCAGGACAGTTTTCAAGAAGAAAAACTAAGCCTATGTTTTCACAGAGAGATATCCCAAGACCTCTATGATTAGCCATGATTGCTGACTGGAGGGCGAAGCCAAAAGGCCCCGCCTCAATATTAGCATCAACACCGCGCTCAAACAGAAACTTAAGCCTTTCGAGTAATTTGGTTCCTTCAATACCATCGTAGTAAAACTTCAACGTGGCTTGCAAAGCCGTGCCGTGTCTTGGATCATAGTCGTTGATGTCGACGCCCAAGTTCAGCAGCTGCTGTATGGCACTATTCGGAAGGCCGATGTTTGCCGCCGCAGCGTTCAAGGCGCTGCCAAAAGCACCGCCTTTGGGATGAACATCAGCGCCATGGTCAAGAAGTAGTTTTACCATGTCTTGTGCAAGCTTGCTGTTTATGCGGCTGTATGCAGCTTGGAGAGCAGTTCCATAACGGCCGCCCTGCTCATTCACATCGGCTCCCCGTTCAAGCAGCTCATGCACAAGCCATTCATGCCCATAAGCTACGGCAGCCTGAAGCGCCGTTCCAAATTCTCCTCCTTTAGCATGAATATCGACTCCATGCTCGAGTAGAAGCGATACTTCGTCCTTAGAGCAGCACTTCACACAAGCGAGCTGCAGCGCGTTCCCCTCGTGACTCTGAGCATTGACTTTTGCTCCCCTGCTTAGCAGTAACTTCATGAGATCCAGCCTATCTCTTAAGGCGTAAAGAGAAGCTTGCAGCGCGTTTCTATCATGTCTGTCTAGGGCATTCACATCAGCTCCCTTGTCTAAGAGTATCTTTACGAGACTGATGTTGTTGAGTCGACACGCGGTTTGCAAGGCATTACCAGCCTCGCCTCCTTGAGCATTGATATCTGCTCCAAGATCCAACAGATGCTCAATGAATTCAATAAACTCGGTGAATTTGGTCTCTGTAATGGCAAGCCATGATTCCCTGCACGCCGCTTGAAGTGGAGACCCGAAATTACGGTTCGGAGTAAAAGCATTTACGCTTGCCCCTTGATCTAGCAGCAGATAACACAAATCCCAGCGATGGAGTGATGCCGCCTTGATAAGTGCCGTTTCTCCGTCGTCCTGTTTCAGGGCACCTTCGCTGAGAAGAAAATGAAAGCACTGGTCTTGAGAATCCCGAACGGATGAGGCAAGCACGCTACCCCCCATTCTCGATCGAGCGTAAATGTCAGCTCCATGGCCAACGAGAAATTTCATAACGTCGAGATGATTTCCCTTTGCTGCTGCGTGCAACGCTGAACCACATTCCTTGCATATTGCATTAATTTCTGCCCCCTTGTTAATCAAAAGCTTCACGATCTCGAGGTGACCACCTAAGGCTGCAGCCTGCAGAGCAAAACAGTATTCTCTATCATCGTAGATTTTGCGCCTGGCATGTTCAGCAGCTTTCACCATGCTCCCCTCCCCATTAATATTCGCGCCCTCGTCAAGAAGCCCCCATACCATGTCAAAAACTCCCTTATAAGCCGCATGCTGCAACGCCATATCTAAATCCTCTTGGGTAAAAAAGTTATTCGTTCCAGGGCCGTGTGAGAGCAGCATCATTGTGAGACTCGGAAGACCCAGCCAAGCTGTGTAGCATAGTGGTCGCGCTAAGAATAAAGTTGCATCGACAAAAAACCATGGCCCAAAAGATATCATTTTCGCTAGAGTCTTGCTGCGGGCATTAAGGGCAGATACTGCCTTTTGGACGACTTCAGGAGGCCACAGTGTGCTTGGAATCATCTCGAGATGCCAAGCCCACTGTCTACTGGTATAACTGTACAAGACTTCCGGCTTGTTTCTGAATTGGGGTTCGTCTTTGATATCGTCGGCGTGCAGTAAGTGGTGAGCCAAACACGAATGTGCAACGTGTAAATGAGCGTCGATCTCAGTAAACCCAAATGCTGCTGCCGGTCCGTCAGTAATTTTTGTAGAAGTCAGGTATTCTTTGATGGAAAAGTGTGCCAAGCGAACTTTACGATCAGCAACTACAACCAAACTAGAAAAATATTTCACGACGTCATTAGCACGGAAAAGCTTCTCTGTTCCATCAGGAGGGAAAGTGTATTCAGGGTGAAATGTAAAGATCTCTGACAGCCAGTCAACCTCAATGGGTTTTAGCGAAAATGCCAGCCATTTTAGCGAATTCATGACTCGGGGTTGAAAATTTGGACTGATGCTCAAGAGCATCCTGTCATAAGTTGCACTCAGACCATCGGGGAGGCTTTGGAGGGCTTCGCGGATTTCAGCGACAGTTGATAGGTTGTGAAGTGTGTCGAACTGGCAGCGAACATATTGGAACCTTGGATAGAATTAATTAGATCGTCTTATCAGGTACCTGGTAAATATCAGGCTGCTTACATGCCATCCGCTTTCTCAACCAACGATTTTCTTGCTTCTGCCTTTACACTTGCAGGCCAAGATTCGTAATCATCATTTGCAAGAATAGAGTCAATAAACAGACCAATATCGTCATCAACGATATGTCTATAGGCTAGTAGATCTAGCTCGTAGCTGGAGAAACGTGATAAGTGGTGTCTCATTGCTGAGCTAATATCGCTCTCCTTACGGCTGGTGAAGAGAAGATGAAGATTTTTAGGTGCTTTATCAAGAATTTCATGTAAAGCTTTTGTCAGCTTCTTCCTTTCGCCACTCAGGGTTGGGCATTCATCCAGAGCATCAATGATGATATATACTGCCGAAAATCCAAAAATGGAATCTTTAAGTGCGGTTATAAGAGTTTGAGTATCAGGCCGCCTGCCGCTGACCTTGTATTCGCTGAGCTTCTGGGCCGATGGCGGAATATTTGGCCTATGAGCTAAGATCTGCTTAATGATAGATGCAAGCATTACATCTACTTTTTGTTTCTGAGAATCAGTGAAACTAAAGTAGAAGTACGGGACCGCAATTAGCGGATCAGATGCGTATTTATCATCAATATGTTTTATGACTGAAGAGCTCAAGATGGATTTTCCTGAACCGGCTGCAAACCCTTAGTTAGCCTAAATCAAAGCCTCAACAGTGGCAGAGTGGATATTACCTTGCCCATGAAGCCACAACAAAGATCTCTCTTCTTTTTCCCAAGCCAAGAATTCTTGATTCTTCATAAGCCACTCACTTGTTCCAGCTTCATGTCTGTCACGAGCTGCGTTATACATATGAGAGGGGTCAACTTGACATAACCAGGACAAAAATTCCTTGCGATCATGGTCTTTTGCTGCTTCTTCCAATGCTTTTCGTAAGCCAGAAACATCTTCGCTAACAGTAATTTAAGTTGCAAGAGACTTTTCATGCTGTTTCTTTGCTTCCAAAGAATCATGACTATATTGGACATCATGCCAGAGCTTGTCTAGCCCAGCCAGTGCGTCTTCTTGCAGGCGCACATCGTCGATCATTGCCTCCCAATCGTTCCACTTGACAGCATCTAAGCCAAGCCGGTGCGCGAAGTTTTGAGTTAAATGACAATAAGTCTCAGCCTGGAATTTCAATATCTTTTGATATAGAGCCTCTAAAGCCCCCTTGTAAGCCAAGTGATCAAGAGCTGAAGACTGGCGGTTATCCCCTTCTAGCTCATATCGCCGAACGTATAAATCCTCACGTAACCGACCCCTAACAATAAGCGTCGAGATGTAATCTAGCCCTTTTGCAAGTGATTTATCTTGTTCAGACAGATTAAGCAAAAGCTTAGCTGAATTAGTCTCTTGCCATAAACAGACAGCTTGCGGCCGGGATCACAGACAAAACTTACAGGTAGCAGCACGCTAATCCCTCCCCATGCAAGCGAGGCGGGTGGGTTAACAGTAAGAGCATTGGAGATGTGTTCGTTAGCTCTACTAGCTATGCTCGAGAAGATAGGCAAAACGGCTGAGAATTGAATATCAGAATTCCCGAATTTGAGCCTCCAAGCGTCGCGCTTGATTTTCTCCATTTTATTTCTGAGTACAATTTCCATCCGCTCGCGTGCATTAATATTAGGAGCCAAGATTAAACTGAAGCCGGCAGTCAGATCTTCTTGTATCTTGGACTCATATTCTTGAATAAGTTTTGTATCTTCCTGGCGTAGCTTTTCGTATGCCAAATTCCACAGCTCATGAATCGGCGTATCAGTCAAGTTCAATCCTACTGGCTGCTTAGGCTAAACCAGTACTATTAGCAGTACTCAAGTCTTCTTGCGGCATGGAATTAGTTCACACTTCGATATGTTTGAAGTCAGTATGTTCGTTGGATGGGTTGGGAGGCTTTATTGTCGCTTGGCCTTCTTGGCTCCCTTGGCTATGAATGTCATTGTTTGGGCTGTTCCTCTTGTTCCTAGTAAAGAATTTTTTTCGTAGTTCGTCTCGTAAACCCATCTTAAAATTATAAATAAAACAGTTCTCACGACGTAAGTATTATTTATAAAGTTCATGCTTTGTTGTTGCTTGTTTATTGTATCGTGGGATTAAGGCACATGTTCATGCAGCTGTCAGGTACTGGAATAAGTACGGGCCGATCAGCCAATTAAGACTGCCTACAGCACATTAATCCATGTAGGGCCATCCTACATAGAAGAAACAAGTAGTTTGCGCATATTTACGATAAAACTAACTATTATAACGATTTAGCAGTCGCGAGATTAAATTACTTGTCTACCAGAATACAAGCTGTGTAGGCCGCCTTTTTTTTTTTCGTATCCGAGGCCTTTATCAATGAATATTTAATAAAGATTGAAAGAAAGACCCTTGTCTGCGAATTTTAATGAAGAAGTCTTACGCAGTTAGTCGTTCTATTTATCAAAATTTCAAGCCTGGATTTTATTTCATTACGTCAATACTTCTTATGCATTTGCTGATCTGCCGGAATATGTCATCTGTCAATTAGAAACCAATTCTTTACGATCAACATGGTCATAGCCTCTAAGCAGATAACACATTTCCATTGAAATGCCTATTGACTGGGCTATTTCCTATTTTGTGCTCATTAGAGAGAGAAATAAATATGCCCAATGATGGATCCTGTGACTCAATTGCACGCGAGTCCTCATGACAAGTAACGAACCATCTTGTAATTCTACCTCGGCCACCGTATGAGCATCCATTAATTTGACTAATCAAATATAAATTCATCTCTAATATGCCATATCGCGTATCCTCCCTTTTATATGAAGTCGTAGAAATGATCAGCGAATTTCTGTTTACTGATCTTATTTTCTGATTATTGAACATCTTCATCCATGTATACCGATATCATTACTAGAAGCGATGTCCTACGTATCGCAATTTCATTGACAAATTGCTCCATAATCATTTGTCATTAGAAGAGGCATTTCTTACCATTAAAAGGAGTACTGTTCTATTGATATATAAGGCAGGTTATGAGGGTGATGAGAAATATAAATACTTCTCTCGCCGGAAACTTACTTCGTCAAGAAGATAATCCAGCACACCTACAATACAAAACCAACTCTTATTATCATCTTCTTCTAAGAAAGGTTATTAATATGGCACTTATTAAACGAGTTGCTATTCTTGGCGGAACAGGAGCTCAAGGTTCGAGCGTTGTGAGGAGTAAGTAAACATCCGTTCTTTCGCTTGTATAGCTAAAAGCTTATAAAAAGGCAGATCTTTCGAAAGCTGGAACATTTGAGATCACCGTTCCTACTAGAAACCCATCTTCTGCCGAAGCTCAGGCTGTTGGAGCCCTGTCAAACGTCAAACTGCTGCAGGCTGACTACTTGACCGAGGCTGGCATCAGAAGTATACTCGCAAACCAAGATGGAGTATACTTCAACATGAATTCGTTTGCTGTTACCGAGCCATCCGTTTACTTTTGGACATTTCGCGCATATGAAATAGCTGTCCAAAGTGGATTGAAACTCTTCATTTTGCCAGGTAGTATAAATAGATACAAAGCTCACGGATACAAGGAAGAATTCCGAAATGCACACGGGGCAATTTCAGGGCGGTTGTCTGACTGGCTCTCCAGCCAGCCAACAGACATTCTACCATGGTCTATTTTATATGGTGGCGTTTATGCCGAGATGCTATGGACACTACTCAAACCACGAGTTCGGGATGATGGCGTATATGAGTTCGCCGCGCCCATTGGGGACGGCAACATCCCATTTATACCTTTAGAAGACTACGGCGCTCGCGTACGATGGATATTCGAGCATCCAGAGGCCGCCATTGGCAAAAAGCTAGACTGGGGTCTTCTTTATACGAGCTATAAAGATTTGGTGCAAGCATTCGAAGAGACCACGGGGAAGCAAGCAGTGTTCAAGGACTTGACACAAGACGAGTGGTTCGATAGACTGCGAGTGATTAGGGCCCCAGAAACTAAGTTTCCTGACAGCGGGCTTTCAGATGACGATACCACGTTTACATGGAGGCGCACGTTTGGCGCTTGGTGGAATTACTGGAAATATAATGACCACACTCGAGATCCTAAGAGGGAGAAGGAAGCGGAGGCGTATGCTAATGAAGTGTATCCCACCAGACTCAAATCTATCAAGGAGTGGATGGTTGCGAATAAGTATACAGGTACAAGATAGTTTTACATCTTTATGAATTCATTACGAATACATATTTCCAGAGATCTCGGTTCGTTTGTAAGCTATATCGCAGCTCTCCCCAAAGGGGGACGAGTCTAATAGGAAATCTTACCGAGCGGAACAGCTTTATTTTGCACTTATGAGTCATTTCAGAGGATATTATGCTAATATACTTAAAAGACAGAAACATTCAAAGTTACATATCATATCGCCTGCGTTAGCCCAGGCAAACGTAGTTTTTGAACAGCATTACCCAAATCGCCAATTCATTCCATTCCCAATACAACACATTCATGCGACCTCCCCAGTTTGAGAAATTATATCTCCTCTTCCACCAGCGCCCCTCCGAGCTAAAGCGCTTGGGCCAGGGCCACAATCTCCTTCACCATGATCTCATCCGCCACAAAGTGCTGATGCTTCACCTTGTGCTTAGTAGGTATGCCAATGCTCGCGTGAGCCACCACTGTGCCGTCACCATCTCTATGCTCATCCTCCATAAGCTTGTACCTCCCAAGGACCTTTTGCGTAGACTTCGACCTCTCCTCCATAGTATGTGGCGTGTGGATCTTATCACAATGATATCCCACCGTTTTGGCCCGAAAGTCTGCCTCTACCTCGAGTTCGTGGAGGTGTACCGCGGCTGTCTCGACATTATGGCCCTTCACATGCACTCCATGGTGATGGCGAGAAACGTATTGTTTCCACGCATAAGACAGTTCGTACGCAGGAGGAGGTCGTGTTGGCTTGTCAGGTGGTGGCCTGTCTACAAGACCAGTCTTTCCATGCTCACGCAACCACGGGTATCTAGGCCACAGATCATCCATGATGGAGCCAAACTGTTGCAGCACCTGTGTAAGCTTGCGTCGATTGGGGAGCCACCAGCCAAAGCCGTTGTAAGCCCGCTCTACGGCCATGGTTGAGCCTCCAACAGGCACACCGAGAGGCACGAAGTTGGCGATGGCCCCTTCTACTCCGTCGTACATGGCGAGTGCCCTCCTACAGATGAGTCCTCCCATTGAATGCCCAATAAGAATTAGTCGACGGGCAGGATTGCTCTCGCGCAATGCTAGAATGCCTTTCGCACAAGGCGCTACGTGGTATTGGACGCGATGGCGCCAGTCGTAGGCGTAGTAGTAAACATCTCCATATCCAGACAAATGTTCAAGGAACCAGCCATAGCCGGGAACTTCGATGTAATCCAACCCTTGATCCAAAAGCTCTCCTACGGTTAATTTGTTCTCGATTCCCAATTCCTTGGCTTTATACCACCCATATTTCGCGCCGGCAGCTTTTTCAATATTCCAAGCCCAATGTTTATCGCGAACAAGGAGTTCCGTCCCCATTATCCCAGGGACAACGATAAATATCGGACGTTCGGCATCGTCCTGTGTAATTTTCGTATCATGTCTTTCAATTGGCGCTTGTTGTCCATCTTGCGCCCCCTGTCCAACTTGCATCTGCTGTCCATTTTGCGCCATGCTTTGTCTCTGTTTTCGAAGAGTGTTTAGAGACAATCATCAATAGTATAGAAATAAGTGAAGATAGTCAATGAAGTGGCAACGTAGAGCGCGACCGCTTAAAGTTATTATATACACGTAGGCAGAGCAGCAGCTCTAGCTTGGTTAGACCAAGAATACTAAACCCTATTGGTTCACTGGTTTCTGGAGGTGCTGCTCAGGTGTATTTCCAAATGATTTGGGGAAAATTGCAGAGGAGATTAGGTTGCAGCTACATGTGTCTCAACAGTATATAACCGAGTCAGGCTACTCTGTGGCGGCGCCATGATCTCATAGGCATGGAAGCGCCGGGCTTGCATATAGCTATGCGTGGTAAGTGGGTTAGAGCTGAAAAACAACGGACATGTAGAAACTCACATAGAACGCCATTGAAAGCCACAATCTGCAATCACTAGAACAGACAAGCGGCTCACATTTGATAATTCCGAATAGCGAGGGTGTACCGGCTTATTCGGATAGTCACTATGGAAAAACCAGCAAAGGCGTAAACAAAGACGAATTGAGATAAGATCTCTCCTATCTAAGATCCCATTCAAACCTCAGCCCCGGTGAAATATATGAAGACAGCCTCGAACTACTAAAAGCTCAGCTCAGTAATAATTATTTGTATCAAGTTTTAGCATGCGTTGAAAGTTGAACAGTTGGCTGAATCGAGCTTTTTTAAAAAGAGAACTTTCGGACGTTGTTAAACCTCGAATCACGCATAACAGCTACCATCAACATCTTCAAAAAGCTCGATTTAGCTGTTCAACAGACACATAGAGTTTGTATGCATCAGTGAAGACGCCATTCTTGTTACCTCCGAGTCTGAAACTTGATGCAGCATCGTCCATATATATAATAGAATAACGCTCAAAGAATAAAAGAGTGGCGTAGTTATCTGTAGCTTCAAAGCATCCACACATTGCAGAATCATTCTACCCCATGCAATGTCAGTACGCGAGTTGAGTAGGGAGAGTAGCCACAGATCGAATACACTAGACTTACACTTATATCTTCTCTATCTTACAATATTTCGTTCCCTTAAATAGCCATCTCCATATATACACTAGCCATCGCTTCGTCGATTCGATTCAACGGCCAATCGTCTCCGCCCAAGAAAAATATATCGTATCACCACAGCGTTCCTCTCTCTTTCCTTCTCTTCTCCAACTACTCAATGCATTAGCGCTTTACATGTCCAGATCAGGGTGCGTACCAAACATACCCAAGCCGATTTACAATCGCGATACGCCCTAAACCACACGTCAGCCCAATCTCCACAGCCGTATAGCTGCCAATCCCACAGCTAGTATCGTAAAACGTACTGGAAGTATTCTCCGCACATTGCCTTGTCGCCGTTATTCCGGTAGAGGCATTTGTAGCTGCGCTGCGCCGCTTCCTGGCACGGATCGTAGAATTGGCTCTTGGATTTTCTGCGAGATTGCCAATTGTCAGTAAAAGCTATGCAGAGAGCGCGGATAGCCAGTGCGCGGCAATTACCCTTCGAAAATATTCTTCGTCTCCTCGGTCCAGGGACCTTTTTCGGTGGTCTGCGGTTCTGAAGACATGCTTTCGCTGGCGTTCTTAATAATGAATGTCGCTGGCAGATGCGGATGTTGAAGCCGGAAGAATGTCGGCAGCTCAACTTTGCAGCATTGACTTCAATCGAACCACCGCGTTACGTCATTCCGTCTAGCGCTGAAGCTCGGTGAGATTTCATGTTGGCTGCGATAGACAAAATAAATTAGAATACTATTGGCTATTAGATTCTAGGAATGCAATTGACATAGAAAGCAATTCAACACTAATATGAATTTTTCAAAATATTAACACCAACATATCCATGCCCCAGAAGCAGCTATTGCAGCTACCTTTCCACAGCATCCAGCTCGACTTACACAACACCACCCAAATCTTCACACTAACCAGTTAATATATAACATTGTGTATTTTATTTGCAATGCCCCAATTACAAAACTAGTAAACATTTATTTCACTTTAACCATTTCTGCAGCTTTACCCCAAAACTCATCAGCCCCCCATCCACCGCGCTGCTCACTCTGCTTCTTCAAAGACTCCAACAACCCTTCTCTCGCCATCTCAATCTTCCGAGCGGCGTCTTTGCTACAACACAAGCCCGCATCGACTTCCTTCAAATCATGTCCACCGATCAAACCCACCGTGGCTAAGCCAAGGTAAGAATGGTAGATATCCGGAGGCTCACCGACAGCTTTGCCGAATCCGCCAATGATATGCTGTGTAATGTCCAGTAAGTAGTTGCCAGTCGGCACCGCATCGTAGACATAATCAGCATCAAGTAACTAAGAGTTAGGGTAATCCATTTCGTTAGCTTCACTCTGAAGACAAATACCGAGAGCTATCAAACTCACCCTGAACATGCTACAAGCCCACCACGTATAGCAGGTATCGGCTTTCTTGTTCCACCTGCCGTTGAATCCCGTGTACGCGCGCTCCCCATCAAGACTCAGATCTCCGAGTTTAGCCTCGAGATAGTTCTCCCCTGTGCCCCCGTCACTTGCAATGGCCTCTGTGTTTGACAAATATTTGAATTGTCTGTGCGCAAGGAACTTGAGTAACTTGGTACGATCTGCGATGCCGCTGTCCATGGCCTGTTTTGTATCTGCCGTTGTATCAGGATGCCTATCGAGCAAAGATAGTGCCGAAATGGCGCAATATGCATATCCGGCTATACAACATTAGTATACTAACTCAAGTCACCCAATATGTAGCAAATACTTACCGTGAGACTCCTCTGTCGAAGACTCTGCAATACCGCCATCATAAGTCTACCACCTCATAGTCAATATCACACCCATAACTTATACAGCATCTCAAGGGTAGGGGAATCACCTGGAGACTCCTGATATACTCCGTCATCCTTTCAACATCAATATCTTCCACCCAATTCTCATCCCCCTTCTGAACGGAGCCCCGCAGCATCCATCGTATAGAGCTTGCCAGATAGCTGTGGCGCGTATCCCTTCCACCCGTTGGTTCGCCCTCCCACAGCACCTGTCCAAAGCTCCCATCGCTCCTCTGCAGCTTTCTCAGCCAGAGCAGCACCGCCTTGCGATCAACCCCAGCGTACGCCGAGCGCTGCTCCTCTTCAGTCTCCGCCGCCATGCCCAGCAATATCAGAGCGAAAAAAGTAGCCGCTATGTTGGCCGAGCCTTTGGAAGCATTTTCGCCCGCCATGGCATGAGTTGGGCTTCCGCAGAAGCCTCCATCTGGGTGCTGGAGACTCAAAACCCAGGTTCGCACTGCTGCCCGATCCTGGGCTGTGAGCGGGACGGACAAGATGTCGAGCGCAGAGATGATAAAGAAGGCAAATGTGAGTCTCGTTGAGTCGCTTCCAGTGTAGGCTGTCGGGAGAAATGTCTTATGGCATCGCTGCCAGTATTTGATGTGCCGCGCCTTGTCCAGCTTTGGCGCCTCAGCGTCTGAAGCGCTCATTATGGCAAGCGTGTTGTTGAGAATTGGCCGCGGAGATGTGCTTCGGTCTGCTCATACAAAGTGCAATGCAGCGAAGAAGTCAATTATAATCAAAACTTTCAACGAGGAATACAATGCAGGATAAGCATCAATTAGTAGTAGTGCTTGGTTTATCGAACGAGCAATCTCGCTGCCCCGTCGTCGTTCCATTCATTCAGCTCCTGTCGCCAAACAGTACTTGGTACATGTACTCTCACACATTGAATGCGCCACAGCCGCAGCGCCACACAGAGCGCCGTTATGCTTTTCCTTCAGCAGCCCCTAAAGCTCTAATCGATAAGGACTATTGAAGCTCCTGGCTTCAACATTTCAAGGTGCTCAAGCATGTGACGCCAATCATCACTTACTCTTCCTTTCAATTTCACCAAAGCCGGTTCTTCTTCTGCTTCTTCCCTCTTGAACTCATCCTCCAATTTCATCATCAGAGGGAGGGCGCCATTCCTTCACATCCACCTACCGCAAGCCGGATGCTCTGGGAGATCACAGATCACGGAAGACCGCTTGTGCCACGTATACGGAGACTCTGAAACAACACACGATCAACTACAGCTACCTCTATGCTCTCATAACAAGCAAACATCAACCATTTCCTGGAATCTATACGCTCACGCTGAAATCCGCCCGCCATGGCTCTCATATCTTCCACCACAATCATCACCTCCATCTCCCTCCTCCACCTCACCCTAGCCTACTTCTTCCTCATGCATCCCAAAACAGTTGAGGACCAGGCATTGGTCTTTGTTCTCGGCGAAAGCATGAACATGGTACGTCTTTCTCGTCTTCGCTTCTCGTCTAGATCTCCAGCTAATCCAGTGACTCGCAAAACAGCCCGCCGTACGTGGCTTCGACGTTCCAAGCCCGGCTTTGGCCCTCGTAGCCGTCGTCCTTGGCTTCTCCGGAATCAGTGATCTTGTTTCGCTATCAATGCCCGAAGATTTTAGCGCTCTGTACTACTGGGGCACTCAGGGTACGTCCCATTATCCCTTCTTTTACTCTCAAGACGCTCTTTGCTGACTATTCGGGCCCATCTCAGCTCCTCTCCGCTTCTTCCTCTCCATGCTCCTCGTCTTCTACTCCTACACCTTCAGCCCTACCTCGCCGCTATTCGCGTCCTCTTCCTCCTCTTCGACAAGACGCCCAGGTGTCTCTCACAAAGGCTCTGGATCAGGCACCGACCACTTGCACAACAGACTGCTCTTCACATTCATGTTTATCGAAATGATGGCTTGGTTTTGGACTTGGATTACTCTGCGGGAAGAGAGATCGGCCATTGTCGAGAAGATGAGGAAGCAGCATGAGAGAGAAGCACACAGCCATTAAATGGTTAAACCGAAATGTCAAATCTTTCCTCGAATTAGTAACTCGCATAGTAAAAGAAGCATCAATGTCACAGCAACGCGTCTTCAAAGAAGCCATTATATATATAATAAAAAAAAAAAAAAAAAGAAAAGAAAAGAAAAGAAAAAGAAGTATTCCAACAAAAGAAAAAGAAAAACCAATGAAATTTGTCTATTGACTTTCAAATTCTAGCTTTGCTCAGTCTAAGTCGTAAGAAAATACAACGTAGATATCCATGACCACGGTGGGTATAGTACATATAAGAAATATGCTTTTTTTACAAACTGACAATAAAGTCGAAACAGTAAGACAAGAGGAAAAAAATTTTGCAATATACACTAGCGATTAAGCCTATCTTCGCCAAGTTGGTTCATTAAAGAAATAGGATATGGGGAAAGGGGGAAAGGGGGAAAGGGGGTGGTATCAAAAGAAGCACATATACTTCTGGGTATATGTGTCCATGTTGATGCTGTATTACCAATCTGCTTTCTTTGCAAGCAGATACACTTCGATTTCGAGCCATGGCTAAGCTCATCAGTTGCTTTTGTGCAGCGAGCCACACTAAGCGAGTACTGTATTTCTGGGAGAAATCGCCGAAGGACTATGTATATCCGCTGGGTGCACTTCTGCTGTAGGAGTAGTCGCTTCGTCTTCAAGAATCTGCTCCTCGATGATCTCGCCTGGACCTCCAACCAACGGGCTGAACGCATCGACCTCCTCAATCTCCTCCTCTTCCTCCTCCTCATCGACACCGCCCATATGATCTTCGTCTTCTTCCTGGATAGTAATCTCTCCAGAATGACGACCCAATCCTGAGGCGCTACCGCTTCGAGAGTGAGAATGAGATCCGCTGCCCGCATTTCGCATTGGTCCATGGGAACCTCCAAAGCTAAGACCCGGGCCCTTGAACAAATTCTTCTTTCTCTTCGCAAACATGACGCCCGTGCCAAATGGATTCGGTGACCCCGGAGCTTGCGGCTGGCTTGGCATACCTTCGTTGTACATGTTCATCGTAGGAGCGGGCGGCATTCGAACAAGACGAATATTGGAGGGGAAAGCTGTACCAGTAGGAGTGGCAGGCAGAACCTTTACAGAGTGGTGAGGCGAGTGTCCGCGAGCCAACGGTGTCTTGGTCGTCGACACAGAACCCGTAGAACTGGTGGAAGATGCCTTGGAGTGAGTATGATGGTGGTGATGCATAGATCGCACGGAAGACACAGAAGACGAAGTCGATTTTCTCCCTCTCAAGCCTGCTGACGAGCGGCGGACAGTGCCTCGGGGCGTCAATGGTGACGGCGATAATGACTGGCGTTTATAAGCCTGTGATGTGCCGATTTTAGGTCTCAAAGGCTGTTGAGATGGTGTCCCTACAGGTCCGCTGACGCTTCCTCGAAGAGACCCATAGCTAGATGATCCGTTGGTCTTAGCAACGAGGCCGTTGGGAATGACTCCCTTGGGAAGAGGAGCGGTAGGATTTGCTCCTATTGAGCTGGTGTTGGGGTTTTTGCTAGTCTGCGGCCTGGGACTGGCGTCATTACTGCTTTTGGTGCTGCCTTCTTTCTTATGAAGGTCCGGTACACTTCGACTGGTGCGCCTCTCATGTCCACGCCGTCTTCTCGTAGTGTTCTCGATGAACCAATGAGTCCAGTTCTTCCAATGAGCAATGATCGCCTGGCTGGGTTTCTTTTTCGCTTTTTGCAGACTATTATCGTCCTGTTGTTGAGAACTCGGTGGAGCACTATGGTCATCAAGACCTAAAGATTCGGTAGTAGTGACAAGATGCAGAGTCGATCCTCGAGACCTAGCGCTGCGTAAAATACCCTCCTTGGGCGGCGGAATCGGTCGATAGTTGCGAGTTGTAGAAACTGAGCGGATAGAATGGCTATCAATGGAACGGTGGCGGCCATTTTCATCCGGAGTTTGCGGTGCATTCGAACGACTGCCCTCGGCGGTAAAGTAAGAGACATCAGTAATCGCCAAATCATAATAGTGTGCGCTCCTGCGATCCGGTCTCCCTCGACCCCTGGGCATTGCTGGCTCTCCTAATTTGATAAACTGTTTAGTTAGGCCGCCATCTTCGTCTACATCCTGTAGCATCCGTTCGAAACGACTTGATGCCACAGAAATCCGATGAAGGCTTTTGTCCATATCCCGTTCTCTTTCTTTCCTCTTTCTCTCCCTCCGGCGAAGTTTTCGTTCTTCCTTTTCAAGTAATAGCGTCCACCACCCAGCCAGGGCATCGCACTTTTGCGCCATAACACTCTCGATGATCGCGTCAGTGTCTACTCCGGCACTTCGCATGCGGTGTAGGCAATCTTTCTCCAACAGAGTAGAAAAGGGGGGCAGGGCTTTCGTTTCGAGAATAGCCTGCTGTGCTGGCGCATGCTCTGCCAGAAAAGGGTGAGCTAGAATCTCCGGGAGTCCTGGTCGGAGTATGGGTCGTTTTGACAGAAGAGATTTTATAAGGGGAATCGCTTCAACTGGAAGGTGATCGGGAAAGTTTGGTTCTTCAGTGAGAATCTTTGTACGAGTCACGTTGTCATCATCGTCATCAAAGGGAAGCTCTCCACAGAGCAGGGCGTAAAGAATGATACCCAAACTCCAGACATCCACCTTTTCACCGGCATATTTCTCTCCTTTCAACATTTCCGGAGCAGAGTAGCATATTGTTCCACAGAAGGTCTGCAGATGATTCGTTCGGCCCTCATACTCTCTCGTAAAACCAAAGTCGACCAACTTCACGTTCTCGTGTGTATCAAAGAGGATGTTCTCGAGCTTGAGGTCGCGATGGACGCATGACTGCATGTGCACATAGCTGACGGCGCCGACAAGTTGTGCAAAAATCTTTTGTACCTTGGGCATAGGAAGTGGGCCATGATCGAGTAGATAGTTGTACAGTTCGTCACCTAGAAAAATGGACGTGTTAACTCGCTTCTCGGGATGCGCAAAAGCAAAAGAGTAAGGCAGAGACGGGCTCTGGCGCTGTGTTGTAAGCTTTACCTGCACAATATTCAAGGACCATCCACACCAAATTCTCCGTCACAATAACTTCATACAATCTCGCAATGTGTGGGTGGACAAACTGTCTGTGGTGGTGTATTTCGCGGGCCAGATTAGAGTCGGTTCTATTCGCCGACTTCAACACGACCTGGGTGGCATGATTAGCCAGGATCGGCATGTTACATCCGCCAATGAGAGAGGCACTCACCTTGGAGCCATTAGTGAGCTTATGGGTGGCCAAATACACCTTACCAAAGGATCCTTTGCCAATCAGGCGGCCCAGGGTGTAGTTGCCGACTGATTTGAGATCGTTGCTCGAAAATTCACTGTAGAGATTGAAACACTCCCAGTCAGCAAAGCAGTAAGGCGATAAGGGGAGTGAACCACGAGTCGGCCAACTTACTCTAGGAGCTCCTGGTAGGAATTGGCAAGCTATACAGCACCGCTCAGTTAGCCACACACATCTCTGTCCCCAAGCTTGTGATCTCTTCTCTCCTCCTCTTCCTCCTCGTCCTCCTCCAGATCCGCTCAGATGGAGAGGCTCAACCAACCTTGGCCTTTCGTCCCAGCGCCTCGGCCTTCCCCTTAGCCGTCTGCATCCCTCCTCGTCCGGCGCCCGCTGCGCGAGCTCTCTTCGTCCCAGGTATAGATAGGCAAAGCGACTTCAGGATCCGGGCCCTATGTCTTCGTTCAGCGGCCACAGGGGACGACGACGGGCCGCAACTCGGCGGTCCCCCTTTGCGTATGTGCGGCGTCGGGCTCGGGGTCAGGCTCCGGCTCGGCCTCTGGCGGCGTCAATGCATTCGACGATGTCGTGAGGATCGCGTACGAGGCAGCGTCTTGGAGAGGGCCGAATTGGCGCGTCGCACGGCGAGGTGGTTGAGCAGAAAAACGGTTCCCCGCTGGGGATCGGTCGCAAGAGCTCGAAGCGAGATTGTCTGCGAAAGGCGAGGATGGATTGGGAAATTTCAACATGGGACATGGGACATGGGGTCCGTGACGGTGACTTGACTTGGGACTTGGCCGGGGGGCTGACTGATCACCATCGCTGCAAGTACCTGGAAGCGCAGATACCTTGCGGGCGGACACTGGGTGCCAAGCAGCATGCTAAGGCACGGAGGTGTGCGCAAGTAGCGGTACCTGCGGCTGGGAGTACCTCGTGGGTGGCTCGCCCAGGGTGTTGCAGCGCAGGGGCTACTATTCTTAGGCACCTGCTACCTACCTAGGTAGCAGTTGGAAGACCACTTATTATTAGTACCTACTAAGTAGTAGTAGATAGGTCCTGCTGTGCCAGGTACTGCTACCAATCTCGTAATCCGCAGCGAGCGTGTTGGTTCAACCCGTTATATATAAATACAGCTGCAGAAGTCGCCATCTCTTCACGCGTTGCTCTATATTAAGCTGCTTCCATTGTTGTCGACGATGGCCACCGCGGGATGCCCCGTGCGGAACAGGCACTCGTACCCGGTACTTGCACCGCTAACACCGCCAGGTTTAGGATTGCGTCGCCAAGCAGTGGAACCCAGATGCGCTGTGACATCTTCTGCAGCTGGTAAAGTGGCGTGGGTCGACGTGCTATTCTTGCTTCTTCGCGGGATCTGCAGCAGCACTTTGTTAAAAGGGGGTTTGCTATTCTCTGGGGCTTCTTCAGCTGCTACCCATGCTTTGTGCGTGTAATTCAAATCCTCCACAGTCTGATGTCGGATCATTGGTAGATAGGGATCAGCACATTTTAAGTTCCACGTGGTTCAGAAAAAGAGTTTGCCTAGAGTTTTTCGCAGCTGTTAGTGCTTGACAGTTGCTGTAGTAGGATTTCGATGATGCTCGCATGCCTATAGTAGGTACAATGTTTATATATAAAAAGAAACACGGCTGAATGCAAAGGAAGACTATGAATAAATAACCCCCAGCCAGCGTATATTAGGTATATACAATTTTGTTCATACACGAGCAGCAGGATACTACTCGACTGGCTGCCTTCCACTGTGCCAAATACGACTATCCGATATAATACAGGGTAATACTTACTTATATCTTCGCATGTCACACAAAACATCCCGAAACACCAAAAGAAAAAGATCAAGTTCTTGGGAGATTATTCAGTATGCACATTTCCAATGGCAGTGGCCATAACCACCAAGTCTAAACATAAATAAGCACTTTGCTGTCGCCCTTTTCAAAGGTTTTTCTTTTTCAAAGCCCCCAAACTCCCATCATGATACCAAGCCCTTTTTGAAAAACTCAAGCAACACCCAGGTCTCCCGCCGTACTGTACACTTACAACAGCAGAAACAACAATAAAAGTATTATACACACAATGATGTGATACATGCAATGGTCGTTATCTTTGCCATCAAGATTCGCTTAGGACTGATGAAACCTCCGCCATTACCGTTTCCTTGTGTCTTTGCCCTTCTTTTTCCCTTTTTTCTTGTCCTTTGGCAATTCCAGTTTCGTAAACTTCAGTTCCTCGGTCATAATAGAAAGCATATAGTCGTCAATATTGCCCAATCTTCCGCCCCAAGCATTATACTCCTCGATTATGTCGATGCCGCTCTCTTCCGGGCCATCTAGTATACTAATGCCGCCGTCAAAGATGGATTTACCCGCCGGCGTTCCTTGCCGTGCGGTTGATGTGCCAGAGGCAGGTCCACCCAGCTTCTCCGTAAAGTCAGCATCGTCAGCAAGAATCTCCTTCTCTGCAACACGCGCGGCGGCAACGTCCTCTTTGTCTTCGGCCTGCTCAAAAACGCGACCAACGCGGCGCTGATCATTACTACTTTCAGACCCACCAAGGACTAGATCGAGAGCGGCATCTGCAGCAGCAACGCCTTCGCTCATGAAATCGACTTTCTCGCCAAGGACGTCTCTGACAGAGGGGCGATTGAACGTATCCGTAGTGAATTCTCCCTCCTGGATAACGACATCGTCTAGCATCTGCTTTTGCGATGCCTTGCGAAGAATATTCGCTTCAATGGTATGTTCGCTCACGAGGCGGTAAATATGGACGTCGCGTGTTTGGCCGATACGATGGCATCGGTCCTGACACTGTTTATCCATAGCTGGATTCCAGTCTTGGTCGTAAAAGATGACTGTGTCTGCGCCCGTAAGGTTAATGCCCAGTCCTCCTGATCGAGTGGACAAGATGAAGCAAAGAATGCGTGAATCATGGTTGAAGCGATCAGTCAAAATTTGGCGTTGTTCAACCTTTGTGGCACCGTCAAGTCGTAGATACTTGTGTCCATGAATGTTTAGAAACTGCTCCAGAATGTCGAGCACCTTTGTCATTTGCGTAAAGATGAGCGCACGATGACCGCCGCTCTGCAGCTTGCGGAGCAATTTGTCCAGAGCCTGGAGCTTGCCACAGTCGTATTGGAGAAGACGCTTGTCAGGAAATTGGATAGTAAGACGCATTCGGGCCTCATGCCATGGATCTGAAGGGGGCTGTTTGGGCATAAAGGGCGCCCAACGCACTGGTGCTGATAGCTTGAGGTCTTCGTCCGTAAATGCCTCAATGCCCTTGCGACCTAGAATGAACTGGTCGAGATCTCGAGTCACGACAGCGGGTGTGACGCAAGAAAATTTTTCAATTGTAGTTTTCAAGGAATCGGCTCTCTGGTCGAGAGATGGAGTCAATGCTTGCACAAAGGCTGAGTCGGATTCGAACCAGTCCATGATTTTCCGGGGAACTAGAGGCCGAGGTTTGCGAAGAGGGTTATGAGCGTTAATATTTAGCAATTTAACAACATTGCTCCCGTAAATTGGCCTTTGCTGGCGGCGAAGGGCGTTGAGATAGACACAGTGCTGCAATTCTTCAAAACGTCCCCATCGGGCAGCACTCTCAACATAAGCAATGTTCGATTCCACCGTGCCTGGATCAAGAGTTGTGTAAGCATTTTGCGCTCGGCATTTCTGCGCTTCTCGGAGATCCATAAGTATGCGGTGTGAGCTTAGTTGGGCAATGCTATCAGCCTTCATCGTAGATAGATGCTCGTGCTGTGTTGGTACTAGATTCAAAAAGGCCAAATTGACAGAGCTCATTGGGCTTTCTGCGAAAAAAGACCGCTGCACAGCCCTTACCGTAGCCTGGTAATCGGCAGTTACAGACTTGCGCATGCGGAACGAGGTCATGATAGGACGATCGACAAACAGGTCGGGATGATTGCAGACCTTACGAAGCTGCATCAGACAATTGATAATAGAGAGATAATTCCCAGACGCAAGCGTGTTCCTCGTGTCGCTGCGTGCCAAGAACCCATCGTACAGCTCACGCTGGCGCTTTGATAGCCGGCAGAATTCCACATGTTCATATTTGGCCGGCATTTGCTTCTCTACATCTGCTTTGAGACGCCTGAGAAGATATGGACGCAAAACTTTGTGAAGCTTCCCGATAATGGCTTTCGCTTCGTCGTCCATCTGATCTCTTCCACTTTCCAAAATCTGTGACTCCGGTTTGCGAAACCAGTCATGAAACTCTTGCAGATCTGCAAATCCTCCAACACCATTTTCTGCAGGCATCAGGAAAAAGAGGAGTGACCACAGTTCTGTCAGGTTGTTTTGTAGAGGAGTTCCGGTAAGGAGAAGGCGTGAATGCGTATTGAATCCCAGTAACGTCTGCCACCTCTGCGACTTGAAGTTCTTGATGTTGTGCGCTTCATCTAGGATCATATAGTGCCATCTTCGGCGTCTAAACACCTGTTGATCTTGAAGTACTAGCTGATAGGAAGTAATGCAGACATTCCAAACATCGTCATTGTTCCATCCTTGTCGCTTTCTCTTTCGTTCTTCTTGGGAGCCATAGTAAGCGAGTATCTTGAAACCAGGGCACCACTTCTTGAATTCCATTTCCCAGTTCAACATGACGCTGGTGGGAACGATGACAAGGTGTGGGCCCCAAACTTCGTGACGACAGGCAAGGTGCGCCAGCAGCGCAATGGTCTGAATCGTCTTACCTAGACCCATCTCGTCTGCCAAGATGCCGTTGGTATTGTTTGCATAGAGACCAGCTAGCCAGTCGAGGCCTTGTCTCTGATATTCGCGTAGTGTTCCCCGGAGGAGCGGCGGAACTTCAACTTTGTGAACGGAAGGCTCAGGTATCGTAGCCTCATCAGTGGCAGTGGGCATTGATTCCACTGGCTCAGTCTGTTTCTCCTCTAGAGACATTTCTGTCTGCTTCTCTTCCAGAGATATTTCGTTATTAGATGGCTTTGCTTCCAACTTAGCTTCCACTGTCGTTGGCAATGATGTGTCGCAAGAAGTATCGGAGTGGACATTCGCAAGCTCTGTTTCAGGATGAGCATATTTGTCTGAAGCTGTGGTGCTTTTAAGCTCTTCCGATTTTGACACGTCGCTAGCTGGCGAATCCGCCGGAACATCTGCCATCGTAGTGTCCTGATCAACATTTTCCAACTCCATACCAGTGTGGTCTGAAGGAACGTCCTGCTCCTTGGTTTCATTACCAGGCTGTTGTGCGATTTCCGAGCTGTCTGGCTTGTTATCCACTGCGGGTTTTATATCATTGTTATCATCGCCATTTTCTTTGGCATCGTCGCCGTTTATAGAATCAGGGTGGCGGACGAGCGACATTTCATCGTCATCTTCAAGTTCAGGGTCTGGTTGCGTAACGTCCATCTCAGATGTAAGAACTTGGGTTTCAGCTTCTTCTTGCTCGGGACTTTCAGCCTTTGCTTCATCCTTTGACATTGCTTTAAGCTCCGACTTTCCAAAGAACAGCCCCAGCAGCCCACTGGCTCCGTCTTCGGAACCCGACTCATCACTTGACGCTTCATCTCCGGATTCGCCACTGCTGTTAAAATCAGTTGAACCCAGGTCGTCGTCCATGTCCACTGATTCATCACTGGTCTCGGCATCTGACCCTTCTACATTGCCAGGGGTTTCTGTATTTTCGGCGACCGACTCTGGCTCCTCAGGGGCTACCAACTCAGGTATGTTAGCGTATTTCGCCCGTAGCTGTTCTTGAGTAAGGCCTTCATCTGCTGCGTCCTTCTGGTCTTCATCTTCTTCATCTTCGGAAGAAGACATCACATCGCTATCGTCGTCATCATTGCCGCCATCGCTACTGCCGTCGGTCTCTGCCGAAGCCAGACGCGAATCGTCAATTTCGCCGTCGTCTCCGCTAGCACTGTCACTTAGATCATCAAAGCCATCATCTTCGTCGTAGAGAGATTCAGAATCTACACCCCCAGCGCGTCGAGCCTGCAGCTTCTGCTCCGATAAACTGACGGCCTGGTTTAGGGCAGCCTTGACCCTCTTCTGCTCTTCTGCTTCCCATTGTGCCAGTCGCCGCCGGTTCACCTCTGCACGAACATTTTCCCAGGTACCGAAGAGTGATCTGAGAACAACGCGATAGCGCATCAGCCACACAGCTCTGGCTTCTGCTTCTATCTCTTCAGCAGACTTGGGCTGACGGCGTAGCCATTCCTCACGACATGCTTCAGCAAGCTTTTTAGCTACCGATCGATGCCGTTGTTGCTCTATAATCATGAGCTTTCGGAAGTGGCTTGCGGCCCTTGTCATATGGTCCTGACGAGCCCATTGTCTTGGCGGTTCTTCTTCTCCTTCAGGTGCGAATAGGGAGCATCGTTGTACTGAAAGGAGCCCGCCCGGCTCGACCTCACGCTCAATACGGAGAACCATCCGCGCATCGGTTTGTGCCATTTCGTCCGTATACGGGGGCCCATCCTCAGACATCAGGAGGCCGCCCTCCTCTACCGGAATACTCCCAGCTCGATCCCAGAAGTCATCAAAATCCGTCCCAATTCGTGGTCGTTTGCGTACCTGGTCTGGATGAACCAAGGGAATCACTGTGAGCCGAGGCCCAACCTTCAGCTTCAATCGAGGTGATTTGCCGGAGCTCTCGAACGTATTATGTTTAGTGACGCTGGTCGGGGTATCTGGCGCAATCGCGGCTCCTCTTCGTGTGCGTGTCGAGTGCCTGAGGGATGGTGGTGGGGGCGAAGGAGTTCGTCGACGTGAGAGTCTAGAGGATGATCTAGGTTCGGGGGCAGCACCTCTCCTAGAGGCATATCTCGAATTCGATTCGGAGGGAGCAGGGTGAGCTGGCGTGGTCTTGGTCGTGGGTTTCTGTTTGGATGCGCCTCCTCCTGCAGCCTTGCTGGCTTTGCCGTTCGGCAATGGGTTTTCCTTCAGAATGTTTCCGGCCGATCCATTGGCAGAGTGCCGAGTAGTGCGCTTCGTACTGGGCGGCTCGACTGGGGAAGGCTGCGAATTGATGCGGCCAGATTTGCGCCGTCCGTTCTCGTGGTATGATGTTGGCCCGTCGGCCTCGATCTTCTTCCATGGTGGCGATATGGGCTTCAGCTTTCGAACGGTAGGCGGCGGAGGAGTCGAATTCCGAGTTCTTTGTCTCTTTGCCGGCCGCTCGCCGTCGTTGTCATGATGGTCGTCCATGGCTTCTGCTGTCTGCAGCACGTGGCCATTTGCCTGAGCAGGCGTCGCGTCGTCATGGACATGTCCATTCGCATGGGATTCCGCCACGGCATCTCGGCCCTCTGTCTCGACTGGCGGCGCGTCACTTGCGTCAACGGCGAGGGTTCTGTCCGCTGTTGAGGATGCTAGAGATTCCGCGTCCGGAAGCACATGGTCGGGCGACGCGGTCTCGGGCATAATAGCAACGTGGAGCTAAGGGACGTCGCAGGCTTAATCTCTGTGAGGCTATCATTTGGTGGGGAGAAATGGGTGTCTACGGATTCGTGGCGATTCACCGAACATTCGGACAGAATTTGCACATGATCAGAGGCCTGGGCGGAGAGCTGCAGCGATTTTTGTGAGCAATTCCCGTCTCCTCTGCAAAACTTTTGAACGGGAAGAATCTCGACGGCGCCATGTTGGGTGGTGCGGAATGGGATGAAGGGCACTGGAGGGGTTAGTGTACCTGGAGGGTACCTGAACTACCCATGCTGCAGCTGAAGCTGTGCGGCGCCGGCTGGGCATTTCAGCACTGGTGGGGCTGCTAGCTGTTGTATCCACAAGTATCTGTGTTCTCTTAGGCGGTCCGATACAAATCCCGTTTGCTGCAACGGGCTCTGAGCAGCAGAGGCAACACGGATGCCTGAGGCACAAGCGCCTGCAGTTGATCATCGCAGCAACCTCAAATCTACCAATCTGGTAGTCAGTTGAGGTCATTACACGGAGAGCCACCCCGTTACGCAGCAATTGGGCGCTGAATACCGCAGTCTATCCGCCCAAGGTAAGAGCCACGCTGGTTCTATCAACGCACGAGCATTCGGGCGAACAAATGGACTAATATTTCATCTCTGCAGATGCTCCCGCAACGACTTGTGCGAGCTTCGGCTCTGCGCACCACCCTAGCTGCCAGCCGAAGACTTCCTACGATCCAGCGACGAGCCTTTTTGCCATCCCAATTCTCCGACAAGAAAGTGATTGACGAAAAGTACCCCGATCCTGTGCGACCTAGCGAGGCCGAGGACCCTGGCATGGTGCGTGATGCTTGAGCGCTGTTTGAGCGCTGTTTGTGCAAAGTGTTATGGGAATCTAACTGCTGGCTGTAGAATGGAGGCTACATCAACCCGCCTAAGATCAAGCGACAATTCCGCGACCCCTATGCCACCTGGTGGGACCCTCAGGAGCGACGAAACTTTGGTGAGCCGGTGCACGAGGATAACGATATGCTGGGTATCTTCTCCCCATGGGAGTATACGTGGACTACTACAGGGCCCGGTCTGATCATGGTTGGAACATTCATCGCCGTTTTCCTCGGAGTTTCAGGAGTTGTGTATCTCAACTACCCTGACCTGGTTGCCTACCCCAGAGAGTTTGAGAATGGCTTAGAGCGAGAGCTGGGTGGCCCAGGAGCCGTAAGAGTAAGCTCGACCCGACCTTTTCTCGGCAATATCAATGTGGACGATACTAACTATCATGACTACAGGCACGAATGGCTGGCGATGCTGAGCCATAAGATAAAATGTCAAGTTGTATATAATAAAGAATGAAAAATGTTTCTCCTATCTGACGCTTCCTTTTGAAATTAAATATTGGCGGATAGGGATCCGGATCGCAAAATAAGAAAGAGGAATTTAGATGTTCAAATCTTTCCTTCGATGGTTTACAGTCATTGGGCTGTATCCAGCTGACTGGTTTATGCAATACGACGTTTACTTCTGAATACTCAAGTAGTATCTATACAGGCTTGGGTGTATTGTTGTCTTGGTAGCTAAAACGAGTGCAAATGATGCTCTGCTTATCGTTTCTGTTTTCCAACTGAGCAGACGATGCTAAGCTATACTGATTTCCAATTGCCACGTCTGAGTACTTGCTGTGATGTACCTAAAGCACTTTTAGGCTGATATCCTCGTCGATGACTCTTATGCCAATTCCGTACGGCCCATTATGAGATAATTATTACACCTTCGTAAATGAGAGCATTTCTCCTGTGAAATATTTCCAGTGCATGACGTCGATAATCGCATTATCTCGACAATCTCGCCACTACGTTCCGCCATAAGTGCAAGTCCTGTCAGGGGGGTTTACCAGCCTTCTATATTGAAGGGAGCGACCTCACAACAAAGCCTCCTTACGACTGCTGCAGTAAATTACATGTATTTTGCTCAACATTTTGATCTCTGGAATCTTTATTACTCATGCATTCCTCTAGGCACTCTTTGCCTGCTTTCCTGGCAACTGGAACATCGCAGGAAGCAGCGAAGAAGCCCTCCTTTGAGGGATAAGTGAGTGTTCCGCTCCGTCAGCCCGGGACGTCGGGTGTGCTGCTGCCAATTCTGCAGCTGCTCGCTACTTGTCGAATTAAAAACCAGCGGCCTTAAAGATGGGCCGATAGCGTTGCCCTGCCACTTGATACTCGCCTTTCCTAAACATGTCATATTGACAAACTTGATTCTCCCCTGCCTAACCCATCCTTGGAATAGCAAAACGGCATAGTTGGACTCTCCAGGGCCTTTTGCTTGAGGCATCTCCATCGCATCAGTTTGGCCTTTTTTTTCTATATTTTTCTGGACCTAACGGCTGTGCATTTTCAATCCCGAAGTTGCAATGCGGTTCGACGATTGGGATATTCTGCTCTTCCCCAGAGATTGCAAAGTGCCAGTCAAAGAGTTCAAAGTTGCCTGTCATGCGATTCACGATACCGGTATGTGATATTAACTCATTGCTGCTATCTTGTATCTGCACTTGATCATTTGCCCGGGCGTTGTTTTATATATGACTTGGCTAATAATGGTAGAATTCTTCAACTCGCACGGCTCATTTGGGCTGCCCACAGTCTGCGGTTTCATTCCGAGTTTAGCTGCTGGAACTCCTTTCCAAATTTCAATCCATTCTTGGTCTGCTCCGTCTGTCAGCCAATTTACCAGGTGTTACAGTAAATATGGTGAATGTGCCAACTTCGAGGCTCGAGTGTTTATCGACGGGCAACTGGTTGCGTATGCAGATGATTTCGCGTTGACTGCAGCCATAGCTTGCTAATATGTGCTTTCTTTTCAGTTCTGCGTCTCTCGATAGAGAAAGTGATTGGCCACACGTTATTATTCACAGTTTTGGTATGGACAAGGGCCCCGGCAGATATTTTTGTAAACGAAAAAGCTGTTAACTCACTGCCACTCCAGGAGTTTCAAAGAGCGGAGATCTAGAGCCTCTTCGGTTCCCAAGCTTTCGTCAGGAGCTTCTTCGACAAAACCATTGGAACCCGGCCGATGATTTTGGTCGGATCAAAATTGTAATCAGCGAAGGGTTTCCCCGAGACTCTCTTTCTATGCCTATTGAACGGGTTAAGAATGTTGTCGCTTTCTCTTTTCAACATGCGCCTCTCGGTAGTTTGATCTAATTCTTCCCTGAATAAGGTGTCACACAACGATGCTAACAACGTACCATTGGTTTTCAGAAATTCTTGAAGCTTCCGGCATCGCCTGGCCAAACCCATCAATGTGGAGACGAATTCCAGTTGCCACATCGATGATGGTCCCCGTCTACCCTTCTGACGACACTGAATCGCACGCTCACTCGCCGAGAAGAAAGCATAGCCGAACCAATGCAGGGCTGACCAAATCTTCGACAGAAAATGTCCATAGGATTATAACCAATCGGCCCCTTCGACATGGGCAGCGGAAATCTAGTATACAGAGCGGCAGCAGTCGCTCTACTTCTGGGAGCACCAGCACCGGCACAATGGAGACTGTTAATGATTCGGATGCATATTTTGAGTGGTTGAACGGTATGGGCCTCGGCATGCTTGATATGTATCGACTTGGACAACAAGAACCTTTCCCGGAAATAGGACACAATGAAAGAGAATTATCCAACGTCCACGCCCAGGGCCACATGCCAGGTAAATCATCTTACCTGGGCCAAAGATTTGACTTGCATGAGCTTGGAGACGAAGAAGGAAGCGATAATGTTGGGTACTTGGAAATGCCCAGTGAAGCGCTGAATTTCGAAACAGCATATAGCCAAGACATGCAAGGTACGGATGGAAAAAAAAGAGCCGAATTTACATTTGATAATGACCTTGGCTATGAGCGCATAGGGCTATTTCTGCCTCGGCTTCCGCAAGATAATTCTTTATCGATTGATTTGCAAAACACTTTGGCACATTCCCTGCTTAATCAACCAATGCCTGCTCATATGCTGGCTAACAGTCTTCATACTACCCCTATTCCGGAGTTGAGGCTACCCAGAGAAGACTGTATCCCTCAAACGGCGGGCCCTTCCCCTTCAACCGCGTCCTCAGCCTCAGCTTCTCTAAAAGATCAATGTGAAGCAGGCACGGTTGCATAATATCCTTATACAGCACATAAAGCCAACCTGCAAACAGGGTCATTTGGCTCCAGAGTGCATAGATCAACCCATTCGGACATCAATCGGCATATGTCTTCTGTTCTATCTGCTCTAGAAAGTGGATCGATGGGGGAGCTTGCTATGGGAATATGGTAACGCATACGGAGGATAAAGGAGCTAAAAGGAGCCGCGATTTGACTTCGACACCTATAAGTGGTGCAAGAGTGATGATGATCAAAAGAGATCGAGCCAAAAAGCTCACGTCACGGCATTGTTAGAACATAGCCCAACTACCAACTGCCAGTGAACAAGTCTATTGACAGTTGTTGATTCTTGTTCTGCCATTGTATCCACCCGCACATAAGCGTATGGATCAAGCGATGGGGATGTATTAGAAGAGATGTTCTAGTGGGATACTTATTTCGAGGCGACTTGTCATTTTTCAGGTATTAGATTAGGACAACTTCTAATGAAACTTCTTGCCACACATGCAGATGCATTATTACCTATGTGAGAGAGCTAGTCGAAACGCGTTGCAGAGGACTTTCATTTGCAATTCGCACAGCCCTTGGGCCGAGAGAATTTGTTGTTTACTATTGTATAACGTGTGGGTTAGTAGATCTGGGAAGATTCCAAGCTGCTATCTTTATATGTCGGTATGCAATCTGCGAGTCAATTGATAGTAATGCTCCTGTTGAGTGCTCCAGAAGCCGACATCTACACAAGGCATCTAATTATCCGTATCCTTGATATGGAGAAGTCACAGCCCTAACATCAAAGAAGTTACTTTGGTTTTTAGTCACCTTGAATCAGGGGACAAGACAGTGCTTGGCTCGAATTTGCCACCAACTGGGCGCGTAGTTCAACAATGCCACTAACCACGCAAGAACAGAATTTGAGTTATTGTTATATGCCACTAGCTGGAAGAGGGATGGTTCTGTCAGTTGGTAAGACTTGACTTCAATTATATCAGCACCTAGTTTTTGGAAGCAGTTTGCCATTTTAGGAGCTCAAAGGAAGAAAACTCAAATAATAATCACGTACACAGAGCAAAATAGCTGCACACACGACACCGTATCACAGTAGCTTGTCCGCCGCTATTTATATTGTTCGGATGTGTGTGCATGTTTCATGCGAACCCTACCATTCTAGGCTCCGCTGGACTTCGCTTCGAGGGTATCGAACTGTCCAGAACTGCCGATTCCATGAACCGGCCGCGACGATGGGGAAGATCCCCCTTGCACGGAAATTACGACGGTATAGACACATGATGGCTTAATTTGTCTTGATTCGGTGGTAAGCCGGTGAGATTCCTAGCGCAAATCGGATGTTCCATGATGATGGTTCCTGGAAGACCTGAAGAAAATATAGACCGACGGAAGCATTTCCGAGGATAACATACAAAGTTGAAGTACACACACCCGGCATGATGTGACGGTATTTCAGTTTTGTACGCCCCGGATGACAAAGGCCTGTTGGTGACTGGCTTGGCGGTGGCTTGGTGGCGTTCGGTGACGCGGGGGATCTGAGGGTATCGGAGATGCGTAATTTCTTAGACATGGCTTTGTAGTTAGTGAGCATTGCGGCGGAAAAAAAAAAGAGAAGCAATATGGGGGCTAAGTAGGAGATATAAATGAAGACGGTGGGAGCAATGAGTCTTACATTGTTAGTGTTGTGTTCAGCACTTGTGTACTTTCATGCTGCGACTACCTATACAGGGAGAAGTCGAAGTTTGAATGGAATGTGGGAAGTAGGACTGTCGAACCCGTATTAACTTGGGCACTTGCTTGAACGGCACACCTCATCCTCCTCTTTAGCCTTGTTGCCGTCACCATGGGCACACATCCAGGGCCGAGGCTATCCCTCGACCTATCCAAGTATGAGAAGCTCGATGCGGTCCAAGTAGGACACTTGCGGCATTACCATAATCTAGTTAGCCAGATGGATGGCGAATGGCATCACATGGGCACTCAGGAGCCGATGCAGGAATTTCTAGATGCCTACCGCTACCAGCTCGCCATCATGGCTTACGGCGTTGGAGCCGCTCATTATCATCGCACGCCTGCGCTGAGAAGCACATACAAGATTCTCTTGCGCCGTCTAATTCACAAGATGTTGCGGCGTGAAGTTTGGGCTTACTGGTTCACAACTAGCCTTTCAGGAAATCGGACAGATCCTGGCCGAACGCAACTGAGGACGCCTTGGGCAGATCCTGTAGTGAAAGAAAATATCATGTATAGCGGCCATCTCTTGATGATGACCAGTCTATACGGCATGCTCTTTGACGATGATGAATTCGAGAAGGGGGAATCCCTGTCGTTTGTCTGGGATCCTCTGTTTTTTGGACTTGGGCCGGAGACGTTTTGCTATGATAATCGCAGCCTACAAGAAGCCATTATTCGTGAGATGGAGAGGAATGGCTGGATTGGCGTCTGCTGTGAGCCAAATTTGGTATTTGTGGTTTGCAACCAGTTTCCTGTAAGTTTGTCCCTACGGATGCGCTGTATGAGAGTGGCCAATAGCTGAGAGGCTGTGACAACAGATTATCGCTATGAGATACAACGACGCCAGAGACGGCACCGACGTCTCTGAAAGGGTTTTGGAAAAGTATAAGGCGGCTTGGGATGAGAAGGGCATGGTTGATTCAAGCGGCTTATACGTCGACTGGTATTTTCTTCGGCAGGATAGAACACTGGCCCCGAGAAATATTGGCTGGACTGCATGGTGAGTGCCGCTCATTCTATCTCCTAAAAGTGTGTTATTTCTACCAGTTACTAACACTTTTTCCCCAAGGGCAAACGCCTATATGAATACGTGGAACTCAGAGACTGTGAGGTCACTGTATGACTCGCAGTCATATGGTTTCATCACCACCATTGATGGCGAGGTGCAACTCCACGAAGAGAAAATCGCCCTTGAATACCGCAAACTTGTTGATACAGAGAACGCAAACAAGAACGACGCTGCTGTCCTTGCTCGGGCTCGAGCCAATGCCGCTGTCCTGCCGCCATCATTCCCTTTCTCTAAACCAACGTTTGGTTATGTTGTTCAATGGCTATCAGAACTAGGCAAGCAGGAGGAGCTGGATGGTTTGCTCAAGTACGCCGACAAGCATCTACAGCCTACGTGGGAAAACGGCGGCCTCTTTTATCCCAGAAACGACGACCGAACGAACGACGCTGGCGAGTGGACGCACATGGACCCCTTCTCTGGCAATGCGGCGATTGGATATGCGCGTCTCAATGTGCCTGACGGACAGAAGAAGATGTGGGACAATCCACGAAAGCGAGGCCATGCGGCGACACAGCCGTGGATTGATGGCATCGAGCTGGGCCAGGGCATTGACTGTCTGCGAGGCGTTTGGGACAGCGAAGAGAGCGCTTTGGTGCTGACGATGAAGACGTGGGATGGGAGAATAGTCACTGCAACTCCTGTGGCGACCAATTTGCCGGCAGGTGAATGGACTGTGTTTGTGAATGGAGAGCTGGTGCAGCAAGAAACTCTTGATAAGGGTGGCGACTTGAGGGCCGAGGTGAGAGTTGGCCGTGAGGAGGTAGATGTTGTGTTTAAGCGGGTTGTTGCGGATTGAGTGAAAGGGTTGGCGTTGGACGGATTGTTACCCTGTATTCTTATGTCGATGTTTTTGATGTCAAGTTCAGTAACCTATAGAATAATAGGAATAGAGCACCCGCTGATTAATGTTCTTTGCATTGCATAACTGGTTCGAATTTCGCCATCACTTTTATGTCTTTGAAGAATTCAGGCAACAAATGAGTGCATGTGGTCTCTTTTTAGTGCAAGACGTCATCTGCACCTCCAACAGTTCTTTTAGCTCTTAGCTTGGGTAGATTCAGGCACCCGATATTAGCAGCTTAGTTTCTCAGCAACAAGCTGCAGCAGAGCTCCATCAGCGCCAAACTGAGACAAAGGAAAAGGCAGCTTGGCTCGGGCTATTGGATTATTTTTATACAAGACATTTTCGAAGGCATCACGTAATATAGTGTCCAGGATCCGAAATGCAAATACATAGCGGGCAGCACGGTCACGTGGATTGCTGGTCAATTGGAACCGCGTGTAAGCGGCCGAAGCTGATCTCAGTTGTTTACATCACCGCTCCTGCACTCTGAGTTGGAGATTGCCAGGCTCCGGCAGAATAAGATGCACTGGACTTCAGCAATTGTGTTCCCGGCGCTGTTGGCGCTTAGTGCAGCGCAGCAGCAGCGCCCCCTTTCAGAGGCCAATCATCATTCTGGCTCATCGCAGCATGCCAGCGCAGACGCTCCATCTTATCGGGGCGAGGTGCTCCAGCTCCTTGAGTCACTGGTTTCCATTCCATCTATCAGTGGCGAAGAGAACGAGATTGGCGGCTTTCTTGTTGATTACCTGAAGCAACAAGGCTACCAGGTCGACATTCAATTCGTCCCTCCGCCAAAGGACAAGCCTGATGTGCCCGATAGATTCAATATCTTGGCATGGAATGGAGATCGCAAGTCTAACTACAAGACGCTGGTGACGAGCCATATTGACACGGTCCCTCCTCATATTCCATGGGAAATCGAGAGTGGAGAGATTTCCAAAGATACCGTCATTAAGGGCCGTGGAACAACTGATGCCAAAGGCAGCGTTACTGCCCAGCTTGTGGCGGTGAACCACCTACTTTCGACGAATAAGGATGTTAACCCTGAGGATATAATTCTGCTCTTTGTTGTTTCGGAGGAGACATCTGGCGAGGGAATGAGAGCCTTTAGCGATTCGCTCCGGCATATGAACCCCCCTCTTTCTTTCGACTCTGCCATCTTTGGCGAGCCCACCGAGAACAAGCTGGCCTGTGGCCACAAGGGCGCTCTCTTCTGCACTGCCGAGGCCAAGGGCAAGGATGCCCACAGTGGCTATCCCGAGCTGGGCAAGTCAGCCAACGAGCTGATGATCAAAGCTATGAACAAGATCTTTGAGACAGATCTGGGTTATAGCCCTCTCTTTGGCAAGACAACATTCAACGTCGGCCGATTTGACGGCGGTGTGGCTTCTAACGTGGTTCCTGCGAGGGCCTGGGTAGACATTTCGGCCCGTGTTGCTGTTGGGTCGGAGAAGGAGGGCCAAAATGATGTGCGGAAGAAGATTTACGATATTCTTCAGGAGACTGACCCCGAAGCTTTCACTCTAAATTGCTCTCACGGATATGGGCCCTATGAAAGCAACTGTGACGTTGAAGGTGAGTCTATGCGATGTAACCTCTGCAATTTGTGCAATGATTTTAATCTGACCTTGAGTTTAGGATTTGAACAAATTGTTGTCAACTATGGAACTGATATTCCGAATCTGGAGGGTGACTATGTTCGGTATTTGTATGGCCCGGGCAGCATTCTCGTTGCTCACGGTGACCATGAGTACATCACCGTTGGCGACTTGGAGAAGGCGGTTGAAGACTACCAGAAGCTAATCCTTCACGCCCTGGGCCAATAAAGGATCTTTCAAAGTTATGGCCAGGTAATTTTAAGAACTTGATTTATTTTGGATACTAAACTATATGTGTCAAACATTACTTAATGAAACTGTATATCAACGCTGGTCTTTTAAACCTGAGCCGTTACAAATGGTATCTACGCTTGAGATGCCTATGCTCTATTTCTCTGCTTTTATGTATCCCTATACTCTTTCGTTAATCTTTCGTTAATTAGCCACCTTGGCCCATCGTTCAGGTAGAATCTTGCTAAAGTCAAAGGTGCCATCGGGCCCCTTCTCCACAGCACCCTTCTCTGTCACGACGACATCAATGAACTCAGCAGGCGTAACATCGAATGCAGGGTTCCAAACGTCGATTCGCTGGTCAGCTGTCGCAACGCGAACCTTGTTCTCTCTATCCACCTGGCCATCAGATCCAACAACCGCACCAGTGATCTGTGTGAGCTCCTCCTTCTTGCGCTCTTCAATCTTGATGCCGTCGCCGGTCTTAGTCTCCAGGTCGATGCTGGTAGTCGGGGCGGCCACAATGAACTTGATGCCGTGGTGTTTGGCTAGAACAGCCAACTGATAGGTGCCGATTTTGTTTGCGGTGTCACCGTTGCGGACAACGCGGTCAGCTCCTACGATAACAGCGGCAATGTTGTTTTCCGCCTTCTTGGTTCGGAAGAGAGCAGCGGCCATGGAATCTGTGATGAGTGTGCTGGGAATGCCCTCGTGGACCAGCTCGAATGCTGTCAGACGGCTACCCTGGTTGTAAGGTCGAGTTTCGGTGCAAAAGGCATGTTTGAGAAATCCCTTGTAGTGGAGCGTGCGGATGATTCCAAGGGCTGTTCCGTGGCCTGAGGTGGCGAGCGCACCAGTGTTGCAGTGTGTCACCACGGAAATCTTTTGCTCCGTCGAAGCGCTAGCTTGGGACTGTAGCCACTGAGTGCCAAAGTCTCCTATTGAGAGGTTGTTCTGGAGATCCTTCTTGAATATTCTCTCTGCCTCTTCGATGAATGCCTCGATAATGGCGCTTTGTCCCTTTCCTTCGGCGGTTCGGATGATTGCCTTCAGCTGGGCAATGGCGTTGGACAGATCGACGGCTGTTGGTCGGCTTTCTTTTAAGTAATCCAATGCCTCATCAATGCGCGTAATGAGCTCAGCGTCTGAAGTGGCCGCAATGGGGTTGTTGTGTAGCTCAACAGCGAGGCCCAAGCTGGCTACGATGGCAATGGCTGGGGCGCCTCGGACTCGCATAGTCGCGATGCTGTCAAAGGCCTCTTGTCGAGTCGAGACGGGATCATAATGGAATTCGTGGGGCAGGCGAAGCTGGTCGAGGACCTCCAGCTTGCCTCGCTGGTACTTTACAGCTTCCAGGGCCGACATTGTGAAATTGTGCAATGATTGGATTTGTTTTCCTGGTGAAAGATGTTCTGTCGGACTTGCGCCTCAGTTTTTTTTTTCCCTTTTCACATGAAAAGTGTCTGGCGCAAATGCGTCATGCCCCTCCAAGAATTCGAATTCTGCCACACCCCTCCTTGCCCACTAACATGCTTTAGAGCCGCCACGTTTGCTGCTGGATGGCTTGCGTGCTGAGCACCTCTTATAGTACCATTTTTCTGGTATGTAAATTTTTTTTTATTCTGTTTGGAAATATTCTAGAAAATTGCACAAAGGAAATTTGATATCAACTATTACCTAGGTATGTAGCGTTTTACAGAAAGAAGAAGCCTTCTTCAAATTCCAGTCGGATATACGCCTTGTTGCGCTCTGTGGTGTCGCTGCTTCACCGCCCGCCATCCGGAGTAACACAAATTCCGCTTAGATGAAGCTCCAGAGCTGCTATTGGTAGCTGCGGAGGTCCAGGGGTCATCCTTGTCGTCGATGCACCTCGACCATTGCGGCCAGCACCGCTGTCGCATTGACATCCCGCACCTCAGGCGGTCGACAATGCGAAGGACAGAGACGACCCGGTTGCCATGGAACAGCAGACCTCGACTTCAACGGTAACAGGTGAGACGAGCATTTGCGAAGAAGAGCTCTGAATCTCACGGTCAACTAACTGCATTGCTCTATAATACACGCAGTCGAGTACTTCGATCCCCACGATGTTTACAAGCTCCTGGCCCCAGGGCTAGTCCCCCGCCTGCCCCTTCATAACCTGCATTGGCAGTCTCACTCCGGACCGCTTCGATCAATCGATACGCTGCACGTTGAGCTGGTTCGAGGAAGCCTTGAAATCCCGGAAGCCACGTTATCCCCCAAAGCGCGACGGTCTGGCAGTGTCTCGAGAGGTGAGGATGTCCTGCGGTCACGTAGCGTTAGTGTCTCTACGGACTCGGGCAGAGCTCCGCCATCTCTTCGCTCAAAAGCAAGCGGCAATCTACGACGACATCAGATTCCAGGACTTCGCCGAACGCCATACCTCAAGCTACTGCTAGTTCGATGCGACGACAACGACTCTTACAAGAATTCGGTGCGAGCCGAGGTCCGAGAATGGATCAAGAACCATACTTCGCCTGCGACTTCTTCGAAGAAAGGGAGTGGCCAAGAGAACCATGATGCGTTCGAGTGGCTTATTGTTCATGTTGTCATCCCTAATACCGCAGCGTCGACTCAGCCCAGAAGTAGTGGGAAAACGGACAGCACGGAGAAGATTACTACATCGAGATGGCGGACAGGGACAACTCCCCTATTAGAGAAGCTCCGATCCGATTTCAACACAACAAACAAGGGCGCTCCAGATCGCGTTACGCAGATTAGAATCGGTATTAATGATGTGCCATATGACCTTTTACCTAGAGTGGTTCCAGCAGTGCCATCAGGCTACACTGAAACGGAGCAGGATGCCGAAAATGCCTGGAATGATTTAATAGGGAAAATCAAAAGTCAAATTCTGACCTCCTTCGACATGCGAGTGACCCAGTACGAGGAAGATATTCGGGAAAAGGATGCTCAACGAACTCTTCCCGGCTGGAACTTTTGCACATTCTTCATTCTCAAGGAAGGACTGGCGAGAGGCTTTGAGAGCGTTGGTCTTGTCGAAGATGCGTTAGTAGGGTATGATGAACTCAACGTTGGGCTGGATACTGTTATACATGAGCAGCTTGAGACAGGCTCGCCGGAGAAACACGGTGGTGAGATGGCGGCTTTTACGGAAGAGCTCAGGGATATTGCAGAGCGAGCATTGGAAACTGCTACGAAGGATAGTAGCGACGAAGAAGGCGGTGATACCGAGTCGAACGCGGCAGGACCGCGGTTTGGAGAGATTGCCATCAGTTCCACAACAAAGGCATATCGAGACATGATTCTTGCGAACAAGGTATCCGTCTTCGATTTTAGATGTTACATCTTTTCTCGCCAGATTGCCTTGCTTCTGAGACTGGGAAATGCGCTGTCATCCAAGGAGGAACTAATTGCGATGCTTAAAACCCAACAAAAGGATATTCTCTATGGCGAGGCACCACTAGCAATGCCGCCGCCAAATCAAAAAGACGAACCGGAGAATCTCATAACTTTTGCGGACATATGCCAGAGGACGTTGCAGTTTATTCCCTCAGTTTCGCAGATATTGCGACAAGATATCATTGTGGGATTGACAGCCAACAAAACGCCGAGCAAGAAAGCACCAAAATTGAGCCCCCAAGCGGAAGAGACGATAGATAACATGGTGGCTTCGTTTGCCTTTTCTGTCGCTCAGCAAATCCTTGCCCAGACCTCTACAAAAGCACTTCCAATCCCGCCATCTTCGCTGTCTTATGGAGATGGACTCGAGCCAAAATCTTCTATCCCAGAACCAAAGACGATGATACATCCAGCCCGGAATTCGTCGCTCTCTCCAAGGTCAGGGATACCACCACCTCCACTCAGCCCAGGTTTCTTTCCAGGGCCTGGCAGACAGTTACCTGCCGGAGGCGATGCAAAGGGCCCGAATGGTTTTCTTAAAACCGGCTTGGAGGATTTGGCTGCTCGACGAGCTGAGTTATACTTGCTGTCTAGAAGCATCCTCTCGAGTCTCGGCAAGAAACGGAGCTGGAGTGATGGTTGGAATGAAGCTCCTTTGGTCAGGGGAATTGGCATTGATGACATGGAAGATGTCAATTTGGATGAAGATACCCATGATGGTGAATCCGAAACCACTTCTTCATCAAAGGGCGCCTACTCTCCGCTGATGTCTGGTATTGACAATACGGTGCTGCGGACTGCAGTCGACAACAAGGATGATTTCTACCGGCTGTTTGAGATCCTTACAGATAAAGCCATGCGCCACTATACCGTGGCCAACCATGATCATGCAGTTCACTCAAGCATGGCAGATTTGGCAGTGTTGAAAGTTCATTTGAAAGACTACAAGGCCGCTTCGTCTTATTTCTCTCTCACTACACCTTTTTTCGGAGAAAGCGGCTGGAGCTTGCTTGAGCTGTCAATGCTTATTATGTACTGCCAGTGCTTGGATGAGGTGAATCCAAAGGGCGAGCATGTTGGCGTGGCCTTGAAACTCTTGACTAAATACTGTTCTGCGGAGAAAGAGCGGCTACAGAAAAAATCCGGCTTCCTTAGTTTCCCAAAAGATAAGGGTTATCCTGATGCGTGGCCAGTCACTGGTATAGTAGAAAAGCTTACAAAACTGGCCAAATCGTTATCCAAGGAAGTCAAGGTTCCCTTTGAGAGCTTCTTCACCGACGTGGAGATTAGCGGATGCCCAGAGTATGAGGATAACCAAGATGGCTGCGCTCTGAATGTTAACATCAGGAGCTTACTGCCAGAAGAGATCTCTTTTGACACCGCAAAATTGCGAATTACGTCTGTTGACGAGGGGCCAAGCAGAGAGCGCATGTTTGAAGCGGCAGCTGGTTCAACTATAACGCTGAAACCCGGAAAGAATAGGATACGAGTGGACTGTAAAGTAAGTTGATCCAGTCATTTATAGCATGATGCGCAAAGTGCTAACAACTTTTCTTCTTCTTTCAGTCTGTGGCCGCGGGACGTTATAAGATAGATCGAATAGTCCTTTCGTCGACAAACATCATGTTGCACTTTGAGCGTGATGTAAACGCCTCTACATCCAGCGCAACAGATATTTTGAAAAATTCCGATGTTATGCTATTCCAGCGTTCCAGCACATTTGATGTCCTCATGTCAGCAACCAAACAAACGTCTCTGGACAAGAACAATTCCATTGACCTGGCCATACATACGGGATGGAACTCTATCAAGAATTGCGAGATCCGGGTGAAGCCAGCGACTGGAGGTCTACGATTCTTAACAACCGAAGCAACAATTCTAGACTCTGGGGTGGACTTTGCCAAACCACCTGAAGCTGGCGTATTTTGCTTCGATGCAATTGCTGCCAACAGTGTGGTGATTGTACGATTCCCATATTCTGTCGAGCAAGACGTTGCAGATGTTTTGGCCAAAATCGAAGCTACATATGTAACGGAGGCGGATGATACGTTTCGACTGGCCAAATCCTTATCAGTGCCTGTCGCTTTGGCAGTTGGCGTTAATGTTCAAGATGTTTTCAAGCACCAAGCACTTTTCTCTCGGTTTAATATTTCTACAGCATCCGTCAGCCCGCTGCGATTATACAGCAGCGAGCTGTTGAGTTCAGATCTCTTCGAATCTACGTCTGGCGTTCCTCCTGCAAACCCCGTTCTCATATTCCCCAAGCAACCCGCAAGTTTATTGTTCAAGGTAAAGAGGAAAGAAGGGGCGAAGCCGAACAATAAGGGTGGTAGGACCATGTACCTTAAGCTTGATTACAGCTTACTAGAAGTTGAGATGGAGGAGCTGATGAGGCTCTCTCTAATGACAGCTTTTGAAGGAAGCCCCCTGGCTCAGTATTCTAAGCTTGTTATTTCAACAGTTTGGGGCGAGTTCAAAAGCAAGTTGTTACCACGAGACTTTGAGCAAGCTACTATCAAGGGAGAGATGACAACCGAAAGCTTGAAGGCTGTAGCATGGGAGAAACACTTTGCTGGAATCGGCGGAGCTCCAGGGGCCAGCGAGCATGCGGCCGAACAACTCTCAATATTTGTTCGAACTTGGCAAAAGGACAATAGCCGTCTTGTCATAGCAGCAAGCGGCACAGTCGACCAGTCATCGATTCTCATTCCGGTAGAGATCCCAGCTCTACCAGTTCTCCACACGGCAGACATCCATCTGCAGAGCCTCATCCCCAGCCCCGTACCCAGCAACACCAGTGGGGGCCTCCCAACAGTGTGTACGAATCAGATGCTCCCAGCCACTCTACATCTCAAGTGGACGCGGATCTGGGACAACGACTCATCAGTGCGTGACGACCAAGAGTTTAGCTATGAGGTCACGGCGCCGGCGGATACATGGCTTCTGGGTGGACGCAGAAAAGGCCATTTTGTGATCCCGGGACCTTCAGCGTCATCGCCGGCGGAGACCATGACGTCAACGCCGGAGACTGAGGCTGAGATTCCATTGATCATGATTCCTCTGCGCGAAGGCTGGCTCCCCTATCCGCTTATCGAGATCAGAGAGGTCGTCAACGCAGACGGGGATAGTGGTGGTGGTCAGGCCACTATGGCTCAGGGATGCGAGGTGGACTTGAGGAATCTGGGCGAGACGGTGCGGGTGGTAGGGGATAGGAGCGGCATGACGGTGAGCCTTGACGCGAGCGGCCCTGGAGGGGGCCCGTTGGTGTTTGAGAGCGAACGGTTGGCTGGGTTCAAGGGGAAAATCGTCGAGTGAGTGCCATCATAGACTTGGGTGATCTTTTCTTTCTTACACCAGAGATACAACATACGCAAGGTTCTGAGCTTGGTTGGCATGGAGGTTATTTGATTAGAGTTACAAGGTTTGGCGAGGGTTGCCCGTTGCTAATAGTAGATACGTTGACCGTCTTTTCCGTCTTGTGTATGCGGTAATGTCATACTGTAGAATTAAGAAAGCAAAGAAAGCAAGCATAACCAAGTTTATGACGGCCGTTTTGAGGGTGCTAAAGTTCCGATCATCCGTTTGGCTCGGCCATCGGTTATTACAGGCGGTATCGATTCAGTTAATGATCTTCATTGGCAAGGTTTCGAACCAATTGCTAGAGTAAAGCTCGGCAACGCAGGGATGTTATAGTAGGAAGTACACAGGTACAGTAGCATATGTGAGAAGTTGGCGTTATAAGCAAGGGTCCTAACCAAGTGATGGTATGTGGTGTGACTATTCAATTCGGTCCATGTTCTTGTTAAACCAATCCATGTAAAAGAAGCACAACCAACGGTTTTTGCGTCAGCTGTGGACATGAAATGACGACCAGGCTCAGGCTATCTGTTTGGTCCCTCTTACTGTACATCTTAGCTTACCTTGGGTCCCGAAACGTTCACCATGTCGATCAGTTCCGTTTCTGGGCTGCTGCTTTTTGCTTTGCCCCCACCCTTGTTATGTACCCATTGAGATGGGCGTATGTAGTGCTCGATTAAGGTAGTGGGCTCTACAGTATGTACGAAGTATCATGTGTAATGTGCACATGCTAATGCAGTTCTACATGCCGGACAAGGTCAGGGCTGGCTAGAGAGTTAAGGAGAAGCTACTAATTACGCTACATGATGGCGGGCACGCAGGCAAGCAGCTCGGCTGTGCTCCATAATAGCTTTTTTGTGCTAGGGGAAAAGAATGGTGAGCTCCTGAAAGGCAAAAAGGATGGAAGAGCAGGAAGAAAGTATAAGCAGCTTCGTGTGGGGAAAAGCCAAGGCGGAAAAAAGAAGAAAAAAGAACCACATCGTTCCCTACCTAGTTTGTCGAAACTGTCTGGATATACCTACTGGACACACACCCCTTACTCATTTTTTGGGGGGTTGAGGGTCGTATGCCCTATGTTCAAGTCCTGTGTACAAGTCATATATGTAAGGGAGTTGAACCGAGCTCGGAGATTGGGCTACAAGTTGCATCGGCAGTGCAAGTGTAAGTGGAAAGTGTCTGGTGCGCATTGTGTATGTACATGCTGCATATGCGTGGCGTTGCGTATCCATGCGGTATATGCAGCAGGAATGGCTTGTGATTGTGGCTATAGCGTTTTGGCCGTGAATAGGCAGTATTGTATGTAGTTTAGGTATGTTTATTGCATGGATGTAATCTACCTGATGCGGTGATTCTCACTGTAGCTCATGAAGGATCACTCCCAAGTTGTCTATCTATGTACAAGGGAACCCCATGACATGCATCAGAGGCACCTCACGCAACACCAAGCAGCCAAGCTTCACACACACGCACACACACACACACACACATATACATACAATCCTTCACACTGTCTCAAAGTACAGAGTACAGTTGTTTGCGACGCTAGAGAATACAGTACCCGTGCAAACTGTGGCCCTTTTTTATTTTTATTTTTATTTTTATTTCTATTATAATTTTATTTTCTTTAATTTTTTTTTTTTTTTTTTTTACCATTGCGCCACTGGGCAGGGATTGCGGCCCCCTTCACTTTCGCTTCTTCAGACACACACACACACACACACACGCAGCGTCGCATGCAGGACTCGAGTGCAGAATCGGTGACACACACGACAAAAGTGAAAAGACAGCGGTATGTGAAGAATCCGATGTGCGATGTACAACCGGCTGGGTGGTTTATGGTGTAGCGCATGAAAAAAGAGAGAGAGGCACGAGGAGATGTGACTTTCTGACAAACACCAATCTTTGACTATAATTCTCAACAACAGCCTTTTCCACTTACTTGCGAGTACATACACACATACAGCAGTGCATACAGCAGTTGGGCCATCTTGAAACGAACCACCACCAGAATTGGACATGATTAGCCATCTACTCCTCCCTTTCTAGCAGCAACCCAAAACCTGCATATATCGGCTTTTCTGCTACCGCACCCGGTACACAGCTCCAGCGTCTTCCGGTTGTGAGAAGGAAACCAGCCAGTGGTAGCTGTACACTAATATAGCCCCCCCGCATTTACACAGCACTATCAGGTCCCCTGTTCAGGCAGTACAGCAGGTAAGGTTAGTAGGCAGCTCAGCTCTCAGCAGCAGCAGCAGCAGCAGACTCGCAATTTACGTAGCAGCTTCCTCTACAGCAGGTCTCCAGACCCCCCCAACCGAACCCAACCATTTTTTTTTTTAACGCTGCTGGTCCCTGTTTTTTTTTTCTTCAGCAAGTACTTACAAGCAGTAGTATCTTACAAGGCAAAGTGTCTAATACAAATCTTTCCATTGCCGAAACCCCTCACACCCAATCAACCTTCACACACAAAGAGAGACATCAAAAAGGGAGGCAAAACAACAAGAAGAACGAAACGACGTCATCCTCGTAACATTGTATTCCCTCTACTGCTTCCCCATCGTCGTCACAGTAAGGGGGGGGGGGTCCCGCCCGCCTTGCCCTGCGCCTCAGATCTTCACGGCCAGCGGCAAAAACGCCACCAAGCCACCAAAACCCGGTAATAGAACGAAAGAGAAAAAGCAAGAAATTATACAGAAATCGACCACCATGTAAAAAAAGCGCTGCGTGCGTCATAATCCAGGCGTCGGAGTCAGCTCCGACACCCCAGCCAGTCATTGCTTCCAAGCAAAAAAAAAAAAAAAAGGCACCCCGACGACGACGACCCTGGATGCTACTCACCAGCGGGAAAAGAAGTCCCTTGTTTCAGCTCCCCCCCCAGCCCTGCTGCATGTTTCGATACCCCTACTTCTTTTTTTTTTTCTTTTTCTTTTTTTCGTGTGTATGTAGACTATATGCCGGCAGTGGGCAGAAATCTGCATGCTACTACTACCTATTAGTACCTCACAATTACCGGTGCCGCGCTGTATCAGACAGGTACTGTACCTAACAAAGTGCACGTCCATCCATCCATCCATCTATCCATGCCTGCTCGGCAGAGAATCGAACACATCACATTATGCGCCGGCTCTGTGGCCAGTGCTTTAGCTCCCCCTGGCTGATGGCCACAAAGACACAGACGGACGAACAAGATCAAGGCACTCGAATACTGACATGTCACAGCACCAAATACACGTAGCGTGGTAGCCTCCCCTTTCAATGCTTCTCGTATACTTGTACATGCGCCGTCCAGCTGAATCCATTTTGCCTCGCTCTAGGGCGAAAAGACTATTTGCGACACCAAAACCCCCCTTGTCTGCTTTAACCCCCTCCCCTCGTGTCGTGCCAAACTGACGACATAAGCTCCGTAAGAGCCTCTTGCTTATCCTCGGTGGCAAACGCCATGACATCAGTTTCCGCTGCCTCAGCTTTGGAATTGCCGCAGCGAGCTCCCGTCCGTGTAATTGCAAAGTGTATTGGGTCTTGTTCATTGTTGTTATTGTACAGTTTACTCCATCAAGGCGCCCATCGCCCATCCCCTGCAACAAGACCCCGTAGTCGATACGAAAAGAGCAGAAGCATGTAGTGTGAATAGCTCTGTTTTCTTGACCGTGGACACAAAACAAAATCTGCCGAGTTGTAGAAAAAAAAAAAGTATTCGAGCCTAAGACCTTATTTCCCTCTGTACAATAATTCAGGTACATGTTCTTCATTTTGAAAATTTTTGATGGGGTTTTTTTTTTTCGCTGCCAATTCCCCTTCCCTTCTTCCCTTTCCTAAGACCTTCCCAGAATCCGTCTACGCTGCTCCATGCAAAACAAAATCACAGACCCCTTGAGCAGGATCCACTCCTTGAACGCCCGATATATATGATCTCCCAGTCCCAACGAGATGAGAGCTTGTAAATTGTAAAAGAAAGAAAAAAGAACAAGATGAAAACAAGACGAGATGGTTATAAAAAAAAAAAAAGACAAACCATTGTAGTAAATAACGAAAGAAAAATTCGCAAATAAGACGCCCCATACAATGACGAGATCGAGATGCTGCCATAAAGGTTTTGGCGCTCATAAACGTTGCTCAGAATCCCCACGTTTCAAGGGTAATGTACAGTAAATGTCGCTTCTGCGAGAACATGGTGTGCTCGTGACAAGAAGAATAAGAATATAAAAAAGTAAAAAGAAGCATGTGGATCGTGGCGGCAAAATGCAAAAAGAAAAAATTGATCTTCAAAGTCTGGGTATCATGAGCCCCTCTCCTTTTCTTTCTTTAAAAAGGGGGGCTCGGAGCGGCGCCTTTAAAAAAATCCAATGCTCCAAATAAAATAACTGAAGCGCCACGGTCTCTTCGTGGCGCGATGAATGGAAGTAGCCCAAATTTTTTTGTTTTTCCTTTAGGGAAAGACTGTCGACATCTGTCTTGTCGATATAAGTAGCTGTTGATTTGAGATGATGTTTTCTGCGTTGATGTGTTTCGAGTGCCGACTAATCCAAGCAGAGGACCAGTAGGTCCGGCTTGACTAGAGCCACGTGTAGATGATATGTAGTTGTAATAGAGGATAGCTTATTTCTTTCCTCGGCTGCCCGTCGCGGTGATCTTGCTGGTGCTCATCAAATCACCAATGTACTTTTGAAGAAATTTGTTGTTGTTGTCGAGCTTGTCGTGCTCCTCCCGTACCGCTTCGATACGGTTGAAGATTGTGAGGAGCGATTCTTGCAAAGCCTTGGCATGCCTGCAGCCCGCATTGGTTAGTGTCATGTCCTGGGTGCGCGAGTTGTCTAGCTTGGTATGCACTCACTTTCTTAGCTCCTCGCGCGCCTCCTCACCCATCTTGTTAATATCCTCGTTTGTCCTTCGAGGGCTCATGGGTCGAACGATTTCCGGTTCAAATTGCGCGCTATTGCGAGGACCAGGGCGAGTGGGAATGGGTTGGTGGATAACAGACTCGTTCTGATCGGAGGGAGTTGTGGACGCAGACGAGTCTGAGCGCTCGATTGGGTAGGCGTGGCGGGTAGTGCCAGCAGAGTGGTTATCGTGTTCGTCGGACATTGTGTATAGGCTGAGGTGAAAGGAAATTATATAAAAGAAAGACAAAAAGACTGTGTGCGATGTACGAGTGTTGGAGGCAGTCCAAGTCTGTTCTGTGACTCTTGTCGTCTAGTAAGTCTGTAGTCTGCTTGGCAATGAGCCTTTTTTTTTTTTCTCTCTCTTCTCCCTTGGCTGCTGTCTTGCTGCCTTCAATCTTATAATGCTCAACACAAATGCAAGTAGAGGATAGTCAAGCTGGTGAGGAGCTATTGCTACCACGTGTATGCGAGAATAAAAGGAACCAAAGGCGGAGAGAAAAGAAGGCGAAACAGAAGAGCGTAGAAGCAAAGCGGCGAAATCAAGCTGCAAAGAAAACAAGCTTCAATCAGCCGAGGCGGCAGGGTGAGGTGGTGCAAGGTTCTGAAAAAGGGCCGGGATGCCGGAGAAGAAGGTTTGTCGGTATTAACTCGTGTTTGGTGTTCGTGCGAACTCCTCGTGACAGTCAGACGGGCCCCTCGTTTACTCGGCGGCTCAGTCAGCGTGGAGTTGCGTCGATGCGTTGGCGAGAAGGGAAGGGAAGATTAGGCAACGCCGAGTGGCTACGCTGTCTCGGGGTCTTGTTGTGTCTTGTATTGTATTGGACGATGAAGGAGGGTGGGAAGAGGCAAGCGAAGCTGGCGAGGCAGAAAATGCAGCGTTGACGGATGACGAGAAAAATCGGGTTCGTGCGCAGAGATGGGCCTGCGTGGAGAAATGATTCAGGAAGCCGTGGCCTTTTTAGCGGTCAGCCCCCCCCGAAGGACAAGGTGATGATGATCTGCTATAGCGTCGGGCGATGGCACCAGTAGAGCTCTGTGTCTCCTTGGGCTGGGGGTCCTTTTTGCCAGTGTGTCAGGCTGAGAGGTGAGGGCAGATCTCCGAGCTATCGCTAGTTAATTAGCTGCGACCCAGTGTGGGCTTTGTATCAACTCTTACCCGATTGCTCGACCGGCCTGGCTTATTAGTTGGTTGACGATCCGCCAAAGCGCTTGTGAGCCAGCTCGCGAATCGAGGGGAGAAGCTAGAAGGTAGAGAAGCAGAATCAAAGTTGGCACTAGCAATCAAGGGTTTTTTTCTTTTGATTTTTCTTCTTAATTCTGAAGATCCTGCAGTAGACGCGATGCGCTTCTATTTTCCGATTCCGCTGAGACCCTTTTCGGCTCCTGCTTCTTTTGTCGGCTTGTGGGAGGTGAGAAGTGGGAAGCAGAAGGAGGAGTGAGTGGGATCAACGGTTTTGACGTTTGACGTGATGGAACTCTGCCCTCGCCCATGCACCAGTTAGTATGGCAATGCCAATATTCTGATATGCGCGTGTATCGGCAACAAGAGGGAAAAGATTCTCGGGCCCGCTCTGCTAGCTGACAGGGGCAAAACAACACACACTGTCCAGCGACGGAAGGGATCAAGAGACGAAAAAAACATCTACAGTGTCTTGACGGAGTATGTGTAGCAATGGAGGGCCCTTGGGACGGGTTTGGGAGCGAGAAAAGGGGAGTGAAGCGGCTGTGGGTGTGTATCTGAGAGGAGATAGCACAGCTGCTGGTAGCCGTATTGCTTTGCTGCACAGTCGAGCAGCGAGTCCAGCACACAGTTCGCAGAATCGCAGTTCAGGCGGTGAATTGGATGAATTTGGGAGGGGTGGGGAGCCCACCATGACTGGGAAAAAGACGCGGACAGGGGGTCTGAAGAGCTCCGGCGACGACGGTCGAGACGAAAAGAGAGAGAGTGTTGGGCTTCCATGACCATGTCGATGGATGGGGAGGACCCTTTGCTCGAAATGAGCTAGGCCAGCAAGAGACGCTTGTACCGGATACCTTGCGCCTGTTGCTACGGCAAGCGTGCGCGCACTGACATGTACTGACGTCTTACAGCCGCGCAGCGCCGGCGTGCACATACCCCCCAAGTCGCTTTCTTGTACACCCTTCGCCAGGAAGCACCTTGTGTAGGCACTTTCTGCAGTACTACGGTACTCCGTTCGCCGCCGCCGGCTCCTCCAAGCACGTTGTAGGTGTACAGGGGCGGGATACAGGCAGACTCGCTCTGCTAATGTACGCCCCTCTCATGCCATCCATACCACGCATCACAGACACCTCGTGATGGGACGCCGACTGGAGCAAAAAGGAACAGGAAAAAATTTCACAAACAAAAGACAGCGAGGGCGTGGGGGGGTGCCAGATCAGCCTCTCCTTTCACACTTTCACAGCGGAAATCCGTTTTGACATGGATATCCCGGGCCCCTGCTCCTGGGCCCTTCTTCCTACTCCCCGCGATATGGCGATGGACGATTTGAGAAGCGCACTACCTAACCCGTAGCGCCTAGTGCTGGTTTTTTAGCACTGCTAGTGCCTCTGCTTGCAGAAGTATCACCGCAGTGCCGAGCTAGAAGGGCACATGAGGGCCCTGTAGATGCCATGGGTTTTTTTTTTCTTCTCTCGCGGTCAGCCACGATAGCGCGATTATGCAGCCCGCCTAGCTTATCGAGGTGGGCTGGTGAAGACGAAGAAGTATTACCTAAGATTGTTGAAGAAGAAGGTGAAGAGAAAAAAGGGCCAGAGCTCGGCTTGGTCTGACCTGGCTTCGTAAAAGACTCGGCGCGTTTGGCTACGATATCAGTGGTAGTACAAGCAAGATTACAGGGCGAGACGCTCTGGAGCTGCTGCTATCGCCGGTACTGCCATGTGCTTGTACCGACACCAAGACATGCGACGTCGGCGCTCATAATTTTGGGAACAGAGGCGATCAATGCCAGTGACGCCATAGAAGAGACCCCTTAAGAGGTGCCAGCAAAGACGCCCACTGGACGGAGTACCTAGCACAGCACAGTACCAGGCAGTACCGCTGAGGGGTGGGCAGTATGGCACGTGTCGCGGCGGGAAGTCTGCCTCTCACACTGTATTTTTCAGCCGAGTGTAGCGGCCTGGATACAGTTTTCCAGCGGAGATATCGCACCGTATGACGAGTACCTGCCAGTATCGGGCGGTAGTAGTAGAGAAGCTGGGCTCAGCACACCCTGGCCGCCTCCAAAACCCAATAACCCATGCCTCCATCGTCAGTGTGCCAATGTGCTTCTCCGAGTATCACCACCCTCCCCACTTATTGCTTTTTTTACAGTCAGTTTTTTTCACCTCCTGGCAGATTAGCTACCATTTATTTTGCTTTTGCTCGTGGGTCCTGCTGTCTGGAAGGTCAACCTGCGAGGACGGTTGGACAAGAAGCAGATATCCTGCCATCCATTACGAGCTTCACCAGTGATCGGCGCCCTCCTGCGACCCATCTCGCAAGCGACCTTACTCAGACCCCAGGCCAAGATGTTTCGCCTGGGAGCTTTTTGTCCTTTGCAACAGCAGCTCACGTCTCCCAATCCCGAACCCCGGCGTGATCCTGCTCGGCATGGCCTTTATTAGGTATTACAAGTAGGTATAATAATTCTAGCTACGGAAAAAGCGAGAAACGGTGTTTCCATCTGACTTGCGTCATTACTAATCTGGAAACCTCAGGGTTCGATGGCGGATAGCCCACACGAGCTCCCTGTCGCCAAATAGCTGCTGCTAGCTCTACGGCGCGCTGCTCCGTAGCGTTTGGCAAATTTTCTCTGCTCTCCGCTTTGCACGACGCGATGCTCCGTAGGAGACACCAGTCAACCGCGGCGTCGCAGCCGGCGAAGCTACAGGCAGCCTATCCCACAAAGAAGGGGGTGAGCGGAGCCGTCTCTGCCTCGAAGGGACTGACTGATGGGCGATATCGTGAGGCACCTCTGGCTCGTCGTCCGTACAAGGTGCTCGACACCCCTGCCGTCACCCGGCTCTGATGCTTCGTCCAACACGCTCGGAAACGAGCCTTGCCCGGACAGGCAATCTCCCAGAAAATGAGCTTGACGTCGGCCCCGCCTGATGTCATGGATCGTCCACCTCTGTCCAACAGAAACGCTTCAACCAGCCGCTCCACCAATCCCGCCCCAGCCGCTTTAATGGAGCGCCAAAAGTCTGCGTGACTCGCAAGCCCCTCGCAGCCGGTGCGAGGTACTCCCTACCGCCATACAGTGCGTTCTTCACCCTCTCGCACTTGGCTTCTAGCGTTACTGACCAAGCCTTCCTAGCCAGGAATAACGTCCGAAATCACGATATGCTTTGCCTTCATGCCAGAGACTCAGCTGCTCGCCCCGTCTCTATCGTGTTCGCCTCATCCGAGGGCCAAAAGTGACTGATGACAGGGCATGCCAAAGCAGCTACGAGAGAAAGGAAAGAAGAAAAAAAAACATGCACCTTGGCACCTTTGTGAACCCTTTTCTATTCTTGTTCGTCGTCTAAGCATCGTGTACGACAACACCTCATATAGCTACGGGGCACGACCACTATTTGCAACCAGATGCTCTGCCCGAGACACCTTCCCAAACCATTACCCAGAATTATGACTGGGGGGGAGGGGGGGTGGTTTTGTGAAGGGCAAAGGCGAAAGCAATTAAAGAAGAAAAATTAAAGAAAAGAGGAAGAAAACTTGTGCGGCTCTTTGATGCCTGACAGCGTACTCAATTATGCCTCGTGGGCCCCGGGCTGCCTGCCTAGCTGTCCATCATCTGGTAAACTGCTTATACCTAGTCTCTATTTTTTACTTCATGTGCATTGTGGCGTCGGCACCCATGTTATGAATATTTATTTCACGATGCTGCTGCTCTGGCCTAGTTTCATTCTTTCGCTGCTGGCCCTGTCGTTGCTATCTCGTGCTAGCCGAGGGGCATTCTCTCCTGACACACAAACGCCTGTCACGTCTCACTTCCGCGTTTATAGCCACAGCGTGCCAACCAGCATTCTACTTTACAGATCGACAAGTCTGCGAACCGCTATTTCTAGCCAATATTATGAGCCATACGATATTAATGGCATCCAATCGCTCAATCTCTCATCAAACTATGAGAGCACAAACAGCAATATCTTTGTATTTATGGCCTTTGGCGATCGGTCGTCAGTTATACACTCACCTACCACAAAATCTCAGTACAACATAGGCACACCATGACTTATTTGCTTTGTTCCTATTTCTCACCAAAAACTCAGCCCTTGTCCTCCTCCCACCTATCAAACCCTAGACTTCCCCATGACGATGAGTACCTACTTGTACACAGCTGGAGTCGTACAGACATGGCATCCTTTTCGCCGGACAGGCCTCGTGACGACAGCCAGTCAATGTTGTGGAACCACCACACCTGAGAATTCTTCGTTTCAGTGAAGCCTTTCAACCGCTCAGTGGCTTAAGTAATAGCTATTACATAGCTGTCGCCCTTCTGCGTTACACACTCGCTGGCTTACTAAGTCGTCTTCTTTCAAATGCTGCCGCGCCCATGTCCATCATAGACCGACATCTCGAAATGAATCTCATAACTTCTGTGAAACTAAATGTATAGTGGTTCAATAATCCCTGAGCCTGTTAAACTCATGGCGCGACCGCCAAGGCTGCTTCGGCACCAGCTCGCCAGAGTCCTTGTGACTCTTACCAAGTAGTATTAGTAGTGGTTGCCTCAAGATGTCAATCTTCCCGATGTCCGACCTAGTCGCCCAAGCGCAAAGTCAACAGTGTCTTTTAACGGCTCGCTTTCGTGACCCTTTAAAAGATAACGAAAAGGCCACAATTGGAAGTTTTATTCAACATTACGGCAGCGACTTGTCGACCACGACCACCTCATGGTCCGCCTCAGCCACGTACGGCCATTACTAGTTGTTAGTGGTGGCGTCTGGGATAGGCTAGGTTCAACGCCATACTACGGGCCGCTCAAATCCATCGTGTAACACAAACTTGTCGTCGGTTGGCAATTTGAGGCCACACCCTCTTGACTGCTGGAGCGCTTTTCCAGAGGCTGCGTGCATATGCCCACTGCTCTCCTATCCGCGATTGGCCTACAGGGTTGTGACACAGAGGCACGAAGCATGCACGATGATAGCAGTCACACAGTTCGGCCACCAAGGAAGGGTTACCATCAGCCAGTCAAGGGGTTCGGATGTGAAGGGGTTCTTGGCGCGTGACAATCATTGTGCTTCACAGCCGCTCGCTATGGCCCTATCTGGCAAAAAGAATGGGAAGCGAGAGAAGAAGAGGATGACACTGCCAGGATGCCCCGTCTTTTACTCCTTCCAGCCATCGCCAGCACCCTTCATCCAGTTTACACTGACTAACTGTAGCTGATGCTTCTCGACAAACGTGACAGGATCAAAGGAGCGTCTTTGGACAAATTCTTCGCCGCCAACGTCTTCTTTTGTAAGAGTCAGGCCATGGGGCTCTCGGAAGAGCAGGAACAGATACCGATGTGGTTTCGAACTTTGAATGACATATCTCATTTAGTAATTTATCCAATAATACCGTTCATACAAAGCTAAAAATGGAATAGAAGAGAAGAGAAAAGAAGGCCATTTCAGATCATAGAGACATGATTGGAGCCGGGTTATTAGCTCTCGGCAATGGAGGGACACACACCAGTGTCTACCGTATGATAGGAGCAGCTACCACAGCACAATCCACTCTCCTACATAACCACCCCTCACGATTACGGAGCCATGGAGTAGGTAAATGAATTGGCCAGAACGTAAAGAGGGGTGGATTGCAGAATGACAAGGGAAATGGGACGGTAAAAGAGATGAAGCGAGAAGTGACTTACTCATCTTTAGGACCCGGAGCAAGATACTCAGTGAGCACCGGCTTTGTCTGGGCAACGATGCCATCAGCTGAAGTTAATGGCCTCAACCCTGGCAGAACCCAATGCCGCCAAAATGCAAATTTAGGGTCGTCTGGTGTGGGTGCGTCGGGGTCGATTAGGAGCAACATATAAGATGCGTCTCCCGATGAATCCCCAGCCTATAAATGTATATGTATGCATGATAAGCCCTCAGAACTCTGGCTTTCTAGCTCAGCGCCTCATTGAGCGGTATAAACCGACTCAGATATGAAGTAAAAAAACGCCAAGGATGGATTCCAAATTACGCGCAGACTTACTTCAGCCTCAAAAGACACAAATGGAGCTTGCTTAACCTCGCTCACTCGCAAAAGGTTACCCAGTTCAACATCCCGGCCCTCGAATGAGACACCCAGTCGCGTGGTTGGCTCAAACCCCCGAGGAATGAGTGCTTCCGCTGAGCCAGGCACGAGCTTGGCTTCTGCCAGGGAACTTGTCAGCACCTGAGCAAAGCTGCTGAGGGGTGTTGCCGACATGGCTCTGTTTTTCGGCGGCGGCGAGAGCTAATTGTAAGCGAGAGTCGGGATGGCGGGAAGGGAGAAGATTCCGAACTCCCGGGCGATTTGCGAGGACTGTGACTGAAAAAAAAATAAAGAAACAAAAGAGATGCCCGGAAATTTGATATCTGTGACTGTGGTAGCTGACCAAGGAGAAAGAAAACCGATGTCGGTTTTAGAGGTCTTGGGAGCAGCGGGGAGTTATTGCTTTGGCTGCTCCCACGATATGCGAAGATATGCGCTGGGCCTTGGCGACTAATTTGACTGGTGGAATAATTGGCGGCACAATCAACTTCATCTACAACTAGTGTTAATGCTACATTTTTACCACAACACGCATTCATCAAATACACCAGAATATCCATCTATGAGCAGCTTGTGAAAGAGGTGGTATATTGCGAAAAACCAGTGGGCTGGTTCAGTCAATGAAGCTTATAATATGTACATGACGTCTTTACCTATCTGGAAATGGTCTCGAACTTTACAAAATCAGCAAAGTGCCAATTCCCGATAAAACGGCATGTGGGGCATTATATCAGTACAATTGGCCTTGTTTCACTTTTTGGGGCTCAGAATCGAGGTTTTAGGTTTGCCGAAGGTTGTCGAGTAGGGTTCAACCTATAAATAGAGCCTTTTGTTTTACCATTTTTGTCTCTTATGGGAGGGAAATCAATTTACATTCCATTGGGGTGTTATCAATGCTTGCGTTTGATACTACATGTATAGCATAGCATGGGATGGAGAGACATAGTACACACACCGTGGCAGCGAGATCGGCCAACCGCACAAAACACGAGCATGGAAAGGGCAAACACCTGGCGGGTAGGGAGTAGATAGTAGTTTATGATTCCGTTGGGAGAAGTTTTGAGATTACTGCGGACATTGGTATGGGGGATCCGTTACGGAAGTTCCGGCATAGGCTCGATTTGATTCCCCCGCAGGATGTCAATATACAATAAGCTTCGGAACAATGATACCTAGACTACCGGCCATTCTTTGTCTTTCTTACTTTCAAACTACTATCCAACACCGGCTTCTCTCTCGCCCGGTTTTGGTGTTGGCTCGGTCTGGGGAACCCCGGCTGTACGAGTGGGGGGAAGCTTGATTAGTATCTCGAAAGGTGTTTCTGGAGACGACTTGATGGGGTTATGATTTGATTGGCTTTGATCTGGAGATTCCGGAACGAATATGGATTTTACTGCTCCGTTACTAAAAGTTAATCCGTATGAAAAATCGAACTTGAGGGTCGTTGAGATCCAGAAACGTCAGAATAGCGGCTGAGAACACCACCGAGACGATTCGTTGATTCATCTACTCCTATCCTTTTATACAAAGGGTACATGTTAATACTTGGGTATTATCACTATATACTACCGCTTATATGTGCTTCAGCACTTATACATTCAAGCAGTGTTTCTTTTTTCATCAGACATAAAGACCGTCTCAACCTTGTGGCCGGCAAGTAAAACATAATCTACCATTTACGAGTCCTCAAACTCGAATTTGACGAGTAACGTGCAGTCAGACTCCTTACCCTTGAGATCGTTCATCCTGATAAAAGTCCATCCCACAGGAGCATACGAGAGCCGCACCGTCGCAACGGCAAACTTTGGATTTCTCGCAAAGCTGTCATCGCTCTTGATGAGCATGCGCAGAAACACCAGCTCATTGTCTTCATACTCCCACTCCAGGGTCTCGTCCCAAATCGGATTCGTGGCATGTGGGTTCTCTCCATGATGAAGGAACCCCAGCGTGTGGTGTTTGTAAGGCTCAGTCTTTCGTTTCGGGGGCTCCTTGTCGCCCATGAGTGGGCTGTACAGCGAACACGTCAAGTACGGCTTGATCGAATCGCGCTCTCTGTCCTCGTGGAGAGGCACGTCCGTGGCGCCAGCGACGTGGACGCGCAGCTTCCTGGTCCGGCCCGTGCGAAGATCGCCGCTGCCGCCGGCTCGTAGCGCCGCCGGCTTGAGCACGTAGCCGGGCGTGCCATTGAACAGGGCGTCGTTGAGCTGGACGCTGGTGGTGTACGTCTGCCAGTTGAGCGCGCAGATCTGGGCGCCGACGCCCCAGTACTTTTCGGGGTGCAGATTCGTCGACGAGATGCGCGTGCCCTTGGGGAAGACGCGCATCAGGTGCCGCGCGTTGTGGCGCGAGATCTGGACGGCGTGGTCCGGCAGGTGCTTGGACAAGCCAGACTCTGACACGTTGATGAGGTGGTGATGCGGGCCGTTGATGAGCTGTCCGGGATCGTACCAGGAGTTGTCCTTGGGTTTCACCGACTGCGCGTACACGCCCAGCTCCGCCAGCTCGGGGATGATGATGGTGGAGGACGACTGCTTCTTCTTTTCGTTGTACGCCTTGCGGGCCACCCTCTGCTGCTCTTCCTCGTCGTCGTCATCATCACCACCGCTGTCGGTGGCCTCATCGGGCAGATGGAACTCGACAATGACGGAAATTTTGGGACCGAGATCCTCCAAAGTGACATGTTCACCGCTCCCCTGCTGCTCGCGCGTGCCTTTGCGGCGAACCGGCTCGCTTATGAGGCGGTGACCAAAGACGTCCTTCATAATCTGCACGAGACGCAGCTGGCCGTGCGGCCCGCAGTGGTTTTCCAGCGATAAGAGGATGGGCGATGCCGGATCGCCAGCCTGGCCCGCGGTGAAGGTGCCCGCCGCCAGCTCGCGGTCGTAGACGTCGCGGATCGTCTCGCACACGGCGCGGAACGAAATGTGCGACACCAGCGTGAAGCCGTGCGTCACCTTGGGCTCGTCCTCGTTGTCCGAGTTGTCCCAGGCGTCAATCTCGACGCAGCGCGAGCCCGTCGTCAGCGCCGTCTCGTACGCCGACGGCGACGACTTGCCGTACAGCTGGTTGGCCAGCAGATACGTGTTGTGGCTGGAGCTGACAAAGTACTCGGGCAGAGGGTGCGTCGGGTCGACGAGCGGCGGCGGCGCCTCGAAGCTGCGGCGGGCCAGCAGCTCGCGCAGGGCGGGCGTCAGTTGCTGGTCGTCCAGGCCGGCGTCGCGCTCGGACAGGATCCTGTTGTCGTGGAGGAACGTCCGAAGCGCGCGGCTGATTCTGAGCTGGTCCTTGGCCGTGTCGGATCTGCGCGAGCTGCCGGCGGCCGGCGCCATGACATCGCCTTTGTCGTCATCGTCGAGGCCGGCGTTGTTTGAGTTGAAGGGGTTGAGCGCTGCCAGGCGGGATGTGATGTCGGCCATGGCTGTGTTATTATATATGGGAGTGAGACCCTGTTACACAGAAAGTGGGATGAGCTGTTTGAGTGTAACGCAGCTCGAGCTATCTATCAAGCTATGCTGGACTGATGCTCGATAAACTTGAGTACTTCTTATAAATTTCGTACTCCTAAACTCTTCAAAATGAACAACAGCAAAAATAATACTGATAGATTCAATAGGCCGTTGAGAATATTGTGATCAAGAGTAAGTGAAGCATTCAGTGTTGCATCAGGAGGTGATGGCTGAGTCTGAGCTTTATGGCGGGGTAACTGATCCTAGCAAAGCCACACTCATCATCAGACCAGCGCGTTCATCATGCGCCGCCTGGTCATGGCTTTTTTTTTTTTTTTAAGATACTGACTGAATTGTACTTTAACTGAATTGGAGCTGATGAATTGCTATTTAAATAGGTATATATATATATAGATGAGCGTATAGACAAAAGTATATGAAATAGCTCGCTGAGAGGACAGAAATGCTCGGCGTAGGGTAACCCGAAAATAGACTCGGGCTTACACCATATTCTTGCGACGAAAAGACAATGGTATAACGACACGGTATAAGGAAATCCAAAACGAGGGGAATAAAAAAGAGACGCACGTCTAGAATTTATAAAGGACCCAGTTCTCCTCTCCGACGAAATCTCGTAAGCCTCCCCCTTCACCCATCGTGCATATAACTGGCATGGTGAAATCCTTCTGTCCCAGCCATACCCAGTATCCTGATCGTTCCGCAGAGCCCTTTAGCGGCCTCCAATGCCGCTCATTCTGTTTCAGGTGAGCTTGCTCTACTGGGTCTTTGTTTTTGAGAGCTCGGTCTCGCTGATGTATGTATAGAGAGCTTGGAATGCCGAGCGAAAAGTCTTGCACGTTGGGGGCTAGCTCCAAGACAAAGTTATCCACCGGATGCAGGATTTCGTCGGTTCTGTCGATGTTGTTATCCCAGGTTGTTCTACCGTCGACAGTTTTGGTCGGATATAGCCGTCCTTGCAGTGATATGTGCAGCCTTTTTATGGCGGGAAACGTGGTTGGGATGGCGTTGAGAAATGCGTGGAAGCTTGCCATATCTGATAAAGGCGGCTTGACAACTTGCGGATGGATGCTCGGGAACGGCGCAAAGTCCCACAGGAGCTCTACGGAGGTGATGCTGGATAATCGCTGAGGGAGGAGAATGGATTTGAGGCTGAGGATCATTTCCTTGCTGGCTGTGTGGAACGTGTTGGTGGAGTACAGGATATCGATGCCCTCGACGTATCTAGCAAAACGCATCAGAACCCGGACACAGCGACAGTGAGATATCCAACTTACGCTTGGCGACAGCTGCGCAGCCACCCCATTGCCCCTATCAGACACTTGGTCGGGAACTCGCCTGGCCAGGTTAAGCAAACGCGCTGCCATTCCGTCTGGCCAAATCGACAGTAATCTTCGGCGGGCTGATTTCGCAGGGTAGGAGGACAACCTGGGATATTTCGGTGACAGACAGAGCTTCTCCATGCCCACTCTTTCGGTCGCGAGTCGTCCAGTCTGAGGTTTTGCACATCGCAGCTGCCACCTTGAAAGCGAAGGTTCATATTGCCATGAGGCGGTCTTCGCCACGTGCCATCCTCAAGTATAAAGGCCCCTTCTTCTGGAGGCAGCAGTGGGTGGTCGTAAACAAGATCCATGTGGACCGTCCGACCCCCAAAGGCCTCGATGAGGATCTTGCGACGGATCTCCAAGGGAAGCTTGGTGAAGAAGAAGCTGTTTGCGGTGGCGGCATTGGCAGCAGAGACGAAGTCGTCGCATGACGGCGTTGGAGTGAGGCGAGCTCGGCGCTGCGAGGGGAGCTTCGGATGCGGTGGTGCGGGCAGAGCCTCTTTCACGATGGCGGACGATGCCGACAGCGCTCGCTGCCTCCTGCTGCTTCTTGCGACGCGCCGGCGCCGGAACCAGCTGATGATGGCATTCGGCATGGTGAATCGGTCAGATCGATCACCATCGCTTTTACCGCGATGGGAGGCGATCTCTGGCGATTAATGGCAGAGAAAAGACGCGGCGCTTATGCTGAAACGGCAGACGGGTGCGCTATGGCTGGCATGCCATGAGGAAATTAGGCTCCCCTGCATCATGCGCAGTTCATGCAATTCGCCTCTGGTTAGGCGTCACATGTTTTGTTGTTCAGCTCGCACTCGCTTGCAGGGATTGGGTTTGCTTTTATGCATAGCGGTTTGGCTTTTGACGATACGCGTGATATGCGCCGAGGCTGCCATTCTCCCTCCTCCTGTTACTGTTATATATATATATATATATTAAAGCCTTTTATTCCCGCACACGCACTTGCTGATTCTTGCCATGGCTGCTACAACAGCTCATTTCCCTTCGCTGACATCATGATGGTTTTGCTCTTGTTTCCCGTCATCAGGTACCAACAGCTTCCAACCCAAACTAAGAAAAATTATGGAGTCTCGGGCCAGATCTAGACAAACCCAAAACTTGGCTGCCTCGGATCCCAGGCGCCAATCAGACCCACTCTCAACGACCCGCTGCCTATTTTAGGAAAATTTCTGTTGCCGAAACTTTTTTTTTCTTTTTCTTTTCCTTTTTTCTTCTCCATGAACAACGCAAATATCACGTTCGGGTTCTTCCACACTTAAAACGAGTACCTGGTACGAGGTTACGCCTTCGGGCGTGGGCTCACGACTGCCGGGGACCTGAGGAACGAAAACGGAGAAGAAAGCGAGCAATCTTGGGTGCGGTGCTTTCCTGGCTCAAAGAGCCACATGGAGGGGACCGCAATGATTGAGCGTACATGCACATGCCACATATCGCTAGTGATTTTGATGACTTTTGATGCTGTAGATGTAGGCTGATGGATTTCGTAGAACGTCTGGACGTCAGCAGTTTTGATTTGGAATATGTGGCCCTGGATGCTCATGGCACTTGGCTGTGGACTGGTACTCATGCCATTTGGTCCTAGTCCATAATTCTGATGAAGAGCAGTTGTTTGTCTGATTGCTTACGCGTATCATGCACGGGATATACCGACAAGCCGAAAATTTCGACGTTGGTATCTAATCGCGGATAATGGCGTGGCCGTGTTTGTTTCGACGGATCTTACAAGAGACACTTAAGCTCATCCACAAGGTGTATACATTTATCCACTTGACGAGTCACTTGCATTTTCTTGCATGCAGCATCAGCCACACATTCACTCATGCGAAAATCTCGCCAAATACGAGCTTGAGATGTTCTGCGTAACATTATATCATGCTATTCTTGGAACTATACTATAAATACAAAAATACATCCACGACTATCCCTATCATGCCATGCCGGCATAGTCTCTGATGAGTTGGGTTCAACATGATTACCCAGTGAAAATAGCGGGAAAAGTTTTGACAGAGAACCAAGTCCCGCCTAGTTGTGTGAACCCATAATATCGCAAGTGGATACTAGGGAGGTAAGAAGTGAAGGAGTGCATGGCTCATGAAGCGTGACTGGCGTTGCATTTGTTCATGTTTCTGTGGAACGAACATTAGCAATCTTTGGATGAAAGCATTGATCTGGTGGTAAGGATTGGATATGAAGACTAACCTATCAAGACTGTCCATTTACTGCAGGGACTCAATGAGGCTGCGAGCCTGGTCTTGAATAAACTCAATGTTGCGCTTGGCCTTCCAGCAAGACTCGCCAACTCGCCAGCACCAGCGCTTGGCAGGAGAGTCTTCGGTTTCGACGCTTCGCTTCTCGTCACCCTCGATGGTGGCATCAAGGAGGGCCTCAGCGACACGCTTAGCCTTCCAGCAGGACTCGCCAACACGCCAGCACCAGCGCTTATCCTCCTGGATCTCGTCCGTTCGCTTGGCCTTCCAGCAAGACTCGCCGACGCGCCAGCACCAGCGCTTTTCCTCTTCCTGGAGATCGCGCTTGGCGGGCTCAGTGTGGTTGCCGAAGAAGGCCTTGGGGTCATTGGAAGCTTGAGCGACAAGAATGGCAAGGTTTTCAATACCCTTGATGGCCTCGAAAGCGACGTCGTTGGGAATGCCGCCGACTGGCTCGCTGCGGGCCTCAACGCCCGACTCGAGGCCGCCTACCGCGCGGACGGCAATGTTAAAGACGTCGTTGGCACGCTTGGCCTTCCAGCAGGACTCGCCAACGCGCCAGCACCAGGGCTCGGGGTTGGGGGCAGCAATGGCTGCGGTGGCGAAGAGAGTGATGGCGGTGAGGAACTTCATTTTGGACGAAGGATGTTTGATTCAACTGTTGTTGAGGCTGTGAAGAAGGGATGTGATGAAGATGGGAGACGGACAAACCAGAAGATGGGAAGATGGGAAGACTATATGCTTGAAGAGTTTACTTGGAAAACAAGAAGATTCCGCCCTTTGGATATCCATGGTAGATGCTCAAGCGAGAAATCCACTCCTTTTCGTTATTGAGCACTGTTATTGACCATGCTTATCAATAAGCCTCCACGCCGCTTTGCCCTCAGACTGCCTCTACAGAAGCACACGGGACTGACTACGACTGGTGTTCAGAAGGGCTTTCTTGATTGTTGGTGGAAGGGACTGTTCATTGAGCGACGCCGAGGACCGTGCTGGTCGAAGTTTGCTGAAAAGACGCCTTTATTTGTTGTGGATGATGAGGCTAAAGCAGGAGCGATTTTAGCAATAGCGGACGGAGGACCACGAGGAGATGGATGAATGCGGCTGAGTTTTTCCGGTATTTACGGGAGGTACCACTAGAAGCAACATCTTGAACATGTATTATTTAATCTCATATACAGTGGAAACTAAAATAAGTGTCTGGGTTTGTTTGTATAGAGTCTCTTTCCGCATGGACCTTCTGGTGGGGCGTGTGGCTAGTACAGTGCGAATAGTATAATCACCTTAAGTACTAACTTTCTAATACGTCTAAACAGCTCTAGTTTAAATAGGCTGAATTCTACTTCTGGCTTTAGATTTAATTATGTACTTAAAGCGCTGTAGCGGTGTCTTGGAACGAAAATTCTACTGCCTTAATTTCCACTTTTATTTATTCTTTCTTCTAGATCGCTCTCCTCTAATTTATCCTACCCACAATAACCTTAAGTCATATTACAACGAAATTTCTATCTCCAGGTAAGAAGTAGGCCTAATGCAATTACTTTGCTTTGTAGTTCCTATATAGCGCCTGGAATAATAGTCGGCATGAGATTTTAGCCAGCAAAGATGAAACGTGTTATGTCTGATTCGTTAGGCAGAGATGTCTCATGGCTTTGCCTCTTATCTCTTTCCTGATTAGAAGCCTGCCAATATGGGTGACTTTCAGTATGATCTAGCTATCTTTGACGATGCCGAACTTGACTATCGAGCCGCCAAGTGGCGAGGGAGGACTACCACTACTCTAACTGCATAACTGGGAGAAAGAGAAGTAATATAACAAGAATAACCCTAAGTCAAGCCATTATGACTTCCAGTAGAAGATATTACTCTGTAAAAATATAAGGGTGAGGTAGATTTCTACTAACTTAGAGCTGGATATTATCCTAGCCCTAAGCAGCTACTAAAAAAAGATATTTTAGTCTTAGCTAAGCGAACTATTAATAGATAAAGATAAGTTTCCAGGAAATAACTATATTTATATAGAGGTAAATATTACTATATCTATTATAAAGACCTGCGGCCGTAATCTGATATAATATTTCAAAAGCTTATTAATTAATTAGAATACAGTAGACAGCTACTTAGAGGAACTAGGTGCCCTGTTTAGCTTTCAACTGGATGCGGAAACAATTCGTTTGCATTACTGCCTTGGTGGCTATTGAACTGCCAGTGAAACAGCAGCTTCTCGCCCATGACGCGGAACTACTGGTTGGGAAAGTGAGGGAGGGTCTGAGGATGACCAGCGGGTCGTAGACTCTCGAGGTCTGAGCCAACAAGCGGCTAGACAACGATATTATACCAACTGGGTCATTTCTTGGGGTATCTATGAAACATTGCTTAGAGTAAGGAAGCGTAAGTAGGCTTTGACTACGGCCAAGTTGAGCAATATGTTTATATAAGATAGCGGGGAACTGCCTCCTAAGCAAGAAAAAAGGCCTTTGTATATCTAGTCCCGAGATCCTGCAGACTCTTAAGTTACGGCGATGTCGGCGTCTACTATTGCTTTTCCTGCCTTTCTTGCTTCGGTGCCTCTGCTTTAGGAAACCGCGATACCTCTTGCAGATGGTCGGGTGTTCTGAGTGGCTGCATGCCCTGCTTATTGTAGCGTTGATGCGCTACTTTCCGGTTGCAATTTAGACAGTAGTGGGTGACATGGCCCTTCCAATGGGTTATGTACGGGGCCACCGCTCCGACCCCGGTAGTTAGGAAGAGCGCTGTTGCCGCAGCACTGGAGTGGCAAGGTTAGATCGAGTTGGTTCTATAGCTTGGGGGATAGTAAAGAATATACTGAGTCGCGACAGAGGGGCTTTTCTTTACTTTGGTTACTACGCGGCGCCTGCAGAACGGGCAGTCTATGGTATCTGATTGATCGTCAAGCAGATGCAGAGGCGTTACGGTCTTGATAAGGTTTGACTCTGTGGGAGGGGTGAATGTCTTTTGTGTGGGTTTGTCGTGGGTCTCTGATGAGCTGGCGACAATGACCTTAGGGAGACCATTGTCGTTAATGAATGGAACTGCCCTGCCCTAGTGCCTTAGTCAGTCGAGCCTGGATACATGCGCAATTCTGGAATGGGCCACTACCTACTTTGCTGTCCCTGGGGCCGGCTTGTTAAGCGTCTTGGTGCCCTCTTCTGCGATCCGCTGGTAGTCTTCTGGGTGCTTGGGATTAGCGTAATAGGGTGGAGGGATGCTAGAGCAGCTGAATAGAGTATCTCCTGGGTCTAACGCCATTGCATCGAGCTGTGAAGCAGACGGCGCCCTAACAATTGTGGCGGGGTGCGGGATTATGTAGAATAAGAAATAGTCTAGAGTAGCAGTTGGGATAGGATTGGGATATAAGATGGGTAAATTGGTGAAGAAGGATCGGAGGCTGAGGCCGCTGTTGATTACTTGACAAGGCCACCGACCTAAACCCCGTATAGGACAGTACTCGTATGCGGCCGTTGCATTAGCATGTATTACCGATAGTGGGTCATGAACTTTTTGTAAGTCAGAGAGAATAGAGATTAAGTGTGTGTACCAAGCTATTGAGACGGCCAACTATTTAAAGACTGTATGTAAAATAATAAAGCAACTATATCTAACCTATTTAAGTAAAAAATCTAAAGTATATTAATCTACATTAAAAATATATATAAACTTAAGTACTCTGTACTGTAGAAGGGCGAAAGAAAGAGTGAGAAGTGTCAGACAAACAGGGTCACGTAGTATCTCCTCCATATAGGGTGTAATAAGACGTCGTCGGCCGCGCGGCATTTTTGTCGGCGTCGAGCATCGTTTTGTTAGTCTTCTGCGAACTGTGCGCTCATGGCACTCGGCTTCCTTGGCTATAATTTCGTTAGGCAAGTTTTGTTTGATTATAGCATCAATCAAGTCATGTTGGAAAGCACTAAGCGGTGGAGCCATGGTGCATTCAGTGTTGAGCCGGTTCTGGCTTTGAGGCTGCGGGAAGGCGTGATCCAGCCTTGTTCTAGATTGAGTCATGCAGGCAGCCACAAGGCTAGAGGCTAGCGCACTCATGCCTTAGAAACAAGGCTAAAGTGTCGCCACCACTGAAATCCATTTCTGGATAATGTTAGGCTTAGTGTAGAAATGTACGTAGTTGGATAACGGCTACACTGTACCAGCTACATTACGCTATAGACCAGGTCCGTGCGGAAAGACTTTTATTACAACAAAACCTGGACACTTATTTCGGTTTCCACTGTATCGGAAGCCAAAAATACTCGTCGGAGACTTTTGATATAGCCTCGCAGATGCGAAGTTTAATCTGCAACTGCCCATGAGAGAGCCGTGCCTTTGCGACACGAGACGAAATAACGACAGGAACCCATTTTTTCACTCAAGGGCACTTCCAAAGATGGGACAATTCGTCAACAAACTTGCTTGCTAAGTGGTGCCGGCGTTTATTTGCGCAGGGACAAATGGCGTTATTGAAGGCCGGCCGTCTTATTCTTATTGATACCCCAATCGGGCAATTGGCTGCGTTGAGACGAAAAGCCACAGCCGAGCGGACCCACTTTATAGGCCGCAAACATGAGCTGCATCTGAAGAAGAAGGAGAAGGATTTGGAAAGAATTGTTCTCGAATTTCGTTAAGTACTGTACAGTACATACCTATGTAAATATTTTGTAATACATACGTACATGCATACAGTGCTTACATGTGCAGTAGAAAGCGGAACGTATGTTTGGGCCCGCCTATGTAGAGTGTCCTTTCGTACGGACTTTATGGGGCATGTATGGCTACAGTAATGAACTGTAGCGCAAATCTAAATACTACTTAGATATCGCCATAAGTGTCATTCGTAACCATTACTGACAGCTTTATTCCATATCACGGCATCTACCTTGGGAACTGAAATAAGTGTCCAGGTTCCAACTATAACGAAAGTCTTTCTGCATGGACCAGTTCTGTGGCGTAAAGTGACTAGTATAGTGTAGCGTGAGCCAACTTTATATTAGAATTGTAGTCATTGATAGTGTAGAGAGTTTTAACAAGTCTGCTGCTTAAGAGGTGTATGAGGTTTGCAGTAGTATTGCTTAATTGATTTTAGAATCAGCGAGGAAAAGATCCCATTGTTCCCAGTTGATAGTTTGATACGCCCTGTTATCTGGGCTAACGTCCCCAGCCAGCAGAGAATCCAGGTCTATGTCTTCTATACCATAGGGATATTCAGCTTCGCTGCCGTACTCATTGGCATGCTCGAATCGTTGATTTTGACCACCAGTATCCACGTGTTCCGCAGCGTCTTCCTGGTTGGATATCGTGCCGTGCTTAAGACCTGTCGCTGCGGTAGTGGCCTCTGAGCTGATGGGGTCCCACTGGAACGCATCCTCGGCTTTCCTACAGCAGGCTTGTATTTTGATCTTCACCATCTCTTGTTGCTGCCGTAGCTTCAAAATAAACGCCGGCGTCTGGAGAGCATAAACACCATTGCGCTGCAGCCTGTGAGCATCGTATGCTTTCAGACAGAGACTGCGCACGGCTCTGTGGATGGGCTTTCTCGAGTCGGAGAACATGCTCATATTATTCTCGAACGTGTTCGCAATCAGCCTCCACGCTTTCTCGGCATCCGGCGTAGACGGATTGGCTTGGAGGCTATCGAGCACGTGGATGAAAGCGGGCCATTGCATGGTAAACGCTGCGTGCCATGCAAACTTCTTCAGTGAGGGGTTTGACTGCAGCATGTCGCACTGCTCTAGAAGCCTGATGCTGACTTCCCATACCCATTGACGCTCAAATGGCGGCGCCTGGTTGATGCTGGTCCATCTGCGTGGGTGGTGTGTCATGAAGCGAATGGTGTCTATCGCGGTCCGTGCCATCAGCATCGACATTAGCTGCAGCGGCTGCGAAGGATCGCAACGCCGAAGGTATTTTTTTTCCAGGTGCTCTTCTATTTCCTTCACACTTTGACCCGTCTCCGCCTTGTCACCTTCGGATGCGAAATCCTGATCCCACTGGCTCAGACTCTTGCCTAGATGACGAAACTTGGCAAGGCGGGCGGCGGCAAACCAGAGTAGGTCGTATCTTATAGCGAGAAACGTCATGTCCGTCAAATTTCCCGACTCCACCGGTGAGATAGGCATTCCCGGATAGAGCTCAATGTCGTTGATGTTGGTGGGACGCCTTGTGGAGTCGCTGCTCAGACCAACATCTCGAAACTTGGGAAGGCCGCACAGCTCAGCATTATGTAGATCTTGCGCTTTCAGAAACCACCACATGCGTCGCCGCAGCTCTGTTTCAAATGGTGGCAGCCCAAGAAGTGTTCCATCGCGATCAAGGCCCATGCCGTTGGCAACGCGAACCGCCACACCTGTCAAGGTCCAAAGGGCGCGCGGCTCGTACATGTCTCGCGCTGAGATGATGTGAATGACCAATGCCTGAAGAACTACAAGGCTAGCTGTGCTCATGAAGTTGGCTCGCGATAATGCTGTCTTCGTGGCAGTCATTAATCTAGATCGCAGAGACTTTCGAGGCTCGTGAAGTCGTTCCTCACACTCAACGTCGCTCAGTGACATAACGGCGGCGCTGTAGATGGCAAACATGAGTGCCTCAAAGCTCCGCGAGACCTTGTCTACTTGATTTGCAGCTTCATGGAATGCCTTTTCTAATGTGGGGATATGCACAACTTTGGAGAGAGGATCAACATTTTCCACAAAAGTGCGCCATAGCTCATGTATCTGTTGTGGCGGTGGATGAAGGAGTTTGGTGCGAGATATCAGTGGGCCGCCAAGGACAAAACTAAAGTCATCATTAAGGGTTTCTGCATCACTCAAGTCGTCTGAACTCCTCCGCAGAGCATCCTCGGGGTCGTGAAACTTATGATACCTTAGCGCCCAGCAAGCAACCCAAGCAAGATATGCGGCAGGACACTCACCTCTTCCACAACTCTTGACCACAAGCTACTGCGCGGGGACTCAGCAAATATATCTAAATTATTGGGGGTCTGAACTCACTTATCAATCAACATTGACTGCCCTAGTCCTTGGATTACTTGAGTTTTGCTGACACTCCCGCTTGGCGCTGATGAGCTCGATTGTGAGCCGCGAATTTCCTGACTCGACAGATGGCTCCGTGAATTACTATCAGGAGGATTGGATGACTCTTTCAGGCTGTGGCCTTGCGCTTGAAGGCGTGTTTGCGGGTATTCGCGCCTATCTATCGAAGGCCCAGCTGCCCCAGGTCGACGTCTTCTCCGAGGAGGCGGCGGAGGTTGAAACACGCACTTAGCTCCATGTTTGACACACGCGGTGCATGGTATATTCCTGTCACATTTTACTTTCCGCCCAGCGCAGCGAACGCAAGCAAAAGTTGGCCTGCTGGGAACGCTCGAAGGTGGATTGCGTGCAGTTCCCATGGCATCCGATTAGGCGGAGAGAAAGTATGATCCCACGTTGTAAAGCTAATCCCCTATTCCCTGCCGATCCACAGTCAGTAGTTATATCGGCGTGCTGGGTACTGTCGCGAAGAATGCTAATGAAACAGAGATGAAGAGATAGAGATAAGATGACTCAACATATGTACCATCCACGTCGGCATCAATATTTCATTTGCACGGTAGCTCGGGCCTTAGTGATTCGGTCCCGAGTGGTTCGGCCCCGAGTGCTGCATCACCCAAGGTGGGGCTTCCGAAGCCGAAAGCCTGCTAGACATCAGATAGGTAGAGCCGCTTGAATAAGACAGGTAGAGCCACTTGAATAAGAAAAGTATATAAAGCATGCTTCACTAAGGCTTTAGAATAATCTTCACTCGTACAGTAACCCTTCTTCACCCAAACTTCACGTATTTGTCACTGCACAATGAAGAGTGCCATTGCCATCATCGGGGCCGGCCCTTGCGGCCTCACTCTAGCCCGCCTCCTCCACCGCAAGAATATCCCCTTCACCGTCTATGAAAATGAAGAGTCAGCGGCGACACTAGTCTCTAGTGGCTCACTTGATATACGCAAAGAAACAGGTCAGCTTGCTCTTCAGGAGGCTGGTTTGTACAATGCCTTTGCTCAGAAAGCAAGATGGGAGGACGATCGGGTTACCTTTTTTGACTCCTATGGAGAGCTGTTGCATAGAGCTACTGGCGAGGCAGAAGATGGAGAAGACGGCTTGAAGACCGGTGGAAAGCCCGAGATTGACCGCAGGAGCTTACGAGACATCCTTCTGGAGTCAATCCCGCAAAACCAAATAGTGTGGTCTCATCGTCTGACAAAGTTGAGTTTCGACGGTGACAACTCGTCTCCCGTCCTACATTTTTCCAATGGCAACACAGTTGGTGGATTCTCGCTCGTTGTCGGGACGGATGGGGCCTGGAGCAAAGTACGAGCTGCAGTACGGCTGTCATCACTTCCTCGACATTAAGAGCTAGACGTTTAACAAAATAGTTATAGATCACCTCTACGAAGCCACAATATGCAGGAAGTACCTTCATCGAAACTCGCATACAGGAAAGCAGCTTATTGCACAAGACGCTGACGGACAAAATCGGTCATGGCATAGCTCTGTTTCTGGCAGGGCCAAGCCGTATGATCATTCAACGACAAGGTGATAACTCATACAGGATCTATTTTGGCATCACTGCCCCCGAGCACTTTGTTGGCACGTCTATGGACTTGAACAACCCCCAAGCTACTCGCGATATGCTTTTGTCCTCTTTCTTCAAAGACTGGGCTGAGGATTTAAGAGATTATATTCGAAACGCAGAGAATTTCCGCAGCTGGCCGCTGTATCAACTTCCTGCAGAAAGCTTTGGTTGGAACTCGGTACCAGGTGTGACTTTGGCGGGAGACGCTGCGCATTTATCGTTACCCAATGGGGAGGGTGTCAATCTCGCCATGAAGGATGCCTTAGAACTCGTTACTAAGATTGAAGAAAACGGACTGGAGCATATAAATAAGGCGGTAGAGGAATATGAGAGGGATATGTTGAAATGCGGCAAATATCACATCAAGGCCGGTGAGGAGATGGATCGACTCATGACGCATCCTGAGGGAGCGAAGGCTGTTGTGAAGGCTTTCACTGAGAGATAATCCTATTTACAAATAGAAATAGGCCCCACCTACCATTTTACTATTACTACAATACACGATCTACTTCTGGCTCTAGATTTACATGTAATTACTATAGAATTACATAGTTATGCAATACATAAGTATAATGCTCGCCCTAAGAAAAAGATAACGATCCAACTTCCGGCCAACAGAACCCCGAATCCACTTCTAGACAATGCTAAGCCCAGGTTAATGATGTGCGTAGGGTCTCGACGTCTACACTGTACAAGCCACACTACGCCACAGAACTGGTCCGTGCGGAAAGAGGCCTAACATTATCCAGAAATGGATTTCAGCAGTGGCGACAATCTAACCTTGTGCCTTGTTTCTAAGGCATGAAAGCACTAGCCTCTAGCCTTGCGGCTGCCTGCATGACTTTATCTAGAACAAGGCTGGTCATGACTTAAATAAGCCTCTTTGCTGTCCGGCGGAAAGAGGCGGGGCTGGTCTACGGGAAGAATATCAAATGTCGACGTACAAACATAAATATATACCAAATTTTACCGTTAGCTCTAATAAAGAATGCTTGGGGGAATTTAATCGTGAAATCCGATACATTAAGATGATGAATCAAAGAGAATCAGAACCCGAGCGTTTCATGCGCTTGGGAAAGTATGCAATCCCCTTTAAGGGCACTCCCCAGGCCGGGCTCCCTTTGCTGGAAATGGCTGAACATTGTAACTTATCTTGCGCCACCGGGCACGCGATGGAATACATTTCCTCTAGCGAAGTGAATGGTGCGCATTTCCGAGATTCCAGAGAATCAGCGGCTGATTACGGAACCTTTAGTACGGGCAATGCAACAAATTGAAAAAGGCGTTTCCTTCTTCTGCTGCGGATTGGGACCAGCTGGGTGGTCTTAGTCCCGGCGATTAGATCGAGTATTGAGGTGGCGTTCTTGGCTCTGATGGAAACCCGTATCTTAACAATCACAAAGTCAACGATTATGTGATAAGTTGTTATGGCCTTGATGCAGGCAGAGCTTGTCGAAAGGCGTGATGGCGAGAACCGACACGCTGTGGAGAAAACAATTCATATTCCCAGCACGAACACGCCGAAGCGTTAAAAGCCTATCCATCCATTTCGGAAGCTCGTTGTCTATTGAGTCAGTGGCTCCAGTGGCTGGGAGATGGCGAAGGCTGATTTCGATGCCTGGGGATTTGATTTTGGGATGGCGGTACGGGGGCTCGTTGCTTCTGAATGAAACTTTAGAAAACCTTTGCCGGAATTTATCGAACGATAAAACTGCGAAGCGAAAACCGGGAAGGCTGCTCCGTACTATAGATAGATTGAGCTGATATTGGTATTTCCTGTGGCTGCGAAAGCTGAGAAAATTCCCCGAAAGTGTTAAAGTGGACATTTACAGCACCTGTTATTCTTATTAACCAAGCAAGGCTTTGACGAAGGTCTAGGCGAAATTTCAGCCAAGGTTTCTCAAAGGGAGCAGCATCAGACTCTCCGGCCTTGAGGCAGCAGTTGCCCCTGCCGACATACATCCAGTGACTCTGTGTGGCAAGACAAGGTGATGAGCACACTGCCTGTGAGGAATAAAGAGCGACGGTCACGAAAGGCCATCAAATCTGCAACTGAACAGGGTCTGCTTTAACTTACTAGTCCCTCCATCGGACAGCCAAATACCTCCCCCATTGCCAATATGTAATATAGAGATTCCGTTACTAAAACAAGGCAAATAGGCTGGCATCTTCACACCGAAAGTCTTAAACATCTCTAGCAGCTATAGTGCCATAGCAGCGCCTACGCTTACGACTGTGGTAGCAAACTCCCATTATACTCCATAGTAGCATACTAAATAGGCTCAGTTTTTATAAAGTAAGACAAGGATGCAGCTCACTATCTCTATCTTACCATTCCCCAAGAACAGGCCGCAGGGAGTTTATATACTTAGAGCCGGCTTACTGGCTCACTGGCGAAGCTTTATGCATATTTTTCATTCCGCAGGATAACATGCCTCTTAGCCTTGGGTTAGGCGGCTCGACTAAATTAATCCTATATGGCCGCCTTGCATGGGGAATAGCCTTGGCCGTCAGTTACCTTGCGCAGGAGGGGGAGGCTTACCTACTATTTATGTTCTATAGGATCACCGGCGGCTCAGAAGCTTGCAGTTGATGCATGGAGGTAGGGCGGTTAATCTATGTAGGTCACCCTATTTCACTTTATAACATTAATTAGGACTCGGGCCGGCGTAGTCCTATTAGCGTCTCCCTTCCCATTCACTTTCTCTATCCTGTCTACCAAAATTTCCTACCTTAAACAGCAGATTATTATAAAGGTCATTTACGGTTGTTAAGCTTTCTGGTAGATTTTTTTTTTTTTACTTGTTAAAAGAGCTTTTGATATAATAACTCCATTGCGGTGTTTATCGGCTCTTCCCTTACTGCAGTATACGCAACTTCCATCTTCTTTATTATTTGTGTACCTGCGAATTCGTCTTCACCGCTGACCCAAGGCCTTTATGTTTTAACTCCAGTTCCAGCACCTGAACGAGTACTAGCAAGGCCTCTCTAATATCGTTTAGCAATATTTACATCTCCTTCCTCGTTTTTATCTATTCTTAATGCAATATTATTTCACTGGTCAGGCACGTCCTCGTATGCCTTTAAATTACTTCATAGCGTTCTCTTGGTTTGCCTCGAGCTTTCTCCTTATCCTTATTCATGCGTATCATCAGGGAACTGCCATGGTAAGGCGGACCAAACACTAACCATATCCGTTCCCCTGCCATTCTCATAAGATCTCTGTGGTTTAAAATACAGAAGTCGTCGAAATGGACCCTCCTTGTCAATTTCCTCCTCACCTGGCTGATTAATTATGCCGTTGCCCCCCATCGCCAATAGATTCCAATAGACGCCCTTCAAACCCCACGGAGGTCCTGGTAGAGTCAGGTCTTTCCAAAGAGGAAACTCTAGACAAATTAAGACCCCGTCCGGGGCCAAGAGCTCGTGCATTCGACGAGCCCATCCTTGTCGCATGGAAGGGTGCAGCGCACACAGGAACTGCAACCGAGTCAGAAAGCTGGCTAACTTCGACAGCTCATAAAGCCCAATATTGATACTCACTGTGTAGTCATATATAACATCGAACCCTTGAAACCCCTGAGGTTCCCAGCCCTTTTGGAAGAAATCTCCTGCGATGATGGTGACGTTTCCGATATCACTCGATGACCATGTGTTCAAGTCGTGGTAGTTATACTCGGTCGGCTCTCCCAATTCTGCCTCTGCGTATCGTCGTGCCGTCGCAACTCCCGTCTCGGAAATCTCAAGCCCATAGACGTCGAAGCCATGCAGAGCCAAGGCTACAACGTCGTATCCTTTTCCGCATCCCTATAAACACGCGAGTTGTCGTCAGTGTGCCGAATTCTAGCCATAGCTGGAAAGTGAACCGCAGTGAGTATCCGTACGGGAATGAGAGCTTTAGGCCGGTATTTGTTGGTTATGTTATAAAGAACCTCTGCCTTGGATTCGATGAACTCGATGAGAGCGGGAGAGGGTTTGCCGCGATCCCACAGGTCGGACTGATCCGTCTCCCAAAGTTCGGTCCATCCTGACAATTGTTGCTTGCTATCTCTGCCAAATCTGTAAGAATAGAACCATTCATCAACGCAGAACTGCATCCTCCGAACCTGTTGCGAAAATGAGAGATCAGGCGTCCTGGCCCGTCTGATTCAGGAGCTGCCATTGCAATTTTTCGGTGTCTGAATATTATTAGTAAAAATGACCTCGGCTTTTTGATCTGGGTTTTGTGGCCTACTGACGTCTTTCGTAGAAAATTCAGCCTTTGCCTCATCCCTCCTCTTCTCCCAGGATCTAGTCTATATGTGCCGGAGGGGTGTCTTTTAAGCACTTGGGCAGATGCCATGCAGCGCCCTACAAGTGAGGGGTGCCCGCAGAATCGCATTAGACCCAATAAAAACGGCTGATCGAAGACCATGCCTCGGAGGTGTCACCCAACGCCTTAAAGCCAACTGAGTCATAACTACATACTAGCTACACTTGGCTGGATTTGACTGTTTGTGGAAATTCTGTCGTGATGTTTGGAAAACTTCTCCACGGGATCCCCAAGCTGGTTAAATTCTAGAACAGCCCCCCCTATTTTTTTTTTTTTTGGAAGACTTGGCGTGATGCTAACTGTGTCTTCTTTTGCATGCATTAGTGAGCCCATTCGTCTGGCGGTTCATTTTATGTTATCAATCTCGCTGCGCGGCTTAGGCTTACTCGGTGTTCCACTGGAACCACATGAAGAAAACTATTGAGTTAATCGCCGTGTTAAACCGGCTTAAACACTGTGAACTAAATATCTTTCCCGGCCTCGAATCAGTTCTAAAGATTTGCTGTTCTTGATGCCGCGCTTTCTTTATTCTTTTTGGACTCTGGTTCCCTTCAGAGACTTCCATTCAACACCGAGGGCGCCGATGAGCGTCACACAAGATAAAGCAACCGGGAGATAGAATGAGTTGTTGAGGGCATGGCTGTAAGCTGAGACCACTACGGTGTGCTCCCATGGGCTTAGTCCTTCAGGAATAGTAAGACCGTGACTGGTCAATTCGGCTACGTCTAGTTTTGAAGCAAATTGAGCTAAGTAAGAATGCAATTTGGACGTGAAGATGGTCTGCGATGCAGCAACACATATGGCTGGGCCAATAGCCTGGGCAAGCTGAATGATAGCGATGCCAATCTGCGAGTCCGAGTCGGAGAAGGTTGCTTGAACGGCGACTTGAGGGCCTTGGAAACCAATGCCGGTGCCGAAACCTAGCAAAGTTTGATAAAACATGTATGTCCAAATATTTGATCCAGCATTCAACGTAGTGAGTAGCCCAGTTGCAGGCGGCGTCATGATACTGTTCACAAGCATGAATGGGCTGTAATATCCGATCAAAGTAGTCAGATATCCTGCGAGAGGAACCGAGACCACCAGGCCGGCCGCTGTTGGAAGAACCATTACACCCGACATGGATGCTGAGAGCCCTTTGACGGTTTGGAAATAGGTGGGCATCTAAGAACAAGTTAGCTTATTCGAGAGTGATCCATGCTGGTAGCTCATACATAGTATTCAATAACGCTCAGTGAACCATTATTGCAGGAACTGAACAGGAAGCCAAAGAGAACACTTCGTCGTCGCAAGATGCGAAACGGAACAGTTGCATGTTCACCAAGACGACTTTGATGCCAAACGAATACCGTGAACAAGGCCGCAAAAATGCATAATGGCAGTATGACGCGCCAGTCTGACCAATTGTACTTGTTGCCTCCCCATTGTAGGGCTAGGAGTAACAATGTGAAAGCCGGCACAAATATGGCTGTTCCCAGTACATCCAGCTTACGCAGGACTGATATCAAGTTCTCATCGCCGATAGACTTTCCAGCACTCAAGTCAAGAAAGAAAATGACAATGCAGAATGCAACGACAATCAGAGGTAGTTGAATAAAAAAGCACCATCGCCAGCTCAATCGGTCGGTCAAAAGACCACCAAAGAGAGGAGCCGTGAGAGACGCCACAGCCTCCGTTGCAGCGCCGATTCCGGCATACGTTGGTCGCTTCCGCAGCGGCGTGATATGTATGACCATTCTTATCCGCAAGTTAGCAAATGTTATCGCTGTGAAAGCGAGATTTGGTGGAACGAACGCAAATGCCCCCGATATGACAGCGGCGGTAGCAAGGCCGGTGATGGCTCGACCTAGAATGAATACCGGCGAGCTTGGTGCAAGAGCACACACAAGAGTTCCCGCAGCAAAGATACTGAGGCTTGTGAGGATCAATATCTTCTCCGGAAGCATGGCGTAGAGCTTTCCGAACATAAGCTGAAACGAGCCCGACATGAGTCGACTGTTGATGTATAAGTCAGCGGTCGTAGATGGCTACATTGGGTTCGAAACTTCTCACTAGATAGAATTATACCACGCAATATCATTGACGCCAAAATATCGAGTCATAGCCGGGACGGCTGTTGCAATAATATTGCTATCCTAAATCATTCTGTCTGTCAGGACGACTGATAAGAGGTTTTCCGTGCACTGTCAACTTACCAAGCCTACCAGCGTAAAAGATAGACAGACAGCGACCATGATGGCTGCAAACTTAAGACCAGACGGATAAATCTTTTGCTGGACCTCCTCATCCTCCAGCCCTGGAGTAGCAGAAAGATCTGAGGAAACGGGAGGTTGAGACACCATCTCGTGTGCTGCCAAAGGCTCGCCTTTGGTCGGCAGATCCATTATCTGACGGTCTCGACTAACGATACTGACTGGCGAGTGTTGTGATATAAAACTTCCCACTTGCCTGAACATCCAGGGTACAGAGCATTCTATATCTACTACCTTACTGTATGTTATCGTTGGTGAAGCAAGCATTAGTGGAACGATGGAGGGTAGGACTCGCCACACTCAAATTAGCCAATGATAAGTGGAATGCCATTGAGCGCCCTGTCTAAATAGAATTTTCGTGTAGTAGGGCGTTGAATGGCATCTCACCCCCGCACTCATCGCACTTACAATACCTACTTTATAGACGTTATAAAAACTCGATCTCTCCCAACTAAAACTACTGCCATTACTGACTCGCTGTCATCATTAATCGTATCCTTTGTGTAATCGTGTGATCTCTGACCAATATTTCTGGTCCCCGACCCTGGAGAGCTTCTGCAATCTCTACTCATCATGTCTGCCAAAATCACGACCCCATTTGGTCAGGCTGTTCCACCAGCCCCTCGCCATGCAGTCACTGTGCATATGGGACCGGAATGGGCCAACGCCGTGAAATTCGGAGCTGATTCAGCGTCGGTCGTTGCCAAATTCAAGAATACCTACCCCCGCACAAGACCGCATCGCGATATTGCTCAGGTAAGCCAGTCTAAACAACATTACCACTCCTTGAAAGACTTGGCTAATACAATTTGACAAGCTTTCGGAAGCCGCACTCAAACATATCGATTCGACAAACAGCGCCTGTCTCCTGTTCCCCTCGCTACAGTCCGCCAAACAATGCGTCGGATATGCTACCTCGAGAAAGCGCGACGATGGAACCGACAAGAAGCCTCTTAACCCCGAAGAGCTTACAATCCGTGCTTTCGTCGCCAAAGATCCTTTCCTAGCTGTTATTTTCCCAGCAGAAAAGTATCGCACCGTGGCCGGGTTTTGGAGCACCGTTGGCGTCGGTATCACCTCTCGGTTTGCCGAGGCCAACCTGGCTCATTTGGACAAGCTCAGAGAGGTCTCTCTTGAACAAGCCGAGACAGACAGAACCATTTTTGAGAGTCCAGGGCACGAGACTTTGCGACAAAGAATTTTGGCCCTCATCAACCGAGCGCCGTTACATCCCGACCAACCTTTAAAGGTGGCTGCCAACGACATTTACCTGTATCAGTCTGGTATGGCCTCTATCTACAAACCCCACACGTACATGCTCGACCATTACCAAGGTGCATCTGTTCTCTTTGGTATGGCTTTTATGGATACTATTGTCACACTAGAGCAATTCGGCACCGAAAGCAAGTTCTTCGGTTCGGCTTCGGACGAGGACATCCGCGAGCTGGAAGCCTACCTTCGAGATGCTCGGGTCACGGGCCGAAAGGTACAAGCCATCTGGGTAGAGTTCCCGGCCAACCCGTTGCTCAAATGTCCAGATATCGCTCAGCTTCGAAGGCTAGCGACCGAGTACGACGTCGTCCTCGGGATTGACGACACGATCGGAAGTTGGGCAAATATTGACGTGATCGAAATGGCTGATATCCTGGTTACATCCATCACCAAGTCCTTCAATGGATACGCCGATGCAATTGGAGGAACGGCTATTCTCAATCCAACATCCCCCAAATACAACGAGCTCAAACCCCTCTTCGACGCTCGGTACGTGCCAGAGGTTCATACCGACGACGCAGAGACCATCGAGCGAAACAGTCGCGACTACCTTGCTCGCTCAGCAAAGTTAAACAGCAACGCCAGCGCTGTGGTAGAGTATCTACATTCTCGAGCACAAGATCCAAACAGTTCTGTCAGTCGAGTATACTACCCTTCTGTCAATCCGTCCGCAGACAACTACAGACGCTTCATGCGCCCTGAGATGCCGGACTTCGCCCCTGGATACGGCTGTGTCTTCAGTGTCGAGTTAAATGACCTGGAAACAGCAAGGGTCTTCTACGATAACCTCAATGTACACAAGAGTGTACATCTAGGTGCCCCTTTCACCTTGGCGTTCGCTTATACGTTGTGTGCTTACCAGAAGAGACTAGACTGGGCTGCTCAATTTGGTCTTAAGCCAACGCAGATTCGAATATCAGTTGGGCTAGAGGATACAGGCACACTGGTTGAGGATTTTCGGGTTGCAGTCGAAGCGGCTGATAAAGCGAAAAACACGGCTTCAGAATAGACATGAGACCTCTGTACTCTTGGGCTCGACCTTGAGAGACCTCTGTACTCTTGGGCTCGACCTTGACAATCATCAGCTGATATTGTTGGTCTAGACTAAGACGCTGTTCGTTTCTATACGCTTGATTGTAATTATTGTGTATAGATGATAGAATTACCTTAAATCGCACACCATAGAGTCAAGATCGAATGAAGCATTCTCCATCAAGATAACAGATCTTGGCTGTGGAAACCTACTACAGAATGAGAGGAGCCTTTTGATAAAGCCTTTGAATACGTTTACATCTGTATTTTCCTTATATACCTTGCAGTAGATAACACTGTCTATTATATATATGCTGGGAGAATCTATACTTTCTTCCTATGATAGAAGCGCTTGGCTTGTACTAGTCTTACGCCCTTTAGGCCGTATACCTTCTTTAGCATATCAAGACTTCGGTCGCACCCACTCTCGTTAACACAAACTATTATGTTGGGGTTATATTTAGATTGTCTCTTAATGAAATCGTCTCTCTTTATTATGTTCTTTAACAACAACTTAAGGAACACGACCGAACCAGTCTCTTTGCTTAATCTCCCTACTAACTATACTTCTATTAACCTTTAGATAAAATGCTGTCTATAGAAAAGTAACTATAGCTTATTGGTTTATTCTAGATATTTTATTATTTTTTGCCTTTACCGCAAGCTATATATTCTCTATGATTTTCTTTAGTCTGCTGACTGTCTCACTAGGGGCATTAATGCTGCTATATTAAAAGTAATTTAATTGGGTGATACGTACGGTCTTTGTAGAGCATTTAATAACTGTTTTGCCTATATCTGTATCTGTGATCTTCTCCTTAATGTTTAACTTACTTACAATAACATTCTATAGTTTAACATGCTTACTTTTAGGTAGGCTCGCTGCCATGGATTTTTTCCAGGACTAGCCACGTGGATTCAGCCAACATTAGTCATTTTAGGCACTTATAGAATGGAATAGTTTAATTCTGACTTTTTTAATAATAAGGTTATATAGACAATATGTTATTGTATAAATTTATACTATGTGGGGCATAATATAAAATTTGATATACTTTATAAAACGGAAGGGTATTTTGCACAAGGCTGTAATAGCAAATCTATTCTTCGTCTACCCATTTCTTTACATCTTCAACAAATGATCTCGCAATTCCACGCAATACGCCTTCCTTGACATAAAAATCAACATCCTGATTGACATATACATGCTTCAGATCCAGACCCTGCTCCAAAGTGAGGCTGCCCGCCTTTACGATAGCGGTTTTCCATACTTTATTATTAGGCCTACTTCTTACCTAGAGATAAAAATTTCGTTATAATATAACTTGGGGTTATTGTAGGTAGGGTAAATTTAGAGGAGAGTAATCTGGAAGAAAGAATAAACAAAAGTAAAAATTAAAGGAGCAGAATTTTCTTTCTAAGATACTGCTACAGCGCTTTAAGTACATAATTAAATCTAAAGCTAGAAGTAGAATTCAGCCTATTTAGACTAGAGTTATTAGACGTATTAGAAAGTTAGTGCTTATGGTGATAATAATATTCGCACTGTACTAGCCACATGCCCCACTAGAAGGTCTATGCAGAAAGAGATAATATATAAATAAACCTGGACACTTGTGTCAGTTTCAACTGTATGTATGTAAATATTTTATACATATGTACAGTAGAAGGCGAAATAAATGTCGCTGGATTTTTAGATAACTTTATTAGTAAAGTAGGTCAGCTTATGGCTTCTGAGCTTTACAAAGTATCCCTTTTAGATAGAGGTACTCCGTACATAATATAGCATCCCCTAACAAAAGCCAGAAATAGCTGCAAATCTACTAGAAATTCAGGGTATGCTCCACTAAAGAAACAACGACCCCCGGAAAGTGCTGGTCTGGTGTTTTGTAATTCCACCTCTCTGGACTGCACCGTTAGGATCCTTGCTCATCCTCCGCTCCTCGCCTTATCAAATCAGGATATATTATATTACATGTTCGTAATGAGTAATTTCAACAGCTATGGGAGCGCTGGCTACAATTAGAATACATGCTACCTGATCGAACGCAGTGCAAGCAAAGCCCGATGCTCCCATTAAAGAGGTCCAGACTCAAAGTACGGTTTCTCCTATATTCTGGTGCAGCATGCTTGTACCCATAGGTACATGAGGTACTTGATTCCTCAGGTATCGGGTCAGGCATTCTCTCTGCTGACTGTAGGGCCTTGGAGATGGAGATATGGGGTAAGTGTGCTGGCCAAAGATCCTTTCTTTCCAACAGCTTTATATATGCATATGCATATTTGCTTGTCCATCCACACTTGTGAACACAACCCAGTCCCATCGTTTACTCCTGCTATGAGAATTTCTGCCACCCTCAGCCTTGCAAACCCTCTCTGCTCTTCCAGCAGACCTGTTCATTTGCCCGTCAGTCATATTTCCAAACCGATTATCTGGGTACTTACAGAAGACCTTCCACGACATAGCAGATTCAACTTTTCTGCACGAGAGAGTAAGAAAAGGACCATCATATTCAAGTATCAATGCTTTCGTGATCTCCTTGAACGCTTGTGCGTTCTGGAATAGATATGCCGCGGCAGTGAGAAGCATTAGATTGCCAGCTTTGTCTCTAGAGGGTCGAAGCCAACTCTCGCTCGCAAATCTCAGGGCTTGAACACAATCATACTTATCTGCGGTGACGGCAACTGCGAGGACATCGCCTGCAGCGAGGGCTTGAGGTACTTCTCTGTTCTGATGGTGAATAATAGAACAGATAATCTTCAACGCAGCAGCATTATCTTCAGGCAGTAATAACTCGGCAGGTCTATCGCAATCGAGCAAATCATGGCCTTCTTTCCAGTCTGGCCCGAACATGGCGGAGAAAGGTTTTGAGACTGCTCTCAACAACATAGAATGAACATGGAGTTTTGCCTCTTCAGGCCCAACTATTAGAATAAGGTCACCGTCTGGAGCAATTTCGACGATTGTGTTTGTCTGAGGGTCTTTTTGGTTTTCCATTCTGAAATATTTTGATTGTCTGCCACTGTTTTGTAGAGGCGGCGTTGAAATAGCGTAGATAGTTGATCTTCGCGGGTGCCGTGTCGTGCCTGTCAAACAACGCCAGTCCCAAAGGCCCGCATTCCACCATATTTCTTAGCCTTCTCCGGCCTGGCGTCATGTGAGAACTACCGTCATAATTATACAACCAATTTTCCGAAGCATTAGCGACGAAATTCGAATATGCTATTATATGGCCTATGTAGATGCAAATGCAAAATGTATTTGCTTAGCCGTATAGCTACATGCATAATATTAGGGATCTAGTAATATTGCATATATATATTGACTTTATATACAATTAGCGTAACGAATACAGGTTTAATGAAATATATTACAACAATTTACAACAGCAATTGCTTTTATTTTCTTTGGGGATGCGTTATCAATATTAGCGCCTGTTATTCGTGCAGATACTTGATCTCCTTCCCTGGATTAGGGGGATTGATGAGACCTAGCTGCTGCAGCGCAGTTAATGCGCCCTCCTCTCCCGTCTCATCAACAATCTTGCCGTCTTTTAGAGTGAATATAGTGATACCAGAAAAGTACATCTTCTTCCCTGTGTTTGGATGATCCAGGGAACCAACAGCCAGGTCATGGAACGCGACACCCGAATGCGTGCCCCCACCAATCCATCGCCCTACAACGTAGAGACCGCTCGCGATAAGGGGATGTTGGTAAGCATGGAACGAAATATCTGGGAACGCCTGTCGTTATAAAACATCAGCGCACGAACCTCGGCGATGAAGACGAGCAACACTGGTGATGCATTACCTCCTTAAATTTTTGGAGCATCTTCTTGGCCGCGTCCTTGCCATAGAAGGGCCATGCATGGGATAGTTTATAACGAAGTTGTCTCCACATAACTTATCGACAATATTGGCATTAGCCTTGCCCCAATACTCGGCAAAGTATTCCGTAACAACGGCAAGGTTCTGCTGTTCTTCCTGAGTAGACATTATGACAGCTAATATCGGCCCAATTAGCGAAGATTAATGAGCTAGAGTTTCCAAAGTCTGCTTAGAAAGTACATGACCAATTTTCTTCTCACAACTAGTGTAGAAACCTAGTCTTTATAAGAGCTGTCTTGTGGTTGTTTCTGGCAAAATATGCCCCATAATTAGTCGCTACTGAATTGACCAATAGGCGAATTTCAGGCCCAATATTAGCTACTATTTGCTACTACGTTTTGTTATTTTATTTGTTACTTTAATAGCAACCGCAAGGTAAGCATAAATGCACTAGACTTCTGCCCGTGATGTGAGAAGTATAAGTATATACATATTCCAATGCCTTCCCAGGTTGTCGTAGCTACAGCTTCAAGCATAGTGACTGTTACATAAAACCAAAAATGCCCAAACCATTTGTTTTTAAAGGCTCTCCCTCCGGGAACGTCGTCAAGCACGAAGTCGACAGTATGGATCGCAATTTGAATAATAAACAAGTTCTGGTCAGAATCACCCATTCGGGTATCTGAGGGACAGACGAGCATTATAAGACCCAGGATATGGTTCTAGGTCATGAAGGAGTTGGTGTCGTCAAAGCCATCGGCAAGTCAGTCAAAGGAATGAATATGTAAGGCCCAGTTGCACTCATGCACCCAACTCGTCTAGCTTGTTGGACAATTAGACAGATTATTAAAACTAACGCGTTTATCCTCAGTGGGGATCGAGTCGCCTAGGGGGATTGTCACGGAAGCTGTATGACTTGTTGTGAATGTGAAAGAGGGGAACAGTTGTACTGTAGCCAAAGACAGCTCTATGGTGAGATGCACCTAGACCAGGGCTCATTAGCATCCCACGCTGTGTGGAATGAGGCCTTTCTATTTCTTGTCCCTGACTCGTTCCCATCGGCCGAAGCGGCTCCATTGATGTGTGCTGGTGCGGCCGTCTACTCTGCTCTAAATGGTGCCCGCGTTCGTTGGAGTGACCGTGTAGGCGTCCTGGGAGTGGGCGGCCTCGGCCACCTGGCAATACAGTTTGCCGCGAAAATGGGCTGTCAGGTTGTTGCCCTATCTCATACTCGAAACAAGGAAGCAGATGCTGTTGCTTTTGGAGCATCTGAGTTTCATTGTCTCTCAGCTGCAAATACAGATTCCGGGTCGGATAAGCCCCGAGCCTGTAGACTGCCTGCTCTTAACCGGAGCGCAGCAGCCGGATTGGGGCAAAATAATTACCTTGGTTCGCCGCGGGGGCGTTATTGTTGCTATGACGGTTGATCCAGGGAGTTTGCGAATGCCATACATGGATCTGGTTATGAACGCAATCTCCATACGGGGCAGTCTCTCGGCCCCGCCAGCGCTTCACAGAGAGATGCTTCAGTTTGCATCATTTCATAAGGTGAAACCTTTGATTGAGACTTTCACATTCATGGAACAAAGAATTAATGACGCTATGGAGAAGCTTCGCCAGGGAAAGATGAGGTATCGCGGGGTCATTGCTTGTGAATATAAGCCAGAAACTACACAAGTTTAATTATGTTACATGGTTGATCTGCCGTTTTCGCTTGCCAGTAGTGCGTTTGACAGTACTTATAAAATCTGTTCTTATTAAGAATTCCCACAGATACATACATAAAGCCACTATGGAGAGTGCTGTTTCTGCGACTTAGGGGGCAGGTTATAGTGCGTAAAACGTCGGCTAAAATATAAACAATCAACAGACAGTGTTGGCCCAATGCTAGATATCAGTGTTCTAGGTTACATTTAACGAAAATGTCAAATTTGGAGGGGAATCTTACAAAATTCCTTCTACAAAGGCATGTTGGTGACTTCTAGAGGCGCTGTGATCAATACGCATAGTTTTGTTATACCTAAAGCCAGATAATGCTACAAGCGGGAAGCAGAAACCATTATCTGTCAAATTAACTAATAATAACATATGCTGTGTTCTTTTCCTGTAAGTGAAGAGCTATATAGCTATTTTTACTGGCTATAGCCAAGAAGTATTAGTAATGGCGCGTGCCTTTTTCCGCAAATTTTCGCATGATTTCAAGTTTCTACAATCTTCGGTGATAAACTTGGGAGCGTTTTCTACAATCCTTTTGAGAAATCTGATTAAAATAATCAAGAAGGAATTAGTTGTTTTTCACTGTGTAATTATATTTACCCATAATGTTGAGGCTTTTGGGCTTGATGGCAAATAGCCTTCCCCAGCGCACTTGCGTCAGGTAGTAGCCATACCGTGTAATTCTGTCGTATCCTTTTGGTACACCATCATACTATTGGTGGTCAATGATGATATATAACCAGCATATTCCTGCTCCCCTCGATCGTTGGTGAGATAGGGAAGGTCTTCGTTTGAAATGTACAAAGGTCGATTGACGGTTACAATGTACTAGCCACGTTATGCCTCAGAACTAATTCATGCGGGAAGACTTTCATTATAATGAAAATTGGAAACTTATTTCGGTTCGCACTGCATTTAAGGTTCATGTATAGCGAAGGCTTCATGGGTTTTATATACAGTGACCGAAATACTTACATGTTCGGGTTTCATCGCATTGAAGCTCTTTGCGAACAGACAAATTCTTGGCATACACTTCGTCGTCAATATACTGCGTACAGTTCCACACTCAGCCGAGTAGTATCTGGTAATGAATTCTATGGTTCTATATGATAGAAGCTGGTGTTACGTACACTTGTGTCTAAGCCATAAGCATCGACGCGTTTTAGGTTGAGTCGTGCAGGAAGCCACACGGCAAGATCACGCCCTCTCTGCAGCCTCAAAGCCAGAATAAGCTTAATGCTGAATTCATCAATGTCTCCGCAGTTTGATACATCTCAGCATGACTTGACTGATGACATAATTAGACAGGATTTTCCGAGTGAATGGATACAGTAAAAAGCGGAATTGTTTTGAAAATGGTAGACTAAGGGCTCATTTTACTCGATTCATGGTTTAATACCTCTACTTGTAGTACTACTAACGCGCTGCTGCTACATGTGATAAAAAAGGGCATACCTAACAGAGGGAAACCAAAAAAAAAAAATCCCATCATTATAACTGTTCCTTATTCTGATGATACATCAGCTGTATTGATTGGAATACCATTTAGGAGTCAGAGCCCTCGAGCAAATGGCAACTGATTTTGCCAGTGTTACACATAGAGCCTCTTAAATGGTGGTAAAGAGCATTCCAGTGGCGAAGGCAAGTTGTATGCTCTAGCACATTAAATTTGCTATATAAATGGTTCTTCTGATGGTGGCGTTCCTCCGAGTTAGTATAAGATGCCTCTCTGTGTGTCAGCACAACAGCAATAAGTTAAAGTTTATAACCTTCCCCTGAGCTAACGAGTGTAGCGGCAATCATAACGTTGCCACTAGTGAGTAGCCCGAATGAGAGGAGAGCGTGGCTGCGACGGATTAATTACCAGCAGCTATTTCCACAAGCATCCTGCGAGGCATGGAGCCAGCTCATTCGCTAATCTGGACCTGCGGCAGGGCATTTGCGGGGAATTTTGCCTTCAGTTACTATTGATGAACCTTATCACTTGCCGCTGGAAGAACCAAAATTGTAGGCATAGGTAGATTCTCCAATCTCCTGTTTTATTTCGCTTTACTTGACAAGAGGATCATTAAAGTTTCCAACACCAATCATGGCTGGAACAAAGTTCATGCATGTCATAAATTAACCCTTGACAGGCTGTAGCCTTTGCAATAAATCTACAGAAAATTGAGATATTTAACTGATACTGGCCTAATCAAGCCATTATTACTCGTATATGTTATTTCTCGGAAGGGACGCGTTAATGTAAAGAAGATAGACGATGGCCGATAGAGATGCAAATGCATAAGCAAGTTGAGTGAGGTGCAGAATGCTTTTTACATGGGCGGCGATCTACAGTGATACGGCCCAGGCACCGTCTAATTAGCGACTACGGAACACGATCCACCGGTATTAGCCTACAGCGCTGTGAAAGTCTAATAAACAACGTCACTCAGTAATTTGTTGTCGTTGATGGGAAGAGCAGGCTATGCGACGCTTGTTTCCTATAGCTCGAGCTGATTGACCCTTAGACTGCGGCTAAGATAACACGAAGCTTTTGTCACTGAAATCCCTGTCCTGGCCTGGTTGCCATTGCCTCTTAAGCGGCCGCTTTTGCCCCGACAGTCCTTTTAATCATAGATGATGTTGATGGTGACTGGCACGTTGAAATCAATCTCGCCGATGCAGATTTGGAACTAAATAGGTATGTTTGTTAAATAATGAATGAAGCAAGCACAAGGACATTAACTTACACCGTTGTTATTGTTGCAGCAAATAACTTTTTGGTCACATGCAGTAGTGTTTGAACAGATATGGCCTGAAGACTATTAGAGTTTTCCCTAGATAGAAAAGGGCAATTCATCACCTACCACCGTTGCCATCGCTGCTGCAGCAGTACGGACTACCGGCAGAGCAGGCATTCAGCTGAGTGTTTGTGCCTGAGTCAGCGTCACAGCCACCGCCATTGTTCTTGTCGACGCCCTTGCCATTGCCCTTGCCCTTGCCTTCTATAACCCAAATTAGAGACCAAACTAGAATTGATATGCTTGGATGATTGTAAAAACCTACTATCCTTTTCATTGTGGTGATTCTTGTTGTGGGATGGGAACCTCGGAAACGGGATATCTGCGAAGGTAGGCATGCGAGGCTCAATAGCTCGGGGTGCAACCTCGGCCTCTTGAACCGGGGATGCCATGACGCCGCACAGGGCGACGAGAGTATAAATGATGACAGAAGCGTACATGATTGCGGTATAAGAAAGTAGCGGTGGCGTGGGCCTTATTGAGGAGAAGCGACAAGTTTGTAAAGAAGTAATAGAGCAAAGTAGATCCAGAAAGGCCTGAGTATGTTGAGTAACTCAGAATGAAGAGAAAAACAATGAAGAGAGAAACAGGTCTATTTAAACAAAAAAAGCATCTACTCTAAGACTATCTTTAGGTTTTGCTACATAGACAGAGGCTGTACCTAACAATAACAACGGCTGCTGAATGTGCAGAAAGCTAGTTGCTGCAGGATTTATAAGATGACCAGTCACTATCTCTGCTAGGCTTATGCAGGTTCAAAGCAAGAGCTAAAAGCCCCAAGCAGCAGATTGTAAACATAGTAAAATTGTTGAAAACTTAATGTTGGGTTAACATGCAAACAATGCATACTTATTAAACGCTCCCATTAGCGGCTTGTTGGAAGCGGTATTGATTAACGTCTCTAACAGCTTAATCTGACTTTTGTTCTAATCATGCATCACCTATAAAACTTAAAAATTATACTTTATATAAAGATGGCTGAAATGTATTAGAGCATCGGTATTTCATTACGCCTTTATAATGCTACATCAATCCAAATTACTTATCGGTTCCTAAGAAATATAGTCTCTTCAGACCCATTCGTACCATACCGTAATACAGCGTCTCAGCTTTAAATTTACCAGCCTTAGCTAGTTATATAGCGATATAAAGCAAAAACTAGCTGTGTATAACGTTGCACATTAAGGTTAATATTAAAACTATAACAATAAGTTTATTAGATACAGGTGGGTATATCGTCCTATTGCCCAGAAGGGATTTATGTAACTAGCTTACTTAGTGGGCGTTAATTAATAATAAAACACGTCAATATATACTTTACATGGCGTGGAGGCAGACATCAGGGGAAAGAGACTAACAGCCAATGAGCCAATGCCGGGGAGTATTCATGCCCTGCAACAGACCAGATAATATCGTTGAGTCGACAATATTTTTATGCCAAGCATGAATTCTCTGGACCTCAAACAACATCTTTAAAAAGCTTAATATAAGTCTCAAGAAATTATCTGCACGCCGCAAAGGACACACTGCACTGTGTAGAGAGGTAATTGTTCCAATAGTTGGAAGGTAGCTGTATTATGCTACGGCACATTTTTATACTTTTTGGTAAGCATATTTACAACAGACAGTATGAAATACCCTCCACTTTTAGTATAGATGTCTGTTCCTTGCATAATTTTGTTGAGGACCCCGTCAAAAGAGACTAGAAACGGACCATAAACTCCACTGATGTCAAGTATGAAGCTCGCAGCAGAAAGCTAGGCTACCTAGGTAGGCAATGACGAACTTCTCCCCAGGTAAGTCTTGCCATTTTGCACTCGTTAGAGATTTCATCTCCCTCGCCGATGAAGAACATGCCAACACGACGGCACTGACCTTTACTGGTAGTTTTGCTACTGTATTTATTGATAGATTCCATTTCGTTGCCAGAGTCCTGAATTGTCTCCAACATCAGGAAACAGAGGCGTAGTCGCCACGAGGTATTGGAAGCAATATGGATAGCAGTGAGGCGCTGTCCAAAGTATGGTTTGTCGGAGCCGATAGTCTGCTCCAACATAGGAGTCTGGCTTTGTAACAAGCATCGTCACAAAACGCTGAAGTGTATGAGTCGCGGCCTTCAAATGCTCCTAGCTGAAAGACGGGGCTTCGATGACAAGTTGTCCGCCATTGAGGGCATCAATGTGTACGTTAATGACTTCAGTTACGGACACGACCTCTCTCGGCCAAGAGTCCAGTTCCCCTTACAGGCCGGTCCAGCTCCCTTATGGCCCAATATCCCCCTCTGTAAGTTTCCTTCATCATCTGCAATCGGATATCCAGCTCCACGATGCCTTCCATGATTCCAAAGTAGACCGCGGAAGAGATCACACTTCCATAGCCCAGTGTAGTACTCATCTTCAAGTACTCCTTACATTTGGGCTGCAAAAGCTGCAAGCACAACGAGTCTGTCGCTGGGCACAGTGAAATTTCTCCTCGAGTAATAGTGAGGGGGGCCGTACCACAGCGAGGAGAGATTTGTGGTTCAATAAATGGTTTCAGATTTAAGTTTGCTCACATCTCCCACTAGCACATATGTAACAATACTCTTGAGTTCCTCCGGCGCGACTAGCTGTACACTTGGGCGATTTCTGGCCAAGGCCAAGAGATCATCCCCTCCCGACTCAGCGATTAGCGAAGAGGGGCACTCCCATCCTATTTGGACTCTCGTATACGAGGGAAGACGAGATGCGAGGAGGCTCTCTTGCATAGTACAGCCTCTTGTTGCCCACTGGCAATTTTGATGTCAAGGCGTTCCCTGAAGTAATCGAAACATGACTGAACTCCTGCATATTGTTGCTTGTAAGCGCCGTCATATTCTTTGGGAGTCATCCAAGGCAGACGACGTCAACGGATCTGGCTTCGATCTTAAAAGGCTCATAGTTACCATTATTCGAGGCTGTGGCGGCTATGACTACTTCTACGTGGTAATATTTGTCGTCTAATTTCGGTGACTCTCAGCTCCAGTCTTCAGGGGAATCTTGAAAGATGTACAGGGAGTCTACCTATAGATACTGGATATCGAGAGCTCTCGTGACGACGATGGCATCTCGGGAGGATGCAGGTGATTCTTAAATAGAACGGCCATTCTCCGGTCTCTCCAAGGCTTTCTGGGTCAGGATAAAGCTAGAGGTTCCGCCCCAGGTATAGCTGAGAGCTGTCCATCTGCTAGGAAAAGACCCCCTCATATGCAAGTGAGGGTTCGCCGTAGAAGAGCCAACACTAATAACCCTCGTAGGCAGTATCTCGATCTGATTACGCAAAGTAAAACAATGTTCATGCCTTGCGACACACTCGTCAAGTCATGTCTTTGCAATGCTCAGGTTGACCTTCGAAAGCAGAGTCTCCGACGATTTCATTAAGGAGCAAACATATGGGATCATCTCAATGCAATAATTACCACTCTTGAACGCCAATATTAGAAATTTACATGCCACAGCTCTGTATACGCACCTTTCTCTTGAACGGGAAAAAAGGCCATAAGAAGTTTCCAATCGGTGTGGATTTCGATACGAGCTTTGAGTGGCCCTTTAAGACTCAGCAGTACTGGGCCTGAAAATTTGTATGCAAGATATTCGTCTGTAGAATGTGAAAAAGGTATTTCGTGGTCGACTCCAGTTAACGACTCATGTTGTTGCATGAAAGTGTTCTATATCATTAAGCAAGGTTTGCAACTATGGTCGGGTGCAACTCATATACTCAAGATTGAGTCATGGTAAGAGACTAGTTGGAATGGAATATCGCAGCTCCTCAGCCTGTTGTTCTAATACCATATTATCTTTGAAGGTTGGCGGGAATGCCTTTGGCCAGTGATTCTGTTTTCTAACTTGTTCCTGGCGCTCATCACATCTGGCTCTAAGCTGAATCTCAAGCAACCTCGCCACTGCTCAATGTCGACATATCAGTACGTCACTCCTCTCTTCAAAGCAGGGTACAGCAACAAATGGCTCGCCCATCCGGACCAACAAGAAATTATTATATCGCTATAGCGGCTTAATACTTTGCAATCCCCGTTCTAGAGCATGCTTATTTCCGTCATTGGATGTCTCTCTTTTAGTAATGGAAAGGCATTGGCAAATGTCCGTCTCACCTTGCCACTCCACCCAAGCACAGCACCTGGAAGCAGCTCCAAGCCCAGAGTGGTTTCATTAAGGAGAGGCTGTCTAAAGAGGCGGATTAGTGCCTCATTCCGCCTTACAACTAGCAGTAGGGGTGTTATGTATGAGCACAGGTAGCATGGAACTAGATTAAAGAAAGCTATGCATGCATCTCCTTAAACACAAGTGCTGATATTTTGATCTGGGGCGGGTCGCGCTGGCTATCGCTACAAAACACTCTCAAATTAAAGGGCAAAACGCAGAACAGACGATGAGGTTGCATTAACGGACGCCATCTTCGAAGTCTTGTAATCAGCCAATGGATCTTCTTTTAAGACCTGCGAATCACGTTGTGCCGCAGCAGTGGCATGTTCTATTTGAGGCGCGTGCAATGCGTAGCTACTGCTTTCATCATCAAATGTGCTAAAATTGAATGAAATTTCTTTTTAAAGCGAGCTCTAAAATGTTTCAATGAGTGTAAATAATATTCTAGACTAATTGACAAAGAAAAGGTCGCCAAATACTTGCGTGGCTAGACCCCTATGCACATTACCTATAGGAGGCATTAGTAACATATAAAATCAAAACCTACGCTATTTAAATCAGGATAGCATCATCGAACTTGTAACCAAGTTTATACCCTGGTAAGCTGGCACTGAATGTGTATGAGCATAGTGGCGAGGCTGATCGACAGGTGCTAAACATCTGGAGGCCATACAATCCTGGTAAACGAGCGACGCAACCAAATACCGTCTAAAAAGGCAATTCTGAAGTAGGCAAAGATCAGCCACGGTGGCACATCGCCTATAAATGAAACCCAAACGGTTCCTGAATCGGCAAATTAGTCTATGACGCGTGGATGTTGGAATAATGCAAACTGGGCATGAAATGCGGGCAGCTCAGCAAGGAAAAACTTGAGGCCACAAGACAAATAGAACACCGAAATTACCAGCAAGGGGGGTAGCTACTTTTCCTTCCCTTTTATTCTCTTAAAAGAATATCGAACTTTTTACGAAGTATATCAGAGTATAGAGCCATCAGTCACTATACCCGGTTTCTGAGCAAGGCAGGCTGAACAATGCCTGGCAGGCTAGGGGCCATGACTTGAAGCTGCCGAATATTTGTAAATCTGGAGAGCGGCATGCTTATTTCCACTTTTGAACAGCGTTGAGATCAGTGTCATTCTATATTTAGAATCTTAGATCGATGTTCAAATTGAAGTCTAAGTTCCATGAAATTCGATACATACAAATGGCAAGAAGTGATGACTACCGCTACAGTAAAGGCCAAATCACAAATATGTGAACCAGGACAAATTCCGCGAATATACAGTGACCTTGTTTGAGGCGGCCAAATTGCCCGAAGATTCCATGCTCTTATAATGTTAAAATTGATACATGCTTACAGGCCAAAAGGCCAGAAGGCCCGGCCATCGGTACTCAGCCGCTCTCCTTTAATGCCTTAATTCTGCATACACGGGATCTTAAGAATTGGTATTCCGTAAAACAAAACGCTCCAGGAGTAGTAGCTAGCATGGCCTGTAGAACCCCTCCGGTACACAGTTGGAGAAAGGGATGATTCCGACAAAAGAAATACGGAGTATAAGTGCAGCCTGGCCTGGGAGGACATGGTTGAAAAGCATCATGAGAGGCTCACAGATGGTGGCCATCGATGACTAAGAATGCATGCCAACGCATAATGATGATTTGCGCAGTGATGTATGCTAGTACGCATTATGACGAGCGATCTTCACATGTAGCCATCTGCTATATCCTCAAACATACAAAATGTTACCCTCCTTATGTTGATCAAATTATGCATACTAATGCTCGTATTGCGTCTATATACTCAGCTTGACCGGTTTGTATTACCTGGATTCGATCGGATTCATCACTGCCGGCGTACGAAGTAGTGCCACGTCAAAATCATCCGGAGAAAAGGATCGAAGAGGGGACGTCGTCTTATTGGTTCGCAGCCACTAAACACTGTCAGAATACCCCAGAAACTTGCATGAATAAATTAATTAACTGGAGCTGCCGCGTTCTTTGTTGTCTTAGGCCACCCACTATTGTTGGGTGAAGCTACCCTGTAAAAAACCGATTGTGCCGGTGGGCAAATACGAACACTGCGGTATGGCTTCAGCTCGATTTGCTCCTTTATTTCATGGCAGTGGCGTATGGAAGAAGCTAATTAGCCTTTACCATATAAAAGTTACGAACAGTGCGCGCAAACAATTCGCAACAATGTAGTGGTGTGTAGAGATCATTGCCGTTTCAAGTATTACGGCCGGACCATTCAGATTAGTTGACAGTATGCGTAGCTGAAGAATATAACTCAATTGGCCTTCCTCAGTGTACCCGAGGCTATGCTCCCTGCAAAGCCACAAGATCGACATGTCATTTATCACATTTCAGGCCAAGAAGTTCCTGCATAACCGTTGGTAGTGCAACCATCATCAGCTAGCCTTGTTTCTATAAAACACACGTTATTTTTCGGCTGATGTTTCTCACAGCTACCGGGTTCCGATAGATGCCGACTATGAGACGAATTGAGGAATCGTAACCAGTTTGCTTACAGGGTATTAACAGTGGATATGCCACGTCTTCGGAATATAACGCCCGACGTCTAACTAGGATTCTGCATGTGCAAGGGTATACATACGCTTGAAATGAAAACAGGCAAACAGGGTGGATGATTTGAGTGACAGGCTGTTAACTTGAGGGGAGACTTGACGGCTCACGGAGCAAATGCTCAGATTCGTTGTAGCATCTGCCATTAATACCTACCACGACTCTGCCAGTGCATGCTGCTCTAGTTTTGCACAATACATATTTGGGTGCCGTCGATATTAATTTTACCGCTAGACATACTTTGAACAATGGGATATTGGCTTTACTCTCGTCCGGAGAGATCTTTTCTTCAAGAATTTATAAGTCGCGGTTCGTGTCTCTGTTTCTCCTAACAAGGCTTATTATTAAGACCCGAGAAAGCGTTGCCAATGCACGGTTCAACTAGAAAGTCTGGATGATTCTACGCCTAGGGTGCCTCGAATCTGACACCGGAGCGGATCGGATTTACACCGATATAAACATTCGATATGCGGAGTACCTATATCTAAGAGTCACTAATAGGTAATACGAGTTGCTTGGATGTGCTCTACACAAAGTACCGTAGGATCGGCATGCAGCTGAAGTGGAACTGGGGCGTAATGCAGGAGGAAGGAAGCGTCTTGGTATACAAGTACCGATGCTATTGGTGGTAAGAAATCGACGGGCTCCTCAGCACGGCAGAGCAATATAAATTTCCCTGTTTCGACTCCTTACCTTCTATACATACATGTATGTACTCTGTAGGCCACAAGTCAAGTGATTGGCAGCTCACTAAAAATAGTATGCATGAATTTGCCTCCCCCACGGCACAGCGCAAGTACTTCGGCAGCTCAATTGGGCATTGAGAAACGGGGCCGAAGGCCCGAGATATTACAAGTGAGCCAACCAGCAATCATCTGGGGTCGGGTTCTCGGGATACATCCGCTGAAAATTTTGCCACAGGGGGCGAGGCAACCAAGCAAGCTAATGCCTCTAAGGGGTTAACTCTAGGTGTGGTATTGGTAGTACGAGATGGCTTTGATCTCGTACGATGATATCGATATTTATTGCTAATGTAACCGACTTCCGAGATCCACACGCTGATATGTACATGAATTACAGTATAAAACACTCTTTGCCTCGTTAACAACAGTTACGATTGAGTGGCGTTGCAGTGTCTTTAGTCCATTGAAGGTTTCGACGTTGTCCTGTGGTGTAATGTACTTGAGAGATTCGCAATAAACGTAATAAATAAAACAGCTTGATTGAACGCTATCCATACATAACCAAAGGCAAGAACGCCACCGGTACAGTGCTGATGCAAGGTGAACGGCTAGCTCATTATTCCCTGTAGAGACTGGCTGAGATCTTCCATACCATCTACCAACCACGTTGTCGAATTGCCTACTGTGTATATTATTTCACACTGCAGCCTAGCGGTACTACTACTTCTACTTCATTTCCCATTTTATTTTATCCCCTGCACAATGACAGATACATGATGAAAGTATCTAATCCATGACCCAAAATATCCTGGCATCCAAATCCCAGCTCAGGCACAATTGCATAGCTGTGTTGACTTGATTAAAAAAACAAGATTTATGACTGCCAAGAAAACATGAACCTTGTATGAATAGATGAAAAGAGACTCAGAATTGAATATAAATATGTTGATTTCTCGCTGCCCAAATCTTTTAACCATCACCAAACAGCTCAACAGATCAGCAATCCCAACACTCTCTTCAATATCAGGCCTTAATCTTCATCGGCATTTATTGCTAAACAATACATTTCCTTCAAAATGAAGTTCTTCGCTGCTGCCGCTCTCTTTATCGCCGGCGTCCTTGCCGCCCCGTCACCTAATGCTGCCAACTCCGTCACCCCTCTTTGCAATCCTGGCCTTTATTCCAACGCGCAGTGCTGTGCCGTTGATGTACTGGGAGTTGCTGACTTGAACTGTGCGACTCGTAAGTAGTTTTCCGAACCTCACACCTTTTCTTTGCTTTGACGATGCTGATACTCGCAATTTAGCTCCTGGCGTTGTTAACAACGCCGCTGAGTTCCAGGCTGCTTGTGCTAAGATTGGCCAAGAGGCTCGCTGCTGTGTTCTCCCTGTTGTAAGTTATCCTGCAAAATGTAGAATGAAGTCGCTTCATGGACTGGCAATACTAATAATTTGTCTCTTTAGCTTGGCCAAGATGTCTTGTGCGAAACCCCCCTTGGATTGTAAATGACCTCTGGGTTAGCAGACGCTGCGTCTTTTCCACATTAGTGGAAGTCTGTATCTGGTGAGATAGAGAAGAGCTTGTTGGAAATCAGAGTTTAAATGTGTTGATAGAGATATGATCTGCTATTTAGCCCAATATTATAATATGAATGGCACATCAAATTAAATTAAAACCCCAGAAACCTGAAAATATTCCCATGGTACTTCGTAGCTACATGTGCTCGTATTCGACTGATGCGCACTCTAACGGACACATCGCTAGCGCAACTTCAAGCAGCACTTTTGTTATCACTGAAGATACATTTTTCCAAGATACATGTTCATGCGATTTAAGGCGAACTTGTCCCCGCCCCCAAACCGAGTTGAAATTCTTTATTGTTGGCTTGGGATTCTGACGTTGTATTTTTAGTTTCTGCGATAAATAGGTTAGGACTATGTATTATCGAGTGGTCATTAAGAAATGTAATAACCAATAAATAAGAACGATCCGATAGTTTTTATATCATATCTTCTGATAGAATTTGACTCCAGCTCACATCTTCAACTTTCAACTCACTCCAATACGGATTCGAATAGCAGTAAATATTAGTTATATAATTATTTTCTGCGGTAATTGAAAATGTGCTTTGAATTCTTCAAATGCCACTTTCCTTTCAGTGAATGGGGGGCATTCGAACAACTTGGACGCCACGTAGCTTTGTATTTCAGGTTCATCCACCAATGCCCAATAAATTATGCCAAACGGTGATGGAGGGATATATTGGTCAATTACTGAGCGTTGTAATTCTCTTGTAATATATTGTGTGATTCTGAGCGCCTCAATAGCCAATTGACATTGAAATCGAATTTGGTGAGGGAGTAAGAGGCCATTCCCGTTTGCTCCATGGGCCATTCGGCAAATGTATGCCATATTCTCGCGCCTTACTGGAGTTGGTCGAATGAACGGAGATACAATGGACCATTTAAGCCGCATAAGCTGTATAAGTGCCGAGTTATAATATATAATTTCCAAAGCCAACGATACAGAACTGAACTCTAGAGGTTTTGATAGAGTCTCGTCCAAGGAAAGAGCTGAAGTAGTTTCATCTGTAGAGTGGTCAAAGGTTTCCCAAACAGCGGTAGGATGTGCGTGATACCATTCAGTTCGCCATTTATAAAGTTCGGAAATATATTCACTTATTTCGGGTTTAAACCGTGCATAATCACCATGCTCGGCTATGTCTTCTAATAATCCCAGGATTCTGATCAAAATATTCAATAGTGTATTTTCAGTTATATTCAGGCTACGTTTCCACGGAACAGACGACCATATCGGAGCTTCCAAAAAGGAGCGCTGTTGATGTCGAACTCCCCAACAAAGCTAATTTTTGTAAAAATAAGTTGCCGTTATCATCTATCAAGATAGTCTGTTCAAATAGTGGCATGACTCACATGGAAGACTCTACAAGATCGGTATGTAGAAATCAGAGCTTCGTGCTCAAAATATTCTGGCCCACAATACTCTAAAATTTGGTTTAAGCCGTTGACATGAGTATTTCCGGTACCCCCTTCTACGGACCACTTATATGTGTTAACAGCAATGCACCCATTTCGAATACGAATGAAAACTCACAGTATACATGGCCATCATTAGGACAGCAGATACCAGCTTGGCTAGGGCTGTTTTATCTGACTGCCTAATCAAAGTCTGAGTTTGTTGTAGTGCTTCTGCATATAAGTCTTGAGATTGCGCGAGTAGCGTCTGCACTTTGAGTTTTTTCCCCATGCATCCATATATAATCGCCAGACTACAAATCCGATTAATTGTAGGTGAGCCAAGCTCAATTGCCGTCTTCAACATCGGATACCAAATAGGCGCCCATTGATAGACAGAGTGGAGACATGAGCGAATCCTCTCGTCAATTCTCCCCATAGCTACCATCGTAGAGAACTGGTCTATGGGAATTTCAAGCCCATTTAACGTTACACCCGGAGGTCTGGCGCTGCCTTGATCCATAGCTACATAATGCTGCATCCGTAGAACGGGCTGGTAGCCTCTGTAATAATGGCCAGAGCGAAAACATTGACCGCACAAAGGCTTGACCTTATCTACGACATACGAATTTCGTGTTAGAGCACCCATTTCCGAATTAGAAATCTTCAACACCTTACCGCATTTAACGCGCCGTCTTCGGCAAGTGTAGCAGTAGCCGCTGGTTGAGTATCGTCCCATGTTTGCGATGAGCTAATCGGTCAATTCGCCGGAACGATAGGTGATATAGGGAGAGGGAGAAAGAGAGATGACATAGGTAGCTATTAATTACTAGTCGCAAGTGGGTGCTTACGGTGGGTTGCCAGGATTGGTAATCGCTTGAGGTTGCATTTCTAATTAGTAGACAGCCGATTATGCTTATGCTCGTCAGGGCTGTAAATATCATACTATATTTCTCGTACGGAGTAGTACAATTCTAAAGTCTCAGTTGATGTCTGAATTATGCAATATCGCATATTTTGACTTGCAACTGCACCTCACCCCTCGTCCATTTCTACATTCTTGGATTAATGAACGCTTGTAGGCGAACGACGAAGCATATGTGTATATTAGTTTGCTTTACAGCCTATGATGCTAAACGATCATAGTTCTTTAAATTCTCAAGGACACTACTATTGATGAAATCTGGCGAGTATATGGCCGTATTGTAGTATTAACTCCTATTAAACAAGAGTTACCTTGTTGCTCAGCCATGTGAGGTTTGCCGGTTTCAAGGTAGATGCCGCACTCCCAAAGAACTCCACCAGGCGCTGCGCAACCCATTCAGGATTCTCATCTGCGATCCAATGGCCGGCCTTTGGAACTATGTCATATGTTGCGTTATGGCTGAGATTGCCCCACAGTTGCTTCAATACACTCTCTGGTGCAAGGCTTGCTTCACCACCCAGGGCAAGGAGAGGCATCTTGAAAGTTGAGCCATCAAATCCCTTGGTGAAGAAACTATTGTCCGCTGTTGTTGAGGCGCTAGAAAAAGGACCCAGCATGCTGCGTAAAAAGCCTGGTTTGCTAATACTATTCGCATAACGCTGGAGAACGTCGTCCGGAATCGCCTCGTTACCACTGTAGCTGCTGTGATAAAAATACCAGGACAGCATTTCCTTTTCTCGGCCGCGAATAAAGAACTCTGCTGCATCCGGCACGCTAAAAAATGCCAGTTGCCAGTTGGTGTAGAGATCCCATGTGGGAGAGGGACAAGATAAACCCTCGTATCCGTATCCTGGTAAGCCATATTCAGATATACCAAGCGACGTAACCGAGTCTGGGAAAAGGACTGCTAGGGCAGATGCTGCGCCTACGCCTTTATCATGAGAGAACACTAAGGTTTGGTTGAGTTTTAGAAAGTCTAGAAGACCCTTGAGGTCTGAAGCCATTGCTTCAGAGCTATAGTCGTTGTTTGCTGGGATAGAGCTATCTCCAGCGCCTCGGTTATCAGGAGCAATAACTGTGAAATGAGAGGCGAGAATAGGACCCATACGACGCCATGTGTACTGTAAATATAATAAAACATATGAGCCATGGTAAGATACAGCGACAAAGATCAGGAAAGACTTACGCTGTGTTGCGGGTTTCCGTGAACAAGTAGTAAAGGAGGTCCACTTCCCGCGTAGCGGAAATGAATGCTCACGTTACTTAACTGAACTCGACCGTGGTCCCAGTCATCGAACGGAGCAGTGTCCGCTGAGACAAGTGGAAGCAAAGCGAGTGCAATAATGGAAGTAAACTTGGAAAGATTTGAAAACATGTTGAAGAGAGTAAGCAAGTGTTCGATCTTGCAACACAAGCGTGCAGCAAATGAGGAGAATTTATTACTAGCGTTAAGCAAGCAAAATGTGTACAGACAAGTATTACAGATTCCCAAACTCTCAAGATCAATTGAAGAGAGGAGTCCCCTTTATATAGTCTCCAAGTTATATTAAACTAAGATTATCCAGATATCTTAGCTTGCGTATGATGGCAAGCTTGTTAAATTACGCAAAGATTTTCAATCAATGAGACATAAGTAATACCAAGTTAGTAAAGCCAAGAATAAGCAACGGTTATGGAGGTAGCTATTGAGGAAACATCCGTCTCCACACTTGAGATACAGTAATCGTCTATACAATTGTTCCGAGTAAGCGCCCAATACCAGCAGAAGAAAAGCAGCTTTTTTTTTTTTTTTTTTTTTAAAAAAAAAAAAAATTCAATTCAACACAGCGAAATTCCAATGGCAATTGCTTCGGTTGTATAAGTACATTACAACAAGTCACTCTGAGTTTCTCATTGAAAAGTCGGTCGTATCTTGGTTCAAAATTTCGATATATCGCGAGTCAAAGAGGCTTTCGCCATGTCGAGTACGTGCGTGAGCATGTTGGACTAATTCATCGGTTATGCACCTCGACAAAACTAGCCCATTTGAGAATCGAAGTGGCGCAAAAGACATGAATCTCTCCACAATTTGCCACGTTTGGCCGCTTAGCTCTGCGTCCCTTGTAAGCTTATATAACTTCGTTCGGCTTAGCTACAAGTTCGCGCTGGCTTATAAATACGAGTATGCTGCTAGAATTCGAATGCCGGGCTGTCAATATCACATGGTTATATGCCAGTATTACACCTACCGTAGATGAATAAAAGCATTCCGGCTGTTCCGACCCTCTAGGAAATGTGTAGGTCATTTGTGAAAAGTTACTAACTACAATGCACACGTCTAAATGTATGATGTTCGGACATAATGTTTTGCTTTGCTATTCAAGTTAATATGGCGTGGATTGTGCATATGGCAGAGGTAAGTGGCACTGGCGATGCAGTTCTCGGGTGAGAAAGATTGAGATGCCAATGTGGAGTTGAACGGAAACTCGTCTTGGTCCTTGAACTCGTCGATATCGATGCTTACCAGGGTCACCTCTTGAATTCCATCCTTGGCATTTGGGGGTTCCTGGTGGATAACGTGTGTGGCCATCGTCTGGGCGTAGCTCCGGCAGTTAAGTGTCGTTTATCACATGATACGGACCTTGATATCTATAGTCGACTAAATTCGCAATAAAATATAATGTTCATACTCGAGGTTGTAATAACCAGCGATAAAGCATAGCGTAGGGTGATGTATGAGAGGACCTTGCTTTTGAAGAACGAGCCGCCATGCGCCAAGAAGTGAGCTCTTTGTGAGCACATGTCGAAGAAGCAGGTCTGCAATCGCTACATACATAAACCTAGAACTGCCAGTCATAGAATTAGAAAACTCGGCCACCTGGCAAAGAGGTGAATGGGCAGCTGCGCAAGTGCACGTCCGGCTCCTGGATCTAGGCGGTGAACAGGCCACAGCTAGAATATTGTTACACCAGCCCGCGGAAGCAGAATTTCGAAGCAGCAGAATCTCACTTCACGCTGGTATGACTTTCGTCTTCCTTTCCCGTCTCTCTCTTATCCCTCACACACCTCCACGCTCTTCTGCTTCGGCCAACCATCACCATGCCGCGCAGGAGACGATCACGAAGCCCGGCGGAAGTCTCAATGACTCAAGACTCTGCCAAGAGACAAAATACCGAAAGCAAGAGCAAAGTCAAGGCCAATGTCAAACCACGACCAAGTAGCGCTGAAGCTGCACCCGGACCATCTCTCACAAAGGAAGAATGGGTCGCTGGATTACCGTTACCAGCGTCGCGGATCCCATCTGGATTCTTACCCAGTTCTAAATTCCAGCCACAGGCTGTTACGGCATTGTCTGATGACTGCAAAGCGGAAGCAGTAAAGGAGTGGATTTTGTTAGAATATAAATCACGACCACGGTTTGCACGCTTGCTGCGTTTGGAGATGCTCCAAAAAAATGACAAATTATTGGCTGCATACTTGGGATTCAACACGGTACCTCAACTATATTATTTTGTGCATTTTCAAGGTAAAGATTTAAGATTTGTTGTTACCCTTCGAACCGAGCTACATTACTACTATTTCTTCGATATGTGCTGACTATATCGACAGCCCCTAACACGCTGAGGCGTCTGATTCGGATATACTACCGTGACGCTCAGTGGCGACAGAAAGCAGTCGATGCGAGCGCTAATGATATTTTTGCTCTTGGCTCTGAAGTATAGGAACGATTCAGAAGCCTATGGACAACAGATCTAAGCTGGATCAAACTGGCACTTGACACAAGTCGTCCAGATCAATTTCTAGTTTCATCAATGCAATCTCAACAGAATTTGGTCGAAGATGAGCTCAATGCCACCATGGAAGATATCGATCCAGCACTATCGCTTCTTGCTGCGTCATACAAATTGATCAGGGCATATCCTAGCCGCTTCTGCCAACGATCGTCTCCACAGATATATGAATATACCTGGGGCATTCATCAAGAAGATTGGATGCGAGCTTATGCTGTGGTTACCTTCACATGTGCAAAACACGTTTTATTTGCGAGTCAATACGAAAGAAATCCCAACGTGGCGTTATCTGATGCATTAGAACCATATTTCTCTAAAGAAATACAAAATTCTGAATTTTTTGGATATGTAACAGATGAGTTGTTGGCACAGAGGAAGACGATGCCTGGTGTCCACAATATGAAGGCTGAGATGGAGCCAGTTGAAGAAATGAATGTCCTTGAGCTGGTAGACGACACAGCTGAAATGCGCAATTTATCGCAACTTGCAACAAAGGATGAGATTGCCCATGTCCTGGATACTGCAGAGTTCTTTCAGTCTATGTCTGCAGCTGAACGCGATCGCATAATCCAGGATACTGACAGCGCCTTGTCCGAGATCATCACGAAAGCAGTGTGCACAACACTCGGCGCCATTGTTCCTGGAATTGACCTGAACAAAGGCTTAAACGCCCTCAGACGCTCAAATAACATGCAACAATCTCCCGTTACCGAGAGTGAGAGCAAAGCGTTACAGACGCTGTTAAAGTCACAGATCCGCTGCGTACAATATGGCGCGTTCAAGCAGACAATTCCTGGTGATCAATATCGTCAAGACCCCCCTCAGCGAATTGTAAAAGTGGAAGATTTCACTAGCTTTCATAAAGTTGAGGAGCACACTATGTCCAATAGCGCTGTCGATTTCGAAAAACTGAGCTAGGAGAGGGCTCAGCTTGGAGAGAATCTTCCACCCAACCAAGACTTGACAATCATCTGTAGCTTGAGAGATATTGACATGAATACCTTGTCTGTCAGCCCGTATAACCCATTGTTGAAAGCCAAAGCACCTCAAATACTAGGTATGTAATTTTTTCACAGTCATCATATAATAGTTCTATTGGGACAAATATTCAATAGAACCAACATCAACTTACCAAGGAAGATAATGCTAATGTTAGGGGTAGATGCAAACCGGTTGACTGAGTTGCTAGGTGGACCTCTACGAACCGCCATACTGCATAGCGAATGTGGCACTGGAAAGGCATTTGTGACATTCCTAGCCTTGAAATTCTTGATTGACGAAAGGATTCATAAGTTCGACAACGGTATACTTCATATCGAACAAGACGATCGAATTTTTAAGCCAAGCGTTATATTTATGCCTTCCGCAGTGTTACGCCATTACTTTACAAAAGTAAACTCGTGTTGGATGGGAATCTTCGACATTTGGCTACTTTGCGAGGATAGTGATAATTTCACCGCTGGGGATCAGAAACCCAACATAATTGACAGCCTTGAGGATTTCCAGAAACAAATCAACCACTGGGCAATAGAGCATAAGAGTCCTAACACTTCGCGAATAGTGATCCTGGCTTCGTACGAGACTGGGGCAAAGTTCATGCTGAATCCTGAGACACGTCAGCCACAGTCTAGGCAACAGATACAAGGTCTAAGTGCCCAGAAACAGTATGACACTACCAACGTAGCTCTCGACGGATCATCTCAAAAACCTAGCAATAGGGAATATGACGATAATGGCCATGGAGATGACGAAGCCCGATTTTATCACAGGCCTAGCTGCAGAACGGAGACTGCTCAAAAAAGCCATGAGAAGATGGTTATCCAAAATGACATGTGGAATGTGGTAGTTCTGGGAGAATGCCAATTCATCAACAAAGAGACGAATAGCTACCATAAACTAGCAAAGAAGTTGGACCGGAATTCTCTCCTTCTTTTTTCTTCGCACCCCTTGACCTCTTTGCAAGACTTATATGGCTATCTCGTAGTAATGTGGGATACAGCTTGGCCGTTTAGCCACTCGTTTACGCCAGAGTCGGCGCTACATACGACGCTTTATAAACCAACAACATATGAGCGTTTGATAAAAAGAGAAAACTTTCATGGGGTTAATCTAAAGCGAGTAGTAGCTGGTGGAGAAATAATGACTGATCAGCTCACCCCGCGACAAAGACAGCGGTGCGAAGAGTACATTAGGTTCGTACTTGGGGGATATGGACCGGCCTATCTGCTTCATCCAGAGCTGTATAAAGAGTTTTGGTATACTGGTGGAGGCGAAGTCAGCACCATAGCGCCTGTGATTCAAAAAATCTTCGAGATGATATCTGTGCGACGAGGCTTGTTCACCCCTATGAAACTTCCGAATAATGATATTACATTCGTCGGAAAGAGCGTTGCTGGCCTGACCATCCGGACAGTTGAGCTCATGCCAACAGATACAAATTTGGGCAGAGAAAAGCTTGATAAACATATCTCCCAGCTTCTCCAATACACTGGAAATATGGATGTTGAAAGAGGTGCAGTCAAAGCCATGTTAGACAGCGCGATTTGTCGCCGATTATCTATGATTTCGACCGATATCAACAATATAAAATTGACTACTCCAACTAAAGGGCTATTGAATATTCTATCGACTGTTGAAGGAAATGCCATGCCACTCACACCTACGGGAGGATCAGGAGATATACACTGGCCAGCTACATCCGATACAACTGGTGGTTTACAGTGGCTTTTCTATCTCACTAGTGACTCACAGAGGTATAATTTCCCTACAAACCGGCTAGACCAAGTGCGTTATGCAGTTTGGGACAGTCCCAAGTACCGCTATGTACTATTGAGAGCTCTTGAGGCAAAAGAGCGAGATGAGAAGCTGTTGGTATGCGTAAACAACCCGTTGACATCTCAGTAAGTTGATTCATTTCATAGTGTTATTTCTTTCATGTATATCCAGTTTAAAAGATGATGATAGAAAAGCCGATTGCGACACTAATACCTATCCAAAGCGGCTAACTCACAGTGATTAGGGTTATTAACACGCTTCTGGTAACTTGTGGAATCAAGACCCTTCACTGCACTTTAAGGCACTCTCAATCGGAGAGAAAACAAGCCAAAGCGGCTTTTAACAACAGACTATCACCGCATACATGCCTTGTCACATCCATGCAGGCCTACGGTTCAGAAGGAAGGCTTTGCCAATCTTGTCACAGAGGAATCATCGTAGAACTCCCGACAAATCATTCAGCACTTCTAAATACAATAGGTAGGCTTTGGAGAATCGGACAAAAGCACAATGTGGAGTGGGAGATTCTTATCGCCAGATATACCTTTGATGCGTTTATTGAAGGAAGTATCATGAAGGAGTATTCAGCTGTCATCGCCGCCACAGCAAACATTGATGCCGCAATTATTGGGGAAGCGCGAATGATCTGTGCATACGAGATTGTGAAGCAGCAGCTGGGACAAGGATATTCGCGGTACCCTAGAATGAAAGCACCATGGAATGAGATGGATGGTGATGATATGTGTTATGAGGGATACTTTTACTCAGCGCTTGCTGAATTCTTCTTCCAGAATCCGAGCCAGGCATTCTTGGTGGGCCGATACAACATTCGACAAATCGCTCAAGCTTGGAAGGTTGGAATGAAGATTACCACTGACATGGTAAAGAATCCGCTGCCCTTGGGAATGGGAGAAGGGTTGACCCTTAAGTATTTGTGATCTGTTCTAGCTATGGCAGAGAATATGCGATTGAATGGAGTAAGTATGAAGAATGTACTGATAGCTGATACAGTAGATGATGAAGACATATACGATGTGAGTTTTGGCGATAGAATAACGGAAGATGACTCTGCTCTATTGTGGCCAAATTTGGGGCCAAAAGTGGACATTTTCTATGAATAGTTGGCAGTGTCTATGAAGATGGCCTGTTGTTAGCTCAGATAATGAAGACATGTTTGATCTCTACAAGACATGCTCGCGTCTTTTGTGACGGGTACTAATACATCCAACCTGATCAGCATATAAGCTTCTCAAAAGTCCATCCTCAGCTAGCATCACTAATGCAGCTTGGATAATGGCGAGCAAAAATAACGTGCTCGCACGCAGATCGGGCCTTCACATGCATAAAATAAAGCATGTCATCAAGCACATGAAAGAAGAACGACGAAAAAGAGCCAAGAAGCTGCCGCGGCACCAGCCATTAGTTCCCTTTACCCCAGATCTCACTCTCAACCCCACCTTGCAGCTTTTGTTCTAGTCCCAGCTCCTCCGGCAGCTTTCCCCGCAAAAGTGCCAAAAGATGGTGGGCGGTGCCTGGTAAGCAGGAAGCAAGCATCTGCGGGGAAATCAAAGGGAATCAAGCAATAACAATCGTTTAAAAAAAGGGGACGAAAGGAGAGGCAAAAAGGACAAAAGAAGCTTGCTGCACTGCATTGCTGGAGCTTTTCCATGTCAGGCTTGGTACGGCGTTGCAGTGCGCCGGTTGAGCTGCCTGATTCGGAGCTTTGGGCCGGGGTATTGGGGGAGCAATGACGGATACGACGATCCCTTCTGTTGTTGATGTTAGTAGCGTTTGTGTGCTGCGCGACGGGACGTAATGCAATTTCGTGAGAGTGAGAAAAACGGGATGAGGCTAAAGTCGTGTGCGGTTGTTGTTGGGGGCAAAAGCTGGATGAATTGTGCTGTGTATGCGGTTGGTTGGTGTCCGGACTGGGCGGTATGCGAGGGTATATAAAGCTGACGATGGACTCCTTTTTTTTTTCTTCTCCCTTGGTTTGAAGAGAGTGCTCGGATTGTGAACTGTTGCTCTTTGGTGTTTTTCCCTATACAGAAGCTTTGATTGCTACAGCTGCTCTGGTCTTGTTTGGACACTACCATCAACAATCGACTTACACGCTCCAACTTCTCTTCACAAGTTATAACGTCAACACCAAAAACCAAAGCAACAATGAAGTTCCAACTCATCTCCCTCCTCGCCCTCCTCCCCTCCGCCCTCGCCCAAACCGACCCAAACCCCATCCTCACCGCCCTGGGCACAATCACCAGCGACACCACCAGCCTCAACACCACCGTCGCAAACTTCGACGGCGATCCCCTGAACCTCATCAAAATCACCATCCAGTCCGCCCAGCTGCTCTGCGACATCAACAAGGGCACCGACACGGCCAACAAGGCCGCCAACTTGACGTTTGACCAGACGCTCGCCATCGCCACGGCGACGCTGGCCCTCGCCACGGACGTCAACCAGACCATCACGACAATCATCAACACCAAGCCCCAGTTCGACAAGCTGCTGGTGGTGGACCCCGTCATCCTGCTCAACCTCAAGCTGGAGCAGGATGCCACGCGGAAGTTTAGCGCCGCGGTGGTGGCCAAGGTGCCGGAGGCGCTGCAGTCGGTTGCGAAGGGCTTGACGCAGGGCATTGACGATAGCTTTGCGGAGGGAATTGCCGTGTATGAGCACTTCTTGTAGAGCAGTTTTCTTGGGTAATGACGAACGATGCTGGGTAATATGTCAGTACATATATATGAGTCTGAATGCTGTAATGAGTATATATGTATATATGAAATGAAAAAAACATCAACAACTCTTGACCCCTATTCGTGTGACACATGGCAAGTAAATTGAACGCTAAAAAGCTTTTTTTCATTTCATTTCATATCATATCATATCATTTTTTGTTTCTTCTCACAAACATCTTTCAATCCATCTGATCCACCGTCTCCGCATCCGTCGCCCCATTCTCCGTCCCCAAAATGCCCTTCGTATCAGCCTCGCTAATCGTAAAGCGCCAGCCAAACTTATCCTCCCGCTTGCCCAGCTGAATGCCCTTGAGCTCGGCCAACACCTTCAAGCACACCGGGCCCGGCTCCTCCTGGCCCTCGGGGATGTACGTCACCGTCTCCTCGTTGCCCGAGACGGTCACGTTCTTTGCGCCGCCGAGCCCCTTTGTCCCGCGCCGGGTGATGCTCCGGATGGGCACCAGCGCGGCGGCGGTGCCCGCGGCAAAGACCTCGCTGAAGGAGCTCAGCTCGCCGTACTTGATGGGCCGCTTCTCGACCTTCCAGCCGAAGCTCCGGCCAATCTGCAGCACGCTGTCCGAGGTGACGCTGTCGATGACGCTCTTGGAGTCGGGCACGACGAGGGTGATGTCGTCGGCGCCGCCGGGCCCCGTCTGCACGCCGATGAAGGCGCTGGTGCTGAACTCGTCAATCTCCTCGTGCTTGACGCTGTCGAGGTGCAGCGTGATGCCGTAGCCCTCGGTGCGCGCCTTGTCGCTCCAGCGCAGCACGGGCGCGTAGTTGCCGCCGACCTTGACGTGGCCGGTGCCGTTGGGCGCCGCGCGGTCAAAGTCCTCGAGGATCAGGCCCTTGACGGGGTGCACGCCGTGGTAGACGCCCGTGGGGATCACGAAGACGCAGAACGTGTACTCCTCGGGCGCCGTCAGGCCCAGCTGCGCGCTGGAGCCGTAGATCTGCGGCCGGATATACATGGCCGCGCCCGTCTCGTGGGGGGGCACGAAGCCCGCGTTGAGCGCCACGGCGGCCTTGCACGCCTGCACGAAGAGGTCTTCCGGCACGGGCGGCATGCACACGACCTCGGCCGAGTGCTGCATGCGCACGGCGTTCTTGTCCGGGCGGAACAGCGCAATCTCCTGGTCGCCCGGCAGGCGGAAGGCCTTGAGGCCCTCGTAGGCCTGCTGCCCGTAGTTGAGGGCCGGCGCCATGCCGTGGATGCGGATGAAGGGGTCCGTCACATACTTGAGCGGCGTCCACTTGCCGGTGTGCACCGAGTACGTCGATTCGATGTGGCCGTTGACTTTGGAAAGAGTGACGGTCGAGTTAGCAAAGGACGAAACAAGAAAGAAATGGTGGCTGTAAGACGAGACATGACTCGGAAGAAGCTCTGAAGCATTGGCAACTCACCTTCACGGATCCGGAACCCGACATTGGACCAGTCAATAGTGTTGACCGGAGGAGGAGGGAAAGCACCCATTGTGAAGAGAGGAGCTGCTTTTCTGTGCTGGAGAGTGTTTGGACGATGATTGGCAACTCGACAATTGCGTCTGTCTTGCGAGGAAGAAGCAAATTCCAAAGACAGTCAGTTATCCAATTGATCCAAGGAAATGAGTCAATGCTTTAGTATAGTAGAAGAAGAAGAAAGGACAATGACGAGACAGCTTTATCTGATTCAGCCGAGTGGGTAAAAAAAAGCCGGCGCCACGTTGATCAGATCACAGTAAGAACCCAAAAAGTCTAGAGCTGTGTAAGAGTCAGAGAAGAGAAGAGAAAAAGAAAAAGAGAGCCACAAGACTATGTAAAAAAAAAACCTGGAGACATCAAACGAATGTATATGTATTACTCTCTGTCCGGCTTTCAAAATCCCACACCCCCTCAATCCACATTCATTCCTTCACGCCTCCCAACACATTCAAAATCATTCATCGTGGTCAATTCCCATGTAAGCTTCGCATTGATTGCATCACCAGCCCGATCTCGCTTGGCCCCTCCACAGCCTCCGCTTCCGGCCTTTGTCGCTGCTGCTGCTTTTTTTTTTTCTTCAACCACCTAAGCTGGTACTAGCGCCATCAAGGTTAAAACCACTACTAAAGAGACGGCCCGGCGAGTCCAACTGCAACCTTGTAAGACGGCAAGGCGGGATGACGGCGTCCAGCAGCATAATCTTGCAGAGGAAGGTGATATTTGAAATCTTGGATAATAACTCAGCAAGGCCGGTCAATTCGAGTTGCTATACAGTAGCCTGACTAATAACTACTGGGTTACTGGGTGTACACTAAGAATATACGCAACTTTTAGTTAGTAGTTGTCTTTTGTCTTTTCAACTGTGCCTTGCTGAATAGCTCTAGCAAGAACTTGCCTCAATTCAAGCTCAATTGCTAGTATTTAGCCCCAAGTGCACTCCTAACAACATCTACTACTTGACCAGCAACAAAACCCCAGAAGCTTCAACATCAAATCAATTCGATCAACATTTTAACAAATATTACCTACTGTATATCATCTCAATTGGTTTCATAATATCCCACTCCCAAAATCACTCTCTCTTCTTACCCAAGCTGACGTGATCCCCAAAGGGTCCTCCTCTCAATCCCTCAACCAACCCCCCCCCGTCCAATCACCCCCCCGATCCCCGTCACGGAGCGTTTAGTCTGACATACATACCGTTGTATCAGGAGTCTGACATACATTGTAGTTATCGGGCATATTATATAGACTCACTACGGAGAATGCAGGGACCTTACATGTATGGCTTGGATGAAATCAAGGACCTACAACGGAATGGATGGGAAAGAGAGAGAAAGGAATGAGACAGTACAGTAATGTTACTGGGTATCTATCTGGCAGTAGGTAGCTGTGACGCGCAACCAGATTCCACTTTTCTACATGCACATACAACGTGAATCGGGTGGGTATGCATGCCACTCTCTCTGTGTTCTGCCTAGAAATCATACATGGCCATATCCTCTCCACCAGATCCATTATCTCACCAAATCTCACCTTGGCGAGATCAGGTCCTCAATAATACTACTACAGAGTACCACTACTACCCCCATCCGATAGGCGGTGAAGCACAAAGACAGCATCGAGAATGAGAAATAATGAGCAAGAGAGAGAAAGCGATAGTAGCAACATTACTTAGTATACCCTATGGTAAACTTAAAATACTCGGCTTGCGTGCGCTTAATTTTTGTATACTGCTTGGTGTGTACCATTTGCATACACTCGCCATCCAAAGCGTTTGTCTATAATTACCGCTGATACCATAAATGAACTAAAAGAATCGAGAAAGAAAGAAAAGCGCTAAGAATACAGGGGTGCAGCGGGGGACAAAAAAGTAAATAAGTATCAAGAGAAAAGATGTGCTATGAAGCTGCACCAAAACGGACATACGTATTGAAGGTAGTAGAGACGGTTTTTATTCCCCAAACTTTTTTTTTTCTCTTTCTCTTATTTTTTCAGAACCCATAACTCCGTCACACATGCGAAAACGTGTGGTGGAGGGGTTCTTCGTGTGTGTGTTGTGTATATGGACTCATTCATCGCTACAAACGATGCTAATGAAGCCATGTCCAGGTATAATGCAAAATGTCACTGATATCAATACGCCTCCTTTTCATATACCTGAGACGCCTTGCATGATACCAAAACCAATATGAGTAAAAGAAAAGGAAAAGAAAAACGAAAAGGCCAATTTTAACATCAAAGATGAACAGCATCAAGAGAGAGGGGGGAGAAGAAAAGAAGAAAAAAAAGAAAGAAAACGCTGGATATGTTTTTCATCATGAACTAGACGCCAGTCGCTGAAGGCAGTTCAAGACTCCTACGACGAAAAGATTAGAGGATTCTTCTACTTATTACCATCTGGTCAAGTTTAGGAGACAGAAAACTTACCGCTCACGCCCTGTGTCAAGGTGGCCGTCGCCTCAGTGCTTCGGCTGCCAAGGCTAACCGTCACAACATGCTCAATCTTTTCTTGGCTACCCAGGTTGTTGGCCCATTTGAACACTTTTTCGTCTTCTCGGCCGTCACCAACAACCATGAGGAAGTCAACAGGTTTTCCGTGCGCCTCATCTGACTTTACGCTCTTGCTCAACTGCTCAAACACACATTGCGCCGCAGTGCACTTGGTCCAGTCCAGCGGTTCGACAAGGATGGCGCCGTCTGCTGCCAAGGCATGCACCCGCTGCGACTCACAGGCGTCGTTGACGTGGCTGGCACAGTCAGAAGCCTGGCGCGAGGCTGTGTCATAGTCTTCGGCATTGTTGTAGTGAAAGAGGAGGCTGCAGCGTCGCTCTTCGATTTGGGAGCCTGGTGTTCTCTCGAGATAGTACTGCATGATGGGCTTGACGGATTCCTTCCAGTTTGTAATTTGAGACGCATCAGCCATCTCCAGCCACTCGTCACTGCCGCAGTCCTTGAGGAAGCAGCCGTTCTCAGCAATCAAGCCCAGGTTCGGCACACGTCGGAACACACGATCCAGCTCCTCCGGCCGCCGGCCCGACATGACGTAGACGGTGTTGCGTTCATCCAGCAGCAAGTCATTGAGCACGTCTAGGGTCCGCTGCGGGCTGACCGGGATAATTTGATTGACGGGGCCCCAGCTGACGAGTGTGCCCTCGTAATCCAAGATAAAGAGTCGTCGCTGTGCACTCGCGTACTGAGCAGAAACCGAGTTCATCGAGAGGCGAGGCACATAGGTCTGGTCGCGCTTGTGCTGCTCGTCGTATGATCGATCGAGATGACCGAGGAGCTCGGTGAACCAGTGAGAACCCGTCTGGTGCACGACACACTTGTAGAGGTTTTCCCACCGGCGCGTCTTTTCCTCCTCACCCATCTCGAGCGCCTGCTTGATGGCATCGGCACACTGTCGGTAGTCCCAAGGATTTACCGAAAGCTCATTCTTTCCAAAGAGTGATGACGTGCCGGTGAACTCGGACAAGATGAGGGAGCCATGCTTCTTATCAGGGAGGATCTTACCGTCCTGACAGAAGAGGTACTCATGCGAGGTGAGATTCATGCCTTCACGCTGACTGGTGATCATGAGCGCATCGGCGATGGAAAGGAGCGCGAGGTACTGGGCGTAGTCGATATCCTGCTTGAGATATACCACGGGTTGATAAGCCAGATTTGCCCACGATGAGTTTACGCGTGTAACGATATCCGAGACAGCAGCATCAAGCTCACTGGGCTCGCCTGATGATAGGGCCACTTGAATCAAGACAGTGTTCTCACGCCATTCCGGATTCTTATTCAGGAACAGCTCGTATGCCAACAACTTCTGTCTGACTCCGCGAACATGGTCGAGCTTGTCTCGCGCAACGATAAGCTTCTTGCCTTGGTAGCGCTCTTGCATGACGGAGAGCCACTTCATGACCTCCGGCTCTGCACGGTGCTTGTTCAAGCTGATGGGGTCAATACCAATGGCGAGATGCACAACATCAACGAAGCGGTCTTCCAGCTGCAGGCCTTCCGGTGTTGCCTCTACGGTGAGGATGCGACTGCAAGTAAGCAGGAAATGCCGTGTGTACTCTTGGATCTGGAAACCGATGAGGTTGGCTCCTAGCATACCCTCGAGGAGCTCCTTGCGAACAGCAAGACAGCGGAAGACTTCGGATGAGGGAAAGGCAACGTGCAGGAAGAAGCCAATCTTGGCCTCGGGCAGCTTCTTGCGGATCATGCCAGGCACGAGCAGCAGGTGGTAGTCGTGGATCCAGATGACATCACCGTGCTTCCAGTTCTGGATAATCTTGTCGGCGAATGCCTGGTTGACATTGACGTAGTACTTCCATGAATGGTCCTCGTATGCTTTGCTCTTGGGGTTATCGGGGATCTGGTAGTGGAAGACGGGCCACAGCATCTGCTTGCAGAAGTGGCTGTAGTGGCCGTCAAAGTCCTTGTCGGAGCAGAAGACGGGCAGCATGTCGTGCTCAGTGGCCAGGGTATCTTCAATGTCCTGCTTCTGCTGAGTACCCTCGAGGGCATCAGTGGGCATACCGAGTGTGCCAACCCAAGTGTAGTCAGACAGTTTTCCGTCACGGGCAGCAGCCATGGCGGCGTTGCGAAGACCGCCATTGCCCTGGTCGGCATTGACCACACGCCACTGGGCCGAAGCAAAGACCTTATCATGGCTCTCGCTGCGCATCAGAGCCCGGGGCTTGACGATGCCGCGGCGGCCCAGCTCCGTAGCCTTTTGCAGCGTCCGGCGGCTCTCGAAGATGTCGGCCGGCGGCGGCGTGTTGGCACGCGACTTGGGCTGGTCAGCGCGGCCGCCCCAGGACTTGGAGCCCTTGTCGGCGGGCGAGTTGTCGCTGTGCGGGAATTGGATGCGGAAGCCATCTTCGTTGGCGAATGGATCGGGCGTAGTGGGTTCGTCGACCGGGGTGTGAGGAGGGGTGATGTCGGGCTGTCGGGTGAAGAGACTGGGCGTGACATCGACGGCTGGCGGCTGTGCTGGCGCAAAAGCCCCTTGGCGCTTTGAGATTGTGTGTCGGCGGCGAGAGTTGCCTGGGAGGCTGAATTGGATGGTTTTGGGGAGGAATCTGTACGAGAGGAGAAGCAACAGATGACGTGCATTAGCCCCGGTGCCGCAGAATATGTCACAGCAGTAGCTGACAAAGAAAAGAACAAGGGCAGTGGGAACAAGAACAGCATTTCAATCCATTGCAGCCATTTTGACTTACAGAGAGCAGATAAAGACAGTCATTGTGGGCAATGGCTCGTACTTCGGCTCAAAGGACAGTAAAAGTCAAAAGAGACAGAAAAGATTGTTCTTCGTTATCGATCGAGGGAGTCGAAAGACGCTTGGCCATGCAAGTCAGGCAACGATGGGTAGCGTAGCGAAATCAAGAGAGAGGCCGAAGGAAAGCGAACGAAGGTCGGTCCGTCGCCGCTGATATGGCAAGGTGAAAACTGGCTCTCGGCTATGGCAGAGACATATGGGCAGGACGCGGCAGCTCTCGACAGTCGTCTTGGCGATCGGGAGGGGCGAGTAATCGGACGTTGATCTAGTCGTTGGCTTGGATGAGTAAGAAAGAGGAGGAAAAAGAAGAGTGAAAGCTTAAAGCTTAGTTGAGGAGGGAGGAGAAGCAGTAGAAGCAGCGCCGGCACGGCAGAGCTAAGCAAGGCGAGGCACAGCAAAGTGTGGGAAGCTGGCAGAAAAAGCTGGGCAGCAAGAAAAGACCCGTCGCCGGCAGTTTTGCTCAGTTGAGAAGGGAGCAGCAATGCGGAGCTTTTTTGGAGAGCGGCAGAGACGACGATGCGGTCCACCTGCTTAGGCCCCGGGCTGTGATAGGCTGCGAGGGAGGGAGCGCGCGACAAACGGGATGTCAATGAGACAAAGAAAATCAAGGCTAGAGGGAAGAGGAGCGAGGCAGTAGTAATACGATTAGAGTTCAGGGAAAACTGGCTGGCGAGAGGCGCCTACTAGGCACTCTAAGGCAGCGGAACCGATCGGGTTGATTTACACGAAATCAGTTGTTTCGGCTGGGCCGCAAGCCGTATCACCAGTAGCCGCAAAGCTCCAAGACACTGGGAGCGGGGGTACCCCTGGTCCGGGTCGAATTTTTTTTTTTCTTTTGTTTTGATGTTTGCGATTTTGGGTGCTGTTTCCCCTCGCGACCGGGGTGTGGGCTTGGGATGAAACGTGGGCAGCAGAATTGGGGAAAAAAAAGAGGCAAGGATGTTTTTTTAGGCTGGATGAAGGCTAAAAAAAAAAAAAAAAAAAAAAGACAAAGAGCAAAGAGGGAGTGCGCGTACAGTAAGCTGCTGGCTGCCGCTGATAATAACAGTGACGATGCATAAGATGAATTGAAAGTATTTTACTTACCCGCTGAGCACGGCTGGATTTCTGCTTGGTCTGTTGGGCTGCCGATTGGAATTTTGCGAGGAAGAGCCAAGCTAGAAGGTTCGGGATGCTCCCTGTTTAAAGGCTCACGGGCTGCCGTCTCTGACGTAATCGTTCCAACACGAGTCGTCCAAGCCCGCTGGAGCTGAAGAGGAACCGATCCAGGTCAATTGCTCAAGCTGACGTCCTCGATGGCGGATAAATGTGGATTGCTTTTGGGGGCAGGAGAGTTTGGTCCGTTGGGGTTTCTGGCAGCCAACGAGCAAAAAATAGACAGATGCAACAGCAGAGATGATCTGATTTGCGTTGATACAGGCACGCAGATGTGTGTTGTGCAGCTGCTTGGACGGAGGCGATGCGCGGTTGGGCCAGATATATTACGACACGCCTCATCCACTAGCAATGGCCCCGAATGTCTTATCCTGTGCCGCGCTCAGTGTGTGTGAGTGCGCGAGTGTGAGTGTGAGTGTGAGAGTGTGTGTGTGTGTGAGTGAGTGTGTAAGTGTGCAATCACATGTGCGCAGCGCTCTCTGTAAGCACCACAAGGCAGCTCCCGGAGGTAGCATTTTCTGATACCATCGTGAAATCACCCTTCTCTCATACTGTCGTGAGGCATTAGTTCCCTCACCTGCGCGCACAAAATGTCTCGGCCTACCGGATACTACACGGCGCTTATTACACCACCGGCTACCCATGACCTCTTTTATTTCCCTCTGCATCTGTTCTCCCGTCGCACCGACTCCGTGCCTCTGTCCTGGGTCGTCATTGGAAAAGGGGGGCCAGAGAAGGGTGCCTGACCGATTACATGCTTTTTGTAGAACGCCCATCAACCATCTGTATCTATGTACACGCAGGCAAACAGACAAACATACAACCACACCGCTGCAGCCTAGAGGCCAAAATGACAGGCTGGCGAGGCGCCGAGCTGAGCTGGGGTGAATCACAAGAGGCAGCCCAAGGATTTCTCCGTGGCACCGACTCGGCGCATGGCATGGCATGGCTTCACGATTTTCGACCTTTTTCGACCTCTCATATTCTTTTGCATCTGTTTGTGCTTGTGTCACTGCGACGGGCCCCCCCCATGTCCCCTTCGGAAGCTAAGCTTATCCCATGCCCTGTGCGGGCCGATGACTCGGATTCGACTGCCCCGTGCTCCAAAGCTCTGTCTTGCTCATATATGATCGTGATTCAGGTTGGTTTGCAATGACCACGTTGAAGGATCCTTTGGGCGAAGCCAAGCCCCGAAACGGCGCTGGCTCTGGCGCTGCGGCCGGTCAAGGTATCAGCTAGTTTAGCTCGCTGAGAGCGCTAAGAACAAGCATTGGCTCCGCCTTGGACTTGGAAATGCTGCAGACAATGCCACTCCTGCTGTCATCACGATAGCAACTATCTGCTGGGTGCTCTCCGCAACAATGAAAGAAAAGTCGAGCAATCATCGTGGCGCCCGTCGATGTAACGTGCAGAGGCTTGGTCCCTTGTCGGCCGGGTGTTTGCGGCCCGGAAGCCCCATGCCATTGCCCAAACGGGATGGACGACATGAAATTAATGCGTCCGATTCAAGGCATTGCGCATTCCGGTGTAATACGGGCGGCCCAGGGCTCGTTTTACTATGCAAAGCAAGCTCAACAAATTTGAAGACAATGCAGGCAAAGACAAACGCAGGCAGTAAATAATTGATTGTTGGTTCTATGTATCTGTACTGTACGCAGCGAGAAGGAGTGGCCTACATGTAGGACGATCAAAAAGAGACTCCTCTCAAGATGACTATCACTATAAGCCCCCATGGCCAAAAAATGCTCGGCATATTTCAGCGTGTTTTGTTGTTTTGTTTTTTGAATGCTCCGCCTCTTCCACAGCTTTCCATCTGTTTCCCAGTCAAACAAATAGTTTACATTATTCTTTCATCATCGATTTTACGCACTTGAGCCACATCACCTGTCAACAACGTGTCCCCATTCTCAAAGAAAAACTTAAACCTAAAAAAAAAGCAGAAAAAAAAAAGACCCCCCCCCCTGTTTCTGCCCAACGAGCCCCAGCCCGGCTCCATCTTCTGACCAGGTTCAAGCACAGAGCAACAAGCATCCAGACAGGGTCATTCAATGACAGGCTCTTCGCTCTTGGCCCTTCAAATGCTCACGCGCCGGCGCTTGTGGCCGTCTTTGGCTTGCTCCCTCTCTGATCTAATACGCCATCGTCATACTCTCTGACAGCGATGTCCTTCTCCTCATCATTATTACACTCGTCTGTACACCCCCAACAATCAGCTTTCTCTGTCTGCATTTACCTTTTTATTATTCCGCCTTCCTTCTCTCACCCCTCCTCGCCAAAACATATGATCGACACACATCAAACTTTCAGCTAGGCGAAAACGCCTTCAAAGAAGCCATACCATCCCATCAACATCAGCTCATCCCAGTCCCCTTAGCACCAGCACCGTCCAAAAGCCTATTATTGCTTGGCTTGGGGGACCCTAACCGCTGGGAGGCGGATCGACGACCGCCTGCTCCATCGGCGGGGGTGGAGCGCTGCAAAGAGAAATTCAATCCCCCAAGCGTCGTTGGTCTATGCTCGGTCCTTGCATTGAACGTCGCTAGTTTTCTTTTTCCTTGAACAGCCGAGAGAGCTCCGGCCGTGCCTTACGGGCGTGGCAACGCGCCCTCCCGTCGCGATATTCAGCCGCACAGTTGCTTGAAATATTCAGGAACACGGAGTACCTTCCTTTGCGTGATAAACAAGCTACTTGCCGCGGTGTTCCGTATATCCAAGCAAACAGTCTTGATTATAGACAAAGCAGGCCTCCGTCTATTACCGGGGGGTCATCCGCCATTCCAGTAAGCCTCATTCGTTGGCGATCCCGCATCCCCTGCTCTCATGCAGCAGCTTGCTTGCATGAATCAATCAAATCGCCTGCCATGCCCCCAACCACCAACCACTCGCGAAAATGCATATTATACCCAGTACAAGCTTAGAAGCCTGCCGTCCAAGGGGGTAACATGCGCAAGTCACCAAGACTCAATTTGTCCGTTAGCGCCTTTTACTGTTCCCTTTACGATATCGCCATTTCTATTGCTACTATATTAACCCGAAGCAAAAAGAGAGCAAAGCAAGACACCACAATCTGTAGACCTCGAATCTCCCCTGTATGCCGGCAGTATCTTGATAACATAACAAGTAACTATGCCCTGGCGGGATTTATTTCCCTCCCACGTTGTAGGGCCGACCTGTACTATTGGCCCTGACGATCCCTGTATCGCCCGTTGTGGCAAACATCACTTACTTGGCCGTCTATTATCCCCTACCTTGGGGTTTGGGGATAAAGTGCCCCTACCCACCATTTTGCATGTGAGCATGTGTTTGGCCGATAGCTGTTTATTTTTTGGATTCATTGCGCGCTCCCTTTATTACCAAATGCATGCAAGCTATCACGCCTTATCCGGGTATTATAGAAGCATCCGGTGCTCAATCCTACTCTGCTCTGCTACGCTTCTCAATACGTGCCTGGACTACGGAGTACTACTGAATAGTTGGTTAATATTGTAATATCTCAACTTTGCTGCGCTTCCCGTGCCACCTATCAACTAGGCAGCCCGTACGTGGCCATGCATAACTTTTAGTTTCCTGCCGTGCAACCTCGCCTGAGGCCGAATTGATTGTGTCGAGGCTTCTCAATGCCGTCCGAAGAGACCGAAATAATGTGCTGGCAGAGAGATTCCTTCCTACCCAGGGTAGTGAGCACGAATGTGTTCTACCGCGTATACAGTGCAACATGGCATTTGGCGTCCACCACTAGATAGATACATTAGTAGCTAGGAGCACTTCGTTGGAGATAGTTGACTCGTATGTCCAAAATAGAAACCCAAAAATGTTACTAAAGACACCGGCGCCTTGAAATCCATCTATTGCCGCCACAATCACACAACCGTGGACCTTTTCCTCTATCTTACCCCGCACCTTTATCAAAAACACATGCTTGCCTTGAGTGAGTCGTCAGCAGAAACACCTCAAGCGTCTCCCATTCGATCTTATATGCATCATGGGCGTTATTTAGATGCAGCATCACAGGGAGGGCAGTCAGTAATTGGCGCGGGGTCTAGTTCATCCTTAGAATTCACTGTATACTAATATCAGATTGGTTCAATGCGCCTCTTACATCCAGCGCTTCGTCTAAATTATGCAAAGCGTCCATATGCAATGTCACATTGACGCTCTTCTAACATCCGTCATTATACCTGCGCCGCTTGTCCTGCAAAAAGCTCTATGTAGTCTAGATCCAGCGCGTACGTGTAAACCAATGGCCCGGCTGGAAGCCGATACCAACACACATGCTATAACTCGCAATATTGTTCCAACCAATCTTCATCAGTTCATCCACAAGCGTACAGCTTTGTCTTTTCCTCCACTGCCAACTCGTTGTCCGTCAGGACTCCAGTCGACCTAGCGGATGACCGTTAGTCATTGAACGATAGGAGTGGCCACACAAAAGGAGTAGAGAGGCAGTTTAAACTTACAGCGAAGACTTCATCTTGGTGTCCTGGTAGGTCAACGGCCAGTTTGTATGTAGCCATTGACCACACCTTCAATGTAGTGTCTTTGGATGCCGTCACAAGGAGCCGACTATCGGCAGAAAATGCACACTGGTATATAGGTGCTACATGGCCTCGGAGCGTGTTGATAAATTTGCCATCTCTGCATTGCTCATCATATTAGCATATGTCGTAAACGAAGGCCTGCGGTGTCATCGAAAATACACACCTTGCGCTCCAGATCTTAGTGTGGTTGTCCCACCCCGCGCTGGCAATGAGGCTGCCATCAGGGGAAAATGTCACATGGTTGATGGCTTTTTGGTGTCCCAGAAGTCGTGCGACCGGTTTCGTACCCTGAGAGGGATCCCAGAGGTACATAGTAAAATCATCCTGTGCATCACAAAGGGTTAGAAGAGCGAAGCAGACACTACAGGTTGTTTGCTAGGTGAACTTACAGAGGCTGAGACAAGTCGCTCTGCAATCTTTCCCTGGAATCTCGCCGCTTTCTCAAAGCGCTCCTTTGCCTTCTTCCGCCTTTCCTCTTCGCCGCCCGGTGTGGGCTGGTGATCATAAAATGAAGTTCGTAGTGCGAAATCCGTGGAAAGGGCCAGGTGATTCACCCAGTGGGCATGGGAAGAGAGCGTATGCACCAGTGTTCCCTTCTCGGCGTTCCACACTCTGACAGTTTTATCGTGGCTGGCTGAGTAAATCAACCCGGTTCCTCCCCATTTGACGCAGCTCACGCTACTCCGATGACCGGACAAGACATGCTCAGTCCGGCCCGTGTTCACAGCCCAAACTCGAATCGTTGTATCCTTACTTGCACTCGCTAGCCGAGGAGACCCATTCTCCCATAGATGATACGGTTCCCAGGCGATGTTGGTAACCCACTTGGAATGCCCTGTCAGAGCTCCGGAGCCGGCAGATTTTCCTGTCTCGGGGTCCCAGAGTCGTACAGACTTATCCATGCTTCCAGTGGCCAAACGCTTACCATCGGGCGACCACGCCACACACAGAACCCAGTGTGTGTGACCAGACAATGTAAACTTTGGCGTTCCTGTTTCCGTATCCCATATCCGAGCTGTCTTGTCGCCAGAGCCTGTGGCCAGTCGACTGCTACTTGCGGGACTGAATTGAGCGGCCAATATCGCTTCTCCATGGCCAGGTATTCTATGAGACATGCGCGTGACTGCCTGGACTTTGAACACAGCCTGAGGTTCGGCGCTGAGTGTTACTGTTGTTTCAAAAGGGTTCTCGATGCCATGGCTGCGCAAAAGTTGGAGCAAGTCGGTCGGATACTGGTCAACAATGATGTCTGTCTCAGGAATGTGTATTCTAAAGCGATACGGCAGAAACTCTTCTCTTTCCTGTTTGTTCAATTCATTAGCCAAACAAGAGGCCCCGTTGGATTTTCCCGAATAAGTGTGAGACAAACCCTAGCGAGAAGTGTATTTAACAATAATGATAGGTTTTTCTCCGATGCGTCAGCGAGAGGCACTTCTATAACGTCGGCCATCTGCTTTCCCTCGCTGTCCAGGAAACGAGCCTTGAACGAGCCCGCAGGGCCGGCCGCAACAGCGCTGACATCTTGTTGTATTTGCGTTCTCTCCAGATTCTCGCGCTTTTGGCGCTTTGATGGAGGGGGTAGAACCGTAGCCATGGTAAACTTGGAAGCTTGCCTGGACTATTATCGGTGTCTCGATAAATGTGTTGAAAGTTCGCGACAGAATAAAATGGTGGGGCCAATTGGCAAAAATCTGGGAACCGTGGGAAAAAAATAAGGCGGTGAGAATGTGGGGTTCTGCCAAAAAAAAAAGTGAGATAAGCTCATCGCCAAGCTCTCAGTGCCCCAGCCAAAAATAAGTAGCATTGGTAGGCCAAATAAAGCTGCATCAGTCTGAAATAGTTAATTCTGTTGAATTTAGTCACCAACAGTATGTTTAAACTTCAGGCTGAGTTGCCATGGTCGGTCGGTGGCCGCGAATGCGCTTGGGCGGGCCGGTGAAATGAGAAAACGCTGTGGGAATTGTGGTCATGGTTATCCCGGCAGGGAGGGGAACAGGCGTCGTGGCAGGATTCTGTGCAAGCTGGAAATGCGGCTCTTGCATCAATGGCTGGAGATGACTATTCTGTGCTTCCTGCTGAAGTTGATGATGAACTGCTTGTTGATCAAGATTCTGTTGATGCTGATGCTGCTGCGTTTGATCGTCTTGTCGTCTCTGGCGACGTGCACGCTGTTTCTGGGTTGATAGCTGTCTGCGGCCTTTTTCCACCAGCGAGTGCCGCTTATCTTGAGCTTCTTGTCTCCGCTGACGTTGCCAGTCCTCATTCTGGACAGCGTAAATGGCTGCGATCTGCATCTGAAACTGTGCAAGTGCATTCAGCCGGTCTGGCTGCGGCATCTTGCGGTAGTCGGACTTGAGTTGGTGAAAAGTGTCGCCTGTTAAACGAAGGGTTGATTCAGAGACGCCAGCTAGTTGAATTGCCGTTGCCGTCTGAGCATCGGGCCGCGGACCATCATCCATATCTATTAAATGCCTATTAGAATTCATCCGTGGACAATCTTGAGTCATTCGACCACGAACCTGGAAGCTCGGTAAGGTCATTCTCTTCTTCGCTCATCTCAGATGGCGTTGGTGGCTCTGGAGTCCCAGGAGCATGGTTATGCTGGTCGCAAGAGATGGTCAGCACCCAGCCGCCAATGCTCTTGCGGTTGACTGCTTTGGCTTTCCAAGGACAGTCCGTCTTCTTGGTGGTTGTCTTGTGCTTGGTAGCCATGCATTTATACGGCCGACCACCACGATCACACACGAGATCACATCGGACGATGTCATTTCCAGGGATGTCAGCGCCGCCCATTCTGGAGCGATGCGACCTAGCCTTGACAATCTTATAGCCCTCCTTCTCCATCCGCCCATTGAGGTCCTTGATCAGCTCCTCGTACGTGCTGAAGACGCCGGCATGCGGCACAGCAACAGCCTCGAGGATCCCAAACATGGCTGTCAAGAGGCGCTGGTTCGCGCTGGTTCACTAGGGGCGTGTGGATTTGAAGTTGGACCTGTGTGTGTTAAATGTGATTCGTGGCGTCACTGCGCGGTCGAGACGTGGAGAAGAAGGTTGTTTTGGGAGAAGATTCGGGCTAAACCGCGGTACCTGGAAGCCATGACTCAGCTACCTGGTCCTCTACCTGCGGGTGCCTGGGCTGTGATTGGTACGCACCAGTAGCCAGTGGCATACACGGATCTCCAGACGCCAATAATGCCGGTGCTGGTAAGGTACCTTCTATTCACCTATACGTATAATATCCCAGTGAATGCTACTTGCCTCCAAGTATCTGCCAATATTCAGTACCTAGATCTTATCTGATAATATATGATACAGCAGAAGGCAAGAGCAACGGACATCACTCGTTGAAATGAGAAACTCGTGACGGCGTGTAATTTCTCTTCTTCTTCTACCTATATAATCTCGGATGATAAGAAATAAAGTCCAATCCAGTTTACGCATGTATGCCACCCAGGCTACTAGTTGATACTATATTGTCCTCCAGTCTTCTCCTTGCATCTTGCATTGATCGATTGAAATACCACTGCGCTATCAGACTCTTTTTAAACTAGTAACATTACATGGGCCTCAGCCACCATGTCGTTTTCATCAGGGCCCTCTCCTCGAACGACGGGTACCGTTTCTTCTTATTTTTCCAGCTCAGTTCCACCTGATTCGCCCAGCATGCAGTCTGAGCGCAGTTATAGCCAAGCTAGTCAAGCTTATAACGTGGATGACTTCGATCTCCCGTCCAATTATTCTCCATCTATATCGAGCTCGAGACCAAGTGTCACCCTCGCAACCACTTCGACAACTATTTCTCGTCCGAGCACTCCCTCAGGCCGCCGCTCTCGAAGTGGTGCCACGCCTTCTATCCTTGGGCAGAGCGAATCCCACGATGTCGTTTGTGCTGTTAGTGAATCCCGCGGCGTCACACCTACAGTTGGTATTGCCATGGTCAACTTGTCGCTTGGCGAAGTTACTCTCAGCCAAATATGCGATAACCAGTCCTATGTGAGGACGATTCATAAACTTCAGCTAGCATCCCCTTCTCGAATAGTCTTCATGCCTTCAGCATGCCCTCCCAATCAGCCTAGTACTTTCTTCTCTCTCGTTGAACAGCTGATACCTGAAGTAGAGATTGTCTCTCATGAGCGTTCTGCCTGGTCTGAATCAGCCGGGATAGAGTATATGGAGGATTTCGCCCTTGAAGGTGATATTGGACCATTAAAGGTGGCTACCCAGGGAAAATATTACGCAGTCTGCTGTTTTTCTGCCGTAAGTAATGGAAATATTCTGTTTTTACGCTGAAGAAGCTTATGTTTTGCAACCAGGCTATGAAGTATATCGATCGTCAATTTAATATCGCCTTCTCACCTCAGTCTCTGCGGATTGGATACCAGCCTTCAGAAGATACGATGATGATAGCTATACCCGCGATGCAATCTCTAGAAGTGATGCGGAACTTGAAGTCCGCCAAGTCAAAAGAATGCTTGTTTGGGCTATTGAACCATACCATTACGCCAATGGGTGCCCGCGTACTTCGTAATAACATGCTTCAGCCCCCCACCAATTTCGATGGGTTTATCAGATTTCGGTACGACGCGCTGGAAGAGATGGTCACCCATGAAGAAATGTTTCGTGAAATTCGTAAAGGTAGAGTTGAGTGCATAGGGTGTATCGATCAGCTGCTAAACCGGTTGCAGCCCTTAAACTTTTCCATGATGCCGAGAGAACACTCACAAAGGTAAACCAATTGCGCCGATCTATTCCAGTTTGGCTAATAAGTATAGTTGATCACCATTCGGCCCGCTACTGGTATATCTGCGGCCGAAGAGCAACTTACTCATATCCTCATGATCAAATCTTTCCTAGAATCAGTCCCAGAGATCTATAGAGCGCTTTATCCAGCAAAGAGTGACCTTTTAGTCAAAATACGCAATTTATGCCGTCCCGAGACAACAGTTCCCATTCTACTCAACATCGAGAGAGTCATAGAAGCCGACGTTACATACATGAAGTCACCGCTAGATTTACGTAACCAAAGAGCATTTGCAGTCAAATCAGGCCTCAGCGGCATGTTGGATGTCGCTCGTCAGACATATAAAGAACTTACAGAAGTTATTCACCAACATTCAGATGATGTTGGCGGTATGTGCTATCACTACCACGAGCCCCATTTAGATTTCTAAGCTCACATTTTGCCCACAGAAGACCATCGGGTGGCAGTAACTCTAAAATTCGACAACCGGCGCATGTATTGGTTACGAATACCCACTGCGGATCTTGATCTTGAGTCGGTATCCCAATACTTTATAAACGTCATTTGGAAGAAGAATCATATTGAATGCCAGACTCTTGATCTTGTCAAGCTAAATCGGAGACTCTCAGATACTTCTAACGAGATAATTATGCGGAGTGACGCTGTCATCCTTGAGCTAGTCAAAGAACTTCGAAAAGATGTTTCCCCTTTATTCCGAGTATGCGAATCAGTCGCGCTCGTGGATATGATCGCATCTTTTGGCCAAGTCACCACAACTCGGGATTATTTGAGGCCTGAAATCGAAGAAACGTTGGCGCTGAAGTCGGCAAAGCATCCAATTCTCGACAAGGTGACCCCCTACTTGAGTAGCAAAACGTCATCCTTTTATATGTACTGACTGCTATCTCACAGAAAATGGCAAGTGAATATGTACCCAACGACTACTATGCTACAGAACAATATCGGTTTCATTTTGTAACAGGCTGCAATATGAGTGGCAAAAGCACATACATCCGATCAGTTGCCTTACTTCAGATCATGGCACAGATTGGATGTTTCGTGCCAGCAGAATTTGCCGCCTTTCCTATTATACACAATATATTCGCTCGCATATCCACTCAGGATAGTATAGAGGCAAATTTGTCCAGTTTTGGAGTAGAAATGAGAGAAATGGCCTTCATTTTGAAGAATGTGGATAGCAAAAGCCTCGCAATAATTGACGAACTTGGCCGAGGAACAAGCAACAGGGATGGTATGGCAATTGCAATGGCCATATCTGAAGCATTAATTGACACGGGAGCATCTATCTGGTTTGCAACCCACTTTATCGAGCTGGCTCGGATACTTGCGGATCGCCCAGGAGTTTTGAACCTCCATCTTGCGTCAAATACTTCTATTGGTGAAGGAGGGATACCTCAGTTGACTATGCTATACAAAGCCACTGCGGGTACCGTTGACGATGAGCATCACTATGGAATAGTTTTAGCCCGTGCAATGGGAATGCCAAGCAGCTTCATTGAAGTTGCGGAGAAGGTGGCGAATGATCTGAGAAGCAGGCGGGAGTCGAATAGACAGAATTCTGAGTCATGTAAAGAGATGCATCGGCAGAAGCTTATGCTAAACTTATATGAGGCGTTGAAACAAGCTGCCAATTCCTCAAATACGGAGGCTCTTTTAGGCTACCTCAGGCGGCTCCAACAAGACTACATTGTGCGGTTGCAAGAAATTGAAGATATGTAAGGCGAAACCAGTTCGCTCTGCGTCGCTATCTGCCACGCTCGAAAATAACTAACTTTGTTTTGTAATTCTCAAACGAATATTCATTTAAGGTCATGGAAGAACCAAGATACGCTGGACGTTGGGCTGAGTTGATGAATGAGAATGAATGAATGAGAAAGAAAGCTGTGGCATTCATCGACGTCGAAGTAGGAGGGATAGCTCCTCTTTATAGAAGAACTCTGTCACATCATCAAGGGAAATGAAAGTTCAAAACTTGTACTATTTTACCAAAAGCAGAAGTTAAATTAGCTGAAGTATTGTTATTAAAGACCGCTATGGGTTGAAGTATGCAAACACGGGGTCCCTTCTAGTCTTTTTTGGTCACGTACCATTTTTCTTCACCACTTTCCGACTTTTTCTTCTTCTTATTTCTTCACGATGCATTCTGAGGAGCCATCGTCAGAAGTTGGCTATTGGATTAAGTCCCTAGGTGTTTACTTACTATCGGGGCGATGAAACTCATCAGTTATGTGGTCAGTCGCCACAACTATTACCGTACGCCATTCAGAACATCTATTGATGTAAGTATATTGCTTCTATTGCTTCTACTGCTACCATCGACTCTATCTCTCGCCATGCGTCTCGGCATTGTATCTTTCAAATACTCTCAGGACTATAGCAGCACAGCTTCAATCTGACTACATTTGCAAGGCGTAAGTAGATTGGACCGCTACCTCTCAGGTAAGCACAGTACACAGTCCAAGATTGTTGTTATCAGGGTACAATAAGATATACTAATATAAAGTGAACGCTTCGAGTGTTGCAAGCCTTGAGAGGCATTTATTTTCCTTCCCAGCTTTAGCGAGTAGCGTAGGGAGTGAATTGATTATGCGGCCATGAGCTGCTTTTTAGTAATGTAGATTCTAAATCTGATTCAGGGAAATATAACATCAAAAGTTTATCTAAATAGGAGAGAAACAGTTCCAATCGCCTTGGATAGAGTTGGTCCTCACTATTGTAAATAAGAGAGGTCTAGAAATACCTTGACATAACTTTGATGCATGTCTCGATGATATCAGACGAACGATCCAGCCAAGCCAGCACAAATTGCCATACAATGGACGATTTCTTCGCTGTCGTATTTTCCGACTCCAGCTTTTGAAATGACAATGCCAATGGCCCGTCCCACTAAACGAGAGCCGATCGTGTATAAGATCGATTGCCGCGTACACTCCCGGGCTGAATGAGAGGAAAGCCGAACGCCGTCTCCGTGAATATTTCCGGCCCCATCATCAGGAAACCTAGAATACTCGGTGAAGTTCGGTGAAGATGGCGCTAAAGCCGGATGCGGCTCCACTTCTTATCTTCACCTGGATTTTTTTTTATCAGTTCGCAGCGCAACTCGTCCATTCTGTACGACTGATCCTCTGCCATACTTAACAGGGCTATACGTAGGCGGCGACCATTTCTTACGTTTTATCAAGATTCTGAACATTCAAAAGCCTACTACTGAGACAATCATCTCTGACCGGCACCTCGCAACCCTTTCTATACTCTCTTTTCAGGCGCGCGCACTCTCGTCGCCACCATGTCTGGATTTCAGATTCCCGGGCTAGGCCAGGCGAAACTCAACGAGGTTCTACCGCCTCTGCCGACTGATCTTTCAATTGCGGCTGCGAATGCTGCTGATGAAGACAAAGAAATGCACGATGCAAACCCACCCACGGCAGAAACTACATCGACGACGACAGAAAACCACAACGAAGCCGCCAAGCCAACAGGCTCCGAACAGCCTACCGTTTTTGAGGCATCAGATGATATGACAATTGATAAGCCTGGGAGCCCACCATCTTTAACATCTGCTCTAGAGGCAGCCCTCGGTGGCCTGGACAATACCAACATACATCAACAACCGCCAGCTCCCGAACAAGAGTCAGTTCCTCTACAGCCCGACCAGAGCGAGCACCCAGAATGGGAAATCGATTCTTCGCCATATGAATCTTCCGACTCGAGCAGTTCCGATTCATCCTCTGATGATGATGATGACTCTGATAATGAAGGCTATGAGCCTCTGGGCATTGAAGAGACAGCTAGGATACTGATGGAGACGGAAGGAGGCTCAGACGATGAGGGTGATAGAGGGAAATCCTCTGGATCCGGGTACGTACGCACAAAGAATGAGCTTCCCGACGAAATCATTCCCAAGCCAGACGTAACGATCACCTCCGAGATGGCGATAGAAGAGCTCGGCGCTATAGAGCACATTGTCGAAAACATCATGCTTGTCAAGGCATTCACTCCGGGAGAATACCAAGTTCTGGACAGCGGGTCTATCTTGTGCACCTCAGAGAGAGTAGTCATTGGCGTTATTGCAGAGACAATTGGAAAGGTGCTGCAGCCGATGTACACGGTAATGTTCAACTCGGCTGAGGAAATAAAGGAGCTTGGACTAGAGGTTGGCGCGAAAGTCTTCTATCCCGTCGACCATGCATCATACGTTTTCACAGAGCCTCTAAAGAACCTTAAAGGTTCAGATGCCAGCAACCTCCACGATGAAGAAATTGCCGACGAAGAAATCGAATTTTCAGATGACGAGAAGGAAGCGGAATATAAGCGTTCGCTGAAGCAAAAGAAGAAGGATAAGTGGAAGAGCAGTGGTGGGAAAGAGGGGAGGCAGCCTCATCCTCTGCGCCATGAAATGTCTGCTGATGGCAGCTTGAACTATGACGAAGAGGATGACGGACCATACACGCCGCTTGCTCGACCTGCAGGCTATGGCACGGGCGCTCCACAGGCTGAGAATTACGAACCCGCTCCAAGACCAAGCTTCCAGCGAGGAGGCAGGAGGGGAGACTCTAGAGGAAGAGGCAATAGAGGAAGAGGTTCAGGTCGCGGTGGCAGAGGAGGCTACAACCAGCCCAGAGATGGATATTCTCTCCCTCCCCAGGCATCTGCGCCGGCAGGATGGAACTTCAACCCGGCTCCTCCGTCTAATCCAGTACAAGTACCGTCTCTTCCTCAGTTTGGATTTCCTGTTCCTGGATGGCCACAGCCAGCGGCTGGCCAGCACGGCGGTCCTCCTGCGGTACCACCGCCACCCCCAGGCTGGCCTGGATCTGCCCAAGGTCAGGGCCAGGCATCTGATGCTGGAGCATTTGTCAATCCTGCGTTCTTTGCCGCTTTGATGAGCCAGATTCAGGCGCAAACTGGACAGACGGGGTGGAACGGCCAGGCCCCGCCACCACCTCCGCCACCTCAGCAATAAATGTTAAACAGGGTTGGAAATAACTTTTTTGTTTGTGGACAAGGGATATGTAGATTTGGGAATAGGTACATTGTATTTCAAGCGTTTGTGTAGATTTACAACATGCGGCTTTACTGCTGATACGCTAATTGTATGTTTGCACTGGATGCTGCTGTTTTCATGGTTGTGAATCCTTGTATAAGCGAATATCGATGCTTGGCTTCTGCGGAAATCCGAATCCATATGAAATGATAACATACTGCCTGGGGTGGGATAGATAGATTCCTGGATTTTCACAGAGCATTTTAGAAGCACTGATCTCTGCACCTGTATCTGCTGCTGCTTCCTTGAGCACCATGCGCTAGCTTCTATCATCTGGTTCTCGAGAACTTTGCTTCATAGAATGTCTGACTACCAAGCCTGCCACTCTTTCGAATGAGAAACGTATATTATTTCACTGCATCAGATCATCTTCTGCGCCGAGTCCCGAGCCGTTTTAAACGGGAGCTCCACTCCCCCCTCCGAATTGGTCTCGCCGCCGATCATTCGGCCGGCGGGGTAATCAGCCAGTAATACGAATTACCAAAGTGTGACTAGGTATTAGGATTTTGAATTCTCGGTATAGACTCATATAAATTGAATTTTAGTCAAATGAGTCACTCTAGAAGTTTTCAGCGTGTTTTTCAACTCTTTTTTGTGGTCATTTTGTACTCTGTTTTCGTCCCGTAACCAGGTAGATGATGGCAACTGTTGACCGCTGCTTGTCAAGACGCGGGAATAGGACAGACACTAGTCTAAAGAGCAAAGACTCACTTTTGCCCCATACCGTACTCAGTAGTATTTGTACAACCAGAATTATCATAATCTTGTCTTCCTAGATCTTTTTGCTCCAGTTAGTGCCACTTGATAGCAACGTTTCAAGCCTTCCAGTCCAGTTTAGAAAAACAAACACCAAAAGCCAGCAGCCATGTCTACCTCAGACCTGCCCTCATCCTCTTCGCCAACCATCATCCTGACCAACCCAACCCCTCCGGAACGCATCCGCACCTGGACCTACAGCCAACCGGAATGGGGAAACAGCCTCACTGTGCCAGAGTATCTCAACCGCGAGGAATACCTGCTCACCATCCCGCTCGCCCGCAACGGCGGCATCACAAACTGGATCCTCACAGACAGCGCCGCTGCCGTCGACGCAGACACCGCTGAGCGCCCCGTGCTGGCCTCGTGTGAGACTCTGCGCAAGCGTGCCCTTGTGAGGGGCAAGAATGGAATTGTCAGGAACGTCTGGGCTTACGGAATCGCCAGCGTCTTCACTTACAGCGAGTTTCGAGGCAGAGGATATGCCGGCAAGATGATTGAGTTGCTGAGGGGATACATGAGGGCCAAGCAGCAGGAATCCGGCGAGCCAGCGTTTTCCATTCTCTTCTCTGATATCGGCAAGCAATTCTATGCCAAGCACGGATGGATGCCACTAGAGAATACTCAGATCGAGTACCGCGTAAAGGAAACCCCCGTAGAGTTTGACGCATCCGTTATCAAGCTGCTTAGCGATGATGACTTACCCGCCCTGGCTGAACGAGACGAGGAGCTCATCCGCAAGGAAATGGCTCTTCCCAACTCTGCCGATGCGTCTAAAACCCGCGTCGCCGTTTTGCCAGACGTCGATACTCTGCAGTGGCACTTCTACCGCCAGGCTTTCATCTGCAACACCGCTTACGGCCGCAAACCCACCATCCATGGCGCCTTATACACTTCACCCTCGACTGGCTCTCGTGTCTGGGGTCTCTTCGAGCGGAACCATTATGGCGGCCCCAACAAGCCTGAGAAGAACGTCTTGAGCTTCCTGAGATTCGTCATTGAAGACAGCAATATTTCCGACCAAGAGTTATCTGATGCCGTTGTGGGTATCTTCCGCGCTGCTGAAAAGGAGGCCAAGGACTGGGAGTGCTCAAAGGTCGAGATCTGGAACCCGCTTGGAAGAGTTAGAAAGATTGTTGAGAGTGCGGCTGAGTTTGAGAGTACCTTTGTTGTGAGAGACGCCAAGAACTTGGCAAGCTTGAATTGGTTCGGTGAAGGTGCTACAGAAGACCTAGACTGGGTTGTCAACGAGCGATTTGAGTGGTGCTAGGCTTTCATCGTCATGAAGTAGGTATGATACAGTGTAATAGACAGTATATATATGTACACAATCACATAGATAGACGACGAAACGAAAAAGTAAAAGTCATTAAAGTCATTGAATAAATTTATCCCTCTGCATTCCCATGTGAAGCATCAATCCATATGTCATACCACGGGTGTGATAAACATGCCACTTCTTTTTTAATACGAAAAACTCCTTCTATGCACCTTCTTATTCTTCATAATTTAGTAGCTTCTGCCAAACATGGTCCAGAACTGTGCCTTGCGCTGGCACTCGGGGCTAAGACATTCAGTCTCGCCAGCAACAACGCCCTCAGGCTGCTCAAAAGGTATACACAGACTCTTCATGCCCATGGAGGGAAGCTTCTGGCTCTCAGGGACATCGGGCTGGGTATCTTCGCGGGTCGTAAGCTCCTTGATACGATCCTCACACTTGCCGTCGCCACAGAAGGGAATCAGAACAACGTTCTTGTTGTCCAGGGCGGGGAGCACATCCTCCCACTTGGTGATCTGCAGACGGTGCTCTCGGAATGACTTCTCGGCCTTGTTGTACATATCCTGCTGGATAGTCTCCAGAAGCTCAGGAACCTTGGTGGCAACCTCGGCAATAGGGATAGTACCCTTCTCACCAGTGTCTCTTCTGGCCCAGCTGACAACTTCCTTGGCGGCATCCTTGGGTCCGAACTCAATTCGGAGGGGAACGCCCCTCAGCTCCCAGTCGTTGAACTTCCAGGCAGGGGTGTAGCCCTCTCTCCAGTCAGACTCAGATCGGACACCAGCTTTCCTGAGGGTATCCCTGATGCCATCAAGCTGCTCCTCGTGCTTCTTGCGGTCCTCAGGAGTTGTGTTCTTGTTGATACCGACGGGGATCAGGACGGTCTGGGTCTTGGCAATTCGGGGAGGGAGAACAAGGCCCTTGTCGTCGCCGTGCACCATGATCATGACACCAATGACACGGGTAGACAGACCCCAGGAGTTTTGCCAGACGTGGATGTGTGATCCCTTGTTGGCAGGATCTTCAACGGTGATGTCGAACATCTTGCTGAAGTTCTGACCCAGGCAGTGAGAGGTGGCACCCTGGATACCTCGTCCGTTGGAAGGAATGTAGCCCTCGACGGTAGTGGTGTAGTAACCACCGGCGAACTTCTCATTCTCTGTCTTGCGTCCTCGGACAACGGGGACAGCCAAAAGCTGCTCATAGACACCCGCGTACAGCTCCAGGATCTCCAACACTTCCTTTCCAGCAAGCTCCTCGGTCAGGTGGGCAGTGTGGCCCTCCTGCCAGAGAAACTCTCTTGTTCGAAGGAAAGGAGTGGTCTGCTTAGCCTCCCATCGAACAACAGAGTTCCACTGGTTCAATCGAAGGGGGAGATCTCGGTGGCTTCGGATCCACTTGGAGTAGTAAGGGTACATGACGGCTTCAGAAGTAGGACGAATTGCAACAGGAACTTCGAGGTCCTTTTCACCACTGCAATGCAGTTAGTACAAATATCTTGAAGAGATACGACGAATGAAGCGCTTACGCCTTGGTAACCCAAGCCAATTCAGGGGCAAAGCCCTCGACGTGGTCTTTCTCCTTCTCCAGGGACTTGGAGGACAGGAACATGGGGAAGCTGGTTTCCTCGACACCCATAAGCTCGATGCGCTCCTGGAACCACTTTCGGATGACGTTCCAGATGTGCATTGACAGAGGGCGCAGGACAAAGAAACCAGAGATTTCCTGGTAGTACTCGACCATCTCGCCCTTGAGGACAACCTCCTGATACCATGCTGGGAAGTTTTCTGCCTTGGTGACGGTGATACCAATGATATCGTCGGTTTTCTTTCCGCCCACAATGGGGAGGGCAGCCTGCTTGGCGGCCTTAGCAGCCTTCTCGGCGGCCATCTTGGCCTGCTTCTCGGCCTTCTTCAAGGCGCTCTTGGAAGGCTCCTTGGGCTGGTCGGCGGCGTTCTCCATCGTGTAGTTTTATAGGCGAAATGCTTTTTCTTCTACAACTTTTGGCAGGCGTTAGTTAGGGCGACAAATGCAACTTTTGCTTTTAGTTTTTCCCATCTGGCAGGGATCAAAGCATACCTTTTATGAAATCACACAGAACTTGCTCCCAGGTGCAAAGACAGTCTAAACCTGAGTCTCTATTGCAGGATGCGCAGCGAAAGAGAGGGAGTCAGTCGGCCTAAAAACAGAGTCACGAGAAGAGTCAATGACTTTCTCGAGGGAGGGCTAATCGGCTGCCCCGCTATCAGCGTCCCTCTTTCAGAAAGGAGGGGCAGCGCAGGCTTTAGCAGGGTAAATTTCACGGCCCCTAATCGCCCGCCCAATCAGGGCCTGCAGCGCTGTGGCTTTGGGGGCCTGGGCGCTGGGAGAGCTGCTGTTTGGGCCTTATCGCACATAGCGCAGCGCCGGAGCTGGGAGAATCTCTGGTTCCGGCAAAAAAGTCGAGGGGCAGCGGGACAAGTGCCGCCATTATTACTGAGCTTCGCAGCTTTGGCTAGGTAAGCCAGGGTCGAGTCCTCAAGGCAGAACTTCTCGATACCCTCCACTCTTTCCCCCCCATTTCCATTTCGTTGCTTTCTCCCCTCGCAAGGCTGCAGAGACGGTCAAGCGGTTTAGATCATGTCTGCTCTATTCGAACAGCCCCGGAACGGGACCCTCTTCCTTGGCGGCCAGAAGATTTCAGGATCCGATATTCGAGACCAAAATGGTGCGTTGGGCTGTTTGTAATGGTTTGCATGCATGCATTAACTGATGGAGCATAGTTCTGGCAACACAAGCCATTGCCAATGTGGTGAAGAGCTCTTTTGGCCCCAGCGGCCTCGACAAGATGATGGTTGACGACATCGGCGTGAGTGCATACACCGACTACCCCTGCCCCTCGATTCGTGCTTTCGAGCGGCTTCTGCCCCTATTCCGCTGCCAAAGCAAGCAATTCAGACACAATATAGGATCACGACGCTGACTTGCGCTCTACCATGAACAGGATGTTACAGTAACAAACGACGGCGCCACGATCCTCACCCTCCTCGATGTCGAAGACCCCGCAGGAAAGATCTTGGTGGACCTGGCTCAGCAGCAGGATAAGGAGGTTGGCGATGGCACAACATCAGTTGTGCTGATCGCCGCCGAGCTGCTCCGAAGGGGCAACGAGTTGATGAAGAACCGCATCCACCCCACCACCATCATCACCGGTTACCGACTTGCCCTACGAGAGGCCATCAAGTACCTGAGCGAGAACGTCAGCATCAAGGTCGACAACCTCGGCCGAGAATCTCTCCTGAACATTGCCAAGACATCCATGTCCAGCAAAATCATTGGTGCCGATTCCGACTTCTTCGCGGACCTGGTTGTCGACGCCATCCAGGCGGTCAAGACCACCAACAACAAGAACGAGGCCAAATATCCCGTCAAGGCCGTCAACCTCCTCAAGGCACACGGAAAGAGTGCTCTCGAGTCAGTCCTGATTAAGGGTTACGCTTTGAACTGCACAGTTGCTTCCCAGGCTATGCCCACCCGTATCCAGGATGCCAAGATTGCCATCCTGGATATGAACCTGCAAAAGGAGAGAATGAAGCTGGGTGTCCAGATCACAGTCGATGACCCTCAGCAGCTGGAGGCTATCCGCGCTCGCGAGTCTGGTATGATTATCGAGAGAGTAGAGATGATCCTCAAGGCTGGTGCCAACGTTATCCTTACAACCAAGGGTATCGACGACATGGTACTGAAGATGATGGTCGAGAGAGGCGCCATGGGTGTCAGAAGATGCAAGAAGGAGGATCTAAGACGAATTGCTAAGGCTACCGGTGGTACCCTCCTGAGCACACTGTCTGATCTTAACGGTGACGAAAAGTTCGAGCCATCATACCTGGGACACGCCGAGGAGGTTGTCCAGGAGCGCATCTCAGACGACGAGTGCATTCTGATCAAGGGCACCAAGGCCCAGTCCTCTGCCTCCGTCATCCTGCGAGGCCCCAACGAATACTCCCTTGACGAGATCGAGCGATCAGTCCATGACTCCCTCTGCGCCGTCAAGAGAACGCTGGAAAGCGGCAGCATCGTCCCCGGTGGCGGTGCCGTCGAGACCGCTCTGCACATCTACCTCGAGGAATTCGCCGGCACTGTCGGATCTCGCGAGCAGCTCGCCATCGGCGAGTTCGCCCAGTCTCTCCTCGTCATCCCCAAGACCCTCGCCATCAACGCCGCCAAGGACGCTGCTGAGCTCGTCGCCCAGCTACGCTCCAGACACGCCCTGTCACAGCGCGTCCAGGAGGGCGACGCTAACGAGGACGAGAAGTCGATTGCTAAGAAGAAGAGCTACAAGAACTACGGTCTGGATCTCACCAAGGGCAAGGTCGTTGACGAGATTAAGCTGGGCGTTTTGGAGCCTAGCATAAGCAAGGTTAGGCAGCTGAAGAGTGCGGTCGAGGCTTGTATCAGTATCATGCGAATTGACACATTGATCAAGCTGGATCCGGAGCAGATGGAGGAGGATGATGGCCACGGACACTAAATTTCTGTGGTTGTGTATAAGAATGGGATTTTTGGGGATCAACTGGGTATGAGAGAATAGATAAAAAAAGAAATAATTTTCAAATGCCTCAAAATTGTAATATCTTGCATATACTTCATTCTCCATTTCTCAACTCAAAGATCAGCGTTCTGTTTAGTATAATCTTTTTTATTTTATACAATGCTGCACATGGCTCACGTCTAAGAAACAAGGAATTTGTGTCCCATTCCCAGCAACATGAGACGCCCCGTCTCTCCCTCATTCAAGCGCATCCCATCCCATCCCACTATAGACTTTGACCGCCCAGAGAGAATCTATGGTTTTTTTCTTTTAAAATTCCATGACGAATTATAAGTTTTATTTCCCCGGGAGCTGTCTCTCCTCGCCCATTTACTTTTGTCTCGCAGGACCTCTTCGTCGATACTGTTACATCGTTTTTGCTGCGACAGGACAGTTCCCTCCTCTTCCGTCTCTTTTCTACCCAACACACCTTTGTACAAAATCCGCGAATTGTTTAACCAATGACAAGCTTGCCATCCTCGGGGAAGTCGTACTCGGGGATCTCCAGGTTCAGAGGGGCGGGGCCCTTTCGTATCCGGCCAGAGATGTCGTAGTGGGAGCCGTGGCAAGGGCAGAACCAGCCACCATAGTCACCGGCCTCACCAATGGGGACACAACCCAGGTGGGTGCAGACACCCAGCATGACCAGCCACTCGGGGCGCTTGACACGGTCCTCATCGGATTGGGGGTCTCGGAGGGAGGCGACGTTGACTTTGTTGGCCTGGTCGATCTCGTCCTGGGTTCGGTGGCGGATGAAGACGGGCTTGCCTCGCCATTTGATGATGACCTAATTAATGTGAGAGGATTGGTCAGCTTTGCGGGCGTGTACAACTAGGGGGATTGGGAAAATTTCAGGATTGTGCTCACGTTCTTGCCCTCGGGGATGGTGTTGAGGTCGACCTCGACCTTGGCCATGGCCAAAACGTCAGCAGAGGCGGACATGTTGACGAGGAATTCTAAAGACCCCCCACGTGTTAGCTTCAGTTTCAACTTCCAGTATTTGAAAACAGCCCAATTGCTTCCCGCCCAGCTCCCACAAGCTCCAATGGCTGTTCAAAGCTCATGGCAGCTCTCCAAATATTCCCAATTCCTCCAAATAAATCCCACCCCGCCTCCCACAAACGAAGGCTATCAACATCCAAACCCACCTTGAACAGTGCTCTTGGCTCCGGCGGCGGTGATGGCTCCCATTGTGCCGACCATGAAGTACGAGAAGAGCTTGTTGGAGGTCTCGCTGCCCTTGGACATGTACTTGCTGAAGTCCGGGATCTTGTTGGCCTTGGACTCGCCCTTGAAGGGACTGGTGTATGAGGCTGCTCCGGGAGCAGGGGCATCGGCCTGGCGCACAGCAGTCGAGCTCAGCGCGCGCACGGCGGGCTTGGCCACGGCGGCCGAGCGCACACACAGGCGGGAAGCAGTTGCGAGAGGCGCCATCGTGAACAACGGAGAAGGAGAAGAGAGGGAGACCCGAGGACGGTTGTGGTTGGTTTTGAGGTCTTTTCGCCCGTTTGCTTGGCTGGACCGTCTCTGGGCTAAACTGGGTGCGATGAATTGCCGAAAGTTTTGGTCGTGGCCTGAGGCTGCAACGGTCCAATGCGCAGCCTGAGAAAAAAAAATGCCTGTGATGGAAATTGGGCGGCGCTGATTCGTCGGAAGCCGGATTTTTTAGCGGGAGCCCCGGCGTCCCGGTCTGTTCCGCTAAAAATCGACTGATACCGGCTTGGAGAGATGGAGCTGAATATCAACAGCTTAGCGCTGATAATACCTATCCATGTTAGAAAGACAGAAGCATTGATAATGCGAGTATACATATGCTGAAGATGTTTCAAGCTGGAAAACGCCATTTTTCTTGGGAGAGAAAAAAATTTTATCAGGTGCCGTCTGCATCAGTTAAACAGTGGATTGTCTATCAGTGGCACCTCCATATGACACAATGCTTGTGAAATTAGAGCTTCAAAAAACACCATTCATCGCTGTAATATCCATGATTCATATACACCAGAGTCCAGCAAGCCGGCAATGCCTTACTCTTTCAATGCATCCTCCTGAGCTCTTCAATCAAGTTTCGCATGTCTTCTACGCTGGGCCCCAATCCCTCGCACACCAGCTCCTGTTTACCCTCGTCCAGATCCAGGAACCGTTCTATCATCTCGCCATCTACAAATCGGAAGGGAGCTTCACCCTCTCTAGATTGATTTCTAAACGCGCGCCATAGGTCAAAGGAAAGGTTTCCGGGAGTACTGATGTACTCTTGCAGCCTTGATTGGAACGTCATGAGCAGATCCTGATACTTCGGAGCGATATCACCGTAGAGATAAAGCGTGCCCTCTACCTGTTGTTTTTCACTCAAATTAGTATCGACTTCAATATCTCACTTCATATATATATATATATATGTATGTATATTCAGAAACTTACCGAACCTAAAAATGCTTTTGGCACCACAACAGCATTTTCTGCAGGCGCAACCTGCAGCTTTCGAATCCGGTTGATCTGCTCTCCAATGTTGAGCTCACTTATGACCTGTAGCTGGCTTCGATCCTGTTCCGTAGGGGCCTCTAGATTCTGTCTCAGCACAATGATGTTGCCTTGAGCATCCGCTTCCAACCACCTAGAATCATCCAGCGCACTAATCGACGTGGTCCATGCTTGTTGATTGTGCCTTGCTTTCTCCTCCAGCTTGGCCTTCTTGCCGTCTTGGGGTGGCGTAAATTCAACAAGTGTGAGGGACTGCATGAGATCTCCAATGCCTATTACATTGCCTGAGACGTCCAAATCGACTGGGAATGAGGCAGGGCGGAATGATGCTAGTTTTGTCAGAGAGGCTGAAGTCGAAGTATCCTGGTTATAGTTATAAACAACCACCGTTTTAGTGAGTCCGGCAACGATGTAGTTATTCATCATGACAATGCAGCGGCATACGCCTTTCAGATTATGCGAGACGATTTGATACAGCTGCCGTGATTCATCAACGCCGAGAACCAGTATTCTGCCCCTCGTTTCTCCTGCTTCAGCTAATCCTTCATCTGCGATAAAGCTCGTGCCAACTAAGAATCGCTCAGCCAAGTTACCATTGGCATCGGGCAATTCAGCCCGAATAATGCATTCAACCAACTCCAAAGATGACGAGGCATTTAACAAGAATGGTGCGCCAAGCTCTTGGAAGATAATTTCGTCAACAAGTTTAATGGTGCTCGTGATTACTTCTTCGTTATTCACCAACTCTTTCTTGATGCACCCTAGCCCAAAGGCCCTCAGGCCTGGTGAATAGGCCACTCGACGGACGGTTTCATACATTGGCAAGGCTCTAACATGTGTAAGTCGTTCGTTATCGACGTGGCAAATTCTGATATGATCCTCTGTTGAAAACACGATGGAATCTGGAAACGCTTCCGAGTCAAACGGGGCCACGAATGTCGCATCAGCTGCCGTAGTCGCCGAGTAAACAATACGGCCTTGCGAGCTATATATCAGACTAGCATGCTCTGTGGTCGCAAATACGTTGCATATTCCATCTTCTCGGGGTAAAACATGCAATCGTGCCGGGCCACTTCCCAATGTGACTGTCTTTCGCCCAGATATCGCGAAGCCTTTGACAGAGACGTTGAAGCTAATGACATTTCCATCTTCTAATGCGACCAGCATGGTTGGGCCAGAGAATTCGGGAGGGTGTAACTGAACCAGCGCCACATCTCGTGGAACAGAGGCACTGTCATCAGTCTGCCTCAAAGGCTCGCCGTGTAGTGGCGTCAAAGTAGCCATATCCACAACCGATATCGTACCTGAAGCCCACCAGCCGATAACACCAAAGTCTTGTGGATCGCGCGCTGCATGAATGCAAGATATCTGATCTGGCTGCCCAGACTCTGAGTCTTGGGAAGTATCTTTAGTAGTCGCCTTCAGGTTGTCTAGAAGATTCAAAGAAACCAATATCGATCCATCCACAGACAGTAGAGCCCATTTGTTATTAGCAGACGCGGCCGTAATGGTTTTGCCTTCGGGAGCCTGCCATGAGGATACCGAAACCCCGCTGTCAGGATCTAAAAGATTGACCGCCTGAGGCGTTATTTGCAGAATCTGACCGTTGGGAAGGTTTGCAGCTAAAAGGGTTGGCGATTCAAGATCCATTCCCTGGAAAGAAAATAGCTCTTCGATATTGTCTGGCTCAAACCGGAGGACTCGAGTCTCAGCAAGGGTAGAGATGACAACAGTGTCGGCCTTTGCTGAGTCCACCGATCGTAATGTGAACAGCCCTCGAGTGCCCTCAATCTCGTCAAGGAGCCCGCGTTCTTCAAGGCCAACACCGCTACGAATGCTCCGCAGGCTTCCATCTTGGTAAGCACCACTACCAGCCACGATTCTTGCCTGGCCAGATGAAAAGGTGTTGCCGGACTGCGCATCTCCTTCTCTATTGCCCAGATCCATAATGGTAAAATCCATAATAGGTGCGTTGTTAGATATTACTTTGATGAGAGTCATTTGCTGCGACTCGATATCAACATGTAATAACTGAGAGTCACCATGGTGTGAGCCGATGAATAAGAGGTTATTTCCCATATAAACTAGGCTCGACGCTCTTGATGTATATCGGCTTGAATCCCCAAAAGCCATCGGATGGACTGTCATGCCCGTGACTACTACACCTGTTGACTCGTTGGTAGTCTTGATTTCCAAGAGGTCGAGACGGCCATAATCGTCGGCCAAGAAATAGCGTGTCCCGTCGTACTCGGCCCAGGCAACGTAAATCTTGGGGTCGTCAAGGGTAGAACACACGTTTGAATATGTGAGACTGTCGAAATATGTGAGAAGGGTCTCTCCTACCACGAGAAGGCCGCCCAGGTGTGCTCTAGCTCCCTCGTTGTTGCGCACATGGTATCGCTTCTCCTCATACACGGGAACGGGTATCAGCATTGACGCATATGGGTCAGGAATCACCTGGTCCAGCTCTCTATCCTTCTGTGGATCAAACTTGGACGAAACGCCGCCTTTATCGTCTTCCGTCAGTCGATAGACAGCTATGCGAGCTTCTTCACGGTCAAGCTGGTTTTTGTATAGGAAAGCGATTCTCGGGTGGCCGGTCCGGCTGTGGAGGAACGTGCTCGTCTTCATCCAGAGCTCAGTTAGTCGGACCTGGTCTAGCCCTTCAAGCCTCGTAGTAGAACCCTTGCGTATCCGTAGGCGAAAGACGTTGAGCACTCCCTCCCAAAGATGCATCGCCATGAACTTTCCCGTGGGATCCACCAAGCATCGGTTCTGGCTCTGCGACTGCCGCATGTAAGGTTCTGCTGTATCTTCTATTGCCTGTTCGACGGCATCCAGCTGGTTTGTTTCGGGATTCCAAGCTACATTGAAGTATTGGAGTCTGTCTGTGCCGATAAACAGAAGATCAGTGGCAGAGTCCTTGGGCTGCAGCCGCTGAAGCATGTCTATGGTGCCATGAATGACTTTTGTGTGAAGACAAGTCATGCCCTCCTCGGTGACCCGCCATATCTCCAGTCGGTTTGCTTTCCTATTCATTCAATACGGGTAAGTTAACGGAGCGCGAGCAATTCCAAGCCGTTAGAAGGACCTACGCGACCACCAAGTCTTCGATATCCGGCGACAGAAACCGGATGCGCAGGGCATGCCTGATGCTTGTTGGCTTGTGGACTGGAGCAACGTAGGCCATGGCGGGAAAATGCGTGTATACTGCCAAGTAGATGAGGGTAGAGTGCTCTATTCAAGGCCTGCACGACCTACATGGAAAGGCACGGCAGCTATACAGAGTCCAAGATGCGTCTTCCGGAAGCTATTGCGTCAAGCCAGGATCGCGGCCATGCTTATCACTTATCGGAGATAGGATGGGCAGCCCGCTATATGTAAGCGGCTTCTAGCACCTTGGATGGGGCTTTGGGGGTTCGATTTGGCGGGGCTAGAAGCCACTTTTAGCGGGGTGGTGGCTTGCAGCCGGCGTAGGAACGGTCTTTACGGCAGTTTTGTTCAGTGCTTTGCAGGGTATGCTGATACAGCATCAGCAAATTGCCAGGAAATCATTGCCATGTCCACGTAGTATCGGATATATATGTTGCTTGGAGTATTGAATATCAATGTAAGCTGATTTATTTACAAATATCAGTTTACGGAGATCAAGAGTCAATTGCTGCGTCGAGCCAAGATACAAAAAAGATTCTCTAGCCCAAAATCAATAATTTACGTTTTGCCTCATTAGGCAATTATATTCGCTCTTTCCAAATATGCACGGTCTTCACAATCGATACGTGTTCTATTACTTTGCTTTCCTCTTTTCGACAGCCAAGATGAAGATTAACATGACTCATATCGACTCTTCGTGATTCAATATTTCTATGCGAACTTGGACATACGGATATGCTTCTCAGCCGTTAGAGAGTTATTGCAACGATATACCAGCATCTAGAATGGCGTTCTACCAAAGCGAGCCCAGTCGACAGGCAGAGACAGCAGACGAATACGGTCGGCGCGAGGATTGCTTCAGAAACCACAGACAACATCCATTTACTTTTCAATCTCATCTATCAGATCTCCAAAGCACAAAAGTGGCCACAGAAAGAGACGGATTGGTCTCCCAGCCGGGACTAAAGGCGGGAGTACTCCCGGATCCGCAGATAGCTGAACATGTGCTTGACCAGCATCAACGCCATCAAAAGAACGCCGAGAGACTGCTTCATGATTCGCCACCAAGATTTCCGCTACCAGCTGCTAACTCTTATATCAAAGAACTTCTTATTCCCGTGGACGATTTAGATTTGGGCTCTTACCTCCAGAACGATCTTCACGATTATTTACGCCCAATTTGGGCAAAAAGATATGGCAACCCTTTCAAACAGTGGCTTCCGTTGGCTAGGACGAGGGTTGAGAGAGATGAAAGTTTAGAATTCCCGCCTGTGCTGGATAGATTATTGGCCCAAATACACCGAGAAATTGATACCGACAAACTAATAATATCAGATCTTGCTGCGGATCTGGTGCGAAAAGCTAACGAATCTATCACGACGTCCGAGTATCAAGACTTAGTCAAACGACGAACAGCACTTGAGCCTGTGAGCCAACTCTGCCGTACCTCGCTATTGTTAACCAACCGCTGATACAATCTTAGTGCCAATATAGCTACGTTGAACCTATCTTGCCCCCTCTTTCTCCAATATCCGATGATGCTACCCCTTTCATTCCTGATGGAAATGTGACAGTTATCGATCTTGTATCTGACCCGAGTAGTCCCACTCGAGCCGCAATTGAGGATTCAGAACCTATTGTCTCGTCCACTTTTATGACTTCATCGCCTAGTCGAGAGCTGCCTCAGCTCTTCCAAGCAAGCAACGCTGTTATTGAAGACAAGGTAGACTTACCTGTTGTCTTGTCTAGCTCGTATTCTCCAAACAAAGAAAATATCCTTACCAATATCTGCCTACCTCTTATAGACCTTGAAGAAGATGCTTCTGATTTGCTCCAGGAAAGAGGGTATTTCGAAGATGCCTTCATGACACTGCTTGACGATCGGCAGCATTATGCCAATAATTTGGTGAGCCAAGAGCGCTTAGATCCACCAGATTCTACATCGCGTATTCCTGTCCCTCTGCTTGACTTTGATATCCCGCCCCCTACATGGATGGCTCAACGCTCTACTGCGGAGACACACTTTGTGTTCTTGAGAAAAACTGTACCGAGAATTTTCAATCTTGTGCCTTCTCCACGAGATCTGCAACTAGAGCTTGACGTCTCGTATTTGGTCATTCCACCAAATCAAGGGAGATCAATAATGAGATATGAACACGACATCTCAAACGAAACAGGAACAAAATACCTATCTCAAAATCTGACGTCGCATTTAAGCAGCTTTGATTTCGTTACTATAAAACCTGAGCTAGAGGTTCTTTGCATTGCTGAAGACAAAGAAATTGAAGAAGTCTACATGTCAGATGAAGCATATTTACCGGATAATATGATAGATAAAACCCCGCCTGTTATTGTTGTGGAGCAACATGAGAGCCCAAATCGTGTGAAATCACTACAGGAAAGCAAGTCGGTCTACTTTCAAAATCTGGACAGCCCTGAGCTTAGCCGCTCGATTCGTAGGAAAGCCGATGACTCCATGAGACTTTTACCGAAATGCTACGATACAAGCGCTACAAGTATACTTCTCCATAACTTCATGGAGTTGAGAGGCTTAAAAAGACCCCGAATTGAGACAACAGCTTCGGAAGCATGTCAACCCGCAGACAATTTACCATCTGAATCTATGAATGAAGCATATTCAACAGATACCTCTAAACATATGCCTACTACAACACCTGAAGCGATGGCCCCGGCGATATTTCCTAAATTCGAGGTACCCTCTGCGATGGTCTACTTTATTGTTTCAGTTGACCTCCCAAGGCCAATATTAAGGCGATTAGAGCATACATGGTCTCCCGAAAGTTTGGTTGATATTGACTATTCGGAGCATAATGCTATACCACGACCATCAGGCTCTGCTCAATGTGAAGAGACCACCTTGGGATTAAGTTTCGAGGCTGATATATCTTTGTCGCCTCGTATAGGAATCATCATCACAAATATCCTTAAAGTGCGACAGCGACCTCTTCCTGGCTCTCAGGCTCAAACCACGTTGCGAGAGCGTGTGCAGAAAGTCAGTCAGAAATACGAGACTCTATTAGTTCTTGTGTCGGAATCACATCCCAGCGGAGAATTTTCGGGGGCGTTTGCTCCGTCTGATATCACAGCTTATGCCGACTTTGTGAGTTTTACTGTTGCACTAGATGGAGATATAAGCGTGCAGCTTGTCCCAGGAGCGGAACAAACGATGGCCTCGTGGGTTTCCGCCTTCGTATCTCAAAACTCTTACAAATCTCACGATATGAAAAGGCTTTTGTCCCCTGAAGAAACACCATGGGAGATATTTCTGAGGCGTGCCGGTATGAACGTTTTCGCTGCCAAGATATTGTCCAAAACACTCTTTGAACAAGCTGGAGCTTCTGGATTAGCTGTATTTTTGATGATGCCTGTGGAAGAGCGGGTGGCTAGATTCGCACCATTGCTTGGCGGAGAGAAGGTTTTGCGCCTAACAGCCAAAGCGCTGGATCGGAGATGGGGGCAGTAATCTCTTTACAGTTTCCTTCATATATCAAAGACGGATAGGGATATCATATCGACTGACATCTAGGCAACAGAAACTTTGAGAGAAGTAAAGAATATGCATGTATAATGCCTCTGAACACACCCCATCTATCCGAATTCGTCTAGAGAGAAGATGAATGACCAATATCATATACGTCTAGCCACATAGTATATCCAAGAAGAAGAAGAAAACGTCACAAGTATGTATGCATCATGAAAGATATGAGGTCCTGTTTAACCCAAATCTCTACAACCTGTTCTCTTCAAAGACAACCCCAAACCGCCCCGGGCTGCACTTAGCAAATCTCCCACAGGGGTCGTGGCAGCTGTGCGAGAGGAGGAGCCATTTTCTGCAAACGTGGTGCTTGCTTTAGGCCAACATACACAACCCTTTGGGAGTTGGCCGAGGTAACTGATCTAGATGTGAGGCCATAGTAATCTGCAATGGCATGCGTAAGCCATCGCCTAAATGGAAGCACACTGTTAGTTTTTGAACATCCGATGGATAGCGAAAAAAAAGAAGAAGGGCAACTGACTTGAAAGCGGCGGTCTCATCGTCGCCAAATGAATCAAAGAGAAGTCCCGAGTCAACAGTTTCTTGTGACACTTCACGGTGCGCCATCCTGTACTGTGCCGCAGCTGCAGCGGCCCTCTTCTGCTGCATGTCTCTCATCCTGCCGTTTCGGCCCACGAAAACAATCTCCTCATCATCAGAGTCCATCTCTTCCGCCGCGCTGTCCACGTCCTCATCGTGGATATCGTCAGCCTGATCCCCAGGCCTTCGCCTCTGACGCTCGTTGATCATGTACTGCCGCACCGGCTCCTCGAGCGCCTTGACCCACGTTCGAATTACCGGACTGCGCTTGGTCGACTCTCGCAGGTCTCGCGGGACTTCCCCTACGCCGAGGCCAGTTGCGCTGCCGGCTTTGAGTTGCTGCTTCTTGCGAGCAGCCTGAAGCTTGGCTGTCTTGTCCTGGATGCGCTGACGGACGCCGTGGTCCCAGAACTGAGCGAGCTGATAGGGGACTCGGTGGATGGGATGCGTGGGATGGACTTCCCAGTCGATGGGCTCGGGCGGCTGGACGTTGGGGACGTCTACGAGACGATCTGCATCAACTCGTCATCAGTGACCTGCGTGTTTGAGATGCCTGAAAGCCTGGGCTAGCAGGACAGTGCTTAGTATGTACCGTTGTCCCATCGCCGACGCTGCCGGCTACCTTCTTTGCCTTTGAGGATGGCTTCCCTGCGCTTCTGGCTGTCTCGGGCAGAGGGCGGTCGACGGAGAGGAGTTACAAGGGCAGCCTCCGCCGAAGAAGCCACTATCGTGACCTGCTGGCGGCTGATTGAGCGCTTGGAGGGTGCGGTGAGGGCATCGAGGGGAATCGTCAGAGGGGATCCGGTGCCGCGAGCGATGGGCGAGACGCTGAGCGATTGGAGCGCGGAGATGGTCCAGGCTTCGATGTCGATGGCTGAGTTGGGCGCTGCAGTGGCAGGGAAGATGTTGCTTGCTGTGGCCTGGTTGTGAGGCGGCGATTCAGGAGGCGGCGGGACAGCGCTGTATATGGCCATGATGGTGGTTGATGATGGTACTATTGGTGACTGCTTGCACACACGAGATGGGAGATGGACTGTCGAGAGATATTGCAGAGTCTGGTGTTTCGAAGACGACTCTGTCTCCGTTGGACTGCACCTTGACCGATCAATTAGGGGAAGATGGAGGCTCAGATCCTAGCAATTAGCTGTCGTTGCTGCTGATGTATGCAATATCAGCTACGCTGACTTATTACCGTCTTGCCTTATCAGACCCAAAGGCTGATGCCCCCCCAATCGCGTCCCTCCTGACACAGTGCGATTTTACCCGCTATCTCCAACCAATCATGTCCCAAGCGCAAACCATGAGGGGAGATTTACTGGCTCTGTGCAGGCCATTTCTCGCGCACAATTCGCGCGTAAAGTGGCAGTTCTTGTGACGGACATGAATGCTATTGGCACTGTACGTCTGGTCACTTCACTCACACTGCTACTACTAAATGCGTGCGTATTAGACCCTAGCAGTATCCAACTGCCCAAGGACTCACATGCTGCTTCATCGCGATGGGCACATCTAATGAGTCATCACTCGGCAACATACATACACAAGTGGTCTATTGTGCTACGAAATAGCCGCCTTCCCCTTCTAAATCGACACCCGTATCTCACCCCACAACGGGGATTTCCATGCTCCTTACGCCATACGTAGAATGGCCAGCCCTATAGCTTATGACTCACTCCAAAGACTCATCCGGGGAAGAAAGGCGAAACGAGAAGGAAATAAAAGCGTAAATTTTTTTTTTTGGGCGTTGTTGGATACATGGTAGAGGGTTTGCGTTTGATCATACCTCTTGTAAATGCTGATGACCTTTGCCTCGGTATTTTCACTTTTATGGTGACTTCTTTAGCTTCCAGACTGGCAAACCTCAAATCCTGACATCATTCCAAATCGAATAGTAGAATTGACGTGTATCGGGACTCCCTATACTCTCCTCCTACTAGCCATACTATGTAAATGGCCAGATCCATCTCGTCACAGAAATTTGAGCATGTATGACTACCAACCCGCCAGGCCAGGTGTAGCATGGACTATGCCTGTCATTGAAGGACCGAAAATAGCATCCGAGTGTACAAGCAATGAGAATCTTCAATGAGATATATTCAGAATGACTACCAAATATGAATGCCTATTACTACTCCCTAGGTATGCTAGTGTGTTGATTCTCAGACGACCAATTCTAGATCCTTCTCTCGCGCATTCTTCGTCGCCACATCCACAGCATCTAGCAAGTCTCTATGATAAGTCTCGTTTCCAAATTTCACTGATTTCAATGCCCATCTTGTCCAGCGATCATGTACATTTGCAAAATACCACTCTGCCTTGTCTGGCTCAGTATATTGATTGACCCTCTCACGTAGCTTAATTAGCCCCTCAATAGCCGCCGAATCGACAAAGCCTACTCGCTGGAAATCTAAAATAATGGACCGAATGCGAGGTAGCGACTCTGGATCTGGGTTTTCAGGGATATTCAGTATCGATTCAAGCCATTGTTGCGCCCGTGTTTTTCTGATTCCAAGCTTCACTGGACATTGAACATTGCTTTGGATATGACGAAGCAAATTGCCGAAATAGTCTGACTCATTGAAATAGAATAAACTGTCTTTCAAGTAAAATACAAAGACGCCGGGATATGGCGTCCTAATTTGACCGTCGGGGCTGAAAGCAATTTCTGTGTACATTCTTTCAGAGCATCGTTCACCAATTGCATTGGAGGCCTGGCGAGACGTTTTGCTCAGTCGCATGAACACCAATAACGACATTAAAATAGTTGCCAGGTAGATTGACCATTCCAGCGAGTACATCAAACCTATTACCACAGAGAGTATCCATATGAGCAACTCAAAAGGCATTGCTTGCCAATATCGTCGGAGAGTCTTTGCACCAGTGATACCGTGGTACATTGAATGGACGATAATACCAGCTAGCGAAGCGTTGGGAATGTATGAAAGTGCGCGAACAGCATAGGTGAGCGCCAGGTAGATGGTCAGAGCAGCAAATGCGCATGCCAGTGGTGATCGACTACCCGCCTTTGAAAGTATTGTAGACGCACCAAATGAACTTGTGCAAAGATATCCTCCAGCAAAAGGAGTGAGCATATTGGCGGCTCCGAGGGCTATGATTTCCTTTGACGGATCCACTTGGTAACCGTTTGATACCGGGCTTCGCTTGACAAGAGCTGTTTGCCCAACCAACATGATGATGATGATTGCTGGAATCTTCGGCAACAAAGCTGTGATCAACCCCACCTCTGGCCAACGGGGAATCTGGACTCTTTGTAGGCCTGTGAACAGGGGAAAAAAAAAGAGCATTAGCAGCTGAAAGAGGCTTTCAGGAACGGGAAGCGTACCAGGCTCAATGTAACCTACGAGACTGAAAGGAGAGGTACTAGGATCGTGGCTATGGTTGATAATGTAGCTGATGATGGTGGACAACCCAACAGTGATCGGCAGGCGAAACGACGCGAAACAATCCCAGAATTGCTTTTTAGTCGTCTGACGTTTTGCCATTATGGCACACAAACGTCCAAAAGCAACGAGGACGACAATGGTGGAAATGCCGAATGCAGCGTCGATCCTCATATGGGAAATATATCGAAAAGTTCCTATGATGGTAACGTAGGGCGGACCTCGTGTACTTACACCGCGCAAGCCAAACAAAACCGGAAGCTGCGTCATCATCACTTTGATGCATGTGGCTGTAGTAAATGCATTGACAGCTACTGGGGGGACGAGACCAACCAACCGGCTAAGCTTCAGTGCCCCAACCACAAAACAAATACAGCCAGCAAAAATGGTTATGCCATGCGCGACTTCTTCGGTGCTGTACATTCCGACCCCAAGTTTTGATAGCACAACGTGAGTGCTATGTCCCATAAGTAAAGAGCCGATGGCAGTGGCCGAGACGGCGATGTTCTTTGAAGTACCCAGGAAAAAATACAACAGCAAGCCAGCGAACGACGTGTATAGACCATGAGCGGTTGTCACATTGGCGAACTGTGCATACACAATCGACTGTGGTATCATGACTAAGCCGACTGCCAGTCCAGCAATAGCATCTCGAAGAAGCCAAGGTAGGCGGTAAGTGATGAGCCAAAGAGGCAGCGGTAGAAGCGTCAAGACGTAACGCATAATGCTTTTCGGATGCGGTATGTGCTCCTGGAGCCACTCCATGACAGGTGAGGAAGACATTATAAATGCGGTAAAGAAATGGCGTGAGTGAGTGACCAAGAAATATAAACGCTGAGAAGACTGCAGATGTAAAGAAGAAGAACAGCAACAAAAGGAAGAATAAGAAGAATAAGAAGAAGAAGAAGAAGAAGAAGAAGAAGATGGGGGCTGCAAAGAAGAAAAAGCTAGCCCATCATCATCTGGCCAGGATCTACCCACACGCCGGCATTGCGACCGCTTCGCTTGCGCTGAAGGAGGCAGTGACGTCCCCATTTGCGCTGACACTTTTCAGGAATAGCAGCGATATCAGGAAGCCACAACGTGCGAGCCAAGATGTGCGTGTTGGCAGCATCGAGAAAGTCGACACATTTGAGAGGCTCCCAGTGCTGCTTATCTGCAATGTAGTCCGGTTCCCTACGCGAAAGCGGGGCTTTCCTTGCAGGATACTGGGTGTCGACCAAGAACGAGCACATTCGAGGCTCGACGTACTTGCCCAAATCTTCTTCGTTGCGGTCATTCAGACCGCTGGTAGGGAGCCAGGTGCCGCTCCAGAATCCGAAGCCGGTTTGGGCCTCAGAAAATTCACCTGGCAACAAGCCGCGGAAATCGGAGCGCAGGAATTTCGCGTGCATGTTGCGTGGGAGAAAGTACGAGGTTGGGAAGCGATACCATTCCTTCCCAAAGCATACGTTATCCTCCTCAGCTCCGTATGTGTTTCCTCCTTCATCACCCCATAGTGGAGAATACACTTTCAGTGGAGCGGAATACGCAGAGTAGATGCCGTAGATGCGAGCAATGGCAATATCAAGTGAGAGAAAGAGCACAAGGCCGACAGCAAGCAGCTTAAGACGACCGGGAATTTTTCCAATCAATGTCTTTGGGTTTGAGTTGCCAATAGCGGACAGGATGATGTGCAGTGATAATGCGGCGTTGAGGGCCAGAAAGGGGTACGCGGGGTACATGAATCGCTCTTCTTTGTGCGGCTGTGCGGTGAAGATTCCTAGCCACATGTAAAACGGTGTAATGAATATGACTGTTCGTAGGCCGCTAGATAAGCGTTGTGACGAAGCTGAAAATGCCTTCTGCAGCAAGAATAGCGGCAGTACCAACAGGGCGAGAATGAACCAGATGTTGAAGTTCAACGCCAAGTTCTTAAAATAGAACGTCCATGGCTCTGTTCCATAGAGATCAGGGCCACCAGTTTTCGAGAAAATGTTGTATTTGACAATGTTCCAAGAGACTACTACAGGTTTCTTGTAAAAGAACAAGTTGACCGCAAAGTCAAAAAACTAATTGGCGTAAGTCAATGTCCGCTCCACAAAAGAGTTTAGTGAATTCAACTTACCAAGACGATGAGAGAGGCGATGACACCGCGAACAAATCGTATCAAAGCTTCGATCAGAGAGTCCCTGTCGCTGAACACGACTAGAATTAGTTCCTCGAGGACATATGGCACACAAAGCGCGGCGGCAAAAGGCCAGCCAAGAATGCCAGCCACAGCAAACCATGTGATTCCTTGCCAGGTCTTCAACCCGCCCCGCCAGTTCATGAAAGATGCAGCGCCAAGCATCCCCATGTACATGGCAAAGCTGGAGGGCAAGAAGGCGGCGCTTGCATGGAAATTACCAGGGCTTATGATGGTGATGGCGAGAAAAAAAAGGCCGATCCTAGCGTTGAGTGCTATGCTCACAGCTTGGAACATGATGGTTTGACAAATGGCACATACAAGGGCCAAGCCGTAGCGGACGAAGTAGAATTCAGAAACCTGGCAAACGTCAGTCAGTCACTCAATCGATCGAGAATTGCCATCACACATGCGCAGAAAAGGCTTACCTTGGTGGACTGGGGCAGTATCCTGCGCACGTTGCCCACGACAGCGTGAAGCGCAACGTAAAGCCAGCTGCGAATGGCATAATCGGGAGAATACTCCCAGGTCTGGAGGCCATAGCCATGGGAGAGGTAATGGGTCGGCTCCCAGTAGTTGAAGGTCTCGTCGCAGTCCTGGATTGGGGCAAACAGAGCAGCAATCATGCCGGCAGCGAAAAAGAGATAGAACGCAGAGATGGGCTGCATGGCATATGCGCTCGGCCGTCTGTTACGATTAGAACATGCGCGGCGCACCATGGCGAAGCAAAACGTACTTTTTCTTGGCGTGGCTGGAGGCGGGATGTTCATAAGATGAGGCATCTCCCTTGATATCGGCCTTCCGGGGCGCGACCTTGGATGCCGCCTTGGGCGCCATGGTGTGCGATGTGTGGAGGAAGAAGGATGAGCTTGGAGGTGGCAGCGAGTGGAAATATACAGGACACGAATGCCTTAGGCCTCTCTCTGCCTCAGACCTCTGCCTTGGGCCTCCGACGAGACGAGGAGGTTTTTCTAGTGAGAGATTTTGTGATAGCCACGGGCGGCGGTGAGAGTCTTGAAGCGATTAGAATGTGATGCGCTTGCAAAGCATTGAGGTATGTTTACATCGATCCTGCACGCCATAGCTATTTTCCATAGTGAGCTCTTATGTAAGACGGAGTCGCTGGTTATCACTTGTTGGTTCCACATTTAGTGAACTTAGAGGCACAATCGCCCGCTGAAATGGCCACTAACTTATCTGAGGTATTGAGGTCATCTGGAAAAATCACCGCGATTGATATCTGACGATATTGCACCATATTAAGTACCTGCCATGCCTTTATCAGCATGTAACTTTGCTTACTATAGATACCCTTTCGATTTCAAAAAGTAACAGCTCAATTACAGTGCAACCGCTGAAATTGCTGCAGAAGATGGCATGACGCCGAGGCTTGCGCTTTTTAGAGTTTAAGTGATGATGGACTGCGAGAACCTGCCCACTGGGTCGGATTAGGGGAGTAGAAATGTACTACTTAGAAAGAGAACAGTCTGTGTAAGTATAATCTATAAGAAGAAAAAACCATTATTTAGCGAGGGGGAGACATTTTTCACATTGAAAACGTTTTGAAGTCAGGGGCCAACTACCAGGCAGTCTCATTACTTGGACACTCGAATATCATTTCTGTTCGGCATAGTCTACCTACCTAGTCTACCTACCTAGCCATAATAAATTGTGTAGTTGTATTGTCTCAATTGTGAAGAACACAGATTACTACATATAACAACCCTCCATATCCTGCTCTCCGAGACAGTATTGAGCATCGCGATTCATACTTCATACTATAGCTTGTGTGGCAGCCGTGCTATTTAGTTTGGACAATATGGGGCAGTTGTTGTATTCCCACGCCGAAAAGACAGCTCCTTCACAACTGAGCAAGGCACTCTGGTGAGGCATTCTATAAATCTTGAGTTTATCCCTGTGCGAACAAGTCATCCTCCAAAAGCAATTAGATCAAAGAGACGATGCGTTCCAAAAAGCCCAGCATATCAGCCCTGGATCATGTCGTTCTTCTATGTTGCCTTTCGCGAGGGAGAACTGAACACAGTTTTCACTTGTGATTCTACGCCGGGTCGCGACTGTACAGTGGAAAATTGCCCATAGCGAAATGTATTGTGGTACTGAAAATCGAAATATCTTGTCTTCTTCTCGTTCTTTTAATCTAGCCTAGGACCAGCTCGTAGAGGATGATGAGCGTATTGACTATAATCAGCGGCGCTATAGATGGTGTTAGCTTCTCAGCTCTGTTTGAACTCTTGATATTGAGTACGAGTAGCTACTACCGGCAACCTGTACATGTTGATATACAGACAGTGCAGCCGAGAAGTAAAGATTGTAAAGATTGGGGTACATGGAGACACGTACGTCGCATAACCATGCGTACACTAGCAATCAGAGCAACGAGTTTGGCCTTGACGCTGTTTGAGTCGGCGCCGGGACCGAAGGCGGGATCGTAGGTAGTTGGTGAGAGGCCGATGCGTGCGAGGAAGCGGTCGTCAGAGAGAATGGCGAGAGCATTTGTAAAGAGGCAGAGGACGTAGACGAGATTGCCTAGGAAGAACATCTTGACGGTGCTTCTTCCTTGCTGTGCTCTCCCTCTCTATTCCGTTCTTTGCTGTGGTGTATTGTACTTTTTTTCAACTTTTCTTCTTTCGGCAATTTTTCGGTAGGAGCGAGAACGAGGACGAAGAAAGATAATGGAAAGGGCGGAGAGAAGTTGGTGGTTTTCGCGATTCAAGGAGTGGATGCGACCGAAGCTTGTGACGGGACGTGAAGCGGATGACGATCTGGTATGGCATCCAAGCTGGCCTCTTTTCGGGGGGCTGAGGCTAGTGCGATAAGAGAGCTTATCGCCGCGGGTAGATTTAGAGGTATGACGGGGGGTCAGGTGACCGCCGTGGCATGTATACCGCCAGTGGTATCAGCTCCGTCAGGTACCTTGGTGCCATGTATCTCTAAACTTCAACGGCCGACGAGGGAGTGAATAGAACCAAATGTAGTACGGTAAGAGGTACCTCTTATGTTATTCACAATAGGGATTGCAATTTATAATGATGCAATACGTCAAATGTGATACATTTTCAGGCTTCTATTTGTGGCATAAAGTGCATTTGTGGTATTCGCTGGGTATCAAATGGCGGATTGTTGGACATCTCCAGTCATCAATCTATCATCATTATGCCTCCTTCATCCATCTCGGTGATAATGACATCCTCCATTTCGCCCGTCATGAAGATGTCCATTTCTTCTGCACCGCCCCTTTCGACAATGGTCGGATCATATATTTCCTCTGCGTCTCTCATATCGACGACGGGAATAGCATCCGTTTCAAAGGCAAAATCCATTTCGTCTATGGCGTCGATGATGGATATGTCGTCCATATCGTCCAACTCATCCATCCTATCCACCTCCTCAAGGTCGTCCATCCAGTCCATATCCACGATGGGCCTATCGTCTTCGCCTGTAAATGTTCCCCAAAACATGTTTCAGCCTCTGACTTGGAGCTTTGCAAGAGAAGCCACCCCAGTTCCCCAAGGAAAAGACCAGTAATATGGCCCCGATCACAGCAGATTTCGTCAATTTCTTGTGCCCACGATACAAGATCCGAAGTTGGCGGAGTGAAGGTTATAGAATTGAATCTGAAGCGCTGCCTGCTTGCTCCAGAAGCCAGATGTAGCTGATCGAGAACTTGCCAGCAGATATCGATGCCAGATATATAGTCAATTGGGCCACTGGCTGGCTGGCCACAAAAGAACACTTTCGATCTTTCCTCCAGGTTTGAGACTTGTTGACTGAAATGGTTCGTAAATGATTGCACTCTGGGAGACCGTAACCGTATGGCATACAAGTAGAATGAATTGGTCAAAGCGGTGCAAATGGCAGACTATCGAGTCGCTTCGGCGTGGTAAATAGAACGTATGAATGGAAGATTTATGAAGTCTATGTTATTGGCTACTGGGTAGCTGTATATATATAGGTATATGTTCTATCGTAGAGTTTACTCGCCATTAAGTTCCAGCAATGGCTGTAGAGTAGAAGTTAAATACCAAAAATAAGAGTATAACAGCAAACTATAATGGCCGCAAAACAGATGATGCACAGAATTTGCATTGATATATTCTAGTAGTCCACCTTTTTTTTGACTTGATAAGCTCAAGGACGAAGTCGCTTGCTGCGTACAGTAGAATCATAAAAATTCTGTTTGTAGGTGGCACTTGCAAACAGCAGTCAGGTTCAATCGTTTCTTTCTTTCTATCAGCTAATCTCCCCCTCCAGGCAAAATCAAGCTGCGCACATCCAAAGTGTCAAAGGAAAGGGCTTTCAAAAGGAAAGGAAGAGCCGGTGTTTAAACTTCTTTGTACCCAAAAACACTTCCTTTTCTTCCCTTCTGTTCTCTCTCCTTTGTACGTGCAACAAATGGGAAGTTTTTTATGCTGCGAAACTAATATCTTGCATCTTAGAGCGAGAGAAAATACGACTCAAAAAAGTATGCTCAGCCTCGCCAACGCTACTGCGCCGAATACCGGCAAGAAGAGGCAGCTGTGTTTGGAACAGGGACCACTTGGCGCCTGCGTCGATTCTAAAAGGCGTCGATGTGAAACCAGCGACAAACTCGCAAAGTCTATCGCAGTTCCGGCAGCCGCATTATCCGCCTTGGAAATGTCGGAAGTTTCAAGCGCTAGAGAGCAGCTTTCTGAGGAAGAGCTATACCGGGGCCGCAAAAGATGGAGAGCAGGTAGTGAGCCGCTTGATTGGGATAACGTGAAGTGGTGCCTGGGTGATAGCATGGTCGCGAGCTTTGAGGACAACCCCGAGAAACTCGGAGCTGAATCTACGATGAAAGCATCGACTTCGGATCCATAATCGCGACACAATCAGTTCTTCGGTTTTCGGTTTTGTTAGACCCATCCAATCGTGAAGGAGGTGATCCAATCGCCGTCGAATTTACTGGCGGTCGGCGTTCAAAGGCTGCAAATAACCAAGCACAGCGGCATATGAGCAGATATTTCACATGCGGCAGTCGGCCCAGCGCTCAACAGCAGCAAAAGTGCAAAATCTCGATCATGCTGAGCGATAATTGGAAATCTTTGGGGTAATTGCAGATGTAACTTTGCAGGGCTTGCGGTCTCGGTGTCTTCGATTTATTTCGGCTGGGTATTGGGTATAATATCTTGATGTTTTCGGATAAAGGAATCAGAAACCGCAGGGCATTAGACAGGTAGAAATATCGGCATTTCTCGACTTTGTATAGCAACAGGCCCATATTTTGTTGCAGTTTTTTGAGCAAGACAAGATTTTTCTCATAGCTCTCACTGTTCGTTTTTGTTTGCTGGTTATTGCTGCGGTTGGACCTGCTGCGCTTAAAGTCCCATGTCGTCGTCGCTTAGATCGTCATCCATATCCTGGCCATTCTCCTCTTCTTCTTCACGACGCATGGTTTCAGCACTTGCACCAATTTTCCGAATGCCCTCGGCCACTCCTGTGACAAACCCTCTGCTCTCAGCCAACTCCATGGCCCCGACACCTCGGAGACTCGTGACGCCTTCGCCGTGGCTCTCAGGGTGCGTGACTTTAGATCTCATCTTCGCGGCTCGGGCTTCTTGTAGATCTCGTAAGAGGGAGCGAACTTCAGATGCTGATGGAATATCATCACTAGCATGTGCGAGGAGCATCTCGGCCAATTCGAACCAATGGTAGGGCAGCGCGCCAGCTGGGGCTGCAGCGGTACAGGACGGCAGAAACGGCGGTGACAATATCACGCCATCTTCGTAGGGGTTAAGTCTTGTAGAATTGCCTCTACCATCGGCTCGAACAGGAGGAGGTGGAGGAGGAGCCCAATCCTTGACGTCTATAGCAGTTTCATAGGTGACGATTTCGCGTAGGGAGTCGGGATGGAGCCATGCGGGAGGCACGATGTTGGCGCGTCGTTGTTTTTTGAGAAGAATGGCGAGCCAGAACGGCAGATCGGCTCTGTGAGGCGGACGGAGTCTGGGAGTTGAGCCCTACGGATGATTACAACGGTCAGAAACAGGCAATTGGAAGCATCTTCATCAACGCTGGACAGCGCTGCCCTACCGAGAGGAGCTCAATGCTCTCAAGCCGCTGGCGCGGAACGACGGTGACGAGCTCCATTTCGCACAAAAACGCCACCTCTGAAGGCACCAGGCCTTGGGGCAGAGGCAAGGCCATTTTGCGTGTTCAACGATGGGCGACACGCAGCAGCGACTGGACGATGGAGGTTGAAAATGTGTGGCCCCTCCACGCTAAAGCTGCTAGAAGCTGCAGATGTAGGCCGACCCACTCGCGGCTTAGATCCAGATCTATCCAGATCTTGCCGGCTCTAGACGAATAACACCTAAAGTTTTTGTCGTCTTTTGGGCGTTAAAAAGCCGAACGGATTAAAGGTGAACTATATTCAGTGTCTAATCTGAAATAATATTCGAATACTATATAGTAGTCATACATCTTAAATCATTATATTCATGACAACGCTCTTAAACAACGCATGGCAATGCATAGGTACATGCATCCAGCTACCAAGTCTATTTAGGCGGACGTTCTGAGGGCGCATCAGAAAATTTGGTGTATGCGAGCTCATACACCAACCCCAAAGTCATTTTTGCGTGCTGAAGCATGTGATCAAAGGATAGATGGGCGATGGTATCCCGAGCTCCAGAGTGAATATTTCTATGTTCAACAGCTGATTCGGTGACAAGTGCTGCAGGATAATGCCAATACTTTGCCACTTGATGGACAGAGCATGCAAAGCCGCATCTCGTCTCGACCCAAGGTATATCACAGTACTAAAGATAAATAGTTAGAAACGAAGTGAAGTTATGATAGACTTGGGAAAGTGGTACCGTATCAATGACTTTCTTGATGAAGTTTGTGAGGCCAAGATCGGTGAAATCGGTTATGACACCAATTGACTCATTCTTCTTAGCTTCCAACGTTCCTTGAATGGAGCCCACCTTGTCTTGGTGTATCAGGGCTTTGACTTCGCGACCATTTTTCACGTACGAGCGGATGATTGCCCGGCTGCCCAAAAGACCAGCCAACTCTGCGCTATACCAATGGAATTCCACCGTGTTTTGTGTGAGGCCGTTGACGACGTCTTTGTCTTTAAGCAATAGTCGGAAGACCTCCATGATGGTAACCGTACCGCTACCGCCACTATCAGCACCAGGAGCGGCTATTTCCGAAGCCTTATGAAGATACTTGTTCATAGAGTCTTGGTGGGCGCTGATGATGACGGTATTGTTTGTCAAGCCAGGAATCTTGACAATGGTCGAGCTCTGCGGCCACGGATGAACAAAGGCTTCGGCAGTCACAGTGCCATTCGCGCCAGCCTCCTTGATCATGTCATTGAGCTTTTCAAGAACCCATCTAGACGACTGTCGGCCGTGATCAGAGTCGTAATGGCGAGTGTGGAACGATGTCAACTTCACGAGGTTGTTCCTCATGTAAATCTTGGAGAGATTGCCAACCAGCCTCTGAACCTGCTCCTGCCTCACACAATGTTCAGGGTATCTGATGGGAAATGGCTGTTGGGCCAGGACCATTGCAGAGTCCAGATTTTGTGAGTCAGTAATATCCATGAATGTTTTCCCATCCTATACGGCGAAGAATTGTGAGCAATGAAATACCGGTGCCGCGCTAGCAAGACCATGCATAGGACAAGGCTGTTTAGACAAACGTACACGTATAAACTCCCATTTTTCTTCTTCTGTAACCCATTGTTGCGTATCAGGGCTCAGTTGGAGGAGATATTTGGCTGGCTCTTCGACGATAACGTGGCCAGCAACGGTGTCATTGACAACGTGACCACTAATAAGGACGACTAGCACAAAGGCAGTCAAAAGAGACTCTAGTAAGAACTTCATTATGGTTTTATACAGCTATACTGTTCAAAAGGTTTGGTACAGCTGTATGGTCGAAATGATGTTCAAGAATGCTAGATGCCAGAAGTAGAGGAGGGGGCCTGATGAGATAGGACCATCTGTGATATAAGTGGACAGCTTGGCCCCAACATTTACAGCCTCTACATCATTACGGTTGTGGTCCACGCCATTGAGGAGAGGCCATGCCAAAGAGGTATATAAGACTACAAGTACATTTTGCAGATTGATAGCACTCAATTGGTACTTACCTAGTACCCACCTAGATACTACCTAGTAGTACTCAGGTAGAACTGACCATTAGGTCGTTAGAGAAGGGGGGAAAAAAGCTTCAACGTCGCTTATCGTCTATACGAATAATTTCCAATCACAGGTAATATACATAGGTGAGTGGGTACCAAGGTAGATAATAAGGTAGGAGGTCTCGTAACGATCGAATGTATTCGTATTTACTAACACAAGCCTGCGATGGGGGCTTGCACAGCATGCTTAGACGCCCCAAAGTATGAAAGCCTCTAAGCCACGGGGGAACGACTCGGATAAATTGTTGGGTAAAGCTTTCCCACAATTGTTGTACTATGGCTATTGGCTTTTTCTTCTTTTCTTTTTTTCTTTTGTGAAGACTGAATTCAAGTCACCTTGAGCGCGTAGAGTACATGTACCTAGCGCCGCATGTAAGTACCTATGTTGTTACCGAATTTGCTCAAACTACCAAGCCTCCTTTGACGGGTGTGTGCAAAAGTGCGAAGGCTACAAACGTATCTCACGCTAAGATTTGGTAAGGGTGAAGCGGATATGAGGACCTAAGTGAGTTCCACAGTAACATAGACTGGTACTTCCATGGCCCTCCTCAGGGTGAAAGGCGTCGCTGCAAGAGATGATAGATCAAATGCTTTCACCACCTCATGCAACAGTACCGGATATACAATTACGCACTATCCGCTATTCACCACTATGAACGAAACGCAAATTAAATCCTATGACTCGATGAGAAGTACAAAAAGATTGAGGAATCCGGTGTCCCGTCGCAAATTCAACCTGTTAATCAAGAAGACATAGGTAGATATGATAGCGATGCGTATACATAGCTACAACAGATCAAAATAGTGCAAATTAAAGGATATAGTGGTAGAAATAACATACGAAATTTAAAATAATACAGTAACACATCGTGCCAAGTAGGCACTCAACGCAATGCACTTACAACGAGTTCGCCAGGAAGGTGCCTTCTGCGCCAGGGTAGTTCTTTGTAAATGGTACACAATTCCTGTTTACTTCTGATTCATATTTCCCATCTGCCACATGTGCCTGTGGTTGCTTCTTATCCGCCTGCCAACGTCTATTCAGCATGGAATCTGGTGAATCGCAGGTTGTTGCGGAGCCTCCCGAACAACTCATTCCAGCGGACCCAAATGATATCCAAGAATCCGAAAAAGATAGAAGGTTACAAGCCCTCTTCGAAGCCTGCAAAAGCAATGGTCATCTCCGGGCCTTTCTTGAAGCATACAAAGACGACGAGGATCTGTGGAGCTTGCTTAGAGCAGTCCACAGCAATGAAGCCGTCCGGGCCTTGATGAAAGCATACCGAGATAACAAACATATCCGAACCATCGTCCGCCACCACCCAGCAAGCGAACCGATAGACGACTACATCACAGAGTTTGAAACTCGCTGCAAGCTTTTTGCGAGATTTCAGGAGTGCACCGATGCATGCAATTTCTTGGCCTGGGAACTCACCCTCAATGCGACCGTGTTCGCAATAGTGATGGTCGCGCCTATTGCTATCCTCCAAAGAGCCCTCAGCGATCAACAGCATCGCGATGCATGGCTGATTAATTATTTTGGAATGACCGAGAACCGTGCGGCTGATGTGGTCAAGCGTTATAGACCAGGCTGGCACGTTACAACTAAATGGATATTAGATGGTGCGTTTCGGAGGCCCATAAATGTTCGTTCTCAAAATGGAAATTCTGTCGAGTCGAAAAAGGTATCACACCTTCACCTATATCCCAAGGCTTATTCCGTTTCGCTAATGCGCTCATAGTGCCAACTTCGCGATGATTCTTCCTGTATTTTTACTGGCATGTGCGATCCAGCAGAGTCATATATATTCCCCTGCAACCGCAACTCACGGGATTTCCACCACTTATTATCGCTACTTCTGACTTTTTGGGGCGAAAGTAGCGGAATGCGATCGTATTTGATGGAGTTTGACGATACCTACTTTCCTAAACGTGTGGAGAACATGCTCTGTCTAAATCGACAGCTACAACATTGGTGGTACGATGGGAGATTCGCCCTGAAGCCTCTACGAAAAGAAGGGGATAAGATTATAGTGCAATGGCATTGGCTAAAAGATAGCTTTCTTCGCCCTATGCAGCCAATAAGGATGACAGACGACATGTCGAGTCTTGTCGATCCCCATGGCTGGGGTGATGACATTGAAGAATCTTTTGCTCAGCATAAGTCTGGCAGAAAGATTGAAACTGGTCATATTTTTGCTATTGGAGGCGGAAACCCGGATCATTTACCCGCCTTTGAACTGTTAGAGCTCCAGTGGTATCTCGTAAGAGTGGCAGCTATATCTGGAGCTCACGGACCTTGGACGAAAGGTATCTGAAGTGTTGGCACAAAGACTATATTGGGCAGCTCAGATCGAAAATCTGAGAATAAGAAGCAGTTGAGTACGTTACGTAGAGCTGTGTATCAAATTCCATTGATTTGATATCATGCACGCATCTTGACAATTATAGATCTGCTAACTACCCTCTTTTTCCCAACTATTTTAGGAATCCTTAGCTTAAGCCTCAAGCATCCATAATCTATATAATGGACCAAATGCCTTTTCCCGGTAGATAGCTAGTCCCTCAAAATTGACTTAGTATGATTTTTTAAATCGAAAAGACATCAAAGCTGGGAATTGCGTGAAGTTTGCCGTGGCATACAATCTTTCAGGAACAACATCTTCTTGAGTGAAACTCGGCTCTTCAAGAGCATCCATGACCAAACCCCTCTTGAAAAAGACGCCAAAAAGCTCATGTACAGGACGATGAAAGTAAAACTATCACCATATGTCAGATTCTCACGATTCCATCTTCTTTTTGAGCACAGTGGATTGATCATGGTGCTCCAACTTACCTGCGGGGTTTCTTGCCCGACGATGAAAACGCCCTTGCAAGGTTCGACGTTTAAGTATTCGTGTATAACTTTACTAAGGACGATCTCCTGGTCGCCACTGCGATTGAATTTGATGTCGAGGTTGCGTGAATGGGGAGCGGTGTAGAAGGTGGGATGTAGGAGGGTGGCAACGAAGCTAGGGATTTAATGATAAAGTTCAGCATAAAGGAAGCTGTCTACTGGGATGATAATTTGAAATCAAGTTTGAATAAGAGCTACTATGGCACTTACACGCCGTCCTTGCCAAGGAGCTTTGGCAGTGCATCTGCGAGGGGATCAAGAGTGGCGACATCCATTATGGCCATGTTCATAAGGACAACATCGAAACCGCCAATCTGTTTTTCGATTCAAACAATGGCGGTTAGCAAATTTTTCAAGACGATAGACACTGCACATGGAAAAGAAAGAAGGTAGACAAGCAAGCAAGCAAGCAATCAAACGAAGACTTTAAAGTATCACCTCTGCAGCCTTTTCCACGAGGGGCACAAAGTCATTCGCATCCGTCACATCCAGCTTCTGAAAGGAGATCTTGCCGGCCCTGTCGGCGTCAAGATGCGTTTTAGCCTGCTTGAGCATGTTAAAAGTGCCGTCCGTGGCGATGACGCTCGCGGCGCCATTGTCTGCGAGCCAGCGCGCGCAGAGGCCATTTCCCGTGGCCAGCTCCAGGACAGCGCAGCCTGGTTTGCTGAGGCTGGGGCCGAGGAGGCGCCTGAGGGAGGGTTCTTGGAGGCGCTTCCAGTATTTGTTGCCGTGCTCGCCGATGCCCGAGTTCCAGAGCTCGGCGTTGGTTTCCCACAGGGAGAGGGCTTCTTGGCGGAGCTGGGGGGCTGACATTGTTGATGGGAGGGACGGAGACTGTTGTTGGATCTGTCCAGACAAGGATTTTTTTTTTTTCCTCTATCTTTTTTCTTTCTTTTTGTTTACACTGTTAACACTTTAGAATCTAGAAGTAAAAGAAAATGAAGAACAGAAAAAGTTCCATTTCGTGAGCAGCTGGAATACATATAAATGCGGCTGGGTAATACTGAAGGATTTTCACGATGCTTTGGTTTTGCCGGGTGAGTCAATCGGCCATGCAAGACTGCTCATCTTGGGGATATACACCAATGAGAAGAGACTTGGTGTCTAGATTGAGACTAGATCCCAGCACTAATGCGATGCCGTTTACATCGTTCTTTTTTTTTTTTTTCTCTAATCTCCATCTGCCTAGTAGTATTTTAGTGAGGGATGCACCCCAAGACACAAGTAAGTGGTGAGGAGAGAGGGGTTCGAAGTCGCTGCATGCCGGGGAGGGCTTGAGCTGGAATAAAGGCCGTGAGCAGAAATTTGAACCAAATTTTAAATACATGTGATACTCCGGAAATTACTCTCCCATTAGAAATATCATGCCATTATGTCTATAAATAAGAAGACAGACTATACCATCCGACTCCACGATACCGGCGCCGGTGTACATTTTCACCTCCGTAACCCGGACTACTCTCGCCCTTTAGGCCATCCGGAGCCGTATAGTTTGGCATTATGGCATCACAATGCGTGAAGAATAAAATAAAAACACTTGTGGAAAACAATATGCATAAGCCGATTTCTGGTTGTTCAATTCAATCTCTGCCTATACGGCTGAATCCTCGAGCATCCTGCGAAGCCCTTCCTCTTTTACATGCAAATCAAAGGGATAATGGAAGAAACCAAAGAGTATGAACTCCTCTATCTTCAAAAATAGTCTCCCTACTAACTGGATGTCTATTAGGGGTCCCCAAATCATCAAAGAGCCCGAGCACTCGCCCAGCCAAAATGTTGGAAAGAAGCCTGATGTCGCTCCAACGGCCGCTGCCATCGATTACCCAGGCGGTGTTAGTTTGATCATCCTCTTTGCTGGTCTCTTTCTTGCTGCTCTTTGCGTTGGCCTTGTAAGTCTTCTACCAGCTCCTGGCATCAATTCTTCCGGTCCCTCCCCCCCGGGTATTTACTTACGAGGGTTCTTCGCTTCCAGGATCGCACCATCGTTGCCACTGCTATTCCTAAAATCACGAGCGACTTCAATTCTCTCGACGACGTGGGCTGGTACGGCTCCGCATATCTCCTAACGAATTGCTGCTTCCAGCTTTTCTTTGGCAAGCTATATGCTGAATTCCACATCAAATGGGTTTTTCTCGGCGCGCTTCTCATTTTTGAAGTCGGGTCCATTGTATGTGCCACGGCACCCACGTCGGTAGCTTTGATCGTAGGCAGAGCAGTGGCAGGAATAGGAGGCTCTGGAATTGTTTCTGGGGCGCTGATTGTGAGGTCCCAAGCTACGTCCCAGTATCCCCTTTATTTTTTTGCGCCGAGTTTGTTAACGTGAATTTGCTAGATTCTCTCGAGATGCTTGCCATTACATAAACGTCCGAAGTATACGGGTGCCATGGGCGGTTCTGTTGGCATCGCGCAGATCACTTCGCCTACGCTCGGAGGTGTCTTTACGGACAAGGTAACCTGGAGTAAGTACTCTATGCATGCTGATGGGATCTCTGCGCCTCAACTCTAAGCTAATCTCCATCACTTAGGATGGTGCTTTTGGATCAACCTCCCTCTGGGAGCAGTCACTTTCCTCACAGTTTTATTTCTCGTCAATATTCCCTCTGATCCCAATTGCCAGTCCAAAGGCTCGGTAAAGGGTTTTCTTGATCGATTCGATCTCATCGGCACGCTAATTCTAATTCCCTGGGTGATCTGTCTTCTACTGGCTCTTCAATGGGGCGGTAGCCAATATCCTTGGAATTCCTGGAGAATCATCCTTCTTCTCGTCCTCTTCGCCATCCTTTTCCTCATTTGGCTGTATGTCCAGTATAAGGAAGGTCAAAAGGCCACACTACCTCTGCATATCCTTAAACAACGATCGATGATGGCCGGCATGATGTTCATGTTCTGCTTATTCACGGCCTTCTTTGTCATCAACTACTATGTTCCGATCTGGTTCCAGTCCGTAAAGGGAGTATCAGCGTACAAGTCAGGCATATACTTTCTTACAATGAGTGCTGGTCTGTCTTTGGCCGTTATAGCCTCAGGATTTTTGGTGTGTATGGGTAAATATACTCCAGACTATACAGCTCTAATTTGATGCTTTGCTAGACAACTCGAATTGGCTATTTCGTTCCCAATATGATCATGTCCACCATACTCTCTTCGGTGGGAGCTGGTCTCATTTATACATTTGATCTCCACACGAGCACCGGCTTTTGGTCAGTCATGCTGCTGAGTGGTCCTTTGCTTTAGTTCTCATTGTTAACTTTCGCCATAGGATTCCATCCCTGATCATCATGGGAATCGGTATCGGCATCGGCGCCCAGCAGCCCCTCATGGCAGCCCAGACAGTCTTTAAAGGTCCGGATATTGCTCTATCCACCTCAGCACTCATCTTCACGCAAACTCTTGCAGGCACAATCTTCCTGTCGGTCGCGGAGAATATCTTTCAAAACCAACTCGTCTCACAGCTTCGGAAGCTGGTCCCCGAGATTGACCCACACGATATCATCAATATCGGCGCTTCAAATCTCCGACAGGTTATCGAAGCAAAATTTCCCCAGTACCTAACCGCTATTTTAAAGGCATACAATAATGCTATACGCCACGTGTTTCTTTTAGCAGTCATATTTGCGTGTCTCAACGCCATTCCTGATGCTTTCATGGAGTGGGTGAGCCCAGTAAAGAGAGGAAAGGCGGGAGCACAAGCACAAGTGATGAACGGAAAGCCAACAGAAAAGGTTGAAGACGAAACTCCCAACACCAAAGCCGACGCAAATAAATCTTTCGCCTGAAATGCATCGTCTGAGCTGTGGCCGCAATGTTCTGATCTAAACAAGATGCAGCGTATACTGAGGAAGGGAACAAACAGCGGAGGGGTAAAAATATGTTTGAGAGGTTGGCATCGAAAGCAACAGAGCAAATAAACTAATCGCGGTAGAGAAATAAGCTTATTAGAGAAGCACGTACACACTATTTTACAATTACAGACGTTCTATTATTATCTTGACCTCCGCACCTAAACTTGTACAATGCTAGGGTAGCTCGGAGTAGTGGTGGCGATTACATTCAGTGTACATGTTTTGAAATGAGATTCTCTCTGTCGAGCTGGTACCCGACAGAGAGAAATCCCCCACTCTCCGATGTCGCCCCCAACGGCTCCCGCCAATCTCATGTCAATCGTCGCAACCAGCAAATCATCTCCGCAGTGCTAACATCCGCTATCCCGGGGAAGCGGGTCGCAGATGCGGATTACTATGGAGCGATTCTTATCGCACTAACTGCTGTGACGCGATCGCCCATCAACGCTATCGCAATATGTCGGTCTGTTCGGGGGGTCGGTCCGCTGATAACAGCTTCGATCCGTCAATGTTCGATCATCTCGACTTTTTGAACGACACTGGCCTTTATTCGTAGTGGCTGGTGATATTCCTTGGTCCATCATCGCCGCAAACGCAGGCGACAGCTCAAAACTGCAACATATGTCGGGCTCGTTGTAGTGCCTGTACCTTGGCGCTTAGATATCTGCAGCGGCATCTAACAAACATGGCGGACACGGTTTCTCCCATTAAGAATCTTCCCAACGAAGTAAGGATGCCAGACAAGTAAAAGGTCGTGTGAAGACTTGGTAACTAACAACTACGTCTTAACGATAGCTTCTAGCCAGTATACTGGGCGAATTCAGCACCAAGGAGCTCCTCCCAATCATCACCGTCAGTCACCGCTTCTGCTCCATAGCTACCAAGATTCTACACCGACGACTTGTTACTTCGCCTCAACGGTCAAACCACGGGGTGATCCTCGAATGCTACCACCCAAGTGCCAAAATATCCACGCCATATCTGCGCTGTCAATATCTCGGCAACGCCGCCTGCGATGGACCCTCCATCAACGAGCGGGCCCCCAACTTTGTGGACCTGCGCAGGATATACTCGTGCTTTCGGCCGGTTATAATGGAAAGCAACAGGCGTAGGAGATTCCGCTATGGGTGGTCCGTAGAAACGATGGGGGGCAGCACGCAGCTACAGATTGCTGCTGATGACGAAGAAATAGAGGATACGGCACACCAAGAAGTCTACCTGGACGAAGGGGAGCGCTTCTCGCAACTGTGCGCGGTGGCGAATGTCGTTGTCCACGGCTCTCGACCGGGCCTCTTTACGCGGCACGTCAATTTCAGCGACGGCGTCATTCGCGTGTTTAGAGAGTGGCTGGCCAGCATGCTGCCCGGCCACTCGTCCTCCCACGCTGAATCTGGGGCGTCTTCGTCATCGTCCTCCGCCGCGATAGAAGCCTCCATCTCGGCGTCTGGTTTGTTTTCGTCAGACGATAGCCGCGTCTTGTGGGTCGACAGAACAAAGAACGTCGGGATCCGATTCAGGGTGACGCCAGGGCCAGAGGCAAGGGGAACGATCTGGGAAGATGAGCCACCCATGTTTTACAATCTGACTTATGAAGGTTGGTAGCAGTGGTCCTTGTGAAATCCACCTTTTGGCTTAATGCTGTATACTGACTTTGAGATGAAATAGAGTTGGTTGTGCGGACGAGCACGCTGCTGCTTGCTATGGATGAAGCGGATGTGCAGCATGTGGCGCATTCTGGAAAAGACGTTATTATTGCTCCTTTTACGATCCTCTAAGTGTGGATGTGAGGTTTTATGGGATACGGCGTTATCAGGTGTTGGTAGAGCATGTATTTTTGCTTTACTTGAGATTGGTTGATACTCACTCATTTCTTGATTAATTGATGCGTCTTCTCGTTGTGGTAGCCAATACAAAGCAATATCAGCCACAGAAAGAAAGATGCAAAAAAATCTTCACAAGGATTAAAGTAAACAAATTTTAATCAACGACCTATTGTCCACATGTCTCAGTATTTCTTGCAAGACATCTCAAAATGCAAGAAAGCTTAATGTCTAAGGGCGGTTTATTGTCTTGGAACTTAGAAGGCAGAGAAGAAAAAAAAGCATCGCGATATTTGATGCTACCGTTGCTATGGAGCATAACTAGTTTCATCTAAAAGAATATGTCATCGTTCGGTATCAGATGGCTGATGTTGAACGAATCATTAAATTGCCGCATGATTAAATTACTATAATTATCTGGATGTTATACCTCTTGACTAATACTACCTGGCACACAAAATGTCAAGTTCCGCACGAGCGCACGCTTGCGGCCAGTATAATGCATAAGACGCGCCAAAAGTCAATGTGAACACAAAATCGCTGGAAAACAAACATAAAACATAACAGTGAAAAGAGATGTGCAAATACTGATCTAAGGAAGGTGGATAGAGATACCCGGCGGCAAGGGGGTTTTGCTGTCTGCAAGGCACAACAGGATTCAGACGCGGCCGCCCGCCCGTGCCCTGCAAGAAACCTTGTATGGCTGATGGTGGCGAGCTTGATGGGTGCATAATGAGTTATTTTTGTAAGAAATGGGGGAAAAAAAAAGAAAGGAAGAAAAAAGAAAAGTAAGAATGGTGTACAGGTACTAGCAATCCTTCGTAGTACTTCTCAATGGGTAGGCAGGGAAACATACGTAAATGATCTTGTAAGCCAAGCTGTTGATCTGGCGGTGACGAAGCTGAGCCTCTCTGCATGTTTCACGAAAGCCACTAAACGAGGACGAATAAAAAGCTTTTCAGCCCAAAAAGGAGCCTTTGGAGTGGAGATTGCATGCCAAAATCTGTCATCAGCTAATAAACCTCTGCTGCGTTATTCCAGCTTTTCGAATTGCGCTGCTGGAAGGGGTTACACGGCATATTCACCGAAATGTGATATTGGCGATGGGCGGGTGATGGTGTGACGTTGCGATGCATTAGCTTGGATGCTAGGATGCTCAGGTGGACTAATTTTTGCTTCTTCGGCTACGTGGGCTCGGGATTTTTCTGTTTCTCACTTTTGCACTTTGTGTCCTTGATGTTTTCGTGGAGGCGGGGGAAGTTTCTCACGTCCTACAGGTTAGTTGGTGCTTGGAGTATTTCTCTAGCAACCGTACCGAGATACATGCACCTGTGTGCAACAATTCTTATTGATACAGCACCAATATTTCAAATCTCAGGGCGCTTAGAGCGTGTGCCATGCTTTATACGTGCATTTGGTTTTAGTCACCGAGGTGTGCAGCAGAGTTGAGAGCGGCCGCTAATGCCGATATGCGACGTCCGAGATTGACTAACGCGGCCGATCTCAAGGTTATCTGCAAGGCACAGCAAAAAAAAAAAAAAAAAAGTACAGTTGTAGCTGAAATGCTTTGAGTACCCATAAAGCAAGGCAAGGATTCCAATTACTGTCTACTAATTCCTCGTATTTTCTCCATAATAGACGTCAATATGAGCAAATTTGTGCTCATCAGGGCTGACGTTCTGAACCTGGTCTATATGCAAGCCACCCAACAAACACAAACTTCGCTGGGCAATCGGTGAGGGACGGCATGCATTTGCCAAGGAGCAGCCGGGCTCTCGGCACTTCTATGATTCGTGATGATAGCCAAGAGAGATGGGAAATGACATGATACAGGAGCTCCGAGGCTACCCGACTTTCTTCTACAGTAGTCAAAACTGGTAGCCATCATGAGTGGCAGGTTACCAAGTACCTGCATAGGATTTGTTTATCTATCGTGCTACTAGAGCAGTGTTGAAGATACCATGTTTGTGCCGTTATCGTAAAAGTGCCCTCTTGTTTGTTTTTGTTTTTCTTGTAAGCTCCATGGGTGCTTCATATTGAAGTCCGTAATTTTTCCCATCTCCAAAGTCCCAGCTATACTCCAAGATACGCAACAGCCCATGTACATGTACCACATCTGCTTTCATTGAATCATTTTTATACGAATCACAGCCATCTTGATTGTACATAAATCCAATCCCTTGGCAGTGATGGCTTGAGAGCCGCCTTAGTGGCACGGTTGCGTCGGTAGTGGTACAGTACAAGCAAGATCAGGTCGTCAATGTCTCGAGTACGAGGCAACACGGCACCGCCAAGTTTACCGCCCCCATAATAGCTGCCAACCTCCAGGCTCCAGTGCCGCTACTCCCCTAAAGGCCCCCCCTGGCCCCCTTCCGGAAGACTCCACTGTTCAGCCCGCGTCCGCGTACCCAATCACAGCGGGTGCTAGAACATATCAGGCCAAATAGCTTCAGGTACCGGTACCTGGCCAAGCCTAAGGTCCAGCCAGAGCTCGCCGCTTGACCCTGACCCGGCTTCAGCCTCTTTCATCCATCCCTCCAGATCTGGCGCCTCCTTGCACCAGCATTTCCATCTCCCTCAACTGTGCGCGTTACGAGTGCTACCTACTTACCTGCTAATCTGTCTCTCTCTGCAGACTGCGGCCTCGGAAATATGTCTCACCAGTCTTTCCCTGTCCCGAGCCCAAGACACAAGGAGGGCGGAAAGAGAAGAAAGAAACAGGGCATCTTCAACTGAGTCTGATCTGCTTCAAATATCGATTTTCCTCTCGCTGCCTCCCTGTGACAAACGTTGTTATTCTTTGCTGCAGAAAACGAACCGCCCTGCCATGATGCGCCCCTGTTCAGCCTAGCCAGGAGATCGACATCGCGGCACCCGGCAGCACCACGCACTTCGTACCGTACGCACGTCTGGCCAGCGAGGGAGCAGCGCATGCAAGGCCCAGCCATCAAGCCATTGGCCGACGCGTAGTTATCAGCAGTGTTGCCAAGCACCAGGGCCGCTCGTCGTCGTCGTCGTCATGGCGTATGCCGACCATGCTCAGCTCGTACCCTGTTCACAGGACAGCCACGGCCGCTATGATCTGATCTGTGCGCTTCTGAAGCTTCGGGGATGCTGAGCCATCTTCCAGCCAACAGATGATGGCTGCAGCGTTAGCACCTGTTCTGCTGCCATATCTTCGGTGGCTTGATTACCACGCTCTAGAGTGAACGAATTTGTGGCTCTCAAGGGTTGCATCCCTTCTCTCAAGCTCGATTGCTTGCCATCGTTTGTTGTGTCTCTTCTCTTGTCTTATGATGCCCTCCCATCTCCTCGCGGTACTCGTCTGTCGTAGGCGTGTATACCAGATCCACAGGCCATCAGACTAGACTCATGCAAGGCAGCCTCACCGAGCGGTGGGTGGCTTTGTACCATCACGCTCTACCCCCTGCCTCCACTTCCGACTGGCCGCCCACTTCTTCTCTGTTCGCGTCCAGAGCGTACATCTATTATACAAGTACTGACACCAGAGCCATGTTCTCGGGGCTGTCAAGGCCCGATGTCGTGTCGATACCCCTCTTCTTGCATCACCATATAGATATACACTCGTTTTACCCAAAGAACCACATCCAAGGCAGTCTCGCCAGCCTAGCACTGAGTAGATGAGCTGGTATCTCATCCGGCCACGACGCTCACTTATAACTACCAGCAGACATTGCAAAATATAGCAGTATTTTGGGGCACTCGCCAAGTAAACAAAGTCATTCACAATGGAGCGAAGCAGTACCAAGTCCAGTGGCTCCTTGAGACGCCCACCTTCTGTTCATTCTCTCCGATCTGCGCTCAAAACCCTCGACTTGCCATCCATGCCGCCCTCTGTGCCCTTACCGCCTTTGCCTACATCTCCTTCGTCTACAAGATCTACAAAATCGCGATCAGCAACTATCAGGGGAAGTCCCAGGCCAATGACAGGTTCGACTAAAAAACCTTCACTCACTTCGATATCCTGGCGCCCTTATAAACCGATCAAATATGGAAGCGGAAGATTTTCTCACGTTGAACTGGTGCCTCAGCCGAGCGATGATCTGCAAGATCCGCTGGTAAGTTACCCAAATCTACCGGTACCAGGACCCGACGGCTCATATATCGGTTTGCTAGAACTGGCCTCAATGGAAGAAAGAGCTGAACTTGGCATCGCTGCTCTTCATGGCTAGCCTAATAGGCGCAATGAAGACGGCCCTTATTGCAAGCAATCAAGTTGTGGCTGTCCGTTATAATGTCTCTTATACCTGGGTCGCTGCTTTGACGGCTGTACCATTGATGGTTTCGGCCCTTACTGGTTTTATCAACTCGGTAGTCGCGAAATTAGTAGGAAAGCGACCAGTGTATCTGGCTTCATCGATATTGATCTTTGCTGGGTGCCTCTGGAACATGACGGCTGATTCTAGCTACGGTTCTTGTATGGGCGCCAGGGTCCTACAAGGAGTCGGCTGGGGTGCTTTCGACACTTTGCTCTTGGAGAGTATTCAGGATACTTTCTATGTAAGTTCACTTCAATTTAATCTATCTCGCCATTTCTTATGAAAACACCTACTTATCGCAACGGGAATAGGAACATGAGAGAAACATCCGCACAACACTATATAACATTGTCACCATCACGGCGACATGGGCATCCCCGCTTCTGGGTGGTGTCGTCTCTTATCAAGTCGGATCTTTTACTGCCCAATATCGCATAATGAGCGCACTTTTTGCTATTGCCATTCCGCTAATGGCTCTCACTACGCCTGAGACGGCGTTTGACCGTTCCCGAGCAGCTATTGCAACAACTCCTATATTCATCTACACATTTCCCTGGGAACCCCAGCCTGTCCAAATTGAGCTTAGCAAAGAGTCTATTCTCGACTATGTCAGGGAGATGAAGCCATGGTCGTATGGTGGCGAAAAAAGTATTTCAATTTCCATACAATCGCCACGCGCCCTTGCTGCTCCCAGTACCATTCTTGTTTTTATTATTACCGCACTACCTCATTGTGTCCTATGGGGCTTAATTGCTTCCCTGTCTCTGTTACTCTCATCATCACCAATTGGCCTTCATCCCAGCAGTATTGGAACTCTCTTGACGGGACCCTGGCTACTTGCAATCTCCATCGTTGCTGGTATCTGCTTCTACCGATCGACGAATCAGAAGTTCTGCCCATGTGTTAGTAACCTGACTATAGCTGGCGGCGCGCTTCTGGCTCTCATTGGTATGATTTCATTTGGTCTAGATGTCAACAGCTTCATGACTTGGCCCGCATCATCGTCTGACTCGGGTCACTCAATCTTTTTTGAGTCCAATGTGGCACAAGAGCTCAATCTTCCCGTATTATCACTCCAATTGGGGCTGCTTGCAGCCGGGGCCTATGCTCTAGAGGCCACCGCGCGTCCCTTCCTAGCTCGATCTGCATCCTTCACTGCCTCTAGCATGGCCACGGCGCAGCGAAGCATAGGCGACATGCACTCGTGGGTTGTAATCCTACGAAATCTCGTCGCCGGTGCGTTCGTCTTGGCTGTCCCTCATATTACTTGCAAGGCTGGGGGGCTCAAATCTCTCATTATCGGCCTGAGTGTTGTCCAAGCTGTCATTACCGTGTCCGTCCTTTTGCTGTGGCGTTTTTGCGAAAAGGCTATATGGAAAATGGATGGCAAAGTCATGGGACTTGTCAACTTGCGGATGCCTCATCCCGAGGAAAGCTTTTTCGATATCGACTGAAGCATCGCTAAGGCTTTTGTGCAATGAAAGAATCTCATTGATGAGATTCATTTGACGAAAACAAAAAAGAAATAAAAACAAAAACAAAACATTATGTACAACAGTTTATCATCGGCTGGTCGCCTAAATGGACGAACGGCAAAAGACAAAAAAAAAAGGTCAATGAAGTGGAACATACACGTCATTTACATTATTCGGGGGCAATTCCAAAGAGAAAAAAAAATATCAAATTCATCATTACTTATTTACTCGGATTCTTTTCGCTTTCCGTCTTTATACATATCCAACATTTTGCTCGTTGCAGATTTCATAGCTGCTGCAGCACATCTCGATTTCTCTCTCTTCATTCTTTATCCTGGATTGCTTTTCAGGATTTGTTTTATTTCTTCTTCTTACTTTCCTTATCTAAATGCCTTTATGATATCTGAGAAATGAAATACGTAGGATATGAATGTTTGGGATACGGGAAGGGAAACGGACCTGAGAAATGAAATACGTAGGATATGAATGTTTGGGATACGGGAAGGGAAACGGACATGAAGAAATGAATCACGGTCGGCTGGTAAACGGAGCAAAAAGGATCATGGGTTTCCTTGTCATGTTAGGCGAAGGATAGATAGCTTCTCGTTTCTAATCTCGACGACTTGACTTGTTATTCTTGGGAATTATGAACCATGTGCCTTATAATGCTACAAACCTTATAGTCACAACTGTATCAAAGAAGAGTGAAGCAAAATTAGAAATTTTCGTCATTTCAAAGTGGTCAAAATGTCCATAATACATAGTGTGTAAGGCATACGCTTCCATGTGCCTCCAAAGAGAGACAGTCTCTATCGTAAGCCTTCATAGAAACCACATATTCACACCAATTTCCCAGTCAGCTCTCATTAAAATCGTCGCATCCATAGACTGGATGGTGCATATGCATAACAACAACGATCCATTGTCCACTATTGCTTGCCAAATCCATACCCATATGTCTTTGCATGAACGTAAAAGATAAAGAAGAAAAAAAAGGAAGAACAGAGAAAAAAAGAAATAAAGATACTTGTGTTACTTTATAGTCTTTAATCTTCTATCCGCTGAGTTTTTATAAACCATTTGTCGACTTGGCTTCCGAATTAGCTACCCGCCTTAGCTCGACATCGCTTCTCATAGTCTCGGAATCATCATCGTCAAGAGAGGAGTCGCATCGTCCTTGTGGACCAGTAATTCGCTCATTCATTGCAAGATCATCTATTTTCTTGCGCTCAGTGACTGGAGTGTTGGTATTGAGTGTCTCCAAAGCCCATGCCTTTAACCCGTGCCAGCTGGTGACGAAGAAAATGATCCCGTTCCACAATCCTTGTAGCGGTAAGACTGCCGCCGTTGCGACATGGAATTCATATGGCGATCCTCCATCAAGCCAGCCGTGAATACGATTCAGACTGCTAGGTATCCATGTTACTAGCACGCTTATCGCAAATAAGAAACTTGTTCGCAGATATGCTCTCTTGATAGGATCGCTGATATGAAACTTGCTACCAATATCTTGGGCAGCCGAAATCAAGCGGCGAAACAATGAAGGTCGAGGGGCAATTTCTTGTGGCGCAGAGGTTGTGACAGCAGAATAAAACTGGTTATCGACGGCGGGCAAAATTTCAGGCTCTGAGTTGTCAAAGGCAACACGAGCAGTATTTCGGTGGACACGAGTAGGTTGGGGCTCGGTAGGCATAAGGTTGGCAGGAGTATGCGTCACTTGAACTTCGGTAGTAACGGTGCCGTAAATGCCATTTTCCGCCTGACCCTGTGGTTCATAACAGCGTTAGCTTAATCAACTCATGTATTCGACAACCATGACAAACTTACAGCATCCGCTTCCTTGTCTTTATCTCGATTTCTCGATGTGGAAAAGCTGCGCAGGCGGTTTCTCATGCGGAAAACGTGCCATCCGACCAAGAAGTAGCAGAGTATCGAACCGACGATACATATCCAAATCAACATGTAGTATGTGTAAATCCGAATAAAGTCCCATTCGCGGTCGACCCAACACCAGATCTATTCAGTGGCGGATCATAATCAGCTTAGCAGAACCATTGAAATAACATAAGAGATTGCTCACCGTAGCTCCACCGTACACGAGCCCACGTGGGCTTCTGAGGAGGAGGAGAGTAAGGGCAATGACAAAAGGGCCTCCATAACAGATCAAGCAGTAGATCCACCAGCGTTTGCGGAAAGAATCAGGGTTTGTGTGGAAATAGAAGACGAGAAAGACGTTGACAGCCATGGCCAAAGACCACCAGGGATCAGACTGCATGAACCTGCTCAGGAAATCCCGTGGTTAGCTCTTGGTCGTTTATTCGATCCCTTCTACTTCCGCCATCCGCTTCATCCATCTTTCTCTTTGGGGGTCTTTTCTCTCTCAACGTGCAGAAATTCCAAAGAAAATCAAGGGTACTCACATCTCAAACATGAAGCTCTGAGCCTGGCATAAAGCCGATGCTTGTCCAGCCTTCATGCCGTCGTAGGCGATTATGGTTCCAATGCTGGCCCCGATATTTGACACACTGGCAAAGACAATGAATGTGTTCTGCACATTGCGTACGCGCCGCACAAGCCAGTAAGCAAGGAAAATGAGCATAACTGAAACCAAGCTGAGAGTGCCACCGATACGCTCTACAAGGACGAGCGTTCTGATTTGATGATGGTTCAGCTGCTCATCGTCCACTGCCAAGTCTAAAGTTGTGTGTATATCCATGGCAACTCAACCGAATATCTCAAGTTTATCGAGAAAAAATGGCATGGGAGATGAATAGCGGGAGCTGCGATGTGCAGAAGCAGTTGAGAGACTATGTGGAGGAGGTGGAGGAGGGGGATGCTAGGAAGAGGAAGAGGATGGAGAGAGAAGAAAGGTAGAAAAGGCGATTGATGGAACGGAATTTTTTTCTTTCAGAAAAGAGAGAATAATAGAAGTTTTAATCTCTAGTATTGGGCGGAAAGAGGTCGGAGCGAAAGCTGCCAGCTGGCAGAGGCCGTCAAAGAAAGCCGCCAGAAAGAGCTGCTAGAGAGGCACAAAGAGCTGAAGCAGAGCAGAGGCCTCCTTTCTTCATTTATCTCGTCGTTTTCACCGTCTGGACGCGGGGAAGGATCTTCGCTCGTCTTCTCATCCCTTGTCCCCGAAACGAACTGAGCTGTTAGGGAAATCAAGGCTGGCCGACACCGAAAGACTCTCGCCTCACTTAGAGACAGCCAGATGGCGAGACCAAGCTCGAGCCTAAACCTGGATCTGCCTGGCGCTTCTCTCCTGCAAAACTGCTTCAGGGCACCATTAATAGCAGTCGGACGGAGTGTGCTGCAGCTCGCAGTGGACGCACAAAAGAGCGATAGGACCTGCATGTGCTACAGCAGCTGCACGCGGCCGCTGGGGTTGGAGGAAGCTCGGCGTTATTCCAGGTTGGAGTCGAGTGTGTCGCTCCAGGCGGCCGTGGTTGGCTGGACGATGATCCAAGGCCTTTCTCTTTCTTCAATCGAGGATCCGTGTCTTTTTCTTTTCGACTTGCGCTGGGGTCCTTTGGGCTGTATGCACGACTGCCAGTTAGTCTCAGTGGCCTTTTGGTGTCATTGTCCACGATCAGACTAAAGGAAGGCCAAAAAGGAAGCGGAGATGTTATTACACGGCTCAAAGCAGCAACTCGCAGAGTATATGATGGAATATATGATGGAGCCGCGCTTTTCTCTGTGCCGTTTCTCGCCACGACGCTCAGAGCAAGTAAGCAGACGAGCGTGGCTTCAACCTTTCAGATCTACGTCGAACGCAGGCCAGTCTGACTAACCTTAGCGGTCCGGCAGCCGGAAACGAGGCTCAATCAAATCGATAGCCCGGCTTGATTATCTATTGTTGATCACTTAGTCTCACTGGTTCGGCGCAGCCCCTCTTGCCAGTGCGTCATCGCCCAGACATCGTGAGCAGGAGCCATCGCCCAGCAGCGGTTTCCCACTTTCCTCCACCGCTTTGCGGGTCACGCTGTTTTTGCCCACCGCCAGTGACTTGCTGGTGATGCCTGTGCAGTAAAAGATGTACCGTTATGTGTCTCGTTAACATTCCATTTCACCGCGATACTTTGACTTTTGTTGCTGTTGCGATGCAATTTGCAAGTACTGCTGCACCGCCGTGTGATAAGATCTACTCTACAAACTTAGCCCCAGCTGCTGATCCTAGGCCATCGCCACCTTCGGCACACTCAAAGATCAAATCTTCAAAGAAACCAGACCTCTCTCTCTCTCTCTGTTTTTTCTTCTTCTTTCAATAGCAAATCTCTCCTCCGCACGCACAATAGCCTAATTCAAGACCGCCCCGCCCTATCCGCATCTCGTGATATCGGCACAGGCTCCATCCTGTCCTCTGCGCCAATACGCCACACTTTTCTGCTTCAACCCGCCAACTTGCGTCGAGCCCTCAATTGATCTTTACGCCGTCTTCAATTCGCTTCGCTTAAGTGCTAGAGATTTTGCGAACCACCCCTCTTCCTATTTGGATCATTCCATTCTATTCAATTCTTTCCATTTTGGCGCTGCTGCCTATTTTCATCCTATTCTTCTTCGTCTTTTCAAGCGTCGAGCGTTATGCTTCCAGGGCCATGGACACCATTTACGGGTTATATATATACGAGCGAGGGGACTGGGGGAGGCGCAGTTCGGCCTACAAGCTGCTGCGTGATGGCTAAAGGCTCAATTAAGAAAGCTCAATTCAGAAAGAGACAGAAGAAATGATACGTCAGTGCCGCGGAAACATGTACGAATCGAACGGCGGCGGCATAACCATAGCCATCGTAGGTACCCGTCTTGAACCGATAGCACCCTCTGCACTCCCTCGACGGCGAGAGACATGAGTTCGAGAGTCAAGGCAGCATGCATGCCGAGAGAAGACAGTGTGATGTGAAGGGGAAGTCCTCTCGCGAAGCGGCATCAACGTCGCACAATGTCCTCTAGTGCCTTCTCGGCTCGTCTGCAAACCCGCACAACGCTGAGAGGACACAGGCTGAAGTGGGCCAGTGTCTGTACCGTTTCAATTCTTCAACTTGAATGCCAAGAGACGATTCCAGTGATGAGATGCCGAAAAAAAGCGCATCTGTCCAGTCCCCCGGGATATCTATAGTGTGCCTATCTATAGAATCAGTATGGAGACCCCAGACCTTATGGCGAGCTATTGGCACCACTTCACGATACGCGGCAAGTGGAGCTTTACGATGGAATCTCGTTAATAGCCTTTGTCCAAGTTAACCCACAATATACTCCGGGCGCCACTGGTGGGGCTGCCATGGACAGATTCGTCTCTAATCTGGTTAACCTCCCGAGCCACCTCGTGGGAAAACTGGGGGATGTGGCTTTGGCCTGACTCGACCCGCTCTAACTTCAACCTCATGGATAGATAGCTTCTGCCATATCTGGAGATGTGCCATTTCACAGTGCAAGATGAGAGGCCGGATGTTTTTCGGCTCGTTTTCCCGATAACGGAATTATTTCTCAAACGTTTACGATTCTATTCTCCCTCTCTGCGCAGATCGACATGGCCAAAGCTGCTGCGACCGACACCGATATACGCTGAGACCACTATCAGGCCATTACCTGGACGCCAAGCACATACTAGCTGCCCTTCACTCTTCTCAACCAACACGATACTAATCGTTGTACTACTGGTGATGGGTATTGTCGTTCAGGGTATTCATCTTCGCTCGAATGCCCTCTTTTCTGTCCAAGATCCAACAGACAAATCCGACTGATGCCTCTCACAAGGCACAAAACTGAGTCAACCCCACCCACCTGCAACTGTTAATCTGAGCACTTGGCCAACGGGCTTAGCCGATCTATATGGCTTGTACGTCCTCACAAATCCATCCGGCCAACCTTCTCCGTACCCTGCATTCTTTGAGGCTACATCCCGAATACCTGCATGCATTAGTTATCTGGAAGGATTAGGCTGGTAGTAGCCCTGACTCGCGCGCCGATGGTGAAAGAAAATGGCAACAATGGTAAGGCTTGGCAAGAACGGATTCCGCATGCGGATCATACTACTCGTTCAGCTTCAGCTTAGCAATGCAAATTCTCTCATGTTCAAAAGTGTATGAAACGTGAGATTTTTTTTTTTTTTTTTTTTTTT